GTGAGCAGCATGGACACAACTACGCTCCAGGAAGTGCTGTCCCGGTCTACACCGATCCAAGCTCTTGTTCAGACTACAAAGATCCCATCAGTCCAACAGCTGTGAGTCATGCTATACTTTCATCGCTTTGGAAATACTGACCGGCATTGGCGGGGCCACCAGAGCCAAATTAGGATTCCGAGACGCCCCGTAGCCTCCGTGCAATCCAACAGCCCACTCTCCACACTTAGTACGATCCCGCCTGCTCCACAGTTCCCTGGCCACTATGCTGTCAACTCTAGCCAGCGCTATGATAGTTACCCACGATCAGCTGGATACGGGACGCCGAACCCCAACCCTGCCACGGACTACCCGGCATTCTTAGTAGAGTCGCAAGGGCAATATAACGACCAGATCTACGTCGGATCACAACCTACTCCGTACGCACCCTACAGCGCGGCGGAGCCGGTGAGTGTGCCAATGGGGAATCATTGAGTGGGTACTAACCCAGTGCAGGTCTTTGCTGGCTCCGGTCCTCAGACCTACGGCCATGCTGCACTCTCCCGCAACCGCAATAATGCGCGAGCGAATGGGGTAAATGTGTTCAAATTTTGAAGGCAAGTGTTCGGTAGTAACTAGGCCGATAGGAGTCTAAGTCGGTAGCCATTGTGGACCTTGAAGCTGCGACCGAGGAGGAGTCTGTTCCAGCTGTATGTAGCCTGAATCATTCCTCAAATCCAAATTTTCTATTCTCATAACAACGCAGCAAAACCCTGGACTCATTCCCCACGTTCCGCTGAAGGGTTACCGAAACCTTGTCGGCCATGCGACAGCTGTTCGGCTCTTCAAGTATCCCCACTTCTACAAGCCAGCAGATTGCGTATATCACTCAGCGGAGAAATTCAAGAACAAAGACTCCATGCTACGGTTCCACGAGGGGGTGAAAGATGACAGATACATCAGCCCCTACAACGGCAGAACTGAAGAACTTGTTGTGCAGGCGGTGGACGAGATTTACAATCGCTCTGATAGCGAGGATACATGGCATAGGACATTTATACGGGATATCAGCCCTTGGCACTTGCGACTTGCGAACTGGCCAGAGAATCATATCCCGTATGAGGATAGGATTCTGGGGAGGGTCACATATTCCCAGAAGGCTGTCAGGGGTCTCAAGTATGCCGCCTCAGCAATTGCGCTGCTCACAGTAGTAAGTACATTTTGCTCTGGAAATGTGGCTTGGTCTGGTAGCTAACTCTTCGTAGATAGCCTTTCCGGGCAACGTAGAGGGAGAGATCCGGAACGGTGGTCGGTACGACGCTTTTCCCTATAAGTTCCACGGATACTCAAAGGTGGGTATTCCCATGACTATTGCGTGTTCTGCTACTAATAGAAAATGAACCCAAGGTCGCTCGCAACCTTCTGGAAGAGAAGATCGTCCGGCAGCACGTTGACCTAGGTCACAAAACTCAAGCGGTCATGACGAGCCGTATCCTGAAGCCTCGCAAGCTCTGCCGACTAGACGCCGTTCCGAAGACCGAGAGCAACCCGTTCGGTTTAGACGTAGTAGACGTCGGGGAAAATGAGGTGTTACCATACCTTTTCGCAGCTTATACGACCGAGCAGTTTCCGATTGATTCACCTCCTCACAATGAGCAGCTGGTTCGAATGGCTGCTGAAGCTACGCGAGAGCATGCGTTGTCGGCTTTCTGGATCAGCTGCTGCTGCGTCGACATGTCCAGCGACAGGCGTTTAGCCGATGGAAGGACGTTGCAAGAAGACGTAAGATCTTCGCTCTCGTGAAAGTAATGATGGTTAACCGTTACAGGTATACCGTATCAGTGATGTGATTAGGGGCGCCGAAGCTGTCGTCATCCTAGTCGGTCCATCAGCCCCCAGCCACAACGAAGATGCCGATAGGGCCTCGTCAGTCGGTAGCCGCATCCGGCAATGGGGTGCCCGGATGTGGACATTCCCGGAGGTGCTCCTCAGTCGAGGCAGTGTGATCAAGGTCTACGACGCAACCCAGCATCAAACGTTCAACTTCACCAAACTCGACTTCGCAAACATGGCATGGCCGGATAAGGATGTTTCGCGGCAGCTGATCGATCATTATGAAGGCACTCTTCAACTTAGCCGCTTGGAACTTGTGATCATTGCGCTAGAGTGTCTGCTTTCTCGGCAGCGTGGCGATTTCCTGCCGGGAGACCACTCATACGCATTGATGGGCTTGCTGCGCGTGAGACCTCAGATTGACGAGTCGGACACTAGCTTTCAGGCTTTTGCTAGGTAAGTTGAGTTCAGATCCAGGTTACTTGGTTTCCGCTAGTGCCCGCACTTGCTGACTTACCTTCATACAGACTCTCACTCGCCAACGATAGCGACTTGCTTCTCGAGCGCCTGGCTTGCGTCCTTCCCCGCGACCCCAACCAACCATGGTATGCCATGGACGACGCCTACGGAGCGAGCCTCTGGGACATATACCCTTCGTGTCAGATTGCGGGCATAGGCGACGACAACACCATTATTGTTGACGGTGCGAGGGGGGCGAATGTTCGCTGGAAATCGTTCGCTTCTGTACACGTCCTCCGCCGCTGGTCATGGACACGCCTGCTCTTCAGGATCCTGTTGCACACCTCCTCGATCGCGCTAATCGTCGGCGCAATACTTCTTTGGATCGCTCACTGGATCAGGAAAAAGGAGCGGGCAGCCGCCGCCGCCCTGATGTCCCCCTTTGCCGTAGTGAAGGATTTCAAGGAGTACTACGACGAGCACGGCTCGTTCCTTACAGACTTATCTGATACGCTCAAGAACCTGTCGACAACAGCTGGGGACATGTACGACAACCTAAATAATGATGCACTAGTGATTGTTCACGCTATTGCTCGGATCGTCGTCGACGAGAAAGTAATCGAGGGCTTTGGTGTTCTTTTCATGATATGGGCCATGTCCATGATGGTAGTCGCTCCGAAGGCCATCCGAACTCTCTATGGCGGGAAGCTCTGGAACACTCAGCCGTGGCTTTTCGGGTTCGAAGGCTATCTCCCGATCGAGCAGATCGAGTACCTCATCTTCGGCGATACAAAGAATCGCCTGCGATGGCATCCATTTGGCTCTCCCCTCTCGAAGCACAAGGTAGATGAGAGCTGGGAAGGGGGCCACTGTGAGCCGGTCGATCCCACGACAGACGCAGACGTCAAGGCCATGGTTGAGAATGCGAAGATAAGCCAACTGGGCGACCAGAAAGTCAGTTCCATCACGTGTCCTACATACCAGTACTAAAAGCCCTCCAGATCTTCACGCTTGTGGATACCAATACCATGACCGTCACCATATTCCAGGCCGCGCGACCACCGGTGTGCTTCCTCCTCCTTGGCTCCGAGGGCGGCATGCAGCGTGCAGTCGGGTGCTCGTTTGATTGGACCACGAGCACACTGTACAGGGAGACGGTACTCCGCATGGAGACGTCTTGCAGAGACAAGATGGACCTCGTATCGCGCGCGAAGATTAGCTTGGAAAGGAGGGAGAAGCCAAAGACTCGGCCAGCTCCGCAGCGGTCCAAGTTCGACTTTACGGGCTCGTCGGACAAGTTTTCTAAGAAGAATGAGCCGAAGAGTGGATGAGGTCTTGTGCGTTCGTGGACCTTTTAGCGGTTCTGTTTTATATGCATGGTTTGTTAGCTTCGGGTCGTTTCGCGATCGGTACTTGCTAAAGCTCAGGGTAACGGCCACCTCAATTTACCGCATCTCCGATTACCAAAAAAATAAAAAAATGTGTAGGTGTGATATTCGCCCCTCCGTATTTGTTACAATACTTCCCCTAGATAGTGTGTTAGGTAGCGCAATATCTTTGCCCTACTATGAATATACGTTAAAGATTCCATTACAACGCTCCTACCCATAGTTTAATAGCTGTTCCTACCCCCCTTGGGCTACTCTAGTACTATCTGGTTCCCCCAGTGCCTAGGTCGCAGCAAGCTCTTCACACTAACAATCTTCCCGATGCTCTGCAACGTCGCCTCCCCCGAGATTTCGAAAATCGCTAATTCTGCGCCCAGTTCCTTTCCGATCCAGTTCTTTATCTCCAACGCCACAAGCGAATCAATGCCGTAGTGCCCGAGTGGTCTCTCCAGCTCCATCTCGTCCTCCAATCCCAGCAGTCGGCCCAGCTTCATCCTCAAAACTTCGGATGCGCACAGGGCTCCTGCGGCAGCAGACGGGGCGGCGGCGAAAGCCGCCTTGAAGTTCTGTGCCTGGCCAGGAAGATCTGCGACCTGGCCGTCCTTAGGATCGATTTGTCGCATAATGCTGAAGGTTGGTAGGGCGAGTTCCTTGGGGATTTCTCTTCCATTCGCGATTATATCTGCGGGCAATGCGAGACCGGTGATGAGCTGGCTTTCCTGGGGCGATAGCAAGAGACGCTTTGAGTCGCAGTAGTACTCGAGCAGTGCGAATACTTCTGCAAGAGAATTGGGCCGGATCACGTCCCGCCTCAGTAGATGTCGCATGAGCGCATCGTTCTCCGCAACGACCCCTTCGCCCAGGACTAGTCCAAGGTCGATAGCAGCAGTTCTTTCACCTGCCGCCACACGGTAGCCTGCGAGAGCATCCTCAAACGTATTGCCAGCTGCGTAATTGCTTTGCCCTCCGTTTCCCCCAACGCCAACGACAGATGAGAGGAGGATGAAGAAGTCCATGCCAGATGGAAGGACCTGGTGGAGATTCCACGAGCCATGAATCTTGGGCCTCGTTGCGCAACGCCAGTCCTCTATCGACATATGCGCCAGAGTGGAGTCACGCAGGACCATAGCAGCCTGGAAACACCCCCTGATGGGCGGCATTCGATGCGAACAGCGCGTTATCGCTCCCTGGAGGGCCGGAAGGTCGGTTATGTCGACTGGAGGGAATTCCACTCTAACTCCAGCTGCTGCCAGTTCTCCCACCATCTCCTGCGCTTTTTCGTTACCTTCTAATCCCGAGCGTGAGAGTAGAATGAGATTCCTTGCTCCTTTATCGCAGAGCCAGCGGGCTATACTCCGACCTAAGCCCCCAAGCCCTCCAGCAATCGCGTAGGTCGCGTCGGGGCTGAAACTAAGCTTAGACTGGCCAGAAGAAACCGTCTAGGGTGGGCAGCGTCAGCATGAATATGCTTTGGAGAATCGATGATGACAGATCTCACCGGAATGACCGAATTCCTGTCCAACTCAATCACGAGCTTCCCAGAGCTATCTCCACTATGGAGGAACCTGAATGCAGCTTCAACCTTTTCCACGGGATATACTTGGAGTGGATGCACGGGACGAATATGCCCAGCCCGAAATAGATCCCAAACACGGTTCATCAACCGATCATGCTCAGGCCCCGGTCGGAACATGCCGAGGTTGAAAGATGAGAACGATACTCCCCGCGTAAATGGAACCATGGGAAGCTTTTGACGCGAAAATGCATCACTAAGGCCTATCTCAACGAACCGACCCCAAGGCGCGATGACCTCCCACGATGCCTCGAGAAGCTTGCCTGTCAGAGAGTTGAGAACAACCTCGACGCCGCAACCGTTCGTTAATCTTCTTATACCGTCAGCAAAGGATGTGTCGCGACTGTATAGGACATGTTCCGCAAGAATGCCGTATTGCTCAACAAGCATCTTCTTTTTAGCCGTGGAGCCTACCGTTGCATAGATGACGGCTCCAATCTTCTTAGCGATCTGGATAGCTGCCTGACCCGTGGCTCCAGAAGCACGATGAATAAGTATGCTCTCGCCCTTTTGAAGCCTTGCAATTTCGAATAAGCAGTAATATGCCGTACGAAACGCCGTTGGCATTGATGCCGCTTCCGCGAACGACACGTGGTCTGGAAGAACCCAGGCATCAGTCTGAGGTACACGCCCGTAGGTTCGGAAGGCATCGAGGAACCCGGTTGCCACACGATCACCAACCTTGATGCATGTGACTGATGAACCGACGTTCGTGACAATGCCGGCGTATTCGCTGCCCAGGTTTTCGCTCGAGACGCGTCCTAGTAGAGCCAGCACGTCCTTGAAATTGACTCCGATAGCGCGGACTTGGAATTTCACTTCGTTTGCACCAAGCGGCTGCCGAAAAGTCTCGTCTTCCACCCACTCGAGCGTGCTAAGGACCCCTGGTGTTCGGATATGAAGTCGCAATGGCTGGTCACTGACTGGCGTATAAGTGAGTGGTCTCTTGGCGGCTGCGAAGAGGTGCTCATCAGTTCTTCTCGCTGGGATGAGCCTATTCACGCATAGACGTCCGCTTTCCTCGGCATATTCCGGCTCGTACTCCCCATCCATATGCTTCTGCGTCTGACGAAATACAGTATATATCCGGTCTGCTAGATCCTTTGAACGGCGCTTCTTGCGCATATCCAAAGCTAGTGATACGAGTACCACACGACTGTTCTCGTGGCGGGATACCCGGAGAAGGCCGTCACTGATGGCCTGGTCGGGTGTTACGTGAGCTTGCTTCACCCAGATGAAGCTCTTTGCACGTGAAAGGACTGTTTTCACTTTTCCGAAGTCGTGTTCGCTTATATCTAGCAATAGAGGCTCTCTGAGATCCTGGATGGATACATAGTGGTGTCCGTCACACTCTTGCGACGCGTCCACTTCGGCGAGGGTCCGGGTGTGCGCTTCCGGATTGGCTCCAAACTTCTGACAGAGATCTGCTGCAATTTCTCTTTGGAGTGCAGACTTCTTATCGAGCACCACTATTGTGAGCTCGGGCACTGAAGCACTGAAGTCCTCGCCCGACGCCGTTGAGATCAGGATGGTTCCAGGATAGCCACCGTCGCGTGGGAAGCTTCGAAAAGTTGCCTCGATTCCGGAATATCTGTTCTTTCGGAGGAATGAGTCCCATGGAAGCTCAGAGTGAATCTCCCTGGACTTCTTCTCTATTATATTCGTCAATATGAGCTTGCCGCCTGCCGCATGCAGTTCTCGAATGTGGGCAAGCCCCTCCGTCGGCTCAAGCGTCGCGAAATGTGCGACATCGGTAATGATTACATCGTAAACTTCTCGACGCAACTCTCCCGTATTTGGCTCCACCTTCAGGCTGTCCAACTCTCGAAAGCGGATACGTCTGTTCTCATCAAACAGTGCGCCAGCCTCATCGAGACGAGATGCCTCCTTCGCAGCGACCACGTACTCGCTAAAGAGCGAACCAACATCGGGTCTAACCAGTGTTTCGGTGATGGCAACCGTGGTAGGCGTAGTATTGGAGCCAAGCGCACAAAAGCGCAGGTTTGGCCGTTTGTGCACGAGGCATGCGAGATACCGCTTCAACGAATCAAGTGCCGTGCTAGCCGCACACAGTATTTCAATTTCACCATGTTGCATGGTGTCCAGATCCGGCATCCATGCGAAATGCGAACAGCAGAATGGCGCATTCTGCAGCGTAGGCCGTATCTCCGATGCATTTGCAACCACCGTCATTTCTAGCTCTTCAATCTTAATCACCGGTTGTGCATCTAGCGTATCGAACACTGTTGTTAAGAACTTGGCTCCGCGTTCAGTGATGTGTGTGGCTCTACAGTACGCCTGCTTGGATTCCGACCTATCGTCTCCAAATCCAGAAATTGGAATCCAGAGCTTGCCAATGTGTGTTGGAATCATACTGCGTATTTCACCGGAGCCGTTCAAGGCAGGGAAGCCCAGTTGGATCAGCCCGTCCAGTGTGGTTGGGTGGACGAGGTAAGAAGATGAGCCTCTTTCTACGTCCCCCGCCGGGGGCGCGAGTAATGTGGCAACAGCTCGTCCATTAGAGTCAAAGCGAACATCGCATATGGTCTGGAACTGCGGTCCGTATTCTAGGCCACCGTCTCTCATCCTGGCGTACATGTCAGGGGTAGGGGTCGTGTGATTGCAAGACTCCGCGGCATGATGGTATTCGGCTTGTAGAGACCGTAGCATGTGCTCCTCTTCGTTTACTGCATCGACATCTGAAGCCACTCTTTCGTAGTCGCCCCGAATACGTCCAGAGCAAACTTGCGTTTGACTTCTGTCAGCACCATGCAGGAGAACGCGGAATGAATAGTCAATGTCTCCGGGTCGGCCAGTCTTGAGGGAAGAGGACATGTGGAGATGCAGTTCAACGCCACTTGGATTCGAGGCTATATGGATAGGAGCCGGAAAATCCACGTCTGTGAGTTCGAAGCCAGTAGGATTATTGGTTGTGATGAGCTGTTTCGAGGCTTCGAGAGCCATCACAATCGTACCGGCAGCGGGATACACTATCGACCCCTGGATCTTGTGGTCTTTCACCCAGGGCATCTCCTCCGCTTTAATGATGAACTTCCATCGCGCCTCCGCCGCGCTGAGATCTCCAGTTCGGACTCCGACAAGATCGTGTTTGGCGAAGGGACGAAGCCTGAAGTCGACGTTGCTTGGAGACTCCTCCCAGTACCGAGTCTTGTGATTAAAAGGATACAATGGGAGACGCTGCGGGATCGCTCTCGTTCGACCATCGGGTGAGGTGAGAGACGTAGCTCTGGCCAGGTTGATGCTCACATTCTGGCAATGCATGTAGCCAAGCGCACCCAGGACACTCTGTAGTGCGGACTGGTCTCTATGAAGCGCCGAAGTGTAGCATATCTGACCCTCCAGTTGAGACCTCTTCAAAATTTGTTTGAGGGGTCCTTGCAAAGCCGAGTGAGGGCCCACCTCAAGCCAGACGTCAACGCGGAAATTCTTCAAATGGCGTCCATCCAGGCTTTTTGTTACCGTGTCGCTACTGCCACCGCAGCAGAATTGTACAGCGGTGAGGAAGTGCACAGTTGACACCATGTTGCTCACCCAGTAGGAGGGATTGCACACTTCAGGAGTATTTACGGCCTTTCCACTGACGGAAGAGACCATGGTTGGCCTTGCTTCAGTATCTCCTGGTTCAAGCTCGCTAATGAGATTCGCATAGTCTGGTGCTATACGAAGCATTTGCGGTGAGTGATACCCAACACCGACCCTAAGCCTCCGCGCGAAGAGCTGCTTTTCCGTAAGATGATGCGTCAGACTAGTTACCAATCCTTCTGGTCCAGAAATCGTGACGCTCTGTTCACTGTTGATGCAGCTAATGGCGAATGCTCCTCGTGGAATCGATGGCAAACTGGCCTCGAACTCTTTAATTTCTGTCCTCGTTGCTTCTTCGGACAGTCCAATAGCGGCCATTGAATGCCTGTCTGAAGGATCATTTTCCAGGAATGAACTGAGAACCCCTCGATAGAAGGAGACCTTGATAGCCGAAGCATGGCTGAGATGTCCGGCGCAATAGCTGGGATTGTTAATCTTGGAACAACGTTTTACGGGTCTAATAAAAGACCTACGCTGCAGCGATCTCGCCTGAGGAGTGGCCAGTGATCACCTTTGGGACAAGTTCGAGCCATTGGAAGAGATCGACCAGGGCAATTTGGACTGATGTTGTCAGAGCCTGACTAAACCGCGCTCGGTGTATGTCGTCCTTATGCCCTGGACATGTGAGAAGATCTTGCTGAATTAGTATTCGTCCCATTTCTTGGGGGAGGTTGTCAACGAACCTATGAGAGAAGACGTCCAGCCAAGACGTTGAAGGAGCTCTTGAGAATAATCTATACTTTTTCGAAAGGCTAAGCACATTAGGAGCTCCCTTCCCATGCCGTGCCACTGCGCACCTTGGCCAGTGAAAATGAAGCCAACCGTCGGAGTTGGGCTAAGGCCTCGAGTGGGCTTGGAGACACGCAGTGGCTCTTCCACGATCTCGTCCAAAGAGCTGAGGAGACAGAAAGACTTCCAGGAATGGGCGTCCCTGCAGTTAGCCATTGTGAATGAGTATTGATCAAGGAACAATGGGCCTTCGCTACTCTTAATGCGCCTCAGAAATTCGCCATGTGTTACGGCCTGCCGTGCTATGCCGTCTTCGTCCATTGCCGAGAGTATCAGCAGCCTGGGAACTGGTAGGTTGAAATTGAGCAATTGATTATGAACCTTGCGAAAGTCCATCTTCGTCTGTGCGATGAATGTATCCAGCATTTCACACGAGCTCTGTGACGATGGCCATGTTTGTATTCTTCCGGTGGGCGTGACGTGGCTGCTCCTGGCGATGCTCTTAGAGCGGAGATATGAGGACGAGTCATCTAGCACCACATGTGAGTTCGTCCCACCATAGCCAAAAGAGTTCACTGATGCTCTTCGGACACCGGCTTCCGAGTGCGGCCAAAGAACAGCCACCTCGGGAAACTGTGATATTTCAGCTCACTGACTGGTAGCCCGGATCTTGCACATACCTGTAAGTTGAAGAACTCATCATCAATCTCTGGGTTCAGACATTCGAAGTTTGTGTTGGGTGGGATTACTCCTTTTTCCAACGCGAGAACCGCTTTGATAACACTAGCGAGACCGCTAGCACCTTCTAGGTGTCCAAGATTAGACTTGACGGCGCCACTAGGATTGTTAGCCTTTTGCCTTAGAGGATTCCTCCAGATCAACCAACATGAATAGCGGGTCATTCTTGCTTCGAAATTTCCCAAAGCATTCGCCGATGGCCCTGGCCTCGATTGGGTCTCCAACGACAGTTCCTGTTCCTGGTTCGAGTCAGCGTCATATACGTGACGAGGAAATGACAGTGAACTGACCATGCGCCTCGAATAGCTTGGTAGCACTCATGTCAAGACCCGCTTTCTGATACGTATCTTGAATGAGCTTGGCTTGTGAATCCTTGCTCGGTTGCGTAATTCCGCTAGCAGTATGTCCATCTTGATTAGTGCCGGTCGACCGAATCAAGGCTCGAATCGGATTGCCATCCTCGAGTGCTTTGGAGAGAGGCTTTAGCACTAGACTAGCGAAGCCTTCTCCTCTAGCGTATCCGCTTGCCCTATGATCAAAGCTGTAGCACTTCCCGTCCGGGGAGAGAAAGTTCATGTTTGACAGCGTGATGTTCATTTCTGGTGACATGATTACGTTTGATGCTGCGCAGATAGCCTATGTCTAAGTAAGCCAAGTTCGTTGTGCCGTCAGCACAAAGAGAGCTTACGGTTGAGGACTGGCCCGACCAGATCTCTCGGCATGCCAGGTCTAATGCGACTAGTCCACTCGAGCACGCAGTGTCAAGGGTCAAGCTCGTGCCGCGTAGATCAAAGTACCAGCTTAGTCTGTTTGATAGCATTGTCTGTGAACAGCCTGTTGCGTTGTAGATAGGGATTCGCTGTTCATCTCGTAGTGCGAATGTTATGAAGTCGCTGCAGAAGCTTCCTACGTGCACTGATGTGTTAGTGCCGGCCAGGCCTTTCGATCGTATCCCCGCTGCCGACGAATTAGTAGCTGCAATAGTAACAAACTATATAAAACGGTACATACCACTCTCGATGGCATGATAAGTTGTCTCCAGCAAGCCCCGCTGTTGAGGATCCATGCTTGCTGCTTCCAATGGAGAAAATCCGAAGAATTGTGCATCGAAGTCTCGTATATCTTCCTCTAAGAAGTGGGCTCTTCTTGAGCGGATCTGATGTTCATATTCAGTATTTTGCGTACGCGGGTCGCTGTAAGGTGCCCATGTACTCACCGTGTTTAGCTTCTTGTGATCAGGATTGTAGAATGCATCGATGTTGACCCTGTCCTCGGGAAACTCCGTCGACGTGCATTCCCTGTTCATCAACTTTTCCCAAAGCACATCTTCACTGACCGCACCCTGAGGGAACTTGAATGAAAGCCCGACGATGGCAACGGGCTCCAGTAAGCCGTCGTCCAGGGTACTCTGATGATGTGTTATCCTGCATCCGGCCTTGTTTTGGGCGCCGTTCAAGTCTACGGCGTTGGTGCGTTCCGTCCTTGGAAACGACATTGTTGATACGCTGCTACCTAGGTAGTATGGATGGACAAGTTCGAGAGTGGAAAAGACGACTACGAAGAAAACAGTTTGGATACATTGCAACAAATATCGGAGTACCTAGGTACCCTAAATATTGTTGCCTGCTTTGCCTCAATACGCAGTGGTCACCTCTTCCTCCCCCTTGTTCACGTCCCTCATCTGCTAGATCCTACCAGTATAGGACTCCGCGGCTCCGGAATATAACGCCGGACCGAACCTTTCGTGTCGGCAGAGCTTGACTAGTGTGCACAGGTCCCATGTTAGACACCCACGGAGTGGGGTCACAAGTTTGTGTAGACAGAGCGCTCGCGCCGTTGCGGCTAAAGTTGGTTAGCTTCCTATTATTTGTCACAAGCTTATCTACCAGGGTGTGTTGGAGCTACGCCGTTTGCCTTATTACCTAGGTGCATGAGGCTCAGGGATACAAACCCCTGCATGTCTTGCTCCGGCGGCGCATGCATATGCACATGCAATGCATATTTGAGCAGGGATATAGAGTAGGTCTACTATACCTTGCATCTACCCCCGTCAGATCGCCGGTGGCAGTATGCACATTCGAGATGCAGGAAGATACATACTCACAGGCAACTCTGCGTCGCTCTGTATTCGATTTGGCCGCACCAACATCTTCTCTTCGCCTCCTCAAACACACCATCGCTATGGCCCTTCATACAGAGACCTGCACTCCTTCGTCGCTTGGCTCACCCCAGAAGACCCACGAGATCGTAGGAAATATGAGTGTCACTGATGAGCCAAAGAAAGCTTCCATCCGCGAAGGGAACGAGTATCCGGTCGGATGGCAGCTTCATGCTATTACAGCAGGGTAAGAGGGACTGTTTCCCGATCGAAAGCTTACACTAACAGCGTGAGACTTCTTCTAAGCATGTGGCTGGCTCAGATGGAGTCAACAATCACGAGTGCATCGGTCATCACCATAACGAACGACCTTGGTGGCTACATCAAAAACTCGTGGATTCTGACAGCATATTGGTTGACCTCTGGCGCCTTGCAGATCATCTGGGCGAAGTTATCCGATATCTATGGGCGAAAAGAAACCATTGTTGCCTCGTTGATCCTTTTCAGTGCTTTCTCAGGAGCATGTGGGGGGAGTCAGACTGTAACTCAATTGTATGTTAAGCCGTTGCGCTTGTAGATCGGTTAACTTTATACTGACGCGGGTTAGAATTATGTTCCGCTGGCTTCAAGGTGTCGGCGGATGCGGCATTATGGCCCTTGGTCAGCTAGTGTTCATCGAGCTTGTTCCACCGTCAAAATATCCACTGTATATCGGCATCGTTACGGCTGTGCTCTCCTCCTCGCTCGTCTGCGGCCCGCTTATTGGAGGAGGTATTACCATGCATGGCCATTGGAGATGGGTCTTTCTTGTCAAGTAAGTCCGCGGGTCCCACTTGACCTTCTCCCATCCGTGTTCTAATTAACCCGTCACTCAGCGTGCCAGTCGGAGTGGTCATTTTGGCCGCTTTTCTCTGGATATTCCCTCGTCGGCTGATCAAGGAACCCGCCAGCAAGCGAGAAAATGCTTCGATCAGCTCTCTCAAGAGAATCGACTTCGTCGGTGGTACATTACTGCTTGGAACCTGCCTTCTGCTTACAACGGGCCTTCAGCAGGCGAGTATTTATAGATTCGATTCCGCATTGGTACTCCCATTGCTAGTCTGCACCGCGCCATTCCTTCTCGCATTTCTTGCCTCCCAGTGGTTCATTACGACAAGGAGGGCCAGTGCGGAACCAGTGTTTCCGTGGAGATTTTGCACTGATCGAGTGCGAGCAGCACTTGTCATGTAAGATCCAACAACTCCAGTTATCGAAGCGTTGACTAAAGATGATACAGTATTACATTACTCAACGGAGGAGTCCTATCAATATGCGTTGTTCAGATTCCACAACGCTTCATGACTCTAAATGGGATGTCCGCCTTTTCCGCTGCCGCTCGCTTGCTCGCATTCGGGGCCTTTGTGCCTACTGGATCAAGCGTTGCTGTGACAGTAATGAGCAAGCTACGAATATCTCCAGCGATTATCATGGCTCTCGGTGCAACCCTGCAGATTTCCGGAGCCGCTCCGCTCTCTCGGGCTCCGACCGGATCACATGTAGAGCCGTGGCAATATGTTTGTCAAGTTCTTATAGGATTGGGGGTCGGTTTCATCATATCGGCTGTCATGATCTTGATCCCAAAGGCTGTGGAGGAAAAAGATCTTGGTGTGTACGGTTGTTTGTGTTTTATTTTCCTCGTCGCTAATTTGAAACAGCCGTCGCAATGGCCGCCCAGTCTCAATTTAGAATACTCGGGGGGCTGATAGCGGTTTCAATCAGTGCCACCATTACCACACGCTATCTACAGCCGCATATACGGAGCTTACTCCCAGACCAGCTGGCCAACCTGCTACTCCAGAGGACGGAGGCTATACAGCAGTTGTCCGGTAAGACCCTTGCCGAAGTGCGGGTAGTCTTTGGAGAAGCCTACAATCGAGAGATGTATCTCGCAGTCGGGCTTGCGGCTGCGTGTCTATCGGCTTCTGCTACTGCTTGGAGAGCCCAACAGGACAAGGATGCTACACCGAGTCCAACAGCTGAGGCTCAATCCGCAGACGATTTCATTACGAAAGCAGAAATATGAAACCAAAGATGGAAAAAGGATACTTGCTGTTTCAAACATCTTGCTCACGTAGCTTACTCTAGCTCCCGCAGGGTGAGGCGATGGTTAGTTGTTTTTTTCTGGTTATGAGCGGTGAATATACTACCTTCGCTATACATCGGGTTGAAAGTGCCTCAGAGTGAATGTGTGACTATGGGAGAGCACACTTCGAAGTATATATTCAATCCTAGGGTTCTCTTAAGCTATGATCCTATGAGTTGCCTGAGTCACGGCCCTTCTAGCTATTTTTACAGTGCCAACAATCGACCCTTCAACACTCGGGGATGGTAGCTCATGACCCCCATCAAAAATATACTGCCAAAAAGTCTTCTCCACAAAAATATCACACAGTGACGGAATTTGGGTAGCATAATCGTCTCTACTTCCCCAGACCATCGCTGTTGGGGTATCGATCAGGGTGCCGCGTGGAAGCTCCTCTAGGCGACGCATTTCGCCCGTTTCGAACCACCTAAACGGGTCCCCGACTGCAGTGGGCGAGAACAAAACGGCGCATCGAAAAGGCGGCTCGGCATCTGCCTTCTTCACTTTCTTGTTGGCCATGTACATGATGGCCAGTCCGGCTCCTTGAGAGAACGCGAATACACCGTCGAACGGGCCTTCCGCTGCCAGGAATGCGTCCAGCATGCCAAAAGCCGTCAGATAACTGGGCGCATGTTCGGGATCAAAATACGCGTAGTGCGCGTCGTCGGTGCTCGAGATAGCCGATAATTCTGGACATATGAACTCCGAACTATCAAAGTGAATGTCGTATAACTTCACCTGGAGCCATAGGCCACGGGACAGTTCCTTGAACAAACTCGAAGGTGTGTTCATCTCCAAGTTGGTACCTGAGCGCCGCTGTTTGCATTTTGAAGAGCTGCCGCTATGTTAGCCTGCGAAACGACACAGAGAGATCGTCTTACTCGGCTGCTCGTACCAATGCCGTGCAAGCAGAGAAATCGCATAACTCTCGTCTCAATCAGACCTGCTGTCTGTTTCCGTGCGCGAAAATCAGAATTTCGGGTTAGCTAAAGCGGCCTCTCAGACCGGCCTGATGCCTGCAGGTTGGTGGTGGAGGGTGAAATCGGCCCCCTCGAGATAAACGTCGTTCGGTGTTCCAAGGAATATGCATACTGCATAGCGGTTTACACTTTTCCCTCGCAGCGAGAGGCTTATCAGAGTTGCCGCATCCGATGCGCTATCTTGAGGCGCAGCATATGCATTGCATAATATTGATACGCTGGCCCAAGACTGGAACCTGGTGGAACCCAACCAGCTAGGATACTATCCACACGCATTATCGGCGAACAAACGAGCGGGACGCCCAGAGCTGTGCCACCCCAGATTAAATTGCGAGCCACACCACAACAATCAACTCACGTTCTTTCACACCACCGACTGCCTACTTCCGCATGACTGCCTGCCCGGCTCACGTCTGCTAAGGGAGGTTAGTCAGAAGAGTTCAAAGATCTCTTATTCTGGGCAGCCCGGCGATTCTGAACCCTCGCATCCACATCTTCGCCGCCCACATTGCCTCCGCCAGTCATCATGTCGTTTTCAGAACATTTGTCAAGAGCGAACCGCCAGATCAAATACATCCTCATATCGAACACATTCCGGGTTTCAACATGGCTTGCTCTCGGCAGTATCTTGCAGCTATTGAGCTTACTCTCTCTGCCTCGCAAGTTGAGCATCCTCGCTCCAATACTGCTCGTCTTCCACCGCATCGCCAAGGCGATAAGCAATTCACGTCACATTTACACGTCCGTCTTCTCGGATGTGAGGCGCGGACGCTGGACAACCTGGCTTCCCCCATCAAAGTCTGACGAGGATGAGTCTGGGGTGGTCATGTTCGTGCTAGGAGCGCGCGTGAATCAGTTAGTCTCTCCGCGAGCGCGGCTTAGAGGAGAACGCACATTTCCAACACTGTTGACTTCTGTACAGCCCACAAGGCCGGAGGGCGGCAAACGCACTAGAGCTTGGTAAACTCTACAACGCTATGTGGGAGGAAGCGGAAGCCAATCGCTTCCGATGGGGCTGTAAGTTCAACTGTATCTTATTGAAGTCTATTGCCGCAGCTTGACCCCGCTAACCCCGACATTGCGTTGACAGACCTTGGAAGAACCCAGATGCTGACAAGCTGTGGGGACGAAGAGGGCTTCACCTTTGTTTGGTTGACTTATTGGCGAGATATCAAGGGGCTCCACGAGTTCGCAAAATGCACTGCACATCGTGCAGGGCAAAAAGCGTATGTCGATGACAAGAAGTTTCCGTACATGGGAATTATGCACGAACTTTACTTCGCTCGTAAGGGCTCCACGGAGACCTTGTACCACAACTTCCCTCCATTTGGAATGGGTAAGTCCGCCGCCAATTTCTCGAGAGCATTCGGGATCCACAGACTCATTATTTGACGCATAGGGCAAACAAAACTCATTGTTGATGAGGGTGCCGGGCCGATTTTGAAGGATCCCCTAGTCCCGGACCAACAGGGTGGGAGTACCATGTATGAGCGGATGCGTGGGACGTCGTGAGTTCAAGCTTGGGGGTCGGAGAAACAAGTATGGATAAGTGAAGCGAGCCATGCTGTACAAATTTCACCCTAGGAGGGACATATTATTGAAACATTGTTCATGAGTTTCCCGGCTCTAAACGTTCGCCATCAAACCAATCGGAGTTCAAGTGATGTTTGCAAATCCGGGGGGCCAGGGCCATTGGTGATCTGGTAGAGTATGGGTATTTTCCACTGTGTTGGGATCGTGCAGCACAGTGGCACGGTGCGTAGAGGCATATGTCCGGATAAATAACTTGCTGTGAGTACTCCACAGCTCTGGGACTGCACATCTTTCGGACTCCGAGAGCTAATCTATTCGTTTCTTGTGCGATGCAGCTTTCACAGCCTATTGCAGCACCAACTTCGGCGCCTATGGCATCTGACCCAGCTATACGCCCTTGAGAGGAACACCTCGTTTCTACATCCCGATTTGTGAGCTTCAACTCATCCCGTCTCTCTGATCTGTCTTGAGGTCAGGCGAGAATGTCACCTGAAGATCGCGAGGCCTTCCTCAGCTCTCCAGCCTCAACCCCTCCATTAGGAGTCAAGGCAAATTTCGAAAATGCTGAGAATGCTTTCCACTTTGCTTTTCCACTTTTCGTCGGGGTCTTCGTCCTATCCAACTTGGTGTTTGGAATGAAGATGTATGTCCAGCTACGGATCGTTCGGAGAATGCACCTCGAAGACTATCTACTTGGCCTTGGCTGGGTGAGTCGCCATTCCACAAAAGTATAATCGTATCAAAAGTGACCGGTTTTATAGCTGGCGTACGCTGGAGCTTTCGGCCCGATTGGTATCATGATATGCTATCTCCCAGTTGGAGTGCACCAGTGGGATATTACAATGAGGCGCCTCATCAGACACATGTTTGTGAGTATTGCAGCTGCGCGAGTGTCAAGCTACTAATAACCTCAAGCTCTACTATGTGTCCATAATCGTATGGGCCGTGGTTGCAATCTGCGTCAAAGTTAACATTCTGTTGCAATACATACGCATCTTCATCCCTAGTGGCGTCCGAAACGCAACATTCTGGGCATCGGTCACGCTGATTTGCATAAACTGCACCTTCGAAGCGCTGCGACTGTTCCTATCGATCTTTAATTGCAATCCGCGAAACAAATTCTGGGACCAGTCCATCAAAACGGGCCACTGTTTAGACTGGGTGGTCATCAATACCACCGGGAATGCGATCACGCTTGTTACCGACCTTATGATCTGGCTTCTCCCTCTACGGGTGATTTTCGGCCTTCAGATGAAGTTCGCCAAAAAGATTGGACTATCGGCCCTTTTCACCCTCGGTGTTTTTGCTCTCGCGTCGTCCGGGTTACGACTGCACTACTTCATCAAATTGTTGCGCAATCGCGCAGATACCACATTCTGGATGGCCAAAGTATGCTTTTTCGCTACCACACAGTTAACGGCTGGATTCCTTGTGGCCGCCCTTACCTCCTTCCCCATATTTGTCAATCACACCAGGAAACAGCCCTGGGCCATTCGTCTGGGCTCGTCCGTGAAGACTTTGCTGCATGTTAGCAGGTCGGGTAGCCAACGCAATAGTGCTTCAGCAAACACCACCATTGGCGGTAACAAGCACAAGCACAAAGCAAAGAGCAACGTAGTCACTGATGTTGAGTTTGAGGAGCTGGTCAATAACACGTTGGATAGTGTGAGCATGGCAAGTGTATCTCCGCCAGAAGTGGCTTATGGGAGACGAACAGATTGATGCGGTGTGGGACTTTGCATCGTGGAATTTCAAAGCACATGTAACTGTTCGGAGGAGAATTATGTACTGAATTGAACAACTTCGATGAATAAACATGATTTATGTTTATCTTTCTGCGGAAAATGAGCTCGCTTCAAAGATCTGTGGGAACCCCAAGAAACAAAAGCGTATCCGCTGAACGAACGTTTGTAGACTCTGATTGGCTCTTCCTGCCCGGGTAATCTCATACGGGGTAAAGGCCTTATTAGGCATAGCGTAACCGCGTTCATGGTTACGCCCAGAACTGTGCCTCTACACTCGAGTTGGTCATCCGACACATCGACCTTAGACTACCACCTGTTCGATGCGCCCTCACGAACTCGGGAAGCTCATTCAGCTGACACCGTGATGGCGACGACAACACCGACACCATCACCGAAATTCGTACCTCTCGGTGGATCCATCTCGCTCTACACCCCGTCACAGCCTACGAAAGGACGACTTGTGATACTAGCGACATGGCTAGGCGCCGCCGAGAAACACATTGCGAAATACACGACCGCATACACCCGGTTTATCCCAGACTCCAGAGTTTTGCTCATTCAAGGCACAATGGGCAACCTATTCCAACACTACTCCGTGCAGCGAAGAGCCATCCATCCCGCTGTACAAGCCATTCGAGCCGTCCTCGACGAAAGTAGCTGTGAGGAAGACGGCAGCCATACAGAAATCCGTCCGCACATCCTCCTTCACGTATTCTCCAACGCAGGCGCAAACTCGGTGGCCAATCTCCTACACGTGTTCCATCAAGAATTGGGCGCTCCGTTACCGCTGGTAGGCGTGATATGCGATAGTTCCTTGGCAAAAGGTGGCTACAAACAGAACTACAACGGCTTTATGCGCGCTCTCCCCGATGGGCTTCTATTCAAGATACTTGGGCCACCATTCATCAACCTCGCTATAGCCATTCTGAATACGTCGATTGCTCTCGGTCGGTACGAGCGCCCGGAGGACTATTGGCGGAATAGCATGATCAATGAGGATCTTATCAAGGTCGGAGACCCGCAAGAGGAGGGAAGCAAGAGGATCTGCTATTTTACATCCAAGGCAGATAGAACAACGCCTTGGCAAGATGTGGTTAGCCATGCTGAGATGGCTTGCAAGAACAAGTGGTCGGTTATGCTATTTGTATACGAAGACACGCCTCATTGCAACCACATGGCGGAGCATGGAAACGAATATGAAGAAGCGGTCAGGGCTATGTGGACGAAGTCCAAACTCTAAGGAGTGAACGGACTATCTGCCTGAACTTCGGCATCTCCTTCGAAATATCCCAAGAATCGAGAAAGGACGATACACATGTCGTTTCTGGTCGCGGAGTTGGATTACGTGGCAATGGCAGCACGTTCACTTCTAAGCCTGTTGAATTGGATCCTTTTTCCGAAGGCTATAGCTACTACATTGAAGGCTAAAGTAATTACCACCAAGTTACTCCTGATACATGGAAGGCTTGCACGAATCCAATCAACAGTATCCGTCACATGATGGTGGTTTAACTCCTTGCTGTCGCACGCTCCTGCAAATGGCCAACACGCGTAATACAATACATGAAACCTCCTATAGCTGTGCCGTCACACTACACAAGGGCGCTTAATGGGCCTTCATCACTGATCACAGCCCTTCATAGCGGTCCCCGGTCAGGCTCGAGAGCCTAAGTTCAGAAACCTTGGACTGTCCCAAGTCCTCCCAAAAAGGAGGAATGAAGATTTCACAACCCGGCCCAACCGACTCGTGAGTCCAGTCTGCATACTGCGGCACAGCGCAACGGCCTCTAGCCCCTCACTTCCCCTCACCGGTTATAGTAAACAAGTCAAATTCTACGACGCGCGATTATCACGCAACCGCCTAGCAATAATGTCGCATCGGACTTCGAATTTTGCAATTCAAGTTTATATTGCGGCGTAGTTCCCATGCTGGATCAACATCTCGGGAGGGCACTAACGGCCGTAACAAGCTTCTGTCCTATTGCCGGTTAAAGCTATCTAGGCAACTTATGCATGACGCAACTCAGCATGTAGGCGCGGAACAAACGCATGACCCAGACTTTTAGTTTCGGGACCCGAATGTATATTGCGGCACAGTCGTCCCACGGTGCCGGTGTCTCGGGATGAACCGTGATACGACGGTTGATCTGCAGCGCCATGCATTTCGGGCGGTTCCCGTATCCTCCCGCTCAGCCTTCCCCCACGCCTACTGCATCTTCCCGGTTAATCTACGCTGTGGACGCTTCGCTAGGCTTGGGATCCAGCTGCATGCTCGAAATTAAACAACAAGGATGGCCGTTACTTGGGCCTGTTGTTCGCATCGGAAGCCTTGGAGGGCATCGACGCAGGGGACAGCAGAATATAACCCGAATTCAGCGACTCGCAGTCTACCGGCACGACGGTAGGGATACCTCTAATCTAGGAATGAGCAACCGTAGTGCCTGAGCCTTCCCCGCCACCTCTTGGATGCGCAGCCTTGTTTCTACCTCATTCTAATTCAGGCTATCGTTGGGTACGTCCATAACGTCCTTCTCTCAACAAGACTATCACAACCATAGTAACGTTCGACGATATCGTTCAAAATGATAGTCTCCAAACTCAGCGACAGATTTACGTTCCCTCCCAACTTCCTCAGTTCAATGCCATTAGGCGCCACCTGCATCGTCCTCTTGATTGGCATTTTTCTTCTCGTATTCCGACTATGGGCTTTCACCATCAAACCGTGGCTGAATCCCCAACAGCCTCGCGAGCTTCCGTACTGGATACCATATGTGGGACATACAGTGAGGTACATCCGAAGCGGACATGATGTTCTTTTACGCGCACGGTGCTTCACCCATTCCTGCTGCACAAGCGTCTCCTTGCTAAAACCGTCTGTTCCAGGGCCCATCTCAAGAACAAACGAGAGCCATTTGCCATCACGCTCATAACCAGAAAGATGTATTTTATCGTCGATCCGGCGGACGCAGCTGAAGTGTACAAAAACGCCGCCTCCTTCGCCTTTGACAGAGTCGTGCAACAGCTCCAACGCACATTCGGCATTTCGGAAGGGACGATGATGGCCACGTGGGGCTCCTCTAAAGAGAACGATAGCAAAAGTGGCTCAAGCAAAGCGCGAGACAAGAATCTAGGAGAACTGAGTATGGAGTTTTGGAGGACGCAACTGGTACGTCAGGAAGGATACAGCGACATCGAGAGCAAACTGTTCCAGCACGTCAGCGCCATACTAGACCAGCAAGTCTCCCGTGCCGAAGCTACTGGTGGAGAAATAAGTCTGTCGAAGTTGACTACCGAGGTCATAATAGGGGCAGCCCTACGCGCGTTTTTTGGGGAGTCGTTGCTCGAGATGCAGCCTGACTTAGTAGAGACCTACGTTGCATTCGACAAGGAGAGTTGGAAGCTATGGTTCAGGTGGCCATTTTCCAAGTCAATGTACGCGAAGAAGGCGGCAGTGGAGGATTCGTTGAGGAAGTGGATTACGCTTCCGCAAGAGCGGAGGCTAGGGAGGAGTTATATTGTCAAGATGGTCGAGCAGACGCAGCGGGCGCTGGGAACGCCGGACCCTGACCTCGCGAAGATTATGAATCTCCTGGTATATGTGTACGTCCTGCTTTCCCCTGATTACCCGGTAACTGGGTCGACCAGACCTTTATTTCGTCCGATGCCGGACGCTAATTTGCCCCCAGAGTCAACGCGAACACGCACAAACCCTGTTATTGGGCCCTCGTCCATCTGCTTAACACGCCATCACTTCTTTCCACCATCCAAGATGAGACCGCGCCAGCGTTCTTAGAAGATGGAACGCCGAACTTGTCGTATTTACGAGAGTCGACACCCTGGACTTCAGGTCTCTTTCACGAAGCCCTACGATACTACAGCGCGAGCGCTTCCATCCGCGTCGCCACCTGCCCTACCTTCGTCTCTGGCAAGCTCATCCCCGCAAACTCGGTCGTCTTCTTACCATTTCGACCGCAGCATTACGATGCCTGCATTTTTGGTAACGACGTCGACTCCTTCGCCCCGGGGCGGTTTGTCAAGGACAAGAGGTTGTCTAATAGCCCCAAGTTTCGTGCCTTCAGTGGCGGGAGCTCTTATTGTCCGGGTCGAGTGGTGGCTAGGCAGGAGTGCGCCATTTTCATTGCATTGCTGTTGCGGAAGTACAAGGTTGAGGTGGTCAATCCCGGGATTCCAGAGCGGGACTTTAGGACACCCACAAAAGGGTTCGTGTCGCCAAAGGCAGGAGAAGATGTGATTCTAAGGCTAGGTAAGAAGACATCTTCGACTTAACAACTAGAGTAACCGCCGATTATATAAATGCTCTCTCACCGGCACATAACACAAGCACGTCTTTTCCCTCCCCGTTTTTTTCTTCCGCCGAAATAGAATCCGGCTGAAGACCGGATACGAAGGTGAACTTGAAGGCTGCACCTGTTCCCAGTGGCTATCCACTCCCCTGAATGTCCGGACTATTCCCAAGTCATCACCGAGGAGAGGCAATGCTTGAGAGTAAGAACAACGGAAACGAGTACTTATATTTTTCTGTGTGTAAGAATGCCAAGGGTATCAAGCGGCGCAGGCTTTTCGCTGTGTCCAACTATCCAACTATCACCTTCCAATAGCAGCCTCGCTCGCCTTCAGACTCCCCACGACAGCAAAACATATCATCGGCGTAATCGAATACAAAATCTGTCCACCTCATTAGTCACAATCCCCCATTGCATCCAGACTACCACTCACCGTCAACAACTTCGCAATCGCCATCTTCTCCGTCTCCGGGCCGCCAGTCACGTCCGTCAGCGCGACCAGAATCATCGCGGGCGGCCCCGTCGGCATCAGCATCATCGCAAACCAGAGCATCGGATCCTGGTCCAGCAGCCCCGTCTTCGTTGCCAGCGCCCAAATCAGCGGGATGCTGATCAGCGGCCACACGATAAAGCGGACGAACGTAATAACGGCGAGGCTAGTTTTGGACACGCCGCCGCTGTCTTCGCCGCGCTTCATGCGGAGCATGGATTGGGAGAGCTTTACGCCCACGACGATGATCTGCAGCGTGGCGAAGAGATCGCCTACATTCTTGATGGCGGATGTGAGCCAGGCGTTGAGGTAGCCGCCGTCGTTGCTATCGGCGAAGAAGAGTTTGTGGAGCGGTGGGGTGAGGCCGATGATGGCGCCCACGACGGCGCCGATGAGGGGCGCGTTGGCGAACGAGTAGAGGAAGTCGAGGGAATCCTGGGCCCACGGCGGGAGGCTGTTCAGCCACCGCATGCCTCTCCTATAGCCCGAACGCATGTTGCCATTCGTGGAGTGGATGACTTGCTGCGGCAGAAGCGACGTCTCCTCATCGACGATGCCGTCCGGTCCGCGCTCCATCTCCCCGTTCTCCCCTCCATCATCATGCTCTTCTTCGCCAGCTTTGTCCTTATCATCCTCACTTGGCGCGTCCTCGTCACTCGGCCGGAGCAGCCTAGGTCCCAGCGCAAACGTCAGCGAATTGCTGACCATGGCATTGACCAGGAAGTACGACTCGGCCCGATCGAGCGCATCCGACGCACTATCCCCCTCCAGTATGATCGCATTCAGCACTCCCGTCGTGCTGAGCGATTGTATAAGCAGGAGCGGCAGACTCGTCGTGTTGTTGAAGGCGAGGGCGAGCTTGACCCAGTGCGGCAGCTTGAGGAGGCGCGTGGCGAGGGCGCCGATGCCCAGCGAGAGCAGAGTGTAGCTTATCGACCAGACTTGACGCCATTGGTTAGCTATGCTTCGTTCGCGCGGCTGTCGATGGAGCACTCACTCAGAACGGGGACATAGCGGACGCCTGTGTCCTTGTGCAGATTGGAGCCGATCTTGTAGATGAGCAGTGCAGGCAGGAACAAGCGTACGCACGTCCTGGACACCTCCTTCGCTGCACTGGTCGAGAGGAGGTTGAATTGCGCCGTCAGGACGCCGAAGAAGATGGTGAGCAGCACCGACATGGAGGCCTGGAGGGCCCCCAGGAAGGGCACCAAGAGCTCGGACGTGCTCATGCCCATGGCGGGCGAAAGAAGGGGAGGAAAGGGAAAGGTGCGAAGCGATGCGGAAGCGCACCGTAAGCGCACCCGCACCTCTTATAGCGCAGACGGGACGAGTTGATGTCGTGTGTGCAAATCGCCTCGCAGGGGCCTATCGCGATCGCGCCGACGTCATTCCGCGGGAACAGATCGTGGGTGGGGCACGGGCCCCGCTCCAGGAACGCGGGCTTGTCGCGTGCGCGCTTAGCGTGAGCACATCCACCGCGTCATCCAAGAGAATCCAAGACAGGTCCATTCCGGGTATCTATTTTACCTTACCAAACCAGCTTCTACCTGCCTGCGCCGACTTCCAAAGGCTTTACAAAATCCCGCCAGATATCCAAGAACTCCTTGCGATCCGCCTTGCTCTGGAACTTGATCTCCAGTTCAGAGTAGCCGAAGCGATTTAGATTGCCCGCGATGCTGGGCCTTCCGCTGCCGAAGATGGAACTCCTCGACCTGATACTCAGCGCGGATGTCGATGTGGAGGACGACATGGTGCCTGAGCGCTGGGGGCGGGTCGTATCGGTGGAGCCCCCTTGGACGGGGGTAACCGCGGTTCCAGCGTCGCTATGGTCCGACGACTTGGACGACTTGCGCCGCTGGAACACTTTGTCGCGCGTAAACTTCCCAGGCTCTTTGGAGAACACGAGCGTGAGCCTATCCGAGCTCTTCTTGTACACCGCGTCATCAAGCCACTGGAATGCGTAGTGCGGTTCCTCGACCCAATGCGCCTTCTCTTCCGGAAGCGCGCTGGTGTAGAACAGAATCACCAGTACGTCCGTCCTTTCGATGCCGTTCAATCCTAGCTGGACTTCACTCCGTTTCCATAACCTCAGATTCTTTCCCCGGCACTCCGGCTTGTGCAAGTTCGACGAGATGGTCAGCACCGGTCGGTCATATAGCAATTCCGCTGCGTCTTTGTCGTTGTTGGTGTACAGCAGCGTCTGGAACTTCGTACTCGACTCTGCGTCTGCGAACGTGTACTTGATATCCGTGCACCTCTTTTCTAGCCTCCCATACGACCGTCGCGGAAACTCGATCGAGACGTCGCCATCCGCATATGAGATCGTCAACGGTATACTGGGACCCGTCGCAGGAAAGTGCTGCATAATCCAGGGTTTGACTTCTCCGCTGCTTGACGAGCGATACAGTGATCGAATGGTTATGCCGGCGTCCTCCCGGTAACGCCAGGCCAGGGTGCACTTCCTAGTCTCCACGCCCTGGATTGTGGTTCGCTCAACCTGCACTTTCGTGCAGAGGTTGTTCCATTGCAATGCTCCCGCGCCGAGAGCGATGCTTACAAGCGAGCCGGCCGAGAGTCTGTGGCGGAGCGGTTGGGTTGTCTCTGACGGGGTGGTCTCGGCTGTGCTGATTCCCAGTCCACCCGGTAACGACCCCGCCCCGGGCGATGTGCTTTCGCTCGAGCGTGTCGTTGACACGGATGGTGTGCGTGATGGGCCTTGGGAGGACGACGTCGTTGGCGAACCGCTTTCCCAATCCACTGGGTCAAAGTACGAGTGGGCGATCATGGGGCTTCCTGTCGGCGAGAGAGCCATCGGGGAGGTGGTCGTGGTAGGGGAGGGAGTGGTTGGCAGGGGTCGAATGGTGGCGACAGAGTCACTCATTGACAGAGCGCGGTTATCGAAACGAGAGAAATTACCAGAAAAGTCGCTGTCGACGGTATACGTTCGATGGGGAATTGGTGCGAGATTGCTCACTTCCCGCCGCACCGCGTCGCTCGGCGACAGATTAGTCCTCTTCTCCCTCTTCGCGCGGTTCTCTTCAATCTTGATAGCATCTTCCAGCTCGCGCCTTAGATGATACAGCACAGCCGCTGTCTGTTCATCCCCGTTTTGGGCCCCCGCCGGTGTACCACCAAGGGACAGTGGCCGCACCAGGTTGCCAGCTTGTGAGGCGAGCCGCTCATCCTCGCTCTTGAGCCAGCGACTGAATGCTTGCCATTCAGTGTACAGGTCTTCGGCTTCGGACGGCGGAGGCAACGCGTTGGGCGCTGTGCGCGACGAGCTTCCTAGGGCATTCGTTGTGTAGTATTGACCTCCGAAACTCATGGCTCGGAAGGGAGCCAGATCCAGCAACCGTTGGGTTTGCTTCGTGGCTTCGAGGTGTAGGCGCCTGCACATGTTCAGCACCGAACATTTGGGGGAGCTGATATGTACCCACAGCTGTAGGAAGTTGATGCACATCTGGAGCGCCTGGTAGTTACCGCTGATCTGCTGCCTCAGACCCTCGATCTCCTTTTCTTTCCCAATATATCTGACCGTGTAGTAGATCTTCTTCACACTCATTCTTCTGTCGACCAGATGTGTGGAGTAGGGTTCGAGGGTCTCTTGGCATCGTTCTAATGTCTCCTTGAAGTCTAGGAACGGAAAGGGCAATGGCTTTCCATACTCATTCAAGAGCTCACTGAGCTGCTCGAGACACTGGTGGAAGTTGGAGAACTCGCGGATGAGGAACTTGACCTGGGTCTCGGAGTTGTCATTCGCATCTAGGCTATGTCAGTCGTCCTGCGGGTAGAGATACTCACTTCCCAGAACCTACCTTTGAAGGCAACATAGATGCGCGCCGATAATTGGACGAGGTTAATCACATCAGTGGGACTGAAGCCGAACGACATTCTAGTGGGCACTGCAGGCCGCGCGCAAGCGCAGCTCTACACTTGGGAAGCCTGCTCTCATGCACCGAGGGGGTTGACAGCAACGGAGAAGGCTGTCGCATGAGCATGCTCCGGAGCTGGCAGTTGGAGGTTGTAGTAGCTGCTGCCCTGGGAGCCCCACTGCCATGGCCATGCCTCCCTGGCGCTAGGCTTGGGGTCAGACGATTGGGAGTGGCTCAGCCATATTGGCTGTCGCCTGCTTGCTGCTGCAGGCAGTGCAGGCACAATATTGATGCGTTTAAGCCCTCGGTCAGTTGTGTGGTTATGAGCCCACGAGCGGGCGCGGTTCTCGTGTTGATGCGTGTGGCTTTCAGGCGGACCGCTGGACCAATCAGCGAGGCGCAACGGCGATCAATGAGAGTGCAGAACGAGGCACGTGGGGGCCCATGTCGTCGACACCTCTCCCTCCCCAAACCTCAAATTTAAGGTCGCCCTCTCCCGACCAGGATCTGAGAGAAGGGCCTCCGAGTGTGGCAGCCAGTCGCGTATCTGTAATGGTCCGCTCGCATTTGGTGCGACTCTTCGGAAGACGCTCGAGAGTCACGACGCTGCAAAGGCCAACCCTGCGAATTGTCCCAAGAAAGTCCTCAGAAGCCATGAGGGCTTATCGCGACGGCCAAGGCATGCAAAGTGAGGCTTCGGCGTGGTGGGCGCTGCAGGCACTGCGCGCTCTTGCAGAGGCGCGGCTCGTGTTCTGGAAAATGCCGCCAGCGCCCAGATGCAATCCGAATTTTATACCATGCGCGGCGCCATTCCATATTGCTCACCGGTCTGCTCGATTGAGCCTCGGCGGTGCAGGCACTTCTGACCCGCCCTGCCTCAACGAGGGTTGTGGAGGCTGAGAAGTTCTCGCGCCGTCAAGTCGCATCATATGAAGGATGAAGCCCCTTGAAGAGGCCATGCAGCGCAGGCGCAACTCATCATCGATCGTCACGACTCCAGATTCCTTTGCGCTATTCTGCGTAGACTTCGTCTAGTCAAACTTGTCATCACGTGTTTTCGCGTTCGCGATCGAAGAGAGACCGTTCGGAATGGGGCTTCGGAAATGGGTCAGCCGTCCCATCCGAGGGCATCACCTCGGAGTGGAGGATCTGACACGCGGCGATGAAGGTGTTCCCGTACGCGCATATTTCCCTTCTGCACCCCTTCGGGCTTGCACATCCGTTCCGCAACGGAACGTTTAGATGAGCTGACGTTCGCAGGCCTCCAAACGCCGCAAATGGGCTCTTCAAACGATAGACTCGTCGCCATTCCAAATCTGGGTCGTCGTTGTAGCTGGCATCGGTTTCCTGACTGACGCCTTCGCTCTGTTCTCTCTTAGTGAGTGACGTCTAATCCGTAGAGTAGACTCGATCCTTTGGTGGAGCTGGCCTTGGACTCCGCTGGGGAAATGGCTTGGCTCAGCCAGAAAAAGTCTCTCTCTCCATCGCACGTTGGACACTAGCTGACAATGAACTCTGTAGACGTCATAACACCCATGATCGGCTACGTCTACTGGCCCGAAAACAAAGATTCCGACGGCGTTCCTCAGCTCCCATCGTCCGTGAAAACCGCCATGATGTGTTCGACCCTCGCCGGAACGATGATCGGGCAGATCGCCTTTGGATTCGCCGCCGACAGACTTGGGCGTAGAAAGATGTACGGACTTGAACTGGTGATCGTAATTGTCGGCACAATGCTCATGCTCATGAGTTCTAACGGTGAGAAGAACAGCATGACGGTCGGAGGATGGCTGATTGCTTGGAGGACCCTCACTGGGCTGGGAATCGGAGCAGACTATCCATTAAGTGCTTGCATTGCTGCTGAATTTGCGCCGCGCAAATATAGAGCGAGGATGATCAGTTGGGTCTTCTTCGCGCAACCGATCGGCCAGCTGCTGGCGAATGTGCTTTCCCTTGCGGCAGTGGAAGGCTTCAAGTCCCAGATCACTCAGACAGGGCTCTCCTGCCCGGCTGGCGAGGAAGGTGAGCAGTGCTTTCGGGCGATTGATCGGCTGTGGAGATTGGTTGTCGGTATTGGCATCGTGCCGGCGGTCATCGCTCTGGCTTTCCGTTTCACCATCCCCGAGTCGCCGCGGTACAAGCTCGACATCCTTCGCAACGTCCACTCAGTCTTCGAAGACACGAATAATTACTTCGGTGCACCAGAGGCTGATGCTGAAGGAGGGGAGCTGGACATTCTACCCACCACGTCAGACCTTCCCGCGCCTCTCTCTCGGCGCACCTCGAACTCTTCGGAAATTGCGCCAGACGCGGACGTCCAGAGCGACAGCGGATCTGAAGGTCGGCCCAGCTCGGTCCAGCAAAGGCCGGCATCTCGAGCCTTCCAGCTCCCACCCGGGGACCCTAGCTTCGTGCCACCTCTTGCTTCATGGTCCGATGCCAAGACTTTCTTCATCCATGAAGGCAACTGGCAATACCTGCTCGGCACCTCGCTCTCATGGCTATTCCTTGACTTCGCCTTCTACGGATTGGGGCTTTCGTCGCCCGAAATCGTGCGGCATATCTGGGAGAACCCCAAGGATCCACGCTCTTCCGTGTTCGCCTCGCTGCGCAACAACAGCGTGCATACGCTGGTCATGGTATCCATAGGGGCGACCATCGGCGGCGCCGCGATGATCAAGGTTGTCAAGTACGTGAGCCCGAAGGTGATCCAGCTCTGGGGGTTCCTGGTGCTGTTCGTGTTGTTCATTGTGACGGGGAGTGCGTGGACGAAGCTGCTGGATACGAGCCGATCGGGACTGATCGTGCTGTACGTCCTTGCCCAAATCGCGTTCAATCTCGGCCCGAACGTGACGACATTCATCGTAAGCTCCTTCCCAGTGCACACCCCCGCGGAAGACGCTAACCAGGGCAGATACCCGCCGAGATATTCCCCACCCGGTACAGGTGCACCTCGCACGGCATCGCGGCCGCAGCCGGAAAACTTGGCTCCTGGCTTGTCCAGATCTTCCTTGCGTACGCCTTCAAGGCCAACAGCCAGCAGCAGCAGTTCGACTGGGAGCGCGAAAACTTCGGTCACGTGTTGCAGGTGATGAGCGCCTTCATGGTTGCCGGAGCCGTGACGACGTACTTTCTTGTGCCCGAGACGAGGGACCACGATAACAAGAGCAGGACGCTAGAGGTGCTGGCCGGCGGTAAGAAAGTGCTAGACGGGTTGAATCAGCAGAGGCGCCAGGAAGAGGACTAGATGTGGTACGACTAGATTATTCTAGCCCCGGCGGCACCTAAATCAGACTAACTCTGGTTCAATTACACTCTTACTAGTGTCTTACTAGCGCAGCTCTAAAACTCCTATAAACTTTTAAGCTAATTATAATATATGGCTTTAGCTTCCCGGTCAATCTAACGAGGATATCGTCTCTAGTTGACTAGCAACCATTTTGCACTAGGATTTGTGTCAAGTGGGAATTAAGACAATCTTTGATTACAATACTTCAAACAACAAATACTTGGATCGGACCCGAATCATGAAGCACTTGTTGGCGGAAGTCGCCATAGGACACCTGGCAGGAGGACTGGAGTATTGTTTACTATTGTCACGTGAATGATCACGTGACGCTATAATACTAGTGTATATAGCCAGAGCTTTCAGCTCCCTTACAATCCACAATGTTACACTCCACTTCGTTACTTCAACAGCACTTTCCCATCCATCAAACCTAGACAGACTTTGCCGCCTTCTCCAGTCCTTTCTTAACATCATCCTTCGTGCCACCTTTCTTCACAAATGCGCTGGCCATTACGGAATGGGCACCGCCGTTTTGTTCCCTCCACTGTCTGATGGAAGATGGTACACCGTCTGCTTTGGAGACCTCCTTCATAGTCTTTGGTGGTCCAAGCGCATTAGTCAGCATCCCCCTCAATCTGCCGAAGCGACTGAACTCTTCTTGCGCTACCTTCCAAGCTTCCTCCTGTGCGCGATTGCGCTATGGCGGTTTTTCGAAATCTGAATCGCCATCTAGTTGTTGGTTCCTCCTGTCGTCCTTTTCCACGAACGCTCTCACCCATAAAAGCCCGGAGTTTCTTCGCAGAATCGCCTCGTTCTCAGCCTGGCCACTCAACGGAGCAACTTTCCGAACTATTCGAGTATACGTCAGGGCAATGGATGTTTGTTGACCCCTTCATTTTAAGCTCACTCTCATTACTGACTATGGACTGGAGTTGGAATGATGCTGTGAAGCATTCTGAAAGAAGACGTGTTTTCAATGTATCGGAACTCAAGCGCTTCGCGGCCGCAGCCGTCAATCGGGACGTAGAAGATGTGGCCCGATTCGAAAAGTTTGCTGAAGGGGGCTTCAACCGAACTTTCCTAGTTACCATGCAAGATGGCTTTCAGTTCGTCGGACGCGTCCCTTATCCAATAACCGAGCCGAAGCACCTAGTCGTGGCTAGCGAAGTCGCAACGATGGATTTTCTCCGCTTGCACGGCATACCTGTCCCTAAGATCTACAGCTACTCGGCCACATCTGAGAACTCTGCTGGCACCGAATACCTTTTCATGGACCTAGTTCGCGGAACGAACTTGGGCGAGGTCTGGTATGACCTGTCTGAGAAGGCTAGAATTACCGTTGTCACTAAACTGGTGGAGTTAGAGTCTCGACTATTTGCACTTCCGTTTCCGGCAAGCGGCAGCCTGTACTATACCAAGGATCTGCCGGCGGACTCCAACAAGGTTGACATTTCTATCGCCGATCCTGCACGCAGTAGTTGCTTTTGCATTGGTCCTGACACAAGACTTGTCCTGTGGTATGGAAAAAGACTCGGCATCCAGATTGATCGTGGACCATGTACGTATCTGCCCCGTTATCCATACCCATTTCCTTTACTAACTGCCCAAAAGACATCGATGCAGCGGCGGCTCTTGCAGCTGGGGCTATGAAGGAGATTGCATATTTGATAAGATTCGGCAAACCGCTTCATCCTTTCCAACGTCTCCGCCGAGAGATTTACAACTATCAGAAGCAATCGCCATCCGAGCATCTAGACAGCCTAGATAAATACCTGCGGATCGCACCTTATCTCATACCGAACGGCAACCGCACCCTTATCCGCCCAACGTTAAGGCACCCTGATCTCCAGCCCAATAACGTATTCATCTCCGATGCACTCGATATCACTGGCTTAATCGACTGGCAACACTGCGCAATACTCCCGCTCTTTTTGCAATGCGGAATTCCAAACAGCCTCCAGAATTACGGCGACGGTGTCTCAGAATCGCTGATACCCCCTGAATTACCTCACAATTTCGACGAGCTGAGCGAAAGCGAACAATTCGAGCAAGTCTTGCTCCTACGTCGGCGTCAACTTCACTACTTCTATGTCGCAGCAACTGCTAAGCTTAACTCGACGCACTATGACGCCCTAACCCACGACCTCGGCATTTTAAGGCGCAAACTCTTTGATCACGCGAGCTCCCCCTGGGAAGGCGATAATGTGACTCTCAAAGCCGACTTGATCGATTTGACGAAGAACTGGTCCAACATCGCCACTTTAGGCTCGAGCACAAGCGACAATGTGCGCCCCCCTTGCCCGATCGCCTTCTCGGAAGAGGAGGTGAGCGAGTGTCTGCGCCTGAATGCTGCGCAGGCCGAGGCAGACGAGCAGCTCCAGGCCTGTAGGGATGCTATCGGCATTGGGCCCGAGGGATGGGTGCCCCTAGAACAGTATAATGAGATAAAGCAACGCGAAAATAAGCTGAAAGCTGATGCGCTTGAGGCAGCTGAGTCTGAGGAGGAACGGCTGAGAATATGCGAGCATTGGATATTCGATGACTTTGATGAGGAGGAGTACTCGTAGGAAGCGTCATGGTCAGGCATAAGATAGGCGATGCAGGTCAAGTCTCTTATTCGCGCAATGTATGCCTTGCAAACGGTCAGCAAAAGGTGGAGTGGAATGTCGCATGACATGCGATTTACTGAAGTCCTTTCTATCAGGATTTGCTTCGGTTAGGCCTCCCTTTGGCGCCGCCGATTTCGATTCTCGCCAGACACGAGCTGAACGAGTTCGCACACAGTTGTCTTCTGGTACCTATCCATCACACCTATTATTACAGCAGGTGTGCGCCTAACAGGAAAAGTAAGCTTCGACCTAGAAAGAAGATACGTCACCCACAAATTGGCACTGTACAACGCCATCGCGATGGCAATCGCCTACGAGTTTTAATCCTAACCATCCAATCGCCTAGCACTCCTATATCCGTCGCTCGTATTGCACTCTTAGGTTCTGGGTACCCATCCCTTCTAAGTTGACTTGCTTTGTACAGACCTGTTCTCTAGATCTCTGAGGTTGGCACGAGCGTCCTGCTGCTGCTGCTGCTGCTAACCTGTGAAGCAGTCAGACGCCACAACGACCGGCGGACCAGCTCTCAATTCGACCAATTATGACGCCCCAGAAGTCGTCGAGCGGGAACAACGGGGTGAGTCGAGCGATATCTGGAGCCTGGGCTGCGTTTTCTTAGAAATGACTGTGAGGCCCACTCTAGAGCGATTCGGACCAATGCTCATGGCTGACCTAGACGTCTAGACGGTCCATACGAATGAGAACCGGAAAGCCTATATCACCAGTGAATTTACCGGACTTTCAAGGTTTTCGGGTAATTTAGAGGCTGTTGAAGATTGGCTTGGGAAACTGGAACGTTCATCGCACGATAACGCAGCCATCTCATGGATACGGTCTATGATGGCACATGCTCGAGCGAAGCGGATAGCGATCTCATCTATGGCGGACAAGATCAGGAGCTATGAAGACGATCACTTTTATTACGGGCCTTGTTGCGCAGGACAAAGTGATATGGATGCTTCATCGTACACCAGCTCTCCTACCCGTCGAACTTTAGAGCGAGTCGATACCACGGACTCGCTGTACGCACTTCCTAGACATCGCGAGCAGCATCTACCGACCAACTCGGATGCCGTAACAACCCCGATAACGAAACCTCAGGCCGCTAGCAGTCCAGCTGAGATAGACGTCGATAGCCATCGGCTTGCTGCGGGGACCGACCTCGAAATATCCATACCGCGCAGCGCACCTACTCCGGAGCCTCTAGAGCCAGAACTGCGGCTTCAGCAAAACCAAGCGAATTTCCTCCGAGCCAATCACGGTGGCGGATTCGATCCCAATCCCGCGTCTTCCCAAGCAGTGAAAGCCGTCGACAAGCTGTTAGGGATCAGACGAGCAAACACCGACTTGGGGAATGCAGTGCCCACTCAGCCATCGAATCGGGTCGGTGCTCTCTGGCAGCAGGCATATTTAATACATGAGTATGAGACGCGGTTTCGGGTGTAGCCGGAAGCCGCCGCCGCACTAGCATCTTCAGGCTTGGATCCAATGTACCAGTACAGCCACTCGCGGTCCCAAGACGCTGTTATTCTTCCGCTAGAAAATCCGACCAGAACCCAAGATCTAGAAGAAGGATTCACCTCGACGTTTTAAGGGCAACATCAGGCCTACGAGCTACACTCGCAGAACGAACAACCACGACGCCCAGGCTGGAAGTAGGTCATATATTTCACGAGCATCTCATCATTTAGAGCATGAGACATTTCTCTTCGCTGGCATATTACCTACATTTGGATTCCCCTTATCGCGTGCGCGATTTAGATCGCACATAAGCATCAACTGTCCACATACGACGACACGAGCATTTTCTGCCCTCGTTTCGTGTCGCACAGATCCTACATATTTATCCTACTCTCAAATTCCAGGAGCGCTCTAGACCGTAGCGGGTCCCATAAGCGAGGCGTAGAGCCGGTATCTCACGAACGTTAAGCTCAGGGCTGACTGGCCACGATCCCCCATTATTCATTTGAAAGCGTACGGAACACCGGACCTCCGATGGCCGATTAGTATTTCGTCCGCTCGATTATTATTTATGAGCGTAATTCGTAAGTGTGCTGGTTAAGCTTACTATTAAGCTTACTCGGGTAAGTAGATGCGGCTACCGCCCTTGCCACCACACCGGGTGCTGCTCAGCCTCGTCTCCGTCTAGCCCTCTTCACAAAATATCGGAAACCCACGGAAAGAGTTTACAGTTTTGAGGCATATCTTCCGAGGAGCTGATCTCAGGAGTAATTGGAATCCGTCTTGCCTTTTTGGGTCTACGCTCGTCGATGCTGATGTAAGCCCCGACGGTACAATCACCAGCCATCACTAGTACCCGCAAATCTTTCTCATCTTCACGGGCTGCCAATCACACCGGCGGCTGGACCTACTCCAGATACGGAGGCAATTGTGGCCAATGCATCTCGACTACTAACCGTAGCGCGCTGGCGTGGCTTAGGCGACCATCATCAGCGAACTTGCTTCGTATGCAGACGAAAGACGGTGAGGCCAGCCCATAGCAACGTCCAAGCGCTCTGGATCAGAGATATAAGGATATCGAGCTTCCTCGATGCGTCTGTTACCTCAGCATCCCACACCCACCCACGTACTTTCTTCTTACTCTTCGAACCATATACACCTCCCACAACCTCACCATGTCTGGCCAAGTCTTCCTCGAGCAACCGGAGCTGCACTCCAAAGCACCACATCGTGCCGCTCTCCTGACATATCCCGGAAACCTCAAGGAAGCTCTACGCCAGGCGGTAGAAGACCCAAGCAAGACATTGTTCGGAGTCGCCCACGGCATCCCAAGCACGTTCGCCACTAAGGTAAGCATCAGCAGAACAGACAGGGCCCGGCAGCAAACTGACGTGGCATCGCAGGTCTTGGCTTCGACGAGGCCCGACTTCATCTGGATCGATGTCGAGCATGGCATGTTCAACCGTCTCGAACTCCATGAGTATGTTGCCGTAGGCTCCGAAGACACGATGAAATGCTCACACCTCGATGCAGCGCTATCCACGCCGCACAGCACCACTCCGAAGGCCAAACGCTGGTCATCGTCCGCGTCCCCAAGCACGACGAAATCAGCCTGACGACAGCCCTCGACGCCGGCGCAGCGGGCATCGTGATCCCACATGTCGAAACCGCAGACGACGTCAAGAACATGATGAAAGAGATGTACTATCGTGCGTAGCCCTCTCCTCCAATCCTTTCCGACGCGTCTCTAACTTCAAGCCATCCGTAGCCCCGATCGGCCAGCGCTCCTTCAGCCCCTGGACATTCACCCCCGGCGTGTCCGACGCCTCGCTCTACCCCGGCGACAACTACAACATTACAACGGCAAACCGCCATGTCTGCGTCATTCCACAGATCGAGAGCGTAAAGGGTGTGGAGAACATCGACGAAATCGCTGCGGTGGAAGGCGTGTCGGCGCTCATGTTCGGCCCCGGTGACTTCTCCATCGATGCTGGGATCCCGATTAAGCTCGCCGGGGAGCCGCATCCGACATTCGCGGCGGCGATGACAAAATGGGCAATGGCTGCTCAGAGGAACGGAATTCCGTTGTTTGGGTAAGTTGGCCCTTGCAGAGGAGCCTCAGAAAGACCTGTACTAACGCGGAGCAGTGCTGCACTGAGCATGGACATGGTTCCGATGCTGATGCAGCAGGGGTACCGAGCCATTGCTGTGGCTTTCGACGTGTGGGGTCTCGCCGGTATGGTGTCGGGGTCACTGAAGCAGGGCAGGGAGTTTGCGAAGCAGGCTGCTGGAACTGCTACGCCGTAATTCGATATACTTTGCGCTTTATATCCTGCGTAGACGCGTTCATGTACCGTAAGACTATGTTTTCTTGAAGCCGATCGATCCGCGCATCGAGGAGTGACCCTTCGATAGCTTTGCTGTCGTCCGCATGTGCTCTTGAGGTTGGATATGGCTGAGATTTTAGTCGCCAGATATAGGTCCACCAAGGAAACGGGTTCCAAGGAAATGCAGAGGAAGATGTGATTCACGCCTCTCTCGTTTGCCACCTCCCTCTCCTGAAGTCCCTCCGCCGTTTGTGTCCACCCGTCGCCTTTCTCTTCGTTGCTTGGGGATACAATCTTGTAGGAGTGGGCATTGCCGGCAGCACGGCCAGGACCAGGCTTGTTAGCGCAGGAACAAATGCCGACTCAATCACGCTACCGACCGTCCAACGGGCGCCCTGCGATGCCACACGTATTGTTGGATCCGCATTATGTTCCAACATTGTCACGCAGATGCGCGCGAGGAAGTCTTGGTGATGGAACGGCCGGCCTTTGACACCTCCATTATCAGCCAAGCTTGCCAGCCAGGCTAAAAAGTGTCTCCATGGTGTGAACACGCCGCAACATGAACAAAAAGACTTGCATTCCAGGTTTGGATTGGCCCCAAAAGAGAGAAGAAGTTCGATAATCTCCAAATAATTCGAGAAGGGTGCTTCAGGGTTGTCGCTTTCATAAAGCCGTCGGAGGAGTGTTGCCCATATTGGCCCACTGGGAAGCAAGTAGTTCGGATTTGCACCATGAGTAAGGAAATGCTTCAACGATTGAATGTAGCTGGCAAGATTCCCGGTCTCCCATTCAAGGAGGCCGAGAAATTTGGAGAATACTGTCCTACTGCTTCCTTCAGGGACTTCGTTGGGATCGCAACCATTCGTAAGCAGAAACAGGACCATATCCGAGATATCAATGTCGCCGAAGGACTCAGAATTATGGCGGAATACGGCACAGTCAAGAATAGGTCGTTTCTGCTCATTTAACTGCAGCTTCTTCGTCGCGATGAGACCCGAGGCTGGATGTTGCAGCTGCTGCGAGGCATAGAGTAATAAGCCTCTCCCGATCGTCAGGGCGAGAAACCCGTCTTTACTGTCGCCAGCGGTTCCTCCCCAGTAGTCGTCGGAGAAGCCAACGTTGTCGAGAACGTATGACATTTCACCCAAAAGCCTCGTAGTTGGTGTTCCATTCAGTAGCTCGGCTTTTCTAGCGTTGTACAGAGCGGTGTCCACCAAAAACCAGAACGAGGAATCCTCTGAGAGCCTCTCGCGAAGCGTCGGCGCTTTCTTCATCATTGCGATGGATGCTTTCAGCATCGAAATACAGATCTGTAAGTTGTCTGGGAGCCTTGATTCGAATTCGTGACGCATCTCCTCTGTCATGAAGAAGTCTCTCACGGTACGATGGAGAAAATCGATCTGATAGTCGAACAAGTCAACCTCCCAATAGTTGCGGTGCACCTCTAGCAGCCCCTTGCATCTACCATTCAGGCGTCTTTTCGTCTGCTTGTGTCGATTTTTGAGCTCCTTCGACTTCAGAACGGTAATGTCGAGATCGTGCACGTAGTCTGGTCTATCAAATTCTTCCTCGAAAAAGGAGAACATCAAGAGCGGTAGCGGCTCAGGGGAGTCCATGGAGGCCAGGAAGAAGTGTGCCACGTGAGCTTTGTACAATGGGTCCAGGGAAGCCAATATATACTTGAAGAATTCCCGTAGATCGGTGGGAATCTGTCGAAGTCTTTCTTGTAAGAGGGACACCGTATCGCCATTTGTCAGCCCGTCGAGCAACGATCGAACTACAAGGAAAACCCAGAGAAACCCCCCTTGTGCTCGCTCTATGATCTCCGTAGCAATATTGTTGTACTGGGTGTCGTCGTGCGAGAGGCTTTGCCACATTGGATGCTGATCGAACTTGTTACGCACGTACTGTTCGATATCTCCTCGGGTTAAGTCCTGAAGGTAGAACTTACGCTTCGGAGACTGGCCAAATGCATCTTCGAAGACGTTCCATGGTCGGCTCGCCAAGCACAGTTTGACGTTTGGTAGTCGGGAGAATTCTTCGAGTAAGCGTACCATCTCGAAATGGTCGCCACTGTACTCATCAATGCCGTCTATGAAGAAGCAAAATTTGGTAGTGCTCCCCGGGAGGCAAATGGCGCGCTGGATGGCGTCTGATATTTCGTTCACGGTCCATGGATCCTGAACGCCTCCTAGCTCTGTCGCTTGCCATCTCGCAGGACACACTTGCGGTATCAGATCTGGAGCATGGCTGAAAATTTCGTACAGCAAAGATTGAAACAGACCCTGCTGTGATTTCTGCATGGCTGTCCCAGCACTCCAGAAGTAAAAGCTGGCCATAACTACCCTGGCGGGGCCACTCGCAACCGTTCCAGAAGGGGCCTCGGTGGCAACTGGATTCGCAGGCTGAGGTGATGCAGGCTGTCCTCCCGCGTTCTCTACAAGGGGCTCGAACGTTGTCAGCTTGCCGCTCGCCCAATGGTTGGGATTCTTGTGGGACTGCTCGATATCCCATGCCAGATTTCCCCATTGAAACAGGATCTCTTCAGTTTTCTTCTGGCTGGATATCCATTTCATTAGTGTGGACTTTCCGGAACCTGGCTTTCCCGAGACCCAAAAAATGCCATCGCCAGACCGGAGCCAACTCACAAAATGCCGGCCGTGGGTATGGCGTTCGCTCTCTGTGTCAGAATCCTGGAACAGCCAATTGAAAGTTCGCTCATGGGCGTTCGCGATACGCGTGTACCGGGCTTTGAGTGACGAAAAATAGAGGGTCTGGAGGAATCTTCGATACCGGATCATGTCGGATGCGATGTGAAAGGCCTCGGGCAGTTTCATAGTGATCATCTCAATCTGGCCATCGAACTGGGTTGATGACATACGGCCGGCGCCTTGCTTTATGTCTTCAAGCAGCTCAAGGATCCTATCGCTTTGACTCTTCTGATTGAACTCGAGCCGGCGATTGTCTGCAATGAGACTTTGCAGACCACTGACGACAGATGACTGGCCATTGCTACCAGAAGTCAGCAAATAAGACATCATGGGGAGCAGGTAAACATGCCCGTAACGAGTAACCAGAGCTAATGTTAGCTCCCTCTGATACTTCTCTAATCTCGATTCAAGTGTGTGAATGGCCTTTTGGTTCCAGATGATCTTCAAAGCCTGTTGGAAGCTTTTGAAGGCCCGCTTTGACCCACTTTTATTCCCAAGCTTCTCTATGGCCGCCATGAAGCCCTCGCATTCATGCTGACATGATGTTGCCAGTCTGCACAGGTCTTTCTCTTCCTGAGGCATCCCATCAGTCGGCGTACCGGATCGAGAGAGCTTCGTGCTGATCATCTTGAGGTGCGAATACACCTCGTCTAATTGGACAAGTTCCTCGGTGGTACCATGGGCCGAATCGTGGATTTCTTTTCCGGTCGCGAGTAGCTTCGTTGTGAATTCGAGAAACTGGACCGTGGCTGCTGCCACTCCCACTGCGGAGACGGGGTCAAGCATCGTGAACGGCTTCGCGATGCGACCGTTGCAGAGTTCAAGGCTGAGGCTGAAGGCCACGACCTTGCGGACGGGCCCAATCCGGCAAGCTCACTCTTCGCGTGGGCTGACGAGGGCGACCGTTTCAAGGCGGCAGAGTCTGTAATGAGGTAAAGCTTCAGCGCTGAAAGAGCGACAAAGGTATGATTCGCTTGGCGGGATGGGAGCTGAACCACCCCTCACCTAGCTAGGCTAGGCAACAGCGCTACACAGCCACACTGCGCTGGCCGGCGACGCCACACTGAGGAAGACGATTCGCGTAGATTTTGTTAACAACCTTGAAAGATGGTAGCAAATTTTTGACGAATACGACAATGCTTCAAGCTCAACACTTCGAGATGTGTTACCGTTTCTGCGTACAAACCACGTGACTCGTAGGTATTACCTATAGCCAATCCCTCCGCACTGTTCTACAATCAACGCATGTCTCCTCCTACTCTAGCTACTTATAAGTCTCCTATTCGTGCACTGAGCGGAACCCACCGGGCACACACAGAGGTACTAGTTAAACACAACAATACTCCGCATGCAGACTAGTAGTCAATGAACCAGCTGTCCTACCCCATCACCAACTAACAGGAACCACATACTTCTCCCACTCACTCCCCGTATCCGCTTTCCTCCACTCCTCCATCCCACTCACTACTCCCCCTCCATCAACCTTCCAATCCCCTCTCTCGACCATCCCGAGCCAGCTCCTCAACACACTGTCCAATCTAACTCCATGAATCTCAGTAAACGGCTGGTGACCCGGCTGATACAATTCCATGGCCATATCCCTCGAGTCAGCCTCTGCTGCCTCCGAGTTTTCCCCAAAGAGCGCTCCATCGCTGGTTCGCGCATACCCGTTCGCGCCGATGCCATAGGGCAGGACGAGCACGCATTCGTCGTCGAAGGGATTGGAACTGCCCCTATTACCAGCCTGGAGGTACAGGCCTGCTGGGAATCTGGTGAGTTGGCTGTACAGCCAGCCGAAGGGAAGGATGTCCTTGGCGGTAGGCGGAGCATCGTGGTAGTGTGTTGTCGAGCGGAAGAGCAACATAGGAGGGATTTGGCTGAAGCCGTCGGTGCCCGGGGCACCTAGCAGCGGGGAGAAGGGCTGGTCCAGGATGGAGGACGAGGAGGGGATCTCCAGGCCTGGTGCGATGAAGCGGAAGCGCGGACGTCGAACTCTCTGCATGAAGTCGAGGGCGAAGCCTTGCGGGAATTCCTCCAGGGTGCTGTCGTCGGCTAGACCAGTCGTTGTGTCTTCTGTGTTTGTGGTATGCTCGGGCAAGCGCGATTCTATGGCTTCAACGAGCTTGTTGAAGGTCTCGACGGTCTCGTCGAGGATGGTCTGGCTATATGAAACGATTTCCCAAGGGCAATACTCGGTCTCCGTGCCCACGGCTCTCACCTTGCCCTTGTGAATCATGTCGAGCCAGGCTTCGAGAACCGTCTCTAGCGGATACCAAGGCATGCGGCCGTTGAGAATTATGCCTGTGTCATGGATGGACATGCACATAATGGCTAAGCTCCTCTTCTGATCAAATCTATTGGCAGTCAGTTAGCCAGATTCCCGAACGGGTCGGGCGCTGAGCTTAGCTTACACGAGGCCCAGCGGATGCGATGCGAGGTTGTTTGCCGAATAGAGAACTAGATATCTCTTCTGGTCCTCCTCCTCGACAACTTCTTCGAAGAGGTCATGCAATAGACCGCAGGGGTACTGCAGACCGCCGACATAGTAGAAGAAGTGGTGTTCGTTCACATCCTCAGCGTCACATGCGCGCGCGAGAAAGGCAGCGACATCTGGCGACAAGATATCCCGAACCGCTTCAGCTTCGGCGCCGTGAACTTCGAACCAGGTGCGCGGACGGAAGTCTTCAGCCTTTTTCCCCAGACTATCCCAGCCGAGTTTGAATATTTCGTTGTGGAGCTCGACGCACCGCTCGACGTTCATGCTGTACTGTACGCGGTGAGGCTATCGTGATCACGTCCGAAGGTGAAAGAGTGAGGTCTAGTGTGGCACGGTCCGTCGGGCGACAATTTACATTACCCGCAAGCGATTGGTGGACGCGGGAAGGAACGCCAACGCCCTCGTACCATATGCAGGGACGGGGCTGGGCATTCGGACTGGAGAGAAGCTTTTATTTTAGCTCTTCGCCCGAGGCTTATTTTGAGCTCTCTCGCACGAGAAGGAAATTCTCAACGCATGATAATTGCAGCAGCCATGCATTCCGCCAACCGCGGGAAAGCCAACGGCGGGACCTAGAACTAGTCTAGAGCTACCTAGCGTCCATTTTAAGTCGTACATGCCCCTGAATAGCAATTCTCGCCCTTGCAGTAGTCGTCGCCATTCCCGCAGTATCCGTACTGGCTACAGCAAGCGCCGAACTGCGTCCCGGTGCACGTCTTGTTGCCCTGGAAGAGCGGCCCACACTCTCCATTGATCGAAGGGCCGCCAAGCTCCGGGTCGCACTGCCCAGAGTAACTGCTTTCCGTTAGCAAACAGATGTCGCTCCGCGAAGAAAGGAGGCAAGTGAGCGGGGCACACATACCAGTTTTCAGGAGCGCAGAAGTCGGTCCCTTCGCCGCACCAGCCGTAGACGCTACAGCATGGACCGAAGCGTGGATTATCGCATGTCAATCCGCCCACACTGGGCCCACAGGTTCCGTTCGTGGTGCTGGTGGGCGACCCTGTGCATGCGCCAGAGTAGCACATTCCCGGGCTGCAGTAGTTGTCGCCGTCGCCGCAGTAGCCATAGACGCTGCAGCACGATCCGAAGGCGCTGCCTGCGCAGGTGGCGAAGTTGTTACCCGGACCACAGGAGCCGTCCGTTGAGACGGGATCCGGGGTGACTTCGCCAACGCAGACCGAAGACTTGAGCCAGAGGTTCGTGCAGTCGGCGTTAAGGTATGTGTTGAACCGCCGCAGCGCTGCGAAGGTGATTCCGTAAATGAGACAAACTAGGTTGCACGTATCGCCATCCACGACCTCATGATAGGCACCGCAGTCTTCAATTGAGCCGCTTTGGGTGGGCCAGACTGGCGTGGCCGTAGTGTGGTAAACCGCAGAACCACTCGTAGGCCCAACGATTGTGGTGTTGGATACCCAAAATCCGCCGGGGGGACTGAAGCCATGTCAAACGCTGCGTAGTAAACGAGACAATGCACTTACCTGATACATATACGCTGATTCAAAGCAAGGCCATCACAACTGCCCTCTAGACTAGGATTCCAGCCAATGAACTGCTCATGCGTGACCGTGTTCGTCGAGTTCGAGATTTGCTTCTCAAGCGACGTGCAAGTTTCTCCGTATGTCTCGATGACTTTGATCTCGCATGGGAGAGGAAGGCATATAGCCTTTTCAAACCTGCAGAAAGGATCATTTGCGGCTACCTTTAAGTCTCCGGTAGCGACATGGTATTGGTCGGCCAAACCGTTACACGTGAGAAAAGTTGATGGAGGCTGAACGACTTGCCCAGTGCATGTCGGCGTGACCGTAGGGGCAGGCGTGGTCGGAGTCCCGTCGGTCGGCGTTGGTGTCGCGCTCTGTGTGCCGATATATAATGTATTTGCGGAGGTCTGATACGGCATCGATGTCGTGCAGTTTCTTTGCAATGCGTCGAACTGATCCATGCGGTATTCGGTCCAGTTTCCCGGAGTGAGAAAAGGTGACAGAAGCCGTTGTCTCCACACCTTGAGGAAGCATTCGTTACAGTACAGAGACTTGTCATAGAGCCCAGTAACGGCCTGAAGCGCGGGATCAATGACGTCCACGTCGAAGTCAGGCGTGTCGCAAACTGCTGGCGGGTCGTCCACGTAGCACATAGCGGGATGGTACCTGATGTAGTCGCTGCCGACCCAGGTCTGCGACTCGAGGAAACACCATTCTGAAGCACTTCGCCTTGTAAGCTTCCTGTCAGTCACATATGGCTAGAGACTTACGCATTTTGCAAGCACGCGAGATCGAGAGCATTCGTGTACTGCAATGGGATCGCTTTTGCCTGCATCACGATACCCGCCTGAGTAATCGTATCCGTAGCACAGTCTGTCTCGACCAAGCCTAGCCAGGAACTCATCGAGGAACGGCACTGAGAGGTACAAAGAGTAGTGATATTCTCCCTGTACCAGTAGTTCTCGTCCATTCCCATCGCGGCCATTTTTGCGTTGGCCTCATCGCAGTTGAGCGTTGTATTTCTAGAGAAGGTTAGGCTCATGCTCTTCGGAGAAAAGACAGCGTCGGATGGAAGCGTACATAGCGGCCATGCAATTTGTAGATATGCCTAGATTGAACTGTATCGAGGCATCAAAGCCCGAGAGCACATTGAATGCAGCGTTTGAGCTGGCGGCCCATAGGAAAGTCAGAAGGACTCTTGACGCCATCTCTGACCAAGAGTGTGGTTTGGCTCCAAAGGTTTCAATCAGTAACGCGGTCAAGCCGGCCTTGGTGTGAAAGAGAGGGTATTCTTGATCTAGAAGCGCTGGCAATGGCGGCCTGGACTCGTTGAGGGCTCTCCCTGAATTTCCCAATTCTTTTTTTACATCCAACCAACATCTGAATAGGGGCAAAATCGTTAGCCCGCGTAACTTCCTCGCCGCATGGTCCCTGAATTCTCCTTTCCAGGAGTCGTGAGCACTTCAGCCGAGGCAAGCATGCGGGGCGTAAAACAGCATCACGAGGCAGTCAGCCAACACGACAGACCCTTATCTTTAGCGCTATTGCACGATACATTCATTTCCGGTAGTGAGACCAAGAAAACGCCTCGGGCGTAAAGTCTAGAATCCGGGAGCGGCATATTGAAGGTCCCCGCCCGGGAGGGCAGAAAACCACCTCCGTTCGGCGGCTACCATAAAGTTGAGACCCTAGGCCACATACCGTAAGGACCAGATAGTATTATAATTAAGAAAGTACCGGCAATGGCTTGTATATCGCCTTCGTACGTTTTAAGGAATTCGGTCCTTTCTGTGCGCTGTGATTGGCGATCAAGAAGGAGCACCGGCAGGCTGCGATCCTAGGGAGTTCTCCTCGGCAGCGTCCGCACGGGAATCTAGATCCCACGGACCCTGGCGTATCGGTCCTACTCCATGTACCGGGAACTCCGTCCCTGCATATACGAAGCGACTTCCCGGTTTGTTTAGCGCGGGGCGTAAATGTAAATCTCTCTTAGTATGGGTTTTACGAGGTCGCTTAGCCAGTCCGGAGTGTTACCACCACCAACAACGCGAAGCCAATATGCCTAGGAGTGCATCCATGGATCGCTTTCCACATACGGAATTACGCCTTGCATGGTCGGCCACGCGTGGCTCAGGAGTGGTAAAGGAGTCGGATGCGTGCGTCTGAAAGAAAAGTTAGAGAAAGTCCCAGAGGAAAGTAAAGTAAGTTGCGAGTCTTGCGCACACCGAATTCCAACTTTCCTAATGGCGAGAGTCATAGCCTTTGGGCTGCTCTGGCTGCTGTCGTTCCATCATACCAATGCAGCTTTGAACGGTACCAATACCACCTACCTTCGCCACCCTAACAACGGAACCGCGCTGTATCCACCGCTTTTCGAACTGCACTCTAACTCCACTCCACGGTTCATCAACACGACTGGAAGGACCGCCAACCCATTGATCAAAGTGCTGCAAGACAAGAACCAAAATGATCGCAAGAGGAGTCTTTTTGGCTTTTCCCCCTCGAAGCGCAGCCACCACGGAAGTCATGCCCGCTTCCACCACTCCAAGCGCGACGATGGCGACGACTGGACGCTACCCGAAGGAACATGCGCGCCCGGAACTCCCTGCGTTAACGGAGCGTGCTGCAGCAACAAAGGCATTTGCGGCTTCTCTCCTGCAGAATGTGGGACCAGCAACTGCATTTCGAACTGCAATGCTACTGCGCCCTGTGGCCAATATGCGAAGGAAGAAGATAAGCAATGTCCCTTGAACGTGTGCTGTTCCTTCTACGGCTTCTGTGGCGCGACGGACCTCTTCTGTACGACTGGTGGAGAGCATCCATGCCAGGAGGGTTACGGGAGCTGTGGTGACGCTCCGCGGCCGTCTTGCGATGGAGGCGACAGCACGTCAGGCAGAGTTATCGGCTATTACGAAGGCTGGTAAGTGCGGTGTCGTGTATCTGAAGGTCGCCAGGTCAGCTAATGCGAACACAGGTCAACCACTCGAGCTTGCGATAAACGACAACCAGAAGATCTCGACCTGACCGCTTTCACTCACCTCAACTTCGCCTTCGCCTACTTCGACCCCACGTCTTTCCAAATGGCGCCCATGAGCGCGGGTGATCCAGCCCTTTACCGACGATTCACTGCGTTGAAGTCGAAGAAGCCGTCTCTGCGGACATGGATCGCCGTGGGCGGCTGGTCTTTCAACGACGCGACGAATATTCCCAACACGCGGACCGCTTTCAGCGACATGGTGTCCTCGCACGGGAACCGACAGGCGTTCATCGCGAGTTTGGGCCAGTTCCTCCAGACCTACAATTTCGATGGTGTTGACTTCGACTGGGAATACCCCGCAGCAGACGACCGGGGCGGCGTGGAGGCGGACACTGCAAACTTCGTCACCTTCCTGCAGGAACTGAAAGCGGCGTTTGGTGATCGGTACGGTGTCAGCATTACTCTGCCGGCGTCCTATTGGTATCTCCAGGGTTTCGACGTGAAGGCTATGCAGCACTATGTTGATTGGATGAATGTCATGAGCTACGACATTCACGGTGTCTGGGATGCGGGAAACAAACATACCGGGCCGTATGTACGCCCGCATACCAACTTGACGGAGATCGAGGAAGGCCTCGACCTGCTGTGGCGAGCGGGCGTCGATTCATCCAAGGTGGTCCTGGGGCTGGGCTGGTATGGGCGCTCTTTCACCCTAGCGGATCCTTCGTGCAACACACCCAACGGCGCATGCATCTTCTCCGAAGGCGGCAAGCCCGGCGAGTGCACCAACTCGGCGGGCACCTTGACGAATGCCGAGATCAATCGCATCATTGCCAAAGGAGGCACCACAACGGGCTTCGATCGCCAAGCGGCCGTAAAGTGGATTACGTGGGACTCTAATCAGTGGGTCAGCTATGACGACGGCGAGACCATACAGCTCAAGATCTCTCACGCAAACAGCCGCTGTCTGTCCGGTAAGATGATCTGGGCAGTTGACCAAGACGACTCACAAGGTTCGAGTACCAACGACCTCCTCGGCATAGGACCCGCCAACGGCGTCTCTCCAGAAGAAGCCCAAAAGATTAGGGACGACCTCGCCAATGCCACCCAGGCCGCAGCTGTCGCAAGCTCCTGCTACTGGACGTTCTGCGGTGATGACTGCACGCCTGGCTACTTCCCGGCCACTGTTGCCAGAGGCCAGGTTGCAGGCATCCAACGCGACACGGAATGTCCCGCGGACCAGTACCAAACATTGTGCTGCGCCCCAGGAACTACAATGGGCACGTGCAAGTGGGATGGTTGGCGCGGCGTTGGTCTGTCCTGTGCTCCGGCGTGCAGTGACTCTGATGCAACCATTGTGGCGCGGAACTCGAACTCGGGCGATCTCGACTGTAACGGCGGGTACCAGGCCTACTGCTGCAGTGGCTTTGTGCCATCTTCAAGGACAAATACAGGCAATCTCGCCTTGGTCGGACAAGGAGGCATTACGAAGCGTGGTCTCGGAGGAGGAGTCGCCGGTGGAGTACTTGGTACATTGGCCTGCGTCGCACTAGTTACCGCCGCCAATATCGTTCTCGCGTCGCTTACTGCAGGTTTGTCCATCATAGGCTCGCCGGCATTGTATTCAGCATGTGGAGGAGTTGGAGCTCTACTCGGTTTCATCGCCACCGGCCTGGCCAAATTGCTCCAGGCATGGCCCAAGCTAATAGGAGCTCAAAAGAAGAATATTGGCAAGCCAACGGCCGATGGAAAGAAATATGGCCAATGGGACAAGCTCGACTTCGGAACAGCGCAGGAGAGCACAACGAGCTGTGATTGTGCCGTAACCTACACTTGTAGGTACGGAATGGGCTGGGACGAAATCTGCGACAACCAAAGATGGGCCATCGACAAGGGCCTTGGTGGCAATACCGTGTACCACTGGGGCATTCGACTACCAGCGGGGTTCTACTCTAAGAGATGGTGGGCGTCGTCCCACCACGCAGGCTTTCGCACGTTAGCACAACAAAGAGACCAAGGCAACCAGTACCGATGTCAGGTTGATGAGTTCCCCATGGGAGCCTTGTTGGAGGGGAGGTTGCCAAATCCGCAGATAGTCCGGTTGGTCAATGGCCCGGCGAACGGTCTTCAAGGCAACGACTTCGGAATGTGGTTGTTGGCCGTTTGGGGGCCGTGCAGCGCGTACAGGAAGGACGTCTGCCATTTTGCGACTCCGGAGCCGCCTATCACCTGGGCCTTCGCTAGTATGGATCAGTCCCGGAGGAATGCAGCAACCGATGGAAATCATTTCCTCAAGGCGTACGGCGTAAGTGTGCTGGCATATCCGAGTTGAATAATACTAATAATTTCCTCAGTTTGATTCGCAAACCCACAATTCTCTTTGCTGGGGTAAGAGATTCCGATAATGACGCCCGTATTTAGCCATGCTAATGAGCGCAGCGACATTCACGTACAATCGTGCTGTTCCATTTGCGGTGATTACGACGACGGTTGAAGATCATGGCTTCCGCGTACTGCTAGACGACCCGTAAGTTTCCATGTCACTCACGTCTTCTTGTTACTTACTTGAAACAGAATGTTCGGCACATATGGTTGGGACACTCAGCTCTGGTGGACCTCACCCGACGCACCTTATCCAACCAGCATTGCTAGCGCTGGTTGGGAGAAGCGCATGGTAGTCGAGGACGTGCTCCGCGGAAATATCCCTGCATCACATCTCGCAGACGGCAGGATGCCGGACGGATTGATGCTTGATGATGTGGAGGCATATATGAATAAGTATTATGGCTTGGAAAAGGATGCACCTAGGTCCTTGCCAATGAGGACGTCGACAACCTTGGAAGCCGTTCCTAGAGCGGCGATCACAGAGCATACGAAGGCAAGAGTAAGGATCGAAAGTCCAGGCCCACTAGAAACAGCTGCCAAAGCAGGAAAGGATGAATTACGAAAGTATCTGTATGGTGTTTAGTTATTGGAGAAGTACTTCGGGTGAGGTTCACGTTAGTCGAGAATACGTACCGGAAGATCGTCTTCATTTTAGCCCTGCGAGGTTCCTTGTGTCGGGTTTCAATAGACCAGTCCAAATGAGACCAGCCTTCATTGAAGCGATTTCAATCACGTTTGATCCAGGGCGCTTGTTGATATGTACTCCAGTGTTATGCAGATCAGTAATTTGTCGTACAGGGGAGGAGATCAACCATCTTGGGCTCGTATCATGCTCCGTTCCTGACCCTTGGATCAGGATCCTCCTCTTCCAATGCCATGTCCTCCATCAACCTTCTGACCATGGGTGCCGCAAAGTTCATATACTCCTCTTCAGATACTATGGGCTTGGGTTCCCGCGCGACCAATTGAAAAGACATCTCATCTTCGCTGTAGCTCCACTCCCACCACGTAGCTTCGACGTTGGGAGCATTCGGCGCATCGTACCGCTGATAATGATCTTCCTTGAGCATAAGCCCGATGAGCCGATTATACCACGTGCGAAAAGACCCCTTCACATGGGCAGCATTCAGCACGAATTTGAGAATCCGAACGTTCCGCAGGCGGCGTAGTAGTGCGACCATGGCCGCCGTGTGGTCCGAGGGGTAGTGCCAGTGCGCAGAACGGTGAAAGACGATGGTGAGCTCGTCTAGGTCTAGGGCCTGGATGTTGAAGGGCCAACGAGCCCAGTGTACCATGTCCTGGAGCTGGCGTGAGGTGGCCACGCGAGCAATTTTGCGTATCTGGCGGACGTGATGTTGCTCGACGCGCCGGAGCAAGGTCCCAAGCGTAGAGTATATATCTCTAACAACGAATGTTGTTTTTCGGAAAGCAAGCGCGCTGAAGTCATCGTGAAATTGGACGCAGGTGACCAGGATCTCCAGCCGATGGGATGAAGAATAGTAGTCGTCGAGGATAAGGCCTCGGCTGTTCGCGGCATCAGCGCGAGAGAAGCCGCTATTGGGAGGCTGGCCGAGAACGTAGGAAAGGATCTCGTGGAGGAGTTCGGTGGGCAAGGAGAGAAGAGAAGGAGGCGCATTTTCTGTCATGGCGTAGGAGCGGGGCCAGGGCTGGGGAGGGGGTACAGAGGCTTGGTGGAGGACTCTGTGACGTCGCTATTTTCAAAGACTAGGCAAATACGTTTCAGAGCAGCCTCTGAGGTATGTCTGACGTGTACAAGAGAGAGCCGACACTAGTGCCGATGAGCTTTGAGACGGAGAAGAGGCGTGTGGTTTGGGAGGTCGGTCGGAAAAGGACGTCGGTCCGAGGTGAAATGGTCCGTGCATTATCTTATCAGATTTTCCGCCCCGCTCCATCTCCGACCTCGCTGTCACACCTCGCATCACGAAACGATGCACAGGGCGTCCTTCTTGCTCCTCTTCCTTCCATTATGGAAACTCCCCAGAGTCGCTGCTCTACATTCCGGCAAGTGGTGCTTCGCGGGCTGCGAGCTCGCCCTCAACTACGCCGACTTCAATGACACCGATGCCGGATCCAAGAAGATCCGCTCGTGCCAGAGCACATTGAGAGCTACATCGCTCTATCTATGTATCGACGAGTATTGCGATGAGAGAGGCCGCTCAGAGTGGCTGCGGGTATCGAACGAGACGTGTATAGGGATCGCGAATGCGACGCTGCCACCGTACGATATCATTGCCGGGTATTCTCCGCAGGAGAGAGCTGAGATCAGACGGTTGAGCGCGGATGAGGCTCTGACGTATCCGACGGCGGGGGAGGTCCTGATACCTGAGGAGTCGTTCTTCGAAAGGGCGTTCACTACGCTTGTATGGCCCCGCTCTTGGTCCCGTGCATCTCCGATCTGATTTGTGAGCTAGGAAGCTGCGTATTTTGAAGTGGATATTCATCGCGTGTATGGGTGAGTACGACGAGCTTCTAGTGTCATTTCATCGAACTAAGCATCGTAGCTGGTGCATGTACTACTTCTGGGGCATCGTCATTGCCATCGGCATGGGCACACGCTTGATCTCCCTCATCGGCAGCATCAGAAGGCAGGAATGGCAAGCCATACCTACAAGCGAGACAAGCATCGAAGAACCACACCCCTCAAAGCGCTCTCAGCCGCCTAGTCTGGCATACGCTCTCCTAAAGCGCTTCATAACCGTTCCCGCAACCTTCAACAACCGCTGCTCCCAACCCCTGGGCTGGTGCACCATACCACCACGCATCCAGTCCCTTACCATCCTCGCCTTCATTGTACTCAACATCGTCCTCTGCACCGTCAGCTACCGCGTCACGCACGGCAATCTCTATTGGCCACAGGAGCACATCCAACTATGGCGCTACGTATCCGACCGAACCGGCGTTCTCTCGCTCGCCAACTTCCCTCTGATATGGCTCTTCGGCACGAGGAATAACGTCCTGATGTGGGTGACGGGGTGGGGCTTCGGCGCGTATAATAATTTCCATCGGTGGGTCGCGCGGGTGGCTACGGTGCAGGCAGTCGTGCATTCCGTGGGCTACACTGTCATGATCTATGAGCGTAAGTTCCACCGAAGGTAGCATGAACAAGGGCTAAGCAGCATCCCAGGCGGCGGATGGCCCCTCTTCACCAAGTACCTAGGCAAGCACTACTTCTGGAACGGCGAACTAGCCACCATCTTCATGTGCTTATTGCTCGCCTTCTCCGTCTACGGCCTCCGCCGAAGCCACTACGAGATCTTCCTCACCACTCACATTATACTTTCCATCATCGTCCTTTTGACCATGTACTAGTACGCCACCCCTTTCCCTTTCTCCTCTCCGCGGCCTTACTAACCAACCCCACCAGCCACGTCGCCATCTTCATAGACGGCGAATGGACCATCTTCATCTACCCGTGCCTCGTACTCTGGATCCTAGACCGCGCTCTCCGCGCCCTGCGCATTCTCTCCTTCAACCCCCAATTCTGGAACACCAAAGCTACCGCGACATACTCCGCAAGCTGCAACCTCGTCCGGCTCGAAGTTCCCTTTACGCAGACCAGGCTGCAGCAACCAAAGCCAGGGACGTACTACTACATATACGACCTCTCCAACCCGCTTTACGCGCACCAAAACCACCCCTTCACACTCGCCTTCGTCACCTCGGGCCGCGGCCGAGCGACGGAACAAGGCACCACCGCCAACACCAACGCAGATGCAGCAGCGATCCCGCTCCGAAGACCTAGTTCCTCCTCCTCCTCCTTTACAGGGAATTCAGACGACTCCGCGTCCACAGAAGCCGACGCCCTCCTCTCTCCTTCCCCTTCATCCTCTTCTCCGGGCAGAACACCAGCCCTTATCTTCCTCATCCGGCCCTACTCCGGCTTCACCTCGCGCCTCGCGAAACTTGCCGCCACCCACACCCACGCCCACGCCCCATCCTCTCTCCGCATCCTCCTCGAAGGCCCCTACGGCCCCAGCGCCCCCCTGCACCACTACCCCCACATCCTCTTCATCGTCGGGGGAACCGGCATCGCCGTCCCACTCTCCCATCTGACTCACCTCCTATCCTCCTCCTCAGTAGCAAGTCTCCGCATCGTGTGGGCAGTGCGCGAACACGCGTTTCTCGCCGCGGTGGTGGACGAGTTCGCCAGGGTACTGGAGGACGAGCGCGTAGTGCTAGATGCGCATGTCACGCGGGATGAGGAGGGGAAGGACGAGGCGCTTGACGAGGGAGAGGGGGTGAGAGGGGTGCGCGTAGAGGCTGGCAGACCGGATGTGGGCGCGGTGGTGGAAGATGCGGCGAGGGAGGCGGGGTGCGAGCGGCTTGCGGTGGTGGCGTGTGGGCCGGCGCAGATGGCGGATCAGGCGAGGCGGGCGTGTGTGGGGGTGCTGGGGAGGGGGTATAGGGGGGTGGAGTACTTTGAGGAGAGCTTCAAGTGGTAGCGTAGGGAGGTAGGGAGCATTGCACACTGTTCGGCTCTCTCCTTCTTCTTCTACTCTATACCCGGTAGCGCAATAGAGATGCACTAGAGACGTCTACAGACCTTCTAGGGCCCACTCGGGCCACACCTCCTCCTCCCGCGGTCTCGACGCCACATCCCGATCGCGAATATGCTCCTCGAGCGGCAAATCCTCGTGCTGGCTTCTATTCCCCATCTCCACGCCCCGCCGCTGAATCGTCCGCGCATACGCCATAGTCTCCCTCTTCCACTGCTCTCTGCTCACCTTGCCCTCCAGCATATCCGCCAGGATCATCGCGTCGAAGGCCGCCTGGCTCGTGCTCGCCACGGTATGCGGTCTAAACCCTGCCAGCGCATCGCCAATCAGCACAACCTTCCCGCTCATGAATTCGTTGGTAGGCGAGATGACGTCCGTGATAGCCTGCACGAACGGCTTCTCCGTGCCCCGCACAATCTCCGCAAACTGCGGTGGCAAGCGCTGCCCCGCGATCTCCCGCTGCTTCTCCCAGGCCCGGGGATCCGTCTTCCCCGGCGGCATCGTGATGCGGTGTCTCACGCCTTCCACGTCCGTCATCAGCTCCCTCAAGTCCTGCTCTGGCTCGTCCAGACTGTCCGACGCAAAGTTGGTGTAGTACACGAAGTTTATGAGGCGCTGGCCGGGTGCAAGCGTGCCGTTTTCGCCGGGAATGAGGTAGGCGAGGATCTGGACGCCGCGGGTGTGGAAGAAGGTGAAGCGCTCGCTGAAGGCGGCGCGGGTGGCGGGCGAGACGCTGGATTCGCGGACGGTGCCGCGCAGGGCGCAGTAGCCGGCGTAGGTGCGGCGGACGGCCGGGCAGAGGAGGGCGCGGATGGTGGAGCTGGGGCCGTCGGCGGCGACGAGGAAGTCTGCTTCCATGGTGCCGTCCCTGCCGTCCGTGGTCGTGTAGTATACCTCCACCTTATCGCCTTTCTCCTCGATGTTCGTCACTTTGTGCCCGTGCAGATGCCGCACCTCGCCTTCGTTGGATCGGCGCGGGGGCGCTTTGCAGTACGGGCTCGCCACGTAGTCGACGTTTGCGCGCAGCATGTAGTAGACCAGGTCCCAGCTCGTCATGTTCTGCACTATGTCCTTCCTGTGCACGATGTCGCCATCTTTGTTGAGGTATTGCCGGCGCTGGGAGGAGACGGCGAGGGGGCGGTCGCAGCGATCGTAGCGCTTGAAGAAGGAGAGGGTGTCGCCGCCTGCGACGATGCCGGCGCCTTGATTGTGGAGGAGCGGCGTGGGGTTGCGCTCGAGGATCGTGATGCGATGGCGCTGGGGGAGCGATTTGAGGGCGAGGGCGGTGCAGAGGCCGCCGAGGGAGCCTCCAACCTATAGCTGGCGTAAGCTTTGTGCGAGGCGCGTTCAAAGTGTGGACTATTAGTTCTGAGGGCCTTCATAAAGACAACTAAGCCATACCACGATGATGTCGAGCTGCCTGCTGACGCCAGCTGGGAACCCATTCGCGTCGTTGGAAGACATGGCAAAAGGTCCGTCAGCCGGTATCAATTGGGTGCCAGAGAAGATAGCCTAGCATTCCGAATGATGAACGCTCCATGGATGATAAAGATGGGGTAAGGGTCGGCTGGTGGAGGACGGAATTAATGACGCACATGCCGGCATCGCGAACAGAGGGGCTAAGCCGAAAAGAACCCCACAGACCGCGCCCTTCCACCTTCCATCCATCAACGTAAGCTTAGTAACGCCCTATCTTCTAACTGCCGAGCATCCATATATCCTCCAACATGGCCTCGAACCGCACCTGGTCCAATTCGGCATCAAGAAATTATACGCCGGAGCAATGGCGGCCGAAGACCGCGGACTGATCGCTGTACGACTCCAAGCCTCAGAATCGTAGAACGCATAGTTAAACAAGTCCTCAGATCACAGGCGCAAACGGTACCATAGGCTACGCATCCGCCATCTACGCCCTCCGCACAGGATACCGCGTACGCTGCATAGTCCGCCGCTCAGACGCCATCGCGACTCTCAAAGCCGGGCCATCCATCCAGCGGCACGCGGACCGCGTCGAATACGCCGTCGTGCCCGACAACACGGCAGACGGTGCATACGACTCCGCACTCCACGGAGCACGCTATGTCGTGCACATAGCAGGCGTGTGGCCGAAACCTGTAAGCGATGCGTATCCGAAATCTGGGTAGATGTGGGAGGCTGACGCTGAAAGGACTATCATCCCGACCACGACATCTACCATCCGTTTGTCAAGTCGATGGAGAACATTCTTTCCGCTGCTGAGAAAGCGGGGACAGTCCGGAGGGTTGTGTTTACGCAGGCTGGTGCTGCGCTTGTGAGTCCCGAGGATGGGGATACGCTGGGCACTGCGATGGATCGGGTCATCGACGGTACTACCCTAAAACTCTCATCGACGCAACGAGTTTACTGAACACGTTCATAGAAAACATCCCAGTGCACCCGCAATCCGCGTCTTTCCGCCCGCCGCTAGCATCGTCCCACCACGCCTACTCGGGAGCGAAGGCGTATTGCATGACGCACCTCAAGTCTCTTCGAGTATCCGAAAATCTCCCATTCTCAGTTGTACAGGTCATTCCAGGGACTGTCATCGGGCCCTCCGAGCTCGTCACCACCGCCTCGGAAGCACTCCAGCGTATGGACCGCATGTCGAAAGCGCTGCTTTTTGACGGCATGAAACCACGCTATGCGTTTGGCTTTGTGCACGTAGAGGACTGTGCTAGAGTACACATAGAAGCACTGGATGAAGAGAAGGTCCCCGAGGGCGAGATTCCGGACTGGTTCATTGCAGCTGCGCTGACTGAGATGGGAAAGAATGGCGCGGAGATGTGGGGAGAGGTGGGTGATGCGGTGGAGAAGGAGTTTCCGCAGGAGGTGGGAAGTGGCGAGTTCAAGGTTGGCAGGGATAAAATGCCAATCAACATGCCGTTTTCCGTTGATTCGAGGCTGACGGAGAGGATGTTGCTTGGTGGAGGGAAGTTTAGGTCCCTGGCGGACTGCGTGAAAGAGGTAGCGCATTGGTACAAGACTCTAGCAGAGAAGGCATCACAGAGCTCATAATCATCGACGTACAGCGTACCTCGGTATTACCGCCGTCTCATCTCCCATTAAACAGAAAAGACCGAATTCCCCACACGTCTCGACGAAGTCACGTCCCGTTCGCCGGCTGCCTATACACCGTCCCATTAATACTCGTCTCCAACCTCCCACTCGCCTCAAACACATTAGCCAAAACATCAATCTCTAATCGAAACCCCTCAGCGCTCGTCGTCTTCGTAACCAACCCCTCCGTCCCCGTTTGCACCAGTTCAGAAAACCACTCTACCACGTTCAGCGTCGCGCTCGGATACGCCACCGTGACATTCTCCCATCCGTTGAGCACCGTCCAGGGAACATCAGAGTAGTTAGCGTACGCAACAGCGATGGATTCGATAGCCGTGCCGTTTGCGTTGTCGGTGATGGTGATAGCAGCCGAGCCGGAGACGGCGCCTCGGAGCGTGTACGTGCCCGCCGGCGGCATGGGGCGTGTAGGTAGGGCGCTTCCGGGCTCGTACTTCGTCCCCCAGGGCACGTCGTCAGAGACGGGGGCGACGGGCTCGACCGGCAGCGGCAGCGGCGTGCGCGCCGTGAGCCTGGCCAGCATCAAGCGCTCGGTGCGGCCGCCCGGCTCCGTCGAGTTGGGACACGGCAGCGGGTTTTCCCCACCACACGCGGGCGCGACGACAAGCGCCTGCCAGTACACGATGCTCGTGCCGTCAGGCGACCACTTCGGATCCGCGCGCCCATTCCAGTTCGCGTCGCCCTGCGCGTTGAGCCGCTGGCCGAAGTACATCCCGCGGTCGCCGTCGCGGTCCAGCAGGTACGGCTGGAAGAAGCGGCGGGCGCCGTTGTTGCGTGTCGACGACGCGACGGTGCTGGTGAGCAGGTCCGTCACCGGGGGGACGTGCCGCATGCCGGCCATGAACATCTGGCGGCCGCTGCCGCGCGTGTCCATGACGACGGTCCATTGGTCGTCCGGCGAGATGTCCAGCGGGTCGCAGTACTCGGGGTGCTGGGTTATTCTGCGGACTGCGCCCGAGGCGAGGTCGACGGCGAAGACGTCGATGTTGGAGGACTCCGCCGGGAAGCCGATGTAGGTCGCCTCGTTCCCGGTGCCGCTGAAGCCGCGGAGCTCGCCGACTTGGATCGCGTGCGGGTTGCGGCGGAGTTCGTGCTGGTCCTCTTGGTTGTCGACGAGCCAGGGCTGCTGCTCTGCTGCCTCGCTGTGCAGCGTGGTAATGTTCACGAGGTCGAAGCGCGGAGCGAGCGGTTCGCTCCTCGTCGGCGAGGGATTGAAGGAAAGCCGGCCGAAGTATGCGTACTGTGTGAGCCGCCCGGCTTGCAGGCCGAACGAACTCCATCCGAGGTGCAGGTTATCGGGGTGCAAGCGCTGCTCTCGAATTGCGCCGCCAGGCCCCGATCCATCAGGCGAGGTATTCCACCGAATCGGGTAGATATGCGTTTTCTCAGGCGTGCATTCATCAGTGGCCAATTCCGCGTCGCCGCAATCCACAACATTCGACCCGACCAGCACGCGTTTCCCGTCGTGGAAAGCCTGCGGGTAGTCCAGGGGCATAAGGCGCCCGTGGTCGTTGGCTTCCGGGATGCCGCACGTGATGCATTTCCATGCATCGCCGTTCGGAAAGGATACATTCTCTTCGGTTTTGACGATAATTATTTGCTCTCCTACGTAGACGCTCGCGGGATCCGGTGCCGCGGGCGCGCCGGTGAAGTTGACGGTGGCTGTGACGTGCTTGTTGTCGGGGAGGAAACTTCCTCCCTGGATTAATCCTCCTTGCTGGACGATACAACCTGGACGCGCCAGCGAAACATGTCAGTACAGTACAAAACTTGAATTGTAAAAGTACCGGGAGGGAACGGACGTACCAGTTCCAGCAGGGTTGACGGTGATACTGCAAGAGCCTTCTGCGGCGCTAGGAGATACTGGTGGAAGCGGGAGCTCGGTGATTGCGATGGGTTCTGGTTCCGGAGGGGGCTTGAAGTCTCCAATTGCGGCTCGCAGGGATGAAGAGAGTGCAAGGTCATCAGTACCCACTGCTAGGAGCACAACGGCGGTAGCTGCGGAAACGAAGTTCAAGAGGGCCATGGCGAAAATAGAAACCCAGTCCCAGAGGAGTAGTTGTGGATTTGTCTCCAGAAATTCCTAGATCCAGTGGTGGGGACGTCCATCCTGAAGAACCGCCAGCGCTGTCTTTCTATACATGTACGTTTGCCTAGGCAGGCTTGATCTCTCCTCGGCTCTTCCCCATCACAGGAAAAATTGTGATCCGTCGATGTACAAACTAAGTCCGAATGCAAGGTTCGTGGGTGTTCTCATATAGTAATCCCCTCCACTAGCCCGTAATAGGGCAGCGTCGTATTCCCGTATTCGAGTACGATAATGCTTAGCCGCCGATCAGCCGTTAGCGGCTTATTACCAGGCCTGCGGAGTCGCGCTGTCGATGCCATCATTATTGCTGACGTAGCGTTGGCATAAGCAGTGGAAAAACCTAGAAAGATGAGACTTGATAACCAACAGTTGCTAACCTTTAGATCCCACGCCCTCCCTATGAAAGAATTCCTACCTTAAACCGGTGACCCCTTCTCTGAATCCCGACTCGTCGACTTCGTTGTCACCTCATCCCGCAATCTGTCTCCAACGACTCTCTTTCCGAATGGCTGAGAAATCAGCCCAATAATCTTCGCACGGCCAATCAATCGCTCTTTCCCCTGCACTGCCGGTATCCCATCATGATATCCGTTGAGGTCAAGGTCAGTATAGCTGAGGAAGAGGCATGGGTGCAGATTGGCATTTAGTCGAATGTGTAGCATAAGCTGGTTGATCAGCTTAATGCAGTTGGGGATTACTTTGTCATCACGTTACGGGGTATAATTATGCTGAACACTTTTAGAATCTTTATATCGCAGTCTACGGGAAAGCATAGATGATACTTTGTCGCTTGTGATACTGGCTAGCTCAACCCAATGCCCAAACTATTGAAAAGAACATCGCAGTCTATACTCGGCCACTTTGGCCATCTTTCATACTTCGCAGTAACTGAGCACCGTCAACGTTAACACTGGCAGAGCAATAAAGAAGCTTCCAGCGCCAAACACTATTTCCCAACTACCCCAAATGAATTTGCCCGAGAGTACAACTAGAACAAAGAGAAGTAAAAAGACACAGAGGCGCTTGCTGACTTTCCAGTCCATCTCGACGTAGAGACCGTCTAGTTCCAATCCTCTTACCTGTTGCTGAGGGCCATGGAATGGTAGTCTAATGGTCCTGGAGGACACTATTATTATTTCATTCTTAAGTCTTGTTTAGTGGGACTTACTTATAGTCGTGGATATAACCATGGCCATTAATGCTGTTCAGAATGTTTTGAGAGCGGGCACCAGCTGGATTGCGGAAGTAGCAGGACAGGAAAGGCATAGTTTGAATCCAACGCAGTTGTTTATTGCACACATCCCACTCCTCAAAGGGACAGACTGAATCGATAGAAGCCGTAAGTGAGTTAATCGGGCAATTGTAATTATCATGGTTGTACTTTCCCGAGTATTCGAGATAGCAATAGTCCGGAAAATCATCCGAATTAAGATCCGTAATAGAGTGAATGACTTTCTCCGCTTCTGCCTGTCGTGCGGAGTAGAGTTCGCGTAATTTGGACAGGTCTAACGGCTCCATAAAGACTGAGAATCTCTCTGAGCGCTGATGGACAAATCGGAACTTGACTAAATATCAGTATGTACGAGTGCAATATGGGATAATTGGAACATACAACGACCGGTCTGAGCCGGGCAAAGTCTCGAAAGTAAAGATGGCGTCGCCAAAAACCTCGTTCGGCAGCGTATCGCGCTGCCAGTTTTTGAAAAATCTCCTCTTCATTTTCCAAGTTGGTGGTTGGAACGTCCACAGCCCAAGTCGTAGCCATTTCAGAATCTTTGGAGCTCCACAACAAGAATACGCAACTGGCGCCATCTTGCCTCTCCGCTTCCCTTTGAAAATGCGAAAAGAAAAGATCTGCAGGCGAGCCCGACGGCTTTTGCGCAATGTCATGCATGATTCGTGGTCGTCTTCTCTTCTTGGGGTATTTCCCACTTGTGTTCGGAGTAGGTTGGAACCCAGTTGCTTCCAGCACGGATCTCTCAGAAGACCGAACACGGGCCCGCTCCGGGAGTGATGGAGGGTCTACCGGAGCTGTTGACATTTTTGAAAGACAAAAACATTATGTTAAGACCAGAAAGGACAAGGGGCGAAAGTGTTAGGTTGTTCCTCTATTACAAGTAGAGCAGGCCGATATATAATGCAAACAACAGCTAGGCAGCAGCGTTAGCTGAGGCGGCAATCATCAGTCGTGTAATTTACTTCTAGCTTTATTACCTAGATAAGAGTTGTGTATTCGTAATACCGTTAATACCAGTAGCTAATAGGTAGTTTATCTACTAGTTCTTAGTGCGAGATACTAAAAAAGCATAATACGAAGTTTACGTAAGCATTCTGCTATAAACACGTGAAAGAAAACTACTTCTATATATACGCCTCTCTATATACTCCTAAAATAGAAAGTCCTTACGTAAATAAAAGCCTAGTACAGAACCTTCTACTAGAAAGGTGTCCCGAAATTAGAGAAAAAGAATACCCTACCTAGGTATTCTAAGGCGGGGTTTAAAGGGTATCGCGCCGAAAAGGAAAAGACTGCACATTTCGCGGCATAGCGTCTGCCACTGCTTCGGAACTAAACACTTCTACCGCTTGCTTCTCGTCGCTGATCTGTAGGGATGAGGAGTCGTTGTAGTCGATGCATTCTTCGTCCCAGGAGGAAGAGAGGGATGGAGACGCACTTGATCCAGCGGAGGCTATAGATGAGTCGTAGGTTTCCGTCTGTCCGGCGTGGTTGTGGTTCTCGTTCTCATTTGCAGCGAACGAAGGTGAGGAGCAGGACGAGGAGTCATCCTCGATCTTAGGCATACAGAGCCGATTCTCAGCATGGTCCACTCGACAAACGATCCCCTTGCCGTGTTGCCCGGAAGCACGCCTGCCAGCGGCGTTGGAAGAGTCCTGGCGGATGACGGGTTTAGCATCCCTGGTGATGTGCCTGTGCCAACGGCAATCATTCATGAGCTCGCGGTTACGCCAAAACTCATACCCGACTGGGGGCGACGTGTCTTCGGGCTCGGCTTTTATCAAGGTTGTCTGGCACGGGGATGTAGCGTCTTGGGAAGAATGCTCGGAGGACTGGTCCGTGGGTTCGTAGTCCATGGAGGAAGGGCGGCGGGATTCTTGGGATACGGGCGCGTCTTCGCTGGGGTTGGGCAAACTGTGGAGTGGGATGCAGTCTCCGTAGTACGTGGCGCAATATGAGGAACCGTAGTCTACGGGAAAGTGAGACTGAGAAAGTGGTCCTATTTCGCTGATGCCGTTAGCGACGTGCGCTCCATAAGCCGTGTGTCCAGGGCGAAAGGAACTCTGTTGGGGCTGATCGAGAGTGGTCGAAAAGCCGTGAAGTATCTGTAGACCCGGTGGAGAACTGGGCAGATCTTGAACCCATTCCAGGCTCCGAAGCATCGCACTCTCGTTCTGCACCGGGACAGCATCTGAGCTCTCAGGAGTCGGCGGGTTTTCCTTTCCCTGCGCGCCCTCCACCGCCGCATCGAACAAGGGCTCGAACTCGTTCCAGAGGTCCGGCACGTGGACCGCAAGATCGACGCTAAAGCGGTCGAAGACCTGGCGTTTGAGCGCTGCGCACAGCTTCTGCAGATCTTCTTGCGCGTTCAGCGGCGGCAGCTCCCGATCGTGTTTTACTGCACTGGTGATCAGCTTGTTCCAATGTAGTTCACGCGGGGATTTCGCATTCTTACTGAGCGGGCAGGGGATGCGGTCTTTGGGGACGGTAGGGAAGAGGATGTGGAAGACGCGCTTCCATTTGGCATCTATGGTTCCGAGGCTTTTGAATTCGGCGGATTTGAATTTGAGCTTCGCGAGTGTGTCTTTGGAGAGGGAGTGCGGTTTGGCTTTGAGGTGGTCCCTGGTCACTGTTAGCTTTGACTTCGTATGTGAACTACGATAGCTTGGGAAATGAAGCTACGAAACGGAAGAACGTACTTGAGCTTCCCAGGCTCAGCAAAGCCTTTTCCATGGCAGGCGGCTTGCTGCGAATACGCAGTCGGATCCTTCAAGTAGAAGGGACATGCTACTCTTGGCCGGTCGTCGACGGCGGCGCCAGGTTCCAGCCCAGTCCGCGGCCGTTTCCGACCGTTATTGGAGTTTGTGTCGCTTGTTCGCTTGCGAAGGTTGGGGCGCGAGGCCTGCTCGTGCTGTGGTATAGTTTGAGTTTGAAGTTGGATTTGTGTTTGTGTTTGAGTAGGTTGAACATTGAGTGTATGTATTATAGGTGGCTGACGTGCATTCCCATCGTTGCCGGCTAGCTTTGATGGTGCACTCCATCCCACATGCCCACCGCCACACCACTCCTCACTCAGAGTGTCCTCTACTGCTCTATGCATGCTTTAGGTGCGTGATAGCCCGGCGTGCTTCGCGGGAGGCCTGAAGGACGCCAGAGCTTCATGCAGATAAGCTGCTGAGAAGCGATGAGCTGCACTCTGAGTGAGCAACGAGGTGTGGACTTGCATTGGACGGGACAACGTACCTGTGCGACTGCGTGAAGACGCAAAAGGGGATGCGCGAAGCGCAATACGCATTCCTTTCGCGTTGACTTCAGTGGCAAAGCATTTTCCTGGTGTATTAGTGACGGGAAAGAGGCAAGCAAAGTGCGTGAAATTTATAGTTTCCGCAACAGCGAGTTTTCGTAACAGCGAGTTCTCGCTCTTCAGCAACCCCCGCTTCCACTCCAGGCAGCAGCCTTGGCCTGCCTCTCAAGCCATCCAATTAAACACTTCTCGTTATCTCACCCTGCATGCTTATAGGCAATGCCTTCTATTTCCCCACTTATTCTATCCCGTACTGGGCGCTATAGTGCTACAATATGTTTCACATACATGAAAATCGATAAATGGCTGCATAAAGCTAGCAATGCGTGGAAAGCTTTAGAAATTATCGTCGCGCATGACTTCGCGGTGCTGTGAGCGATTGGGCGTTTGGACTCACGTATATTTTAGTACAGCGGTACTGAATCTGCGTAGTTGGCGGATACGAATTGGCTAGCTCTCCGTTCTCCGCCTATGACTCTTCCTAGCTTCGCGATTAGCCAGCACTTATCGCGGCTTTTACCGTGGTATAATTCTAGGCCACTCCAGCCTGCATCTCTTCCACTTAATACGCTGCTAAATGGGGAGGTCTCGCGTTTGGTTCGTCTGCTCTCGCTATCCATATCGGGCTTAGCTTCAACCTATCCTCAAGCTCGTCCACTCTTCTCGTGGAGAGACATCCATGGATCCTGTCGTCTCACGTTACGACGCAAAGCTGAACTCTACTGGCGCATCAAGCGAAACCTATCGCGATGCTTTTCATCACGAGAGCGGGGCGAGAGTTCGTCACGCGCACATCGCGAGACCTAAAGCGATCACGCGCTCCATTTTCCTCGCCCCCGCTCGCACTACATATCAAGGCAGCGCCATCCGCCCGCTTTCCATGCAGACTCTGGAGATCCGATTCCCCCTCCTCGTGCGCGACTCGATCGCTCGACAAAAATTCCTAGGCTTCCTTCGGCGCCGGCGTTCCATTCCAGTCCCTCCTTTTACCCTACCTACCCAGATAGACGGAACGGACGACGAAACCAGACGGACCATACCTTACATTCTTTTGCGCAACCGAAAGAGACGATCTCACTAAGCTATTATACCCACGGGCTGCATATCCCTCCTTGCACAGATCCTCTTCGCGAATCGCGATCTCCTTCCATTCTTTCACTGCCGCGAAACGGTTGGAAACAGCAACAGCTCCCTACCTACCCACCACTCCCTTATTTCCCACCAGGACTCACTCGGCATGAACCTATACCTACCCTAGCTGGCATCGCATCGCATCGCATCGCCTTACGGCCTACCTACATACCTACCTAGGTACTTACCCCAATGGCTTGGCTTGCTAACTGCACGGGACCGACCCCACCTAACTCGACCTAACCTAAATCGACCTAACCTAAATCCCTCCCTTCCCCTGCTACGACACGGCCTACCCAGCACTACATACACCACACAGTTCTCTTCTGCTCCGTTCCGCCCCGCTGGTATCGCATCCTTCACGGTTCTTTTATTGTTTCGCCATTCCATTCGCCATTCCACTCCAGGGTAATAATCCCTCCCTGTTTCTAGCTGCTGATCGCCTCTTGTCGCTTTGCTTCGCTTCGCTTCGCTCCGGCTTTCACTTTTACATTCACCCTTCCTTCGGCTCGCTTCGCTTCGGTATTCGACGTGTGTATTCCTTTACTTGCGGAAAGGCATTTATTCCCTTAGCTATTGGCGCGTTGGGCCTATAGTGGCGCAAGATTCATGAGCGTGTAAGATGTTGGGGAAAGAAAGAGCGGCGGGTTATAAGTAAGAAGAGATGGACGGAGGTTATATGTGTTATACTTGTATGGGATGATGGGGTGTAAAGAGTATTGGGTTTCGTTGGGTATGAATATGGATGATGCGAGGATTGTTTGGGCGTTGATGACTTTTTGGAGAAGATAGGACGCTGGTTATTGCGGTGTTTTCAAGGGTCGCGATGATTTTTTGTTTCTGGTTGGAGGTAAGTGTAAGCAAGCGGTTTTCGTGTTAGACGTCGGACTTGGGGTTTGCATGAAGAAGCTATGTCGCACTCAAATACGAGAGATATATAATCCAAAAACTAAACACTCTACCGGGCATTCTTCGCGCAACCTTACTATTCTCAACGCCCATCAATCATGGCTTCTGCCTAGACCCAGCATCCATCCCCTCTACTAGCTAGAGCACTTCTCCCAATCATAACTAAAGCCCTGCTGCGCACCGTAGTAGTCCATCTTCCCATCGATCTCATGGCTCTCGCTCGCCACCGTTCCCGTCGCACCCTCCTCCTCCGCAGCGACGTACAGATCAGTCCTATACTTGATAATCCCCGTCCCGCACTTCGGCATCGCCACGCGCTTAGAGTCCGCTGGCATGACGGAGTTATCGTCCGAGTACGTTGTGTTGCGTGGACCGCTGACGGCGATAGTATCGACGAACTAATGAAGAGGGGCGTTAGCGTTAGATGCATGACTACAAGCAAGCAAGAAGAGACAGGAAGCGAGTATCCGCCCACTCCGTATAGAACAAAAACTCGCCATCCCACTCACCTCCCCCTCCTCCCCAGGGAAATAAGTAAACCTCCACTCCACACGAACCCCCCTCTCCAACTCATACGCCGCCAGCATCCTCGTCCCATTCTTATGCAGCCTGAGCCGGTACTCCGCCGCCGGCTTCGCCGTATCCAGGCACCCGTCCAGCTCCGTGTACTGCAGCGTCGTCTCGCACCACGTGTGCGCGTCCGACTCGTCTGCGCCGACGCGGGCGCGCAGGTACGGGTACGCGACGTGCCAGTAGTATATCTCGGAGCCGTCGACTGTGTTCATGCCGTAGGTGAGGCGCGTGTTGTAGCCTATGGGCGCGGGGTGCATGTCTGGGCAGCCGGGACCTGAGAGCGCGGTGATGGCGAAGGTCCAGCAGGAGGGGAGGATGCGGAGGGGGTCTGCAGTGGCGTCGGGGGTTGGGAGTGCGGAGGCGGTGGATAAGAGGGCGAGGGAGGATGTGAGGGGCAACTTCATGGTGGGAAGTGAAGACGGTCGAGGACGTAGGAAGGACGCTCGTGGAGTCGTGGGCTTTTCATGTCGAGAGCGGAATCTGGCTCATTATATGGTATTTCCGCTGGGTCAGTTGTGATGCCGTAGAGTGCGCTGAGTGGGCTCTTTTGCAATAGGCGCCCCATTGCAATAGAGGAGCAATCTCAGGGACCATTGTGCAGGCATTCAATAAGCGGTTTACCCCACAGAGTTCAGCCCGTTCGATCGTGGATGCCACTCTAAGCTCGCATTATCCATTGTACCCAGCTGCGCGATTGACAAACGAAAACGTCTTCTATATCTACGCAATATGGAAGATGCGGAGCCTAATAGGTAGCACAGATGAACTCTCGAAAGGAGAATCCTTCAGCTCCGAGCCGTCGATCATGCTTGCTCAACGGCAAGCCATCCGCCAGCCCACGTTACACAGCTTTTCTCTCGCGCGAGAGCTCGTTACTCGGAACACTTGCGCCGCTGGAATAGGGAAGGTAATCTGGAGGATTAGTGCGTCCGCCTATATGCTGCCTGATCTCGTGTTCGCTGCCTACTTCGACGTCAATTTAAGCGTATTACCGCCGCGCCCGCAAATCTGGGGTAACCCACTTAGACGTACATTGACATCAACCGTTCTTATTGCTTGTGCATGGATACGACATGCACGGCGTCGAGGAAGTTATGGATGGAGGGGAAGTCGAATGTGCGGACGAAAATCGCCGGTTGAGGAGACAAGGTAGCCCGAGGTCATGGAAAAATGGCGGTCCTGTAGAAACACCTTTTGGAGGCGAGAAATCTACGGCAGCCCAAATAGCGTTTTCGAGATCAGTGAGCGATGGAGTTATAGCGTGTAGAGCGTGCATGCCCGAGAGAGACGAGGGCAAGGAGGGAGTGCGTACCTGGATCATTGCCCAGAGAGAAAAGGGTCGGACAAAGGGCGTCGTAACTTCACCAGGGAAAGCACTACCGCCACATGAACCAACCTAAAAACGAATGTCTTGATCATTAGATGATGCAAATGCTAAACGCCGAAGATGCTATATACAATCCCAAATACTATCTACAACCCTCTAGCCCACCGTGAATTATTGCAATGCTGAGAAGATGACGAACGAGCGACGAAAAGAGCAAGAAGGTTCCAACAACCCAAGAGTACAGTTCACACTCCTTCACTGCGCTGAGCGAATGGCGCCGGCGTAGCTCACAACCATTAGAGCATGAAAGCGGCGGCACCGAAAACAAAGCTGATCAGTGCGCTCGCCATCCCAAGCTGGGGTGCAGCACCCTCGAAAGAAGTAGGCGTCGGCCTCGCGCCGGTGCCGCTCGAATTGCCTGTCGGCGCGGAAACTCCGGTGATGAAGCCAGTGTTGGTGCCAGTGGGCGCCGGGACTCCGGTGATGAAACCACCGCTGCCAGTGGCAGTAGGAGCCGGGACGCCAGTGATGGAAGCACCGCTAGATCCAACCTCCTCGATGTTAAGCAAGACGGTCTCGCAGCCCTCGTAATAATCCTGCAGAGCAGATAGGCCTAATCAAGGTCAGCTTTCGGGTGCGAATGTGCGCGGTGAATAGGATAGCTTACCGTCGTACCACAGCACGAGATAATCGTACTCGGTATTGTTCTTGCACGCGCGCCAGGTACCAGATCCAACCATATCGCTAGCGTTGTGGGTGACGCCCCATCGCTGGGCATGCAGGAGCTCGTTGTCGTTGTAGATCATGAAGTTGTTCGTGAACAGCTTGTCGTCGCCTGCTGGCGTCGGGTCTGCGCCGATGGCCACGTCGTAAAGGGGCATGGCGGCATCATTTCCGGTGAGGATCAGGTGCGTCTGCCTCACTGCGCCTTTGAGCTCATACAACTTGTCGTTATCGGGATTGGGCGAAAAGGTGAATGTGTACTCTTCGCGGGGCTCGCCGGTGGACCAGGACCCAAGCGCGTTTGGAGAGGTGTTTGCTGTCGGGTCGTCCTTCAGTGCGAGGGAGCTGCCACTGATGGCGGGATTCGTGGAGTTAATCACGAGGCGGTAGGATGTGCCTGATGTAGGGGTCAAGGCGGCGGAGGTGGCCAGAATGGCGGAGGTGGAGAGGAGGGTGGAGGTAGTGAACTTCATCTTGAACTTGAACTTGGTTGTTGGACAAGAAGCGAAAGTGGATATGCTAGAAGCGAAGGAAAACCCGAAAGAGGAAACAGGAAAGAAGAGATGGAAAGGCTTGCGATGCTGTTGATTGTGTTGCTGTTGTGATGATGAGTTCAATGTCGACGGCCATCCTCCTTTTTATACTAGAAGTCCACTAGCAGTCTTCACAACCTCCAAGGTACCTGTCTCGATGTCACCTCTCAGTTACATCTCGCCAGCGCCGTACAGCGCAGCCACATCGCAGCAGCTGTCACCGCTAGCCTCAGGTACAGGCCACTACGTCGCAAACGCGGTGTGGGAGAGTCTGTGATTCAGGAACGCATGCCCCGCATGAAGCAGCTCGCCGACCAAAGAAATGAGAAGGCTCTGTAGAGTGCGCTTAGGTAACTCAAGAGGGGCATTACAGTGAGAAAGCTCGTGCCCTTCAGCTTTGGACGGGGCAGCCACGTGCCTTGGCGTGCAGCGGCTGTTAATGGCTTCCCTGCAACGGTTATCCGAAGTGTCGAAGGAAAGGCCGTATCGGTTGATCCCGTCTCGACCTCCATTTCTGGATGGACATTAGCATTGGCAACCTATTCCTGGGACTCCCCCTTTGATGCGAGACGACTTTGCGGGTAGCAAACAGAGAATTTGTCCGATCAGTTTTCTAGCGATGCTGTCCGACCCCTGCCCTTGCAAAAGCCGACATCGTATGACCCTCTTGGCAGCGTTCAGCCTCTTGCATGCGGAGACACCGCAACGGCGGTGACAGCGGTCGCGTCCAACTGTGGCCGTGCAAGTCATCCAGGAATAGCCTCCTGCAACTTTACTCGAGCTGGCGTGCCTATGCCACGAGTCCGCTTGGATTGACGGGTACCAGGGGCGCTGAAAGAGGGCAGCTCGGAACGGTGCGTACGACGCCGGTCCGCGATGCTTGTGTTCAAAGAGCCGCATTAAGCTTCCACGAGCTGCGAAATGACGAAGGACGGCGAATGTCTCGCTCTTTTGCGCTACACATTTCGTCGCGGCGTGAATGTTGGTGGAGGAGCTGTGGTCGAGGAGATTGGCGGTCAACCCCAGGCCCGCCTTTCCCAAAGCAGTAAGGCTTCCTCCCTAGCCCATATTTTCCTGAAACCGCACCTGGGCACGCACCACGCATCAAAATCGACTCCGCCAGCGTTGCACTGCGATCATCGGAGCGATCCGAACAGAAGATCTCGCAGCGGGCCCTTCCTCTGCTCATCAGCTCAACGCACGACATGCGGCTCCAGCATCTACCCCACAGTAAGCGGCGAAGCTCCTGAGCCCTGCGTAGTCGGCGATGACATCTTCAGCCTCGTGCGCTGCTCAGCCGCGGGAGCCGCCAACCCGGCACGTGTAGCGATTGGTTCTAGAACGCTTTCTGCAGTGCTTCCTTGAGCCGCCGTTTGGGATGGCTGGTTTTGGCAGCTGCTTGGCATGGTTGGTGCATCATGGGATGGTGCTGGGAGGAAAAGTTTGCTCGAATGAGGATCGCGGTGCTGCTTGATGTCTTGTCGACGTATATGTATGCGGGGAAGCGCGATGGTTTCAGTCCTGAGGACATGCGTCTCTGAAGCAATACTACATTCTTACTCCTGGGACACGCGATACTTGTTGGAAATATGGTCTTCATGTCTAAGGACCAGCTCGAGAAATTGTGCTGTAGGTCGCGTCAGGCATCCCATCTACCCCGCTCGAATCCCCCTTTGCCCCTTCCCACTGAACTCTCGTTGACCCTTTTGAAATGGCAGACGACTTGAAGGATATTCTGTCCTGGATCGACATGTTCGGAAGTGCGAATATTTTCACTTGAAGCCTGTCGAAAGGATGCCCGTCGCTACCGCTCAAGTTCCAATGGCCACCAAATTCGAATACGCAAAACGCATTTGAGGAGCGCCAGCGTCCCTGAACAGTTCGCTCGAGATGCGGACGAGAAGCTGTAAGACAGTTGAGCATGGGAGAAGAGGAGGCATATGAAGATCAAGATTGAATCCGCTCCGAACGTCTCTGGCCTCGAGGGGCGATGGCAAACGAGCGTTTGATTAGGCAGAAGAAGAGGAAGCTACACGCTCACGGATCCGCAACACGATACACCAACTTCACACCACTAACCTTCCCACTCTTCATATCCTCCAACCCGTTCAACACGCCCTCCAGCCCACCCTCCCTCACATCCTGCCGATGCGGCCTCCACTTGCGCTCCATCCACAACTTCTCCGCCAACTCCGTCCACTTGACCGTAAACTCGTAGTCCTGCGGCTTCGCCTCCCACTTCATGCCCGCGATCTCGAACGCCTCTCCCGCCGCCGTATACCCGAGCGTAAACGTAAACTCGACGTCGTCTCGCGGCGGCTTCATCCCAGGGCCCATCAGAATGGTGCCGTAATGCAGTTTTTGGCCCGCAGGGGCGGACGAGGCGAGAGCGGCAGCGCAGGCGGCGGGGCTGCCGTGCTCACCAATGGTGTCCCAGGCGTAGTACAGTTTGTTGTTGGTGTGGGCGCGGATGTCGGCGCCGACGGTGGGCGAGCGCGAGTCGAAGACTGTGTCTGCGCCGAGGCTCTTCACGTAGTCGAAGTTCCGTGGGGAGCAGGTGGTAATGACCTCAAAACCAGACCTGGACGCCGTCAATCCGGCTTTCAGAGCATTCCATGGAGGGGGAGAATGGCGCATAGCAGAATTCTACTCACAGTTTCGCAAACTGGATCCCTAACGCCCCCGTCGCCGAACTCCCGCCCCAAATCAAAATCGGCATCTTCTCCTCCGCCCGCAGCGGCTGATCCGGCCACGGCAACCCCATCCTCTGATACAATCCCTGGCCCACAGTCAGAATCCCCACCCCCGCCGTCGCCGCCTCCTCAAAGCTAACTCCCTCGGGAATCCGGCCCACAACCCCACCCTTGGTAACCAGATACTCGCCAAAGGCGCCAGTATACGGTCTGGTTTGGTTGCCGCCGTGCGTAAAGCCCCAAACGCGGTTGCCCTTCTTCAAGGGGCGCGGGACGGCGGAGCCGACCTGCTCGACGATGCCGGCGAAGTCGCAGCCGGAGGTTGGTTGGGCGGCGCCCATGGGGTAGTTGAAGTGCTTCCAGTCGGTGGGGTTGAGGGCTACGGCGACGGTTTTGACGAGGATCCATTCGTCGCTGGGGAGGGTGGGGATTTCGGCGTCGGAGACGACGGCGGCGTGGCCTTGGCTGAGGATCTTGATGGCTTTCATTGTGAGGCGGGATGGTGGAGAGTAGTGGAGTGGGGGCTGGGGTTGATGTGCTTCTGCAGCGGGGCGATTGAAGGAGTATTTATCCGCTTGGAGTGTTTCGGGATGTATTGTAATGTTCCTTCCGATTAGACCGAACGCCGAGTTCGTACGAAGTAGCGCGATTGACGTTTCACCGCGTGAGCCATGATGTGCCTCGCAGACGATCCTTAAACAACACCGCAGGAGCACGGCGCATACTTCCCGCATCGGGATATCTACAACATTCCTCCGAGCCTGTCTAGGTACTCTTACACTTACATACGACTCATTTGCAGCATCAGCGACAATTCCCCAAGCACTTAGGTATCTCTCACGTTCATTACATTCTCCGAAAACGATCGGCTACCAAAGACGGCGGGTTGCAGCTCAACGCTGCATTGTGCCGGATTAGAATTCCGCACGTATCGCATTTTCTACGCATGGCATATGTAGGATGGAGAAACAGAGTCGGAGGAATAGATGTGCCGGCCTGACGCCGTGGGAAGCTTATTAAAACATCGGGTTGCTGACAAATACAGGGGCCACCTAATACGAGGATGGGAAGGCGCTAGAACGTGATTTTCCATTTCATAGGTTTTCCCCTCTTGTCGCGCAAGTTTGCGGAGTCGATGGATGCCTTGTCGCGCTACCGAAGTCGCTTGCCGTCCGCGACCTCGGAATAGTCTCCAACTAGTTGGCGTTCCGCTTGCTAGCGTAAGTTGGATAATGCTCTAACCAAGTGGTGACCGATTGCTAGGAATAAAGGGACAAGACCTGCGCATGTCGAGTATCCAAGGCGACGTCAGTTGTCAAAGGGACAGAAAGCCTAAGAGTATAAGGAGGGGAAACTGTGGGACTGGTATGTGAGAAAAGGCGATAACGAAGAGAACTTGATGGGGCTGAAGAAAGAAGTAGCGAAGATGTGCAATCCAGCGTCGAGTGTGGCAGCATTGAAGGCAACAAGTCTCAGTGCCAGAGCCGGTAGATTTCATAAGCGTTTTTGGTGGGCACTTAGCCTGGGGGTACGGAGACGAAGAATCAGATCTAGGCGTTCGTACTTGCTGAACGAGGAACAGAGCTCTGAACGCCGTCAGAACATTGTGTGTGGGCACCGGACCATTTCCCTCTTCTTGTGTGTTTAGCATGGTACTTCAGCCCCCGTCTTCGGTGCCTTCCAGGATTGCGGTGACCGTCGCGACCAGAGAGTAGAGGACAGTGAGCACTTCTCGCCGCTCTCACCCAGGAAAGCGACTTGAATCTTGGTTTGCGCCACCAAAGAGACGCCTATACTCCTCGAAGTCCCTTGAGAAGGGCGATCCATCTTCAGCGCCAATGGTTCGATGAACGTGCTGATCTTCGGCGTTGTCCTGCTTTATTGCGGCACCCAAATTGAATTTCTCGTTCCAAGCCTATTACGGAGAGGGTCATTGCATCCGCATGCATAGAGAAGGGCTTTGGGTGAATTAGCGAGGCGTTCAGGTTGCCAGGTGTGCGAAGGAGAAGCGGATCGCTTACTAACAGACTTGGCAGCGACATGTCAAACCAGACCTCCACGTACGATTCTCCCCCCTCAAACTCACGATGGCAGGCACACGAAGATCCGCGCGGCAATCAACATCCACAGCCCCTAAGTACGCAGAAGACAGCTCATCAGCTTCAGAAGACGCAGCGCCGAAGCGCAATGGCAAGAAAACGCCGCGTCGCAAGCGCGCTCGCGAGGACGAGCAAGTCGCCGCGAAGGATGAAGGGTACGTTCACTCCACTCCAGAACCACATAAACCCGCTCTAACCTAATCCCTGGCGCACCAAAGCCCACCGCCTCCTAAGAAGAAAGCCGCGAAATCCGCACCGAAGCCCCCGAAATCCACGCCCAAACGCGCCCGCTCTCCCAAACCTCCGCAAGCCCCTGCCGCCCCTCCTCCCGCTCCTTCCTCGGATACAAATCGCGACGCCGACGGCAACCAGGAAGTATACTGGCTTTTCAAAGCAGAGCCGCTCCCGCGCTACGAAAACGGCGTCAACGTCGCCTTCTCCATCGACGACCTAGCCGCCTGCGACCGTCCCGAGCCCTGGACCGGGGTGCGCAACCCGCAAGCGCGGAACAACATGCAAGCGATGCGCAAGGGCGACCTCGGCTTCTTCTACCACAGCAACGCGAAGCCGAGCGGGGTGGTGGGCATACTGCGCGTGGTGGAGGAGGCGAAGGTGGATGAGACGGCGTTCGATAGCAAGGATCCGTATTATGATCCGAAGAGCGAGCGCGAGAAGCCGAAGTGGTATTGCGTGGGGGTCGAGTTTGTGAGAAAGTTTGACGGGGTGGTGGATTTGCAGAGGATTAAGAGGTATGCGGGGAAGGGCGGGAAGCTGGAGGGTTTGCAGTTGGTGACAAATGGGAGGCTTAGCGTGTGTCGCGTGAGGAAGGAGGAGTGGGAGTTCATTCTTGGTTTGGCAGAAGGGAAGGAGGAGGGCGAGAGTGATGACAAAGGCGTGAACGATGGTGAGGGCGGAGAGGCGACTGCGGGCACTGAAAAAGGGACGAATGAGGACAAGGATTCATGATACCCACCAAATCGAGAATCGGAAATAAAGAGAAGGTTTAATGATGCCCGGAACGTGTCTAGAGCACAAGGGAGTGATCATTAATCAGTGGCATTAGACTTTTTGAGTCATATACTAACGGAGTAGGAGCATCCGCCCTCGATCCCGGTATCACAGAAGGCTCATACCCTCCGTTCTCACTCAAGCCCGCCATTTGCTAGCAGAGGGAACCTCTGCTCGATGGGGGCGCCCCGATCCTCGCCGTCGAGCCAAACACCGGAAGTTTTCAAGAAAGAAACCAGGTTACAACCCCATGGCAACGCCTAGTACTGCAGATACTGGACGATATTCGGATCATTGATGAAGGTGCACCTTTCCCTCAACCTCTGCTCGCTAACCTCCGGAATACTATCCGGCCCATCGAGCGCAAAGTACCCTTCGCGCGGTCCGCCAATCGTCATCACGTATGTATATCCCGGAAATGGGCCCAGCCAGGCGGTGTCATTATGCGTCTGGAAAAGCGCCTTATTCCAGCCCTGCAGCGTCGTGTTACCCGTCTGCAACCACGGACTCCCAAACCACGGAAAGACGGACCAGCTTGCGCTCGCGCGATCCCGCAGGTCGTAGTCTTCCTGCGTGGGGTTGAACGGATAGCCCGAGACGTTGTAATGCGAGAGGTTGCCGTAGATGTAGGCGAATTCCGAGGTGTGCACGACGCCCATGCCGCTGACGTTGTACACGGCTTCGAGGATGGGATCGAGGATCGTTTGGTTCCAGTTGTACAGGTAGACAGGCGAGTCCTTGTGGGCGCGGATCCCTTCAGCGAGCAAGATGGGCTCGCACACCATGAGGATGTCGCGGAAGATGCGGGCGGCGCGGTAGAATTCGGCGGTGAGGTTTGTGCCTGGCGGCGGTGTGAATTCGCTGACGGGGTATAGGCCGAGGAGCATCCAGACTTTGTCGGCCGGCATCTCGGGGAGGTAGCCCTGGATGAAGTTGAACGTGTCTCTGGCGGTGGTGATGCTGATGTTGGTGAAGAAATTCACGTCGCCTTGCGTCCAGCCCATGATGTAGGTTGCGTCTCCGAACCGGCCTTCCGCGATGAGCTGAGAGGGGGCTGCGGGTAGGAAATCGCCGTCCACGACCGGGAGCCAGATGTCCCCGATGTTGTGCGCGATGTCGCCGACGTATGTCTCCAGCATTGCTTGCCGCAGCGTCTCCGTATCTTTCAGCCGCAGACAGGTGATCACCTCGGGCGAGTGGACTGAACCGCTGGTGCTGTTGCAGCCAACGTAGTCAACCACCTTGGTCATAGCATCGATGCTAAAGTTCCCCGTGATCCCGGGCTCCAGCGCCTGCGACTCGCAGATACCCTGCTTGAAAGGGAGAGGCTTGGTGCCCCCGTAGGCGAGCAACTGCATGCCGACCGCAAGCCCACCGGACGACTGGCCAAAGATCGTGATCCTGTTCGGGTCGCCGCCAAACTCCGCGATATGGTCGCGGACCCATTCAATAGCCAGTCGTTGATCGCGGAGCCCTGCGTTCTCACTCTTCTCCTTCTCCAGGGCCTCTGACTGCGCGAACCCGAAGAATCCGAGCCGGTAGTTCATAGCCACATGGATCACAGGAAACCCGCTATCGATAGATTCGAGCACGAGCCCATCCGGCTGATGCGTAGGCTCGGTGTTCGACCCCACCCAGAAGCTTCCGCCATGAATCCACACCATAACAGGTAGTTTCTTGGTCTCACCGAGGCCGCTTGGCCGCGCAATGTTGAGGTTCAGACAGTCTTCGGAAGTGTCGCTGATGTTGCTCAGCGTGAGCGGCGCGTTCCACATGCCGTGCATTTGCGGACATGCTGGGCCGGCTTTGGTCGCGTCAATGGTAGCACCTGGCGGCGGGACGTAAGGCACTGGCGGCTTGAACCGGTTTGCTCCGCTGGTGTCCTCGGCGTAGGGGATTCCTAGGAAGACTTCGATGCCGTTGCGCATCAGGCCTTGGATTGTGACGTTTAGGTCTGCAGGGTGAACGGTTGGTGACGCGGTGACGGCACCTGCGAGCGCTGCGAGCGCGAACAGCTTCGGGAGCTTCATGATTGCAGTGTCGCCGTCCTGTGTCGACTGTTACGATATCACAGGGTAGACAGGAGCGAGAAGGAAAAAGACGTTCGCGTCTGGTCCGCAATTCGAGGTGAATGCGGGTTACGTAAGGGGGGCCTGACCCATTTCCTCCCGCTCTTTTGTGGAGTCACGTGAGCCGAGAACCCGATCGGGCAGGTGAGATTCGGTGCAGGGGACTCCGAGCTCGAATACCATGATAAGACGTCGCTGATCCCGGCACTACTACGGCGGTATATTGGTTCCCCGCGCTGCAATTAGCGTCTTTGGGAGCTGTGGGCTGATATGTGCCCCAGCCCTGCAGGAACAAGTGTTGGTACCAAATCGGCAACGGGGCGGTCAGCAAATTTCGTTGCGGGGGAGACGCCAATGAAAGGTATTGCATGTCCCCTCATCCAACTCTGATAGTATATTACCCTGCAAGCCGTTCTTTTAGTAGCGGTTTCGTTCACGAACTCACAGCGACCCGTACCTTTCGTGCACGGCTAGTTCGGCTTAGAAGAAAAGATGCTCTATTATCGATATTATTCTAGTAACCAAACAGAAAACAACAAGACAGGAAGAGACGAATTTATTGCTGAACCACCAGGAAAGAAGATTACCATCGGGCCACCAACGCGTCATGACGTCACCACCACGACCTCCCGCGATCACACCCTCCTCCTTTAACTCTCCTTAAACGGAGGACTCTGCAAAAAGGGCCGGGCATTCGGATGACAGGTGGTGTTTGCCGGTGGAAGCTTGCCACTGTCAAAGTATTCTCGGACATGCTGGTAGATGCAGTCCGACGGAGCATCGAACGTGGCATGGCTGACTTCGTCCTGCTTCAGCACCACCGAACCGGGGAAGAGCGATGCTATTTTATAAGCACTGGAGAGTTGTTAGCACGGCCCGTCAAGCAACTACATAAGAGGACTAGGCTTACTTCCTGATTGGGCACACCGGGTCGAGCTCGTTGCCGAGTAGGAGGAGCGGAGCCTTGGTGGCTCCGCCGAACTTGCCTGTATAGGGTCAGCCTGTGAAAGTATGGAGGGGCCAGCGTGGATGGGTTCTCACCGTCGAACTTCTGGCTAGGTGGCGGGTGAAATGGCCACTGACGACAGGCCAAAGCAGAACCAGACCAGAGATCGCCAGCGTAAGAGCTCATACTCATCGCGGTGTCTAGGTGTTCTCTGTATGCCTCCCTCGTCGACAGATTGTATCGGCCGTCCGCGTCTGCGCAAATGATGCCAGTCAGTGCCAGTCCATCCTGGGGTACCAGCTTGTCCTTGTCGCAGTCATAGCACGGCGCCCCAGCAAACGCCAGCAGAGACGAGCCGTTCCTACTCTCGAGGTCAAGCAGGATCTGCGCAAGCACCGGGAACTGCACTTCGGCCAAGTACGCCGCGTTGAGGAACGCCGCTCTGAGCTGGCCGTACGTAGCGAGCGAAGGGATTTGCGCAACGGTCTTATCCCACACTGCGATCGGGTTCTCCTTGAACTGCAGAAGCAGCTTGCGGTATTGGGTTTCGATCTCCTCCGCTGAGTCTGCGTAGTACACGCAACGCTCCGGACCGGCTTGATAGCATGACTGGAAAAACACCTGCTCGACTTCGTCCGTGTCGTGCATGCTGGTGAGCCACTTGCCGCCGTAGTAGTCCTCGCCGTCGCCGATAGCATCGATAGCCAGCCGGCCGACACGGTCTGGGAAGAGCGTGGCAAACGTCGCTCCGAGGAAGGACCCATAGCTACCACCGTAATAGTACAGCAGCGCATCCTCGGGATTCCCTCCATTCTTGGCCTCCTGCCGCTCCGCAAACGTAAGCATATCCCTCGCCACAGCCGGCGTGCCCACGTATGCCGCCGAGCTGTTCAGCTCCTGGGCGCACAGGTCGCCGTACGCACCCATGAGCTCGAACAGCGCGTTGAAGTCTTCGGCGGAGACGGTCGGGTTCAGGCTCTGCGAGGTGGTCACCCAGTTCGTGCCCAGGGCGAGGTTGCCGTGGAAGCAGTCGAGATTGGGCGGGCTGGCGCCGACGCCGCGCGGGTCGAAGCCGATGATGTTGTACGAGGGGCCGAGCATTTCGCGGAGTATGGGCAGGACTTGCATGACGAATTGGACGCCGGATTTCCCAGGGCCGCCTGGGGGGAATGTGTTAGCGGATGTATACTGTTGCGAAGAGCATTGATGATGTGGGCTAGGTGAGTAGGGTAGGGGAGTGAAATTGCTAACCGGGATTTATTTGGATGTTCTTCGTGTCTTTCGTCTCGTCCACCGCTGCGGACTTTACGTATGCGATTGCTGCCGTTCCGGCACTCGCGTCTTCGTAGTCCAGAGGCACTTCTAAGCGCGTGCAGGTGAAGTTCTCGAAACAGGGAGTCCAGTTTATGTCGGACGAGGGCGTTAATTGGGAGAAGTCAGTAATCATGACAGAAGCGTTCTGTCCGGTGGGAGCTGCGGTCGCGAACGCAGCAAGACCGCCAACGAGGGTGAGCCATGAGGCTGGGTGCTTCATCGCGAAAGAGAAGAGCGGAAAGACGAAAAAGAAGATCCCTGAGAAAAGAAATAAGGAATTGGATGGAAGTACTGCTAATATGCTGTTGCTCTACCCTTCTCTCCCCGTCCCTCAATCTCTTATATACACCAACGCCCCATCCATCGCAACCATTCTGCGAACACCCCTCCTTTTCCTTTAGCCTCAACACAGCACGACATCCCAATGTCCTAGCGCAAAATGTTTCCTTTCCGGGCAACGATCGTCGAATCTGCGGTGTTTTGCGAAGTCCTGAGTCAGCCCGCGCGACGAGTGGCGCAGCGCCCTCGCATTTTGCACTCTGGAGTAGTTCGAATGATGTCATGCGAGAACTGGGTTTGTGCGACTTGGAATGCGATGTGTTCGTATTGGGGATGGACGCTTCGCAGGGAGGTGTGTTTCCCGGGTTCCGGAATTGCGATGCACGCACGAGAGATGGGCTGCATTGTGCTATATTTGGTGTCTAGGTCTGCTAACGGTATGGTTTGGAGCTAAAGTGAGAAGCGCGCGGTATCAGTCTAATGATCTAATTACACTCTTTTCGCAGAGGGCGGATTGCGAAGCCCTCCAAGGCTGCGTTGGACTGCGCCTGTCCCTAAGGCAGCAACATCAGACATCACCGAAAGAACATCAAAGAGGCAGGGTGTGTTTTCAATGCATCATTCCATCTCTAAGCCGTCTGTCTAATTACATCCAAAATTCCCGCACACCCAGCACCAAAGAAAAACCCAGTCTATCTCTATCCCAAGGCCAAGCGCAATCAAATCCAGAAGACCTCCCGCTCAGATCTTAGCCTCCTCAACGCCAATAAGCCTGCTCTTCTCCACCTGCGCAATCTTGCTCAGGCCCCCCGCAATCTTCTCCTTGTTCTCGGCGTACTTCTCGTGGAACTTGCGGGCGACGCTCTCGTCGGCGAAGTTCAAGAAAGCAACGAGGTCGTACTCGAAGTCCTCGCCGTCCTTGGTGTAGGAGAGCGGCTTGGAAGCGTCCGACTTGCTGCGGCGCACGTAGTAGCGCGTGATGGAATCGGGCTTGGCCTCGTCGCCGACGATTTCTTTCATCTTGGGGAGGTACTGGTCGTAGGCGGATTGGAACTCGGCGGGGGTGAGCTCCGGGTTGCGGGAGACGAAGACGGCGACGGTGAAAGGCATTTTGTTGGTGGTTTGGGTAGGGTTTGAGAAATTGGTTGCTTGGTTGCTTGGAGAGGGATTTGAAAGTTGGAATGCGGAGAAGTGTGGTAGTTGGTTTGAATGGTTGGATTGTTGAGTCGAGTTGTGGTTGTGTGATGAGTTCTTTGGCGGCGCCGATGGGTCCTATTTATCTTCTTTTCGGGGACGTCTCTCAACTATCGTGATACCGTATGGAGAGTAAGACGGAGCATACGTCAAGACACTGTGGAGAGAGTTGTGGCACGGTGAGCTTACGGACTGGGCAGGGATTTGCACGGTATTCCGATATACTGCGGTCCCCATTCGGAAATTCGTGTAACGCGCCACGATCCTGCGAATGTGTGTCATTCCGAAAAGCAGACCGCGCGGCCAATCAGAAAAAAGAGATATTATGCTTAATCGGATGCTTATTCGTCGGCATTGAGGGAGTCGAGCCACCGCCCAATATGCCGAGCGTTTCGCCAAGATCCCGACGCACAGTCAGCCTACTGGTAGCCTCAACACTGAGATGCGGTGAGAGCCTTAACGAGCGTTATGCAACTCTATGCAGCGACTGCGGGGTCTGGAGAAGCTCTTATCGGCGTGATAGCTTTGAGTAACTGGGCGATACTGCTCTTGAAGAATTGCTCCGAGGCATATCGTGCTCGCGTTTGCGCATACCGTGCTCAAATTTACGTGACCACAGCCTTAGCGCTGCAAAATTCCCGAATAGCCTTCTAGAAGGCTGTATCTTGGTGGCCGAAGTTTCGTTCTCTTCGCCCAAGCATCGTCGCTCCTCTCCAAGGCGGTGTTCAACTGCGGGATGCCATCCCACGGCCCGTCCCCGCAGGCAGCGCTCTGCACGTCAGCCAGCCTGCCTCTAATCAGGGTCTGCACTGCCTGGGCGAGCAGAACGCGACCTGTGGCGGTGTGTGCAATGCCGATAGACTAGACCGCTTACAAGCAGAAGGATGGTCTTCCAGAGATGGTGAGGCGTGGCTTGTACTCGGTGTTGTAGAGGGCGACCAATGCCCCACGAATACCAAGAGCGTTAATTTCCGCTACGATGACGCCTGCGCATTCCCGTGGATTCGACGCGCTTCGTTGTCGGAAAAGAATCTACTCGACGAGATCGAAATAAGCTGCTTGCTGGGTTAGGAGGGTCCGCATTAGATGGTAGTGGATTGCCTTGTTGAAGAGCTTCAAGCCACCGTGCGAGGACTACTTAGACTGGTAATATGGTCATATATCTCCGGTGCAGTCCCCTGTGAAGTTGGGTGTTCTCACCGCTTTCGTCATCGTTTGACGTCAGGATCTATCGCGACATCGCAACATTGGTCTTTCATCGCTTCTGTATCTGTCGTGTGGGAAATGGAAGCTATCGGATTGAAGTGCGAATACCGCAGATTTCGCACATTCGAACTATGATAAATATTGCCAAGAAGTACCCCGCTGTGCTGACAGCCCCGCTTCTGTGAGCTCTGGAGTTCCCTCTTGACCACCTTCATCAATCTTCGTTCCGGTCTTCTGTCCTCTCTCCATGACCCATTACTTCCATGGTCATAGTCGGCATCATGCGCTCTTCCGCCAGAGCTTATCTATTCCACCTTTGTTTCCGAACGAAGCTTCGTTTGGGTGCTTAGCAAGCATGCCAAGGATTGCTTCATTCCTTCGTTTCCGACTTAGCCGGATCCGTCGATCACGTGCCTAGATGGACGACTCCGACTTCAGCGTTCCCGCCTGGCATGTCTGCCGTAATTCAATGTTTCCGAACAGTCCTCTCTTTGTGTTTGTATTGGGCTGACCTATATGCATATCTTGTTGTTGATTGGGTGTTTTGCATAAGCAACTCCAGGCACAGCCTACCAAACTACGAGGAAGTGCTATAGAACACGAGGACCTCGTCCAATTGCTGTCCATGGTAAGGTTCCCTAGTTAGGATTGTACGATAATCACCACCTTATTGAACGATGTTTCGCCTGCGCCACCATAATTAGCTTCCTGATGAATCCTTCGCGTTTCGCATTGCTGCTGTTCGCTGGTGAGCGTCATACTGTATTTCAACACGGTAGGAGTACTTAATTTCTATCGTTCCTCTTCGGAGGGTTTGCAAGTACGCGACAGATCCAATCGAGTGGAACACGCTTCCAAGATTCTTTTGTACGACTTGGGGAGACCGCGCGTAGCGCATGGAGTCACTGGTGTTCTTCCGGCACACATGAAGAGCGCACAGAGTTCCTACCTTACAAAATCTATTTTCAAGGTATTCCTGAGACAGCATGCCCCTCAAGGCGAAATCGTCTCTAGGCATCCTGTTTTCCTTCGTCGGCCTTTACCTTCTCTTCTCCTGGGGCGGATCGGGAGCAGCGCCCTCCGTAAAGGGACCGTCGTATCGACTCCACAACTCGAGCTCCCCTTTGCCGTCGACAGAATTCGCCATCGCGACTTTTCTAACTGGTCAAGGGAAAGACGACGCGTACTTCACCGCGACTCGCATCCTCACCTACCAGCTGCTCCATGCACCTGACACGCGCCTCAACACGGGCTCCATAACCTTCCTCGTAGTTTGCTCTCCGAGCCTCCCCGACTCTCGAAAGCGACGTCTAAAACAGGATGGTGCCGTTGTGGTGGAGGTCGACGATGTGCCGGTGAGCTGGTGGATATACTCAGGTGTCAAGCGGTGGAAGGAAGTCTTCACGAAACTGCGGATATTCGAAATGACGGAGTACAAGCGCATCCTCTTCATCGACGCGGACACGATTATCACGGCTCCCCTAGATGATATCTTCAAGAGCCCGGAAGTCGCGTCACTGGCGCCGACGCTCTTCTCGCGAAAGGACCAGATCAAGAAAGATGAATCGCCGTTGCCGGCGGAATGGTTCTTTGGAGCGCGCTCCGATAACGCACTTACCGGGCAGCGGCAGCATCCTGTACCGCCTCTTCAGTCGCCGTCTTTCAGCTCGGGCTTCTTCATGATTGCGCCGGATAGGCAGATTTATGCGCATCTGTTGTCAGTCATGTCGCATTATCGCCGCTTTGATCCGTTCGTTATGGAACAAAACCTGCTCAACTATGTGTATCGCCGCGATGGCCCGATGCCTTGGAGGGAGCTGGACTGGAAGTGGAGTGCGACGTGGCCGACGGAGAAGGATGCGCAGATGGGTGTCGCAAGTTTGCACGAGAAGCTGTGGGATAGGGGACCCCAGCCGCTGAGAGACATGTGGGACAAGAGAAAGAAAGAAATGTTGCAATTTTATGAAGCAGAATAACGCGAGATCTCCGGCTTGCACAATTACATTAAGGTCTGGTACCCATTTAGGAAACCTCTCACCAGAACTCCACTATCCCGACATCACACGAAGGAAAAATGAAACGAATGGCATGACATTGAACGAAAGACCGATAACTTAGTTTAGGGATCACTCTTGACTGCTGCACCTTGCCTGGTACAGCTAGCGGAACTGCCTCTTCGGAACATTGTAAACGCCCAAGACCTTGTACCAGCCAATATGCATCGGAAGAAGCGTCGCAACAGCGCCTGGTTCATTCTTTGATGGCGGCTCAATGCAAGCAAGATTCCATTCCTCCTCGTCTTCCTCGTGCGAGTGAACAAATGCTTGGTATTCTACTCCAGGCCGGACGTTGAGGCAGACCAATGCTGGGCCTAGCTGGGTCTGGACCTCGACCACGATTATGCCGCTGAGCATCATTGTGCTAAGCTCAATGGTGCAGTCGATGGAGAACCCTTCGTCTCCTCGTCGTCGAAAGAGCTTGTTATACGGTCCGCGAGTCTCCAGCACTGTCGACCGCTCGTTTTGAAGAAGCCATGCCAAGACATCCTGAGGAGCTTTGCGTGTCACCGAACAAAGCTCGGTAAGGCTGCGGCATACCACTCTACCATGGAGAAAGTCCCTCCATGGCCAGTCTTGAACGCGAAAGCTCTTCGCAATGACGAGCAGAAATGCTGCCAAGGCCCAGCAAAATACCGTTATGTTGAAGGGATCGACGCCCTCCAAACGTCGGCCGATGGAGAAACCGATAGCAAGTCCACCGCCTACAAGAAGCGTGCACAAGGCTGCGACCCAGGAGGCATATTTCCTACACCCTATGACAATGGCTCTTTCATCAATTTGCCATTCGTTCTCGATCTCCTTGTTGAGCTCCCTGAGCTTGTTCCTTCTTGATTCGATCTGGGCCAGCTTTTCTCTCACGTCTTTACGATGCCACTCCTCTTGTTGGTCTTTTCGAGAAACATCAATCCCTTCAGCCAGAGCGAAGAGTCCATGCCGGGCCATGAGGGAACTTGATATTGGTCTAACCTCATCGCTACTGGCTGCTGCCTTGTTCTCCTTGTCGTATGCCTTTGTCTTGATGGTGAAGATGACGGTATAGTCGGGTTCTGGAACCGCACGCAGAGCCTCGCCAGACGTTGTCAAATTGCAGATTCTGTTGAGTTGCACGAGCGTACCTCCCATCTTTGGGTGTGTGGCACATGCTGGAAGCAGAAGGCTAACAACATGGTTGGTGTCTGTTAGCTTGGTGGCCGGGGCCGAAGCGAGTTTGCCTGTTCCGACCCATTCCCACATTACTTCAACGACAGCGTCCTTCGGGGACTGGCGCTCCTGATTCTGGTCTCTATTTGGCGGTGGTGGCACGCTTGGGGGGAGTTCGCCTTTAACAGCCATGAGAGTCTCCTCCAAGTTCTTAAAGGCAGTCAAGGTGTTCCTGAGGATTTGCCGTGACGAAGATGCGATCATCTCGCCGTCGCGGTCTTGCGTGAGGACTACGGCCGATCTTTCGAACCCAGTCTTGTAAACCAAGGTCGATATCTCGAAAGCTCCAACTGATAGTCCCGAGTGGCTACTCTCGGTGAGATTTGAGACGAGTAGGGACGCCATGCTGAAGATCGCGTCCCGGGGGATCAGCATTTCAATGATGTAGGCGGCGGTCGAGTCATCTTCCCGGGCTGCGAGGAACCTCCCGAACTCTTGCAACCGATTTCGGCTCTTTCCGGGATCCTTGGGCTCGGCTGACGCGATATCCTCTGTCGTTTCTTGTTCCCCGGGGTCCACGACTCCAGGCTTGAGACCGAGAAAGATCTTTGCTTCTTCCTTTGCTTCAACATCCCGAGCGTTGCTCACCGAACGGATTGCGAAGCCTTTCGGATCTTGACATAGGACTTTGAGCTTCGTCGCTATTTTTGCCAGTGCGGCCACGCAACGGGAATGCCAGTTGTGGTTGTCTACCGCTTGAACTGTCAGCCGGGCCAAGGTTCCCGTCATGAGATTAATCATCGCATGGCACTGAGGCACGTTTTTAACATTCAATACCTCAGGCGTTCGGTCGATTCCTCGCTCGAGAGCACTGTACGCCCTGGAAAATATCCTTTCGTTGAAGAAACGCTTCTGGAACTGCAAGACGATGAGGGAATTGTCAAGCTGGCAGATCATCAGGTTCCAGGTGAGCTTTTGTCCAATCTCGGATATCTTTTCCAGATTCTCTACAGAAATTGAACCGTAAGTCTTATCTTCGTAGAGCAGAGGTTGGTTGGGATTCCGTATCAGCTCAATCAATCTCTTTGCTTCCTTCTCCCAGAGCGTCTTTGCTGGTGAGGAGGAGACTCCATATTGCGCAATTGTGTCGAAGTCAACCGGGATAGTGTGGTTTTCGTGTTCGCGGACACGTTTCATGACTTCTTCCAGGTCGAGTTCCGGGACCGACCCGGCATGAACATTGGCAACCTCCGCTGGTGGAATGGGAGGGTTTTCGCGAGGCGGATAAAGTCTCAACCTGTGCCTTCGAGGTGCTTTCGATCCATTCGGGCCGTTAACATGGGCGCTGCCATTGCGATTCGACGTTTGTGCCATTGTTGGAATCGATCCCTAAGCACGCTTGTCAGAGCAAGGAAAAGTAAGTGCACCGAGATATTACCTTGGCTGGTTTTTTTGCAACGAGTCTCCCGCCAGGTATGCTACCTGAATGGTTATAGTAAAAATACGGACTGCGCCAGGATTTGAGGAAGACAATTTGAGAATCCTAGCGTTAAGGTCCACAGGCCCTACCTAACCTTGCAGGCTATATGGCTGAGTCCATCGGCTGACTCTTTACCCATCATTCGCTTCGTCGACCTCAGGGCGCCTTACAGGGCAGTGTCAGCTTGAACTCTTCTGTAAAAATCACGCAGTCAACCCACTAATTCGAGTAGTTTTGGAATCATTCCACCTCTGATGCTCAGGTGTTGATGCTTCGGCACCGTCATCTAGACACCAACGCTTCTCCACGGAGCAAAATATGGAGCTCATGCCACCTCAAACAAGGCCACATTGCAGGCCTAGACACCTCAGCTGCATGCGATTACGATGCTGACATGACATTCCGATCGCCTTGATCATGTAGTGATGGTTCGACTACACAAGGCTGAACTGAGCGAGGTGCCGTAGTCGCTTGAGGTTGCCATTTTAGTCCAACCAAGCTGAGCCGAAGAATTTTTGTCGGATGACCGATTCCTCTATGGTGATTGTGGTCCCCTTAGAAGGTCCTCTTAATGCGTCCACCACTCGTGTTTGGTTCGGTGCAGGTGGGTTGGGCTGAATCCACTTCGTCGATCGTGCATCTTGGCGTCAGTCATTCGCTCCATCCCGCAGCCACAATTCGGCTATCCGACGATGTGGTTGGAGAACGGCCTCCTCATCCATATAATCCCTCCTTTCCTTCGCCAGAGGCTCCAGATTGAGAAATCGTAAGTTGATTTGGCCATGCAAGTTTGATCGAACCACTGGAGATTGGATAGCAAAGGATGACCAACGTCACCCCATGGTTTCACCCCAGGGTTAATATCTACGTGTTCTCACGTCCAAGTATGAAGACAAAGGACCAGTTGCTCTTCGTGTAAGTGTGATCAAAACTGGACGGGCCCCTCCATACATTCCGGCCGTGAGCCTTTTACTCCCGTGATTACCTTCCTCGAGCCACCATGAGCGACACAGCTCTTCTGAACGATTACGACCAGCTAGGCCTCCTATCCAAGTCCAACCCTGCAGCCGTCCAGAATGACACCAAGAGTGAGATCGAAGAACAACGACCTCCGAGCCTCATTCGGTTGATCGAGTTCCCACATCCCTATCGATATGGCCAAACGCAAACTCTACCGATCGACCTTTACGAACGGCAGAACAAGGACGAGGCGGCGGAGAGTGAATACAAAAGCCATTCGATCCTGGTGCGAAGAGTCATAAGCGAGCTCGGACTCCTCAAGAAGCTTCAAATCGAAATCCAGTCCCAAGGCCTGAGAGACATCTTCAAGCGCGTCGGCCGACCTTACCGTGACCTAAATGTCGAGAGTAACCCAATCACGATCAGCAGACCATTCCACTCTCTGTTCTTCCTGCGTGAGGAGCTTCGCAAAGAGGAAGAGAACGACCAGGTTTCGCCGCGTACGAAGAAGGAAATCAGACTGCTCCTAGATTTTATCGAAACCAAGGAATGCCTCCACGACATTATCACCAAGTTCCAGAACGTTGTTCCCTCGAAGAGGATCTCGTTCGACTTGCTTTGGAGCCTGTTTCCTCCCAATGAGCTCGTTTTCTTCCATGACGACTATGTCGAGCAGTGCTTCATTGTCGAATCGTGTAACCCAATTGTGGAGGGAATGGTGCTGGCTGGCGCCACTTTTAATCTCATCTACGCCAAACACGACGGTACGAGATTCGGACTCAGGAGGCAGAATCTTGTACTTCCGGCGTTCGTCGGAATCGTGGATATCGTTCCAGAGAATCTCCCAATCATTCCGCTGAGGTTCCTCAGCCAAGAAGAGCAAGAGAAGACCAGAGGTCGTCTGGTTTCTCGGGGCAAAGCCTACTGCGAACTTCAGGCAGCGAAGTTCACCATGAGACATCACGACGGGGTCATGTGGTCGGAAAAGGGTAGTTTTACGGAAAGTAAGATATCCTTTGGTGAGGACAAGATGACCATCGACGTAAGTAGCCTTCCCTATGTTTCACCACAAGTAGGTTTTTAACGATAGCTGTGCTCAGACCGAGGGACGGGTCGTAGTAGACGCCAACGCGTTCAGAGAAGCGACGGAACTCACCTCAATGTCGTTCATTGCCAGGACAATGAAGGAGTACATGGATCGCTTCGCCGAGAAGAAAGCCGACGATACGCGTGAAGAGCGCCGAGCCTCTCTTGGTGGGTCTTCTTCGTCAAGCAGCGTATCTGGAATCTTCCACGTTCGTAGTAGCGCTCAGCAGCCCGACAAGCCCAAACCCGGAGAGGACTCCGAAGTGGTACCGTTGCCGGATAGATTTAAAGAAGCAGAGGCCGAGCTTACTGATGCCGATTATTTGCTGTGCGAACACAAGATTCAGGCGTTCTTGCTCGACCGCAAACGCTGGATCACTGTGCTGGTAACAGACCTTGCCGAGATTGATTGGTACCCGGAACCATGGAAGGCTCTACAGTTAGAGCAAGAGAAGAAGGATTTGATATACGGCCTAGTGAAGGGCTACAAGAGTGGCGAGAACGTCTTTGCTGGATTCGATGATATCGTCCAAGGCAAAGGAAAAGGACTCATATTTCTTCTCCATGGCAAGCCAGGGCTAGGCAAGACTTTTACCGCAGGTACGCACTATTCATGAATTCATTTGTCTGAAGTGATGGTCTAACGAGAATGCAGAAGCCGTCGCCGAGGAGACGCACCGTCCCCTTTACTACGTCACTACTGGCGAACTGGGTACCAGCGTCCCGGAAATGGAGAGCCAGCTGCAGACTGTTTTCAAGCTAGGCTGGCGCTGGGGGGCTGTGGTGTTACTCGATGAAGCAGACGTGATCATGGCAAAGAGAAGTATCAATGACTTGTCGCGGAGTGCGATTGTAGCAGGTGAGTCGGTTCGCTCTTTTTCTTTTCACTATTTAATGTGCGGAGAACTAACTAAAACTAGTGTTTCTCAGGCTCATTGAATACTATCGGGGCCTCCTCTTCCTCACCACTAATAGAGTGGACGACTTTGATCCCGCTTTTTACAACCGTATTCATGCCATGATCGAATATCCCCAGCTCAGTCAGGACGCTCGCACACGTATTTGGAAGAGCCTTCTTGTTGAGAAGAAGAAGAACGTTGTACATCTCGACATATCGTGGAAGGAAGACGAGAGCAGGATCTACAAGATTCTTGGTGAGCTCGAGACCAATGGAAGGGATATCCGAAATTTGATTCGTACGGCGTACGGTATTGCACGTTCCCACGAGACCGACCTCGGGGTGAGGCATATCGTGAGTGTGATGAAGCAGACGTGCCGCGCAGGGAACACAGAGGATATTGCTCGAAGATTGGAATTCGCAGCGAGGAGAGCGAACACCGCACTCGTACGTAGCAAGGAAGAAGCGGATCAGGGGGCGGCAGAAAAGGAGGATGAGGAACAGGTTCGAGGTAGTAAGTAAGTCGTGATTCTAGGCTGAATTCTTTGTTGCTAGTACATCCATTACGTGTGCTGCTGGGTTGCGATTGTGTGACCATCTGCATGTGGAGGCAGCCTTCGAGGACTGATACAACAAGGTCGCCCTAGGATAGAACGATGTAAACACACAAGGTTCAGCGTGTCAACTCCCCATCTGATGGTATTACCACCATAACGGGCAGTCCTGAGCGACTGTAAATGTGTGGATATCTGGCTTGCGTGCCAAGAAATGCGCATCTTGTACCGAGGTTTGCGCAGCTTCTTACGCTGGATCTTGGTAGGTTTTCCCATCAGAGGCGGGTAACACTAAAGTTCTACAACAAATGGTAATCGGTTGAAAGGTCATACATTATCCGGGAGCCGAATTAGCGTTCGGTTTCCCGTCATTGACACGCCTTCTGTCGAGTATGTGAGACACCGAGCGTTGATCACAAATACGTCCCCCATTGTGCCAAAGAAGTAGATACACCGATATCATGCCGTGTCATCAAGAGGTCATCACAGGCATCGGATTCGTTACGGAGGCTGAGGCTGTCACTGCTGCGCGACTGAACAATTCTACCCACTGGAACAGACTGCGCGCAATACCTATTCTAAGAAGAGACGATGCGGGAAACAAGAGAACTTCATAATTCGTGACACGTCTCGCGAAGCAGCACTGACACAATTGTCCTGCCTATCACAACGCGTAGGTCGGCCTCGGAGTGACAGACGGCATAGGCGAGCCAGGGGGCATATTGATAATGGGCGCCGGCGGTACTGAAATGAACACCACCATCACTGCCGAGAATCTGAAAGACTTGTTAGCATCCTTAAATTAGAGAGTTCGATTGAATGCTTACGCGGCGGTTGCAGCGAAGATCTCGGTTCTCGAGCTGGTTCCTTGGGTGAGGAAGATCAAGGCCAAGGCAAAGAAGATGGCGAAGCCGGCCAAGCAAATGAGCAGGTTCCTAAGGCCGTGGAGCTGTGACAGAATGGAGATGGCGATGACTGGGAGTAAGCATGCGATGACGGTCGAGATCGTAGATGTGACTCTCAAAGCAGTCTTATCTCCCCAACTTTCCAACGTATCCTCCTTCTTCACCTTGTCAACTCCAAGATCAATGGTTGGTTGCATGTTCCCCGTGTCGCGTCTTTCCTTCTTGCGTTTCTTCTTCTCCCGCCATCGCCCAAAGCAACCGGGAGTCGCTTCTGCCGTGTTCTCGATATCCAATCGCTGTTGCATTTTCTTTTCTCGTTGTTCTTTCCGGTATTCGCAAAAGTTTTTGTAGAAGCGGACGAGATCGCAGACAACCCAGCGAGTGAGGCCATCAATCTTTCCCTGAGGTTCAGTAGCTACTAGGTCAAGATCGTCCGTGGGTGGAGGTCGTGCCCAGACCAATCCTAATACTACTCTTCCGAATTGTCTCCAAAGGCTACCAAGCTCTGCGTCTGGATCCTTCCTCATATCACCCCAGGTGTTATTCAGCCCATCACGACCACGAATTGTGTTATCCCCACATCTTTTATCCCCTAGCCACTTTCGGAGTGCTCGCATGTTGTCTGGTTCGGGGCCGGGTAAGGCGCATATCTCAGTGTATAGCTTTAATGCCTTGTCTACACATGTTCAGCATGTTTTAGTGAGCAATGGGCGCCAGGAATTGGGCTTACTGTATTCTTTCAATACCTTCCTCATCTCCACCACGGTCTCGAACTGCACCGATTTTGACTCCACCAGCAGGTCCGCGCGCTGGTCCCACCAATTCCCTTTCCCAGCATCCTCGTATTCCAGATTATGGAGCTTCTTCCGATAGCCTCTTAGTTCAGCCTGGTAATACAGGAGACTCTTAGTGTTCAGATCCCTGAATCGAGAGAAGGCCGCAAAGTCGGGAGTCTTGGCCATCAGCAGAGCCAGCTGGGGCCACCCTTGGATAGGGTCATCCGGTAACTCGCCCGGAGGAAACCGGAAGCGGGTTGCGTGCTCGTCAAATTCATCGCTAGACGATGAGTCGTCCGAGCTATCATCCTCATTTGAGGCTATCGCGCATCCGGGAATCCTTGGTGTGGTCTGGGTGGAGTTTGAATTTACCACCGTGGCTGAGGCTGAAAGATTGGAAACACCGCTCGAGGTCGAACGTCGTGCGCCTGTCGCCGTCATTCCTACAATCGGTATATTGCAGAAAGGGCTGGGGAGCAAGATGAGACGATCAGGACACCAGCACGACCTCGCAATGCTTATATTTCAACATTTCGTCTACTGCGGGCTGTGTTCACGCCACGCATATTCGAGAGCCCGATCGTGGCTCCGCTCCGGTCCCTCCAGCTGTCGGTGGCGGCAGAAAAGATCATCTGCATATCGCGACCAACCTCATTCGGTGGATCCAGCATGCCTTTCCTTGCAGGGCAACCAAGGACTGATCTGTCCATCTGCCGTGCGTCCAGTGGGTGCACTCGAATTCGTTGATTCGCTTTTGGGGCTGTCGAAGATGCAGGTAGGGCGGGGATGGTTGCCTCACACCGCCATCTTCCTGGATGTCTTTCAACACGCGACCGGAACCATATCGAGCGAATTTAAGCCTTAAGCCTTGATGCTTCCGCTGCCAGCGCTCGAGAGATTCATTTGGTACGCTTCCTCTTTTCCTTTCGTTCTGGCCTTCCTCTTTTCCTTTGGTTCCCCCCTTCTATGCTCGGCAGCTCTCCCCGTCCTACCAAGCGCGGCGGCCTGTACGACGTACAACCCCAATGGGCTGATCAGCCCAGGTATACCCTCCGCACACCCTTTATCAGATGGAGAGGAAGCTCTCGGGGCACCCTCGAGTTGGGCGGCACTCGAAAACTTGCGCGCGATCATGAGGCTGAAGTCGCACTGCCGAAGACTGGACGGTGCCTCCCTAAGCTTCTGGCACTTCTGTAAGCAGATCCACAGCGCACCCTGACAAGGCTACTCACATTTCTCAGTCAACGTGTCGTCGCGGCTCGTCGGACGCAGGCCTCGAGAGCAGTCGACTGGGGCTGTTGCCTGATTGCGCGAATTTCCGGTGACCGCAGCATAGGAAAAAGCAATCGTGCTCAGCAGATCGGCGTGACCGGTCAGGCTGAGCGATTGCGCCCCCTTTTGCCGAGGTGCGTCTCCGAAGCGAGCTGACCTGCATGAGCTGAACCTTAGGCGGGGGACTCCATGGATGCGAACGCCACGTGCAATCCTGTGGCCTGCGAGGGTCTCCATTTCTCCTGACGACATTTGACGCGGGCATTCAGTGCTCCCATGCGCTGCTCTTGCTCTTGCTCCCTGGTTCATCGCTTGACCTAGTCCTATTTCGCTACGACCCTGGGTGGAGGACGATGTTACGAATCTGGTGGGGGCGGAGAGAATGGGTGGCGCTGGCGAAATCAGGCCTTACGGGGTCCGAAGCGGGAAGAAGGTCGAGGAGGCAAAGATGGCTTTTATGATGGGGATGAGCTGGAGGGGATGAGCGCCATCTTATGCTTTGGCTGGTCATCGCCTTACGGGCCCACACCACCTGGAAACCCTTTCTAGGATCAATCCGGGTCCCAGGAAACTCAGCCGCCGTCCGAACGCTCAGACAACCAATCCCGAGACGCAGCCGCCATTGGGGTGTAAACGGCAGCGCCTGCCATCCAATGCCTGAAAAGGCTCCACACGTTCGCATGACCGACAAAGCCGACATGAAGGACCTGGTCGGAGTCGGCGGTGTATTATCAGGAGGCTCTGCTTTGGGGGCCAGTAGATTTGGGAAGGTGCCTTGGCTGAAGTGTTCGCATAAAGCGCCTAGTCGTTCCACCTAGCCTTCCTGAAGAACAAACTATCATACACCTCTTTCGTCATTTCCCTCGCAAATTACCGAAGATATCGCCTCCCGCAGCGTTTCAAGAGTGAGCATGGCCGAGTTTCGCGGTAAGATATCAAGGGTCCTTTGGAACGAATGTGAAGTTAATGCTCCACTAGGAAGAAGCGAACAGCCTCAACAGAGCAAGGACAATCAGCACCTATCTGTCTCAGGTGGTGGTGCACACAGCGGCAACAGGAATTCTCGCTCTGTCTCTCTCGCATCTACTCGCACTGCTGTCGAGGAGAATCCCGATGTCGGAGGCAAACGATCGGGACCCAAAAGGCGCCAAACTCAAGTGGCAGTAGTCCATCTGACGTGGCGCGATTGCCTAAAGGGCCTGCTTCTTGGTCCGAAGTGGTTGAAGCAGAAGTTAGCGGCCGATGTTGAATTGGCCGAGCTAGAGGATGCAGGTCCAGGCGTAAGCTCCCCCGGAATGCAGCCTGGAATATCAACGCTGACCAAATAGGCGTTTGACAACAAGGACTGTCCCTTCATCGTCACGGTCACTGCGTTCCCTTGCCGAGATTCTGGCGCCGAGCGGCAGGAGGGACAGTGTTTGATCGACACAGGCTGTCTCCAAGGAAATATCATCTCGGCGAAATTTGCGCGTAGCTTAGGCTTTTCGGAATTCCAGCCATTGAAGGGCCGGGAGCTGAACGGCGGAAAGGTGGCAACGGGCCAGATCCACACCGTGTCCGGAGCGATCCATGTATCCTGGCTGCACAGCACCAGCACCAAGGTGTTCCGGGATATGCGATTCCTCGTATCAGAGACCGCGGATGTCGACCTTCTTATTGGGGGACACTCCATTTGGAGGCATGGAATCATACCGCTACCGAACTTTGAGGTGGGCCACACGAACTTCAAAGGAAAGCCAGGTCAGTATCACCTCCTCGCCCCTGTAGATATTGCTTTGGACTAATGCCCTGTTAGATCCGAAGAGAGAGAAGCTCGCCGTAGTGGCAGCCGACTTGAGGACTACCCTCGAGGACCTCAACAAGGATGACGCCGCCTATAAAGGAAAGAAGAAGGATCTCAAGATCGCTGAGCTCAAACTGGCGTTGTACGATGCAGGAGTGTCTTCGCGTACGAAACAGAGTGAAGATGCAGAAACCGGTCTTAAAGACCAGATCAAAGGCCTCGAGAAAAAGCTGAAGGATCGCGGGGTCAGCCCCGACGAGATCAAGAATATCAAGAACGGGATCGTTGAGGAGACCAATGAGCAGGCCAATGGGCAGGCCAATGGTCATAGCAAGGAAGAGACCAAGGAAAAAACGGACGAGACGAAGAAGAAGCAGTGACGTAGCCACGCTAGCTGAGTAGAGGGTCCAAATTGTCCGCACGGGTATCCGCGTGGGTGGAGTTACTGGGTTTCCTATTGCCGGCGCTTCTTTGTCCTGTTGTTGTCCGTTCTTTCGAAGTATTGTCTCTGTCTAACATGTATCTCTCTTGGTTAGGTGGTTAGGTTCACTGGGTTAGACGGACTCGTGCTCTATTCCTGTTAAGGGAGGACTGGGCGCATTGGGCTGGACTGGGTGGGAACACACTCTTTCCTACGGCGATTTATGATACCATTTCATACCGGGTGGTTGTGGAGGACATAATCCATACCTCAGTCGTTGGTCTTTTCATCGATAATGTACCGTTTAAGCTGCTTTGTCCTTAATTTCTAAGTTCCTAATCTTAAACTTCTTTATATTAGCATAATTGCTATAATTATAAAACTCTTTTCTCTCTCTTATATACTCTTACTAGCCGCGCATTCTCTGAATCCGCTCCTAACCTATGATAACATGGCTGGCCAAACGTGAGGACTTTCGAGGCGTCTCCTCTAGCCTAATACCTAGGTAGCGTTGGACGTAAAATAGGCACTTCACCTAAGTCATTGTGGCGCCCGATCGAATGATCGGCTTGCCGGCCTTTTACGAAGTACTGTTGCGTGATTGCACGGCGGCTGTAGAATTGGGAAAAGCAATTATGCTTAGCAGATTGTGCTGAACGATCAGGTTGAGAGATCGCGTCTCGCTTTGCTGACCAGTATCATCGAAGGGGGATTCTCCGACACATTGATAGACCTGTACTGCCGCCTGAGCCTTCGCATCTTTATAAGAGTGGTATAATGATGAGGGTGTCTTATTAGACTGTTGCCCTCTTTTCTGCTAATCTTAGTACTGCGGTTTCATTGCGAATAGCGAATTGATTTGATTGGTTAGTTTTCTCCCTCGTTCTGGGAGTCGGCCGGGGCGCTTCAGCTCCAGCGAATCGCTGCAAACCTGATCTGCAGGTGCTCGTCAGCCGCATCTCAGCCGGTGAAGCAGCCTTCGCTGCCTGATGTTCTTTTCCCCCACACTACTCACTACACCACACCAAAGCCCTCTACACTGAACGATAACACTTCTATACTACCGACTAATGTCGGAGTACCCTGTCCTACGGACACAAAAACTGGTAAAAATTATCTGCGCTTCGGACGCCCTCGATGGAGTCTCTTGCACTGATTGGGGCGGTGTCGAATGCCGCCCAGTTTTACGAATTCGCTCTCCAATTCCTATCACAACTGAAGGAAGTATACGGCTCTCCGAACACGGCGCAGGAAGACATTATAGACCTCTCAAGTGTCACCACCGATCTTGCGCGCTTCTTGGACAAGCTGTCAGCCATCGATCTCAACGAGGCTGAATCCAGACCTACGAACGAGGGAAAAGTGCTGGCCCGTTGCGTCCAAGAATCTATAGAAGTTGCAGAGGAACTTCATAGCACATTGCAGGTATCGCAAGTTCAGAAAAGGGGCCTGAAGGAAGAGGAGATAGTCGCCCTCACCGCCAACCTGGAGAAACTGGAGAATCTGCGGAACAAAGTTCAAGAGGCGATACGAACGTATGGTACCTCTGTCCAAGGCACTGACCTACTGCTAACCTGCGCAGTCGAAGCCAGGAACAGCTCACAGAAGGGATCGATCCCAAAGTCCGTTATGTAAGGAAACGATTACTAGGTTGCGGAGGACAAGCCGTCGTTGATGAGGTGCGAGATACGGTCGACAACAAGGTATATGCTCTCAAGACCTACACGTTCCGGTATGGGGAGCTGGAATATCAAGCAAAGGCAGCAACCTTTCTTCGAGAAGTCAAGATAATGGGCGATCTTTCGAGGGTAGCGACCCCAAGCACACCATTTATCGTACGGCTTGTCCGATGGCATCAGGATAATGCTACGCACCAGTATCATTTAGTCATGGACCCTGTTGCTACAGGAGGCTGTCTCGAAGCACTACTTCAGCGGCAATTCGCCACTGACGCGGAGATCATAAGCCAAAAATTTCTCCGGACGGCATTCACCAATCTCACCGAGGGGCTTGATTTCATCCACCGCCACTCCGTCAGACACAAAGACATCAAGCCAGCCAACATCCTTATCCATGATGGACGGCTCCTGTACGCGGACTTTGGCGTTTCGCTGGAGTTTGATCCATTGCTTTCAGATTCCGGAACGACTGAAAGTACCAGGCCACAATACACCTATGGGTATGCTGCACCTGAACTGATCATGCGCCAACCCAGGAACAAAAAGGCCGACATCTTCTCCCTTGGCTGCGTCCTTTTCGAAGTTCTCGCGGCTCGGGGGAGGTTTCTCTCGCCGCAGCTTGAGAGTGACAGAGAAACCATCTTCGGGGAGAAATTTGTGGGTTATGGTTTTGAGGCTATGACAGGGCGCCTCAAGGGCGAGCTGGACCGATTCGCGAATGATGCTCACCTATCGAGCATATCGAGGTATATACCATTGATACGAGGCCCCCTAGACGCCGAAGCGGAAAGACGACCGGATGCAGAAGAACTCCGCCATGACGCATGGGAAGTGAGCAGCCCTGATGTTGAAGGAAAACTGCCAGCCATCAGGAGACGTCGCACTCACGTAGTAATGGTCAACATTTCGTGGATGGATGCCGTTAAAGGCTTGTTCTTCGGCCCGAAAGGCTTAAAACAAAGACTGGCAGATACCATTAAGGTTGTGGACCTTGGGGATGACGGCGGAATTGTAAGAATTCCTCCAGATGGTAGTTACGATCCAATGCTGACGAGCCAGATGTACGATCATAAGGAATCGCCATTCCTCCTGACAGTCTCCGTGTTCCCATGCCCTGGCTCTGGCATCGAACAACGTCAGCAAGCTATGTGTGTGTTTGATACTGGCTGTTTGCAAGGCAACATAATATCTGCCGAATTTGCACGCCGATTGGGCTTTGCAGAGTTTCAACCGCTGAAGCCAAAGGAGAAAACCGGAGATATCCATGACATATTAGGTGCCGTCCACGTATCCTGGTTCCACAGCGGCGGCACAACAGTCTTCAGGGATATGCGGTTCCTCGTCTCAGAGAGTGCGCAAGTTGATCTTGTAATCGGAACACACACCCTTATAAGACATAATCTCCTCTCGCCGCCGTCTGTCCAGACGGCCTGACGACAGACTTTGAATCAGCAACGACTGTCGAGTGGGTATGTCGTTCACCGGCGCATTTTTGGCTTCCAACTGATGTTCCTACAGACCAAGCGTATAGATACTCCGTTTAGCAGGAAAATCGATCGAAGCGATGGTTTGGTCAATCGAAGAAAAAGGAGAACAAAGGGCGTAATGGGGCGCGAAATGAGAAAGCGAAGACATCGTAAAAGCGTCAAGTTCGAAATCTGTAGGCCGTTGAAGTTCCTAGGTCGGATCTGGATATAGTAGTTAGTCCTCCCAACACTCCATCTCTTTCACTTTGAATACCCTTTAAGCTGCTTCGTCCTCAATCTCCAAGTTCCCAACCCTGAACCTCTTCCCCTTCATATCGGCATAATCGCCATGATCATGATAACTCTTCACCCTCTCCCTCACATACTCCAGCCCCCTTACCGGCCGCGCATTCTCGGAATCCCCACTTATCAACCCCAAGCGCCTCAACAGTGGCGACGGCACAGGCTTAATATCGACATCATTCCGGGGCCTGACAAAGTAAAACAGCCCTAGGCGGTGTATGTGGGCCTGGTCTTTCGGCGGCCGCACAACGCGGTGCGTGGTCGACTTCAAGTATCCCGCAGACCAGAAGTCCAGGGTATCGCCCACATTGCAGATGATGCCGTTGTCGACAGGCGGTACGTATTTCCACTCTCCGGAGGGTGTTTTGAGCTGGAGACCGGCTACGTTCTGGCTCCAGAGGAGTGTGAGAGAACCGAAGTCAGTGTGCGCTCGTGACCATGTGTTTTGCACTTTCGCGTCTTCGGCTTCGCTCCGTGGGCGGTAGATCATGTAGCGTAGGTGGTCTTCGCTTTGGTCTTCGTACGCGTGTTGCTTAGAGAAGTAGTCTTCGGGTAATTCGAGGAGGATGGAGAAGAGTGTGAAGATCTTGGAAGCTAGATCTACGGACCGTCGGGAGAAGGCTTCGATCTCGGCGCGGTATCGTTGGAGAAAGGGGTGGAATGGTTCATGCTCGTTTTGGGGAATGAACTTCGGGATGTTGACAGACTCCACGTTGTCGAGTACGTCAGTGCCCATGGTTTTTTTCTCGTTGGCCTGCCAGAAGCATTAGTATATGGAATTGGGATAAGATGAAGAATAGGCAAATGGCCTACAGCACGATACCCGAAGTAGTTTCCCTGCGCGAAGTCGCATCGGTATTTCGGATCTCCTTTCATGTCAAGAGGGAGGTTGAAGTACGCTTGCCCGATGTCGTACTGGCGCTCTACTTCAGCTTGAGTAAAACCCGTACCGGTGACGCTGAAGAAGCCTGTCTTGTGCACCTGCCCGTATTCTATCAGCAAAATGTCAAAGACAGTGCGACAGGCATATCTACCGCATCTCTTAGTTGCTCGGCCAGTCTTTGCTTCTGATCCGGCTCATCAAATCGAGAGAGGTCAATAACTTCGATCTCTGCCCAGTCGAGCGTTTCGTTGGTTTTACTTGGCCTCTTCCACTTAGGAAGCGGCACGGGTTCGGGAAGTACGACAGAAGGCATGTTTACCAACGCTTCATCAGCTTATTCCTGGGGTCCTCTTCCCAACTGTAGTCGTTCCAACGCCATATATGTCCCAGCGCGCAAATGCATGCGGCCGGATTGCGATGTCATCGCGAAGTGGAGTAGCGAGCACGCAATCCCCCGCCAAGATTCGTGCTGGAAGAAGGGATCAACAACACCACCAAACGTGTATATAAAACATGGCAGGATATAAGCAACCGGTGGTCCGCAACTCTACTAGCCCGAGTTTCCGTCCACGTAGAATTCATTTCGTACATTCGCTAGATCGGCCGCCTGTCGGGCGGTTTGGCGGCGCGTATTCGAGGTAGTATCGTCGTTGAAGATGACTGGAAGGCGACTGCTAAATAAAAGCAGAGTTCCTAAGATCGACTTTTGATGAAAGGGGGTCTCCAAACGCGCATTGAAGATGAAGATGTAGAGGAGTGGTCAGGTTCGCGATTGAGACTCAGAGAAGTTAGCGAGTGTACTGACTCATCATCGGAAGCTAAATCGGAAAGTCGGAACAGGGTAATCTATCATTTCAAAGCCCTGCGCATTGGGACGCACATTCAAAATGATGGTTAATGTCTAGAAGGAAGAGCATCGTACATGTATACCTCCTAATATGTCGGAGATGATGCGCTCACGAAGGCACAAAGTTCGAGGGAGGCGAGTTCTGTGTTCCGGTTCTGCGCTATTTGATTGGACGATGACGTGGGAGTGATGCTTAGCGTGGTTGGCATCGCAGGGCTGAAACGCGCAGCTCTCCATTAGCCCCACCAACATTCACGCATCCACAAAGCGTCTCTCGTTCCTTCATCGCTGTCTCCTACCTTCAAAGTCTGCATCACACTGTAAAAAGCGCACTGGAGACTGCTGAGAGCAGTCCGCCTCTCCCTTCTGGCGCATCCCAGCCGAGTGCTCGAAGCGCACACCCCTTCACTGGTCACTCAGCTCTGTACTGTTCATAGCAATCTTGAAAATCTAGCGTCTATCGACCGAAGAAGGGATACAAGAATGCAGGCCAGGTCTACAGCTTCGCACGCTCGCCGCTCAACCCCGCTGCTACATCGGCATATCGCTCATAGCAGTCCTTCTCGGAATCGAAGTTCAGCAACCATGCTTCTCTTGTCAAATGGATAGCCTCCGGCGTCTTCCAGATCTCGTCCCAATTCGCCTTGTGCCACTTCTCCCTCGTCTTGACGCCCGTTGCTTGCGCCTGGTGAACTCTCTCATATCGGATTTTCTCGTGCGCCTTAACCGCCAAAGGAATATTCTTCTTGCCCGCCAGCTCCAGGCACGATGCCAAGACTACACCATCCTCGATGGACTGACTTGCACCTTGGATGGACGTTGGAAGGAAAGGATGCGCTGCGTCACCGATCAAGACGATCCGATGCTTCGGCGATATGAAAGTCGGCAACGGATCTCGGAAGACGAGCTTGTGGTCAATGAGCCGAGCGTCCTTAGGTGTTGCTCTGACAATCTCCTGGACGACAGGTGCCCAGCCCTCCACGTACTTCAAGCAGTCTTCTATCTTCCCCGGGAACTGCCAACTCTCCTCGATGTTTCCGTCATCCACGTGGGTGAAGACCCAGTTGAACTCTTTCCCGTCTTTCAACGACGAAGCTAGGAAATGCAGGTCCGGACCAATCCAGCCAGAGTGAGTATCGCCATTCATGACGAGATGTTTGATCTTCTCGTTGTCCTTGATCGCATCTCCGTTGAACCAGCATCGATACACAGCATAACCGGATGATTTCGGCTTGTCATCGAAACCTAACACAATCTTGCGCCCCCGCGACCGAACGCCCTCTCCTGCGATAACAATATCCGCAACCATTCGCTCTCCGTTCACAACCACCCCGGCCTTGTCTTCGTCCTCAAAATAATCCGTCACTCTTTGTCCAAGCCTCATGTCGATGCCGCGGTCCTTCGCATGCTGATAGATGATGCTATACAGCTCTCCACGATGCCCGTTGATCCGAGGTCCCCAGCTCTTCTCTCCTTCGAAACTTTGCCTAGTTACGAACTGGCCTTTCCAATGGTACAGGTCTAGCCACGTTGTCTTCCGAGCGACCTTGTACATCGCCTCAATAACGCCGGGCCATCGCTCAAACAACCGCGCTCCATTGGGATCGAAGCTGATGATGTCGCCAAATCGCGTTATTTCCTCGATGTTCTCGGCTTTCTCCAGAAGCGTGACCTTGTGGCCTTTGCGATCGCATTCGATGGCTGCTGACACTCCCGCGAAGCCCGCACCTACAATGATGACGTTGATGCCTGAGGGTGGACGCCGAGGGAATTCAGCCATGATGGTGGATCCGGCTTGGGTTCTTTGGGCTCTTCTTGGGGTGGAGAAGAGGTTTTTAGTGTCTCGATGGTCAGCGGTTGTGGCGCGGATAGACAGCTGGCGTTCACTCATGGTGGGGTCGGCTAATATACGAGATCCTCTCGGGCGGGCCCCACATCCTCCTTTTCAACCTCTCGAAAGCCACGAAGAAAGTCAGGCCATGGATCAACCGGCAGAAAGGCTTAGTCGTGCGCGATTATCTTCTCGTGTTCATCTTGTCAACATTCTTGAGATCGGATCTCACCAAGCTTTCACTATCACGTGGGGAACTACGGGCGTGACGCCTTTCCATACATACCCGCGCCGGTGTTGGTACTTTGCGCTGCACGCCTAGAAGCGAACACCGCTGCGCGAATGCCCTGCTTCAGCGTCGAGGGCCTTCATCGTACTAGTCCCCAACAGGAAACAAGGGTGAATAGCGCCCGTAGTCGCTGGCGCTTTTGTAAGGTGGTCCGGGGCGCATACACTCAGCTATGGCATTTTCGCTTGACTATCTAACCTCCAGATGTAGCGATCACGCGCAGTACTTCCGCCGATTCCAGCATTTACTCGACGGTTGGCTGGGTTTCGCTAGCACTCCCGGCAAAGCCCGAGTTTCGAACGAAGCTTAGCGCCTTGGCGGCGCACGGTTACTTCTCGGAATATGAGTGTGCCTTCTCCTTTCGACAGGATGACTGTCTCACGATATCACGACTGCATATTTTAACGCCTTGCCGCCAGCAACTGAATAGCGAGTATACGACGAGGGAACTATTCATTGCAAGCATCAAACGTGCGCAGAGTCATTCTCTAGCCGCGGATACCCAAAAATCCTCGCGCGATATGGGCGGGCGCCTCCTACCAGCAAACGCAAGGAATCTCCTCAACCTCGAAGAACGGCTACTGGATGATGGGCATGGATTTCTCCTCAGCCTCCTTCCTCGCCACCTTTTCATCAATCACAACGGGAATATCATTCTTAATCCAGAGCACTACCCTAGGGTCGAGCGGGGAGTGGGCAACGACCAGCAGCCGAGGTGCTTCGATATCGACGAGCAGATCGATCAAGGAACATATCCCGTCTTTGCATTCTTTTCAGGACCAGACAACCAGAACCACATCGGTGACAGACTCCATCTTACGGTCCTTACGCAGCGAGAGGTCCCGGGAGCATTCAAGACACGCGGAGGAGTCTCGCTATTGACGATGCATGACCGCCTGGACGAGCTTAACGAAGTGCCTCCGTTGTCGTGGCACGAGCCCTCGGAAGGATGGCGCGGCTCGAAGGACTGGGTTTGCCAGACAACTGCCCTGATCAAGTACTTCCTTCTCGTCTGGGCGTATGACGCGGGATATGAGAGTTCCCAACTGCCACTTCCGAAATATGATAGCTTGCGACAAGCATTCGAGATGCTGGAGCAGACAAGGTACTTCGAAAACGCAAGGGCTAGAGACGAGCGCCCGATCGTGACGTCCGCTCTTGGTGTTTCTCAATATGTTGGAAATAGCCAGGCCCAAGAACTCTTATTGAACGCTACGACGGGCCCTTACGATACGGATGCCACGACGGTTCATTATGACCACAATATCACACCAACCGACGCTGATGTTAATGGGGTCGAGGCATATTTTTACGACAGAACTCCCGAAGCAGATCCGCTGGTGTTGAAAGACAACTCACACGAACGCCGCGATCCGGCACTTCCGACGCCAGCAAGTTCACGCACTGGCACTCACTGTGGCTCTCCATTCGGCAATTCCTTTTCCGGAATTCCTCAGGACGAGGTTCATGCCTCGTCTGAGACTGAGACCAGGGGCACACAATCCACCTCCGCGCCTAGCGCCAGTGCTGGATTGACACAGGCGACTCCGCCTTCTGCCGTACCGCTCCTAGACCCAGCGTCGTCTCAAAGCTCTGACGGTCTTCAAGAACACCAAGACGGTTCTCAGACTGAAGAAGCCGACAGTCTTACACTACTCCGAGAAAAAGTCGGCTCTGACCTGCTTTCAGCCCTCCCTCACTTGAGTTCCATGATGTTCAAGCGCCTCTCCGGCCCCGACCAAACTAGGATCCTACCTCTTCGTCTCCTCATTGGAACATTCACTAAAAGCGTACCACAAGCTCACCTCCGTGGCCAAGACGCCTGGGCCTGGTTCAGAGTCCACGACAAGGAAGGCCGGGCGGCTCCGCGTATGCACTTGAGTGTCTTTAATCCCCATACCGACGAGTCGATCGAAGTGAGTGTACGGCAAGTTCTTCCGCACCTGAATCTCGGAGCTGCGTTCGCTGGTATCCACGTCGGAGGTATGACCCTCAGAGAGCACCAAACGAAATCTATCGTTAAGTACTACTTCATTCTTGCGGCCGACGCGGGGTTGCATGGGTTTACACAGCATCGCATGCCTATCAATGAGTCATTCGTCGAGAACATGACCGCTATATGCAAACGAATGCAGGATCCGAAAGCGAGGACGATCGCTGCACAGCGGCATAGAGAAGGCCGAACGCATTCAGACTTCGATGCCGACGATGAAGCGCCGCATACACAAATCGAGGCTAGAGCGCCTTCCGCCCGTTATCTAAGGAATCGGCCGGCACGACCAGCCGCAGTGACACCTGATTCGGACATGTGTTCCGATTCTACCAACGCAGTCCGGAAACTTCCACCACGTCGACTCGCAATCGGCTCCATAGGTGCCACCGGCAGCAACAGATTCCTAACCTTCGACGCTGAGCCGCTGTCCTCCGACGGCGAATCCGGCGACGAAATACCGGGCCCCATTCCAGAGCCGATGCGAACGCTTCTTCGGGAGCGCGATTTAGCGGCTGGCGCAGTTAAAGATATTCGGCAATACATCACCGCTTTGAATGACCTACGACGCGCTGCTGAGAGCCGGGTCCGCAAGCTGACTCATCAGCTGGGCCATGGTCGAGATGAAGTGGTCAAACGCGAGCTGGAAGTCGCAGAGGGGCGAGCCCGGGGATATAAGAGCCAGCTCGCGGTAAAAGAACAGGCTCTGAAGGGTTTTAAGCTGCGGAAAGCGGACTTGGACTCGCAGGGGAGGGAGGTTCATAAGAAGTGGGCGAAGCAGTGGAAGTTAGGTGCTAGTTGAATAGATTCTTGAAGCGTGTCGAAAACGGCGATACCCAACCGAAAATGCTGGATCTGGAGGAGATGCTTTCGGTCCACTGGTATGTATTTGATGTGTGACGCAATTGCCTAATTGCGATAGGGAAAGAGCACTCAAAAAGGTGAAGCCTCTGCGTCGACGGGCACACTTATCCTTGACCTCCGCAACGCTCCCCAGGGGCCTCTTATTCTTCCCCATCAACAGGCTATTCGCCGAATCGTTTACTCTACCAGAAGAGCTTCTTCAATCTTTCCAGTCTCGACCTTTCACTCCAAGGCCTGCGAAAATCTGCTCGTAGTCGCCTCGGCAACAACGCACCCAACACATATCAGCGACCGCGTCCACGCCCATAATATCCGCGCTTCCCCGTCGAAATCCGTCGCGCTCTGCTATCTCCCTAATGCAAATCTTTCCGCCCGCGTCGAAATGCCTCCCACACGACCTCACCCTTTCCCGACCGTACCGAGCAAGCCGAAGCGCACACACATCGACGCCACGAGAACACGAGCGGCCTACTCTACGGTCTGACTTGGCAGTCTCCTAGTCCGAGCCGAACCCCAAGTCGATCGAAACGCGCGAGCTAGTCATACTCGGATACACAAGCGCCAACGAAGTCATGGCTAGCGCTACACAAAACCAACAAGCCGTGGAGACACCAGCCTCGATAGAGAACCAGAAGCGGTGGCGCGATCTAAACGCACGGTTGCACCGGGATGGCTACGCCGACATCCTGTCTTCGCTCCCATCCCATAGAGAGCTGAGGATCGGTTTGCATCCTGTCTTGAAGCTTCCAATTTTCCACTTCGGCACGCTCGGCAGTCGACGCGTCTACGTCGTTTCCAGCTATGGCACCATCACCCACCTTAGCACGGGCGACACAGCGGGGCAGGTGTATCTCCCGGTGGAAGGCGATCCGTTTTCGATTGAGATCAGGCCGCCGTTCTCGTCGCTTAAAGATCATGGTATGGGCGCGTCGTTGCTGAAGGAAGAGCTTCTGGCCATGGTGCGGTATTATTTCTTGTCATGGGCGCCTGTGTCTGCGATGCGGAACGCGCTTGGAGTCATGCAAACTCCGGATTACTCTTTCCTGCTCAATGCGTTGAACATACTTGCGGAGGCTCAGCGTTTGCCCATACCGCCCTCGAAGGAGGATCAACTCACGAAAAGCAATATCTGTACTGAGAGGGATGATGTACCCAGCTGTATACCACCTAATGATCCTACAAGCGACCGCGTCCGGGGGCTGAGCAACGCCAATGCGCTAGCGCATATTCGAGATGTACATCATGATACGACTACGAAGAAAACTAATGATACGGCGACAGAGCAGAGTTCTACAGCATCGTCTATCGTAAAAGCCATAGAAGTATCTTCCCCGGGACCAGTTGAGGCCATTAACGGCGACTTTCAGAAGCTCGCCGAGCCAAAGCACCCGCCGAGCGCTACCAAGAAGCAAGAAGTTATCGTTCACGATAAGAGACCCGAAGCACCCGAGGAGCGCAATGCGAACGACGCAACAGAGACCGTCCTGCCAGACCCAGGTCCGCCCGAAACAGCGACCAAGGAATCGTCTAGCGAAAATGCTGGTTCCGCATCTACAGGAGCTAAGATAGGTGTCAATGAGGGCACCAAGACGATTCCAGGCCGGCAACAAGGCGATAGCGCTGTTAGTAGCGAAATTACTACCAAAATCTCACTCCCTAAGACAGACACCGCGCTCCAAACTCTCCGCTCGCAGATCGGCATGGACCGACTATCCGTCCTCCCCGACTTATCCACCCTCAAATTCGACGAAGTCCGAGACCTCCCCGACTACCTCCCATTAATCCTCCGCATAGGAACTCTCCACGACGCCCCCGAAACCATAGAAGTTTGGGCTTTCCTTAAACCGGGCGAAGGCGGCTCATCCATCGAGTTCACCGCTTACGACGAACAGCAGCGAGAAGTCGACTGGTTCGAGCTCCCCGACCTGGCGGTGTGGTCATACTTCTTGGCCGCTATTATGCTGGAGCAACCATTCGCCAGCATGCAAGATGAAGAGCAGTTCACGGCCCTTGTGAAGTATTACTTTTTGCTCGCTGCGGAGAAAAGACTTTTTGGTTTTGGGGACGCGGGTCATAAGATTGGTGTCGATTGGACGCTTCGAGACGGTTTGATTGATGCTTGTGAGAGTGTAGGTGGGGAGTCCGAGATCAAGAAGATGAAGAAGTCGCGGGTTCATACGAGAGGGATAGCGAAGGTTGTCAAGATCTCCACAAAGCGAAGTTACGATAAAGTTCCCACAAAGCGAAGTCACGATAAAATTCCGCCCAGTTCTGGATCTGACGGCGAGGGCGAGACGCCTTCACGCGCTCCTGATAGGAGACGTCAGACTGCAGGGCACGCGACGAAGAAACCGCGATCATCTGTCTCAGACGGTACAGGTGCCTCTAGCAAACAAGGCTCGGGTATGAATAAGAACCCGCGCTCATCGCTGTCCAAACCTGACGCCGCAACTTCAACGCCTATGAGCTCGGCCGGACGCGGCAAGAATCGATCACCCCAAAAGCAGCGCCAGATAATCAAGCCTATCCCATTGAAAGGCTATTCCGACTCGGATACGGAGACAGACTCGATCCCGCCGAAGGCCCCTCCTCAACCCACCGTCCCCCCAAAAGCTCCAGAACCAGTTCGAGACCTCCTTACTCCCGTACCCGCTGTCCTCTCCAACCCGCCCACCGAGAAGGAGCTCCAAGCGCTAGACCTCCGATCACACCAATTAGATGACCACATCGCCAGCCTCAGTCAGGACATCGCAGTCTATGCCGGCAAGGTGAAGCAAGCTAAGAAGATGATCCTGAAGCAACGGGGACTGGATAAGCAGATGGCAGAGTACTGGGAAGATAGTATTAAGGAGTATGAAGGGAGGATTGAGACGACGAGGGAGCGGGTGATGGTGGCAATGGAGGAGAAGAGAGAGTTGGATGGCAGGATTAGGAAGGTGTTGGAGGAGTGGCCGGGTTTGGCGGATAAGATTGTGCTGAGTAAAGTTTAGGGGAGTTGGTTTGATTGTAAACGGATTGTATAGTCCTTGCAGCGAATAGGAACGCGGGGTAGGTATTTCTGGTGGTTCCTTGTTTCATTATGTTGCGACTTGCTCACACTCGCGTTCGGGCGGAGCTCTTGACCGTTGGCATTGAGTTACTCTATAGCTTAACGTTGGCACCGAGCGCAAATGAGTGACAGACCAGCCTATGCCATATCTTGTGACGAGCCTTACTGACCGTAGGCTACTCACATGGAGTATCAACGGCGTGCCAAGTAGAGGGGATCGTGCAGGTGCATACATCCTCCGCACTAGGCTTATTTGGGTAGTCCATCGTTCCGTCCCCTTCAGATATCGGGCGGCTAACAGCGCCGCAGTTAGACGAAACGCCCTCACTCCCACCCTTCGAGTCGATCCTTCTTGACACGTCCTCGTAACAACATCTTCTACCCACTGTCACCTTCCCCACGGCGCTCCTAAGTCCCGCATCGCAATGGCGCCTTCGAGACTCCTTAAGCTCCACAAGATCATCCAAGTCAGCGACTACACCATAACGACCTGGGTTCTCCTCGGCGCAACCGTGCAATGTCTCCTCACCCTCCTCCTCCCCACTCGCCTCGCCCTCTTCCCTCCAATCTTACTCCTCATCCACCGCATCCTCCGGGGCTACCTCGCCGCCACAGGCTACATCCCCAACCTGCTCTCCGTCGGCGTCAACTACTCGCGCACAACCGTCCAAATCCCCTCCCCTTCCGGCAGCCCCGCCTCCCAGCCCTCCAACGAGTCCCTCGTCGTCATGGTCCTCACATCCACCTTCACCCACCCCAACGGCCGCTTCTCCCCCGGCGGCGCAGACCTCGGCCCCCTCTTCATCGCCATGTGGGCCGACGCCGCTGCAAACCGCGAGACGTACGGCTACCTGGGCAACACGCCCGCCATGGTCGCGGAGCCGTCCTCGCTGTACAGCGGCCCGAGGAATGGAGATGACAGGGGCAAGACGATGCTGTGGCTGAGCTATTGGAAGACGCTAGATGGGCTTAGGGCGTTTGCACATGCGGGGCTGCATCGTAGGGGCTGGGACTGGTGGGAGAGTGGCGGCACGGGGAGGAGGTTCGGGCATATTGGGGTTGCGCATGAGGTTTATGGGGTGCCGGGGGGTGGCTGGGGGTGTGTTGCGCATAATTTTCGCGCGTTTGGGCTTGGTGAGTGAGAGGGTTGGGTTGGGGTTGACTGGGCTGACTGACGGAATGCAGGTAATGCGAAGTTTCCGGTTTGGAGCGAGGGCGCTGAGGGGGGGAAGGGGGCTGTGCAGTGGGTTAGTGGGCTGAGGCCGGCGAGGGGGAAGGAGTGGAAGAGCATGGAGAGTAGAATGGGGAGGGCGGAGGGAAGTGTGGGCTTATAGACGGAGGAGGCGATCCGAGTTTGGTACTTCCGCTATTTGTGCATCTGCGCCACCATGGGTACATGCAACCACGGCTGCGCATAACTGGGAACTTGCCGGCCCGCGCCGCTTCACACGTTCTCGTGACTTGGCCATGCAGCTCCTAAAGGAAGTGGGAGCTTCACGGAGCCCAATACTCAGGATATCTCAAGGGAAGTATTCACAACCTAAAAAAGCCCTGATCAAGTACAGTACCACCAAGCAGAAGAAGCACACGCACAAAATCTCATTCAATCCCCCCATTCAATCCCCACCGCAGCTCCGTGAAGCAAATCCCACTGATTCGAGCTCTCCCACCTTCAATTCTCCACACTACCTATAAATCCTCCACCACCAACCAGCTCCAACAACGCATCATCCCCCCAGCAAACACATCCACAATAACTTAGCCTCCATGTACCACCATCAATCACCCAGCCATGTCAACCCTCCAACAAAGCATGCAAGACTACGAACGCAGCAGCATCTACGCAAAGCGCTACAAATGGCGCTGCCACAAGTGTATGTGTATTCCCTCTCCCTCATTCATTTCAAATTCCCGGCTATACACGCCGCTGCCGGCGCGTGTAGGAGTTGCGGCTGACGTGTCTGTATGCCAGGTAAAACGGTGTGGAGATTTGCAGTCAGTGGAGTTACTTGTGTACGGTGCATGCATAAGTTCTGCGAAGCGAAATGCGAGGAGTGTGTTTGGGTAAGGAAGAAGGAAGGTATATCTAGGGGTGATGCGGGTGGAGAAGGTAGTGTTGCTGGTGCTGCTGGTAGTGCTGTTGCTGCTGGTGATTCGGGGAAGAAGGGGAAGGAGAGGGATTAGAGGGAGGGGCTCTAGTGAGGGGTACAGCATGCATTTTAGTGGGATACATAGAAACACGGATACGGGGTGTTTGGTTTGTCTCAGCGATTGCTTGATTGGTCGATTTTCTTCGATTTGAGTCACCAACCTATAGAGGTTATGAGTGGTGAGTTGAGTGACATCTGCCTACATACAGGTGCGCAGTCGAGACGAGGCTCTGCGGACTGCGATGGCGTGCCGAAGTGCGGCTGGCTCTCTTTCGTTTTGGGAGCTGCACTTTATGCTCCGATAGCCCTTTCGCCTTTCCGAGGGGTTGTTTAGCCCTTTTCAACTTTTGATGTCCCTTTTGTGTCTTTTCAGAGGGGCACTTTTCCCCTTCTCCAACTTTTGATGTCCCTTACATGGCTTTTTCTAAGGCATTCTTAAGTCTTTCTCCAACCTTCATTTTTCCATGTCCGAGTACTTCAATCTCCGAACAATGTAGCCGTGGGCGACCAGACCTCATGAATCTGTACACTCCACCCTCTTTCATTTTCATCCTTACTGCTAATCCCACATCCTAAATCTTCGAACCCACCCCCGGCCCGCCCCATTCCTCAGGGCCCCTTCCACCAGACCCCTCCCCGGCCTTCGGCACCATAACCTGCAAAACGCCATCATCCACGCGCGCCCGAAGTCCTTCCCTCTGCACCTGCGCCGGGAACTGAAACCGGCGCGTGAACCCACTCGTCGCTCCGTCCGCAGGCCCTTGCTCCGACAAGCGACCCGTGTTCAAAACACTCCGCCACCCACGGCCGCCTCCCTGTGCATTCACACCCTCTATTTCCAGCGCCTGGTCGTCCGCCCAGCGGATCGAGACGTCGTTCTCGTGGCAGCCTGGGATGTAGCTCTTGACGAAGTAGGCGGAGGGCGACTCGTCGACGTCGAAGTGCGGTGTAGAAGTCTGCACGTCGCGAGCGGCGTATTGGGGAGCAGCAGCACCTCTAAGGATCGCGGGCGGCCCGTAGGGGAAAGTGCAGTCGCACGGGCCCGGGTGGTGGTTGTGCTCGACGAAGGGCTGGGTGTAGCAGGGGCGGTCGTAGTAGTGGGGCTGGCAGGCGCCGTGCTGGAAGACGTAGGGGTGCTGGAAGTGGCGCATGGGGTAGTGGCAGAAGGGGCGGGCTAGGGCGTGGCCGTGGAAACTGTGACACGGCATGTTGAGCGATACGATGCGATGCGATAGAGATTGTGGAGGCTGTGTTCGGTCGTGTCTCCGTTATCCGGGTTGCGAAGTCTCTTGGGCTCAATATATCGGTTATGCCCGTTGAGACGCTCAGTGCTGTGGCGCGGATCAGGTGATGTCTGCTCGTCACTCCACTGAGTATCAGGGTACTTGGACACTTCAAACATGATTTGGAGTACGCGTTCGGGATCCTGCTTTTCATCATCATCGCTTTCGATATGTTTCCGAAGAAGAGGATGACAGGTCGCTTGCCCTGCCATCGACCCACTCGGGCGTAAAAAAGAGGCCACACAGATTCCCAGCAATAGCAGTTCCGCTCACTTTCCATTGCTATAGCTACTCATCCCCTGAATTAGGGAAATACCGGAAACCACCGTTATAATAAGGGCCCTTTTAAGGCTATTTTCGCACAATTCCCCAACTTACGGGCAATTCTTACCTTAGTCAACAAGAAGCTTTAATACTAGACATCCTATTAGAATATATAAAAGGCCTTTTCTTACAAATCAGTGATACTTTTGATATATTTTCACTTGTTGCGTTATAATAAGATGAAAAGGGTGAGTTTCTTTGGGGTGCGGGGAATTCTTACACCCGAGTGCGGCCGCCGCAACGCGTGGCTATGCTCCAACACTTCGCACTCTTATGCAAACCAAAACATCTACAAGAGGGTGGGTCGAGCGAGGTGGACCATCCTCCCTACGGGCGTTCGCAAATTGTAGAGAACTTCTGGGTAACTTGTTTGCACAGACACAAATAACTCTTGCGCGCCATAAAGCGGCAGGAAAATAAGAGGCAAACGAGCCTCAGTCAGTCGGGACCACCATGGCCCAGTCTGCACGCAAGATTTTTGGATCTGATAAACCAATAAAGGCAGGACGGCCTATGCAAGCCGGATAACATCGGGAAAGGAACTTCAAATGATTCGTCGTCTGGAATTTAGCCTTGTGCCCAGTGCTACTTTTACCGCTTCGTTTTATGCAGCCTCAAGGCCGCACTTTGAATACTGCTGCCTTCTGTGAGAATCCTTATACGGCTCGGTCGCCCACTTCTATACTCCTTTCTCGCCAGTGGTTCTCAGCCTACTCCCGTTCTTACTCCACAACTTAGGCCGTTTTATACCTGTAATCTACTATCAATCGGCATTCTGCCACCGAATCATTTATCGTCCGCATGTCCTCTTGCCTTCTTCGATTGGCTTCGCACCACACCAATGAGCGGTCTTGAAAGCGTAGCAAGTGTAGCAACTGTTCTCGACGTCATCATCACGTTAGGGAAGGTGTTACGTCGTGCCAAAAACGCGACTGGAGAATTGAATAGTTACATCAACGGATTGAAAACACTGCATAGTGTAAGTTTTCACTCAAGGGCGAAGGTCTAGTATTAACTTCAGCAGATAAGCAGCGCGGTCGATCTGGCCACCAAAAGCATTGAAGGTCTCGAGAACTTCACCATAGCAGATGGGGGCAAAGAGAAGGGACTGCTCGAGTTCTGTAATGAACATCTAGCCAAGGTCATCAAGGAGGCGGATACAACGCTCCTGAAGAAATATGGACAAGACGATATTTCATTATTCGAGAAGTTGAAGCGGCAGATTCGCTTCAGCCTTGACCAGGAGCCCATCCAAGGCCTTATTCAATCGGTTGAACACGCGAAGTCGACATTGCAGACAGCCCTCTCAATGGCAGTACTATGTCGAGACGAGTCTAGGTAAGTCATCTAATTAGTTAGTAACCGTTAATCCTTACGCCTGATGGTCACTGCGTAGACCTCAGAAGCTGCAAGATAATATCCGAGATATGACCCGCCAGTCCCTTGATGATCATCAAGGCGTCGGGGATAACATGAAAGACACACTACGCGATCATGCCCAGCGTATGGAGAAGTACTTTATCCAACAGAAAGGACAGTTTCAGCAGTCATTCCAGCAGTACAGGAATGAACTGGGCGAACATGCGAAGAATCTGCAAGAGTCTTGTGAACGCAATTGTGCCATATCGATGAAGTTGGAGAAAAGGTCGTTCCAAACCAACTCGATAATCAGCTCGCTCGAAGAGTCCAAAAGCCAGGGTGCGGAAGCAATCAGCGATGTAGGGCTCCCGACTAGCCCTGGGCGAGGTGCACTTCCAGCGGACCACGCATCGTGGCTTTCTCGAAACGGTATACCAGATGATTCACCAGAAGAAGGCATCTCGATTCCAATAAATACATCAGCCAGTCAAGATACAAGCGACGCCTTGTGTGGACTTTGTTCAGCCAGATTGGAAACGAAGAACTCCGGAGATGACGTGGATATCGCTGCGTCCGAAAACGATCAGGATCCAGACTCCTTCGAAAAAGCGTTCGCGAACCTCATCTCCGAATCTTACTTCAATTTGTCGGACGACACAGACACGGATTCACTCGATTTCTGGGAAGCAAACTCGAGTGAGGAAGACTCAGAATCCGACAGCTCCTCTCCGTCGGTATCGCGATTGGGTATTCTGGAGCTACCGGAAAGGGTACGCTTGAACTTGGAAGGAACACTCAGATTGTGCATAATACAGTGCAATCAAAAGTTTCGATTATTCTGTGTTGAAGAGATTTCCAAAGCGACCGCAGAGAACGAGGACGGACCGGATGAAGATATAGAGCTCCTTTTGCAGGCCCCGTGTCTACCTCTCGATTCTTGCAAGCACCTCACTATAGAAATTCCCCTAGAGGAGTTCGATAACTCTGGGATCTTCCCCCGACATGTCAGGCTCTATTGCAGGGAAGGAATCGAAGGATTGAAATTCGGGGAATTGGCTCGGAAATGCTGCGATCATACTCTCTACAGGCATAGTATAGATCACGCAGAAAGCATCAAATGTATTCTGGACAATAGGCGGCTTGCTGGGCATTTGGTAGGGCAGGATGACACATCTTCTATAACGATGTCGGTAGCTTAGTCTACGTAATACTTGGGCCTCCTGAGTCACCCTCGGAATTCCAAGGTCTGAGTAATCCGCTCTTATCCAATCTATGAAGAAAACGTCATGCTAGGGAATAGAAGCTAGCTTTGCAAGCGAATTGTATTAAAGTAGAAGCCACGAGATGCTTCAGTCACGAAAGCAGTTACGTGCGCGGTCACTCCACCAACCATCATGGTTCTCATTCTTTGAGATATATTCGCCACTCTCATGTGATCACAGCATCAAACCTTCGCGATCGATAAGTGGCGCTCGGGTTCCTGCATTAGCAATCGCCACTTATCTATATGTCTCCGAAGATGGAGGGGATAGAATAGTGGAGTGGAAGCCACGAGATGCTCCAGTCACGAAGGCAGTTACGTACACAGTCACTCCACCAACCAGCACGGTGCTCATTCTCTGGGAGATATTCGCCACTCTCATGTGATCGCAACATCAATATCTCGCGAACAGCCACTACTCCGACCAAAACACAACCACTACACCAGTTCGAGGATCGACAACGCTGCAACCATGGAGAGCCTCAGATCTAAAGAAATATTCGACAAAACCGTTCCGGATCCTTCGACCCCAGAAGAAGATCTCGGCTTGCGAATCTCAGCCATCTTCGTCATCTTACTCGCATCGCTACTAGGCGCCTGGTTTCCCATCTTCGCAAGTCGAGGCAGGGAAAGGAGAAAAGACAGCTGGGCGTTTTTCGTCGCGAAGTACTTCGGTTCCGGCGTCATCGTCGCAACTGCCTTCATCCATGTAAGTACTCTCCCAGCAACACTACGTTTCCACAACTTGACGCCGGCTTTCTAGTTACTAGCTCCCGCGCGGGAAGCTCTCACGGATCCTGTCCTGAAGGATGCAATCACCGGGTATCCCTGGGCTGAACTCATAGCCCTCATCATGGTCACACTCATGTTCTTCTTCGAAGTGATTATCATGCGGCAGAGCTCCGCAGGAAGCGAGCATCAGGAAGGAGGAGCCGCGGAGCGCAACTGTCTGATCGATCCTTCTTCCTCGAGGGCCGTGAAGCAATACGGCACCACCAACGGTACCCTCAATGAAACGCGCCCCTCTAGTACGACCAGCATGCCGGGCACCGACCACTTCGGCCACGAGCGCGTGCACGCCGACTACGACGACTTCGCCACCCACTGCGAGAACGAAAGTAGCTCAAGTTCTGGACCCTACGCGGCTCAAATAGTCGGGCTCTTCATCTTGGAATTCGGCATCATCTTCCACTCCGTCTTCATCGGCCTCACTCTCGCAGTTTCAGGGGAAGAATTCAAAGCGCTGTACACCGTCCTCGTGTTCCACCAAGCCTTCGAAGGCCTCGGTCTCGGAGCTCGTCTGGCCAGTATACCCTTCAGCCACGCGCACCGCTGGACGCCACACATCCTGGCTATCGCATTTGCGCTTTCCACACCAGGAGCGGCGGCGATAGGCCTTGCTATCCGGAGCGTGTACCGTGCGGGATCGCCCGTCGCGATCATGATGAACGGCATCTTCGATGCGATTAGCGCAGGAATACTGATCTACACGGGGTTAGTGGAGCTGATGGCGCACGAGTTCATGTTCAGTCCCGAGATGAGTCGCGTGCCGCTTCGGGAGGTTTTGGCAACATTTGGGTGTTTTACTGCTGGTGCTGGTAAGTTCTTCTCGCTGTGCATCCAGATGCATCATACTGACGTACTTTCTTAGGACTCATGGCCCTTCTAGGCGTATGGATATAAACGCAACCGGCATTGCGCGATTAACCCCCACCACTCCGCAGTTCGGCGATCGCACCCGCACGTGACGTTCGCCCAAACCAGCTGCCAACCCAACCGTGGTGTGACGCACGCAGGGATTATACGACTAAGCTTTTGCTACTGCGCTCCCATTGGACAGCACCACGACTACGGAAGCTGCGGTGGCTACCTACCAGGAGTATGATATAAAGACTTGCTGCCGCCCCCATGCGCCGGTTCGTTCCACTTTTTCTCCCGTACGTCTCGCTGACTCCACGATCGCACAATGCATACGCTTCGGCACCAAGACGCATTTCCGCGCGAAGTGTCGCCTATCGGCCTCGGGCCTGGCTTTGTTTGGGGATGTGAGTCAAGCTCACGAAGGGCGGTGGAGGTTCGACACGAGCTTCTGGAGGGTGAGCATGCAGCATTCCTTCCTACTCCCGAACTCATAGCGATTGGAACGAAAGCACACGGGTGATACTAACGGCGAGCAGATCGTCAACCAAGCACACCACAGCCACACGGTACCCATACCGCAAATCCAGATCTAGACGTCAAGTTAGACATGCTGGAACGAGCAGCCGCTCTGAACGAGAAGCTAGAAGCGGCCACGCAGCGGCATGCGCCAGACGCGTGCAAAGCTGAACAAGAACCAGTATGCCAATCTTTCCTTTCCCTCGTATTGACCAATCAACACTGACAGATGCTAGTGCGGAGCTACACCTCAAAACGCGCGACATTCAGATGGAAGGCTTGAAGGCTGGCAGCAGGTCGAATACCCGCTGTATTGCGCGCAGAAGAAATCGCTACGACGGCCTTCCTGCTCCTCCGGGTCTACTCATCATGGAGGCGCAAGTCACAGAAAGAAGGAGAAGTGGAAGTGGTAGGCGTGCTGATGATCGATGACACCGGAAAGGAATTATATCGGCGAGTGGGCTTAGCTGCGTCTACGCAGTACCCCTTCCTTACTGGATACGTGGCAGCGCAATGAATAGTCGTTATCTTTCACCCGGCCTCCAGGATCTCCATCATTCAATTTTGCATGCCTAACTCCCTATCTAGGCACTTTCGTGCATCGCATCGCGTCTGATGCCCGATCGTACGTACAGTCCACTCCGCAATACACGATACTAAACTCCCACCCCATCCCTCCATACCCACACAGCCTTCCACTTCCACGATCTCCCTCCTCCCCCTCCCCGCCTCCCCCCTAACCCCTATTCTCCCTCTCACTATATCGTATGATGATGATGATGCTCATGGTGTTCTCCAGTCCCATGCTCCCCGTGCTCAGGATGCCCCGGATGATGAGGCTCAGCATCCGCATGGTGCTGGCACTCGTGCGACTGCTGCTGGGACTGCGACCGCTGTTGCTGCGCAGCGTCCGCCGGAGCTTGCTCGGTGGTCGGGGCTTGCTGTGGCTCAGCCATAGTTTCTGCATGGGCGTTAGCCGAGACGGGACAAAGACGCGTTTGTGTATGGGCGACTGTACCGGAATAGTTTCGACGAGTAAAGCGAAATGCAGAAGATAGGATTGCCGGCGGTAGTTCTTAGCTGCGCGCAAGGATTTCTACTCCGAAAAAAAGACGTATCGAACGCGGCCAAGTCAGCGTAGATATACCTCCCGCCGTGGAGTGACTGACTGATCCCCAACATTGCCCAGGTGCAAGACAACAACACATCCAACCAGTACACCATCACTCCATCTCCTGACATCCACGTCCATGCCCAGCGCTCGAAGGCAAAAACGCTCCTCTTAAGCCTTCCAAGTCCCCAACGCTCCGAGAATGCTCCGAGACAAAGGGCGTCGTCCCACATAAATTCGCGGGACCTCGTATTCGTCACCCCACGCTCGGAAGTTCGGAAGGGGGTTTTTGCCACTGTGACGCTGACGCTGTGAGGAGAAGATGAAAAGAATCGCGTTGCTATTTGTTGGAGTGTGGCGGAGTCTGTGGGGTATGCGCGCACAAGCGAGCCGTGAAGGGGCGATGAGTCCAGGCTGGCAATGAAAGAATTTCGTCGGCGGGAAGACGCGTGGGGATTGGAGATGTATTAGATGAGATGGGGCAGTGGTAATGTACAGACGCTCTTGGTGCAGAAGAAGAAGGGAATTGAGAAATTATCGTCTAGGGAAGATACTGACTAGAAGACCACAGCCTCGGAACTAAGCGAGGAAGGGCCATATTGCCAGATGGAGCCTAGGTAGGCCTTTGCTATTAGGATCGCTAACAATATATGCCGTGCTGCGCCCTGCCATGCCGTATCGCCATGTAAAGAAGGCGGAGACAAAGAAAGACCGCCGGCTCAACAAAGAGCTGTCGTGCCGACACGCACGCAGCCCGATCACCTTCTAGCTTGACGTCTTCGCGCCGCCATCGGGTTCAACGCTGATGTCCTCGTGGTTCGAGCCCTTCTCAGCCTCTTCCTTCCCGCTCTTCTTCGTTGGCTTCTTGATGCCGATCCTGTGTCGTCCAAGACCGTAGCTGAAGACGAATCCAACGATGGCGAATGCGGTAGGGAGCCACTTCAGCCGGTGATCAGCATTTCACACTTCATCGCAAAACGATACGGGAAACTTACGAATGTGGTTGTAAGTGCCTTGTTGTACGCCAGCTTGACTCCTTCCACATCCTGCGGGCGAATGACGTGAAGAAAATCCGTCGCGCCGGCAGCGATGACTCTCTTTGGGTCAACGTGCGGTGCGTACTGGGCGAGTGCGGGGCCGAGAGCGTTGATGAAGACCGTTTTGGCGATGCAGTTCAGGAAGGTGCCGCCGAAGTACTGGAAAAAGAGGAGGTTGGCTGTTGCGATAGAGATCTCGGACTCTGGGAGTGCGGATTGCGCAGCGAGGACAGGCTGTGATGATCATTCGTAGTCAGACGGAGAGTTGGGGAATAGGGTTGAGAGGTACCATACCATTTGCATTGCAATTCCGCGTCCAACACCACCAATGATCTGGTATCCGATCCATTTCCCCGAAGACGTGGAAGGGATGAAGGTAGTCATGAGACCCGATGCGATGGCCGTCGCTGCGTTGCCGAAGAACGACCAGAGAGGGGCGTAAGGAATCGTCCTAACTAAGCACTGTCAGCAGCAGCATCCGCATATAAAGGTGTTAGTGGTCTTACGCAGGGCACTACATCCTATTCCTGCCACAATCTGGGCGACACAGGTCGGTAGCATCATGACGCCACCTTCTTCGGGGCTCGCGCCCTTCACGGACTGGAACCAGAGCGGCAGGTAATACTGCAGCATCAAGAACGCGCCGCCCTGCACCATTGAGAGAATGCATCCATACAGGACGACGGGCTTCATGACTATCCGCGGAGGAATCATAGCCCGGTCCCCGTAGTGCCACATCCACCCGCCGAATATAGCTGCCATGACACCGGAACCGCACAGGAGGCCGATCGTAGCTGCGGAGCCCCATGCATACTTGCTTCCGCCCCAGCTAACGGCAAGGAGGAACATTACGCATGCTGGGGTGAATATTAAGAAGCCGACGAAGTCCAACTTGTGATGGAGTCCGCAAACGGTGGAAACGGTGGAAGACTTCTCGAGGCCGACCTGATCCGGTATGCGCAGCAAGAGGAAGACTAGGGCGATGAGTCCAGTAGGCGGGAGGAAAATCCAAAGACCTTGCGTGAGCGTTAGGAGGCCGTCAAGTGCCGGATGAAGAAGTAGACTTACACCATCGCCAGCCCAGATGCTGCGTGACAGCACCACCCATGACTGGGCCCACGACTCCGCCGATTCCCACCATGACCACAGATATGGACAAGAGTTGCGCGCGGATAGCCGGTCGCGCAGCGACAGTGATAATGACCATGCTTCCGTTGAATAGACCGCCGCCACCCAAGCCTCCGATGGCTCGCCCGACAATGAAGGCTGTGCTCGTCTTTGCGAGGGCGCTGATTAGAGTGCCTAGAGCGAAGACGCTAATGAAGGTGACAAAAGTTGCCTAGAAATTCCGTGTAAGTGCGAGGCTGGCTGTAGAGGCGAGTTGCTCACCTTGACACGAAAGACGTTGTAAAGTTGACCAGTGAGGGGCTGGACGGAGCATCTGGAGACTGTGAGCTAGTGTTCATGCTCGGCGAGGTTTGGTCAAGTGGAAGCATACAGTGCTAGCATGTAAGCCGTGCCATACCAGTCGACGTCTTCAACGGTTCCGAAGTAAGTGGTAATGGATGGAATTGCCTTGGCGCATGTTAGCGAGGATTCCATTCAAGAAGCAAAGCAACAGCGCACTCACCGTCCCCATCACACTCAAGTACAATATGATCAAAAGGGAATTTAAGCAAACTGCGAAGAAAAGAATGAACAGGGGCAGGCCCGTAACGTACTGCCCTTCGCCCTTCGTCGTAGCGGCTTCAACCTTCTGTTTACGTCCGAACATTTTCGAAAATCTAGTAGAAAGAGTGAGAATGACTGCTGTGCTCACCTATCCAGTTCATTATTGGGATATTTATACCAGGTACCGTGAGGGAGTGATACGCGCTGTTCTGTACCGGGAAGTAGTCAGTTTCCATACGTAAAGATCTGAAACGGTTAGTGCGTTTCCCAAACAGGCTGTAATATACCGTGTCACCACCGGCGAACTCTAACTCCCCGCGTTATATTTCGCATGCCCTGATCCTCCAGGCTCCTCTTTTCGACATCAACAACAATATTTCCAATGCCGTCGATGTATACGGTGCCTCGAGCAAGAGCCTGCCAGAGCTGCGCTGCAGCCAAAGCGAAATGCGAACCGGATATCGGGTATACAAAATGCAAGAGGTAAGTGACCCTAGAAAGTGGTCTGTCTCTAGTCAGGAGTCTTAAAACGGTAGATGCAATAAACATGGGCTCGACTGCGTCTTAAAAGATCCGGCGCCACGCAAGCGTCGGAGGGAAGCGGTGACCAATGATGACTGCGTGCCGACACCGAGCCCAAGCCCGCCGAGCGAGTCCACCTTGAGCTTCGCTGATCTTGTGGAGCTTGAACGGGGCTTAGAATACTATCGGACGGCATTGTTCCAGTATTTTCCGTTTGTCACGCCTCCGGACCTACGCGAAAGCAGTACCGGATTCGCCAAAGCCAAGCCCTTCTTGTCTTCGGTCATTGCCATGCTCGGGTGTACGCAAGACCGGCGGCGGCAGTGCGAGCTGGCTGCGCAGAATAGGGCGTACCTAGCGAGCCATGTGCTTCAACAGGGAGAGAAGTCGTTGGACCTGCTACAAGGCTTGCTGTTGTTGGGCCACTGGTAAGCATATCCGATAAGCGCTTCGAGCTTCTTGACGTTGACCAAATGCTCGCACCCCAGGTACCACTTTCAGTGGGCATTACCAAACCAGCGCACCACTCTCATCCATCTAGCAATGGCTATGGTGGTCGATCTGGATTTGAATCGATCTCCGTTTACGCGAGGTCGGCTGATGACGGCAGCGGATGCCGCCAATGGCTTTGAATTGCGTACCGAAGGCCTCACGGACCACACACTGGAACAGAAGCGCACCTTTCTCGGGTGCTTATATTTGTCAACGGCGTAAGAGATCTTGCGTTTTGTATCGACTCCACATGGCTTTTCCTGACATGCTTCAGTGTATCCAAGTCCTCTCTAAACATGGACGCGGTTCGTTTCTCAGAGTATGCTGAGCGCTGCTGCGAAGTTCTCGAGCAGAGCCCGTTACCTTTCGACCGCGCCGTTGTTTACTTGGTTCGCTTGCAGCATATCGTTGAATTGTTCGGGGTCGCTCGTAGTTCTCTAACCCAGAGCCGAGCAAAAGGCCGCGCTTTCGAACATGCGTCTCCAAATATCATTGATCAAGCCGACGGACCTAGGTATGTCAAGTGTTGGGACCAGCAGCTAGCCGAATGGTGGAATGCCATCCCAAGCAGCGCGCAGACTTGTAAGTGTAGGCACTGTGCGAAAACGACCTGACTGACGGACACCAGATGTGCTGCGCATCCAGTACGCCTACGCGCGTGTTTGCTTGTTCGAGTGCTGCTTGGAAGAATCGCTGTTCCCCTCAGCCCAGGCTCGACTCGGCGTGCTGCGTGAGTGTCTTGCGGCCATACGGTACTCGAACGATATCTTCGTGCCGTTATCGGAACAGCCAATGGCACTCTTGGACGTGCCGTCCCATCTCTTTGCCCAGTCGAACCACACCATGTTCGTCGCGATCCAGCTCTGCTCGGTCAAGTGCGGCGACTGGTCCATGCAGCACGTTGAGCGAATATTGGGCATGGTGGAGATATTTGAGCAGACAGTGCAAAGAATGGAGGGACTGTTCGAGTCAATGCCAGAGAACCGGATCCCGGAGTTCTACAAACGGCTCATTCCGACGGCGAGGGGGTTGAGGAGCTGGTTCGCGGCGAAGATTCGCAGTATAGAGGCTGCCGAGCCGCAGCCGGAGGAGGTGCGGGAGCCAGACCGAGGAATAGATGAGCTCGACTTCGACTTTCTAGGCCAGTTCTTGAACCTAGATGACTCTTTTTGGCTTCAAGGCTTATTGACGGAAGACCATCCATCCTCTCACGGTGTGGAATTCTCCGGATAAAACGACGTGCGTAACAGCTACCCCGGAGGCCTTCGCGGGTGCGTACAATGGGACGTATAATTCGCGGCGCTAATCTTACTTGTACGGCGAGCCCTGGGATCTGGAGAATTCCCTACCGCAAGAACCATCATTCCCGCCGTCATAGCTTCATCAACACCGTTGTTGGGGAGAATCGAATCAATCTCGCCTGGTTCAAACGAACACGAGGCCGCAGTATGCGCTAGGATGGTTGATGGCTGAGTGAAGATGCAGGTGGAAGGAGAAAAGACGCTCGGAGCGAGCTGAAGAAGGCGCGAATGACTGTGTCATTAGTCAGCCGCCTACCTCATGAAGAACAGACGTTGACCCCAGAATGTACCTAGGTAGAACCTCTCCTTCGTCAGTTTATAATGACTGCTGCCCCATTCCGGAAATATTCACAAATTATAGCAAAAGGCGAGGACTACGAGCGGTAGGCGGGATTCATAGTTCGAAGAAGGACATTGGCACTAACAGATACGGCGTCAAGAGGCAGTCACGATGTATTGTTAACATTTCAGAATTTCATTTGCTTCCATCGCTATGTGACAAGGCATGATCAAGCACCCCAAGTTAAGCATCTCTGAAGAGAACACATCAGACCACCTCACCATAGCATCCAGGAAAAGGTTACTCACAGTTTACTCGCAAACCCCTCCTCTTTACACACTCTCTCCGCATCTGCCACGACATCGCATCCGTAAATCATCCTCTGCACATCCGCATCCGCCCACTTATCCGGCACCGGGCCCTTGCCTGTCTTCAGCGCCGCGAAGATCTTGTCGCGCTCCTCCTTCGCCTTGCCAGAACCGAGGTGCATCTGCCGCCCGTTCTCGGCCGCGAGCTCGACGAGCGCTTCGGCGCGGCCTTTCCGCACTTTCTCGTAGAGCTTGAGGGCGCGGTTGATGGTCGCGGGGCTGCAGTCTGCGATGCGCTTCGGATGGAGGGTTACGCCGAGCACGGCGCCGTCTTCGATGGCTTGGGCGGCGCCTTGGGCGAGATGGGGAAGGGTGGGGTGGCATGCGTCGCCGACGAGAGCTACGCTGTCGTGGATCCATGTGCTGAGCGGCTCGTGGACACGGAGCTTCCACTCCACGACTTCGCCGTCTGGCACTAGATCCAGCATCCGGTGAATCATGGGACAGAAGTCTCCGTAGACCTGCATCATGGCGGACTTGGAGCCCGTGGTCGTGTATGTCGAGTTTGGCGCGCCGGCGAAGTTGACGTCGGGCTGGGCGGTCGAGATGTTGTATATCTGCTTGTTGTGGATCGGGTAGGCGATGATGTGTTTCTTCTCGCCGATCCAGCGCGTCACCGTGTCTGCATCGAGGAGCCTGATCAGCTCTGGGTCGTCCTTCATTTGCTCCCGCGTGAGCAGAATGCGGTACGCGGCCTGTCCGGAATCCTTGACATCGGCCGTCTCGTTGAGCTCCTTCAGCATGGCGACTCGGGTCAGACTCTTCACGCCGTCGCAACCTATGAGGATATCGCACTCTACTCGCTCCGGCCGTGCTCCCGACATCTTCTCCGCGGTCGCAGGTGACACCAGGAAGCTGGGCTTCGCGCCGAACTGCACGTCTGATATCAAGCTGTTCAGCTTGAATGTGATACCCGGCTCCTTCAAGCACCCGTCGTACATTGCGCCTGCTAGGCTCGCTCGATGGCCGACCATATGCGGGTATCCATATGTCTTCTCTACGTATTCGAGCTTTACGTATCCCAGCTCCTCATCCGTGCTGCCTTCACGGATGGATGTGTCGCTGCATTGCACGGCTTCTTCGGCGATCTGCTTCCAGCAGCCCATGCGGTCGAGGATGCGTGCCATGTTTGGTGCGAGCTGGATGCCTGCGCCGACGAAGCCGAGTCCGGGTGCAGTCTCGTAGACCGTGATGTTCTTGTGGCCGGCTTTTGCGAGGGAGAGCGCGGTTGCGAGACCGCCCATTCCTGTGCACATTGTTAGCGGACGAAGGTCGACACGGCGCTCAATTGCGATTGCTGCGTACCCGCGCCAATAATTGCTATCCTCAGATTCTCTGCCATGGTGGGCGATGTATGCTCGTCGGCTCAGGCGGTAGGAATACGGAAAGTCGAGAACAAGCACCGAGAGGTATGCAAGACCAGGGCGATGATGTGGTTCGATCAGAGTGCCTCCTCAAGAGCTTCTATATCCCCGGCTCGCCTCCAATTGCTTCACAACTATTTCTCGAAGACGACCCAGCCACCGTACAATCGGGCCCAGATTGTGCGGCCGAATTGGCGCCGGGAGAAGGTATACACGCGTTGTACAAAAAGTTTGAGCTCAGCGGCGCGCCACCCCGGTCCACGGTAGCAGCACCGGCATCTTAAGAACGGGAACCTGCTCCGTGGGACGCCATCAGCTGACCGCGCATCTGGGCCAGCATCCACTGGCGCGCGGCGGGGATAGCCGCGAGTAGCCCGGGCTCTGATGGGACGACGAGGTCTGAGATGGGAGTCGTCCTCAGATGCCGGTCGTGGTGGCCGTGACGTTGTCCCACACGCCGGAGCCCCGCACGCACGGGCCAGCCGAGCCCCACCGCTGCAAATCCCGGCTCATCGTCGGGTACCTGGCACCGGCAGGGGACGCCTTGGCTCACCACCATCCTTCCTGCATCGTCACACATCGCAGACTGGGTCGCTGGAATAGGAGACAGTGCTGGCTACGATGGCTCAGCTAGGTGAAATGGACGCGAGAAGGGCCGAAGAGTCGATGGGAAAGGAGGCGCAGCTGCCACCGGGCGAGCAGAGAAGAGGAGATCCCGGCACATCAGGTTCGGGATGAATTAACGGCAGCAAGCAAGTTCCAAGTAGCGTCCGCTCCCCTCATTTCGAAGGCAGATCGATCTCCGAAGCTAATGGACAAGTATGAATTCAATCTTCTTAAGACAGCTGCTTCGACATGCTCCGCGGTACCAAACCACGCGTTTCTCCATTCTCCGATCGCGACGCTAGAAGTACAGCTCGCGCTGAGAGCAATCCAAGGTCATGACAATGCGGTGGGATTCACTTCTTAGCTACGGTGCGCTCCTTGGAGCCGCACGCGCCTTGGACTGCTCGCCTGCTGCCATCCAGTCGCTCTTGCCGTCGAACGCGAGCGTCAACTTCGCGTACCCCCTCAACGCGAACGCGACATTCCAAGTCCCCCAAGGCGACACCGGATACCCTACGAATGCTGTCGGACTTCCGGCCCTCTGCGCTGTTTCGGCCCAAGTGCAATCCATCGGGAACACCACGTTCGGCTTCGGTCTGTTTCTGCCCGACGACTGGAATGGCCGCTTTCTTGCCGTCGGTAATGGCGGCTTCGCGGGCGGCATCAATTGGCTAGATATGGTGCGTCCAAGGAAGTCACGAACAGAAACCTAGACCCGACTAACTTGAATCGCAGGGACCCGGCAGCCGCTACGGTTTCGCTACCATGTCGACCGACACCGGTCACAATTCCTCGTCCGGCGACGGCGCTTGGGCATACAACCAGCCGGGCAGGCTAGAGAATTGGGGACATCTGGCTATGCACGGCTCTGTGGTCGCGGCGAAGACTATCACGGCTGGCTACTATGGGAAAGATACGTCGTACAATTACTATGCGGGATGCTCGACGGGTGGCCGCCAGGGCTTGAAAGAGGCGCAGATGTATCCGGAGGACTTCGATGGCATCATCGCCGGAGCGCCCGCATGGTGGACCTCCCACCTGCAGCCCTGGACCATAAAGGTAGCGCTGTACAACCTCCCCACCACGGCAGACTACCACATCCCCCCAGCACTATTCCCCACCATCGGCAACGAAGTCCTCAAGCAATGCGATCCCCAGGACGGCCTGACCGATAACATCATCTCAGACCCATACGGCTGCAACTTCCGCCCCGAAGAGCTCCTCTGCGGCGCAAACGTAACCAACGCCACCACAGCAGGCTGCCTAACCTCTCCACAAATCGACACCCTGTACAAGATCTACAGCGATTCCTGGAGCGAAAACCAAACCTTCACGTTCCCGCACCTGAACCTGGGCAGCGAAGCCCAATGGCTGCTCCTCTCTGGCTCCAGCCCCAACAGCCTCGGCACAGACTACGTGCGCTACTTCCTCGGCTTCGGCGCAGACTGGTCCTTCTACGATTACAACGAGAGCATCCAGCGTCTGGCCGATCAAGTGGATCCTGGGAATGCGACTGTGAAGTTCGACCTCTCGGCCTTCCATGCCAAAGGCGGAAAGATTCTCTCGTATCACGGCATGTCCGATGGCCTAATTCCGACGGGCTCGACGCCCTACTTCTACAACCACGTCGACCGCACGCTCAAACCACGCGGCATCGATGTCGACGACTTCTTCCGCTTCTTCTTCGTCCCCGGCATGGGCCACTGCGCGGGCACCTTTCCCAACGTGAATGCGCCGTGGTACTTCGCGGGTGCGAGTCAAGCGCAATCCCTGGGTCCGACCGTCTACGGCGTGCCTGGATTCGAGGACAAGGAGCATGATGCTGTGCTCGCGATGATGGCGTGGGTGGAGCAGGGTATTGCGCCGGACCACATCATCGGGACCAAGTACGCTAATGAGACGCTGCATACGGACGTGATGAGGCAGCGGCCGCTGTGCATGTATCCGAAGCAGGCGATGTACAAGGGGAGCGGAGATGTAGATGAGGCGGGGAGTTGGGAGTGCAAGATGTTGTATTAGACCCAGACCTAGACCTAGGCTGCGCACCATATATGCAAATACTAATAGTACAATTTCGTCGATCTATCCTCCAACGCCACTCTAACCATCTTTATCTATCTATCTATCCCTGCCCCTATCCTATAAACCAACCCAAAAAAAACCCTCACTCACAACTCCAACTCACAACTCGCTCACAACTCACAACTCCACCCCCTCCAACACCCCCGGCACATTCTCCACCAAATGCTCCACCACCGCATCCGGCCCCCTCTCCACCTGCAACCCCTGCGGAATCGCATACGTCGCTATCCCCGGCCGCTCCCGCTCCGCAAGCTGCCGTATCTTGGCCACCTGCTCGGGCGACCACATGGACGCCGAGAAGAGGATGTTGGGCTGGTGTTGGCAGACGGTGGGCGCGACGGCTTCGATGGCTGCCAGCGAGTGGGTTAGTTTAGTGACGGGTTGGGGGAAGGGAGGAGGGGGGAAGGGAGGGAGGAAAGGAGGGAGGGATGGAAAAGAAGGGGTGTTTACTTTCACAGTTCGCCAGGTAGTGGATTTCATAGCGGTCTTTTAGGGCCTCGATTAGGCGGCCGATGAGGCGTTTTGCGCGGTCTGGCGCGGTGTTGACGGTGACGAGGTGGAAGGGGCCTTTGGGTTGGGGTGTATTTTGTGTCATGGTTTGCGTAGGTGTGGGTATGGCGTTTCTGGTTTCGTGTGCTTGTGCTATTCCTTCTTTTTCTAGGTGCGTGCGCGACAGCTCCCTTATTTATCGCACGCATTATATACATCTCTGGTTTTTTCTTTAGTCTTTCGGGAAGGATAGCGATAGCGGAGAATTTCGCGTCGCGAAATCACGGGAAGAGCCTTACTAACCGCCACGACTCGCATCCGACAGGATCCGAGACGCAGTACGAGACTAGCCGGAGGTTTGCCATCTCGGCGCTAGATGTAGCTCCGAGCGAGGCCGGCGCATGACGCCAGTGCGAGCCAGGGGTGTTTCTGCGTAGCGGGGTAAGAAGCTCCGGAGCCAGAGTGAACTGCGGGGCAAGCTTCAAGCGCGATTCTTCGGACGGCATGTTTGCTCTGAGTTGTACATGCAAAAGCTTCCGAGCCCGACGCTTTGCTCCCAATTGAAGCTCCATTGTACGCCGGGGAGATTCCCGAGGGGACTGCCGTGAAGAATACCGGAGGATCTGTTTTCTTGTGTGGTGTGGGAACGGGAGTGCTATCGGAGCTGCGTTTTGAGAGAAAGTGGAGTCGAGATCAGGAGAGATTTACAGGTGTGTATGTACGAGCTCTCGGTCGGTGTGGTGTCGTTCGTGTTCAAGAAGAGAGCGGTAGAGCTTGGGTATGCGTCGTGCTGACTTGGCTGTAATATATAGAAGCGCAGCCCGTTGAGCTTCATTCATACTGATCGCCGTTCGCGAGCGTCTTCCACCCTTCCTTCCTCACCACACTTATCCGCCACCAACCATGTCGTCTCTCAACCGCAAATCCTCCTTCGAAACCGCCAGTGCCGCCTTCCGCGCCCACATCCCCGACCTCTCCACCCCGCGCTTCCAAACGGCCTCTAAGCAGAGCATCTACGAGTACGTGCAGTCGTTCAAGGAAAAGCAGCACCCGCCGTGGCTCTTCAATCTCACGCAAGCATGGGCGAAGCTGTACGATGAGCCGTACAAGGGGCTCACGAGCGATGGGACGGTGCGGGAAGGCTTGTTCGAGAGGCGGGACGAGGGTGTGGAGATTGGCAAGGTGGTGGCGAAGGCGGAGGAGCTGCTGGGGGCGTTGGACGAGGAGCAGAAGAGGAAGGTAAGGTATCCGATTAATGCAAGGGAGTGGAGGGCGTGGTCAAATCCGGAGTTTTTGCTACGGCCGTTTGGGCTGAGGCTTGAGGAAGGTGAGTGCATACATACCTCCATCTCCTTACTTACCAGCCATGCTGGCGGACCCTCCCGCTATGGCACAAGAAAACCGAAACTAAAACATGCTCGCAGTCCCCGAAGCCACCGCGCAGTCCATCCTCCGCGTCATCGAAGCCTCGCTCTCGCCCGAAGGCTACCAAAAAGCCCTCTCCGCCATGCGCATGAACCACTTCCTCGGCGAAGTGGTGCACCTGCCCCACATCATGAACAAATACTCATACAACTTCCTGCTCTTCGGCGCGCCGTCGACCGACCCCTCCTCGCCCTGGGGCTGGCTGCTCTACGGGCACCACCTCTGCCTGAGCTGCTTCTTCCGCGGGCCGCAGGTCGTCATCAGCCCGCTGTTCTGCGGGGCGGAGCCCAACGTGATCGACGCAGGGGCGTGGAAGGGGACGGAGATTCTGCACAAGGAGGGCAATTTGGGGCTGCGGCTGATGCAGAGTCTGCCGCCCGAGCAGCAGCAGAAGGCGCAGCTGTACAAAAAGCTGCGCGACGACCGCATGAAGCAGACGGGCGATCTGACCGTCGACGAGTGGAACAAGGACGACCAGCGCCATCTCTGCGGCGCCTTCCGCGACAACCGCGTCGTGCCGTACCAGGGCGTGCTGGTCTCGTCCTTCACGCCCGAGCAGCAGCAGCTCGTGCTCGACATCGCGGACGAAATGGTCATCTACTTGCCCGCCAAGTCGCGGCAGCTCCGGCTGGCGGATATCAAGAAGCACTTCGACGAGACGTACTTTAGCTGGATTGGCGGGTATGGCGACGCCGACGCGTATTACTTCCGCGTGCATAGCCCGGTGGTGGTGCTGGAGTTTGACCATCATTCGGGCGTGTTTTTGGCGAATGCGGAGCCGGCCAAGTTTCATACGCATACGATTGTAAGGACGCCGAATGCGGGGGATTACGGGAATGCGATTAGGGATCGGGAGCATAAGCTGTGAGGGTAGTGAGTGAGTAGGTGTTGTACCGAAGATGGTGCGTTTCAGGGGCAATTTCAATATTGCGTTTCCCCTTCTCCTTGCGCACTACTATGTGTGTGGGCATGGAATGGGATATACTCGCAATGTGTTCTGAGCTTCTTGATATGCCTATATTTGTCACTTGAGGCTCGAGTTACCCAGGGACCTTGTTTTATCATCCATCATATAGTGCAACGATCAGGCGCTGGGACATATTGCCACCAGTCATCAACAAAGCACGCGTCGCGGCTCACATTCTTCACGCCTCTTCGGTGTCAAAACTGCGCCCGCGAATCCCTCCTCGATCGCCACGCCGCTGGCCGCGGCCCGGACCCCGTGTGGACGGATAGCGCCGCGGGTTCTTCCGAAACATGGGGAAGTCTGATCACGCCGGACGCTGATCGTGGATTGACGGTTTACGTGACGCTTCATGGCCGATGCCTCAGCGCTCGCTAACACCGCTGTGGATATGCACTGGCATATTGGGGGTCTGAAAGAGCGCCCCAAGCTCACACCATTTGACGAGCAGAGTGTTGTACAATAGACTTTCAATGCGGAGAAGCAGATACAGTTTCATATGCAATACGAGCCGTAACCCTCAAAAGTATGGAGGAGCAGCCTACTCTCTCAATCGTCCCCATCTCCACCGTGTATGCCGGATCCTGGGGCTCAAAGAAATGGGCTGGAAAAACGCAGCCTGGCGGCCTTCAAGGTCGCAAGCGTACCCATACCAAGCCCAAATACAATGCGGTTCCTCACAGAGTCGCCGACTAAATCCTCGCCGTCATAGTAGTACTCCCCCTCAACGCCTGACCCTTCAACTGCAGCGCGAGTGTCGGAATCACGCTCACGCCAACCAGCAGCGCAACGCACACCCCAGCGCTATTTGCAATACCGACGTTGGTGAACATAGACGGGAACCTGCATCGCGCATAAGTATCCGAAGTGCTTCTCGGACAGCACTCAAAACTTACCAGAACGGTCCAATGAAGCCCCAAATCTGCCTCACAAACGTGATAAATACTCCGATACTAGCAGCCTCTTCGTGGTAGCAGTCCACGGCATACGTGATAAGGACAGTCGTGACGATCTGGTTTCCGGCAGCGGCGATCCCAGCGCCGACCACCGGGGTGACGTTCCACTTGCCCTCAGGCGCTTGCTGGATGCGCACGAGGAAGACGACGACACCGCAGATTGTGCATGCGTACCCCAAATAACTCAGCCAAAGTCTGTACTCCGCCGCCGGCCTCCCCGCAGCCATCTTCTTCGCGCGCTGGCGCATCCAAAGATCACTAGCGTGCCCGCCGATCTGCTCTCCGATCACCGATCCGATGATGATACCCAGGAACTGCAGGCCCAGCTGCTGGGCATTGAAGTGAAATTTCTCCGCGAACAGCTGCGGGATCTCGACAGTGATGAGAACAGAGCCGAAGAGGAAGACCATTGAGTAGGCGCAGGCCGGGATCATGACGCATGGGTACTTGCACATGCGCAGAGGCGATATGAATTCGAGGGCTGTGAATGGCGTGGTGTCGATGCGGCGGAACTTGAAGTATGCTTCTCTGAAGCTGGGGAGCTTGTGCGGGTGGACATGGTGGCGGATGAAGCGTGTTTCGGGGCCGAGGAAGAGGTAGAGGACTAGTTGGCCGCCATTTATCTGTATGCGAAGTCAGTCCAGCTGCGCGAACGGTAGTTGAAGGGGTATTGACCATTGCCAGGATCCAGTAGATCCATCGATATCCGATGTTATATGCCACAAAGCCAAAGATGAACGGCGCAAGCGGCACACCAAGCGTAATCATCAGCGTCCAAATGCCCATGAATCTCGCGCGATCCTTCTTAAAGAACGTCTCTACAACAACCGCACTCCCAATCGCAGAAGCAGGGCAGATGAAGAAGGCGGCAAAGGCGCGGCACGTTGCCATGGAGCCATACGAGTTCGTCTTCGCGCAGGCGATGTTGAACAGCGCTGCGCCGATCAAGGAGATAATGAAGATAGGGCGGCGACCGTACCGCGTGGACAAAGGGCGCCAGAACAAAGGACCGCCTCCAATAATGGCGATCTGAAGGGAGGTGAGATAGGAGGCGTGCTGGATATCGACTTTGAGATCCATGGCGATGTCCTCGTAGGCTGGAATAATGGCCGCTGCGATGAAGGTCGACATGCAGGCGTGGAAGGCTACGAGGATGATGTTCGAGGTTTTCTATGATAGGCCATCAGCATTTGGAGGACGCCTACAGCACGAGGAGGCACATACCTTCCAGGCTGGCCAGTTGTATGGATCCGCCTCGCTCATTGTCGGGACGGGATCGAGTTCGAGCGTCCCATGCCTCAGGAGCAGATACTGGCGATGCTCTTCGGACAGATTCGCGATCTCATCTTTCTCCAGATACGTTGCGTGGGTGGCAGCATGTTCAAGGTCCCCGTTGCCATTCTGCTGAATGGCCTCTGGCTTCTCGTCGGTCATCTTTTCTGGGTGTGATCGAACTCAAGGTTGACTGAGCGGTATACTAAGACAAGCACAAGAAGGGAAATGGAAGTAGGAGAGCAAACCTTTCATCCAGATGAGGAGCAGCCCACCCTCTTGTACAAAGCCACTGATCCGGAACGAGGTGTGGAGTCCCCAGGTTGGTGAGGCGGCCCATGGGGTGCCTGCAGGGATCATTGAGTCCTTTCGTCACTGCGAATTCATTAGCTCCGAGAGCGCCCAACCACGACAAGGCCACTAGCCACTGCAGGTAATGGCCCGAAATCAACCGGGACCGCGGTCTTCGATCATCGACCGTTAGCTGCTAAAGGGGATAGAAGCCCACTCGCCGTCAAGACCGGATCTTAGTGTCGGGAGCATAGCTGGCAGTAATGATCGGCGTCTGGCAAAACGCAATACTCGCAACGCATCGGAAACCCGGGATCTTAGCGTTTCATCGGATGCAGTACTGAACGCCGGAGCGAAAGCTGGGACCGCGTAAGTTGATTGTTGTACGAATTTTGATAGCGCCGCAGTGACGCTTGGTGCTGAGGCGGGTTCAAGCTTTGGGGCGAAGCTTGTCCTCGGCTCCAAGCCTTGCTCCCGCACGCCGCGCATCTCGCTTCTCCCAAAGCGCACACGGAATGAAGCTCAGAATTAGGGAAAATCTGAAGACCGTACATGATGAAGGGCCGATAAGGAAAGCTTGACCCGACGACGCGTGTCTCCATAAGGGAGCAGATTCCATGGTGATCTAGTTCGAAGTAGTCATGCAGGGAAGCCTGCGGCTTCTTCCGCATAGATTGCCGCTCAACCAAGCCGAAGCTTGTTCCGATTCGATACTTGGCGGGAAATAACACCCTAGCAAAACTCGGCGGCATCGATTCGGCAGAGCAGGCGCCGAAACGGTAAGCCGCCTAATTCGAGCCTCCAGGCTCCGGTGGTCAGGATCGAACAACCGGAAGCATCCTGGTTGACAGAAGGCGCATTGAGATAATTGACCCTGAAGGGCTTTAAAGGTCCCTCGACGTTCGACTCTGCAGGGCCGTTCGCAACACGCCTCTCAATGCGTACCTGAAGGACCCTCACCGTTATCGAACTCGGGATCATAGTAATATGCGGAATCATCAGCAAATCCTTTGCTAGAATTTGGATCGAACATCGATCCATATGCGGAGTCTTCGAACCCGCCATACCCCTCAAGCTCATGGAACTGGAAGAGCACTGCATCGAAATCGTAAGTAGAATATTCCTCTAGTGGTGGCGCAGGCTCGAAGGACGCCAGTTCGTTCTCGAGCGTGGGTTTATCGGTAGTTGCATCTGTTTCCGTGGGCTCGGCTCTCATCGCGGCTTTTGGGTGAGTCTCAGGGTCCGAGGAGCCAGGCGCATTAGACCCATCGGAAGTGAGTTCCGCGGACATGGCCTGCGCGGCATCGCTGCGAACCAAAAAGGTACACATTAGCAAACGCAGAATGGTGCAGGATATGGATATGTTGTAACGCGTCCTAGCTCTTTACCTGCTGTAGCCGTTTAAGAGTAGCTTTCAACGGGCAAAGGAATAAAACCAAGGCATGCTGCGGTGTGCATCGCGATATACATACCTAGCTGTAGTTGGCTCAGTGTTGCGAGACCGGGTGTATGTCTGGAATAGCTGGAGCTGGAGATCGCGAACGATTTCGACCAGCTGGCTCTTGAGTCTCTCTTCCACGGGACTAAACTCTCTTTCCACCGCAAGTTCAAGTTCGCGACGGACTGCTGATGGTAGTTCACGGCGAAGGAATTCTTCGTAGCGCGCCAGTTCGTTGAAGCCGGGGGACTTCGCCTTTTGATAGACCCGCTGCCAGGCTTCATCAAGATCTGCACATAGGTTAGTCAGATTAGACTTGCATCTCAAACGGAGATAGCGACAAGGCCAAATAACTTGAACCGACATTCTCGCCAGTTTAACATCCAACAGACCTATTAGGACATCCACGAACCTGGACCCTGACTCGCTGTTGTCCAGACAAGGCGCCATTCTGACGTTCTTGATCCGCACCGCTACCAAACTCTCCGCTTCTTGAAGGGGCAATTGGCAGGCAACTACTTACACGGCGAGGGCATCATATCTTCGTCGTCAGCCGGGAACAAGATGCGATACATCTCCTTCCACTTGTCTGCTTCGCTGGGCTCTGTTTGCGGCTTCTTCCTGCTTCTCAGTTGCTTCTCTTGAAGCTTGTCGAAACCTTCAACGATTTCCCTTGGGCGCCTTGTGCAAGGCTCAACCGCCCGCTGATGATCATGGAGGAACGACTCCACCTTGAACGTCTCGTAGCAACGAGGGCAAAAGATGGGGAGTGCGTGATTGCGGTAAAGGTGCTCCCTGCCATCTATTAGTAAAATAAGCCCCTCCGTGCAGAAACAGTAGAAATGCATTATGCCTCAAAGCGCGGATCGAAAGTGTTCGGCGCACACCGGGTGACAAACAATATCGTGGGATATGTAGATGTTCAAAAGTGAGAAGGAGCTTACTTGACGCGCCGAACTTCATCCCACCCAGGACCGACACATGATCGCCGCGTAAGATACTTATCAGGATTTCTCTTGTAGTAAGGGCAGGCAAACTTTCGCTTGTTGCTTTCAATATCACAGGGCATTTTATCTTTCCTCGATCGTTTCGATGAAGACTCATCATCTTCTTCACCCGATCGGTTGCCGTCGTCGCCTCGTGCATGTTTATGAGAGCCGTCCCGAGACGAAGTGATTGATTGCCCTGCGGCGGACTTCCGGTTGGCCGTCGTCGTTTCTTGCAATGGTGTGGAAGTGTCCTGTTTCGAGCCGGCTACCTGCGTTAATGGGGGCAATGAAAACGATGATTTGCCGTCCGTTGGTGAGTAATCCGGAGATGTAGTGATGCCCAGCAGTGGAGACGTGACTCTATCGATGTTCAGGTGTGCTCTTCGGCTCGTAGGCAAACCACGAAATATGCTGTAGAAGTAAGCCATGACCCGATCTACCACCCTTCTCTTCTCAATTGTAAGCGCAGACGAATCACTTTCGTCTTCCGTGCTCCCAGCGCTTGCCAATGGACTAGACGAAACATCGCTTTCGCATTTCCCCCTCAGTCCATGCCCTGGAAACGAGCTAGACATCTCCTTTCTCTTGATCTCCCGTTCCGATACTTTAATCGGAAGTCTGTTGATATTCTTGCCCTTAAGCGTTACGAGCAAATTATCAGCGGTCAAAAGCTGATCTTTTGGTTCATTTTCCACAGAGTACCCGAGCACTAGGCGCTCCGCTCCTACAGTCCCCGTATCCGTAAGGCCTACGTTGAAACCCGCAGCGGTTGTGGGTTGCCTTGTGCTTATGGAATCGTGCAATTTGTGCGTCTTAATATGATCTCCGTCGCGTGTCGCGTTCGACGTACGCGTTCCTGCTTGTGCACTCTTTGGCGCTCTTGCGCTGTGTGAAGAGACATCTTTCGATAGCCCCTTTGCCGATTCGAAGTTGCCTTCCTTCATCATTTTCAGTAGTTCTACGTCCGAAGGCGCTGGCAGAAAGCTCGGCGACTCGAAAAGACGGGGATTGCCCAGAGGCGGCCAAGCGGAAACGAAAGAATAAGGCGCATCACAGTACTCCTGGACCAGTGGATGGGATTGCATCGGATCCAGGGCATGACCAGAAGATTGCGTCTCTCCCACTGGCTGGTGGCTCGAGTATTGCGTGCCCGGAAGCATGGAGTTGTGATATTGAAGCGTAGAGACGTCTCCGGGATGGTCCGGCCAATCTCCTATTGGTGGCTTGAATGCGACGCGTTGATTGAAGTCTACACATTGTCTCTTCCTCTTCACGCAATTCGCGCACACCGGCCGTTCTTCACCGCATGATATCCTCCTCTCTCTGCATGGCAGGCATCCGGTCCTAGCACGCCTCTTGATTTCCAAGCCGGATGCTATGGACATTGCGGATTCGCGATCCTGTCTCTTCGCAACTGGTGCGTCCTCATCGAGCTGGGCCTGCATAGGCGACACCTTGTTGGTTATCGGCTTGAGGACTGGTACTGTTAGAACATTTCTCAATAAGGAGAGGAGGCTTAGATGCTGGAAGTCCTCACATTTCTCATCGTGCTTAACGATTCTTCGGTTGAGGACGCCACAATTCGTCCATCTGGATGTGGCACAGCGGGCCTTCTCCTGAACTTCATGACCGCAGCTGTAAATGTGAAGCACCTCAGTGCACATGGTAGAGCCGACAGACGAGTTGTGCGATAAAATATCCTGCAACGGCAGAGAGCCGACGAAACTCCGTGCTCGATTTGCACGTCGAAAGAACTGGTTGGGCAGGATAGGCGGTGAATACTGCAGGCGAGAAGTGGTTCACCATGCGTTGAGTCGGTAATCACCGCGCGTGAGCCACATAAGATGTTTTGAACGAAGTTCGTCGACGCAGGGCGACAAGAAATGAGTTCTGCGCAATTGCGACGAAGCGTGCGGGCTGGGCAGTGCCACAACATTTAGGCTGAAACTTCCTGCCTGAGGCATCATGTCCAGCAACTCCGTCGAAGATAGGTGTCTGGTGCGGTCACGGGAGCAGAGAAATGACGATCAGGTGTGCACGGTATGTGGAAGGAAACAGTCGATCAACTTGAACCATGGAGGGATCCTGGGGGTGATTAGGTGATGACATAAGCTATATTCACGTGACTTATCATATGAACATTGTGCCTGAACATCAGGAACATCTAAACTGACCGTACCTAGAATCTACATTGTCAACAAATAATCTAAGGGATTTTTTTTGTCGAAGAATAGGGAATATGAGATGGCGTCTCCTGGAGGGTATCAGAGCCATATACGCTATTCACACCGGCAAGGATGTCACTACTGGTTCGTCCTGCGCATTACATGTACTGGGCATCAAGATCGCTCGCTCTTCTCCGTCTACAGAGGTAATAAAAGGATTACTTTACCCAGGTGGGGATAGCATCGCGTGATTTTCTGGAGACAAGCATAGCGCACGGACCTTGGAAACATCTTGATACCTAGTGCCCACTTCCGCTTCCTCACACACACTTCTCCCACCTAGGGATTGCTGTCGAATGCCTTCGAGTCCGATCCGCAGTGCATTGACACTCTCACATCCTGAAGGAACCCTCACAAGCGCGCTTTGCCATGTCCTCCCAAAATAGACACGGAAGCCCGATCCCGGCAACCGTCCCTGTTGTGCAACGCTCGTGTTGTGTCTTCTGGCTGAATACCCACACCCACTGAACCCCCGGAATATCTGGCAGCACGGACAATAGATCCGATGATATGGCTTGGGCTATTGGACGGCTATCTATGCCAGGGATTTGGAGCCTGTGGGTACGTCCCTAACCAGCGGTATCCGACTCCTCTAGCGAAATCCTCGATATCTAGGCTGGCTCGGGAGAGAAACATTCCATCTCAGCTGACAGTCAAATAAGGGGTCCAAATTGCCTTCTGAAGTCATCTGCGCGGCCTCTAATCCTAGTCTCGATCCAGCTCGGCCCCCACCAACTATGGGTGTCGAAAAATTCGTCGAACTAAGCCAAGATAGCTTCAATCATAGCCGTCCCTAACTTCTTGTTACCCCTTCCCTACTCCATATAATCGGAACGCAGGCTTTCTCGCCATCGCATCGTACGCCGTGCCGGAAAACGGCCTCAATGAGCTGGCATCGGCATTCGTCATCTTACTTCTCGGGTGGCGCTCAGCCATCCACGTCAACTGCACGCTATTTAGCCAGCCTCAGCGACTTTCTAGCGAGTTGGCATCCTCTCAATAGTGATACCCACTTCTGGAAATGATCGCCCTGTGATATACTCGTTTGGTGCATAACAGGCCCAGTCGCCAGAGCCATAGCTAACCAGGTACAATACGGATGCATCTCGCCCTTACCTGGTTGAAGCCGTCTTTCGGTTGCACCCACGATATTCCAGGTTTTGCCGCCATCACGATGAAGAGGAAGTGGGTCCAACGCCAGGGACAGGTAAAAGTATAAAAGTGATATGACTTGCTTTCTTTGACGTTATTTGTGTTGCTATCCATCGCTGCAACGCGATGGCTGTCTCATTTAGTATTTTCTTCCCGCTCATTCTCGTTTCGTTCTTCGTTTCCCTCGTACATGCTGTGCCTATAGATCCGAGTACAATTCTCAACCAATTGAAGAAAAATGGAGCATGTGTAAGTGCTTTCCCCCGCCTGGAGGTACTCACGGTCTAATCTAATCCTCACTCGCGTAGTGCACTGCGCTAAACTATTTCCTTCCCGGAAAAGTCTTCCTTCCGACAGACATCAAATACCAATCGTCTCAGCTATCGTACTGGTCAGCCCAAGAACAAAGTCTCCATCCGACTTGCATCGTCATCCCTGAAACAACGCAAGATGTATCAACAGCCGTGACTATCATGAGCGTCGGGTACCAAGCGTCTATCTCCGGGTGCAAGTTCGCGATGAGAGGCGGCGGGTATGGGAAACTCCAGGAACCCAGAAGACTTGCTTGCTAATAGGACTACAGTCATACGCCCTTTGCAGGTGCAGCCAACATTGACGGCGGAGTCACCATTGATATGCAGAGCATGAACTCAGTGACCGTATCCAGCGACCGGAAGAGCGTCAGCATGGGAGGTGGCAACCGCTGGGGTAATGTCTACAGCGTCCTCGAGCCTCTCGATCTCGCAACAGTTGGAGGCCGCGTTTCGTACGTTGGGATGCCCGGATTAACTATTGGAGGTATTATTCCATGACAACCTTAGTTCCAAGTTACTCTAGCTAATCGCGCTCAGGTGGCGTATCTTTCTTCTCCGGCCGTTACGGTCTCGTCTGCAACAACATCCAATCCTACGAAGTCGTGCTGGGTAATGGAACCATCGTAACCGCAAGCGGCACCGCCAACGCCCCACTCTGGCGTGCCCTCAAAGGCGGCAGCAACAACTTCGGCATCGTAACACGCTTCGACGCCAAGGCCTTCTCGCAATCAGATTACTGGGGTGGCTCCATCTCGCAACCCATCACCAATAAAGAAGCCTTTTTCGATTTTTTTGTCAACTTTGCGGCAAGCGAAAACTTCGATTCTTATGCAGCGCTCATTTCAGACTTCGCATGGGTTGCGGGTGTTCCCAGCCTCATCCACAACGTCGCATACACAAACGGCGATGTGGCCTGGCCGCCACCGGCGTATGCACCGTTGGACGCCATGCCGAAGCTGGCGACTACGATCCGGAAGGGCATGACTTCCGACTTTGCAGACGAGATTGCAACGATAGCACTGCCTACGGAGGACCACAATAACTTGCTCATGACGCTCACTTTTGTCAACAAGGGAGACGTGTCCGCCTCGTTTATGTCGCAAGCTTTCGACCTCGCAAACGCTGCGGCCGTCGAACTCACAACGGTCGTAGGTCTGATCTACACAATGACTTTTCAACCGCTGCCCCAGGTCCTTTACTCAAAGAATGCGAAGGATGTTCTCGGACTCGATGGAGAAGACTACATTAATCTCCTCTTTACTTTGAGCTGGACGCTGCCGACCGATAACGACAGAGTGTACGCTAGAATGCAGGAGCTGGAGGCCGATCTGATTGCGCTGGAGAAGCAAATGGACCTCTACAACGACTTTGTCTATCTGAATTATGCAGCGCAGTGGCAGAAACCCATTAGCAGCTATGGGGCAGAGAACATGCAGTTCTTGAAGAGCGTTAGTCGGCAGTACGATCCAAAGCAGATATTCCAGAACGCTGTTCCGGGTGGGTTCAAGTTAAACGATTGAAGGACCTCCCCGAGAGGAGAGATAGACCAATACTTTCATAATTATCCTTTCTGTATGCCGCGTTTCGAGGATACTGGCGGGAGATCTGACCGCCATCCCAGCGTTATCTAGCATAGCATACGTTAATATCTGCTGACCGATGTAAGCTGTATGCGATTCGAAACTCCGAGCTGCGTATTCCACGTAGCCGAAGGAATGGTTCAGGCGTCCAGCGAGGCAGTACATAGGGCTGCATGAAAGTGCCCCTGACTAACATGCAAACGAAGCTTATCCTATCAAGTTTTGGCGAGTCGAACAATTGAAGGATGCGTTTCTCGCGCGTGACAGAGCAGAAATCGCATTGACAGGTTCAAGAGTTGATTTGAGGGGCACGAGGGGAACGGGCAGGGAAGCTGCTGCCGTGAGCACTAGCCTCTTTCGGACAAGCTCTTCATTGTGGAGGGCCCGGCTCCTGTACTCCGCTACGTAGGACTTTGTTCCTACGAACCCAACGGAAGATGGAAGAGTATTCTCTCTTTTTTTTTGGTCAGGGAATTCATAACATCTCTGTCTTTGCACGGGAGAATGGTGCCTTCCCGCCTACGAGCGCTTTTCTCGAGCTCTTACGTCATATCCTCCATCAGACGACACCTACGTTCCTCTCTTCCCTGCTTGAGAAGCTTATGATCCTTCAAACCTCTCCCTTGTATCTTAAGACCAGATGCCTCTTATGCCCCCGTATCCTGTGGAGGGGTAATCATCCTTTCTCTCCATTTCCGCCCCATTCCGCCACACCTGCAATCATTCCTCCGATCATGCGCACACTCATATATAAAATGTCCGACCGAGCCAGAACCCAGGTCTTGCAACAGTCATCGCGATGTACTTCAGCACTGTAATATTCGTTCTTTTCGGCGCGGTAGCCCAAGTTGCCCTGGCGGATGAAGTATCGGATGCTCTAAGCGCAACACCAACGGCTACGATCGCGAGTGGGCGAATCATTGGTACGACGACAAGTATCACTGGCCCAAGCGGCTCGGTGGCAGTGAACAAGTTCCTCGGTATTCCGTACGCTGCTGCACCAACCGGAGAAGCACGCTTCACGCCGCCTCAGCCGCCCGCACAATGGGATACTCTTGAAACGAAGGACTTCGGCAACTCATGCATTCAAGTCTTCGGTATCTACCAAATCCCTCTCCTTCCTCAAACGAGATCGGAAACTAACGGGCACCCAGCACCCCTCTCGAACCGACCCTTCGTGGAAGCCGTCTTTAACTACCCTCCACCTAAGAACGAAAGCGAAGACTGTCTTTACATCAACGTCTTCGCGCCCAAGAAAGGATGGGATCTCGGCAGCCCGCCGTATCCGGTTATGTACTGGATGTACGGTGGGGCGTGGAAGTTTGGGAATGCCGGGCAGTCGATGTATGATGGGAGTCATTTTGCGGCGCTGGAGGATGTTGTTCTTGTGAGCGTGAATTATCGGACGAACGGTATATCTTACCCCTCCAACGTTACAGTCATGAAGGAGGAAGCTGATGAAGCTGCTCTTAGTATTCGGTCTTCCCATCTCACCGGCTATAACGAACTTGACAGATCGCAATCTCGCTCTCCTGGATCAACGCGCCGGCCTCCAATGGGTGCAAGACAACATCCACCACTTCGGCGGCGACAAATCGCGCGTCACCATCTTCGGCGAATCAGCCGGCGCCTATGCCACCGACGTCCTCATCACCAGCTACGCTCCCAGCGCACCCCGTCCCTTCCAAGCCGGCATCATGGAGAGCGGTACCTATGCCTATCTCCCCATCCCCAACTGCAACAACAGCGACTACCTTGCTTGGAACACGCTCATCGCAGCCTTGAACTGCACCGCCGGCGATGCCACTGCCCAGTTCAACTGCGTCAAGTATAACCGGACCCACGACGATATAAAACTCGCACAGGAAAACGTTACAACGATCTACAACACGACGATCACGTTCTCGCACGCATGCGACAACATAACTCATGTCTCAGACCCGCGGACGCGGCTCGAGAACAACAATGTCGCCGATGTGCCCGTCGTTCTGGGGACGAACACCGCCGACGGAAGCTTCTACACGATTCAGTATGTGTTCAATACGGCGCGGTATCTGCAGGATTATTTTGGCAATAATGAGACGCTGAAGAATGCGATTCTGAACGAGTACCCGCTGAATGAAGAAGGAAGGAGTGACGAGCAGTATCGCATGCAGCAGATTCATACGGATTGGTTTTTTCATTGTGTGAGTCTCGCTTACTCTCACACTCCTACCCCTCTCAGATGAGCGAGGGAAGCCTTACTGACGCGCGCTCCAGCCAACCGTATGGTACGCCCAAACCTCCACCCAGTTCAAACCCACCTACCGCTACCTCTTCAACGCCACCTTCAACAACACCCGCGTCCAATGGGCACTCTGGCCCGTCGAGTACCAAGGCGCATATCACTCCTCCGAGATCCCGATCGTCTTCACCAACCTCAACACGACAATTGCGCCCAACGACGCCGGCGAAGTGGACCTTTCGAACGCGATGAGGGGCGCGTGGGCGCACTTCGCCAGAGATCCTACGACGGCCCCGATAGGCACCTGGCCGAGAGTTGGCGCTGCGGCGGATGGGAGGGATGTCATGAGCTTTGGGACGGATACAAAGGGCATGTATGGCCCGGTGAACGATAGTAATCATTGTCAGTTTTGGGCCGATCACGGGTTTCGGACGAGGCATCTGTGAGTGAGAGACTGCGATACAAAGGGCTACTTATAGATGATGGGGAAGCATTTCAACCTAGCGCGAGTTGGCACCACTGAGAAATACAACTTACAGCAGAGAAGAGACACGGATAGTCGTGAAGTCATTTATTCATCGAAGATTACCAGCTCGTTGGGCTCCGGCAATTGCCAGTACACAAACCATGAAGGATAGACTACTTCCTCCACTGAAGGACTCTAGACTAAGGAAAGCGCACGCAACCCAGCATAGCGTTTTCCACATCCCAGCGAAAGCCTCGTCCAGGTAAGTAAAAGGCCCTGAAGCACTTCAGGCCGAGCAATACGAGCAACACCACAACACAACAAGCCGCCCACCCAACCCTCGTAACCCCCACGAAAACTCTCAAGCTCGTAAGAGGAGATGCTGAAGCAGTTCAGGCAATCAAAAAGCACAATACAATTATCTTCTCCACATCACCCATCCACCTCTCCTCCACCCACACAAACACTCCCACTACCGCCATCCCCCAGGCGGCGGCCTCTGCATATACCAATACTGCGGCTGCACCCTCGCACCTGCTGCTGCGCAACTTGACACACCCGGCAAAAACAATGCAGGCACTAAAGCCGGCCGGCACAGACAGCACTGTACACACACGGGCGCTGTGAGCCCGTACGGACATGTCTTGTCTACGATGCGTCAGGGGCCGCGATGGCCGTACGCGTACTTGATGTCGTATTCGTAGCACCTTTTTTGGGTCTATTTTTTTCCTCACTTTCGTGGATTGATGGTGGGCTAGATTCCGATTTGCAGGCTTGGTGCTTTTCGATGAGCTTGTATGGGAGCTATATATGTGAGGAAGACGAAGGAGAAACGATAGGGAGTTAAGAAAGAAGAGACGGTATTTACATTACACACGAAGCTATGGAAGCGGGAATGTTTGCATGTGCTGGCGCAGTGCGATGCGGTTCGTGCTATCGTCGCCGCGGAAGAATTTGCTAGACGCCGCTTGCACTGGCCAGAATTTCGAACTCACTTTTGGACATGCGAGCCCGCCTGTCAGAGCCCAATGTAGAGATGTAATGACAACAAGACGCTGTGCTGTATGCTTATTTCACTTTTCCTCGTCATCCACCTCTTCACATCCACATCTACAAATAACCCTGACCTTTTATCCATCGTCTTCCCAATTTGCCACCCATCCATCCCCCGCCGAGCCAAACACTACTCCTCACCAACATAATGCAGCGGCCTCGCCCTCTTCGTCAGCAACTCCATACTCCTCCTACTCTCCTCATCCAAGTACCCAGCGCTCTGCTTCGGCACAAACCCGCCCTTCGGCCCACACTCATACACCTCCCCACTCTCTGCACCCTCTAGGCACTTCTCGAACGCGGCAATCACGCCCTCCATGCTCACCAGCAGGCCCTCCCTCTCCACCGCATCGTAGAACTGCGACGTGCTGATGCTCGTGCGGACGATATTAGGGCAAACCGCATTGAGCGAGATCCCCTCCTCGGGCAGCAGCCTGCCGTACGAGCGCGTAAAGCCCACAACGCCATGCTTAGCCGCCGTATACACCGGCAGCGTAGCCACGTTGTAGAACCCACACACACTAGCCGTGACGCCGATCTTGCCGCGCCAGCCCTCCGCATCCGGCTCCTGCCGCCGGAACTGCTGCACAGCCAGCGCAACCGTCCACAGCAACCCCGTAAGATCGACATCCAGCACGCTCAGATCCGGCTTCGCAAACTCCCCCGGGCCCATCCGCATAACCTCCTCCGGAAACGGGATCCACTTCTTCTCGCCGATTCCTGCAACCGCGGCTACGAAGTCGATTCGCCCGCCCAGGACCTCGAGCGCTTGCTTGAAAACGCCGACTTGCGCGCCCCAGGACGATACGTCGGTGCCTACGTAGTGCAGCACGAAGTTGGACGGCTTGTTGTGTTGGAGAGCCATTTCTTGCATGGCGGCGTGGTTTAGGTCGGCGATGAATACGTGCCAGCCCTTGGAGAGGAGACGCTCGGCTAGAGCGCGGCCGATGCCGCTTGCGCCGCCTACGTGGAGGTTAGTAGGATGGATTTAGGAGAGTTTGGGAAGAATGTACCGGTGATGAAGGCAGTTTTTGCTCGTTCGGACATTTTGTATAGAGTATGTGCCTCATAAAATCCCTGATAAATGCACACCGTGCAGTAAGTAGGGTGCGGTGACTGGGATGAATATATGTAGACCGAAGCATGGTGGTGTTAGATCATGCGACTCGAATAGTTACTCTAGCTTCCCCGCACCAGTTCGTGTTGCGGGGTCGAAAGAAGGTGCGACCAACAACTACACGTCATTGAGACAAATCATATTATTAAGATTCAGCAGAAGTGGATATGTACCTAGGTACCTCAAATACGTTCGTGAGTGAACTCCGACAACCTTGCACCCACGCCGCAAAGTTCGCTAGCCCGAAACGGTACTTGGTAAAAGTAGTCCTGTAGTGCTTCTATGGCCATCTGCTCGCAGAAATGTTGCAGGTCAGGCTCAGCCCTCGTACATCACCTCGCCGCCGCCAGCCCCTTTCAGCATCTCTAGATCATAAGTCTCTTCAGGATCCGTGCCCCATTTGAAGATATACTCCCTTGTTTTCTGAACGCGATGCTTCAACTCCGCAAGGAGCGGGACAAGCCTGACCCTAACCGTTTCGTTCACCTTGGCCCCACCACGGATCGCGTATTCCATGACGTGAAACCTCGAAACGTGGTTGACGAGCATCATGTCAAATGGAGTAGTCGTAGATCCTTCTTCGCGGTATCCTTCGATGGTCATTCGGTCCGTACCGGGCCGAGCAAAGAGCAGGCCTTTAAGCTCCGCGCCGTAGCCATGGTAGTTGAAGTGGATTGATCGGTCCGGCGTGAACAGAGAGTCGAAGTCCTCATTGGTGAGGGAGTGGGGGTGGAGGCCCTCCGTTTCTAGCACCATGAGGTCTGTCACGTTGACCACTCGGACTCTTAGTTCGGGGATGAGTTCACGGAGAAGCTCTGCCGCCTTGACAACTTCGAACGTGAGCTCGGCGCCGATACCAACCAGGACCACGTCCGGATTTAGGCCCTTGTCTGTGCTTGCAAATTCCCAGACCGAGGCACCGGCACGGCAATGGCTGTCGGCTTCTTTCGGGCTCAGGAATACTGCGCTAGGTTGTTTCGAGCCGACCATAAGATTGACGTAGTTCTTCGACCGAAGACAGTGAGCGAGCGTAGAGAGGAAGCAATTTGCATCCGGCGGAAGATAGACGCGAGCCGCGTTGGGCTTGAGGTTCAGTACGGCGCCAATGAAGGACGGATTCTGATGGCTGAAGCCATTGTGCTCTTGCCGTGTCCAGGTCGACGTCTCGATATAGTTAATGCTAGCGATGGGCCGGCGCCAGTTTGTCTCCATACCCTGAACGAAGTCAGCAAGCTGGATCACAAGACAGAACAGAGGTTAAACTTACCATCTTCCCAAACTTCGCATATTGAACCATCATGGTGTGAATAATGCCCAGGAAGCTCTCGTACGACGGAAACAGCGCAGTCCGTCCGGTCAAGGTGTAGCCCTGCATGAAGCCCTGGCAGCAGTGCTCTGACAGGATCTCGATCACACGGCCACCTCGAGCGTTCGAGAACTCGTCCCACTGAAAGTTCCGTCCGGTATTGTTGAACACGGCGCTCAGCTTGTTACTCTCTAACTCATCGGGTGAGAACATCCGTAGAGTCTTTGGATTGGCTTGGAAAGCCTTATCCATGAGCTGTCCGCATTGTTGCATTGACGACGCTTCAGTGCCTTTCTCCACGCCCAGCTCCATCCAGTCTGGAACTGTGATTCCAACGTACGGGTCGTAGGTATCTTTCAACTGCCCCATTTTCTTCTCGTCTTTGGCAGGGATGATGCTGAGAATCTCCTTCGCCAGCGTCCCGTCCTCGTCGAAAAGCTCTTCAGGTGCATAAGACTTTAACCACTTCTTGAGATCTCCCAGTTGGCTCTCGCCTGATTTCGCCTTCGGAAGCGGCACTTGGTGGGCATGGAACGAGCCCTCGATGAACTCATCGCCCACCTTCTTGGGTCCACTCCAGCCCTTTGGAGTCCGCATGATTATGACCGGCCATTGGGGTTTGAAGATTGGCTTGCCGGAGCGAGCCGCCTTTTGGATTTTCCGAATCTCTGAGAGGGCCCACCCGAGCGAGTTTCCCAGATCTGCGTCGATATCTTCGAGATCCTCAACGAACCGCGGCTGATACCCATATCCGGTGAAGAGTGCTGTGAGTTCCTTGTTGTCCATGCAGCCATATATGGTCCGTTCGCTAATCTTGAATCCGTTAACATGGACAATCGGGATGACAGCCCCAGACTCCGCAGGATCGATGTATTTGTAGCCATGCCATGCTGTAGCGGTAGGGCCGGTCTCGGCCTCACCGTCACCAACGACGCAGGTCACGACAAGATCTGGCTTATCCATGACAGCGCCAAAACTCACAGCTAGAGCGTATCCCAACTCGCCTCCCTCGTGGATCGCGCCTGGGGTTTCAGCATTGATATGGCTTGGCGGGCCTCCGGGCACGGAGAACTTTGTGATGAGGTTGTGTAGTCCTTCCTTAGTGCGGCTATACTGTGGAAAGAACCTGCCCATTGACCCCTCTAGCCATAGGGAAGCCAGAATCGCTGGCGCGCCGTGGCCTGGTCCCACAACGTAGATCATATCCAGTTCGTGTTTCTGAATGAGGTAGTTCAGATGCGAATAGACGAGGATAAGTCCGGGGCATGTCCCCCAGTGACCGAGAAGCCGTGGCTTCACATGGTCGAACGACAGATCTTCCTCCAGCAGTACATTGTCTTTGAGGAATATCATTGCTGTTCCTTATCAGTAGCTGCATTCAGGATAGCCAGGGATACGTACCAGCAGCGATATAGCACGCCGCACGCCTAAATTCCTTCAATACCTTGTTCGCATCTTCCGGCAACGTCTGCTTCTCGATCTTGACATTGAGCGATAAGACCTGGTCGGGCAGATGTGAGGGTATCGGCTCCGGATTGGGCCGATCGATGACTTCGCCGGGCATGTTTGGCTCAGAACGCTTGAATATCGCAATTCACCGAATATGCTGAACTCAAGGGTTGTGTACTGTCCTCAGTGCTCGTGGAAGACGTTCGATAAGTTGGAAAAAGCATGAAAAGTTGACAATCAAAAAGTAGCTCTCGAGCTCTGACGCAATGGCTACCTCAATCACACCGTCACAACGCGACGCGACACGACGCGCGGAACATTAGGCCGAACCATGTCTGAACCTGCAGGCGATCCGTCTCCCGCCCGCAGGACGCTTATTCGGCCCGTAGGGCTGTATTCCGATGGAAGGATGACGAAACAGGGCAGCGGCGCGGGCTGGATGACAGAGGAGAGGTCTCGACAGCTCGGTGACTCCCGATCATTCGACGTCGGCAACACCGCACGTGGGAAGGTGGACTGACAACGGCGGGTGCAACACCAACAGCGCAAACTTCCGCGTGCGATAAAATTTGCGATAAATAAGGGACTGTCAGCGACGAGTTTCTGCGCCTATATCTACCGCTAGGACCTTTCGCTGATTGCACTTGTATCATCGCGGCTTGCTATGGCACCCAATTGAACGTCCCCAGATCACCAACCAGCCCGCTTCAACCACCACCACCATGGAAATCATCCTCTCCATCAACGCCGGCTCCTCCAGCGTCAAAATCTCCGTCTACAAAGCCCCCGAAGTCGACGGCGCACCCACCCAGCTCGCCGAAGCCGTAGTCGAAGGCCTCACCGCCCCGCCCGCAACGCTCAAATACGAGCGTGGCGACGTGAAAATCAAAGGCAGAGAGCTGCAGAACATCGCCTCGCAGGAAGACGCCTTCAAATACATCCTCGACTACCTGACCAGGGATGAAGGCCTGCCCGAGCTGGCGAAGAAGGAGGATATCCACTTCACGTGCCACCGCGTCGTGCATGGCGGCGACTATCCCCGGAGCCAGATCATCGACAGGGAGACGTACCATCATATCGAGGAGCTGAGCGATCTGGCGCCGCTGCATAATGCGCCCGCGCTGAGCATCGTGCGCGCGGTCAGCGAGATCTTGCCGCATGCGACGAATATCGCGTACTTTGACAGCTCGTTCCATGCGACCATCCCGAAGCATATCTGCACGTACCCGATTGACCAGGTGATAGCGAAGAAAAACAAGCTGAGGAAGTACGGCTTCCACGGGATCAGCTATTCGTTCATCGTGCACGCGGTATACCTTCTTTCTCCCCTATTGCAACAAGTCCGCTCATATCTTCCTGCAGGTGTCAACCTTCCTCAACAAGCCCAAAGACCAGCTAAACATCATAGCCCTGCACCTCGGCTCCGGCGCCTCCGCATGCTGCATCAAGCACGGCGCAAGCCACGACACAACCATGGGCCTAACACCCCTCGCCGGCCTGCCCGGCGCCACACGCAGCGGCTCCATCGACCCGTCGCTGATGTTCCACTTCACGCACGAGGCGGAGAAGCCGTCGCACGCCTCCGCCGGCCACATGCACATCTCGCAGGCCGAGGAGATCCTGAACAAGCAGTCCGGCTGGAAAGTGCTGACGGGCACGACCGACTTCGGCAAGATCAGCGCGTCGAGCAGAGACGAGGACGTGCTCGCGTTTAACATCTTCGTGGACCGCATTCTGAACTACGTCGCGCCGTATTTCACGAAGTTGGACGGCGAGGTCGATGCGCTGGTGTTCGCGGGCGGGATTGGCGAGCGGGGGAGCAAGTTGCGGAGGGCGGTTGTGGAGGGAGTGCGGTGTCTGGGGTTTGCGCTGGACGAGGCGAAGAATGAGGATCCGGGCGATGGGGTTGTTACGGATATCAGTAGGCAGGGGGCGAGGTATAAGACGCTGATTTGCAAGACGGACGAGCAGTTGGAGATGGCGAGGGGGGTGTTGGAGGATAGGGGACGGTTTGTGGGAAAGCAGTAGGGGATTGGCGCGGCGGGCGAGGTACGATGACTTCTGTTCTTTCGGGTCATGGCTAGACTTCGGGATGGGGAAGAAGGAAAACGGGTTCCTTAGACCGTTTTAATGACAGGACGTGAATGATGCAATGAGACGGCCGTTCAACATGTGTAGCATACTCCCTTGAGTGTGAACGAACCCAAAAACGTGAATGAGGATACGTCATCCCGGAGCCCTTCAGAGTCCTATCCGTTGTTAGGCTCCCAGGAAGTGTACCTGAGCGTTCGACTATAGCCAAATGGTTTTGTCGTGAAACAGCACACTCGAAGGCCGTCCCCGGAGCTTGGCCATCTCAAGTAATACCCCCAAGGCTAGAATATGGACCTGGGAAAGCTCACCCTGGAGTGCTTCGGGACCCTATCCACTAGTCAAAGAAGTCTAGAGAGTGCCCACTGTAGCGGGAAGATGGTCGACACGCCACTAGCCGAACGGACGCGTCACTGACTCGCTTGGGTGAATGAGCATTACTTAGAGACACGCTCTTGGTATTAACACGCTATATTGAAGAACGTCCAGGCTCCACCAATTATACTAAAGGCTCTATGGTGGCGAAACCGACGCACTGATATACAGGGTCGAATATACTTTCCTGGTCACGTTCCTGCAATACTGGACGCAGGGACCGGATCGCGCTTCCGATCAGATCTTGCACAGGGTCTGCAGGACATCCTTGGTGCTCTGATGTGTCTCCTTGACTACGCTGATGATTTGCCGGAACCTACGCGATCTGATTAGCGGGCCTCGGGTATCGACAGGTTCCCCGATTTTGACGTACTCTTCAATTCCAGCGTCTCCCACGCATTCATACATCCAGCTTTCGCTCGTTGTAACCACAGCGCCCTCTTGCCGCAGCCTCGCCAGCGCAATCGGCACCTCTTCCTTATTGCAGCTGCTCACGCCATCCGCAATCACATACACTTTATGTCCTTCGCGGAGGAGGTCGAGGGTGGTCTGTGTTACGCAGATGTGTGACTCAATCCCCACGATGACGCACGAGAGGCGTGAGTTGAGGGAGGCGATGCCCTTGCGGACTTCTGGCGTTCTGATTCCCGTCATTGTTAGTGGCTATTGGGGCCTGTGCGGAAGTGCTGAGTAGGACGCACAGCATAGAGAAGACGGTCTTGTCATCGTGGACAAGGGTCTTTATGCCACCCGGGGCGTCCAGCCCCAGCTCCGGGCATGTTTCCCCCAGGCGAGCCTTGTTTTGCGTAGTAGCGAAGACCGGGATGTTGAGGATGCGGGCGGCCCGCAGCAGCTTCTGCGTGGTCGCGATGACCTTGGGAAACTCGAATATCGCTGGGCGGAACTTCTCCTGCAGGTCGCAAATACTGGAGAAGCATCAGCGTGCGCAATTGGCGTCGGATGGCGCATGGCATACAAGAGAGCGGGGTTTGCTGTGCAGCTGTAAGCGCGTGCTGCTTGGAGTCGGTGGTGAGGCGCCTACTGATGCGTCGTTGAGCCATTGTGCTGATTGCTCGGAAAGCGGCGTGTCCTGAATGCCTTCTGGAGGGGGCAACGCGTGGTAGAAGAGAGCGCAGCATCGTCGGCAGAGGACCGAAGTCCCCCTCTCCTCGGTCTGGTGGAGCGCGGATGACATAACGGAAGCGGCGTTGGGCGTAATAGCCCGCCGTAACGCGGAGGCGGCAACTGCGCCTTTGGCCCCTTGCTCTCGCCGTAGACGCCCCCGTTTGGAAACAGCCCTGGAGCCCAAACGCGCCGCCAGCTCCACCCGTGAACAGGCTCAATCTATTCCTTTCATTTCTCCACGACGAGCCTCGCTGCTATACTTGGAGCCGGAAAGCGGTCCCTCGGCCGCGCCAACGTCCGCAGGGGTCATTGCGGAGGGTGACACTTGAGCTTATGGGAGGACAGCAGCCAGACAGGGCCGACTGTCTCACGATGGAAACAGCACCTCGACAGCAATCTCGCCGTCATCGTATTCCAAGGTTCCGCACTCACCTCAGCTGCCTCTGTCAGCGCCGCTATTTCTACCTTCGGGCCGTCTGAACAGGCAGTCCGCAAGACCGCGGTGTACCCGGGCGCTCTACAGGAGCACACCACTCGTGCATCCCAGCATCGAAAAGGACTCTGAGGCCCTCCAGGAAGCCGCATGCCGATTCGGCCCGGTACGAGCATGCCACCTGGAACGGTCGGCCTATGCCTGGCAGAGGCGGAGCGCACGGCGCTTCCTGTGCAATGTGAGCGCGTTGGTGGTCAGCCTTGATTCGGGGGGAGTTCTTTGTAGTCGAGTTAAAGAAGCAAGTGATCTATCGAGAGTCTGCCGCCCTTAGTCAATGCCGTGGGGGACCGTGCGTAACTTCCTTCCGCGACTCTACTGTATTAAGCACGCTCTCCTATGTCCACCTACCTACACGCCTCGATTTTCGCTTTGGCTGCCCTGCTGCAGTGCTGCTGGCTCGTCCCTCAGCAGCTAGCCTACCCCATTATTTACCGCTCGCCGCCCTCAGCCACATACCCCGGTCCGCTTCGTCACCGCATTTCCAGTCGCCGGCACGCCCACGCACGAATTCCCCTTCAGCGTGCCGCTTCACACAATCCGACTTCACTCACGCTCATTTCTCACCGATTGGCGTTAGTCAACATCACGTCGCTTGGCTCCAGCGGCCCTCCAGCGGCCCTCCAGCGACCTCCACGCCGCAACGCCCCAAAAGTTTATGAGCGATTCCAACGCCAATACCCAGTCGCCATATCCCTATACTCCATATCCACGCATTATTCGTCCTGAAGCCTTTCAGGCAGGTGAACGCAAGGCGCTTCTGGGGCATCTCCCGCGCTCCCTTTTGCTTCATCAGAGTAGGTCGCTCCCCTTCCCCCCACACCCCCGGGCTGCCACCCAATCTGCCCTTTTTCTACTGCAGCCGCTCTTGCAGCTGTCTCGCATCGACGAATTGCAGTCCAGCGCCTCGCTCGCACCGCGTCCCACCGTCATCGTGTCGCCGCACCGCCAGAGCCCGACCACGGAGCGGGACCCAGCTCGCACCGTGGTAAAGAAACCGCACTCCAAGCCCGCCCAGGTGCGCGAAAACCTCGATGGGAGTAAAGGCACGTCACAGCGCGTTCCGAGCAGCGCACCGTCGATGACGTCGAGCGGCGTTTCCACAATGGGGGGCAAACGGGAAGAAGGAGGGTCCTTTCCGAGGGCGCAGAGGCCTTCAATCGTATCGCAGCACTCGAATTCCGTACCTTCCACGCCACTCCAGGTCGCCCGCACCTACGAGTCGCGGTCGCGGTCGCCCTCTCCGAATGGCGGTCTCGGTAGCCACTCGCCTCGCTCCGTGTCTTCCGAGGCAAATGGAGTCATGCCCACCTTACGCACAGCGCGCGTGTACCGATGCAAGTACGAGGGGAAGAATCCGTTTGGGCGGAGGCGCATACCCTACATATCGTCGGACATACTAGAACGAGCGAAGGAGGAGCCGAAGAAGACGTTAGACCCGCAGGAGGATGACAAACTGAGTGGCGACATGCGCGAGCTGTACAATCGGTTACAGCCTACGCAAGAGAACACGGAGCGACGAGACAAGTTTGTCAAGAAGCTGCAGACCATTCTTGAGACCGAGTTCCCTGGGAACGAGTTCAAGGTGCATGTCTTCGGCTCGTCTGGCAACATGCTGTACACAACAGAGAGTGACGGTAAGGGCCCAAGCGGAGTCGTTGGTAGCGACCGTTGCTAACGGTCGATGACAGTTGACATCTGCATACAAACGCCCATGAAACGGCTGGAAGAGATGCACATGTTAGCCGAAGCGCTCGACAAACGTAAGTTGTTGCAAACGGCCTTCATGTGCTCGAGTTGACTGTTCTAGACGGCATGGAGAATGTTGTATGTGTACCACAGGCCAAGGTCCGGATCGTCAAGGTCTGGGACCCAGTGCTCAAGCTTGCGTGCGACATGAACGTGAACAACACGCTTGCTTTGGAGAACACGCGTATGATCAAGACCTACATCCAGATAGATGAGCGTGTGCGGCCCTTGGCCATGATCATCAAGCACTGGACGAAGCGGCGTATACTAAACGACGCTGGTAAGCATTTTCTTACAATTGGACGGCCTTTCTAACGCGACTTGCAGCGCTTGGTGGCACCATCAGCTCCTACACTTGGATATGCATGATTCTCAACTTCCTGCAGACTCGAGAGCCGCCAATACTACCCGTGCTGCACAATCTTCCGTGCAGGGCAATCGACAAGTCTACGGGCAAGCCTTCAGAGGCTGAGTTCGCTGATGATTTAGAGAAACTGAGAGGCTTCGGTGAAAAGAACAAGGAAACCCTCGGCCAACTTTTGTTCCAATTCTTCCGACTGTATGGGCACGAAGTGGATTACGAGAAATATGTCATTTCCGTACGGCACGGGCGCCGGCTTACGCGCGAAGAAAAGAACTGGCATCTCGCAGGCCTGCAGAAAGAGGCTAGGAATCGCCTGTGTGTCGAAGAACCGTTTAATACCGAGCGCAACCTTGGCAACTCGGCAGATGACTTTGCCTGGCGTGGCATCCATCTCGAAATCCGGCGAGCGTTCGATTTGCTTGCAAACGGCCAGCAGCTTGATAAAGCCTGCGAGCAGTACGAGTTCCCGCCCGAAGAAAAGTCAACGGCTACTTTCAAGAGGCCTGAAACCAAAAAGGCCGTCCTCACGTCAAGCGCTCCGAGCGCACGCGGTGGTCGCGGTGCATCCGGCCATCGGGGCGGCAGAGGAGGTTTCAACCAGAAGGGCAACTCCGGCTATGGAAGACGAGCATCTAGCGGTGCATCATTCGGTGCAAACCGGCCCCCGTTCCTGAACAGCCCGCCCATTTCCGGGGTGCCTGGTCAAGATTACTTCCCGAGAGGCCTCAATGAGCAGCTGCACGACCAGCTATTCCAGCAGTACCAGATGCTCGAGATGCAATCCAACTCGTTGAGGGCACAGCTTGCCGCTCAGCAACGTGCTCAGCAAGCTCATCGGGTTCAGGCCGCGCATATGCACGCTCAGGCGGTTGCCCAGGCCCAGGCACAGGCACAGCACAACCGCGGCGCCAGCAGCGCCAACGGTTCCCCGCAAAAGTCACCCTACGTGAACGGTCGCGCTAGCCCTCGTTTGCCTGACGTTGGGATCCCAGCAAACGCTTTACCGCAAGGGTTTCTCTACCACTATCCGGGCTTCTTCGATCCGACCCAAGGGTCTGCGGCTGTGTCACAGGATGGGCCTCGAACGAATCCCTCTTCTCCGTCACTCACCCACAGCGTACCCGGCCTGCGGAGAACGGTTCATCGGGCGTCAAATACAAGCGAGACTGGCTCCATCCGTTCGCAGTCACAACCTGCCCGCGGTGTGCCACCGCAAGCTGCCTTGGCGGGCTACGCTCCTATGCCGCAGTTTTATGACCCCACAACGTTCGCTGGGTACCCAATCGCCCGTTCTACGCAAGAAGCACCAAGCTCGCATGCCGCAACAGACGCGCCCTACAGTCCTTTGTCGACGTATACTGAGTCGGCCGCTCCTTCCGATCACGGAACGCCGAAAGAGTATGTTGGGTATTACGTCGAAGAGCAACCAGCTCATCGCCAACTGCAAGATTACAGCGTCCCGCAGATTCCTTCCTTCAGCGAGCTAGCTCAGCGTCGCAAGAGAGTTTCGCCAGAAATCACTCAGCCGCTGCTTAATACGGCGTTGAGGCGAGTATCGCGGTCGCCCTCACCCTTGGGTGGACACGTTAGAAGCTACTCGACCAGTGTCGCTGTGCCTCCTGGTGCTAACACTACAGACCGAAAAGAGCGCACAGACCCCACACGGCCGCCCATTGACAACGGACCGGTCATTGTAAACGGGTCGTTTCCTACACAGTCTCGCGAACCCCGCACTCGGAGCGAGACGGTCGACGCTCTTCCTTCGGTAGACGTGGCTAATCCAGGTGCACTCGGCATCTTCGTCAATGATCAGGACCAATACCGAATGATTGGCCCAGGGCAGCGGCAGCAATTTGTTCTTGAAGAGATACAAAGGCAGAAGGCGGAAGAGGCAGCGGGAGCCAGCATTGTCAATGGCTCGATGAATGATTCGCCGGTTGATGCTCATGATTTGGCGCGTGTGCCGAGTGGCGGCCGACAACCATTTCCCGCGTTACCGGAAGTTTGGACGAACTACGGCTTGAGCAACGGAAACCGGAGTAACCATTCCGAGGAAGTCTCGCCCACGCGTACGCAACATACGCAATGGCGAGTTTCGACGTACACCAAAGGTCTTCCTGCTTTGGACACCATGAACACGCCGAGGCCACCGCCTCAGGAGATCAAGTCAGCTACTCTGCCTTTACTCTCGCCGGTCTTCGAAACGCGAACCCCTTCGCCCAATGCTACCCGTCAACTAGAGGCCAATAAGCTTGTCAACGGCGTTAAGCCTCATTCGAAGGAGAACAATCAGCCTCTACGCCGGGCGTCTCATTCTCCAGCTCAACCATCCGCTCTCAAGGATGTCAATCGCAGCGGCCAACAGAAGAGTAATGCCCAGGGGAATGAGAAGAGCAATAAGTCGAATTCGGGAAGTAACAACAACTCGAACCAATGGCAGCAGACGCGAAAGAAGAAGAGGAAAGGTGCGAACAAAGCGAATGAGCCAAAGACGTCCGGAGAGCCGCTGCCCGCAAATGTTGCTGAACGCAAAGGCGGATAGATGCCGGCTTACAGTTTGCTGCTGAGGCGATCTGCAATTTCTTTTTCCACCCGTTCTGCGTCGCTCGTTTGCTCCTAGGAATTTGGATATCTCGCCTCACAAAAGCCTCTCGGCGATTCGCGCGCAGACTGGAGGTAAATCTGATTGCTACGGCTCGCCCTTCGGCCGGTGCGTCTGAGTTAGTTTGGGAAACTATTGCAATGGCATCTGCATCATTTCGATGCTCGACGCCTCATTTCAGAGCACGCGGATTTTTGGAATCAAGAGCATAGCGGTGATAGCGCACCGGGGCAAAAGGCGCCGTTCATCGCGAAGAACATAACAGACTTGGAAGCGGCCGAGGATGGCATCACAGCATTTCATACATTTCTCATTGTTTTTTTTAAAAAACTATCACGAGCGACCGGAGTTCTTTCGTACGTATGGAGCGGAAAAGCGGCAACAACTGGTTTGGAACGGAGCGGTGGTGATTTCTTGCCTCACGCTGGAAGAGGGGCACTTGATTCTTTCTCGTGGGACCCGGAGTTGCGTCGTTCGTCTGCATGCATGGCCTCTTTGGCATCGACTGGAGTTTTCCCTTTATCACTTGATTTTCTTGTCCTGGGTTGGCATGGACATATCGGTACATCGAGCGAGCGTTTCTTTGATTAAGAAGGACCACCAGGCCGGGTTGGTTGCACCGAAGGGTGTGTTGGGAGGCGTGATGGCTGGTTATCACGGACGGAAGCTGCATGTATAGATAAAAGATGAGGCTGAATGGTTCCCCCTCCTGGCCGCTGAGGACCAGGAGGCGAGGCGAATAAAAATCTGTAAAATGCAGTCTAGGCGTCGTGAGTGTCGTCTTGCTCGGGTGTTGTGACGTGGGGCTTCGCTAAGAGAGACGGATATCAATAGCCAGGTCAGTATCGAGACCAGCCTCAACTTTTCGATATGCGCTAACACTCGCATCCCGCTCATTCCGCGCTGCTCCAGTATGCGATTTCTTCGATTGAGCCGAACTCTCAGACCAAAGCATCCCGACGCCGACAACGACTCCCACTCGCTCCGTCCACGCGCCTGAGCAATTCGCTATTCGCGGAAACAGGGCCCTCGCATCCAGTCTTCTACGCTTCAGCCAGGTCGCACGATACACCCATGCCTACGCTGCTGGCCCAACTGCCCGTCCGCCGGCTTTGCCCTTCGATGGGTAGATCACGACTGGTCTTCCTAGCCTGGTGTCTGTCTCTGCAGGCGAGATGCAGCGGGCTTGTATCTGTGCGGTGTCTCTGCCGGGGAACGGGTGACCGGTTTCGGATTGGAGCTGTGTTTGCCGTGATGGAGGGAGCTGCAGTGCGAGCCAGTTTCTGGGCTCATTGTAGCGATTCAAAGCTCGGTCATGCTACGGGCAAGGCTCTGTACTGTCAACGGCTTTTTTTCTGCTTCTCGAACATGGCGGGGAACGGTGGGAGTTTCTTCAGTGCCCCGCTCACTTTTGTCATTCGCACTCTTTGCTCGTCTGGTGCTGCTGCTCCTGCCTGAGACATGACGAATCGAATCGGCTAGCTCCGGATGAGACATGCAGGAGTAGGAGACAGTGAGGAAGCCAAGATACGACGTGCCAAGCGGAAGTCAATCCACGCTGTAGCGAGCATTGAGCACGCACCGGACACTGAAAGCAAGCATCTTAGACGCCTGGACGCTCGTGCGGTCTGTTGTCCCGGGGCTGTGAGTCCTCAATGACGAGCGTACAGTACCGAAAAAGAAATGTTGATACAGCCCTTCAGCCCTAGGCCGGGCTCTGTCTACGTACTCACTCCATCTGCAGCGCGCTCAGCTCGACGCATGGATGCAGTCAGAGCTTGACTTCGCTAGGAAGAAAGGCGCTGGCATACACGGAGCGACCGCTTGCACGGACAAGAAGTTCTTTGTCCCCTTCCAAAAAGCAAGCATTTCTTCTGTCTGGGTGTGGGCCCCAGCGTCCGAAAGATGTCTGTCTGTCTTAGGAGAATACGAGCGGCAAACGCACTCTAAGCTAGGCTGCCCTGCGTACAATGACGACGAGCTTAGACTATCGTACGCTCTTCGTTCAATCTTCACGTCGACCGGGGGTTCAAGTTCCAGGCCACGTTTGCTTGAACCTGTTGCAGAGCAGGGACACTTGGCTGCTGCGGAGGAACGCGCTCGCTGTGTCTTTTCTGTCGCCCTTTTTGGTTTCAGTCGGAGGACATGGTTTGCGCGTAGTTTGCATCTTTTAGCGGTAAGGCGTGTGGTATTTCGACTTAAAAGGCAACACTTTACCGCTGCTTCTCCTTCTTTCTTCCTCCACCAGGCCCCCCACAACAGCAGCCAGCAGCTCCATCATCTAGCCTTGCTCCAGAAGCAAAACCCGCACACCGCAGACAGCAAGGGTAGTTATCTCCACCATCACTCACGCAGAACGTTTAGCTAACAAGTTCCAGCCACCATTTTCGACCCCACAACACCTCCCTCTATCACCATGGACCCCCACTCCCCCTGCCTGGTCGCCGGCATCGCCGTAGCCGGTGCAGCGTATTACCTCTGGATCCACAGAGCACAGCGACAGCGACAGCGGCAGCCGCAAGCCCAGCCCTCCGCTCTCACTCTCCCCGTCGCCGAGCCCGCACCCACCCAAGCTCCACCGCCATCCACGCCGGCGAAGCGCGAGCCGCAGACACCTCAGCAAAACGAACACTCCGCAACCGCGGCAGCCCCGCCCAAGACCCTCGAGGAGCTCGAACGGGAATTCATCAACTTCGCCCGCGGCATCGCCAAGGACGTCCCTGGTGTCGACAAGCAGGTGCAGAGCAGGCTCAAGAGCTGGGTCACGCAGGCGGTGCATCTGGCGACCGATGATATCGTCAGGGAGGCGAAGGCACTTCTCAAGGAGGGAGCCGGCAGGGATGAGGAGGGCGAAGAGGGGGGAGAGGGTGGATGGATCGCCGGCTCCTTGAATGGGGGGACGGTTGGTGGTGTTGGTGAAGCGTGGATGGAGGTGGCTGAGGAGGAGCAGGCATGGTTTCGATGCGTGGGGATGGCGTAGGGTGATGTAGATAGACGGTCGGAGTAGTTTGTCTTTCTTTCTCTACTTTCCTTGATATACTATAGACTTTGGGACATACTTGCAGAACGGCGTTTCGGATAGACGGATAGACCAATAGACAACTCGCATTTCATTCTTCCCCTTCCATCCTTCAACACATAGCACATCGCCCTCCATCCGGACAATCACTGATACACAGCAGAAGAACACGGTTCGAGTGACCACCAAGGTACGGTTTTCAATCCCAATCGACTCGCATGCAACGAACGCAGCATGGACGTGCGTCGACGTACTTGCCCATACATCCGTCTATGCATTTCTCCCGGTGACTGCGAAGCCCCTGGCGCAAAGACACTCCTGTTTCCGCCCAAGTATATGACAGTACGATGCGATGATTTCGTACGCGGCGTCCAGGTTTTCGAAGAGTCACATAGACGATCCATACTTCAAGACAGCTTGTCGCGAAGTGACCTGCGCAAGCGACGTAGAGCCAGGCCCAAGGTGGCCAAGGAGAGCATGAAAGAGGTATAAGAACCTCTTCCATTCATCCTTTCTCTCCCAACTTCACACCCAAACACCCCATTCTATCCGCAAAAGGAAGACGGTAACACTCCCCCATTCTCACATCACTTCCTAGCACACTAACCCACCCCAGACACCACCAATCCTCCCAGCCGCTGCTTGAGTCCTCATCGAAACTCCCACGTCTCGCACTCCCAGCGTCCCCCCGACCTCGCTCACTCCGCCACCATGGCCTCCCTCGCCCAAGCCTCCGCCATCCCCGGCGCCCAGATCATCGACTTGAGCGGCAGCGGCAGTGGCAGCGCCCTCCTCACCCCCTCACTCCTCCTCGCAGCCTTCGCCCTCGGCGTCGCCATCAGCCCGCTTCTCAACCCGCACCTCGCAAGCCTCCTCCCCTCCCCAAGCACCCGAACCGGGGACTCCAAAAACACGGCCAATGCGCCCAAAGAAAAGGAGAAGGAGGACAGCCACAACGGCAACGGCAACGGCAACGAGAGCCTCGCTCAGCGGATCCCGGACTTGGAAACGGCATTATTCGCGGAACATGGCATCGAGAAGGACGCGACGCATGTCGCCAGGAACATTGCCCAGGTCGGAGGTAGCACGACCGGCCAGGACCAGGGGATTCGGTATGATATCGCGAATAGGAGGAAGCTTTGCGGAGAGATTGCTGTGGACGTGGAGAGAGGAGCTGAAGGGTTCGATGAGAGGCGCGATCTGCGCGAGAATGAAGCTGGTGAGGAGCACGAGGGATATGAGGAGCATTGTGGTGCTGATTAGACTGACCAGAAGGGTTGCGGGACGCGCCTCCATTGGCGGAGTTGGAGTCTGTATTTGCCTGCGTGGAAGAAAGATGGTATGTGGGTGTGAGGGGGGTACGAGAAGGACAAAGCAAGAAATTGACTTGGGCGAAATGGAGTTTTTTGAATACCTACTAATTCCCCTTAATACATCTTGCGCGCTATTCCTCGCCCAAATTCCCAGGTGCCCTTATTCTTTCCACTCCCACCCAGCCACGATCGCCCACCTATCCCGCACTCAAGCCATGGCCAAGTCCCAGGCCGCCTTCCCAGCCATACCGATCATAACATAATGCGCCAACATCCACAGCACACCATAATACCTTCCCTTCCCGCCCTCGGCGCCATTCGTATATCCGATCGCATACACCACCCTGTTCACGCTCCACACACCTCCCAGCACTGCCGCCGCCATCGGATATTTCAATCCCGCGATGAGCATCGCGCCGAGCGCGGACACGTGGTTCTCGTTGAAGTTCTGGTGCGCGCGTTGGGCGCAGTTGAACTGCAGCATTGCTTTCGAGGCGGGAGGAGATGCGGTCTGGACTTGCTCGTAGGAGGCGTATTCGTAGGGATACGGGACCTTGGCGGCTTTGCGGAAGGAGGTTACGCGGCCGCCGAGCCAGGAGCCGACGAAGAAGGTGGAGGTTGCGGCGAGGAGGACGTAGCTGGGAGGAGGTCAGCTGGGGTGATGGAGAGCTTGTGGACGAGGCTGTGAGGGGGACGAGGCCGAGGTAGGCTGTAGGCTGGAATTGATGGCCTCTGGAGCAGTAGAGATGCAATTGGACTCTGGACTTACCCATACTCGGCAGGAATCTCAAGGGAAACCATCTTGTCTCGTACTGTGTATTTCCTAGCTCTCGAATCGTAGCTCTATAATGCTCTCGGGTGTTTCGATCGGCGCAGATATCCGTTCAATCGCTCTTTCGATGGATGTCCTTTCGAGCTATGTGGCGCTGGCGCTTATATAGCTAGGTGGGTGTCCAGGGGAAATTTCTCGAAACAAGTGTCCAGACAGCGATCAGTCGACGAGACGCGGACGAGTTTCACCGGACGCGGGGATCGGAACAACTCGCAGCCGACGGCCAAATGCAGCCCATGCTAGTGGCTACCAGCACCGTACACATTGTGATGGAAATAGTTGTGTCTGTGCGATATTCAGGCGTCGTCGATAGTACAGGAGTGCTGATGAAGTGTGTGAGAGGTTCGTCCGGTGAGATATGGGTGAAGTTGGAGGATCTAGGTGCGCTTGGCGGCGTAGGGTTGCGGCGCGGGTGGCCTGGTATTGGTGATGATGTCACTGGTTCGAAAAAGAATGATCGAAGCGGGGGGTTCTAAGGTGGGGAGATGGAAGATATGTAAAAAGGACATGGGAGCTGCTCTTTATCTATAATTCTTTCGCGTGAGCTCGCCATTCTTGGCTTCGATTGCGAGGACTGAATGATCACTCATCCATAACGCCGGGGCCGAGGCAGAATTGGACGAATACTAAGGCAATGCGGCTTGCGTGCAAGGCCTGTTTCGACCATCTTGAGGGTTTTCTTCTTATTTCGGAGCCAAAGCGCGGTCTCCGAAGGGGTGAGAGGTCCTGCGGGTGATAACCTTTCTCCCTAGTCCTGCTCCCAAAAACCTGTTCTCTAGATATATCCTCCGAACCTCCTTGTTATATCCTATAGTGCTAGCGCCGACATTATATCTCCACCATATAGCATCATGTCTCCTTCTCATACAAACAAAACTCAAACTTCACGCTCCCTTCCACCACTCCACCCTCGTCCACACTCTCCCCCGTCCACTCCTCCAACTCCCCCTTCTCACACCTTCTCCACCCACTCCCCTCCTTATCCAAGTCCACCGGAAAGAACGTGTCACACTCATAGTCCTTCTGTATCTTCGTCAAAAGCACCCTATCCGTCTGCGGTAGCTCCAGCGCCGCTTTATATATGCTCGCTCCGCCGATAACGAAGACGCGTTCGATTTGGGTTTGTGTTTTAGTAGGGGTGGGGTTGGGGTAGTTGTCAAGGTGGTGGAGCAGGGTCGTAAGGTCGGGAGATATCAGGGGCCCTTCGACCGCATCGTCATCGAGGTTTTTAATGGGAGAGATTGTCCGAGAATCCCGCGTGAGGACGACGTTTAGCCTTCCTTTCAGCGGCCTGAATTTTTCTGGTATGGAGTCCCACGTCTTGCGCCCCATGATTACTGCATTGCATCTCCTGACCCCTTCTGCTGTATCCGTGCGTGGCGGAACGCGCTTCGTGACGCGCGCGAAATATCCCATTTCCTTCTTCAATTGTGGCCATGGTAGTGTTCCGCCCTTCCCGATGCCGAGCGAGGGCGTCGCGGCGAGAATGAGGGTCAGAGAGAACGGGAGAGATTTCGAGGGCGGTGGCATTGCGGATGGTGCAGTACTGGTAGGTGCGGCGTTGGTGGGAGTTGGTGGTTGGGAGGTCATTGCGTGAGTGGAAGAGGCACTTAGGAAGGGAGCTGTAGGGGCTTGGATAGTGCGAGCTATTGAAAGAAGCTTTGGTGGTGGGGCTCCGAAGACGCGCTAGGAACCTCACAAGAAACGCGCGTCAACGTGACTTCCAGAGACGGCATTTGAGCGCGTCAATCAGGCCTGAAGTGTTTCAAAGGGTGGTGCGGGGAGAGAAACGCAAATTAAAAGGAGCAGTCAAAACCGTCAAGGCATAGATAGCTTATCATTGCAACTACCCAAAGTTCATTGCAGACGACCTCCATCTCCGGCCCATATCTGTAGTCGTCCTCCTTCGTATGCACCCGATGCTCCCCTTGGGGATAATATGATACACGGCCTGAAGGCAGGCCGAACAGGAAGATCCAACATAAGCACAATCCCAAACCCCGCTAAGTCGTCCGTCGCCCTTATGGACTATAGAGAGACGCACTGAACGCCGTTACACACCGCCGATGCCGCACTCTCGCCCAAAAAGTCCCAGTCATACAACTCGTTCCCATTCCAGGGGTATCTCGTGAAAAGGTAGCAGCAGAAATGTGAATGATCCGACGCATTGAGAACCAGCACGCCGCTACTCGCCTTCGCCTCCCTCACCAGTGCTCTTGAGAGGTATCGATAGGGATATCTTCTTCGGAGCGCCACCGCTGTCTTTGGTGGAGCTGATGTTGGGACTCTTACGACGGAGGCTCTTCAAGCTGCCCACACTCGAGTTGCTGCTAAGAGAAGCACGGCGCTTAGTCCCGGACGAGGAGAGGCTTGCAAGGAGCTCGTCCTCCTCATCCTCCTCTCTCCTGCGCTTCTCTGATATCCGCTCGGGTGGAGATCCCGCATTCGGTTTAGGCGAGGCGATCGTCGCGGGCGATTTATGCGTCTGGGTTGCGGTTGACATTGTATGAGGCGACGCTGACGGAGCGCTCGTCGCTAGGATATCCATGGCGTCCTCGTCGCCGTCATCATCCGGGTAGTTAACCAAAGGTTTAACTGGCGACGCCCCGTTCAGTACCGGTTTCGCAGCACTCGGTAAACCGTCGTCTTCCTCATCGGAGCCATTAAAGTAGGCTTCCTCGTCCGGATCCGCTTCCCTCAGACCTTGACCCCATTTCCCGCCATTGACCATAGCGGCATTCCGCGCCGAAGCGTCCGTATCCACACTGGTGAAGGAGTGGTCAAGTTCCTGGGTCGTGGGTGGTTCGAGCATCTGGTCGTACCGAAGTATTAAGTTCTGGAAGGTGTCTACGTATGTAATGCTTTGCAGCTTCTCTCGGTACGTTTCTACAAGATGCTGAACGAGCATCTTAATGTTTTCGCGCTTGATGAATTCGAAAAGCTCTAAACAAGCGGAGTTGAGAAGATTGTCCCGCGGCATCGTGTCGAATAGTATTTTCAGAATCGGATCGAAAAGTTGATGCTGGATGATCTGACGGTTATGTGTCTCATCATGCAGGCCAATGCAAGTGCGGAAATATTTCAGGGCAGCTGTGAGCGGTTAGAGCGCAGTCCTGCGAGAATGAGGTAGCAAACATACTCAGCTTCAGGTGCTTTTCAGGACAGTCCATGAGCTGCGCAACTCGTGCCGCAAGGCCTTCAGAGAGAATGAAACATTTACTGCGGAAGGAATGTTGACGAATGAAGAAGCATAGGACTTCGACCAGGTGAGCATATAGAGCGACCTCTTGTATTGACAAATCTTCCACTGCAAGACGTTAGATGAATGAACGGGCAGGGGCCGGTGAGCTTACTTGACTCCCTCTTTTCGAGGTCCTTGAGGGGCTGGAACAGTTTTCTTACGGAGTCATCATAGAAGTTCTGGATGAACGAGTCCGGCTGCGGCATGGGAGGCAGCTGACCCCTAGTTTTAGCGAGGAAGTCACTGTTGGACCGCCCAAGCGCTTCTAGTGACGCGGAGTTGGCGTTGGGGTCGAGGAGAATCTTGATCGCGTCGGCCATCTGCGCCTTGACGCCAAGGTCGACCTCAATCAGCAGGAGCTCGATGAGAGTGTCGGTCAGCGGCTTTGACTTCTCCTGTATCGCCTTGAAGATGTAGCTCCGCACCATAAGCGAGTCATGATCGATGAGAGAGACAAGGATATCGGTTCCCGCCACACGCACAGAGGCATCCTGGTGCTTCAATGCGTATTGTATGACGTCGAGGAGGCCATTGTTAATGAAGTTCTGGTATAGTTGGGCCCTAGCGTTTATTTGGAGGCTCTTTGCGATGGAGCAACACTGCTGAATAAACAGCACGGCGTCCTTTTTCCGCTGGAGATCTTGCTCTGCGGGCCCGAAGATTCCGAAAAGCTCCTTTAGATATGGACCGTTCGCCTGCAGATGCTGGACAATGTCGACCTGGTGGAAGAATATGAGGGAATTGAGGACAGAGAATGTCGGATCGTCCAGTATGCGCGCTAAAACGACATCCTTCAAGTACTGCAATCGGTATGTGTAGTGAATCTTCTTCTTGATGCCCAGGTCTTCGATCTTAACCACCTCCTTGAATCTCGACTCGTCGGCGAGATATTGTCGGTGGTTTGCCTTGTGCAGCGGGAAGTCGGGGTCGTATTCCAGAGCACCGACAACACCTAGGATCACATCGTCCGTGACCACGTACTCAATGATGGATGTATCATTGAGGAGTATGAGCATCTTCATGATGCTGCATAACCGGTGCAGGTCCGACACGCTCTCAAGGTCCTCGGCCATTTCCACCAACGGTATGAGCTTCGGTATATAATCCTGCGAAAGGACGAACTTGGCAAGAGCTTCGCGGCCGCCAGGGGTACTGTTCGCTGCGCGCATGTGGTTCTCGATCTCGTGAAGGTTGCCCAGATCAGGGTTCGGTAGCATTATGGGACTTATGTTGTCGCCGATATCGTCGGACAGCCCATCGTCTACGATTTAATTAGCCGTGTCCTGCGGAATAGCTGATGACACACGTACCCTGTGCAAGAGCCTGCAGGCGCGATTGCACTTCGTTGACAAAGTCCCTGTCCCGCATCAGCACGTGTGACCCAAGGCACGAAGCCAGGCTGCATACCAAATGCTCGCGCACCCTTCGGGTTCCTGGAAGCTGAGCGCCATGTCTGTGCCATTCTGCTCGGTCCACACGATGAGCGTATCTGTCACCACTTAGCCTTGTGCTGCCTGCCCCGCCGACGCGCGCCTTACCTTGCTGTTTCTGGTAGCCATCGTCCTTGGAGATTTTGGTCTCGAGCAGCTGCCGTGTGGGGTCGTCTTCGGACGCGACGAGGATCTTGAATTCGTCCTGTTGAAGTTGCACGTGTCAGCCTGAGCCGGCGCCAGCCTCGGAAAACCGTGATGGCATCGCGACAGGGCAGAATCTGCCGAGCAGCGACACAGGGCGGGGAACAACATACATTCACCACTACGCCTCTACAGAAGCCCGTTCCCCGGTCGAACCAGTCATTGTTCTTGAGCTCGTATACTTTGACGCGCTTGCGATCGTTGGAAGGCGGCGCGACCAGTGCCATGGTAGAGGCGTGAGCCTACCACCTCTCCGGCAGGGGCGACGACACCCTCCGGAGCGAGGACGGCGGCGGCGGCGGTCGGCGCAGGGTTGCGGAGGGTTTTGCGGGCTGTCGCAGGACGCGATGGGGGACCCGGCGGTGGTGGTTGAGGGCGCGCTGGCGGATGACGATAGGAGGCTGGGCCGATGTGCGCAACACTCGCGAAACGGGCGCGGCGGCGGCGGACGGGCGCTGCACTGCGGGAGCGCGCGGCGCGGAGCGGGTGCAGCGTGGAAATAGAGCTGGCGATAGCGTCGACAGGATCACCGTGGGTTCGGCGGAATGTCGCGTCGTCTTGCAGGTGTGTCGGAGCCGCGATGGCGAAGGGCCAGGTCTGGGCGCTCGCCCGCTAAGGCTAGTCAGATGAGATAATCGATAAGCACGGTGCCTGGGCTGGCGCAGGGCGGCCGAGCCGCAACACGGAGCGCTAAGAGCGGATAGTTGGCGGAGGGAGACGTCTGGCGTGTCGCGCAGGTTGACATGCAGCCCGAGTGTGTGTAGTGAGCAGAGCGTTGCCCCTGCTGCCTGTCCGGGCCCAGAGTGAGGCGCCACTTCCCGCTTGACGCAATCGTGTCCTTGGCGTCCGATCTTCGCTGGGGCGAATGCTCCTCAACACCACCGCGCAGCACAGACACATCACGACATTTATCGCACGTCCAGGCAGCGCTGCCGACAATGCGAGACGGCCAACCCGGCTGCTGCCTGCTCGTATAGCCCTGCAGAGAGCATGGGCTCACTTCCAGGTCTCTGTTTCCACGCAGATGCACCACCGCACGACGAACCGCCGGCCCCCGACGAAGAACCATGGTCTTTCCCAGAGGAGCCTATCTTTCCCGACGAGGCCAATGCACGTGCACATGTCTATTTTACGGAAGCCCAATTGGACCGTTGGAATGACCATCGATCAGCTGTCGACTTGTGCACTGTGTCACGAGATACTCCGCCTTCTACCGGCGTCACAGAGAACATCCTAATGCACGTAGTGGCCTATATCTCGATATTCCATGACCGTTGCTCATGGTGACCGCGACTTCACAGTCCCTCAGGTTCTGCAGCTCAAGACGACCCCACAGAACGTCAGAACGGCTTCGCGGGCTAGCGATCCGGGACGACGGTCCTATTATATGCGGGTCGGCAGCCCGCATCGGCTCCACGAATTCATTGGTCGTACCTGACAGGCCTCGACTTGCTTTCTCTGCTATCTTTTGCACTTTCCGCAGTGTCAAACTTCATCCGCGCAATATTTACACTACTAGCAGACCCAGCAGATTTCCGTCCCGGAAGACGACAATTTACGGCCATGCTCAGATATTGCTGGACTCTAACGGGCCCATAGGGGAGGGTTGGCTGGCAGTTCTGAAGAACTCTTGGAAGAAGTACCCCAATCCCACTCAAACTCAATGCATCGTCTCAATGCATCGTTGGGCCCGAGTTCAGTAACACCCATAGTATCGGGTAATCGGGGATATATTTCCCAATCATCCTCAAGAGCAGACCGGTTACGCTGTCCTGGGAACATATAGTCCGGGCTCATTACCATCGAACACCTAGGTACCTAGTACGCACGTGCAGGAGAACGTTCCTCCAAGCTCGTGGCTGCAGACGCGCTAACGCTTGATGGGAGAATCAGCCTAGGGCGTGCATGCATTTCCATCGTTCGTTCCAAGATATGCATTGCTAACAAGGCATCCCGGTCATCTCTGCCGCCGCACCTGTACTCCCGCCGTTCGACGCAATCCTCGGAGAGCTGTGCCGAGATCGAACAGGAGCGGGTCTCCTCCCGTTTTCAATCCAGAGCCCTCATCTAGAGCTACTTTCTCAGCTCCTTAGGCGGCACCGGAATTTTCTTATCGGATCCCATCCCGAACCGTTTTCCATCCTCCTACTCGAATTTAGCAAGGCTGGTCTTCCACTAGCTTCAATACCGCTATAGTACTGCCTATTCGACTAACGCTACTACTATATACACCATTGATATCAACCCTACCAACTGTTTTGGCTTTCAGGAGAAACGGAATTACAGGTCTGCGCCGAAACATATAACCGGAGTCCCACCTGGTCCATCATGCCTTCCGCTCCTAATTCTCCTCGACCCGCCTTATCTATCTTCACAAAAGCAAAGAAAGCAAAGAAAGCCACCGAAAAACACAAGGGAGCTGTTGCTCAGGTGGAGCTGAAGCCACCCCGGGCTCCCTACAGACACGTCCCGACGCATGCTGCACAAAATGCTCTAGCCGCCAGTCCCATGACATAGAGTCCTGAAAAAACCCGCGCTAGAATCGCTGCTGCAAGAAAGAGAAGGGGCGAGATGACAGTATCAGGTACCATATCCAGCACTCCTTCAGCATACCAACCGCACACCCACTCTGATGGTGATGATGATGCAGAGGAGCATGAGGTCTGAGAACTATTGGAGAGAACTTCCTCCGGTTCTTTGCGAGTCAGTTCCACCACAGTAATCGATCGTCTTGATTTCACGCGCCTTCTTCAATAGCTATGTTTGACAAAGGACTCTTCTTCCTCCTCATAGACGCGTTGATGCTCGCAGCGTGATGCGGTCTCTGCTTGGAAGGTGGAGCTGGGAACTCCCATTGTCTGGAATACGAGTGGTAGCCTTCGAACACATGTAGCGGTTAATCTTTGCGGATTATTGCGGGTTGACGGCTGCGTGTTGGTGAAGGTACTTGATCGTTTCATGCCACGGTCCCTCTTCAAGGACTGACTCAATCGATAGGTCACCCTTAGTTCGACGGACAGTCAGATTCCAAACGCCAATTTCGCTATGAGAGCGATCAAGTCCGTTACTATCGAGTTGTTGCAGATAAAACGGCAGCGATAACTACCCATCCCAAGCGCGCACGGAAATGCATCCGTAGTAGCGTCGCTTCCAGCAGTGCTTCTGCAGAAGCGCCCTCTCAACAATGGAACAGGAGCGCACTGCTCATAGGAACCGGCTTTGCAGTCCGTCCCTCCTCGACCCAACGGCATAGCTCCGTCCAGCGCCACCATGCTACAGTAGCTTCCTGCATGCACGCGCTAGGAAGAGGGTTTCACGGAACTCCATTTCTCAAACACTGTAGGATTGCGCAGAACAAGAGCTACGTTTGACACGTTTAGTAGGCGACTAGCTTCAGCTAGATGAAAGAAGGGAACGATAGAGGTTCAAATAAGGAAACTTGGATCGCCTAGACGACAGCTGGACGGGAGACCGTGAGCTGGACCGTGCGGCTTCTGTGGCGTTCCTGGCGATCTCGGAGATGCGCTCGTGTTGGTTGACGCTCGCTCGTGTTGCTGGATGATCATGGTGGAGTGTACCATGGGACGGAGGGTAGACTACTACGACAGGAGTCAATTCTTTGCCTTGCATCTTGGCTCTGGGCAGTTTGAGTTAAGACGCGTGTTCGAAGCCTCTGCCTACAACTATTCGGGGCTGAATGAGGGTTTGCCAAGCACTTTGATATGATACGGTTTTCATTCAAATCATAAGATGATCAGGCTTTGACTGTCTGGTGTAGAATGAGACTTATTAAACTCAATTGTAGATTAGTGTTTCTCTTTTCCCCTTTATTCATTTGTTCACACCAAAAACTGCGTCTATCTTCACTGATCCTCCGATCGACGGTAGCACAGACCAAGCCCTCGCCTAGGGCACGGTCTCCCATCCTTATCGACAAGCTCAAGCTGCACCCCCAACCTCAAAGCTCCGCGCTCTGCATCTCCCCCCAACCTCACAACTCTCCCCACAGCAACAATGGACCCCTCAAAGCGTAATGCAGCAGCTCTACACCGTAAGCCGCGCTCTCCACACCATCCCCCCCTCAAGCCAAACTAATCACAAAACCCACAACAGTGCGCGTAGACGACCTCATCCAATCCCTGATCCAGCACTACCAAACGATGCTCGCGCACGCGCGCGAAGACGCGCCCAGCGACTACAGCCGCGCCGCGCAGAAAGAACTCGCCATCAAAGAGGAATCCAGCGCGCTCGTGACAACCGCGCAGAATATGGCCATGCTGGTTCGCGACTTGCAGGAGCTGTGGCTGTTTGGGAGTCTGGACACGTTGACGGATCCGGCGGACGAGGAGGAGGGTAGGAAGAAGGCGTTGGAGATTGCGGCGCTGGTGGAGATACTGGCGAAGAGGCCGCCGGGAGAATATATGGAGGATGGGAATGCGGCGCTGGAGGGAGAGACTTGAGAGAGGGGTTACGGACCAAAGGGGACAACACTACGATGTAGCATTTGAGCTTCTCGATGGCTGTATCTGCGACGTCGAGGCCGTATTTTTGGGCAAGGTACAATTTCGGTACGTCCCCTTCAAGATTGCAAAGCCAGCCTACAGGAGATTGACGAGTTGACCTAGATGTCGAAGGACAGCGCAGCACGCCACAGGCACAAACCAATCCCTCACGCGCAATCGGGACATAGTCCACGCCCGAGTAGACTAGCTGAGCGGCAGATGACGCATCATCCCATATCTCGGAAGCACTCTCCCAGTCCCAACAGACAGCATCGACATATGAGCGCCCTCCCCGGAACTTCGTCCCAGTCGCCCAGCGTCGTCGGGATATCCCATCGAGCGCTGCTTCCAGTAAGCAGAAACCTCATTAGACTAGATTTTGACCCCCTGGAAAGAATCAATGCAGCCCCCAGCAGCCTGAAACTTACAACCTCCGTTCTTCCTCTATCCAGCCATAACATAGCAAGTAGACCCTGCCAGATGCTTCCTAGGTGCAGCTGTGTGCCCTCTTCGCATTGCCTTCAATAAACTTCGAAGCAAGCACATTCCGGTTGAGAGCATCTGGAAGACCACATCCAATTACTCGGATGGTCGGACGAGGCCGCGATATGCACTGTCACATCCTCTGGGTTGCCCGTCGGACATTTTGGCGTAGTGATTGAGTGAAAGTCCCAAAGTCCCAAACCTTCTTGGGCGCTTCGTGAGGGAGCCTCGATTATCCGCCATAGTACACGGAGCGAGCCCTGCCCCCCAACTATCACATACAGACATCAAGGTTCAGAGGAGACATACCCCAACATACAGCAAGCCTCTCACGTCCGCTCGTACCTCGCAAGGTGAATTCAGAACAAGAACAATATCTGGAACATGTATCGGGTTTCTCGCAACCCAAGAAATCGTCCATTCCGAAACGCTACCCTGTAATCTTCACAGGCGCAGCGCGCTATCTAGGAAAAACTTCCATCCCCAAAGAAGCCGAAGCCCATGGTATCAATCCCAGTCGTAATATTCCTAGTCCGAACGCCTCAAATGCCCAAGGGTATATCTACGAGAAGAACCGCTACGTCAGAACGCCAGGGTGCGGACCCATAACCGAGCTTCGTTCAGAGGCTCCCAAAGAGCCCTCAGCGTGCTTTCGAAGTTCAAGAAGACGAAGAAGAATCCTCGGCGGTAGCAGTAGGTGAGTGGGCGGCTGGTCCATTAGCCCGCAGACCCTTGACGGCGCCGTCGACCTCGTCGCTGGCCATCTTCTGCCATTTCTCCCTCGTCTCCTGGTTAGCCAGAGCTTCCGCGCCGGCGTCTCCCACCCTATCGTATAATAGTCGCGATACGTCCCTGTTGATATCTGTATATTCGTCTTTCGTGATTTCCTTTTTGATATAGAAGGGCTTGAGCACAAGGGTAACCATACGTTGCAATTCTGCTTTTGTCGAGTACGAGAGAGACGACGAGCGGGTTGGCGACGAGTCCTTCGAACGTGGTGGGCTGTTCAACCCAGCAGAGCGCTGGCGGTGGGGTAGTTTCTTGCGACCCGGGCGAGCATCGTCGTCCACGGGAGAGTAGGGCGAGTAGGTAGGAGACAGCTGCTGATCTTGCTGTGCTGGCGACTCCGTACGTGCGATATTCAGCGGCGGTGGTGTGGTCATACCATGCGGCGTCGGGTAGACAGGAGAAAGACCAGGCGAAGAGTTCTGCGGTAAAGGTTAGCAAACGCCGTAGCCCAGAAGGGGAGCCATCGTTCGAGCGTGCCCTGCCTTTGTCTGGATTCGCCGAGGATCTTCAGGGGTGGCTACTAAGGGCCAGATGTGTCCTACGTACCTGGGGTGAGCAAGCGCGCTCGATGATAACGCGCTTTGGTTGAGGTGCAGCAATCTCCTTCTCATGCTCAGCGAAAGGGTCCACTTCAACTTCTTGGAGAAGCGATTGGAGGAATCCAGGTGCAGTAGATGGATCCCCACCGTTGTTGACACCATTCGGCGGCGAGGTATTGTTGATGACAGTGTTGCGACGAGCGGCGGCAGCAGTGGATGGCTCTGCACCCGTCTCCACGTTCAGACGGGTGCGAGGGCGCTTCAGCTTTCGCTCTGGTTCCGGGGGCTCTCGTGGCTCAGTTTCGGTGGGCGAAGTATCCACAGACTTCCGCTTGCGTCCACGGCTGCTGCTGCCAATGTTACCTGGCGGCGGGCGGCCTTCCATCTCAGCAACCTGCTCACGGGCCTTTTCGAAAGCGTTCCATGCCCTCAACTCCTCTTGCGATTCCGGATCCTTGGGTGTCTGCGAACTATCAGTACTTGTTCTCCTGCTAGAAAGCTATCCATGAAGGCCTTCACATGTGAAGACCCATATTGAGAGTTGCGTATAGGAACCTGCGTACCTTGGGAGCCTCTCGGTGAAGCGTACGATTAACAGGGCGGTGACGGTTGCCGGCACCCGCGCGATGGGCATGGATGTTGTCGGCGGCAGCACGAAATCGGGTGCCTGCGCCCAACTGACGGGCGAGTTCGAATCGACGCTCCCACTCTTGGTTCTCGCGTCGTTGGATCTCCGATCTGGTTTCGGATTGATCCTCATCCTCAAAAGGGAACTCGATATCAAAGTGGAGGCGGTCCCATACACTCTGCCAAACGCCGACCCATTCATCCGGGGCCCGATTCCGATGAGGTATTCGGCTTCGTCCGTTGACATAAGCTGCAGGACCGCGAGGTGTAGGGCGTCGTGAGGAAGCCTCCAACAAGGCAGGATTCTCGATGCACCCTTGACAGTACCAGGCGCCGCGCGTCGGCATCTTGTCAAGACCTGCACAGAAGACGTGGCAGAGCTGCTCACAGCTGTGGCAGTACATGAGCTGCGAGGAATCTCCAAACTCATCGCACACCATGCAAGCGTCGTAGCTTCCATCGTCCTCCAGGATATAGTCCTCCTCAATTATCATAGACGGATCGACCTCGGCGACCTGCTGCTTATCTTGGACGGCGTAGGAAGAGAGAATCGGTCCTATCGAAGGAGTTAGTCAGACTAATGCCATGGGAGTGAACAGGGTCAAACCACTCAAAGTGATATCACTGGGCGCCTACAACCAATAGGACTCTGAAGTCCTTCAGGAAGACGCATCCCAATTTAACCCCTCAAACGTAGATGCCACTTTGAATGGGTCGACCTTGTGGATATTCGAAAGGGGTCGCCAACCGGCGCCGGTCTCTTGGGTAGGAATGCATACCTCCAATCCGTGCGCTGAGCTCCACCATGTTAAAGTTGGCCCGGCATATAGGGCAACTGTTCGCCCGCTCCACCCACGGTTTCAAACAATCATTGTGTAGGTTGTGTCCACAAGGCAGCAGGTGCGCAACCAGTTCTTCGTCTTTTGGTGTTGCCTCGCGAGGCGTGGATAGGATTCTTTGAAGCTTGCTGGGATGACGCTCGCTATCAGCCCCATCAGTGGTCGCAAGCGAGGCGTCGGTGGCGGTGAGGTGCCCATCGTCTTGGAGGACGAGGTCGCCGAGGCAGACTATACAAGTCTCGGCCATTGAAGCGTTTTTGTAACGAGAAATAGCGGAAAGGTCGGTCGGCGCGGATCATAAGTCGAAGAGGAAGAGTGAAAGAGACGACCTCATGTGGAGGGGCCTACAGTACTTAAAGCAGGCCGCCAAGCCCGCGCTAGCACGGACCCACCACACCATCCAACCCAGCAGTAAGACGCCGTACCAACCACGTTTTGAAGCCTGGAAAGCCTGCAAAAATATGGCAACAGCGGGTAGAATGACGAACAGCGGAGGCTGGATCGGTACGGAGGATAGAGAAACCGAGACGGAGAAGTACCGCGATGAAGACCTCTTGGATGTGTCCGATAGCTTCCCGAGGCTTACCTATCCACGTGTCACCTAACCACCTTCCTAAGCGGCCCATATGACTTGTTCAGGTCACCGAATGTAGCTCGGAATGCAAACAATTGTTTCATGTTATTTCGTCATCTTTGCTCACGAGCTCCCTGGCTTCCCGGTGATTCACGCAGTTCTTCGAACCACGTTCTCTTTATACCCAAGGCGGGCCGCGCGGAGCTAGGCTGCCATGAACCAAGAGAGTCGCATATGCGTGACTGAACACGGTTCGGAGGCGAGATGCAATGTCCGCTTCGGTATGCTGCCGCCTGAAGTATGTCGGAGCGGAAAGAAGGCGAGTGCCTTCGCCCATAGCGGACACCTTCTCAAGCCAGCGGTTCATAGGCTCTCTCAACGAAAAATGCCACTCTTGTATTCACGAAAAGTATCTTGACCCAGATGGAGCAGAGGAAGTATAGCGAGGCCGATTCGAGTCGGAACCGAGCCAGGCCACGGATAAACATGTTTCATTGTTTTCTACCAGCAGCGTCGTGGACGCGACCCTGAGCGTGGAGCGCGTGCGGATCCAGAGGAGCGACTGTGTGGCTCCTGTGCCTCATGGCCTAAAGCCTCGCGGCTCTGTAAGCGCCGAGGAGTCTGCCGCCCGCAGAGCTTCGCACGCGCATCGTGCCTACTAACGTTTCATCGGGAACGTGGATATACGCAGCAGAGGTATCTTAACGCAATTCTGTGAAACTTTGGGATGGTTAGCGGTGATGCTCGGAGGGATGCATTGAAGGAGCTAACCAGTCATCCTAAGCGGTGCCGGGCTTCAGCACGGCTCGTCTACAGAGGCACGGCGCAGACGCTTCGAAATTAGTAGCATCAAAATATCAGCTGGTGGGTCAAATGCCGCAACGGATCAGAAGGGCTCGTTGCGACGGTGATGGAGGGGTGATGGGCGGTGAGTGGAGGATGGTTGTGTTGTCAGTTCTGAACACTGTCTGTGGGGAGTGCCAAGAAACTCGCTAGCTCTAAAGACACTAGCCTGAAATTGACTCAACATTGCCGCTTTACGTTTGCTTATGATTCAACCCTACGTAGTTGAGTATCGAAGTGCGTAGAAATTAGCTCTCAAATGAATCCGATGTCCTTCTTCATACCTGTGTCGATGGGCGGGCTGTCGAATTCGTCTCGTATTGCCACTTCCACGGGGCAAAGCGTCCCTGCCTCGGCATGACTTCACTACTATGTTTTCGCGAGCCCGAGCAGGTGATACGGACGGCTTGATCTTTCTTCTACCAATCTACCGTTAACTCTTTCATCTTCAGACCCTGTAGAGTCATCATTGAACATCGTCTCCCTGCAATGGCTGAAAACTCACGCCCATACGAGCTTGTCCTGCTTGGAGCGACTGGCTACACAGGAAAGCTAACCGCAGAATGGATCACTACGAATCTACCCCAAGACCTAAAGTGGGCCATTGCAGGACGCAACGCAAAGAAACTGCAAAGCGTCGCCGATGAATTGAAAGAGCTGAACCCCAACCGTCCGCAGCCAGGTAAATTTTCAATCCCCATGTCATGGCTCTCCTCTAGACCTACGTGGAAACTAATCTACACGACAGATATCGAGACATGCGAACTTCAGAAAGACCAATTGAGCCGTCTGACCACGAAAACCCGCCTCCTCATTAACACCATAGGCCCATTCATGCACTTCGGCGAACCCGTGGTCGCCGCCTGCGCTGAAAACGGCACCCACTATCTCGACTGCACGGGCGAAGTTCCCTGGTACTACGACATGATCGCTAAATACCACACCCTCGCTCGAAAAAATGGTGCAATCATCATCCCCCAGTGCGGCGTCGACTCCGTCCCCGCCGACATCATGGCCTTCTCGCTCACCACTCACATCCGCAAGACTCTCCACGCCGGCACCCTCAACGTTATCATGTCCCTGTACGACCTCAAATCCGGCCTCAGCGGCGGCACTAGCTTGACGACGCTCGACCTCTTCGAAAAGTACCCGCTTAGGGAAATGGCAAAGCGCTTGCATCCCTATTCAATATCCCCTGTCAAACCCAATTCTCCGTCGAAAGCGCCGAGAGGAAGCTTGTTCTACCGCCTCCTAGGCCTGCAGAGTATTCCGGAGCTCGGCGGCATCCAAACCACGCACGTAATGGCGAGCGTAGACACCTGCATCGTGCATCGCAGCTGGGGCCTGTACGAGTCCACAGCCACCTCCCGCCCCTCGCTCTCCTACGGCCCGTACTTCCGCTTCACAGAGTACATGCGCGCCAAATCCCTGCTCTTCGGCGTCCTCTTCAAACTTGGCGTTGGACTCTTCGGCCTGCTCCTCGCCCTACCGCCCACACGCTTGCTCCTCTCGCCTCTCGTCCGACGCTTCGTTATTTCGAAGGCAGGCGAAGGACCCGCGAAGGAAAGCATGAAGAAAGACTTCATGAGCTACCGCGCCGTGGGGATCGCGGATACGGAGCGGAAGGAGAAGGTCATGGGGAGGCTGGATGTCGCGCATGGAGGGTATGCGACGACGGCGCTGACGCTGAGCGCGGCTGCGGATGTGATTTTGAGGGGCGATGTTGGGAAGACCGAGGCTGGAAGACTGGGCGGAGGGATTCTTACGCCGGCGACGTTGGGAGAGGAGTACGTGGGGAAGTTGAATGAGTTTGGCATGAAGATCCAGGTCGGTCAATGAAAACGCCCTGAAGGCTGTCAGCCTACCTGTTGCGCAGGCCACGGCGGCCAAGAAGGGAGTGCCTATGGATACACAGCTAGAGAGCCCGGCAGCATTCCATTCAAGCGCGAGCGCCCGTGTTAAACGGCGTGGCGGACTTTATGCGATGCGGAACACCTTATCATCATATGTATTTCAAAACAAAATGTACCACAGTATGCACTACATGTTACGACCAGTTCCATTCCCAGGAAGTGCGATCTTAATTCTACTCAGCGGTGCGACTCCGTTTCTTGGATGGGAGCATAAGTCCGAGCTGAAAAGAATCAGTCTGAGATCTCAATGTGGATGTGACATCACGACTCGATCGCGCAATAATGCGGAAGCAAATTTTTTCATTGAGCTGAGTAGGAGTAGCAAGAAGGGAGAGTCCAGTTGCACCCACCACATATCTTCAAACCATTACGCAGAGACAGGAGCAGAGCTATCCACACGCCGTCCAGAAGTCAAAATAGCAAACACAAGACAATTTGAGCACGGAGCAAAGGCTGACGATGGCCAAGCGGAGCATCGGTCCAAGGAGTGTAATGCAGAATAGGACCCGAGCGATGAAGACCGGGTTACTCCGAGTCCTCCTCGTCACTCTCGGCGTTTTCGAGCCACTCCATGAACTTCTCGGCCGACTTACGAACGCTCTTGCTGATCTTGATGTCGACGTACTTCTTGCTAGCCTTGGAGCCCCAAGCCTTGAGGACTTCCTCGGAGATAAGATCGCTCTCGTAGTACTTGAGCAGGATAGCCGAGACCTGAGGGATAAGCTCGGGCTTCTCCTTGCCTACGAAGCGCTCGGTACCGCCGAGGAAGGCCTTCTCATGGCGCTCAGAAGTGATCATCTTCTTAAGCATCGGAGCACGGGGCTCGATCTGCTTGACGATCTTCTCGCTAAACAAGGTCTGAGCGAGGACGGTGAGGGTGCGGTGCTTGCTCTCGATGCCGAGCTCCTTGGCCTTGAGGTAGATCTCGACGTTGTCAAGCTTCTCAACGCCGCCCTTGTCGGCAGCAGTGTCCAGGACCCATTTGCCCAATTCGTCGTAGGAGCTGGATCCACCGCCCTCGCCTTCTTCATTATCGTCAATGGCGACGCGCTTGAGTTCGTCGGGCAGTTCCTCGGCGCGAGATTTAAGAGCCTCAGCGGAGAAGTCTGTGGCCCACTTGACCTCCTTCTCTGTTTCAACAACTTCAATCTCCTTGGCTCCTTCATTGATCTGGCGAGTGAGCTCATCGTCGCTACCAGCCTCGATCTCGAGGTCGCCATTCTCTTCTGCATGGTCAGATGCGCTGTCACCAGGGCTACCGCCGTTCTGGGATCCTTCGTCGGGGTGGGCTAGGCCGGCCTCCTTGCGGGCGCGGCGCTCCGCCTTCCTGGCGGCCTTGTCCTTCTTGCCCTTCTTAGGCTGGTTCTTCAGGATGAAGGAGCTGAGCTTCAAGCGGAGATCGACCTCGGAGCGCTGACCGCAGGCCTTGCAGTCGAGCATGATGCGGCCGTCCTTGATTTCCATGACGGTCTCCGGGTTCTTGCACTTCTTGCAGAGAACGAACTTGGAGATGAAGCCGTCCAGGTAGTCCTGGAGTTTGCTGGCATCGTGGGCTCCATTAATGATCCAACGGTCGTCGCTAGGATTGATGTTCGTCTGGGCTCCAAGCTCGAAGCCAAAGTACTTGATGACATCTGCATACTGGTTAGCTTAGTCAGTCATGAGTCGCGGCCGGGAGGACTCACATGCAGGAGGGCGGGCCAAAGAGCCAGCAACGCTGCTCAGGTTGACAATGACAGTCTTGATGCCGTTACCCTTGCCCTCAATCTTGGACTGGAGGCGCTCCATCTTGTAGCGGTAGAAGGGGTCGGTGACATCGCGGCGGACGTTGATGGTAGCCATGGTTGCGGTGGGGGAGGTGGAGATTCGGCGGGTTTACTTCTGGTGCAGCGGGCAAACGAGTATAGGAAAGACAGGCTTCTTGAGGAAGGCCGAAAGAGACATGCAGTAGATGCAGGCTCTAGGAAATGTGTACGGGGGGTGCCAGGCGCGTAGTCAGCGGTGGTGTAGGCTAGCCGTTGGTGCAGTGGTGCACACTGCTAGGGTTCCGCGTACTGCGAAATGGTTGCAGCTTCGGAGGAGGTTCGAGTCGGAAGGCGTTCCTTTGGCGCGAATACATATACCGCAGTTGTCGGACGACGCTGTGGTTGTTTGGTGCGTGCAGGGTGCCAGAGGGCGAGGTGGCGGTTTGGGGCAGGCCGCGGGAGTGCGACGTTGAAATAGGGCTGGGTGGGCGGTTTGCTGGCTGGCGGAGGGAATGTTCCCGTGCGGCGACTGGACTCGCAGTGCTTTTTTGATGGGTTTTGCGTTGAGTGAAATGCAGAGTGTGTGGGCAAGGTCGGTGTCGAGGGGAGGAATTTAAGTAGGCAGCGGGCGGAGGTTAAAAATCAGATTCGCCGAGCGCCGCCAGAAGGAACGGTCCACGCAGCAGCCCGAACCGCAAATCACAGCCGGCCACCTCGCTGCGTGTCATTCACCCTTTCTTCAAACACCTGCAGGCCCCGCTCGCCCTACCGGAATCTGCGGAGTGCAATCAAGGGGGTAGGGCATGTTGACAGCCGCTGCGGAGAAGCAATCGGGCTTCCTTCGGTCTTGATCCGAGCTGCTCGTCGTTGTCCGCTGCAAATCAAGTAGCTGACTGCATTTCTAAATCTCCAGTCTATTCGCTATTTCGCATTTCAAATCCCGCCCAGTCTGTTCACTATGTCGCAATTCTAATCCCTGCTCAGCCTGTTCGCAATTTGGTGGTGGAGTAGCGCCACATTCGGCCGCCCGTTAGCCAGGCGAGATCCATGGATGCATCACCACATCTCAACTGAGTAAAGCCCGAGTGAAGTGCGCCCGCCCTGTTCAGATAGGCATAATTTATTCTACTGTTGCAGCCACTGCAAACATCAACGGGCAACTCCAGTCGAGGCGCGTTGCGCATCTCCTCGCCTATTCTGCGTCATACAAATGCAAAACGCTTGGAAGCTCCAGCTTCCGCACACCTCCATCTCGGGCCGATGCTTCCCCTTACAGCTGCCAGGATGAAGCCTCAAGCTGACTATTCGCTATATTTGGTGACCGATTCGACCGAGGCTATTTTGGGGAATAGAGATCTGGTTGAGGTTGTTGAGCAAGCTCTTCTGGGAGGCAAGTTCTTATCACCCAAGGGAAGCATTGAGTGTGACTGTTCCAGCTAACTCGATTCCAGGCGTAACCATTGTGCAATACAGAGACAAATCCAGCGAGACTGGCATCCTCATCCAAACCGCAAAAGCCCTGCACTCGAAATGCAAACAGCGCAACGTCCCCCTCATCATCAACGACCGCGTCGACGTAGCCCTCGCCGTAGGCTGCGAGGGCGTGCACCTAGGCCAAGATGACATGGATCTCCTCTCAGCCCGGAAAATCCTAGGAGACGACAAAATCATCGGAGCCACCGTATCCAGCATCGAAGAAGCCAATATAGCCGTCGAACGCGGAGCAGACTACCTCGGCATCGGCACACTCTACGCCACGAACACAAAGAAAAACACCAAGGACATCATCGGCATCAACGGCATCCGCAAGATCTTGCACTACCTCAACACCACGAGCGAGGCGTCAAGAAAGGTGAAGACTGTTTGCATAGGCGGCGTCAACGCATCCAACCTCCAACGCATAATCTACCAGCTCTACGCACCTTCCACCTCACCCTCATCCTCACCACCAAAATCCATCGACGGCGTCGCCATAGTATCTGCTATCATCGGTGCTCCAGACGTTCAAAAGGCTGCGTCGAACCTCGCAAATCTAATCAAGTCCCCTCCTCCTTTCAAGGCAAAATGCAAAGAAAGCCCAGCCCTCCCATCCTCCCCCTCCTCCTCCGCCATCCAGGAGGCAACCCGCAAAGCCATCAAAACCGTGCACTCCACCTCCCCCCTTAGCCACAACATGACCAACCTCGTCGTCCAAAACTTCGCCGCCAGCGTCGCCCTCGCCATCGGCGCCTCGCCCATAATGTCCACCAACGGGGACGAAGCGACCGACCTAGCCAAGTTAGGCGGCGGGTTGGTCATCAACATGGGGACCGCGACGCCGGACGCGCTGACCAACCATCGGAAAGCTATCGTTGCGTACAACGCCGGTGGGGGACCGATCGTGCTCGATCCCGTGGGCGCAGGCGCAACGAGCGCGAGAAAAGAAGCGCTGAGGTTCCTTCTGGCGAGCGGGTACTTTGACCTGATCAAGGGGAACGAGAGGGAGATCATGGCCGTGGCGCGGGCGTCGGGCTTCATACTAGACGACTCTTCGCAGCAGCGCGGCGTCGACAGCGGGGCCTCGCTTTTCACGCGCGACCAGAAAGCGTATGTCGTCGAGCGCATCGCCGCCCGCGAGCGCACCGTCGTGCTCATGACGGGCGCGACGGATATCGTCAGCGACGGCACGCGCACCTATGCGGTTTCGAACGGGCATAAGTATCTTGGTATGGTTACGGGCAGCGGATGCACGCTGGGAACCACGATATCCGCGTATATGGCTGCGTGTCCGGAGGATAAGCTCGCTGCTGCGGTCGCGGGAATGTTGCACTATGAGATCGCGGCGGAGTACGCTGCGGAGCGAGAAGATGTAAAGGGACCGGGGACATTTATTCCAGCGTTCATTGATGAGTTGTATTTGAGAGGGGTGGAGGTTGTGGAGGGGAAGGACGAGTGGCTGCAGCGGGTGAAGGTCGAGGCTATTAAGGAGATCCCTGATGCGGGGCTGTTGAGGGAGCTGTAAAGTCGGGGTATGATATGAGATATCAGAAGCAAGCTTACACTCGAGATCAGATAAGAAGGAGAACATCGGGTATTGCATTCCATCGCCTCCACTATGCTATCGCTCTAGCACATGCGACAAAACGCCACTGCGCCTAGCCCATGCCCCTAACACTACACTGATGATACAAAATGATCCTTTCCTTGGCCTGTTCCCTCCGAACGCATTCAGGCGTCATGCTCATCAACTAACTCAGGCCCTAGGCTCATCTAGGCTTCCGATAATGTCCCTTCCTCATCTCTGCCTTCAAACTCTCCTGCTGACTAGGCAGAGGCGCTCGCCTCCTAACACTCCCACCAGCCCCTCCATCCATTCCAACGCCGCCAACAGGTCCGCCTACAGGTCCACCATTCTGCGGAGGCGATGGGCTGCCAGCAACGCTCATACCGGCTGGAAGTGGCGGTGGGAAACCAGGGAATCCCGGAGGGAATGAACCGGGCGGCGGAGGCATACCGGGTGGCGGCATACCTCCAGGGAAGGGGAAGTTCAGGTGAGGCGGAAACGGTGGTGGGGCACCAGGCGGCGCACCAGGCGGCGCACCTTGGGGTAAAGGCGGAGGAGGTAGAGCGCCGGAAGCGATGAGTTGAGCGAGTCGCTGGGGGTCCATGGCTGGCAACGGCGGCGGCGGAAAGCCTGCGCCTGGAGGAGGTAGAGCGTTCGGATTGGGAGGGGGAAAGGGCATGCCATGGGGCAGGTTTGCTGGGGGCGGCGGCACGCCACCGATCCCAGGTAGTGCACTACTTGTACCATCGGCTGCTGCGTTGAGGCCTGGAAGAGTGAGACCAGGGGGTAGTAGAGGTACTCCTGGGTTCTTCGACGGCAACTTCTGATCTTGAAGCCCTTCGGCTTCATCTTCCGCTTCAAGCTCTTCCTCTTCGCGCATCTGCTGCCTGTTACGGCCGCGGTCGTATGTACCCTGTGCTTCTGCTGCGGCCTGGCCAATGTGATACCGGTCATTGAAGCATGCGTTGTCTCCGGGCCTTGGGCGCGTCCAGAAGCGCGTTACACGGTCGTTGGAACCTGAGGCCAGGATATGTCCGAGGGGATGCCAGTCAAGCGTCCAGACCGTGAAGTCATGAGCATATTGAATGCTATGTGCGGGATAGATAGTTTGTGCAGGCGCATTTTGTGGGTCGGCCGCATCGTAGGGAGGTATTGATGGTGCCACTCCCGGAGGTGGATTCTGTTCGTCCAGCAGGTAGTGCATGATGCTGCCATCAACACCACCCGTCGAGAGCAGATTCTTGTGTATAGGATGCCATGCCATGGTGATGACGTCCTTCTCGTGTCCTCGAAGCAGCAGGACATCGCGCATCATCCGCAGGTCAAATATCCGAGCTGTGTGGTCACGGGCGCAGGTTGCCATAAGATTTCCCAGGACAGGTTCGAACATAGTCTTTGATATTGGGTTCTTATGTCCATGAAGTGTCGTGAGACAGCGACCCGTTCGCGGATCCCACAGCTTAACCTGGTGATCCTTCGACCCCGATACCAGAAGGCCTTTCGTAGGATGCCAGTCGACCGTCTTCACTTCCCATCCATGTCCCGTCAAAGTTGACTCCTCCGCGCTGCTAGCGAAGTCCCATATCTTCAGCGTGGTATCGTCGGCGCATGTTACGAACTTCGCGTCGGTCGGAGCAATCGCAAGCCCTCGTATTGCTTCGGTATGGGCCTGGATCTCTTTGACGTTGTTGAAGTTTGTTTGCCAGTACTTGACAATACCGGTCTGATCTGCCGATAGGAGCCAGTCGTCGGTGTGGGTGTATGCGACGGAGCGGATCGCAGACTCGTGAGCCTGCATGATGGTTTCGAAGTTGAAGCCCATGCCGTTCCACAAGGTGAACTCGCCGCTTGTCGAGCCGGTGAGCAGGCGCCGGCCCTCGGGTGTCCACTTGACCACATTTATAGGATGTTTGACCTTGTTGAGGGAAGAATGGAGCGCTTTGGCGGGGATGGATTCGGCGGCGCTGGCGACTCGGGCTGCGGGCGGTTCCATCTACTCACTGTTAGTGCGCTATGAGATGTCGCGGTGCTGGCATCCGTACGTCGACGATATAGCTGGCGCTCGGCCGCTCCATCTCTGGAACCGGTGCATTCTTGTAGCGCGGGCGCCGGTTGCGCATCCATTGCACCGTTGTCGAGCCATAGTCGGTTACCGCCCCTGTGTGGAAGCCCAGGTTAGCATAAGCCCGATACTTTGCGGTGACTGCTGGGCTGTTGTGCCAGTGATCATGGCCCATGGCGGCGCGAGAGATGGAGTGCGACTGGAGAGTCCGCACTCAGTTTGCCATGAATGGCGCAAATGTAGTACGGACACCTTGGTCTCTCCCAGTATTCGCACCACCAACTCTGCGTATCATCTGAGAATGCACGGCGATGGACTTCGCGGCGGTAGATCATGTTTGCTATTTGCTATCGACAAATAACCAGGGTGAATGGACGTACTCTTAGGCCGGGGACGCGGCGGGCCGTCGTACGGATGGTATTCCCCGCGCTCCATTGTATGCGGCGCTTGCCAGAGTGAATATCTCAGGCACCCAACATGGAAGGTGTGGTGTAAGGAGCGGCTGTGGTGGAGCGGCTGTGGTGCAGCGGATATATCTCTGGCTCGAGGGTGAGGGTGGATGTTGCTTTGTCGGGAGCTCGAGGCTGGTAGCGTTCTTGGCGCCGCCACAGCGCACCAGCCACACCACCTGCGAATCAGGGCCGAACTCACCAACGGCATGGGCGCAGGCCGTTGCATCACTCGCATAATTCCCCGCAGCGCCGCCATAGTTCCCTCCCAACACTTTCTAGGCACATCTGACTGCCCTTTGCAGCCCGAAGCCATGGACGGCCGTCTTCCACTCCACTTCCGTCCGAGACTTGTCAGCCAAGCAGCTGCGTTCGTGCAATTGCCCATTCCAGACGCCCAATCGCCGCACTCGACCGTCCCGAAATTCCTCACCCACGGCGCATTTTAAATCGCCCCGTATCAGCCTTCGGGCAACCACGCCTACCGTCGCCCAGTCCTTGCCATGGCGACGCTCGTTCATACCGCGACCACGTCTGGTACAGACATTGCGCCCTCTACCCTCTCCGCCATGCCCTCCAACGGCAACACTCCCGAGCAGACGGTGAATAGCTCCACTCGGAGTACCCGCAAGATCAAACACTGTCACGTTTTCGCGACCCACTCGCAGCAGCGCACGTCATGTCTGACCCAGGGCGCCGAAACCCCCAGCTTCCTGGGATTTAGGAATCTGATGATCCTCGTCCTCAGTGCGCATTCCTCGCTCGCTACACAGCATACTCTCTCTAACAAGAAGCAGTCGTCTCGAATCTCCGGCTTATGATTGAGAACTTCCGCAAAGTACGCTTCGTTCTTTCCATGTGTTCACCATGGCTGACTTGTGTAGTATGGAGTCCTGATATGCATACGTTGCCACGATTACCGACGAGACGATGTCAAATACGGCTTGCTCCTCTACCTCTCCGTCCCCTGCCACCTTTTCATCGCATATATGATCGAACTCGCAGCAGCACAGCAAGCGAAGAGTGCTGTGGCCCGGATGAAGAAAGCCGGCGAAGAACAAAATACCCCAGAGAAAGTCGCCGCTGCCCGGCGGAGCTTCAACTGGTCATGGCGGATCATTGCATTCTTGCACGGTGTGAATTCTTCCGCCAACCTCCTCATTGCTACCCACGTTGTCTACAATCGCATCCACCACCCTGGCATCGGTACGCTCTGCGAAATGCATGCCATCATCGTCTGGCTTAAAACCGCCTCGTATGCCTTTACAAACCGCGACCTGCGTCACGCTCTCTTGCACCCAGATCAGTCTGAACCGCTGCCGGAGATCTACGCGTCCTGCCCGTATCCTCGAAACATCAACTGGAAGAATCTTTGCTACTTCTGGTGGGCTCCAACGCTCGTTTACCAGCCCGTATACCCTCGCACCGAGCGCATTCGTTGGATGTTCGTGGCTAAACGACTTCTCGAGGTTGCCGGCCTTAGCATTGTTATCTGGATCGCTTCCGCCCAGTACGCCGCGCCCCTACTCCAGAATTCGCTGGACAAAATGTTCACTTTGGATTTCGTCTCTATCGTCGAGCGTGTAATGAAGCTTTCCACCATCTCACTATTTTGCTGGCTCTGCGGCTTCTTCGCACTGTTTCAGTCCTTCATGAATGCCTTGGCTGAAGTCATGAGGTTTGGCGACCGGGAATTTTACGGTGACTGGTGGAATGTGAGTAGCGTTCGCGCCTACTGGACGACTTGGAACAAGCCCGTCACGAACTTCATGCGCCGCCACATTTACAACTCTCTCGTACGTCGCGGATGGCCAGCCATGTATGCCCAGGTCGCAGTCTTTGTCCTTTCTGGCATACTGCACGAGTTGCTCGTCGGCGTCCCCACGCACAACATCCTGGGTAAGCCCTCACGCATATGAATTCTTCTTTCCTAGGCTGACACACCCCAGGCGTGGCGTTTGCGGGAATGATGATCCAAATACCCCTCATCTTCCTTACCGATGTCATCCAGAAGATGAAGGGTATGGGCGGCGAGGTCATGGGCAACATGATCTTCTGGATCAGTTTCTGTCTCGTTGGACAGCCTCTGGCGGCGCTGCTGTATTTCTTTGCCTGGCAGGCGAAGTACGGTAGTGTCTCCAAACAATATCAAGAAAGCCCAGCGCTACAATTCTTCGTCAGACGCTAATCCGGCATCCTAGGTCGCTATTGGTCCGGTTGGGTCTTCCCAGCTGCTCTATCCGCATGGATCATGATGGCTCAGCTGTTGCTATCGTTTGCAGAGCAATCGCAGTAGTTGCGTTGGACTATGACTGTGAGATTGTATAGATAGCTCTATCTTCAATGAATCAATATTCGAGACTGCTGCCCCACACATGGCACATTATCATGCAAGCGCTTCATTCGAATCCCAGAAGTCACCACGTTGATGGAGCGCAGGGTTCTTAACCTCCATATTTCTTTTTAGGTCCCGCCCTAGAGCCCTACCCCCAATCCCGTGACCAATCTCCCCAATGCTCTTACGAGAGAACATTTAGAGTCTCCCGCACAGCCCTACACCATCGAATCGCAATTCTCAGATTCAGCCTGGAATACAGACCAAAAAGCAATGCCGCGGCGCTCGCCTATCCCAGCAGCATCCAGCCCTGGAGAGCACGGAACCGCCGCATGCGCCTTCCCGCTCCTGGTTAAGCTTCGGGCCGTAGGCTAGTCCCATGTGGAGATCGACCGGGTCGAGCTCCAACAGAAGTGCGCCGCCAAGACCAATCGAGGTTTTTCAACCTCCGATGGAACATAAAAGTGGCGGGCTCCCCGCTGGGGGAGTGCGACTGCACACCAGCCTTTGGCTTCTGAGAAAGAACCAGGACCGTGAGCGACTTCTGGAGTTTTGCGCTCACGCTGTTGGCGAAAAGCTCCAACCTACTCTCTTCAACACTCCAGACTTCCCCACCTTTTGAGGTATTGCTTTTTGCGGTCGTCGAGGCACATTCCCGATTGAAAGCTCTTTAGGCACAATAATCGAGCGCAATGGCACCACCGAGCAATCGGGGAGTCATTTTGGACAAGGGCGACGATATCGGCAGCCCCGCCGAGAACACAACGCATGTCCAGCCGAAAGGCGCTTCGGAGACCCAGAGCTCTGAAAATGAGGATCATGGAGTCCCGCAGTATGCGGATAGCGGAGTGAACCCGGTGCTAGAGGAAGAGGCGCAGAGTAAGGGGAGGTGGTTTGCGTACGTGACGACGAAGCAGTTTTGGGTGGCTATGCTTCTTGGGCAGGGTGAGCGGATTTCTATTCCCCAAATTTCCTATCATGCAGGATGGGATAGAATAGCTGCTAACAGATGGGAACAGTGCTCGCTATATGCATTACCTCGACGAATACGCTCAGCCAACTACTCTCGTTCGAAGGGACTAGCATCCCTGCCTTCCAGACCTTCTTCAACTATGTGCTGTTGAATCTCATCTACACCAGCTGGACGATATACAAGTACGGGCTTAAGAAGTGGGGGAAGCTCATCTTGAAAGATGGATGGCGCTTCTTCATCTTGGCCTTCTTTGACGTGGAAGGGAATTACTTTGTTGTTCTGGCATACCGATACGTACGTCTCCTCCTCTCCTATCTTCAAGGCTTTTTGAGCGGGTACTGACTGCATGTTTGCGGTGTAGACTACGATCCTTTCTGCCCAACTCATCAACTTCTGGGCCATAGTCATTGTCGTCATAATCTCCTTCCTCTTCCTCCGCGTGCGCTACCACCTCACGCAAATCGCTGGCATCCTGCTCTGCATCGGCGGCATGGGCGTTCTGTTCGGCAGCGACCACATCACCGGCTACAACGCTTTCCCCGCCTCCGACCAAGTCAAAGGCGACCTCTTCGCGCTTCTCGGCGCCACGTTCTACGGCCTGAGCAACTGCTTCGAGGAGTTTTTGGTGTCGGAGCGCCCGCTGTATGAAGTCGTGGGACAGCTCGCGTTCTGGGGCATGCTGATCAACGGCACGCAAGCCGGTATCTTCGATCGCTCCTCTTTCCGGTCCGCGGTCTGGAACTCGAAAGTCGGAGGCTATTTGACCGGCTACACGTTCATTCTGGCCTTGTTCTACAGTCTCGCTCCCTTACTCTTTCGGCTCACCTCCGCGGCTTTCTTCAACATCTCCCTCCTGACCGGAAACTTCTGGGGCGTCGCGATTGGGGTCAAGGTCTTCCATTTGCACATCCATTGGATGTATCCGATTGCGTTCGTACTTATCTTGCTGGGTCAGGTTATCTACTTCTTGAGACAGAGTAGGCTGGCCGAGCAGGTTAAGCCTTGGTTGGGCGCTAATCAGGAGGGAGGGCATGCGGGAATTGGGACCGCGAAGAGGAGGGTGGAGAGGCCGGATACGATTGTGTAGGGTGGCTTGAGTTGGGCTGGGGGTTGTGGAGGGTTGTAGAGAGCGAGGACCCGGCTGATGTGCTGTTGGATAAGACCCTAAAGGCCTTCAGGTTGGGTGATGGGCGGAGCAGCGGTGGAGGGAAGACACACTGGCTACGCACTAGTCGCCGTCGTAGATGTACGACTTCCGCAACAAGACTACACAGAACGCACGCTAAACTATCACAAAACGGTTGGAGCCGTCAAACAATCCCATCAGCCCCAATAGACAGATATAGAAACCTCAAACGCAAAAAGACTGACAAATCTCAAAATCTGTTCCCTACAACCTCCCATTCCTCAACTACAGAATCACAATCCGCCTCCCATTCCCATTCACAACCTCCCACGCCATAGCCCCTAACTCCCTTGCTCCATCATCAAGCTACTACTCATCCATCGCAACCGTGGATCTAGATTATATCCCTTACGTTATTCTGCCCAATCGTGCCCCTAGCGTCCTCCGCATCAACATCGACATTCCCGCCCGTCCAGCCCACACTCTATGTAGTCCCCGCTGAGCGTTGCAGTACCGTTGACGAAGGGCACGTTCCCCGGCGGCGCTAGCGACGAGTTGTTGCAATAGCTCTATGTTGATATTGTCGGCGCATGCGCGGGCGAAAGAGGAGGTTCCGCCGGCGGGTGAGTGAGATGTGGAATTTGCATGGGCTGATGCGGAACTGGGCGACAGAGGGTTGGGCGTGGCAATTGCTGATGAGGTCGTCGAGTCCGAGGGGCTCGTCCGGGGCGCAACCTTGGAGACAGAAGGGGGTGGAAGGCAGCCATTACTTAATGTTCAGTGTGTGGAGGTTGGGGAAGGAGTGGTATGCAAGAGAGAGTCTGTGGGCCATGCGGCAGCTAGAAGGTTACCGCTGGAAACGAAAAAGGAAGAAAGGCTTCTTGTCGGCTTTTTAGTGGTTTGGTGCGCGGATGAACGGAGAGGCTGTTGCGAAGATTCTCCGTTCGGGTGAGGAAAGGACTTTGCGAAAAATATGTGGGATAGAAATGCTCGGGTATGGCCACTTCCAACTGATTTCCTCGCGCGAACAGTAGATCTTTGAGATGTGAGTTTCGACCGGGATCCGAGGACTGAGAGTTAAGAAGGCCATGGAAGGTGTCAAGGACCGGCTAAAGAACCTTTAAAGAACGCGGCGGTCGTAAAGAGTACGAGTAGTGAAGTAGGCGAAGACTTACCCGCTGGTCTTTGTGCGGTGCCCCGACTATAAATACATTCATATTCCACATAAATATTACAGGATCTCCTCTCTGGTCATCATTCCAGGTATTGATCATACAAACTCCTTCATTGCATCCATGACCTCCTTCTGCCGCTGACTCCCCATCTTCTCGAATCCGTCTACTGTCATAACGAATGTACCGCGTCCGCCGGTAAGGGCTCGGAGGTGGTTCAGGTAGCCTACCATTTCTTTAAGGGGAACGCGGGCGACGATCTGGCGGTGGCTGTCCGCGAGGCCGGAATCTACGCTCCCGGTTCCTGACGAGAAGGGGTCCGGTGGTGCGTAGATCTGTGCGGGATCGATGCGAGGGAGGTCCTCGTCAGCGATGGATGAAGGAGAGTCTGAACCGTCAAGCGAAAGAATCTGGCCCCCACGGGCGGACGATAAGTCTTGCACAACGGCACCCAGTGAGGACTCGTGGACGAAGATGGTGACTAGCATTACGGGCTCCATAAGTATAGACGGCGAAGTATCGCATGCGGTTCTGAGATTGGAGGATACCGCAGCGCGCGTGGCCATAGATATAGCAGTCGTGGTAGTCTCCGGAAAGAGATGCGCTGCTGCATCCAGCGTTACGCTAACTTTCGTATTCGCAACTGCGAATCCATTAAAGGGACCGCGCGCAAGAGCAGCCGAGGCACCCGCATTTATAGAGGACAGGATCCCCGGGAGAGACAGATGAGACGGAATGAGGGACTTGTGAGATGCGGAGTCGTGCCGGGAAAGCGGGGAGTGTAAGATGTGGAGTGTGTTACTGTCAGAGAGAGAGTATGTCGTTTCAAAGGGTCCACCTTCCTCTGTAGATCCTTGGGAGGCGGTGAGAGGGGTTTCGTCGATCGGGGAGAGATAGACGGTGACCCCTGCTTTTGCTGGTTTACCTGCTATAGGCTTGTCGAGGTTGTACGTATAGGGGGACGTGGAGGTCGTGATAGTCTCCCGGTATCCGATTTCAATCTTGCTGATGCGGGCCTTGGCTTTGAAGTCGTTGAGCAGTCGATCTCGAGCGATTTCCAGGTGGAGGTCGCCCATGCCCGCCAGATGTGTCTGCCCCGATTCCTCGTCAACGCTCAGCTGCAAGCTTGGGTCCTCACGAAGTAAGATAGTCAAGCTCTCCTGCACATGCTTCTGCTCGCTCAAGCTGCTGGGCTCTATACTGGTGAAGAAAACCGGCGGCGGCACATTAATCGGTCTCAGCTGCAGACTCTTGAGCCAGCCGGGTGGTTGGGTCTTCATCTGCAGGCCTTTATACACGATGAGCGTGTCGCCTGTGCGCGCGTGCTTGAGCCCAGAGATGACGCCGATTTGGCCAGCACCAATGGAGTCGGTTTCGACGGCGTCGTTGGCGTACATTTTTAGGAGACGGGGTGCACGTTCGGCGGTGAGGAGGCTCGTGTTGAAGAGGATGGAGCCGCGGTCGATGGTGCCTGAATAGACACGGATGTAGACGAGGATGCCGCGTTTAGCGTCGTTGACGACTTTGAAGGCGAGGGCGCACCCTGTTAAGTTCCTGACTTCTGGTATGCTCAAACTATTTTCATCCTTTTGCGACCTTTTCTTCGCCGGTATAGGGGCCTTTGAGGCGGAGCTGAGAAGCGCAGAGAGTGTGCTAGTCTGGTTCCCTGCGCTGATTTCGGGGTCAGGACGTTCTAAAGGGGAGGGTAGCAGGTCGACGACGGCGTCGAGGAGCGGTTGCACGCCGATGTTGCGGAAGCTGGCGCCTGCGAAGACGGGGATGATTGTCTGTGGCGCTTGGAGAACCGTGCGGCGGAGAGATTGCATGATTTGGAGGCCCGGGATGGCGAGGTGATCTTCGTTGTGTTCAAGAAAGAGTTCCACCATGGTGTCATCGTGCTCGCTAAGTAACTCTACGAGGGCAATGCGAGCTTTCTTCATCTCATCCGCGAAGTCCATATCCGTGGGTTCTAGCTCCTCGAGCGTAAAAGCCTGGATCCGGCTTCCGTCGCTTGCGCCCTGCCACATGAGGCTCCTGAGATGGACAACGTCTCCGACGCCGATGAAGTCTCCCTTGCCACCCTTCCACCAGGGTATCTGGCAAACAGCAGGCCATCCATGCAATCTCACCCCAATCTCTTTCACCGTTCTTGAAAACGCGGCTCCCACTCGGTCAAGTTTGTTGACGAAGATGATTCGAGGAATCTGATAATGGCCGGCTTGGGTCCACACCTTCTCCGTCTGCGCTTCAACACCAGCAACGCCATCTAGGATGCACACTGCACCATCCAAGACACGAAGCGAGCGAAGTACTTCGAAAGTGAAGTCTGCGTGACCGGGTGTGTCGATGAGGTTGATGTTGTGAGAGATGGAAGACCGGGGTGTGGTATCGGATGTTGAAGGGAGTACAGGCAGTGATGCCTGTGCATTTGCCGGTGGCCAGTGGAATGTTATTGCTGCAGATTGAATGGTAATACCTCTTGCTCGTTCAGCTGGGAGGAAGTCGGTAACGGTCGAGCCTTCGTCGACATCTGCCTGGCATTTAGTTTCTTTCTTGATGACCACAGAAGGAAAGGCTCCAAGAGGAGCGACACAAAGCGAAGCGAAAAGATGGCGGCTAACACATCGTTATGCCACGACTCCCCCAGAGGAGGGGTTAATGAATAACCAAGAAAAGTAGGGGTAGAGAAGAAGGAAAATTCGGTAAGAACTATGCTTGGGCTGGTGGCGAGGAAAGAAGTTCCCATAGTATAATAAGTGATGCACGAAGGATAGAGATGACGACTCTCTTAGTGTAAAGAGCGAAGCAACAGGAGGACGTTGGGAGCTTACCTCCTATTCTGCGGGTGTAGCCGCTGTAGTAGAGCATGCGCTCTGTGGTGGTCGTTTTGCCCTATCTAGGTTAGCCGGTTACATTACATGTTCTTTTAGGATACTCACGGCATCGATGTGAGCGATAATGCCGATGTTCCTGGTGGTTTTGGAGAGCTGGTCTATCGGAGGAGAGGCCTGCGTCGACAGCAGCCTCCGAGTAGCCTTCACATTATGCCGAATGACTCGGCGGGCGCACCACACCCATCCTGCCCACATACCAAAGGCTATGATAGACTGGGGTTGGTGAATGGAAGGCGCCTAAGATGCGGCCTTGCAAGGTAACGAGAGCACGTGATAGGGAAGAATGACGACGTTTTCGCGCTTTCCCAAAACACCCCAAGCGGGCCAAGCCGAGGGCAGCTACAGACAACATCCCGCAGGCGACCACCCATTCCATCCCCGAGAGGCTGCTAACCCACTTCTGTCGCCCCAATTGCCGTCGCCGCCATGGACTACTCGGCCCATGACCCAGATCATCCTGCCGGAGGAGATCCGTGGGCATCGTCCCCGCAGCACAACAGGACTTCCTTTGCGCAACCTCCCACCAGCGACATCCCGTCTTCTCCGCTGCCTCCGCAAGCCTCCCCGTATGGACAAGGCTCTGAACACTATGGATACATGGGCGACCACGACACCCAGCAGCGTCCGAGCACAGCATCCGAGAACGGCGAGACCGCTCACCAACCGCAGAGTCCTAGTCCCCAGCGAGGCGAGCAAGCACCTCCGAAGCCCCCTCAACAGCAAGCTTCGGCGCAAGGGCATCAAGGGCATTCGGGACATCACCAGCCTCAGCGCTACCATGGCACGCGTCCACAGCGGCAACCACCCCACTACAAGCTCCAGGCCAAAGTGACAGGCCTCGAGCGCACGGGCAAGAAGGACCCAATCCTGAAGTTCGATGTCTATGTATGTTTATCAAAGGCTGTTGCAATCGCAGACAGCAGCGCGCTTTCTTTGGAACAGAGCTAACGCATCTCCCCAGACCAACCTTCCCAAGTTCCGCACCACCCAGTTCCGCGATGTTCGACGCCTACACTCAGAGTTTGTAAAGCTCGGCGAGCACCTCATATCCGCTTGCCCCGAGGCTATGGTGCCAGCAGTACCTCCTCCGACTACCTCCGCCGGTGTTGGAACCGACGAAGACGAGGCGCGCATCAAGGCGTCAATACAGCGGTGGCTTAATGTGGTTTGCAGCAACGATATCCTCATACGCGACGAGGAGATGGTCTTCTTCGTGGAGAGCGACTTCGGGTACAGCCCGGTTGTGAGGCGGAAACAACCAGCAACAGGTGTTCGGCGCAAAGTGATCAAGCAGTTTGCGCCTCCGCCGGACGACACGCCTGAGCTCGCGGCAGCTCGGCCCATCGTGAAGGCTTTCTACCTCGGCACAATGGAAACAGAACAGCGGCTTGAGAGGGTTGTGAAGCACAGAAGAAGTACGTTCCCACTTGGCGCATGGTAAATGTGACACTTACGTTGGCTAGATCTTGGTGTGGCTGAGTCCGATCTCGGCCAGAAAATCGCTGCAATGCACGCGCAAGAGACACATCCAGGCCTCGCTCTGGCATTCAAAAAGCTGGGGAAAGTTATTCAGGCGACAGGCGATTACCATGCCGCGCAAGGCACAGCCGAAGCGACAACCTTCGGTGACCCCCTCCAATACCACAGTAGCGATGCTTTTATTGTCAAAGAGACCCTTACGAATCGGCACATCCTCCTCCGTGAATTACTACAAGCGCAGGCTGCAACTCGGTCCAAGCTATCAGCAGCCGACCGGTTGAAGGCGAGCTCGAGCGTTAAGAGAGACAAGGTCGACGAGGCCATTGCTGCACTTGACGAAGCCCGCAGCCACGAGACCTATCTTCTGCAAAAGTCTCAACGCGTAACGGCGAACCTTCTGCAGGAGCAGAGAAAGTGGTTTACCCGGACTGCCGCAGAGATGAGGTACGCGGTCCGGGAGTATGTTGTTCGCCAAATCGAGGCAGAGCGCCGAACTCTCGCCACGCTCGAATCAGTCCGGCCCGATATCCGAGCCATCGACGGAACTGGTGGTCTTTCACGATTAGGTCGCGAAGCCCATCCATCGCAGCGCCGCGCCTCTCTTGCCAGCTCTCAGGGACCCAGAGGTGATGCCTGGTCGGGTGTGCCAAGGCGACCCGGCGATGGACTCAATCGGAGCCTAAGTGGCAGCTTACCTACGGTTCCGGGAGTGCAAGAGGAAGACGAGGAGGAGGAAGAGGGAAACACTGGAAGGAAACGTGCGACAAGCAAGACTGGAGTGGATGATGACGAAGACCGTATTGATGCGAAGAACGCCGCGAGCAGACTCGCCACGACGACTTTCTAATGGCCTCACGTAAAGGGGTTTTGAACCTCTTTGTATAGTCTGTACAGGAAGCATGCTCGACCATCTACTTAGCCTGGGTATTGATGAGCGGTCAGTGTTAGGGGAGCCGTGGAATTATCCTTATAGAGACAACTTGAGAGAAATGCAAGAGATGGAGCGGTCGATTAGTCGGACATGACTGGCAAGCTATCGCTGATAGCACAATTCATGATACTTTCTTGTTAACCTTCCTCATGGGTACGACACACATCATAGACTCGTCTCCCCGTTCGAGTCTACAGACGCCTTGGCCCGGGAACATCGCACCGGCTCCACACCGATTTTGCCGACCGCGATCTGTACAGAGACCTTTACAGCGAGACAGAAATTACCATGTCCAGTCGCCCAGGCCAATGGGGCGCTGCGATCCTTTGGCAGCCTCCACAATGTGTAACGCTGTAAAGTGCCCCGCAGCACATCTAACCCTTTTGTGCAGGAGTCGCGACCTGGTATGGACATGTACAGCCGGTAGATTTCCCCGGATTTGCATCTTTAATGTTCCTTCTTCCATGCAGCGAAGCGAGCAAAAGACTTTGCATGTACTTGTGGAGGGCATGCCTATTGCACAACAGCGTCGCGAAAAGCATCCTCCACATGAAGTCGCGGCTAGCCAAGCGGAGCAGTGCGACGCGCGATGATGCTCCGTAATTCCTAGGTCTCCATATTCAATTTACCAAATCCTCCAGCGCCCAACCTGGACCGGCGTTGGGGAAGTATGGCGCGCACCCGCACGGCAGTGGGGAGACCTTTTCCACCATCCATCGGCTGCCGCAAAGTGGTACAAAAATACGTCCGCCCGTGCCACCACATAACACACCAGGTTCGCGGGAAAAAGTGTTGATCAACTGACGCGCCCGTGTCCGCGATGGGCACTGGGAATAATATAGAAAGGCGTGGCATTTTGGGCTGGATGTGGAGCAAACGCGGGGTTGTAAATTGCTTTGATGAAGTGCCCACAAGATTGAAGACGCGCTAATGGATATATATGCCATAGCGGTGGCAATTATACCTGGGAAGGCTTCGAGAACGTCGGTGTTTGCTTGATCAGCGTCCGGCCAAGCCGACTTCATTTCGACTCCGTATGGTGTTGAGGGAGCACTGAGTTGACTGTGTCGCACGATGGGAGATCTATCGATACCCGTATATTGAACGGCAGCGGTCTTCCTGGTGGTGTGAAGGCCAGTCCCGCGCGCTTGGAGATGCGCCCTACGAGAAGAAGCAAAGAGCCGATCCCCGCAAGCTGCACGTCTTCGTCGGTCCGGATACCGTGCCTCGCCGCAGGGCAAACGGGACGCTAGGCAGGGATGCGTCGAAGCATCTGACCTTCTGGCACAGGTTCTGGCGAGCAGAAAGAATTAGTCCAGAAATGAAGTCGTGTGGCAGCTGATGCTCTGCTGCAAGCTATTATTCCAGACATAGGGAAGGTCATCCAGCTGCATGTAGTAGGATGCAATTATGATGGATGCCCGGCTAGCCATTCTGCTAATCTGACCCTGCCCGGCCGGACTCGTTCTAGGGAGAAAGGAGAACCTGGTCGAGCTCGATAACACTCGCTCAGCTCGCCGCCGCTCGTCATCATCCTGGAGTCCACTGGTAGCGTGAGGACGTGTTACAGATGCATGACGATGTCGAGGCGGCACGCTGACGGCGCCTGCAGTAAGACCGTATCGCGCGTCTCCTGAGGCTCTGAGGGAGGACGGAGATACATAGTGACTGGGTGAGCGGGAGCCAAGATGGCACAATAGAACGAGTGGTGTGAACGCCCTGCTTCGATGCGGATTTCTATCGGCCGCCCTGTGGACGCCACCAGCGGCAGATTGGACGAGCGAGGCTCCGTGCGGGCCTGCGCGCCGGGTAAAGAGCTCATCGATGTGGCTCAAAATGAACATGGCACACGCGCTTTTGTCGCTCCTGCGAATCACATCCCGGCGGAAATCGTGATCATCAGGCAAACCGCTCCGCAATTGGAGAAAGCTTCAATGAACAGAGCCACGCCGTAGCCACCAACGGTATGGCGCCTTCAAACCATCCAGTCGTTACGGACGGGCCATCCTAGCCGCAGAACACGTTGTACGTTAAGCTGGGGTAGAGGCGAGGGAGGGAGCAGACGCGAGACCAGGCCGAGAGTACCTTCGGAGGGGTCCCGACCGTGCTGCAGGTAGTAGCAGCACCTTTTATTTACATGCGACCCAGCTCTGGGGTCAGCAACTTGGGAGACCCGATTGCTGCCCTACTCGACGTCTACGCACACTTGTCGAACTCCAAGTTCGATTGTTCTTCTTTTTCTTTTGTCTTTTGCTGCGGGTTCCCGCCGTCGAACATCCCTACGATCCCCCGGATACCCACGACTCGTCTCTGCCGACAAGGTTGCGGCTCGGGACGCGGCGCCACGTGAAGTCGCATCCAAGATCCCCGCGTTTGGCCGTGACACGACTCCAACATGTTCAAGTACATCAAAGCCGCCCTCGCGCCCAATATCGAGCCAGAGCTCCCGGCGGCCTACTTCGAGAACATCAATGCCGTCCGGAAGCTGTCGTTTACGTCCTCGAGCGACTTCTCGCTCCCGGAATTCGACCCGCTCACAGCGTCCGCGTATGAGCTGTCGGAGATGCTCAACGCTGGAGCTATCACGAGCGTAGAGATTATTGAGGCGTATCTACATCAGATTGACCAGCACAATCGGAGAGGGAGGCAGCTGCGCGCTTTGATTTCGGTAGCTCCCAGGCATGAGTTGATGCGGATAGCGAGGAGACTGGACGACGAGAGGGCGAGAGGGAAGAGAAGGAGCCCGCTTCACGGCATCCCGATAGTGCTCAAAGACAACATCATGACAGATGCGAATCTGGGAATGGACACGACAGTCGGTACGCGAGAATGAAGCCCACCGTAGAACGGCCGAGAAGCTAATGATCGACCACCAGGTTCCTACGCTTTCGTCGGATGCATACCGAAGAAGAACGCCACGATCGTCGACCGACTGATCCGGAGGGGCCTTATAATACTCGGCAAGTCGAACTTGACCGAGTTCTGCGGCCTCAAGAACCCTTCGATGCCTCCGGGCTGGTCGGCGGTGGGAGGACAGTGCCAGTCACCGTACGTCGCGAGACATATTGCGAAGAAGAAGCTACACTGGGAGCTTTCGGCGCCAGGAGGGTCATCTACGGGCTCTGCTGTGAGCGTAGCTTCTGGATTCAGCACGCTCGCTATTGGAACCGATACGATCGGCTCGCTCATCACACCTGCAAATCGCGGTGCGCTATACGCACTGAAGCCGACAGTTGGAGAGGTACCGATGGACGGCATTTTCACGCTTAGCAAGAGCTTCGACTCCGCGGGCGGAATGGTACGTTCACATCGACATTATGTTGGACGCAGTGTGCTAATAAACAATCAGGCCAAATCCGCCAAAGACCTCGTAGCCCTCATGGACGCCCTGCTCTCCCCCACCAGCAAAGAGTCCAGCGCCCGCGTCCCCAAGACATGTTTCCGGATCAAGGAAGACTGGGGCAACCTGCGCATTGGCTTTACCGAGCCGACCATCTGGAGCTCGTGGCGGAAGTGCGGTCGGATCAACGCTGACGCCGAGCGCTTCATGGTAAGTGTTTTATTTTCGCCGTTCAATTGCTATTTCTGGTTGTTTATGGTTCCTGCGGTGCATGGGTTACGGGAGTGTCGGAGATTGCGGTTTCGCGGTTCCAGGATGCGGCCTGTTGGAGTTGCATGTTCGGCTGATGGCTGACTTGACCATAGCTTCAGAAATACGAAATGGTGGTTCAGAGCCTGATCGAGATGGGTGTGGATATCGTGTATCCGGTTGAGCTGCCTAGTCAGGCCAGTCTGAATTTGGACGGGAAGAATAGCTTCGAGCCGATTGTTTGTAAGTCACCACTCCGACGCACTTCTCAACCACCCGGCATTTTAACCATGCCCCAGACTCAGAGTTCAAAGAATGCCTCGCAGAGTTCATCCGCCAATTCAAAATCACAAAAGTCCACTCCCTCGCCGAAATCATAAACTTCAACCTCGAGCATCCCGAGCTCACCCTCCCACCCTGTAAGCCCCTCTCCCCCATTTCTTCCCCCAATCACATCACTAACCTCATATGACACAGCTTGTCCACACCAAAACGACCTCATGGCCGCCCTCCAATCCGGCGTCCTGCGCGACCAAGTCCGCGCCGCCCGCGAACACCTCCAAACCGCCGGCGGCCGCGACGGCCTCGACTACCTCTTCTCATCCCTCCAACTCGACATCGTCGTCGCCCCCGGCGACGCTGCGCTCTCCTCTCTCGCCGCCGCAGCCGGCTACCCCACAGCCGCATGCCCGCTCTCCGCTCTAAAGCTCAACGGTCAACCGTTTGGCATGACGCTAGCCTCTCCACCGCACACCGAGCACGTCCTGCTGCACTTCCTCACCGCATACGAAGCCACGTTCCCGCCGCGCGCACTTCCCTTACCACTTAGCACCGTACCCTTGCAGGATCCGCACCCAGAACCGCTGCCCGACAAACCGATCGTCGACCTCATTCTGCACGAGTGGGACACAAGGCGATTCAGCTGCAGTGCGGATGCGCTAGCCGATTGGCTGAATGCACGATGGAGGAAGAGCGGGTATGAGCTGAGTGCCGAGACAGTGTGTGAGGTGCTGAGGAGTAATGGGCGCATTGCATTTAGGGGGTTGGGGGATGATGCTGCGGGCGCTTTTGCGAGATGAGCTGGGCTCGTTTCTTCTCGTCTTTTCTGCTTTTCGTTTCTTGAACGAGGACAGGTCGTGGTTTTTTTTTTTTCCTTTGTGCGTTTGGTGTGGTGGGCAGGGATTTAGCGTGGTGTTTTGGCGGCTTTTGCATATGATATCCACTCGCTTGTTGCATTTTCATGGGATTGGGGGGCTGACTGGAAAAGGAAGGGAGGCTTTGGGAATCAAGCAGGGTATGAGTGCTGGCTGGGAAGGAGAACCCGAGGAACTGAGTAATGAGGCGGAATATAGTGTCTCAGGGTTTGGGGACCAGTTGAACTGCTGTGTTCAGGATGGCGCGTGCTCTTATGATATCCCTTGAATTCCTCTTCAAAGTATGGAATAGCTGAGAAATTGATTCAAAACCATTCCCGATCTCAGTCAAAGATGATTGGTAGTCTAGGTTCTTTCAACGCAGAGATACCGTGGAATCGAAAATAGTAAATCCCTCAAAAGCTGCAAGAAGAATATAACCCATCGTACACGCACCTGCCTTTTGACACCTCGCTGAAGGTCTCCGGCCTACCCAATCCGTATCCCATACCCTCGTCTCATAGATTCCGCGGCCCGCAAAGCCCCGCCTTCTCCACCACCAGCTCAAACCGATCGCCTCCCCGGCCACTAGCATTGAACTCGCTCCTCCAGTAGCCCTCCTCGCCTCCCACGCTAGGATCCAGACTCCGCGCCTTCGTCAACAAATTCCGCGCATCCTGCTCCTGCCACCTGGCGTTTGCCGCGGACGGGTTCGCCTCATGGCTCATTTCGATTTGCAGGCGGCGGGCAGCATGGTTCGCGCCGTCGAGCGTGGTATAGAGCTCCGTGCAGGGGAGCGGGTGGTGTTGACGGAGAAGGGGCATCGGGTGTGGAGACTGTTGCCGTTTCGCGGCTTTCGCCTGCTTCTCGTCGGCTTTGCGTTTTGCGCGCGCTTCGTCCTTCCTGGCCGCCTTTGCTGCCCTGTCCTCTGACTCTGACTCCGACGACGAGTCGGAGCTGGAGCCCGAGGAGGAGTCTGAGTCGGATGGGACCGGGGAAGAAGCATTCGGGTCCGGGATCAACTTGTGCAGGCGCAGGATGTAGAGCGTCTTCTGGATGAAGGGGGTGTGCGGCGGTGGTGCTTGGATAGCGGCTGCGTGGGCAGAGACGTAGTGTCGGTCTACCCAGATCCTGAGGTAGGCTTTCTTGGATGGGTAGTGCATTGGTGCGAAGGTCCCAAGGTATGACATGCAGTCGTGGTCGTTTCGCTGGATGGACCATGCCTGGAATTTGACCTGAAAGAGTGAGGTATATTGTTGTTTGGCGTGGGCGCAGAGCTTCTCCGCAGCATCGTTAGCATCGTCAACGGACGTGAAGGCACGGCGGACGGTAACAGGTGCAGGAGTATCGTTTTCCTTGTCTGATTCGGACCACCGATTCTCGGAGACGGTGTATTCGAAGTATGGTTCTGACTGGAAAAGTTTTGAAAGATCAGGTAAGGTAACCACTGGCAGGTCGGCGGTGTCATCAACCGACTGTGAAATTGCGCTAGGATAATTGGCGACAATGCGAAGGTCTCCACTATTAAAGATGGTTTCTTCGGGACTGGTCATCGTTTTTCCAGGGAGGCTTACAGTTTCCTTCGGCGCAGCATCCTTTAAGAGACCGCTAGTGGAATCCGGCTTCTCATGTGTCGCAAGAGCTGGCTTTGGGATATCCAAAACTGCATCAAATTTCATGGAAGCCGCAGTTGCGACCTCCTCGTTGTCTTTAGGCTCTCCAAGCTCTACAGAAGCGAACTTGGGAGTGGTCGCTGAACCATCGGACGGCGGTGAGTGAACCTTCTCCTGTGCTTCTGGAGCTGGATGATCTTTATTGCTGTTCCCTGGCTGGAATCCTTGTGTGGCAATCTGTGCCGGCGGTGTCGACGAAGGAGCCTCAGAAGACGTAGTATGTGGACGTTGTTTGGAGACTGACGGAGTACTTGGCGCGGAAGCCTTTATCTCAGGACCTGACTTCGCCGAAGAGGCCTCGGGGTAGGTGTCTTGACGTAATATGCAAGTCTCTGCCGCGGAGGGGGCACGCACATCGAGCTTTAGAGGATCTTCTGAAAGTGGAGCGTGTAGATTTGTGGTCTCCTCCACTGACTTGCCCGCATTAGAAGGTTGTTGCGCAGCAGCTTCCTCACGATTCGCAGAAACTGCGTTCGGCTGAATCCGAATTGTCGCCGGTCTCTCTGGGGCAGACTTAGGTGGGGTCTCAACGCGATCGGTGGCTTTGGTTGCGTCGGATTCGGTAGCATTCGCAGAAGGTCCCGTAGACGGGTCTTCACTTGTGGTGGAGCTCGAGTTCCATACTGTCGCGCTCGCATCTTTCTTCGGCGGGGAACTAGTCTCGTTCATTGCCCGCGATGACTTTGGTGAATACTCAGCGGGCTCGATAGCTTCTGTTGGGATATTCGCGGTAGAAGTATTCGCGGAAGGATTTATGGGACAACTGTCCCGTATGGTGATGCTTGCTTTTGGCACGTTGCTGCCCACACCTCGGAATGCTTGGTTTGCTTTGGGCTTTGTTGGAACAACCCGTGTCGCAGATATTGCGTCCTGTGATGTAGCAAACGTTTTCGGAGCAATCGTGTTAGTAACAGGCCTCGCTAGATCCGCTTTCGTTGACGACAAGCTATCTCGCACGCCTTTGGTTATCCCGTCCCCAGCAGAATCGATGGCAGTAGCTCCTTTGGGTTTGTTGGGCGCCGGTTTCGAGACATATGGGCTGGCGTTTTGCTTCGTTGTCGCCACATTGGAGGCCGCTGAAGCATCGGTAATGGCTCGAGCACCTTTTGATAGCGCGTCTGCAGAGTTATCAACCGGGGCTCCAGTCGGGTTATTAATGACAGGCCTCGAGGCATCTGAATTAGCGTTCTGGTTCGTTGGTAACGCCTTCAGAGCCGCTAGAGCATCACTTTTAGCTCGCGGAAGGGCAGACCTAGGAGGAATATTCGCGGGGACCTCCTTTTGGGTGGCTGAGCCTGATGCAGGAACGTTGTGGTGTCTGTCATTCTTGGCTCCGCTTGCCTCAGCTGTTGAGGAGCTTTGGCGAGGGATAGCACCGCTCGCATCTATAACAGTAGGAATCGAAGAGCGGTCAGCCTTTGCCGAACTCATGGTGAGATGGCTCGGGGAGGACTTCCTCGTAGGCGCGGCAGCCATAGAATTCCTTGACCGCTCTGCTGCCGTGGAAGCAAACGTGTTGTTGCGAGGTCCCGGTTTCACGGCGGTCGGAGGATTAAGCAGCTTTGGAGCCACTCCCTGCGCAGCTTGTCCCTTCAGCGGTGGCTGTGTTGTGCGTTGAGGGGTGGTGGAGGTTGTTGAAGTGACTTCCAGCTTTTTCTTAGGAGCCGTTCTGGTATCGGGTCTGAGAGGCACGTCTCCGGTCTTTCTTTTCTCTCCAGGGCCAGTCTGAACGGATGATTGGGGCTTCTTGGCCGGATTGCCAACCATTGGGTTCACGCGATGCTGTGAACCGGACAGTCCAACAGCATTTACCGAGACCATATTTCTTTGTTGATTCTGGGAGATATTGGTTGACGGAGGTCTCATGGTGTGCAAAGTGTCCTGACCCTGGCCCTGGTTTCCATCTCGTCTAGCTTGCATAGCCGCCCCGGTGTTAGTGGTGGCAAGCCGGGCCTTATTGGTAGCTTTTGATGCCAGTGCCATCTTCATCTCTGTTGGTCTTCCTCCAGCTTTATCGCTTCCAGACTTCCCGCCGAGTGGCTCTTTATAACCAATTGCTCCATTATTCACGGAACTGCCTAGGTGATGTGATCGTTGCTCATCTCGCCCCGCTGGCGGAACCTTCAGTCTTGCTAGTGTCTGAGCTGGAGCATTCCGATCTTTCTTGATTCCCTCCTCCAAGCCAGCTGACCCCTTCGCCTGGTTCTGTATGATAGCCTTCGGTGCTTGCGACTGTGAGGGATTCCCCTGCAGGCCCTTGTTCTGGATAACTTGCTTCAAACGCCCAAGGTTCAAACGTTTGGTAGGGACTACCGGCGGTGGAGAATCATCATCGCCACTTGAAGAGGAGTCAGCGAAGGGCAGACTGCGCTTTGGACGTTTGGCGGTTGTTGTTCTCATTTGGGCACTTGGTGTCAGAGGTCGCTTTTTCGCTGTCGAAATGCTTCCCCGGGTCGGTTTCGCAAGTGAAGGAGGCCTTGCACCCGCAGTACCCATTCTTGTTGAAGTTCCTCTCGTAAGAGGGGAGGTTGGAGTTGTTGGCTGTCTCAAGGTATGTGGAGGCTTCGTGCTGGTGGGGGCGGAAGGTGGAGTAGATTGCGGCGGGCCACAATCGGGGACTTGCAGAGGCTTAGGGCGTTGCTGGCGGACGAGCGGGGGGCTGTTGATGCATCGTTTACGTTGTACGACTCCCTGCTCCTCGTTGGATTCTTCATCAATATCGCTGTCGGAATAACCAGTAAGCTGCGCTAGCTGGGATTGACGTTGGGTAGGGGTTGATGGGGATGCCATTATCTGTCTTTCCAGCGGCTGGACTAGGTCTGCCAGCTCCAAAGACTGAGGACGTCTTCCAAGGTGTAGCGGATTCGACCCGACAACGTGAGGGGATCTCGAGTTCCGTTCTTGCTCGCTTTGCTAAGATAGGTCAGCGCCAGGTAAAGGTGAGTGAGCTTCGCAGATCTTGCGACGTGACGTACCTCCTCGCTGCTAGAGGAGAAAGGTTCGGGAGTAGGAAGCTCAAACTTGCCTTCGAGCTCTTCCTCTTCGTAGGTGAATCGAGAACCGGAATGAGTGTTACATGGGCCGGATTGCGCAGCTTCGGGCGTCGAACCGGGCGAGCAGAATAGAGAATCTATACCTTCCTGACCGGCAACGGTCTCATGACGTGGCGACTGCACCATTGTCGTACAACAGGTTGCCAGTGCTCACTTTACGTACAGGGTAGGGGATTTTCTCTAGGCACACAGTCGCATTCGGGTCCGCGGAGGTAGTTTAGAATGAGCAACAGTCGGTGGATGGTTCTGATAGGATTGGTGCTCCGGATTTGGCTCCCGAGCTCTCGCGACGAAGATGGCGAACGAATTCTGGGATCACTAGGGTTCCAAGGTAATAGTAGCCGGTACTAAGTCTCCCGGCTCCGAAAAATCTCCTTGGGAGGATAGGCAGTAGAGGAAGGTAAGCGGAGAGGACCGCCAGGTTCAAGGGTTCCGTGGGGGTTCGCAAACGGGAGATGGTGTAATGGAACAAGCTCACCGCCACCCTGATGGAGTTTCCCGAACTCACGCTACAGCCGACATCTGGCGCAGTCGAATGAGCCCCATGATATCGTTGAAGCCACCCGATTGGCTAGCTAACTAGGGAGCATACTCCAGCTACCTGTGCTTGGAACGTGGTCTCGCCCACCGCTCCTGAACTGCAAACGCTCTCGGTGTACCATAATCGCGTGAGTTTCAGCAAGATACTCGTCACCGGTCTGGTTTAGCAATCCTACAAAAGACCACCCCAATTTGACGGGAAATGATCTGGATGGCGCTGGTAGGTAGTACTCAGCGCGCCCTATTAGCATCTGGTCACCTGCTTCTTGTCGTATGCTGCATGAATTCGGCGCGACTGAGGTCCCTCGACAAATTTATCTCTATAGGATTAATAATGCAAGGCGGTGGCCCCGATAACGCCTTGGTATGCCTTACAAGCGTTCGCACTACATCAGGGAGCCATTTGGATGCCTCCTGGATGAAGGGAATTCCACAAGGCGGGACGGCAGATCTTTAGGAAGATTTGTAATGAATATGATTGTGGTTGTTAGTTGAGTACATGGGTCATCGAATGAGTGGTTTGGCGTCGCAAGAAAGTGAGGTTCAAATGGGTGGCTTAGTCATCGCTTGAAACGGCTAGCGTCGCACAAGTTTCTTTTTGGACAACGCCAGATATCATTCATCCCAGCAGCATTGACCGGCTCCGCGGCGGTGAGCACCGTAAGACCGTTTAGAATGGCAGAAGCTATCCTGTCCGCACCGATACCAATCCCGGAGGCGGTACTTAAAGATCTGGCGAAGGATCTTTCAGGAGTCATTCCAAATCTTTCGGAGGAGGAGCCGAACCTTGGCGTGAAGTAAGGGCTCAAAGTCCGTGAGCTTCAGTGTTGCTTGGTCGGAGTATCTCTAACAGCTGTATAGCGAACTCCATGCTGTCATTAGACCGATCCTGGATACCGCGGACTCGGCAGACCTTGTCTCTTCACATCGGGCCGCTGCATGCAATATTTTGTGCGCAATTGTGGAAAAATGTCAAACATCGAATATCCAATATGTGCGAGATGCGGTGCTCGACGATTCCATATGGTTGCGGCTCTTCAACGTCTATCTCGAGAGATCCGACAATGCCAAAGGAAAATCCGTGAGACAAGTGCTCTTAACTCTTACGGGAGTTTTGCTGAAGAGCCCGGACCCTCGATCTCTCGAACTGCGAAACAGAGCGGCGTCGACATTTGTTGACATCATCTGCGGGCGCCAGGATCGACTGAAAGTCAAGCCAGCTTTGCAAGGTCTTTCTCATTTTCTGCAGAAGGATGTAGTCACCATTCCCACGCTTGTTGATCTATATTCGAAGTTGCTAGGACGCTACTCAAGTCATTCGAAGGGGGTCGCGACTCCAGAATCCCTATTCGCCTCATTTCTCTCATGGATCGTCCATCATGACACTTCGCTCTCCGCCGGTCATCTGGTCAAGAACTATCTCATCCAAATACGTCGTTCCTCAAATGCCGAAGTATCAGCTCGTGAGAATGCTGTTTCCCCAGCCTGGATAGAACCAGTCGTCAACACTCTCCGTGTCTGGCCAGATCGTCTCCAAGAGTTCAAGACCAATGTCTTCCCTCATTGCTTCCTTCCGAATATCGACGAATACCTTGGCTTTCTTTCCTACCTCCATTTCGGCCGGCACGTGAAACCCAAAGGATCTCTACCTCATCAAATGCGGATGTTTGATGGACACAGTAACTGCTTGGATAGTTTCGAGGAGTTCAGAATATTGTTGGCCTCTGTCGAGACTGGCAAAGAACTAGGAATCGTCAGAGACATCGGTATGTCGTCAAATTTCTTATCCTTGTCACTCTTTATTCTACCCGCGTGCATCTTGCAGGTGCAGATCCTCCGTGAAACGACTAACCAGACGGCGGTTTCCAAATAGAAAAAAGCTGTGCTAACGGGTCATCTAAGATTATCGCGTCTCTAACATTATCGACGTTTATGGGGGTACCCTCCATTTGCCTGATGATATATTGGGCGGCTGGATGTCCCATACTGAGCCAGAGGTTCGACTTGCCGGCCTTTTCCTCTCCGTATATTCGACCACTATCACGAAACCTATCACTGGCGGGGTCTTCAAGTCGTTGAGACAGAACCTCATCCATTTCCACACAGATACTGATGCTAATTTCCGCCGGGAGCTCCTTGGCTACACACAGAAGTTGTTCGACCGGCTCAGGGGAAGCACCGCAACCCTGGTTAAAACAAAAGCCAAGCCCACTACAGCAATGCAAATCCGTATGCCCTTTCCTAGGGAGTGCTTCGGACGCCTCAGAACCCCACAGCCATTTACGAGTAAAGATCCCCTCCTGGAGGCATTACAGTTCCTTGTGTGGTACCTACGCTTCCTCGAATGCGAGTTGCGCACAGACGCTTCGTATCAGAGACGCATTACGGCCCTAAGAGCGCTCATCATCGTGCTAAAGTCTGGTCTGGATCCCCGTGTTCCACATCATCTTCTCTCCAAGTCTGCTCAAGGACAATTGAACTGGGCTCATGAACTGCGGATACCGAATCGGAAACTGATTAGGACATTATTGGACTTGATCCTTGATCCCTTTGATGACATTCGGGATGCGTCCGTCTCGGTATTGCAACTATGCTTGAATTCAATGCCGGATAATGAGCGGAATACAATTCTGTCAGCCCTTCCTCGCTTCATTACCCGCGCAGAGGCAGCAATGCTCCGTACCGGCCGCGCTGATCAGGCCGATGGTGTTGCGCGCGCGTATTCATTGCTCTTCTCGTCGTGCACGCTGAAACCTGGGGCAATTTCAGAGCGGCACACATCCGACCCGACCTCTAGGGTTGGACTGTTCAGCCGCCTGAGCGAACAACTGTCGTTGACTCTTCAGGTCGCGCACAAGAATCTCTCGGAAGCGGTGAACGGAAGGCCAGTACATGGAACGTTTGCTGCAATCAGGTTTGATGCCCGTACATCAGTGTTCGTCACGACTCTGACACTCCCGTAGGTATATCGTGGACCAAGAGCAGTTCTACGCCGAAATACAGGCACTTCCCAACGACGAGTTTCAACAATGGAAACAAATTCACGATTTGGTTCTTAGTAGTCTCCATCAGTTGTGGTCGTGTGTCAAGACCGTACTATGTGCCGATGCTCCGGAAGGACATGTTCCAGAAGAATTAGAAGAAGAGGCCAACCTCGACACGAAAGAGGTACTTAGCTACTCCTGGCGGGGCTTGAAAGAAGCCAGGTATGACACAGTACCACTACATCCTCACATTGACTAATGTGAGTAGCGTATTGCTCCGAACGATAATCTCCAAAGCTCCTATAGGCACTCATGATAAGGCAATAATAAGACCTGAGACATGCGAAGAGCTTGGGCGACTATGCTTTGCTCAGCTTGTAGAGCTTCGTCATCGCGGTGCGTTCTCAACGGTTGCTCAGACCTTCGCGTCATTCTGCCGCCGCTGCTTGTCTACCGACCACCAAGTACTTCGGAAACTGCCGGAGAAGTGGTATCAGGTATGGACCTATGGTCGGTTGTGGCTGCGGCGACTGACAATGTAGGAAACTCTACAATCGATACAAGCTAAAGCTACCGCCATCACTAGGCGATCGGGCGGAATACCTTCGCTCATGGTAGGAATCATTGCTGCGGAGCCACAACCGGGTGGCAATCTCTTTCCTTGCGCCATGCGGGACCTTATTGCTGAAGCCCTCGTCGAAGCGCAGAGTTCCAACATTGAAGAGTCTCGTCTTCCTCAAGTGCATGCCCTCAATTGCATCAAGGAGATATTCACATCATCGAAACTAAGCATTGCATCCGAGGCGTATACTGGGGAAGGACTAGAGCTTGCCGCAAGCACGCTAAATTCGAGAATGTGAGTCCCCCTGCCGCCACCATTTACACCGAGGCTCATCACGTACAGATGGCCCATCCGAAACTGCGGCCTCATGCTCTTCAAAGCCTTGATTGAACGCCTGCTCGGGAGTGATGAAGCTCAAGATTGGAAGGAGCGCGACCGAACGAAGACCTCACGGTTCTCGTACAACAGCTACCCAAGCTTAGTTGGTATCCTTGAGCGCTTGCTCGACTCCGAAGGACCGCTAAAGAAATCGCTTGATGCGACGCCTGACAATAACTCGCCCATGGACTTACACGGCGCTGAAGGAGTATTTCCAGCACTCCAAATTCTTCGACAAGCATTCCCACCCGAAGAGACTCGCCAAGTTATCTTTGGACAAGTCCAGAAGCTTCTCCAGAGCCCTCACTGGCATCTTCGCGATATGGCCGCGCGTACCTTAACGTCGCTCTATCCACCCCACGAGCTATTCCATGCGTGCAAGATATTACTGGCCGTTACGCATGATTCTGTCAACGCAAGGCATGGGGCGTTGCTGTGCGTCAAGTACATGCTCAGGAAGTGGACGCAGAACCAAGCCAATCTTGGTGAGTTCTCAGCCTTCCAATACTCCCTTGCTCCTGCTATTGCAGCCCAACTTCAAGTTTCAATTATAACACCGCTACTCTTTCCTTATTTGTGTTACGTCTAACAACTTCTAGGCTCTGATACATTGGAAGATTTGATGATCAATCTGCGTCAATGGATCCCCGAATGGTACACACAACTGAAGTGCCCATTCACAAGGGCCGCGTTCCTCGACATCATCAGTCTCTGCGGCATGGCAATCGCACAGGGTTTCGAAAGTCAGTCAACAATCGGAGCTTGGGCAAGTCTGACCGCGTCTCTCACAATCGGCGCGGAAAATAGTATAGATCTCAAGCGTGCCAACGGTAATGCGCTTCTCCAGAGATCGCTGGCACGGCTCTTCTTCATTGACCGCACAATTCTTCGACCTGAACTCCTCCATACCAAGGTATCGAGAGATAATCAAAGTATCGGAGATGCCCTGCTGCTCCTTGAAATGGGGAATCCGGATACATGCGCCGCGGCCTTGGACACTTTGGGCGACATCATCCAGCTCAAGGCCCCGAGGGGTCCGCTCATGCAGATCTCGCTAATCCTCGTGCATATCTACACTCTGATCCAGTACGCAAATAATCCAGAAGTCCTCTCGAAGGCCCAATCTGTCCTCGCCAACGGCCTCTCGCGGCCTGGAATGACAAAAAGCTGTCTTTCTCTCATCAAAGAAGCTGATCTCCTCTCCATGCTCGACAAGCTGGAAACCCGATGCGTAGAAGCCGCACCATCAAACATGCAAAGCGCCCTTCATCTCCTTGGCTTCTTCCTCGACTGGACCTACCACGAGTATCCTGCTCATCGGCAAACACTCCTCCACCGCATCGCGCGATACATCCGCGTCCTCCGCATGGCAATCATCGATACGAATCCATTCGATGCTCGCTTCGCCGCTGCACAGTCCGTGTCCGCGCTCCAGCATATCTGGACAATGAGCCCGTCTTCAAAAAGCACAGGGCCGTTGCTCCTAGGTCTAACTTTCGTCCTCTACGACATGCTCACGGACGACGACGACGAAATTCGAGACACGGCTGCGCTAGCCACGACCAAGCTTCTACAAGCGCACGTCTCATCCTCGTCCCCACCCTCCTCCGAACAACGTACCATCACCCCCGCAGTCCCCATCCTAACAACCCACCGCCTAGCCAACTTCCTCATTACCACTTTTGCTCCGTCCAGGCCCGGCTCCGAAGCCCTCTGCAAAGAAGCTCTCCGCCGCCTCACCGGAACTCCCTCTCTCGCACCTCCCTTCACGTCCGCATTCGCCGCAGCGCGTAAAGAAGACACCGCGCTCTTCAGCACAGAGAAGCAAAACCTGTTCAAAGACGACACCCTCGACGCCGTGCTCTGGTCTCGCGTCCTCTCTTTACTCCCCTGCTCCATTATTCCACCGGCCGTACGTTCGGGGCTTACAACATGGGTCCTCGAGGCCCTCGCTGTCCTGACGTCCACCGCGGAGAAAGAGATTGACGGCGCGCTGGGATGGAGTGCGAAGCCTGAGGTATTTACGCTGGGTATGCGAGGTATTTGCGCGGCGGAGGTGGTGGTGAGGTGGAATGTGGGATCGCAGGATGCGTCGACTGTGAGGAGGATGTTGAGGGAGTTTGTGGACATAGGGGAGGAGAGCGAGGTGCATGGGATATGGCTAGACAAGGTCGAAAGGGTGCTTGAGCAGAGCGTTGTGGATGTGCTAAGGTGTGCCAAGGAGAGGTTGATCGTAGTGGAAAAGGCGGTTGGAAACTGAGGAAAAGACGGGTAGAGTAGGAATCGAGATGCTGTCGAACAGGAATCTCAACATTCGCTGGTAGTGTTCTCTTTCATTGATACAGCATTACGCGTCTTATCTCATACAATGCAGTCGTCCAACCTAAGCCTTGAGCCTCCAGCCGAAGGTCGGTAGCAATCATTACATCGCGTTTGAAATCACACTATCCGAATGACCATCGCTTACTCTTCAACGTGTGCCTGGATGTTACTGACCTCCGCTTTTGCCTCCTCCCATGAAGCTTGATTCCGGCGTGCCCAGTCAATGTGGCACTGTGCGAACTCCATCTATGTACTTGTCAGTGAAAGCTCGCGATTGAGGACAGATGCGATGCGTACCATGTATCGTCTCAAGTCGTTCTCCTTCTCAGACTGGAATCGTCGTAGGTCCTTCATTACGCCACTACTGGCGTCTTTGGTATCTTTTTCAGCGACTTGTAACGCTTGTTCGAGCTACAGAACCATTGGTAAGCACTAGTGAGCTAGAACTGCTCGGATACCCATACCTGCTGCAGACTCTCCCTCGTCTTGCCAATCTGATCCCTCCTCGTCCTCTCCGGATCCACGTCCGCCATGCCCCTAAACGCATGCGTTATCGGCCCAAACAGCTTGCTCGTGACAAAGTTCCCACTCGCGCTCTTCTTATGAGGGCTAGTCGGTGAATTCGTCTCTGGCGTACCCTGCGACGACGATGGAGGCGGCTGTTCGCCATGTGTGGGTGGGAAGTCGGAGTCGATGGACGCTGTATCTTCGGAGGGCCGCCTCTCCTGGCCGCTGCTACTGCGTTGTGAGCTGTTTGAAGTTGATCGGGTGCGTTGTGGGCTTGAGAGGCCTGTGCCGCTGAGATGCTGTTCGAGACGCTTCGCCTCTGCCTCGCTGCGCTCCAGCGATTCCAAGAGCGCCCTCTTCTTATCAAGGTCATCTTTGGTCATCTCCTCTTGTATGCGCTTCAGCACCCGGTATCGGAGCACACTGCGTACGACTCCTGCGAATTGCGCGCTCTCCCGCATGGGTTCTGCGAAGCTCGCGCTCAGCGATGAGGATAGCTCGGCCGTTGCGATGTAAGTGGAATCGACTGCCTGCCCAACCTTCTCGATGGCAGCGGCTAGGGACTGAGACTGCTCGGACAGTGAGAAAGCGTTGAAGCGGGCACCCAGCTCGGCCATGTCGTCTCCCCAGGCTGTCAGATGCGATAATGTGCGCCGATTGACCTTTTCCATGCTACCTTGCAGTAATGCCTCCAATTCTTTGGAAGATGCTTCAAAGTTCACGAAGTATGGATCGAGCTCCTCCTCGGACAGATTCTTAGTTTCTGGCGGGAAGCGACCGAAGATTTGGGGACCGGGTGTTGTATGCGCGGCTGTGGAAGGCGTGGCAGCGTAGGTGGGTGGTGAAGTGGGAGTGCCGGAGAGCGAGGTCGCATAGCCTGTCTTTAGTTTGGCAGAGGCTGAGGGAACGGGAAGGTAGCTGTGCGCTTGGGTCGGGTTCGCGGTATCAAGCGGGGGCGCCTTGAGGACTTGCTTGGGGATGTTGGAGGCTGGCGGAGCGTGCAGAACCTCGCTCTATATCGCAAATTCTGTGAGCACAGTAATCCCAAGCAGTGCAGAAGCGGAGCAAGAAACATACCCAGCTCGTGTGGGGGTCGAGGAACCTCCAGAACACACCGTCGTCGAGCACCTCCATCATCCGCCTACATCTGTTTAGGAAGACAGCCAACATGCGCTTCCGCAATTCGATAATTCCAGCGTCCTCTTTCGCCTTGGTCGGCTTCGCGGCGTAGTCGGCCATTGTGTGCTTCTCGGGAATCGGAGGTATAACGAGGGTGGGGTGCAGGTTGACCAGCGTCTGGCGCAACGAAGCAAACTCGGAGTACCTCCGCCGCACTTCAAGGCCCTGCATGACAATTAGTTGCGCCCGTCTTGTGCTTGCAGGGTTCCGTCATACGCCGGTGTTGATAGTGTAGGCTATGAAGCTTCCACCGCCCTCCAGGTTCTTCCCCGCATATGTGATGAGTATGGACGAGTCGGGGTTCTCGTACAGCCATTGCTCCACTCGACTGTCGTAGCCGCCTTTCTTGGGGGTGATGGGCTCCGTGCCTGGGGATTCCTCGTTGTAGTCGACATCGCTCATGTCCCGCTGCGAGATGTACTCTGGTGATTCCTGCGGGGGCGAAGATGAGTCTGAAGGCGGCGTGGCAGGGCGGTACGGCACTGAAGGGGGTCAATAGTGATCGAATGCGCGCGTTATGCGCTTGCGGATGGAAGCCTTACGGGCACCGGGAGAGGTGAGGCCAGGCACATGGGAGGAATTGGAATCATGGCGGGCAAAGGAGCCGTACGGATTGTTGTCCTCGTCGTCCCACATGTTGGCGAGAAGAGGAATGTGCAAGAAAGGTATAAGAAGAGAGTGCGGAGAACGGGGGAGCGACAGGCGGGTGGGACGGGCGGAGGAGGTGGTTCGGCGGTGCTGGCCCTTGCAGCCGCAAGTGACGTTGAGGCGGGCCGCGTCCGTGCGCCAGCTCGCACACCTCGTCCTCTTCGTTTACATTCCAGAGCACACCTTTGTGTCATTACGTATCTACAGTCGAGCGTCACGACTGGGAAGGTGAATTCACCGGGCTAACAGCACAGCGCTTGCTACGTCTCCTCCCTCTCCGTCTCCCAGCCTAGCGTCGACAGAATTTCGGATTCGACAGCAGATCCACCCTCTTCGCTCCGACCGCTTTGAACCGCCCCGCCAACGCTCCCACTCGCAGCTTCACCGCCATGGCTGCAATCATACGCGCTCCTACCGAGGCTCGATATAAGCGTCGATGGCGACACGGCATGGATTGGAGAGTCTTGCTTCAGCGAGGCTGGAGCTGCCGTGGCTGGCGCTTCTTCAGGCACTGAGGGAGCCATGCCGAGCAGAATCGTCTGTCTCTCGGGCTCTGATTGAGACTCCCCCGGCTCAATGATTACGGGCTCCGGGCAGCGCTCCTGTGCGGGCGAGGCCTGCTCTTGCGCCATCTCTTCTTCTGGCGGTGGCGTCGCTCCGCCTTGTTCATACTGCTCTCCGTTCGCTTCCTCCGGCTCGGGTGCGGAATCGTCCACTCGTTCGCCTTCCTCCTGAGGTGGGGTGCATTCCAGCCGTCTAGAGTGATCAGAGTCCACGTCTTGTCGAGGCTCGGGCCGTCGCTCAGGCCGCGGTCGGCGTGGAGGAGCTGCGCGCTGCCCGCTCCGTCGTTCGCCCATCGGGGGCCCGGGAATCTCAGAAACTGCGATATATCAGGTTAGTTGATGCGCGCGAAGGTGCATAGGATAGCGGCATGGCTATCCTACGAGCATCACACTGGGCATGGAGGAGCATTACTCGGTGCTAGACGCCTGTCCGCGTTTCTCAACTTCCGACGCCCGCTCATTCTCGTGTATGGTGCATACCTAACAGGTTCCGTTCCACCCCGTCCGAGCTTGTCCATCCACTGCCTCGGGTACGACGTTGGGCCGCTATTCCATAATCGTGTCTGCAGGTGTGGATACTGAGGAAACTGGAACGCTGCACGAGGAGCTGAGCGGGGGATGTAGGCTCGCGGTATTTGCTGGACTGATCCTGATGAATCGCTGGAGGAGAGGCTCTCTGAAGAAGAGTTGGAAGGAGCTTGTTGCTTCAAGGCTTCGAGCACCATTGGCGGGTACTCGTCGCAAATGTGCATGTAGTCCATCTTAACGGGCACAGGTTGCACCAGGGAGGGCTCTGTTTCGTCCGGTCCCTCTTGCTGCCTCTCTTCGGCTTCGTACTCTTCCACGTAGGGCTGGATATATCGCGAATCGTATGCGACTGGTCCTGGACGTAGTGCCGGCATGGAAAGAGGTATCTGAGGAGCCGGATTCGGGCCAGCTACTGGCGGTGGCGCTATAGGCTCGGCGAAGCTAGATTCTATGCTTTCCTGTTCTTGCGTATGCCACCCAATCCGGGGTGGATAATAGCCTTGTCCAGAACGACGAGCCGGAGGCGGACGTCTCTCGATTTCCCTCTCGAAATCCTCAGTCCAACCCCTCGTTCTTGGTTGCGGACTCCCCTTCTGACATCTTCTTCTCGACTGCGAATACTCCCTCTTTGATCTTCCGCGTCTCATAGATCTCGACCGCGACGAGGAGCCAGCGTTGCTACGGCCCTTCTCGTGGCCATAGTCCTCAGGTTCGGGCTTTATTAGAAGATGGAACCAGTGAGCCAGCTTGAGGCATTTCATATGAATATAGCGGTGCAGGTAGTAGATTGCGAGCCAAACGACCGCAGCGCCGAACAGGCCGGCAAAGACGATGGCAACGATTAGGTTGGTATTGGCCATGCTGGGTTCGGGATAGAGAGGAAAGCAGCACAAGGAGAGCAAAGGAAAGCAAGAGACGCTGTGGTGAAGAGCTGTCGAGACTGTTATTCTCGTCTAAGATGCCTTGCGCACGATGAACGGAAAGTTTGTCGAGTATTCCCATGAGACAAACAAACTCCATAATAGCTAACGGTCGTACCACTCGGTCGAAGCAGAGCAAACTCACTCTGCACAACGCACTGCCGTAGGTAAAGCCATTGTATTTCCTTCCATTGGCTAATCCGTCCGTAGTCCGCCCCTGCTAGTCCGAGTCCGAGTATCAAACAACGCAGCTGTTAAAAGTTTCCGTGCCCACGAGGTGTAGGCAAACTCCATGCAATTGATCCAGAGCGTGAAGTGGCCTCGCTCGCTCTTCCCGGTGCGCAAGTGTGCCCAAATCGACGCATATTCCTGCAACCTTCATCTAATTAGTATCCTATCCTTTCGCAGCACAACACCCCCTCTCCTCGACGGCATACCCCAAACTTCCTCCTCCTAACCCCCACCTCTCCCTTTCCTCTCCCTACCTGGCTTCCCCACCCAATTCTTTCCCTCGCTCGCGCGGATCCTACGAAGCCGCAGCAGCAGCAGCAGCAGCCTCGACGTCCTTGCGATACCGCATCTCGTGGACTTCGGCCGTGACGGCGCGCGTCGCCGCCTTGTACCAGCACCAGGCGAAGAGGAGCGCGAAGACGGTGATGAGGCACACGATGAGGACGATGGCGTCGCGGGATTTCATTTCGGCGAGGCTGAGGTTGTCGCGGATGGTGGGGTTTGTATGTAGATGAGTGTTTATCGTGATGTGAGCAGGGTGGAAAGGCGGCGGCGGCGGTAGGTTTGATTTCGTGGGGTGTGAGGAGGGCGTGAAGGAAGGAGTACTAGAGGATGCAGAGGACGGCCAGATGTGTTCGGGGGCTTACATGGATGCGGAATAAGTTTTGGGGTCGGGGTGGCGTTGTAGTGTGGGTATTTCGTTGTGTTGTTAGGTCGAAGTGAAAAGCGTCACACGGGAGACCACTCTTTGCGGTGAGTGAAAGACGAATGCAAGCTATTACTGAGCTCCTGCTCCACTCTAGGAATGTGGCGATATGCTTCGATACTCTTACGTAGGGACAGTTACTCTCTTTTGCACAAGTTTAGGGTGTAGCCTAGAGGAGTATGGTAGACAAGCAAAAGTGCCCGTACCTTCCGCAAAGAACACAAAAGAGATACATGCATGTGCGATACCCAGAAACCGGCTCAAAGATCCGTCTCCCCGTCCTTCGCCTGCCACTTGTTGAGAAACTCGAGCGATTCTCTTGTGTCCTGATCCTCTGGCCCAAGGACATTTTCCCGTAGCCGGCGGCATTTTCGCATCAATGAAACGGCCTCCTCTTTGCGTCCAAGCAATTTGAGTGTGCATGCCAGGTTAGTCATGCTGGTTAGCGTGTCCGGGTGCAAATCCCCAAGCACTGCTTTCCTAGATTCCGACACCCTTATATGTAGCGCCTCAGCTTCCTTCAACCGTCCTTTTGCGGCGTATGTCACCGCCAGATTGTTCATGATAGTTAGCGTATCTGGATGCTCCTCGCCAAGCGTCCTTGAACTCATCTTAACGATGCGCTCGCCTAGCACTTGGGCCTCCTGCCACCGTCCTTGATTGTGGTATGTCGCCACCGCATTGCTTATGCCCTCTAGCGTGCATGGGTACTCCTGCCCAAATAACTGCTTAGTTAACCCAGTTGCTCCCACTTCCAGTTGGTGCCAGTAAAAGAAAGAAGCCAAACCGTAGATGGACACTAGACCCCTCATCTCATCTAGCATGTCCTGGTCATCTCCCCCGGCTAACCTTTCCCCCCCGCCTTGGCTGTAATGATGCTGGAGAGAACCTGCTGCAATATCCGATGGGCCTTGAGCGATGCCAACAGCGGAAACGGAGCTTGGAAGAGGTCGACAAGTAGAAATCGGACTCTGCGTGGTGAGAGTGCTGTCTTTAAATTGAACTATGCTGGATACGGAAAGAGCTGGCGAGCATACCCGTGGACTCTGAGCCGGAGTATCAAAGCCCCCTAGTGAGTGAATCGGACTTGCTGTTGAGAGTGAGGGACTGGGAACCGGTGTGCCGCGTTCGGAAATGGTTCGACAGATTACAGCGGACGGAGTGGCTTCTGCACGTCAGCACAAATCCATAAGACGCTTTTTTTTTTGTTATGTACTTACATGCGGCGGGGCTGGGGGCGTACGGAAGACTCTCGGGAATACCATGCCTCTTCATCCAACGGTCTATCTTTCGTGGCTCTACTTCATTGTCTCGCACCTCGAAAACGAGACCCCTCTTGTCAACTTCAACGAGCTTTCTCTGCTGGCGTTTCCGAACGATTGCCTTCATTTCTTGAGGCTTGACATTTTTGTCCTTCCTCCATTGGCTGATACGTGTTCGATACTGCCGTTCTCTGTACGCCAATTCGTGTTAGTACATAATTCCTGGGTAATCTGGAAGGTGCGTACTCCGCGATAAAGCCGAAATCCTCCATCATCGTCTTGACGTCCTTCAGCGGAAGGCTTCGCGTAATGTGTAGTTCGATGATGCGAGCTTTGTATGGCTCCCAGGCCTCAGCGCGTAGAGTTGGCGCTTTTCTCTTTCGTTGCTGCGTCGGTGGACCCATCGCGGTTGTGGGCAAAACGTTACTCTCACGAGCTAGCGCTATCCGAGCCGGATGCGGGCCGAACGACTCGACGACGTTGTTCGACCACATGACGGACGGAGGCTTGCCGAGTGAGGGCATCTGAGGGAGGTCACTGTGCTGACAGTACCTCGCTATATTGGCAAAGGTTCCAATGGAGATTTGGCGTGCGTCGTGGGGGGGTTGGAGGGGAAACCTTTGGAACAGACTAAGGAGCGAGAGGGACACTGCATTTTCAACGATACCAGAGCATATAATAGAGCGACAAGACTCAGGAGAGTAGGCAGTGTTGTCGAAGGTGATCGATGATTGGATGGAGAACGAAACTCCTATTGTCGGTGAGTCACTGCAATGCGGCTGAGCGTACTGCGTACGTGGTGGCTGAAGTGGGAGGCAATGACTGAAGATGCCGAGGCACCGGAAATTGACCAAAGATAACGTGTGCGGGTGCACAGTCCGGCGGAGGTCTTCAGGATGGCTGTTCCGCGCGTCGTTATATCCGGAGATTTCTTACTATTATTCCTCGGCTGTAATTTTTGCAAACTTGGCAATTACACGCTCAGGCCAAAACGCTGAGATATAAGGCCTGATTGGCTAAGTCAGCCCTCACTGGCCCTCTGGAGGTCTGTGATTTTCCACGCCGAAATGCCAAAGCTGACACAACTTCCGCCTGCAACCACAGTATTCTAAAGAACACCGGTCCGAGCCGCACCAGCAAAACTACTATGCTGCTCTCATACGATGCAACGTCCAAACAGACCCCCTCCCCGTACCGATAGCTAGTATGGTGCTCCGATATGCAGAACGCACGGAGTCCCGGGGCGAAATCTTCACTTGCAAAAGTACAATCCTCTCGCCGAATACGTATCGCAGCGAGTCGCCGCGGTGAGGCTCCGGCTCTTGACAAAACTCCTAAATGGAATCTTATAAGCTACCACTATCACCCATGCTTCAATGTAGATCTCTTTCCATTTCACCCAAACCCTTCAAATCTCTAGTCTACGTACCGATCCATCTCACACAATGACCCAAGTTGGCCAGCTCTCCGCCGAAGTCCTCACTGCCGCTATCTTCGGCGTGCTCCAGCTCGCTATCAACATGATAGTCCTCTGGCAACAGCGCACCCTACACTTCCGCCAGCTGCGCCGTACGACACTCTTTCTTTCCATTCCCCTTTGTCTTTTCAGACGACTGATACCATCGCAGAGCCAGCAGCCGAAAGAAGAGGACATGCTTTTTAAGTGAGAAGGGCGAGTTCGACCGTTGCTCTGCGTGGATCGAGGCTTCGAGGATCGGAAGTGGATGTTTGATGAACGTGGAGTGGATGCATTGCTTGGAGTCGGTTATGCCGACGGGTCATGTGTTGTTACGTGCCGTGGACGAGCAGAGCCTTGCGAGACTTTATGATCCATTGCAACTACTTTCCTCTTTCCCCAGATCATACGTCAAGTTTCAAACGACGGGAACTGCTTCGACCCACAAGCGAAAAAATATATCAATACAGCGACTATATACGAATGCAAGTCCACCTATGTACGTGTCACGCCGTGAGCGCGCTACTCAACCCCAAGATACCCATGCCAATGAACGCACTCGCGAAGCACAACCGCCTCGAATGCGTCAAATCCAAGCTCTCCCCCAAAAGCTGCACACTAACCATGGCCATGATACCCGCTGTCACCGCGAACATAGCTCCATACACTGTCTCACCTGGCTCACCGGCACCTTCGCCGGCTCCACGTTTCGCAATCTTGAACCAAAGCGCCGCGATAGCAGCGCCTAGTGGTTGCGACACACCGCCGAGTAACGCCGACCAAAACATTGCTTTCCATCGCGAGTTGATGGCGAGGTAGAGCGGGAGCGCCATGGCGAAGCCCTCAGTGATGTTATGGATGAAGAGGGCGAGAAATATGGCGAAGCCCAGACGCGGGTTGGCATGGTTTGTGGCGTAGGTGATGAAGCCCTCGGGCATTTTGTGAAGCGCAATCGCGATACTAGTTTGGAGGCCGATGGAGAGGAAGACATTGGTTGGGACGTGGTGATGGTGCTGTGCGTGGTGGTTGTGTGTGGAATGCGACGAGTTGGATGATGAATGCGACGCCAATGACTGTGAGCTGGGATGTTTCTGTATCGAGTTTCCATTCATTGATGGTAGGCTTGAGTGTGAGTTTTCCAGGGCCGCTGGTCCAGACGCAATCGGTGCCAAGGTGGTCTCCTCATCGACATGCTGCAGCAGAGGCTGGCGTTCGTACGGCATGGTTTGCGCTCTTGAGCCTACTGGCCTAGTAGGAGCCTTGCCAGTGGCTGGATGTAGTCGCTGTGGCCGCGCGTGTTGCACGTTCCTAAAGCATTCCTGTCCGCAGGGATCCGAGTACCCAAAACACTGGCCATTCTCATCGCAAAACTCTTTCGAACCAGTGACAAGCTGCGAGACCTTTGTCGAAATCTGCGTGTGCAGAGACGGCCTCCTCGCCGCAAACCTTGGATGATGGTTCTCGACCACGCCACCATAAGAAGTATAAGTCTGATGGCGCTCGGCATCTTGCGCTCCGTCCAGTTGGAGAAGCCCTGCTCTCTGCTCTTCTATACTCCTAGGCCTGGAATGAGATTGCGCATGTGCATCCTCTTCATCTTCCATTTTTCCCTCCTCTTCGTCACCGTGCTCATGATCGCAGTCAACCACCGAATGCGGAATATACCGATGCAAAATCTGTGACAGGATCGCGATACCGATGGCTCCGACCAAAAAGCACCCAACCAAGGTAAACGTTGCAGCTTTTGCGCTCATTCCCCCCTTTTGAAGATAATTCCTTGCCGATGGGAGCATGCTGTATAGCGATGAAAAGATCTGAGGTGCATATGTTAGTCATGTGAGGCAGTCCTCTGAAAAGAGCCGAGGACGTAATCCGAACGGATACATACCATGACGCCGAATGACAGACTTAATCCAGAGGATAAGAACGCGTTACTGTCCTCTATCCTAAAGTTCCTCTTTCCGGGTAGCTGACGGATGATGAGATCAACGCATATTATCGACGCTAGGTGGCGTTCAGCATGAAAGATCAGACGATTGGATAAAGAGACGCATTACCTCCTACGGTACAGGCTGGACATCAGTTAGCAGCGTATCTCATTGTATGCAGGCAGCCTACCCACCTATGCCGCTGACCGCGGTCATGATCCACCCCCTAGCATCGTTATCGAGAGCCATGTTCTTTGGGTGACGTTGGCAACGCCACACAGCAGCCTGGAAGCGAAGGATGCGCAGTTGTGTCCTGGGGTTATGTATAAGAGGAGCAAGAGTAGAGCAAGTAGGAAAGATGTTTTCTTTCAAACGATGCAGGGAAAAGCAAGTGTGAATGAGGCGTTGCTGATGCGCCGGTGATGCGTGACTACCCTGATGTCCAGTCTTGCACTAAAGCCAGAACTGGCTTAGGCGCTTGGCGTACCTTACGTTAGCCACAAACATCTGCAAGGCGATTGGTGAAACAACAGATGCGCCATGTGCGCTGTTGTGAACTGGATAATCATGCTTCACGCTCTCATTGCGCGGCTCCTATGAGACGTACGAGCAGACGCCGTAGGACCATGAATTATGCTTGATAGCTCTATTAGAGATCAACCTCGTAGAAGCGCGAAATCCCACCCTCATCGCTCATGCGTGAGATCCGCTTTCGTGACATGTTAGACAGCTCACCTGTCTAATGCTGCTGTCCTATGTTTCAATGCAGACCTTTTTCTGTCCTCAGAAACGCCGCCGCTATGCATATGACAAACAAGAAAGAAAAGCTAGGTGAAGTGTATAATGGTAACACAATCGGGAAGTGAACACCGTAAAAACCGCATTCAGAAGATCATCTTGGAGGTCGTGGTGGGGTGATCTTTCCCCACCTCCCTTCGCCGTGTTCCGGCGTCTCGTTGATGACCAGTAGATTTCTACCTCCACAGAAACCGCCGGGCTTGGCTGTTCTTTTTATTTGTTGCCAATGACCTCTGAGGTCCTCAGCGGTGGCATTCGAAGCGAAGGCCTTAACCGGATCATCATACTCCCAGACTGTATCCGTCACGGTCTGTCCGGGTTCCTCGGTTTGCCTTGGATTGAACTGGGGAAAGCCGACGACGTGGTTCAGCAAGTCGTGAATGAGAGAGTAGAGGCGCTCAGGGCGGCGAGAAAGAGAGAGCCAGGAGAGTGTCTTCGTGTCGTAAGCCACTCGAATGTAAGGGTTCATGTATATGGCAGAGTCCGAGGGCATCCCGAGCCCACTTCGCCTGTACTGAAGATCTGCATTGATGAGACAGCATTCCGAGGAGTCCCAGAAGGTGTCCTCCTCGTACCGGAATCGGAGAGGCGCAAGCTCGGAATTGGGTGTAATAGGCGGGTTTCTCGCTGACGCTGCAGCGGAGCTGTCTAAGTCTGTCTGGTCCTGGAACCACTTCGCTTCAAAAGCAGTCATACCTCCCCAGCAACTCCGAACTCGGACGGCATCCGTACCGGAGAGGACATCCTTCCTGCTCGTTGCCGTGCCAGCGCTTGTGAACCAAGGATAGAAAGGTATACCCATGTTGTACCCATCCAGGTCGCGCGTCGCGAATCGGTCGTAGAACTTGAAAGCGTTGATGAAGTCTACGGCACAGGCTGCTCCGTAGCTGGCCCGGCCATCGGAATCGACGTTTGTGGAGAAGAGGAGCTGTGCAGCGTCGATGGGGTCGAAATTTACATCATTGATGTATATTATTCGGTCGAACTGGACATCGGTCGTGTTCAGGGGCGCCAGGGCTCGGTTACGCACTTCAGCCAGGAAGGCAATTCGCTTTATACGAGTCATCCCGTTGGGCAGGGTGACGCGGGGCAGGCTGCTCAGATCGAGGTCCTCGAAGACGATGGTAGAGTTGCCTATTGAGTTAGCAAGTGCTTCTTATACCGCGAGGCGATGGAATCTCACATTTAGCATTCTTCCGGAACTCGAGCAAGGACTGTCGAGTAAGCTCGTCCGGGTCATTCTCATAGACGCTCAGGTGGACATTTTGCGGACCTAGCAGGTCTACCAGGTCAAGCATCGACTTCCCCCACGCACCAGACGACAATTCACCCTCCTCTTCGTAGATGGAAGCTGCTATGAAGACCTTCTCGTTGCGTATATTGGCGCGACCGGGAGTGCGGCTCTGGAGCGCCCGCTGGCGCAGCTCGTCGTAATGGGCTGGTCGGTGGGTGTAGGAGGGGAAAAAGGCACCGACGAAGAGGACGAGAAACAGGCAGATGTATGGTATGGAGAAGAGGCTCCAGTATATCAGCCGCAGCGCCGATCGCTTCTTCCGGCGGGGCGTCACATAGTGGGCGTAGACAGAGGGATCCGCGAGCTTGTCTGGGAAGCCTAGACGACCGAGCCATGAGGAATTGGACACATGACGCTCGAGGTTTGCGCCTTCGTGGGACTCGGAGGAGGCGCGCGGCAGAAGCTCGTAGTCGTGCGCGAATCGGTGCGTTCTAGGGGACATGGGGGGTGGTGGTTTCGTAGACGTTGAGCTCCGGCATGAGGCAAGCGCGACGGGTTATCTGGAGACTGTGGGCGGTCGTGCTAGGTAGAGGCCATGCGGCGCGGGGAAAGGTGGTATTTGAGGGCTGGGCGTTGGTCCGCCGTAGCACAGTGAGCGACAAAGCAGTCTTTGTGGTTCCCGACGCGCGATACAGGGCGCAGCAAGGGTCTCACAAGGGCCCAGCCCGGCAATAATAACCGCCCCAATGAGCCCAAATGAGAGCGAAAACAAGCACAATTCACTTACGCGAGCAGGATTACACGGGGCAAGAGCCAATTGGCGCACTTAACGGATGCCGCAGAAGCTGACTAAGTGTATGGAATTGCGCGCGGAATCCCTAGATCTGGTGCAAGTCGCGAATTTTGTCATCGTCGCAACCATCACACTTCTGCACAGTTGGCTGTCGAACCACCCATTGCCCGCTCGGCCTTGTCCATATTGTCATTTTGTATAGTGGCATGAGTCCCTGAACAAGTCCACGGGTGGCTTTCGCTCGTACTTGTCCCCGCGGTCAGCCACATCCAATTGGTGTGGCGTAGCTAGCTCAGCCTCAACCACCTCGCTACGATCTTACCGCATAATGCGCGGCGAACATTCACGAGTATCAACATTCTTCAGCAGAGGAAAAGGTTCTAAACGCATGTACCAAAGTAGTGGGTATCTTCTGTAAAGGCGTGTGCATCTAGATCTGCTGTATGCAGCACTCGTTCAGCAAGCGCAAGGGAAGACTGGAGGGTAACTTGCTGGTAGCACGTAGCAGAAATGGGATCCTCACCATGGAAATGGATGGAAATGGCCCATTCTCTACCTAGGTATATACAAGCTGCTTGACGCCCTTGCTAATGTCATCTCCCGCGTTAAGGCATCCGAACGCGCACATGGAACGTCTGTTGACCGCGCCTGCCTTCACCAGAGGAAAATTCGGTGAGCATTTCCAAGTGGTGCAAACGCGGAGTTGCCATCCACGCGCTTCCTTTCCCTTCTCCTAGTCAGCTCATTTGTTTCTGCGGCTACCACTCTCCGTCCCCGACATATCGTTGCCAATGCAGATGCTGCCGTCTCATGTCTACGACCGACCGGCCTTCACCTCGTCCCCGAACAAGCGACAACAAACTGTACCAAGCGTGCCTTGATCTCTGCATTAAGGGCATCGGGCAGCTCAAGGTCAGCAAGCGGGTCGAGCGAGGTAAGTGTGTCCCGGCCTCTCACCCGTGCCTTCCCCTTTTGACGTCTCATAGCAACGTCCGCCGCCCACACCGACAACAACGACAACACGCACGTCACCCGCGCAGCCGCCTCTCGGCCACTTCCCGCCTCATCCGCGACAGAGCAACAACAATCTGTCCCTATCCCCCCACCGCTACCTTCTCCGCCACCGTCCCCGCCGGCTTCGCCCGCAGGTGAGTGCGCTCCAAGGCTTTGCAACTGCGTGTGCGGAACCGCCTGGCTGACTTACTTCATACAGCTTTTGGCATGGATCGCTCGTTGTTGCACGGCGCTCCACCGCGAGGACCTTCGGGCTCTCCATCGGGCTTTCGCCCCTCCGGCTATGGCTCCCAGGATGCGAGGAGCAACCTGGCTGTCCAGCCTGCTGCTACCCCGACCAAGATCAACCTCAAGAAGGCGGCCGTCAAGGTTGTGCGGCCCGCTGAGGTTGCGCGACCCGCTGGCCCTGCTCCCGCTGCGTCTATTACGGGACCGGTCAGGTCAGCACCCAAGGTTGAAGACGGGTGCGTATCCGCCTTACGCGCATGAAGCGTTTGCTGACTATATCTTCATTAAGGCACGAGTCACTAAAGCCAGCCCCAAAGGCAGATGCAAAAGCAGTCCCTGCAAAGGCTAAACCCGCCGCGCCGAACGACAACGCTGAGTCAGCTATCGACTCCATCTTCACTCGGCTCATGTCTCCTAGCCCTGCACCATCGCCGGCGGCCACGCCTACCCCAATGCCAGTTGGCCACCATCGAACCGCAGGACCATCGTCGCCGGTCACGACTACTACAACGCCGGATGGTCGTGGTCGAGCCGCAGCTGGCCCAGACAAGTCCTTCTTCTCGTTTGAAGACGAACCGACCAACAATCTGCAGACTCAGTTCCTCAAGAACTATGTGGCCAATATCGGTAGGGAGGAACCAAAAACCAGGAGTCTCGCCCCTGCATCAGCAACGCCACCCGTGGTCGAAGTCGAAGGTGCTGAAGAACTCAAGATGCCTTCCAATGCCACGGTGGAGCCCAAGGCAGCGGTTAACCCATGTGAGGGCATGTCTAAGGAAGACCTCGAGCGTCGTTATCTCCAGAAGGCAGCGGAGTACCTCACCTCGGTGCCCATCGATGGGAAGGCGATCACAGCTGATCTTGTCAAGAACGTGATGATAAAGCTGCGCCATTCATACTCGGCAACGACAAAGCCTGACGCGGAAGCTATTGATGATCTCAAGTCAAAGTACTTAGGTGCGGTTGTCAGCTACATCAATGGACTCGGCAAGCGAGGCGCGACGCCCATCACGGCCGATTTCATCGAGCAGAATCTAGAGACGAACGACGGGGACTTTCTGCATCTCTGTGCCACGCTGGTGGACGAAAAGGTGCTCGTTATAGAGAATCTTGACGAGGTCGCTAGGCTCTGCGAGGCCATTATGGGTGTCCTTCCGAACGAGGAGGCTAAGGCGGCAACTGCCTCTCCAGAGACCAAACTAATCTCAAATGATCCAATGGACAAAATGACTGCTTGGCCAACACAGGAGAAGCGCGAGAATGGTGAGTCAATCAATTCCTAACCATACGGCACGTGGAGGTCTGCGAACCGACAGCAGTAGCATGGCGCATACCGCGCGGTCAAGCCCAACCTGCATGAGGTTCTGGAACGCCTCCAGAATCACTTGGTGTGGCAGAGGGATCGAGCTACATCTATCGCAGTAACAATTCGCTAACAAGCTTCCAGCCGCTGCATGCCGCACCTGCGTGCTCAAGGGCGTCTCGGGTATCACGAGCCTCAACCAACTACAGGCACTCGTTTGGGGTGGCAGGCTCGAATCTATTTCACTCCCAGAACCGGGATCCGGGTTCGCCCTCGTTAAGTTCCTTACGCCTGAAGCGTGCCAGAAATACTTCAAGGCTACCGAGAACGGTATCGAGATCTCTGGTGAGAAGAAGGCGGTCATCTTCGTGGAGAAGCAGCCAGGTCCGAACTCGATCAACGACGTCATACGCAATTGCATCGAAGGCGACGCGTCGCGCTGCGTGCGTGCCTATGACGCGGATGAGGACTGGAGTGACATGGCCTTGTTGAAGCTTGCCCGTGGAAAGGGCCAGTTGAAGCGAGAAGTCGACCGCATCAAGCGAGGCAAGACTGCGAAAGGCGTGAGTGACTATCTGCCCTGAAGCCCGTCAGGCTCCACTATACCGCACTCGCTAACAATGTTTCAGCGATACTACATCGAGTTCCGATTCGCTAGCATCTACCATGCTCTCAACTTCAAGCGCGCCTTAATGGACGACGAGGACTGGGAGCACTGCACCATCGGATATGCTCCAGACCCGTGCGAGACCGCTAGCGGCGTTCACTTCAAGGACGAGGACGAGGAAGGTGGTGGCTTCTTTGCTTAAATCACCGTGGCCTCGTGCTAGTCTAGGATTCAAAACAAGGAGGGCGCTATCGTGGTGTATGTCTCGGGCGATCTTGATTCGTAGGCTTCGATATGAGGTCATGGCATATCATGTCTTTAACGTCACATGATGGAGCGAAGAAAGGTCATGACTTTCTGGATGTAATTACCTGATCCTATCGAAAGACTTGATACCTCACAGTTTTGATTGTCTTCTAGCGCTGGGTGCTAGTGAATTGCTTTTGGTGTTCATCGGAACGCTTGACTGAGTACTAGTGGGTTGAATGCCTTCACGCGCCCCAGGACGTATAGCGACTCAGTCGTCGCGCACAAGGAGCAACGCCAGACTCCTGTGATAATGTCCGAAATACGAACATCGGCAGAATGTGCTCGGCATCGACTCCAGCTTGGGCGAACGCCTGGGGATGGGTGACCTATACAGCAGAGGCGGCGGCAATCCAGGTATCAACACGAAACTGGAACGTTATTCTGTCAAAGGCTCTTCCTCCGAGGGTTGCGATGCGTATTCGGGTGGACTACTCTTAAGTGCTGTGTTTGGAGGAGGTTTGGTGACGGGAATTTCGCGGAGCCGGCTCCAATGAGGAAGGACCCTGAGCCATTAGTGTCGAAGGAAGCCCAACCTCGCGGCATTAACGCACTTGCGCCGAACGGCTAGGAAGAGTGTTGTACCGGTACGAGGGAAAGGGGGGCGACACACTTCCTTGGGATCACGGCATTTGAGCGTCGCTCATCTTCTTCCCCACCTGTTATTCCCGCTCAATTCGTCTCGCGGCGTCGCACCACTCCACATCATGGGAGGCCCGGTATTCTGGAAGACTGTGGACCACGTGGAGCCACATTTTGTGGTGCGCGCCGTCCACAAGTTGCATGAGTAGACTAGAGGGAAGACCCTCGTCCGTCTAACCTTCCAGAAATCCACATGCCGTTCGCCGCAAGCGACCCCAATGCGGTAGTGAGGCGACATCCCTGGGGCTGGAAGGAGCGGTGTCAAGACGGTGTCAGACGGGGCGCTCTTGGGTGGCTGCAGAAGCGCCGTGGTGGCACCGATGTTGGGGAGCGGGAGAATACGATCAGCCATTGTGTGTTGCACGGAGGAAAGGAAGGGGGAAGGACAGGCAGGTGGACGGATGGAAGGGGAAGTGGAGGAGCTGTTGTTGCGTCCAGTATCAACGACTGGAGAGGCGAGTACGAGAAGCTAAGAACTGTGGAGGAGTCGGAGGTTGTTTGGAGGGACCAGTCGGCAAAAGGAAAACCAGCGCGAGGGCTTCGCGGCGCCGATGTGCTGTCTTGAGCGAAAGCTTTCCACAATGTGGGGTTTCCCGAAGGATTTGGGTGGAAAGGGGGCCGGCTTGGTGGACTTATTGTTCGCCGCGGGCAGCTGTAGAGATTCACGCTAGGGGTACCACCAGTGGTAGCGTACCAAAGAGCGACAGTATTGAAAAGGACTTTGCGGCAACCCAGGATGATGGTTGAAGAAACATTCCTTCCACCCCGTCAGCTGGGAAATTTGAGACGAAAATTGCGCATTCAATGACACGCGTCTACGGATTACTCGTGGTCTGTGGACGTCAGCGGACTCCCTTTTGCAGCGCAACACCTGAACCCCAAGACTCCCGGGTTCCCTGAGGAGATCCGCACCACGAATCAGATCTCCTCATCATTAGCATGAATCTTATAGACCCGACGGCGGGCATCCAAGGTTCGCCCGACGTCATCCCAAACGCCCATTCGGGAAAGTTTGATAAAGGCCCGCGAATCATGCTCGCCAGCACCCCTCCACGCATGGAGCACACGTGGCGCGCACGCACATCAGTCACGATCAACAGCCAGTCTGAAATCGAGTTCGAGGTGTGCCGGATAATTATAAAATTGCCGGGAGAGTGTCGTGGTGTGTGGTGACGGCCGTTGGGTTCGGGAAGGCTTCGAGAATAGCGCTGGCACGGCGCCAAAGCTGCCCCTTTGGGCACTCATCCGCGCACAGCATACCGGCGGATGGTAGCAAAGATCGACAACTCGAAGAGATGACGGTGTTGATGGGATAGAGGGCATCAAGGCAGGCTTTGCGAGAGATGACGTTGAAATACAGTTGAGCTTCGCCGCGGGTCGATCCGGAGTTGACCGCGAAAGGAAGGTATGGTGATGTGCTGAGATGAGCGTGGAGATGCGTCAGCTGTCAACCACAGCAGAGCGTCACAAATCAGAGCCTGCCGCTCCTCGTGGCTGCCATGTGCGGGAGCCGCGCAGAACTCCGTCCGGCACGGCACTATCGCGCGGGACTACTCCACGGACTTTTTGAGATGCGCTCTCTTCTCTCCCATTTCGACTTCCATTTTGATTCCGAATGCGCCGGCTGGCATGTTCGGCACTCCTCCTGCCCCGCGTTTCACAGACCGCAAGCCAGAAGCATGCGACCACGGTACCAATGCCTATTCGAAGAATTTAACTTTCGAATCGTCTTTAGAGCCACAGCTGCCCCGCGTGATTGACCAAGTTCCTGCAGAAGGTGCTCTGCCCAGTCGCTTCGGCTACGCTTGGTGTAAACAGGCTGCAGTATGCGCATAAAGCACACACTCAGACGCTCGTCGATTGCATGTCGCTGCTGTCCGGCCTGGCCAGTGAGTGCGCCGGCTGGTTTAAACAGACCACGATACCCCGAGTAACGGTCAAACTCTATGTCGAAACGGGTCTGACTCGACGTGCTTGGACCGACTACCGACTACACATAGGAATGTATAGCGTCGGCGGGGTGGAGGAAAGGAACTTGGAATACCTATGAGCGAACAGAGGTCGTCCTGCGCGAGGCTTGAGGCCGTTTGGTTTTCTGCATCGTCCGGCAGAAGGCCACCCGGGCCACGAACCGTTCCGGGGGGTCGTGGGTACTGAACTGACAGTATTGTACTGTGCACTTTGAGTGCCGACCCGCTTGGCTTCTCTGCCGACTCCACGACAGACGCACGCACGCGCAGTCGCAGTTCGTGTCCCCTCTGGCAGCCTCACGTCCATATCATCAGACAAGCACGGGCTCGGCTCGCATTGCGCCAACCCGGAGGCCCAGGCGGCGAACGCTCAGTCCCGCCATCGTGGTCGGCGTCGCAGGCCCTGAGTCGAGCGTAACGTAAGCGCCAATGGGGCGCCGCTGTGGCGCAGAAAACCGGGCCCCTAATGCCCCCTAATTCACGAGCGCCCCGTGCCCTAACGCATCCCTCGTCGACCGTCGCTGGCGGCGTCGGCGGATTCGCCCCAAGACAGGGGCCGCGAGACAGCCTGCAGCTTGCCATGCCTCATTCTGCCAGGCCCTCTGGGCGACGGCAGTGCGTGCAGGCCGCCCTCGGCCCTTGCTCGCTGGCTGTGGCAGACGCGAGATATATCCACCACGATCCAATTCGCGCCGCCGACCCTCTGGTCCCCGCAAACTCCTGTCTGACTCTTGACGCTGCGTATTCCTTGGGCTAAAGCTCATCTCGATTCTTCTCTTCTGCACGCCGCCGTAATTAAGCCCGCAAATCGTCCCCTGCTCCGTCTCAAGCTACGCTCCCGGTCCGCTCCACCCCTACCTTGCTGCTACCTAGCCCAGGCGAGCCTACCAGCGGCTTGCCTCTAAAGGTCCCGCCAGCCCGCGGCCTCTTCGCAGCGATCTTCCGCGCGCAGTCTCGATGCTGAAACGAGCCTGACGCGAACGAAAAGCCAGCCGTCTGCTCCTGAACAGACAATTCCATGTCGAGCGGAGTCAATCCGTCTTTGTCTGGCCGCAACCCACCCAACCCGCCTCATTACAATCAGAAACGAGAACCGTCCGAAATCGAAGCGAACCTCTTCGAGCTCGGCCTCTTGGGCAACAAGAACGCCAAAAAGTCCACCAGAGCTCACTCCAAGACGAAGCCCAAGGTCGTCGAGTTCGGATCGCCGGTGGCCCACCACAGTACATAGACCCATACCACTTAGACCTTGTCTTCGAGCTCAGGCCCGCTCATGTCTTTTCTAGGAGGCTTCCGTCCCAGCTCGCGCAGCTCGCACTCCAACTTCTTCACTGCCAGCACGGCAAAGCCCTTTGGCTCGCACTCGCAAGCCGCGCTGCTCAGCAACACCACGCTTGATTCGCAACCGCCCCGGCGGTCCGGCAGAGGCATGGCCGGCGTGCTCGACATTGAGCGGTCGCGGACACGCCGCGAGCGCACCTTTATCGGCAGCGAGTGCGCCGTCTGCGAGGAGCCGCTGGAGCACACGCTGCGCGGCGAGCGGATACTGCAGCTGTCGTGCGGCCATGTGTCGCATGAGGCCTGCTTCTACGAATACATACGCGAATTCGAGTCGCAGCACTGCCCGACGTGCAATGCGACGCTGGGGCTGGACACCAGCCGCGGCGGGAACGTGCTAGATCTCGGTAGGTGTGCATGGTAGGACAGCAATGACAGAAGCGCTTACATGGCTGGCAGAGAAGCTCAGCACGATTGTACGCTCGGTGCAGCAGGATGGGGGCAGCCACCGGAGCAACCAGAACACGCCGACACCGTGGGACAGCCAGACGCTGCAGTCCGAAGCCCACAGTCACGCCCCTAGCCATAGCCACGGGCGCCCGCGGAACGACAGCGACGTCAGCGTCGGCCGCTATCAGGGCGGCGGCCACTCATCGCGCCAGCGGGACAGCAGCCTCAGCCGGGAGCGGGAGCGCATGGGCTCGATGTCGCGGCAGCATCTGCGCAGCGACAGCGGCGCGACGGGCATTGCGTCGTCGGGCGACTACGCGGCCACGCACGACGGGCGGCGGCACGACTACGACGTGCAGTCGATGGAGACGAGCCTGAGCAGCCCGCGCGGTCTGGTGAAGAGCCCGATCCCGCCGCCCACAGTGACAGTGCGCAGCGAGTTCCCGACGCTGAGCCGGTCGCGCCAGCAGCAGAGCCTGACGTGTCTGGTGACGGTCGAGGTGGTGGACGGCAAGTGGCGGGCGGACCCCGAGGACATGCGAGGTGCGCCGCCGCTGCCCTCCATCGCGAGCGCTACGGAGAGCTTCAATCGTGCGAAGTCGCCCGTCCGCAGCCGCCCCTTCGACACGCCCTACGAGTCCGAGGAGGCGCTCGAAGAGATCACCGAGGACCTGCACGCCCGCGTCGACAACTGGCACGGCCTGGACTTCTCGCGCTTCGGCAAGCTGCGCCTGCACGGCCACGTCCGCGTCGGCAAGGACCGCCAGTCGTGGCAGGAGCTCGAGTGTTACCTCTTCTCCGAGATGCTCATCTGCGTCAAGGAGAAGAAGGTCGCCCCGCCCGCGCAGTGGGACGCCTCCGACGCGTCGGCGCCGAAGAAGACCAAGTGCACGCTCAAGGGCTCGATCCTAATCAAGAAGCACCTCAACCAGGTCGAGCACTCCCCGGACGACGCCGTCCTGACGCTCAGCCTGTCTGTGGCCGAGCTCCCGTCCTTCCACCTGCAGTTCCAGAACAGGAGCCAGCTGGAGCTCTGGCGGCGCGCGCTGATGGACATCCGCATGGACTTCCCCACGCCGCACCGGACGCCCGACTACGACCAGGACAACTCGGGCACAGAGGACGACGAGTACCGGCGCCCCAAGCGCGTGTCGTCCGTCAACTCGTCGTATGGCGCCGCCAGGTCCACCATGACTGCCCCGACCGAGTACACAAACTCGCGCGCGGGGCTGCCGGAACCCCGCCTCACCGGAGCGATGCATGTGCCCCTGGACATAGTGGTCGTCATTCCCGTCTCCTCGTCAATGCAAGGCTTGAAGATCAACCTGCTGCGCGACACGCTCAAGTTCCTAGTGCATAACTTGGGCGAGCGCGACCGCATGGGACTAGTCACCTTCGGCTCGAGCGGCGGCGGCGTCCCGATTGTGGGCATGACGAGCAAGGCCTGGAGAGACTGGCCAAAAGTGTTGGATTCAATAAGACCCGTGGGACAAAAGAGCCTTCGCGCCGACGTGGTCGAAGGCGCCAACGTCGCCATGGATCTACTCATGCAACGCAAATCAAACAACCCGCTTTCGAGCATCCTGCTCATCAGCGACTCGTCGACGTCGGATGCGGAGAGCGTAGACTTTGTGGTATCCCGAGCCGAGGCTGCAAAGTAAGTTTTACATGCATAACGAGCATTCCCCCTTCGGACCGGCTGACTTCATGCAGGGTTACCATCCACTCTTTTGGTCTGGGGCTGACCCACAAGCCCGACACTATGATTGAGCTGTCCACGCGTACCAAGGCCTCGTATACCTATGTCAAAGACTGGATGATGCTGCGCGAGTGCGTGGCGGGATGCCTGGGCTCGCTGCAGACTACCTCGCACCAGAACGTCAAGCTGAAGCTGCGCCTCCCCGAAGGGTCTCCGGCCAAATTTGTCAAGATTAGCGGCGCATTGCAAATCACCAAACGCGCGACTGGACGTGACGCCGAAGCCGCGCTGGGCGACCTGCGCTTCGGCGACAAGAGAGGTTTGTTACGATTACACCTGTACCACTGCATCTGTGTTCGCTAATCTGCCTCTCAGACATCCTCGTGCAGCTAGCCATCACGCCAGACACTGCGTCGCCGGAGCAGCTACCGCAAGATCCCTGGGAGACGATTGTTTCAGGTTTAGAAGCGCTGGGCGGGCCCCTCGACCAGGATGAGTCGCGCAGCCTAAGCGTCGAGGAGGTGCCCTTGATCCAGGCCGACCTTACTTACGGCGATATCCTCAGGGAAGGGACCATCGCGCACCTACCGCGTCCATCCCTACTAGCCATTACCATCTTACCATCTGTCTCGAAGAAGAATCCTTCTGGACGTCCGTCAACGCCACCGATCCCGCCCCATCCGCATGTCGTGCAGCGACGCATGGAGCTCCTCACATCGGATATGTTGACACGTGCGCTCACGCTTGTCTCGCGAGGTCAGCACGAGCGAGCACACCACTTGCTCAAGGAAACACGAAGTATTCTAAAGGGTCTCGGAAAAGGTGGTTTGCCTGCACTGCCCCCTGCCGGTTCCCGACGAAAAGACCTCCCAAGCGCGCCCGGCAGCACCGGCCACTCATCGCCAACAGTTGACAGCGGCGATCGCCCCAGGACACCATCGCCGCATGCAGAGAATCCCTTCACGCCTGCAGCGGGCATCGACGCCACGACCATGCATGCGCTCGACGCTGAGCTGGAGTCCAGCCTCGAGTGGATCAACCACCCGGCAGTCTTCGGCCGGGACTCGCGCAAGGCTGTGCTCCAGGCCATCGGCGTCATCTCTTCCCAGCGCGCATACACTTTCCGCACTCTCTCCGAAGCACTCTGGGCTGAGCGCATATCGGGCGTAAAACGTCTCGCGGAACGGTCGCGGGAGTGGCGCGAGTCCGGCGACGATCAGGCCCTCATGGAGGAGAATTAGATCTCATTCCCCGTCGCTTTCATTAACCCCTTGTCCTTTGTACCATATCCTTTTGGCAATCCGCCTTCTCCTTCGGGTCATATCATTACCGCCTACGGCCGTTTCGGCGATTATTCACATGGGCTTGTTGGGCTTTTATGGGGGCCAATCCTTGACTTTTTTTTCACGAATGATACCACCAGCGTTCCGCCCGCGCGCCGCCTTTTGCAGGTCTGGATTGGATTGGAGCATTCGAGGGTTCGAAAATTCGGTCTGAGTTCTTGGATGATACCAGCTCGTTTGTAGCGCCGCATGTGGACACATGAATATTCTTACTGTACACAGTACTCGTTCAACTGGTCTTCTGCAATGTGCCTTCTTCCTTCCGGCCCCGAATCATACCAACGCAGATAATATCGAAGACCGTGGCACAGTGCCGGCCTATCCCATGGTACAGATGGCAAGGCTTCGGTACATGGCGTCAGATGCACGGTGCCCATTCCACAGCGCTGGTCGAGGATAGATTGAGCTATCCAGACTTTACATACGAGCATCGTCATCCTCCCTAGGGCTTGATCCCCACTAACAACTTCTATTTCCGGCGTCCGCAGCCCAAACCCAGCCTCACAGTCTGCGAACGAGCATGGCGTATCGGTACTTCAGGATGATAACATCAGTTATTAATTTTCGTGCAGGTGAAGGGACGAAGCGCCGGATTTCCGCATGTACAACCCTAGCAGCTTTCGGCGATCAATGGACCAGTAAGAGAAGAGACGAGCCCTACAACAACGAGGCCGCAGTTTGTGACCCCCGCAGAGGGCTTCTCGTGTGTGCGCCCCGGTGAATATCACTAATGCGGTGCTACCACTTTGGGGAGGGGAAGGGAGTTGTGTGGATGGCGAGTTGGCGACGGACTTCGTGAGCTGGAACTGAGGCTTGCTTGCTTCATACAACTAGCTTGCTAGGCTATGCTTGATGCTAGACGCTATAGTTTCTACATGCTATTGAAGCAAAGACAACACCTCTCCATATGCTAGCCTGCAGATAGGATTCCAAAGTCTACCTCGAGGCGTGCTTCATCTTCCTGCGCGTGAGATGGATTTACGGTCATCAGACCTTGGCCACAGCTCCCCAGCGCCTCCATGTACCACCATAAGCTCGATATTGTGTCTCAGGCTGCGCGGCTACCCAATCACATAATTCTGACGCAGGCAGAGGCTGTAGTGCTACACTGGGTAATGTAGTAGGATGGAGGATTGGGCGGGTGTGGCTGCGGGAGTGCGGAGAGTGACAGGTTGACGGTGCGGGCGTGAACGAGTGATCGCATCCTTCGAGCTGCGCATGATCGCGATGAAGGAAGCAGAAGGCTGTAGAACCGCTTGACGCGGTCCGCGAGTATGGACAGACGTCTTACTGTGGCTTTTCGTCCTCCATTGAAGACTGTTCCGGAAAGCTTATGGGTAGGGAATGCATCGCCTCCCCGTGACGGCATCGCGATGCCGATACCAAGGTTGGTTCGCACCACCATCTCATACCTACATGGAATCACGACGTCCCCGGCTGGAGGTATATTAAATGGAAGAGGGCAAGGGCTCGAAACTAGGGAAACCCGAGAAAGGCCCGTCTGCTGGTAGATGTAACCATCTGGTCACAGAGTACACAGTAGGAGCGGAGCGTGGTTCCTGCTAGCCGGGCAACTCGGCCATGGATAACAGCGATAAGGAACCTCATCGACGGGACCGCGCATCCCACACTCCTCCTCACCACGCGCATCGCTCCAATCAATGGGTTTACTGTATCTGATTGCAACGTCCAATCGTATGAGCCGTGGCAGCGCTGCAGGAACAAGAACCCCGCGGAACGGAGACCCTCTCACCGTCTGACCACATGCCGAAGGACAGGGTACTTCTCTGCATTCATCAATGTCAACTTCATTCGAGAGGAGAGAAAAACGCCTCGCCTCGCAGTGCATCTGCAGGACCCATTCACGGTCCAGACGAATCCCGAGCCCATTCTTTAACCAGTTGGCGGTGGAAACGAAGGATCGCATGTACATACGGTACAGAATTTGCTCGACGGTTGCACTGCAGGAACGAAGCCAGCAGGGAACAAGGGACACGTTTGGTTGCGTCTTCTTTGCAGGTGGGTGGGATCGTTGCAATTTCGAAGGTGGAAGGGCGTTGGTGGAAAGGGAAGGCTTCGAGATGAGCCGGGGGGATCCCGACGGCGTCCCCTGTCGCATTCGAGCCGGTATGCGTCTCCAGCCACAGCTCTGCGCTTGCTATACCGGTGTAGTGCTGTGGAGAAAACGTGCAGACCCAACCTCCTCGTTCTCAGAAACGATGCATTGACGCATCCCACGGGTACGAGCAAAAGCAACGCGGCCTGAGCGTCATTGATATCAAGTGTCCGGCGTCGACGCGCTCCTCTCCATCTTCAAATCCGACCACCACATACGTACACAATGGATCTCGAGACTTCTTTCACAGCCCTCATGTTCGCCCGATGGTGTCCCCTCCCGATCCCCAAACGCAATCCCCCAGGCGCACCACCCGACGAGCCCAGCACTCTGGAACCGCGGTGCTTTTCCAACACGCTATTGACGATCCCCACCGGCACGGCATAGCCTGACGCACGACTGGAAACCCGTTACCGTTGAGTGCTAGTTTCAGCAAAAAAGCAAACTTCGCGCCAGCGACCAGCGCTCTCCACGCGAAACGCTGCATATGTACTCAAGACTCCCAGAGCGGTTGCGCAGTGGAGACGTTGAGTGGGGCGTGCAGACTCTTCAGGTAATTCTGCACACGCGTTTGACGGCTATCATCTCCGCTGATGAGCGTGCTGCTCGTACCACCGTCTTGAGACCCAACGCTGCTGTACCTTGCATATGCCGTCTGCTCTTTCTTCCCAAGACCCAAGGACCGCGCACCTACGCCAGACTAAACGCATGCCCTTTGCTTTTCCGCTCGCGGCAACCATCCCACTCTTTCCGCCTTCATACTCTGCACACCTTGTTCATAACAGAAAGCAACCCGACGATCTATCAATCTCGCCGTCTCACACGGACGCACCCGACACGACACCCAGCCACGCTGTCAAGATTCGATCGGCGCGGATGTCATCGCCCTCTTCGGGAAAGCTTCATGGGGAAGCAGGAACCGGTCCCGCCCGCCAGACAGTCAGACAACGGCTCGGCATCCCAGGTCCACCATGCTTCCCATCAAACACGAGTCGTGCCTCAGACAAGGTTTCTTTGCAGCACCTTTCCCACCGCTGACCTACCCTTTAATAAAAATATTCACAATTAGTCGAATCACAACCCGCTATGTACCCGGCATCTAATTCTGTCGCACCATTGCCGTCCCCGCAAACAACTGCCGTTGCCGTTTGCCCTTCCAAAAGAGGAAAAAGAAACTGGAACGCCTTGGCCAGCCGCTTTCGCCGTCTCTCGGGCGATCGTGAATGACTTGGGCAGAGGGTGCGCAAGCGAAGGTTCCGGTGACACGCCGCCGGTCCAGTCTGGAGGAAAGGCGCCGTTTGGGGCGTTCTTTTCGTGCCACCTCGCCTCGCCTTATCTCGTGCTTTCAAACGCTTTTCCACGCTTTCAAACAGCTATCCCTTCTCCCTGAGCCTCTATCCCGCGCCGGTGCAACAGGGTATGGCGACGCTTAGAGGTTCTCGTACATACAAGTGGAGGCCCCAGAGGAGGTAAAAATAGCCACTACTCGAATGCAATCCGAATGCGAGCCGGGTGTCTTCGCTCTGCGTTTCTGTATATATGTTGCAGGAAGCACATCGCGACAACCATGATAGCAGGGAACATCCTACTTCTCTTCAAGGTTCTGTGAAATCATGTGTTCCTGCAGGTACGATGCAGAAATCACCCTCGGGTCGCGCCCGGTTGAAAGGCAAACGGCCAATTGGGGTGTGGCGGGGAGGTGAGCGAACGAGAGGTGTGGCTGGTGGATACGATGCACAGGTTGTACTGCGTACCACAAGTCATAACTCGTCATTGATTCGTACAGAGGAATACCTCGGAGGCGCCGCGACCTCTAACGTCTACACATGAGTACAGCTGTTGATAAACGATACAAGTCCCTCCCATTCTACCATCGCCGGAATCCCCCGAATGCGGAAGAAAACTGGTCCGCTAGCATCCCATTAGTCCCACCGCAACGTCCGGTACGGGACTGGCGCACTTACAGTATACCGACATGGCATGACAATCCGATGCCTCGGCCTTCTCGTGTGCCTTCGGAAGCCACTCTCGGATCTTCGCTTCCCGGTTGTGGTTCGATGGATGGGTGGAGAGGATTTGGGGAGGGCCTTGTTGGCCGAGCTTCTCCATCCTTGACCAGAACTCCATGGCGGCTTCGGGTTTGTAGCAGCCTTCGGCCATCATTAGTAGTCCGATATAGTCAGCTTCGGCCTGTTGCGTGTTAGTTGCTGATGACCGGAATGAGGGGTATGTAGTGCGCGAGGCGAAGAGGAAGTACCTCTTGTTTTCTGCTACAGGGATAAGATAGGACCAGGTCAAGGAGCATCTTGCTAGAGTAAAGCGAGAGATCGAACCACATCAGCCCTATAGCGCCGAGCAGAATGAGGGGAGCTCGGCTCATCCTCTCACTGGATCCGATTAGCTTGTCGTTCCTAGTATGGGGCGTGGACACATACGCAGTATGATGGGCAACAATATGTGCAATCTCATGCCCAAGAACAGCGGCAATGCCGTCCTCGTTGCGACACAGTGGAAGGATGCCGGTGAAGACGAAGACCTTGCCGCTGCCAAATGTCAGTGCCTGCTCGATCCACATGTCTCCCGGATTCACACTCACCCCGGTGCGACAAATGCATTCTGCTCCGGGCTGTCTATCACATAAACCTCCCAGTCTAGATTGTGCAGCCCGGCGCCTTGGGCATATGGCAGCAGTCTATCCAGGACCTTTTTGACCTGCCGCACGCGCGGGTCCCAGTCCGGGAGAAACTTGCCTCCGTATTCCTGCTTCACCTCCTCCACTGACATCTGGCCCATGTATTCTTCGAATGCGGGGGAGATGATATTGAAGCGGCGGCGTCCGGAGACCTGGGGATGAACCGTGTCAGGAGCCGCTCTAGCCCTCGATTTGGATGGGAGATGCAACTACCGGTACCTCCTCCAAGTTCCACACATAGACACCGCCCGCACCCACGCTCAGCAGCCCGACGTCTCTGTAGAATGTCGGCTTCGCGGCCCATCTCATGAAGAAGTTGGATGCCGTCTGGAAGCGCTGGTACTGCGGGCGCTGGCCGCCGAAGCGGTATTGCCGGTATGCGCGGATGTGGCCATGGGCTCTGACCGGGCCGACGAACGCGTTGGGTGTGCGAAGCGCACGCAGCCCCGTCCTGCAGGAGAACATGGCTGTCGTTGTCGTGGGAGGTGAGCTCGAGCCAATGACCAACCTTGGAATGTCCGCGGGCATGCCAAGCCAAGCCCATCGTGACTCGCTTGCAGTCGCCGTCACGGTGCCGGTTTCCTCTCCACTACAGCTCATTTGCCCGCTCGGACGCAATCACACCGCACTCCAGACGCTCGTCCACCCGCTTCACAACTCGCCCTTCATCGACGGCACATAGAGAAGAGACAGCGAGCACGTATAACAACGCAGCTGCTCGATATCTTGCCTTCCGCGCCTTCCTGACATCTTCGGGAGTCTCCTCCTCATTAGAGCTTGTCAAGAATGATGGACTTTCGACATCTAATGGCTGCAAGGCTCATTGTGTCGAAGAAGGGATAGAACAGAAGTCGTTGGACTGCAATGGTGGTGCGGCCTAAACACACGTTGGGCTAAGGTGACATTCGAATCATTTCGCCACGGGGCTGCCATCCGACCGCAACAGCACGAAAAGGCCAGGAGATGAGAAGCTCAAATTCAAAACCTCGGCGACACCGTTGCAGATTAAGAACACGAACGTTGCGCTTCTATTTCAAGTTCGCTCAATTCCCATCCAGCACTCCAGCGGCCAAAACGACGCCTCGTCTACCGTGCACGAGAATCTCGACTGTCGGGTATAGCAAAGCTTTTTATTTTGTATATTGTGGGGAAGCTAATTTTAGGTGCACCATCTGCCACCGTTGAACTTCCAACGTTGATCGAACCTGGGTCGCTGGCGGATTAATATGGCTAAATGCGGTACGCAAAAGCTCTCGACCAAACTTCGTAACTTGGTTTGATTAATGCACTAGCAGACGTCACAGCGGTATACGGTGGCAAGACTAGAACTTTACGTACGGCCATCTACTACCTGTCTAGACTTTGCTACCCGCCACATCCTTGTGTATATAAGAAAGAAGACCCTCGCGACCAACAGCGCTTTATTGAACTACTACTCACAACTCCACTCCAAAGCACGAAATCCACTTTGCAATATTTATACTATTGAGATATCCTGGTTACCTTCCGATAAGAATACTCTCACCATGCGTTCTCTCCTCATCTTTGCCGCGGCCGCTCCCGCACTCGTCCTTGCTGCACCAGAAGTGCCTCCCAAGATCACATCGTTGAAGTTTTCTGGCTCAGGCTGCCCCAACAACTCTGGCTCCGTGAAGAGCACAAGTGGTGTCCTGGGTGATAGCGCTACTTTCACTTTCGGCCAGCTCCGCGGCGACAACACAGACAACTGCGAAATCCACATCCAGTCCACCGGCGCATCCCAGGGATGGCAAGCTGCAGTCAAGGAGGTGGAATACCAGGGCAATGTCGCGTTGGCGCCTAGCTCGCAGTTGGATACGATTACGCAGACGTTTTGGAGTGACCACGCTGCCGATACTGTGAGCTCTTGTCTGTGCAGAGTAGACAAGTCATTACTAACAACGTTGCAGAGCACCTTGAAGGCTTCCATTCCTTGCACCGGCCCGGCCATCAAGGACGCCGTCACCATCAAGTCGAGCACGAACGACCTCACTTGGTCGAAATGCACCGGCGCGGACGGAAACCCCGGCATACTAAACGTCAACTTCCGACCGGTCGTGCAGGGCGCCAGCGGGACCTATGACTTCAAGCAGGCCAGCTGGGGTCTTGTCTGGAGGAAGTGCTAGATGCCCTGTTGAGCGGCGGTGGGATCAGTTAGCGTTGCATTTTCCGGGGACCTGTACATAGAGCATCTCCAAAAGAGTAATATCCATATTCTGCACTATCTCATCCAACTTACTAGCTGAACACATGTGCAGCAACTTCTAGTGGACGGAGGAAGCAGAGCTCAATAGCCCCAGTCATGGAACGCAAGCCCCTTCGTTTTCTGCTCATACGTTGCCCGTATCAACTGAACATCATCCTGATCCCCTCCCATCCACTCCCTCACTAATCTCCCTCGCACAGCATCCTCATACTCCCCCCTGCTCCTCTGCACTTGGAGTCATAAACTGCGGTGCAATACTCCCATCAGACCGCGGGTTGGGCAGCCAGCGCAACATGTATCCGCTGCTCACCACGCCGACTTTCTCCAAGCCCTCGCGAGCAAGATACATAAACCCTCATATCCAAAAACCATCGCTCCACTTCTCCCACTCGTTGAACTGGAGAGAGCCGGACCCGAGGTATAGCTGCAGCATCCTGAGCGCGGGGAAGTGCGGCACCGGCGCCGCCACACTACCGCCGGGGAGATACAGCTCGCGCAAAGCGTAGTTCCAGAAATGCGCCTCGTTCCCCTTGGGCGCAATCGCAATCGCCAGCTTGGTCAGCCTCTCCGCTCTTCCCAACGCCCGCGGGCCGCTCAGCAGAAACGCCTTGAACCCCGCGCTCCCCTCGAACGCAAGGATATCGTCCCGGAACAAGACCTCCTTTGCTTCGCAATAAACTGCCTTCGGCACTCGTATCACGTTCAAGTGCAGTCTCTCGTTCTCCTTGACCTTTGTGTAATCCGCGAGAGGAGAGGCGCAAGCCGGCACCGCGCCGACATTGCCTTCATCCCATTTCTCGCCGACGCCAAACTCGGAGCGCTCTGGGTCTAGCGCGGTGCCGCACTTGCAGACATGGTATTTAAAGGGGGGATGGGGATCCTCAATGGTGCATTGCTTCCGGAAGTTTACGTGGGTATAGCGTAGGCGTGAATTGGCTGAATCGCCGACCGCAGTGGACCGACCGTGTGCAGAAGGCCTTCAGGCTAAGGAAAAGAACAGTCCTAACAGTGGAAGAATAGTATTGAGACGGAGCAAAAGAGAGTCTACTTGTCGGGAGCCTTTTATTTAGAGGAGACCGAGAAGTGATAACGGAGCCTACCTCACCTCAGGCAACAATACGAAGCCGAACACGAGCTGGGATATGTCGCGTTGAAGCCATGCCTAATCTCGTATTTATCAGACAACGCTTGCGAAATACAAAAAGATGTTTGGAATGTCCTCTATAACGGAGATCATACTTGAGGTGAAACTTGGGATGTTTGTTACGGCGCGTCGCCGACCATCGTTCGCGTCGCGACGGTGTTGGATAACGAAAATGCGTAGGCAGAGTCCAGTTCTCCAGTGGCTGTGATAGCGAAGCGGGGGTTCAAAATTTGGTCTCTAGGTGTACGATAATGCCGAGCGCCGAGAACAAGGGGGCGGTCCGTCTCATCTAGGAGCTGTACAGGATAAGAAATGCTTGTGAAACGGTGCTGTAGACTTGAACAATCAAGGAATTGCGCATACTCCCAGGAGCGGGTCGCCTCTCGAGAAATCAGCACAACATAGAAGGCAAAGCAACACCCCACCATCACCCTCCGCTCCCCTCCGCGCCCGAGACGCCTCTACGCGTTCCACCTCGTCTCTACGAATTCATCATTTGCAACCGCCGCTCCACTGACCCACTGTGTGAAGCTCGCATTCCTCGCCATATCCAAATCATGCGTCCAAATCCCATTCTGATCATGCTGCATGAACGTACTCGAATTACTACTCGGCGACGTCGGCGCCGTTCCCGAGCACGCATACGCAAACGTGGTCTGGCTCTTCGTGTCTAGATTATAATCGCCGCCCGTGCTGCTGCTCCAGCGCGTGCAGCCCTGGCGGCGCGCCGTAACGGTCCATTGTTCACTGGCGGTCCTTGTGGGCTTCAGGTAGGTGTATGTGGCCCCGGTGTAGGCCGGCGGGATGGCATTGTGGCTGCTGTTGAAATATTAGCGTGTGATGTATATAGTGGAGATGCAGGATAGGGCAGAGGGCAGGCTGGAACGTACAAGGCTATTCTACTACTGACGATTGCACTCTGGCCGCTCGGCCATGCTACTGTGAGCGGGTTGTTGGTCATCTGGCCGCCCCAGGCGATACCGCACCATCCGAACTTGCTGGGGGCGACGATCTGCACAATCGCATCGGAGGTGGGCGAGTTGACGGGCAGCGCAACGCGATATGTGACGCCGTTAGGCAGAGTGACTGACGAGTAGGTTATACCGGTGGTGGCATCGTAGTACTTGGTAGACTGCCCAGTTTGGGCAGATGCTGTATCTCGGTTAGTTTCAGTGCTTGTCGTTGTAAAGTATTGAAGATGATGCAGAGTACGCACCCGTGCTGCACAGGCTGATGGCGGCAGTGATAGCTTGACTCAGCCGCATTATGGAGTGATACGGGCGATATCTAGAGAAACTTAGGTAGATCAATGGTAGGTCTTTCCGCTTTTGAAGGAATCGGCGAATCGACGCTCTTTTCTAAGTCGATCTCTGACGACTGATCACTGACGTCGACAGTTATACAACGGGGCCCCACACCATAATGAAAGTGGTCATAAAGTAGACGCCGGGTAAGCTATAGTGAGCGTAAAGCACGTTTCGGGAACCTAGACAGAACGGAAGTGCGTTACGTGAATCGGCTAATTTGCCATTGGACGTTCGACATGTGGAGGTAAATGAACGCTAATAAAGCACAACTCCGTATAAGTGGGGTTTGCATTGTGAGCCATCAAGTCTCAGGAACCGAGGGCTATTGCGGGTGGGAACAGTCCTAGAGACCATTCACTTGGGGAGCTGCAGACTGCTTACCTGGTGCAGCGATCGAGAACGTGAATCGTTGAGAAGCGGGTGGGAACAATGGCCACACTTTGCCCTCGCTGAACAGGAGAAGGGCCTGCACTAGGTGTGGAACAGGAAAAGGGGGTGATGAAGCGTAGAAAATGTCGGGGAAGTCCATGGACGATTCCGCTACCGTAGTGGTGGTCTAAGGATCCTGAGAGGAATCTACAGGGGAGCTGCATTTGCCTCAAAGTCTTTGAAGAATTTCTCTTCAAGAGGGGGGAATGGTTCTTCAACCTAACCTGCATTGACATTGCATATCTTGGGTCAAAATCTACCTGCGCAACTTCATCGTCCTCCATTCGTCGAGGCGAGGAGCAGTGGAACCGGTCGACGGAGTGCGGTGGGGATGTCTTGCGATCGTACCGATTAGACGCTCTCACTATCTCACTAAGTTGATACCGCTTGTGACTCTTAACTCGGACGATGAGATCAATAATGAGGTTCGGCTTGAATGTAGCTTAGCTTTGGGCATACAAATTTCGAACCGTGTTTGGTCCGAGCCGGCAATAAGTAAGCACGGAGAGCCAATCAGCACCGTGCCTCGGTTGTGGGTGAATGCCAAGGGAAAGTGTGATCCTGCATTTGGCCGCACAATGCGACGTTGTACAGAATAGCATTGCGCTACGTCGGTGGTGTGCTCGAACGAATCCTCACGAGAAAAATAGCTCTGGCTTGCGTCGACGGACCGAAAGCGCGGCAATGGCGACGGCAATTACACCGGCCGTGGTTGCGAAGCCGCTCTCTGATTTCCACAAGATTGGCCACAATACGTACCTCAGCACGCCGGGGTCATACACATCCAAGGAACCCCTCATCCTCCTCTTCTCCTGGAACGCGGCAGCAGCGAAGCACATCGCGAAATACACAGTTGCGTACCGGAGGTTCTTCCCCACGGCAAGGATCGTGCTGATACGATGCCACACGCCAGACATGTTTCGCAGGGAAGCAAGATACGAAAAGCTCCTACGGCCAGCTATTGAAACGGTGCAAGAACATAGCAAAGCGGGTGGGGAGGTGCTGGTGCACAGCTTCTCCAACGGCGGCGGCAACCAAGTGACCGAGTTTGCAAAGGCGTGGCGGAAGCTCGATGGTTCGCTGTTGCCTATGCGCGCGCAGATTCTAGACTCGTCGCCTGGAAAGGGAGGCTGGAAGCGGAGCCACGCCGCCATCAGCGCGTCTTTGCCGCGCACGAGGCTGTGGGGGCTGATTGGCTCTGCCTTTGTGCATATGCTTCTCGCAATGGTATTCCTCTTCGAGAGCTTGACGGCGAGGGAGAACAAGATGGTTGTCATGTGCCGGCAGCTCAATGACGGCGCCATCTTTGACGTACGGACACCGCGGGTTTATTTGTACAGTCGAGCCGACGAAATGGTGGGCGCCGAGGAGGTCGAGGAGCATGCAGACCGTGCGATGGCGAACGGGTGGCATGTGGCGAAGGTCAGGTTCGACAAGAGCGCGCATGCGGGGCACGTTCGGGAAGACGAGGGAATGTACTGGGGCGCGATCCTGGAGGCGTGGAAGAGCGGGCGCAAGGAGGCATAGCACAGTACCTAGGTAGAGGTCGGGTCGTGTTACAGCCTGGCGGCGACGAGGGTCAGGTAGATGTTCCACAGCAGGCCGCAGAAGCTGAGGAAGACGATGCGGCGCTCGACGGGGCAGTAGGTGGTGCTGAAGAAGTTGGCAACGGGCCACACTTTGTACGAGTCCCAGATGATGGTCCACATTTCCTGGCCATGGTCAGCTGTTGACTGCAAATCCATCAGTTCATAAGGGCGGTAGACCCACATTCTTGACGTCGTCGGCTATCTGCGCCGTCTTCTTGCCCTCCATAAGCCCCATCAGCGCCAGGAACATGAAGGTGTTGAGCAACGCGCCCAGGGTGATGCAGTCGGTGAACCACTTCCTGAAGATGTTCCACCAGTCGCGGACCCTGACTTCGTCCTCAATCGCCTTCTTGTCCTCGCCGTCGTCGTTCAGAAAGGCCTGCTTCTCCTGCTTCTCCTCGTCGTCCAGGCTCGAGGCCGACGCGGCGCGCTTCTGCTTGACCATCTTCCAGCCGGGGAAGGTGCGCTCGAGCCAATTCTGCCAGCAGTAGTTTACCGGCGTGGTGATGACGGCCAGGATGGCGAAGTGGACGAAGAGCGGGCCGTCGAAGACGAAGGGCGCGTCATTGCTGTACGCCTTGAGCTTCTGGGCGATGACGTTGGAGGCGCAGCCAATGGCGAGCGAGAGGACGCACGACGAGACGATGGGCGGCAGCGGCATGCTGGCGATGGAATATGCTCGACTGTTGAGGTGGAGGAGAGTTGCTTATGCTTGGGCGTGGAAGTGCTGCGCTCCGTCTCAGAATGCTCGTCGCGGGGATTCGGCCCGAAGCTGGAACATCGCACCTTCCGACTAGAGGCTGCCCTACACTTCCACCACCACCGCAACCCTCATCGACAAGTATCGCCACATGGAGCGTCTCTTCACGCCTTTCTCATATACCCAGGGCAAGGTATTGCCGCAGATACGTATCACATGACGCGAAAAACTACCTAGGTATCCAGCCCACCATCTCATCACCGTCACCGTCATCATCCTCACCAACAGGACCTCAAGTGCCGGCTATCGTGAGCTAGGGCATGGACAACACGGCTATGTATGCCTTACTTGCAGCAGAGAATGCTCCTTTCGAACCCCGAGATGGATCTAGGTGGGGCGCCGTCATTTCTCATTCGTTCGTCGCCCCCTCCCCCCATGCTGCATGCCCGCAGACCCCATACGCCCCGTCTTTGCAGCCCTATCGACGCTGCGACCTCTCTCCTGGGTCATTTGGCACCGTTAAACCTGTCACCCGACCACTTCGACATGTCCACGTCGGCTCAACACCACTCAAGGCCCACTTCTGTCCCCTCCCTCTTCCTTCCTCCCGCCCGCACGCACATACATCTCCTTCAGTACAATCCGGCGACTTGCATATCACATATCAATCTATGCCTAACGAATCCAGCACCTGCCTATCAAACCAGAGCCATCAAGGGAAAATTACGAGTGCGCAAGAGACCAACGCCGCCACCATTCCCAATCCTTGCCCGACGTCGGCTTAAGCCATGCAGACCTTCGCACGTGCTGCTTTGCTGTCCTCCGCCCGGCGTATGCCAATGTCTCTCGCCACGTATATCTGCCCGTAGACGTCCGTCACTTGGACAAAGAGCCTCACCTTCTCCATCACTCCCGGATCCAAGCTTAGTTCCAGCTCTCCCAGCACCCGCTCCAGGCAACGCCGCTCATACTCAGCAACCGTCAACAGGTCTCTCTTTCTCCTCTCGCTCAGCTCCCGTATCCCAACGGCCTCCCCGGCTTCGTTGGCTGCGAACTCTGGGAAGTTGACGCTGTTGAGCGTCTTTCCCTCCTGGTCGCGGACAACCGAGCCGAAGTCATTGTACTGACGACACATTGTTGCCAGATGGCGGCAACCATCCTCAAGAGCGTACCGTTGATGCAGATTCCTCATGACCGGTTGACTGCTCTCGCCGATCAAGCAGAGGAAGAACACCCACGAGTAGGGACAGCTAGTATGATCTGCCGACGTTGTACGGACCCAGTTGAAGAATGTCGTCCGTGGCTTCCCCCACGTCAATGAGCCTTTTGATGTAGCAGATGAGTCCGACAGCGTCCCGCAGTCCTCCATGTACGTGATATGGGCGAGGAGGAATGTTTGCAGCTCGTGCGCTAGCCATGCTCGCAGTGGTGTTGGGCTTTGCTGAACTTTGGGATGTTGGAGGGCGAAGTTAACAAATCTCGTGAGTACTTCCTCAACACTGTTTCCCTTCTCCACCGGAGCTTGGGTGGCGCCATTCTTCCGCTCCGCTGAGACTACTTTAGCTGGGACGGAGGGCCTCTTGAAGCCGTTTACTCCGTTGCTAGACGGTGCGGCCCCGCCCAGCCCGCCCTCGCCATTGACTTCCCCATTGGCGCACTTCATGGTCGACTTATGTGAGCCATTGGGCATTCCGTGCTGCTCGTCGCTCAGAACGCTATCAACTCGCTTATGGCCGCGACCGTTCGATAACCCATTGGCAGCTTTGACCGCCGGGGCAGTCCCTTCCTCGGTTCCGTTCGCCCCGTTCCCAGAGACGCCGTCCGTTGTTCCATCCAAGGCGCTGTCGGTGTGACCGTTGGCTTCGCCATTGCTTGCGCCGTTTGGCTGCGAGTCTGAGACACCGTTTGGTCCCAACACCTTCTTTGGTGTTCCCCTTACCTCGCCTTCATCCCTTCTCTTGCGTTTCTCCGGGTTTCCGGAACACAGAGAGCGAATGAAGGCCTTCAGCTCGGGAAGCCTGTCCCGATATTGCTCCCACACCACCTTTTCCATGTAGGCGTCGACCTGGGAATTGTACATGGTGTTCAACATCATCTCCCACAGAGTCTCTGCGGGGATCCTGGTTGACAAGAAGTCCCTACACCCGACCCACGTAAACGGGATATACTCCTGGTACTTCTCGTCGCAAGCCTTCTCGAGAGACGGGAAGATGTTGAGGCGGCAAGCTTTCAAGGCGGCAGCGTAATTGGTGCTTTGGAGGAGCGACAGCTGCAGCTTCCACTTCGGCGCTCGAGAGAAGGGCTCCACCCGCGAGAAGCAACCGGACATCTTGGCCATCTTCTTTGACAGTTGGGCAGGAAAGATGTCTGAGATCTTCGCCGACATGAACGAGGTTGGAACGACGACCTTCGACGCCGCCAAGCAATATGCCTGTGAGAGATTGGGCGAGCCGTACACGGTCTTCTCGATCCAGATTCTCTCCGCGTCCCGCCAACGATGCCGATTATTCTCGAGGTATGCCTTGCCCTGGTACATGCAAGCTATGCCTTCTGGTTTCAAGAAGTCGATCCACGGCAAGCTCAGCAGTGGTGCAAGAGTAAGAACAGCATAGGCAGTCACTTCTCTCTTCGACTCCCATGAACCATCAGCCTCTTGCGATCTCATTGTCCGCCCAAGTATATCCAATAGCGTCCGTGGGACGTCTTGGCGGATCAGCTTCGAAGGGACCGCGTCCGTGTCGAGCTCGTTCTTCGCCCAACGCTTCAGTAGGAGCATGAATGCTTGCGCGGTCAACATCATGGGATATTGGACCGAGGTATGCTGTTCACCGTTAGACAACATGCTTCGGGTCTTTGGACAGGACGATCGGATACTTACCCACTTATCGGGACCGTTGTTGCGCATCCAGCTCTTGCTCAGGAAGCTAGCGCATTTCACGATCTGCTTAGTGTATCTAGCAGGCTGTGTCGTCTTAAGAAGGCATGAAAGGACATTGCAATTTGCGCTGCTGGACGCGTTTCGCTCTCCACGATAAGTGCTACCACGTCAGCACATTGGAGTACACGGAATGAGGTGGAAGATATGCTTACATAAAGGATGAGTCGGCTTCAAATGCCTTCAGCATCGGCTCGACTTCCTTATTCCAACCGAGCAATCGAAGCGCGGAGATCGCCTTGGCCGTATCATCAGCGTCCGGCAGGCACGAAGGCGCTGTAACTGGTCAATCCTCGGATCTCGCACCCATATTCCGCTGCTTACCCCATCCTACGATCCCCTTCTCTTGCTTCAGGTTGGCTTCGAGAAGCACAGTCAGCTTGCGGATGTCCGCGAGCAGGAATTCGTCCTTGTCAAACCCGGACTCCAAGATGGTATCCAGCACCTATGCACATCAGCGTCAATGCCTAGAGACTAGTCTAGCTCTGCCTTGCACTCACCCAGGAGATTTCAAAAATCGTGCTGGGAAACGCTGAAGGGAATCCGCCATTGTAGCCGGACGAAGACTGCTGCTCGCACACCATCCTGAGATAGGCTTCGGCCTCGTCGTCCCACTCGCTTGCGTTCATAAGGTATGCCGCCGTGGATGATGGCGACGCCAACATGGACCCATTGGGCATCTTGTGTTGCTTTATTTTGTCAAAGTCCAACATTCCAACGAAGGCCTCTAGGGTGTGAATGAGTGTGGTCTGGACCGGACTGGTCAGGACTGGTCCTAGCCGCGCCAACTTAGCCGCATTCAGCGCCATCAACGGTTTCCGGGACGGAAAGTCGAAGGCGATTCCTTCCGCCTCGAGCAACCTCAAGAGATTGGGGACCAGCACTTCCATCCCAACTCGATCTGTGGCGTCCAGGTCCCATCGATCTAGCATTCGGCGCAGAGCCGCTTCAGCTGCTCGACATCTTTGTTCATTGTCCGCTCGTGCGGCCTCGAGCTGTCGCTCCTGCCTCTTCAATGCTAAGAGAGCCGCAAGCGTATTAATGATGCCATCGGCGTCGGACGTCTCAGCAGCCCATGAGCCGTCGTCGGATTGCGTCTTCTTGAGGTAGTCGTAAGCTTCTGGAAACAATGGGCTGGGCTTCCCATCCCTTCCTTTCTTCTCAGTCATGGCTACCCATGCTGTGTCGTAGGGCGCCGGCGACATCGTCCCGAGGCCACACGGCGCTGTGCATTGAGTAGCGATCGAGTGGACCAAGCCCCATGCTTCTTCGGTAATGGTTTGGTACATCTTCCCAAAGACGACTTCCCGCCGCAGCGTTATGCGAAAGAATAAAGTTGATCGGACGGGGACAGACGTCTTCCCAACGCTGGGGTCTGATAGACTAAGAGTAACCGCGCGAGAAAGGCACCGACAAGCCCCCAGTAAGTTGGCCTTTATCGATCCTTCCGGTCCACGTCCAACAACCGAGCAGGGTCACAGTCTTACTACACGAAACATTCGAAGCTATCACACTGCTGAGAGCTCTCGCATCATGACCCACTGCCGGTCCTGCGCATCGCGTATAGCATCCACGGCTCCGAGCAATCATCATTGGTCTAGCCACCCGCCGAGCGAACGATCCCAGTAAACCTGGTGGGCCCCGTATGCCACGTCGTATAACTACCATCTCTGATATGCTGAGCTTGCCCGCATCAGTACAGCACGAATGCCTTGAATGGAGCATGCGCCGTGCGGAGATATGGACGAGCCTGCATGCATCTAGGAGCCATGGGAAAGATCGCCGTCCAGTCCCAGTTTTGGTCACCAGCCGTGAAGGTTGGTGTGCTCGTCAGGCTAGTACCACCGACTGCGGTCGCCGTAAATGTGCTTGGTCTGGAAGCCAGAACTCTCTGAAGTATGATTGGCCCACGGGAAGTCACGGTCCTTGGGTTGCTCGATTCTTCTTCTCATCCGTCACCTCTTCTCTTAATACACCTGCCTCTTATCCGCAATCAATGGACCGTTTGGCTGAGATGGCGAGCAGCGGCCATGCTGCCAATGCTGCGCTAAGCTTCCCATCCTTCGCGGAAAGCATGCTCAGTGGACCGCAACCGCCCATGCGTGCCACGTCGACGACGTATTATGCGCTTAGGCGCCTACCGGGATCCGCAATGCATCAGTATGCAAACTACGCTCCACGGCCGAAGCCAAGCGTTACCCGAACCGGCACATGGACCCACCTGCGGCCCTCCCTTGATGACGATTCCAATGGACTGATGTTAGCCGCTGGACCGATATGCCTTTAAACTGCGCCATGCATGCTGCCCGTGGGCGGAAACGCGACAAATTGACTCATGGATCGCTATCACAAGATGTAAGAAGTGCCTTACGGCTCACAGCGTCTTATCCATCCGTACCATCGAGCTCGCAAGCAGACCGAGCTCGAGTAACGCCACCATATAGCGGGGTAATCATCACCCGCTCACCTCCTGCTGCAAAAAAAAACGGTCGCGCGGAAGTTGTCAATCTCTCTAGCATCACTTGTCCACCATGGAAACGTTTAGTTTCCTGCCAAAGAGCAGCGCTCTCAATGCCTCCATCCTGTCTCATTTCCCCAGCTTTGGCCGTAGTCTGCACCTGAACCATTCCAGTGTCCATCTTTCCAAACCGGAGGGGCTCTATGGGCAGTTGATACCCATCAAAGATACTGTCACTTCTTTCCTCGCTTCTCTTTCATACGCTCAGCTTCTCATCTTCGCTGTCTGTGTCGCCTGGGCACTCGGGCCCGTGATCAAGAGGCGTCCTGGCGTCACAAACGCCGTATACCATGGTTATAGATCGTGGCTCGAGCCTACTTTCCTCGTCCAAGCCAGATACATCATCAGCGCGCGTAACATCATCACCAGCGGATATCAGAAGGTGCGAATCAGTTCACTTCTAAACGGACTAAGACTTACGCTCGAACAGTACAGGGACACTCCGTTCGTGGTCCGACGATGGGATACCGATATTACCGTCCTACCGAACAAGTACTTGAACGAGCTGCGCTTGTACCCTCCGACCAAACTCAGCGGCGTAAAGGCACAGGTTGCGGTAAGTGGGCACATGGGTATCATTGCACCTTCCTAACATCTTTCAGAACCTAGTCCACAAATGGACCTACACTACTGTGATGATCGAGTCGAATCTGCACTTCCGCGTGCTGCAAAATAAGCTCACCGCAGAACTGCCGAAGTATCTCGATATCGCGAAGACCGAGCTGGACTACGGGTGGGCTCAGGATATACCGCAACCCGATGGTATCCACACCCGCCCCTCGTTCTTCTCCCAGTGTACTGACGACTTCGGAAGAGTGGATAGAGGTCGACATTCAGCAAATGATGCGTATGTGCGTAGCGCGCATGTCCGCCAAAATCTTCATGGGCTACCCTGCCTGCCGCGACCCTGAATGGCTCAAGCTCTCCATCGATTTCAGCATTGACCTCTTCACTTGCGCATTCCTGTTGCGCATGTTCCCGCCGTTCCTACACTCTATCATTGGGCCACTCCTGCCGCCGCGTTGGACCATTGCTCGCAACCTGGCTAAGGCACGGAAGATCATCGGCCCGCTGATGGAGAAACACCGGGAGTGTCTAAGACGAAAGGCCGCTGGCGAAACCGGACCGGGGGTGGAAGAGGACGACACTCTGCTCAATTGGATGATGGATAACGGTAATGAGAAGGAGAACAGACTCGACGAGATGGCGACCCGGCAGTCCATCCTCACGCTTGCGAGTATCCATACCACATCGATGGGTGTCGCGAACTTGCTGTTTGATCTTTGTGCGCACCCGGAATGGTTCCCGGTACTTCGGGAAGAAATCGCCGAGGTGGAAACGGACTTGGGCAGATTGGGAGAGAGGGAGGATATAGGTGCCAAGCAGTGGCTGCCTCGGCTGGAGAAGATGGACAGCTTCTTCTTGGAGAGTCAACGAGTCAATCCGCCTATTCTTCGTAGGTCTTCCCTTGCCTCCTCTCAGCCACCAGGCTTAACATTAGCAGTGGCGCCACAACGCTTGGCCGTCGTCCCCCTAAACTTGAAAGATGGCACGCATATCCCCGCCGGGACTCGCATCGCCTGCGCAAACGCCGACATCCTTAGTGATAGTATGCCCTCGCCTTCAACCTTTGACCCTATGCGCGCTTACCGCAAGCGTCACGAGACGGGCGAGCTCAACAAACACCAAGCCGGCCAGACGGAAAAAGAGAACCTGCACTTTGGCTACGGCAAGCAGGCATGCCCTGGACGCTTCTTTGCTGTGGGCGAAATCAAGATGGTAATCGTGCGCATCTTGAACGAATTTGAGTTTAAATATCCCGAGGGTAAGACGAGACCGAGGAACTTTTACGCGGATGAGAATGTGTTTCCGGATCCGAGAGCGAGGCTGCTGATGAGGAAGCGAAGAGCGCCTTGTGAGAAGTGCGGAAGGTCGTGAGGGCGTTTGGCTGGAGCACTGTCATTGGCAATGGTGGAGAACGTAATAGCTTTTAGTAATGACGTCTCTTTGGAATGACTTGCACGCACGCGAATGAGCCAATATGTCGTGGCATTGATCAACACGATGGTCTGTGGATGGATGTGCGCACAGGGGTCCGTCCGAGCGGCTTCGGCGGTTGCGGCTGCTGGGCGAATAGCAGAATGGTCAAGGTAGATTGCACATGGTGGCTAATCGAGAACGCAGTCCATGCAGATGGTGAGTGCAGGGGCCTCGGTCTCATGAAGCGCTGTCGTGGCATCAAAGCTAACGCAAGTTCGTCACACGCTTCCTTGAGTTTCGAGAGAGTGGCCGGCAGTATGGCGCAGAGGCCGGGAGGCTGGTGCATTGGTTTCTCGAAGCTCACATTGCTTCTGGTACGTACCAGATCGGTGGGCGGGAGCTAGGTCCCTTCCTCCCGGAGCGCAGGGCTTCGTCTCGCGGCGCTTAGAAGGGCCAGACGCGGGAGCACATGCGGAAATGGAGCACCCTCGTTTCATCCGATGTCGGCTGCGCTGGAGATGGAAGGGCAAGAGCATACCCCGCGTTATGGCAGGATGGCAGGCCAGCTGACTGCCGTGCAGCGTCCGTCAATTCATCGCTCAAAGCGCAAACGATAACGTATCAGCAATTCCTCGGCATCACCGAATTCGCACGTCCTTGTCCGAGCAACGCCACACGCGCAAGCACAACGGGCTAGGTTTCCATAAGCGCATGTAATACAGCGGGGGTAAAGGGCTTGTATGGGTACACGACATCAGGCGGACCCTTGGAGCGCCTATCTAGCGCCGCACAATTAGCGGAAGGGCTAGCAGAAAGCGCTGCCTTGGAGCGCGGATAAGTGTGAAAGGGCGGCCCGTCGCGATGCCCGCACCCGTTGTCAATTGCCTGCATTGTTTCGTTTCATTCGAGTCAGGTATCTGGAGGGATCATGGTTTATTGCGAGCCGAGCTAGGCGGCGGGCTGGAACGAGAGGGGCGAGAGGACTGAGCAATTTGGAGAGACGGGTGGGCCGGGTGTTCGCGATGGAGCCCGGAGCACTGGCGGCGTGGTACGTGGTCGTCGTGGTGTTCTAGTCCAACGCGAAGAGCCGCTAGCCGGACCCGTCCTAGCGCCGTCTCACGACGCCGGCCCGGGCGTTTCCAGCCTCAGTACCAGCAACCTTAACGGCACCTCACCTCTCTTGCTCCTCGTTCATGTTGCACTCTCAGCAATCATCTTGCTTTCCCACCCACCACGTCGCAGAGTGGGCACAAGTAGGCCGGCCAGTAGCGCAATGGCGATGCTGCAGCGGGGTTCCCGCATATTCTTGCATATGCACGTCGACGCCGGATTTGGCCTTGAGCCCCGCCAACCCACCGTCGTGTCTTCACCGCTATTGTGGCATCAGCCCGTCATGTCTTGAAAGGACGGAATGGCGGCGGCGGCGGCGGCGGCGGCAATGACGGCAGATCCGCCGTGTTGCGACACTGGCCAAGCAAGCCCTTGATTGTTCGGCAGTGGTACTATCCTGCCGAGCGATATCCACGCCATGAAAGCTGTAGCAGAGTGCTGGTGAGTTACGCAGAGGCATGCTGGAGTCTACTGCTTTCCGCCCCCCGCCCACGCCAGCGAACTATCCTAGCTCCTGGTCGGGCTTTCAGTATTAGGAGGAGGAAGATTCTGCACGCTAGTTATACTCTTTTTGAGCTGCTAAGGGTTGACATCGGGGTAGATATGTCGCCGGGCACCCTCGGCAATGACTCGCAAATGTAGGAAGGAGCAAGAATAGCCGCCCCCCATACGAGCTGCTGAGGAATGCCTCGACGAATCCTCTTCTTAGGCTGGCCAGCTTCAGCGCCTCTTTCTCTTAAGCTTGTCCTCGATACCCCACTCGCTTTGGTGCTTATTCTAGGCGTTCGGCGTCTAGCAGCCTGCAGGATCCCGCTTCCGCGCTGCCGCGAGCTCGTACGTACGGACTCGTCGGATAGCCCTCATTACGAAGCGTAGTATGAGCATCCTTCATTTCTCTACCAATCAGGCTGCGGCCACGCAAAGAACATTTGATAAGTTGGCGTGCTTTTCGCGGCAGTGAGCCCAGCTTCGCGGTCCGACCACCCTACCCACCTCCCTAGCTATGCTTTACCTACTCTTGCTTCTATCAGCCCTCCGCGCCGTCTTCGCGGCTCCCATTATTGATCATGAGGAGGCTTTTGCAGCTCCAAATGCACCCCTCGGACGGGACCTCCTCTCCTTCCTGGGCGATGCGTCCAATGGCAGAGCAAGTTCAGCATCAAACCTACCTCAACAGGCTCTCAAGTCGTTGAGCGATATTGATGAGCTTGCCCCATTTGACGAGGACTCACCGGTATCCAAGCGAGCTGCTGCAGCATGCCGAATTGCACAGCAGATATTCCCCGGGCGTGTCTTCGCAGCGAATGATGCCGACTATCACGACGAGCAGGTTATCAACTGGTAAGCCCCTGCTGCTAGAACATGGTTGGTCCAGAACATTTGCTCATGGCTACAGGTCCCAGACATGCTGGCTGCCAGCCGCTTGCTTCATTCGGCTGCAGAGCACGACTGAGGTTGCTGCAGCATTGAAGGTCATCAGGCACGTGGGGACCAAGTTCGCTGTTCGAAGTGGAGGCCACAACCCCAATTCTGGGTTCGGCAGTATCGACGGGTCTGGCGTGCTCCTTGACCTCCAAGGTCTGGATGCTCTATCCTTACGCAAGGATGGCATGCTCCATGCTGGCCCCGGAAACTCATGGGGAAAGATATACGACTTCCTTGACCCCCACAGCATTACTGCAATAGGTGGTCGTCACTATACCGTCGGCATACCGGGTTTCTTACTCGGAGGTGAGTACACTCCATGCACGTGTTCTTGTGACCGCCGCGCTCCAAGACGGCTAACCAATGACAGGTGGAATGACTTTCTTCCCGAACCTGTATGGCGTAGGTACTGATAGCGTGAAGAACTACGAGGGAAGTGGCCCCCCTCCGCCCGCCTGGTGCCCAACGGGTAACCATGCACCCTCCAAGCGATGCTGACTTTCCACATAGGTCGTCCTTGCAAACTCGACTATCGTCAATGCTAATCGTGACGAGAACGCTGACCTGTTCCGGGCGCTGAAGGGCGGCGGACCCAACTTTGGTGCGTCGGACTATGGCCCAAAGCATTCCTGCGCTCACTCCTCTAGGCATCGTAACTCGCTTCGACATTGAGACGCATCCACTCCACAAGGTCCAATACGCCGTCGCGCTCTATGATCCTTCCGACTATGTCAACATCCTTAACGCCACCATACAGGTGCAGGAGGCCATGGAGGAGGATCCTAAGATTGGCTTCTTCCTGAACGTGAACCCCACCGTTATCATTACAGGCCTTCTGTATGCCGAATGGTCCGCCGCACCTCCGAAAGTGTTCGACGCGTTCACTGGCTTGAAATCTTACTGGGGTCCCTATATCCCACTCACGAATGGTACGATCGCTAGCCTGACGAGCGCTATCAATATCGGCGATTTCCCCGCGAAGTGAGTTTCCCTGTGCGGCTTAGTCAAGTCCGTGTAGCGACCTGGGCGATGCTGCATACTGCAGTAAGTGCATGCTCAAAGATCGATAGGAGAGAGCCGTACGCGGCTAGCACCAGAATCGACCATGACCTTTACGTCGACGTCCATGAGCGCTACCTGGAGCTGCTGAAGACCGATATGCCTTCAGCCAATCTCTCATATACGATTCAGCCCGTGTCAAAGGCCACAGTCATGGCCGGCCAGCAGCGTGGAGGAAATGCACTGGGCTTGGAAGTCACTCCCCAGTCATGTAAGTTCTCCCATATCGGAAACGCATCCATAGTCCTATCACAGGGCCTTCCAAGTCCAACTACCTGCTTACGTACACTAGGGTATGCACCACTCGTCGAATGGTTCGACGACGATGCAGACGATGCAGCGCACTATGCGCTCAACTCTCTCGGTAAGCATGTGATTTCATCCGCCGAGGAGAGGGGAAAGCTTCTTGAATACCAGTTCATGAATGATGCTTCGTATACTCAGACGATCTTGGATAGCTATGGCTCCGAGAACGTGAATATGTTGAAGGATGTTGCGAGGAAGTACGACCCAGAGGGTGTGTTTCAGAAGCTGCAGCATGACGGGTTCTTGTTAAAGAAATTGTAAGCCGCCGAGGTTCCGACTTATCTATCGTGGGCATAAATCGGTGGAAATCTTGGCAGCCTCTCGATTTTCGCGGGCGCGCGCGGGGTTAAGAAAAGACGCCTTCATCTACAAATTTCTCTTCAATGCTTTTTCTTCAAAATTTGAAGGAGAGTTCTTCGGTACGTGGAGAAGAGTTCTTCAAATTTGAAGAACATCCTTTAAAGCATAAGAAACTTCGCATTTTCTCTTTAACAGCGCCGTGTTTTTTCTTCAAATTTTGAAGAACTCTCCTTTATAACTTGAAGAACGATTCTTCGAATTTTGAAGAGAATTTAAGGAGTACTGTTTTGTGCATCCTTCATAAATGTTGTTTCTTTATCTCTTTGAATTTCTCTTTAACGCTTTAAAGGATTTTCTTTAAAATTTCAAGAACTCTTCTTTATAATTTGAAGAACTCTCCTTTAAAATTTAAAGAAAATTCTTCAAAGCTTGAAGAAGTTAATTTTTCGGGCGGGGGAAAAAAAAATTAAGAGGCTGTTAAGATTTCTACTAATTTATGCACACGATAGATTAGAAAATAGAGTTGCTATTAGTAGCCTAAGTTATACTTAGGTCTTTAGTATATCTCTAAAAATATAAATACTAAATATTATACTCTATAATCTTTTAATTATTTAAGTAAGTAGTATACGTCTTGTCTAATGTAGTCTAGGTAGTACTAGTATTCAGGCACGCTTATTAAGCGAGGACTCTGACTTCCTTGTTCAGCGGCGCAGCAACAAACATCAATTTAATCACGATCTCCCGGTAACACAAAATAAACGAGCTTGCATCTTGCGTAAGGACGCAAGGGTTCAAACTCATTGAAAGGTACAACCGTCCCCACGCCACTCTCTAGTGCTAACCATCTCGTTCTTCGCCTACTTCAGTGCGAATCAGCATGGCTCCACCCTACGAGCTTATCTACTACGTCGGAGTTCCCGGACGCGGAGAACACGTCAGGCTCATCCTCGAGGCAGCTGGTGCCTCGTACACGGACACTGCATCTCTCGCCATGGACAAATGCCGAGGGGTAGTCACGAAGACCCTCGATGGTGGGCAAGGAAACCCGCCCTATTACGCTCCTCCTCTCTTTAGGCATGGTGACCTGCTCATCTCCCAGACCAGCAACATCCTCATGTACCTTGGTCCTAAGCTCGGGCTCGCTGGACCGAAAGAGAACGATGTTTGGCGAGTCAATGCTCTCGCTCTCACTGCGCTAGACGGCTTGAGCAACGAAGTTCACGATTGCCACCACCCGATCGGCATTGAATTGTACTACGAGGATCAGAAAGAGGAAAGCGCGAGACCAGTAAGTATTGGGTCAAGAACCGCCTTCCTAAGCATCTTGGGTACTGGGAGAAGGTGCTGAAGAGCGAGGAGAGCGGCAAAGGTCCATGGCTATAGGGGAAGGAGTTTACGTATGCCGATTTGGTCTTGTTTCAGGCAAGTATCCCCTGATTTTCCTTTCGATTCCTTACCTAGCTTCATTTTCCTATGTGGCCGCATATCCGTCGAATGCTTCAGTAGCTGACCGACCGAAAACTTGGAACAGTGCGTTGATGGTATTCAATTTGCCTTTCCCAAAGCCACGAACCATGCGAGAGAATCTGGTAAATACGACCGGGTCTTCCAGTTATGGGAAGATGTCAAGGCTCGTCCGAATGTAGCTGCGTACCTCGCTAGCGAGAGAAGACAGAGGTACGATTGGGGCATCTACCGATACTACCCGGATAATGATGTACTTCCCAAGTAGTTTCTGCTATGATATCGCCATGGGAATGCATCTGCAAGACATGGGGGAAGAGTGGCGAGTATCATGGGGATAGTGGAATGAATGAGGTGAAAATGGGCCGTATGTTAGAAACGAATGTGTCCAAAGGTTCGTTTTCGGGAGCTACTATCAAGCTCTGCGTACGGGTCATCCTCATGTCACTTCTGTGATTGCAAGCCTTCCAAGAGCATGATACCACAGATTCACCCTGCCATTGCTCGTATGATTCCCAAACAGTGAGCACTCCCCGGGCGGGTCGATACTCACGATTACGTCGTGTCTCAGCTTCTCTTTGATACCAGTTTCCGCAACAGTAAAAGCTCTATTACACCGACCACTGAATATGCGAAAAGTCAATTCCCTTCTTCTGCGCGACGGTCCACTCTTCCCTCATGATCTTCTCATGATGCTGGGACCGCGCTTTGATTTCACAAGGAAACGGCCTCGTCACCGACGAGCTCCCCTTCTGCAAGCTCTTAGTCGAGAAGTCTAACGCAATCGGCATGCCGTCCTCGTTCCGCGCAAGCCCTATATCAAAACCCCAAAGAATCCTCGCAACATTGATGAACAAACTCTTTTCCGCAAGATGTATACCCGCACATATGCGCCGCCCGCCGCCGTACGTCAGATGATCTCTCTGGGTGCCGTCAGGGAGCGCGGCGGCTTTTGACGCGCTGTGCGGGTAGTCGAGCCAGCGCTCCGGCAGGAATTTATCCGGTTGTGGATAGTACTTTTCGTCGTAGTGGATAGACCACCAGTTCGCCATTACTATGGAGCCTTTGGGAATGAAGTACCCACTGTACCAGTCGTCCTCGATGTTGAAGTGGTTGTTGCCGAATTTGTTGATGGGGCGCATGCGCAAGGTTTCTTTGATCATACCGCGGATGTAGGGGAGGTTGGGCTCGTCATCGAAGGTGGGCGTGCGGTTGGGGCCGACCACGCGGTCGAGTTCTTCGTGAGCGCGGCCGACGCAGTCGGGACTGGAGAGAATGAGGTAGAGGCAGTTGTTCAAAGTGGCTGATGTTGTCTCGCTGCCGGCTTCAATCAGGCCGCCACTGTCCGCTTTAGTCAAGGTCCAAGGCGGAGGGAGAAAGGGACACACCATATCCATGCAGCCCGGCTCTCGGTCAAGCCTTGCTTCTCGTAGTCTCTTTGCAGTATCTTGCCGAAGCAATGGGGCGCCGTCCCGTCGGCCACCTTTTGCTTCATTTCGTTCCAGAACCCCATCCATGTCGCATTATCCGCGGCGTGGAACTCGTTCCCTATACGCTTCCAGCTGGAGAACATGTTGAAGAGTCTGCTCTTCGCAAGTGTAGGGAAGACGTCGACGAGCCACTGGCCTGGTTTCCGACACTGCACGAATCGGCCTAGCACTTGGAAGATTCGATGTATTTCGGGACAATCCCCTGCCACAGCTTAGTGTCCGTGTGTGGATGATGTCGATTCTCTCTTACACTTAGGTATTCGCCAGCCATATGTCACTTGCATGATCACCGAAGCGGCGTAGCGCCGATTGTGCATATAGAAGTCTTGCGGGTTGTTCAGCAAATCCACGCCCAGCTGTTTTGCTTCGAAGAGCTGGATGACGGAGTAGTCTTGCGCCATCTTCTGCGTGAGCACCTAGGAAGGTCCGTCAGTGTCGTGACGTTACGAGAAGGTGAGTTTCCCACCTTATGGAATACGGCTCGCGAGTCCCGCCACGTCTTCCCATACGGAGCGAAGGTTATCCTCTTTCCCCCTCTTCCATTGGCAGTCAGCCCCGATCAAAGCTGGCGGGAATTTGGAGGAGGCGTACGTAGCACAGTCAAAAGCCATGGGCATCGGCTGCCGACTCGAGTATATGGCAGACCGCCTATCGAACAGCTCCTTGACGGCCTCCTTCGAATTCAGCCAGATGAAGTCTGTTGTTCCAGCTCTTGTCCGGAACAACTCTCCATACTTGGTTCCCCATTCCCGCAGAATCGGCGGCATGTCGTCCTGCATCTGAATGAAGGTGTGGTTGATGAGGGGCCACGTCGGGACCATTGGAGGTAGGCTTCGACGGCGCTTGTCGTAGGTTGTGAATTTGTAGATAGTGAGGACTGTGATGGCGACGGCGAGGAAGGCGAGAGACGGCGTCGCCGCGACGATTCGGATGAGGCCGGCCATGTTTGCGAGCTACGGTATTCCTTTCTGCCCAGATGGTCCTCTCGTCTTGCTTTCGCTAAGCTATACAGCGGTGACGGCTGGAGTAGTGGGTGGGGTAATACAGCGCCGCCATGTGGGGCCATTCACTGGCTGCGGGGTGCTGCGGGGAGAAATACGCACTTTCTGTCACGCGCTACCCTTTCTGGCCTGTCCAGGTATGTCGTCCGCGGAAGCCGCACGTATCTGATCGCTACTTTACTACTGTACTTCAGCATGAAGCGAACGAGCGCGGCTTCTTCCTGACACATCGCCCCGTCCACTGTTTGAACCATGGCATCGGAGCAATCAGTGCTAGTCGTATGTCTCGCACAGGTGACTCGAATTCACGAATCTAACACCACCAAGGTCGGCGCCGGTCCCGTTGGGCTGCTCACAGCGCTCCGCCTCGCCAAAGCTAACATTTCCGTCACCGTCGTCGAAAAGCTCCCTGAGATCGAAAACTCGCCCCGCGCCGCCGTGTACCACCCTGTCGCCGTGCAAGAGCTCGATCGCGCCGGGGTCCTCCACGACTGTCGCGAAATTGGAACGTCGAGTACGAAGATCGCCTGGCGGAAGATCACGGGTGAGGTGATCGTCGAGATGGAGCGGCACCCTTCGAAAGAGGAGCCGTACGAGAACTTGATTCTGGGCCAGCACGAGTTGGCTGAGGTTATTTTCAAGCATTTCAAGGCATGCAAGGGCTCCAAGGTCTTGTTTCGGCATTGCGTGAAGGCGATAGAGTGGGATGAGAGCAGGGCCGTAGTGGAAGTGGAGACGCCGGAAGGGATGAAGAAGATGACGGCCAAGTACGTGGTCGGGGCCGATGGTGGTAGAAGTACAGTGCGGCAGCTGGCTGGAGTTACGTTCGACGGATTTACCTGGCCGCAGCAGATCGTTGCGACGAATGTTGTGTATCCCTTCGAGAAGTACGGATACTCGACCGGAAATCAGATCGTGTAAGCGCACTCATGGCAGAAGGGTGCATGGCCCACTGACGGGATGCAGTCATCCCGATCACTTCTGCGTCGTCGCAAAACTGGACAACGAAGGTTTGTATCGGGTGTCATACGGCGAAAAGACTGACTTTTCAACCGAGGAACTCCGTGCTAGATTGGAGATGAAGTACGAAGCGATATTCCCCGGACCGCGGCCTCTACAGTACGATCTAAAGATGTTCTCGCCATACCGGCTTCACCAAAAATGCGCCAGTAAATTTCGAATTGGTCGCATACTCCTTGCCGGCGATGCCGCGCACCTATGTAATCCGTTCGGAGGGTGAGTCCACCATCGCCCGGAAGTCCCAGTACTGACGCGTATGATCTAGGCTGGGACTAACGGGAGGCTTGCTTGACGCTGGAGCATTGGGTGATGCACTCATTGCCCTCCTTAGAGATGGCATGTCGGAGAGCATTCTCGATCGGTATGACGAAGTGCGACGAGCTGTCTTCAAGAACGTTATCGATCCAGCGTCGCAAGCCAACCTCCGTCGTCTATGCGAGACGGACCCGGAAACGGTGCACGAGACGGATCCGTTCTTCAAGAGCATCCTCGAAGCGGACGAGGATGGAAAGGAGAGGATAAGGGGTATGATGCAGCTGCGGGTTGACCTGTTAGATCAAGGGGCCGTTTAAGCGTAGAGGTATTGTCAGCACAGATTTGTCGTCAATAATTGAATTATAGGGTGCCAGCGTGTCTTCGGTGTTTATCGACGGACATTTTCGCTGCTGACTTGCCTGGAGATAAAATTCCGATATCGATACCTTCCAGGCTAGCCTTCTTACTCGTGTCGTCACCATGTCTAGTGCTAAGCCTCGATGTTGGGATTCGCGATGGTTGGGAAAGGACACAGGTTGAAGGCATCCAAAGAACGAAGCGCCGTCGAACGTGGCGCAAGAGTTTCGAAGAGAGGGAAATTCAGAAGGATAGAGAGACCCACTTTTGGTGGTGGATCTAGTCTAAGCTAGCCAAATGCTCCGTAACGAGTCCCATAACCATTCTCATGCTAATATCCCTTTCAACATGCACGATGTCATTGTCGACCTATAGCGCCGTAAGTCCAGGCTCCAGAAAGCCTCTCTTTTCAGCTCCGTGGGACCTAGAGGGAATTGAAGCTCGCGAGGTTGCTGCTGATGCAAGTGCTTTCTTGGCGTGTAGGTGATGTGGTAGCTCTCTTTTGTGGTAGGGAAATCTCTGGATCTAAGGGCTCGCCGTACAAGTAAGTAAGATTAGCTCATCTATTGTACGCACCCGCGAGGGCCTCCAGGGTAGCTGTTGCGCACGTCGTTCTATCCGGAGAATTCCACACCGTAAGAGGCCCTAACCTGCGGCGGAGGGCATATCGCGAGAGTGCAGACCAAGAGCTTGTCTAATAGGACTAGTTGCAGTACCATCGCGTAAGAGAGCAAGAATTAATATGGTTCTTTTAATTTTTATACTCTTTTTAACTCTATAAATGAAAGCGGGACTTGGCCGCGGCAGCCCGTGACCGGTCCTACTTTGAGTGGAAGAAGGACTCGCTATTCAGCTCCGTGGGACATTCCTCGAGAAGGCGCAGACGCGAGCGAGATCTCAATGACGATGGCCGCGCCGCGCTTGTAAAAGATGCACTGACATTCAATGCACGCCTTGGTCCCGCCGGGAAGCTGGCTTCGTGAGGTTGATGCATCAATGAAAGGGAATGAGTCCTGCGTGATATCAGGGTCAGCAAAGTCTATAGCATAAACGGGTGCATGAGCAGACTTACGGCCGGTTATGGTCATTGAAGAAATCTGGCGAAGCAACTCTTCGCCTATCAAGAGAGGCATGGAAACGCTCCGTTGTTCCTTGCTCGTTGAACAACACGTGCGGCTCGGTATGGAGCTCGCCTTGGTAAGGCTCGGTATGAAGCTCGTCTTCGTACGGCTCGTAGAACTCTTCATGATTTAGGTACGAGGTTGCACCATAGTGATCATCCCGGTCGAGACCGTCATCGTAAAAGCGTTGCCGTCCCAGGGTGTGGTTCGATGGGCGATACTAGCGCGGCTCAACAGGATGGTCGCCATGCCTGGTGTTGTAAGGGGAGGCCTCGAACCGAGGCTTGAATGCGCGGGAAATCGGCCGCTCACTGTAGCCATTCCCAAGCCCATGAGCATCCAAAAGGCCGCTCTCTTCGAGAACGTTACACACAGCCTCCCCTATAGAGAGGGCAAGGGCTGGAAACCCCTGAGCGCTGGCAGCTGCGGCTGGGCGACGGATATGCGCACCGAAGTATGTACTGTTGCCTGCTGCCATACCAGTGATGGCAGGGCTGGCTTGCTGTCGGCGGTCGGGAGGCGGGCCAGGGTTCCTGGCGGTCGCTGACTCCCCATAGAGGCTCATCGGGTCGGCCCCGACATCGCGATAGAAGCCGCCGCGAGAAGGAAGAGAATTTGCGGGCGCGCGTCCCACTACGGAGGCGGGGTTTGCTCGATACGCTCGACCGCTGCCGGGACGCACGTGGGGGATAGCGCCATGGGACGTTATAGAGGAACCTCGAAGGCCGCCATGGGAGGCTGCAGTGCCTGGCCAGTTGCAGCTGGGAACTAACCGGAGGTTAACATACTTTTGCAATCTTGACTGCCCCGGTCCTGACTTACCGCGCGGGCGCTCATGGCCACCAAGGAAAGGATTCCCCTGGCCTCCGCTCCTGTCTTTATCAGCGGGCGAGCAATCCATGGCATTGAAGCAGGTATTACCAAGACATGGTGCAGTAGCCGATGGACTGCGCAGAGGAGCTGGGTTCAATGACGACGAGACAGAGCGCAGGAGGAGTGGATGAGCTGTAGGAGGTGCGAAAGGAAGCCGGATTGAAGCAGCTGTACCAAGGCAACTTTTGTTTATTCGAAACGTAACGTTGGGGCTGGCAAGGAAGCCGCAAGCTTGCATGTCTTGCTGGAAATGGACATGGAATGGAAATGGAAATGGCGAGTGTATCTTAGACAAGCTCTTGGTCTGCACTCTCGCGATATGCCCTCCGCCGCAGGTTAGGGCCTCTCACGGTGTGGAATTCTCCGGATAGAACGACGTGCGCAACAGCTACCCTGGAGGCCCTCGCGGGTGCGTACAATAGATGAGCTAATCTTACTTACTTGTACGGCGAGCCCTTAGATCCGCTAAGGGTGGAGCGTGAGTAAAGAAGGTCGCCTAGGAAACATGTATGCGTGTTGTTTAAATAAGTGGTACAGAGTTGTGGAGGGTTTAACAATTGATTGACTGAGGCACCAACGCGGGAAATACACATATATATACACAGTCAACCATGCAAGACCTTCGAAGAGTGGATGACGAAAGCACATATGGAGTCGGACGTTAAGCGCATGGCCTCTGACCTTGCGCTGTACATTATCTACGACGTCGCGACAAAGCTGGAACGAGTAGCCGGCGTTGTCTCAAGAACCATTACGAAGATTAAGACTAGGGACAATCTATCAGCCCGCACTGAAGGAACGCCTTTTCAACAGTACGAAGCGACGACTGCCATGATGATCGCAGCTTGGGATCTTGCCGAGGATTGCTTAACGATGTTGGCGCCGGGGAAGAACACACTGGATGAACTCCGCGAGGAATTTGAGTTCGACATAAAGAACTCTAAAACATCTAAAAAGGCATACTTGCAAACACCACCTACGGAAAGGCACGCATATCTTCAGAAGAGATGGTCGGTTGCCTTCCAGCAGGATCAGGTAAACCTGGAAGCTTCTGGCTTCTCTTCGAGAATGCACGCACTTCGGGGACTCCTCCGTCTGCCATGGAGTGAAGAACTCGCGCACACCGAAACTCTCCTCTCACACTCACTAAAGACGCTCGAAGATGTCAAGAGGCCGTCGACGAGGCAGAATTGCCGCCCTTTCTCTCGCGTTGCAGGTTGATTGATGTATGGGTACTTACGTCCTCGCGTCGGCACTCTGTCTGAGGCCATGGTTGTTCAGATCCGGGCCCTAATCGGATATTCGAGTGTTGCGATTGTCGGCACCCACGCCAGCTCTTGCCGTACCGACGTCGTCATGCTTGTTACCTTTGCCTTCGGTTATCCATCTCCACCTGTTTTCTTACTTTACCGTTCGCTGCGATCGACTTGCAAATCTCTCTCACCAACCGGGATCTTATATATCAGCCCTCGTCCCCCAGAGTTTTCTGCCTTCTTTCTTGTAGAGCTTACTCCAGCCACTCCTCCTCCTCTGGGGCCGCCCATCAACCTCGTTGCGAGCCACAGGCCACATCCTGCACCTCCCATTTGCTCCCATAAGGACAGAAAGCAGCCCGCTAGCTATCTAAAGATATGGTAAGTGATGAGCAATATGGCAAAGAGCGTGTGGGAACCGCTGCTAGCGAGGTACGTTGTTCTGAAGCAATCACTAACCTTATTCGCAGGCCAATTTTCCCAAGGGATGCGTTTGAGCATGCAACGTGGCGCATGCACTTCGCGAAGACCCTCCAAGGTGACGACGCTTGGATCGTATACTACGCCGTTCGCCAACAAGGCAAGCCTGCTAAGGTTAGGCCAAACATTTACAAAAGTCCGGCTGGGTCCACAAACGCAGACAAAGTCAACCAAGATCAGATTGACCCAAATTCATTGTGCGACGGTGGGAGCGGCTGGAAGCCCACTGCTACCGCTTCGGTTCCGCGCATACAGTACCTTTGGGAGAAGCACTATGTCACCCCTTTGCGCATGGATGACTACAGAAACGGACCCTTTGACCCAAGCAAGGTGACATCGATCGTTCCTAAAGATGGGAAAGACCCGAAAGAGAGCCAGGCTACCGAAGGGAATGGCATGGGGCGAAAGAGAAAGGCAGAGGCGGCCGAAGAAGAGAAACCGACAAAGAAGTCGCCGATTCATCGCATGAAGGAGCTCATGGCCCTCAACAAATTCGACAGTGGCAAGGGCATATCAGATACCTCACGACGACCCCGGAAGGAATTGAGACCGCGAGCGGGGCCTTGCAGCTGAGAGGCTATCAACTCCATGCGGTAAATCGGCTGCTCTACGTTCTGTTAGAGCTGGGCATCGGTACCTTGCTCGCTTTCGACATGGGCCTTGGCAAGACCCTGATCATTATCAGTAAGACTCCTCACTTTGACTTTAATCGCGCGATTCTGATGTAGTACGCGCAGCGCTCATATTACTGCTCAAGAGAAACCCGCAGCAGTTCTCCGCGGCAAGCTTGCGCAGCGACCATCTCCTCAAGGTCCCTATCCCAAGCGGCGACAAGAGCAGCAACGCAAGCGATGCGGAGCTCGGCAACTCTATCGATCGAATCAATGGTGGCGTTCTCGTGATGGTTCCGTACAGCCTGCTGGGGCACTGGAGGTCGGAACTCACAGTTCGGACGAATCCTCCGCTAAAGACGATCAATCTGGAGATCTTGATTCAACAGTGCGTATAAAAGCATCTGGATTTCTTTCGTCCATAAAAACCATGATCATTCTTGGATCTAAATCCCAATCATTGGCTAAACTGGCTTCACGCTCCTCCCCTTCCCGCATCATGCTCCAACTTCCCATTGAACTCCAACGCCGGGTCCCATGACCATTCTCATGCTAATATCCCTTTCAACATGCAAGAGGACATTGTTAACCCATTGTTAACCCACAACGCCATGAATCCGGGCTCCAAAAAGCCTCTCTATTCAGCTCCGTGGGACATTCCTCGAGAAGGCGCAGACGCGAGCGAGATCTCAATGACGATGGCCGCCCCGCGCGCCAGGATTTTTGGACGGCGGTGCATCGTGCAATGCGTCAATCTTGGCCTCGTCGAAGTGCTTCCGCTGGACTTCGTGTGTGAACCTACACCGGCGTAGGGAGCATGGCATGTTGGCGTCGTCGCGCACACAGGGTGTTCGGTACCAAGGCATCGGGAGTTCGCCCTGCATCGGCCTGGAGAACCTGCCATTTGTCTTCATGGTCTTGGCGAACTTCTGCCCAACCTTGCCTTTAGCTTGCTTCTTCGCCTGCTTCTTCGCCTGCTTCTTCGCGTCCTTCTTCGCTGGTCTGGCCGCTGTTAGTATATGAGTCGGAATGAGAAGAGCGGAATACCTACGCCTTAGTCTCGGAAACCTTGCGACGTTTGCTCGAGTTAGTGGCGATAGTGTCGATATCGGGCTCGCTCTTCGCTGGTCTGGCTGCTGTTAGTATATAAGTCAGAATGAGAAGAGCAGAAAACCTACACCTTAGCCTCAGAATCCCTGCGACGTTTCCTCGAGTTGGTGGCAACAGTGTTGGTATTGGGCTCGCTCTTCGCTGGTCTAGCTGCTGTTAGTATATGAGTCGGAATGAGAAGAGCGGAAAACCTACGCCTTAGCCTCGGAAACCTTGCGACGTCTGCTCGAGTTGGCGGCGATAGTGTCGGTATCGGGCGCGCATTCGACTTCGGACTTAGAGGTGGGCGTAGCGGGAGTGTTGCTAGTAGGCGAGGAATTGGAGGACGATCCAGCAGTTGTGGACGTTGGCATCTCCTCAGTCACGGCGTTGGAAGAAGGCGAGGGGGACGACGCAGTCTAATCCGGAATTTTAGCAAGTGCGCTGCAGTAGGATAGAGGCAAGCGAATAGGCTAAACCGTGAATATGTCTTTGCCTGCTGGAATCTTCGGGAACAGGTTTGCCCACCGAAACCAGGGAAGTATTACTGTGGGAGGGGCGACTTACCTTCTTGCCAGTGCCTACAGTGGCGTCCTTCTTATCCTCACTAGCCTTGTCTTGCTGCACCAAGCTTCTATGCTCTCCAGAACTGTCATTTGACACCTCTGGCTCGAGAAGCCCCTTAGGGACGGTCGGGCTTGTGCCTGTCTGAGACATTGCAAGAGTGGGAAAAGCTCTAAATGTTCGGTCAGTGTCCGAAATTTCCGTCACGACGAACTGGATGACTTACCTTGGGGGTGATAGATTGATTGATTGATTACGGTGAGGAGCTGTGGGGGCGGTGTGGGCGAGCCTTATATAGTAGAGGGGATTGAAGCTCGCGGGGTTGCTGCTGATGCAAGTGCTTTCTTGGCGTGTAGGTGAAGTAGTGGCCCTGCGGCGGAGGGCATATCGCGAGAGCGCGGGCCAAGTGTGCCGGCAGTAGGAGACGGTCACGTGCTAATTCATTCACCACCTCGATCTCGCGTGGAGGGATAACCGAACGGCGCACGGACATTTGTGTTAGGCAGCCTCTCACGGTGTGGAATTCTCCGGATAGAACGACGTGCGCAACAGCTACCCTGGAGGCCTTCCGCAGGTGCGTACAATGGACGAGCTAATCTTACTTGTCCAGCGAGCCCTTAGATCCGTGGTGAAGGCAACATCGGGGCTGCTGATTGGCTGGCCTAACGGCCGATGTGGTGAAGTCGTGCCGAGGAACAGTCCGAGCTTGCGGGCCACCGGTGTTGTGCACTGACCACCCAGATCGGTGACACAAAAATACGAACTCCTTCGTATTTAGCTTCCTCCGCCCGCTAACTTCTTCCTCTTCTTCCTTATCTTTTCTCTCCAACTAGAGGCGAGCGCAATCCCCCTCTATGTTGGAAGGGCACATCGGCGAGCGCAATCCCCCGGTGAGCCCAGGGCAGCGAAGGTGAGTGCAATGCTGCCCGCGCCCTTTGTTAAAAGCTAATCGCGGCGTAGGCGAGCGCAATCCCCCTTCGACTGTTCCCAGACTGAGGCGAGCGCAATCCCCCTCTTTCCTGGAAGGGCACGTTTGTGCCAACGACGGCGACGAAGGCGAGCGCAATCCCCCTTCGTACGCGCCAATGTGGAGGCGAGCGCAATCCCCCTCTGTCATTGAGCTGGTGCGTCGTGCCAACAACAGCAGCAAAGTCGAGCGCAATCCCACTTTGACTGCTCCTAGGTTGAGGCGAGCGCAATCCCCCTCTTTCCTGGAAGGGCACGTTTGTGTCAACGACGGCGACGAAGGCGAGCGCAATCCCCCTTCGTACGCGCCAATGCGGAGGCGAGCGCAATCCCCCTCTGTCATTGAGCTGGTGCATCGTGCCACAAGCAGCGAAGTCGAGCGCAATCCCACTTCGTTGCTGGGTCCCGCGACCACAGGCGAGCGCAATCCCCCTGTGGTCTGCATTAACTCTTGGAGAAGGCGAGCGCAATCCCCCTTCGACATGAGCTAACAAGCCCAAAAATTACAGGTGCTTGCGCCTATATTGAGAAGCTGGACTGTGCGGGTGCGAGTCTGCCCATGGTCTATCAACGCTTCTCCCATCTTTTTTCTTTTTCATTGAGCTTCTTGTCAGGGCGACGGGGCTTGAGGAAGGAGAACCGTTCACGATTCTAACCCGGCGCTATACTGCCTTCGCGGTTTCCTGCGCCTAGCCGCCACATACTCTATCTCCATCTTCGTCTTCGGTCCCGACCCATAGCTCACACCCGTCTCGGAAGGCACATAAGCGCTGGCTTTATATGGGCGAGTCCCAGCGGGGTGTCAGTGGTCTGGGAGCAACTGCGGGGCGTCGAAAGCAAAGGCGGTGCTGTACACTTTAAAGAGTTTCTACTTCCGTCCGCCTTGCTTTAGCTAGAGCTGTAGAAGCACACAAACCCATGCAGGATTTAGTCTTCGCCTGATACAAGCTAGAACGAGCGACAATGTTGCCGGTCAGGATCTACTCCCTACCTCTTTATGGCAATGTCCAAATGCTAGGTCGCCTGTACTTCCAATAAGCGTAGATTGTGCGGGAGCTAGTTGGTGTTTAGACGTGTCGCTCGTGCTATTACATATTCGTCAGCTTCTTATAAACCCAATTACTTATTGTTAGAGCATTGTGAGCGCTCTATCGCTCGCCCAAGCTCGCCAACTCCTACGCAGCGCCCACCTCAATACCCCCCATCCCCTCGCCCCTCCACCTCTCCAGCTCCTTCGTAAACGAAACAATCCCCTCGCTCCACTGCGAACCCCTCGCGCGCTTCATTCCCGCCACCGCATCTCCCATCTTCTCCAGAATCTCACCCTCTAACGTAATGTACCCCGGCGTACACACCGCCACCGAAGCAAAATAAGCCGCGCCCTGCATAAGCCGCATAGCCCACGCCTCCTCCGCGTCTTTTAAAGGCTCAATGACAACGCCGTGCTGCTGTTTGCTTCCCATGCGGTCATGGCCAGTCGCTATGATGGACGACACGTGCGCACTCATCACGTCGAGGGTGTGCGTATAGTTTGCGGTTGCGGAAGCCTGCGAGACACCCATCCAGAAAAGGTTGGGGAAGCCGTTGGAGATGCATCCGTGCAGGCTGGATGCGCCCTGTGAAGTTATCTTCTCATTCAGACTACGGCCTTCGCGGCCCATGATCTCGATACCCATGCTTGCGGCGGGATTGCCGTGTGCGTAACCAGGGGAGCGATAGCCGGTGCAGAAGATGAGGATGTCGATGGGGTATTCTTGACCGCCGGCGACGATCCCATGGGGAGTGACGCTGTCGACACCTTTGCCAGCCGTGTCTACTAGATGCACGTTGGGCTTGTTGAAGGCCTCTAGATAGAGGTCGCTGAAGGTCGGCCGCTTGCACCAGGTTGGGTACCAGGGCGTCAGCTTCTCGGCGATTTCCTTGTCCTTGACAATGTCTAAGACTCGCTGTCTGACCTTTTCGGCGTGCTCCGCATCCAGTGTGTACATGGTCGCGATATGCTCCTGGACCTTGTCAGGCGTGATGGTACCAAACTTGGTACTTCCCATCAGAGCGCAATACGCCTGCAGTTTTGACCACTCATCGTCGATGAGATTCACTCCTTCCAGCGTGTCGTGGTGGCACAGGAGCTGAGCTAGGTTTTCCATGCGCCGCTTCTGCCAACCTGGACCTGTGGCTATGCGTTCGGCCCACTCCGTTCGATCTGTCTCGCGCTGTCCCCGCGAATTCACCTGCGAAGGGGTACGCTGGAAGACGTACACCTCTTTCGCATACTTTGCGACCTCTGGTACAACCTGAATGGCTGTTGCCCCAGTTCCAATAATGCCGACACGCTTGTCTGCCAGCTTGTCTAGAGCGGGGAAGGGCGTATCGCTGGAGCCGCCGGTGACACTGTAGTCCCAGCGCGAAGTGTGGAACATGGAGCCTTCAAAGCCGGTGAGTCCGGGAATCTTAGGTACTTGGGGATATGGAAAGAGGCCGGAGACGAGGATGACGAAATCGGCATTGACCCAAAAGGCACTTTTGTCTCTACCCCCTGGCCCCCGACTGGTCGTCATGTCGATCTTCCAGGCGCGCATACTGCCATCCCACTGGAGGCCATTGAGCTGTGTGCGGTATAGGATCCTATCGGATAGTCTGAATCGCTCGACCACTTGCGTGAGATAGGAACGAATCTCCACGCCTGATGCGTACTTGTGGCTCGGCACATAGTCCATCTCTTCGATTAGAGGCATGTAGACGTATGATTCGACATCGCAGTGAAGTCCAGGATAGCGATTCCAGTACCATGTTCCGCCTAGTCCACCGGCCGCTTCGACAAGCACGATCTGATCGGGGGCGAAGCCTGCCTGCACGAGCCTCACGGCGTTCAAAATACCCCCGATTCCGGCGCCCATGATCAGGAACTTGATGCGGTCGCCTGACTGGATTGGCAGGGGAAGTTTGTCGAGCGCATCGTGGTCCGCAAACGGATCGTGGACGAGACCGCGGAGTCGGTCGTTGTCGCTGAAGTGCAGTTGCTGAAATTGCTGCGTACCTTCCGGCCTTTTGCGCTTCGCGGCTTCTTGCATGTACTTTTGCTGGACGGGCGTCATCGACGCCATAGCCGCTCCTGGGTCCATCTTCGAGACGAAGAAAAGCGAGCGATTTCCGATGACGCTTCAGTCTACTTGTTTGCGTGATGGCTATCGAGGAACGCGAGTGCGACTGCGTCGTCCAAGAAGAGGGGTACGTATCGTTCCTGGCGAGACGTGCTTGATTGACGACGCCGTTACCGTATAGGCCGTATGCAACGGCTATATTCCGACCTGTGTACCTCGCCTCACAACGTGCCGCCAACCTGCGGGGCGCTAGCCGCGCGACCAATAATGCGCTACTATGGAACTGCACAGATATTAACATCCACTCGCCTAGATGCACCAAGAAGGTCTAGCCTTGCGAAGGGCGTGCTACCTCATTCCGAGCCTGTCTCTCACGGTGTGGAATTCTCTGGATAGAACGACGTGCGCAACAGCTACCCTGGAGGCCTTCGCGGGTGCGTACAATAGGACAGCTAATCTTACTTACTTGTACGGTGAGCCCTTAGATCCGGAGAATTCCCTACCGCAAGAGCCTGTGCCTCCAGGCGCCGCAATCCTAGAACCTTACAAACACACCCCCGGTCGAACAATGGACCGATACAGCGGCGCAAGCGCGATGGAAGGAGGAGCTCAACTGCCTCATTTCGATGACCTTCCCTCCGTTGAGGGCATGCCTCAGGGCTGTGCATGGGGAGTCTTCGATAAAGATGGGAAGAAAGACTTGCTCGGGACGCTGAACCTGCTGACGCCCGCTGTGGTCGCCGAAGCCTGCAAGGAGGCTCGAGATGGCGTTTCTATCTCGCTCAAGTATGTTTCGAGGAATTTGCGCTCACTAGGACGCTGATATCGCGAAGCTGGCCTCTTAATGGCAATAAGATCCCGATGGGTCGTGTTGCTCCGACGCACAAGGTGATGAAGCTTAGTGAGATGGGGCTCATTCAGGGGTGTGGCTGGGATGACGAGCTTACGTTTAATACGCAGGTTGGTGTTCACCTAGCCTGCTATGCCAGTGCTCAAACTGACAGACTCGATTAGGCGAGCAGCCAGTGGGACAGCTTGGTCCATTGGCAGCACCAAACTTCCGGGCTGGCCTACAACGGAATCAAAGTAACTCAAGAGGGACTCTGCGCTACTTCCACGGATGCGAATCAGATGCCGACGCTGGATCACTGGCATACTTCCGGTGGCCTAGTAGCTCGCGGCGTCCTGATAGACTTCAAAGCCTGGTACGAAGCAAAGGCCATTGCAGACGGCAATTCCGGGGAAGAAGCCATCTTTCACCCCTTCGGCGACCATAATCGAATCACCGTCGCGGACCTTGAGGCTGTTGCCAAAGATCAGTGTGTTGAGTTCCGCACAGGAGACGTGCTCATCATCCGCACGGGCATGACCGAGGTCCTCGAAGCTCCGACTCCTGGGGACTTCGCGAAAATGCAGAAGATGCAGATTGCAGGCATGCACGGTACACTTGAGGCCGCGAAATGGCTTTGGAATAAGCACTTCGCTGCAGTGGCAGGCGATTCGGTATCGTTTGAGGCTTTGATGCCGATCAAGGAGGACGGTTCGGTAGGGAGCCCGGAAGACCTTGGTAAGTTAGTCCAGTCGCGAGGTTTCCTGTAATTGAGTAATGACTTTGGGGTACAGTGTTGCACCCTTGGCTCCTTTCCATGTTCGGAATGAGTATCGGTGAGCTGTGGGACTTGAAGGCGCTGTCCGCGCATTGCAAGAAGACGAACCGGTACACGTTCCTACTTACTTCTGCGCCGCTCAACATTCCAGGACTCGTCGGGTCGCCTCCGAACGCGCTCGCCATATTCTAGAAGAGGAGTAGTTTCGGGTGTGGGCTATGGTTATCGGGATGAAGGAAGTAATAGACGTCGAGGGGAAGTAAGTCCGCCGGAGGGCGCCGGTTTCGGGAAGCTAGGGCGGCCAAGACAGACAATATTAAAAAGCCCCCACCCCCGACCTCCCATCAGACTATGCTTTCTACTGCATCGTGAAACTCGTCTTGCTCGCCGTCTTCTTCATCCGCAACCGCATGGCCAGCCGCCCTCATGTCTGCCACGAATCGGTTATATACATCCGGCCCCAAGTACTTCGAATATTCGAGCGGTGAGACTGGCTCGCCTACCCAATTGCTGACATGAAGGGGTCGAGTGCGGAGTCCGTTTCCTCTCAGATGCGGGTCTGCTCCCTTCTCCAACAAGAATCTGACCTTCCCGCATGGCAGATTGTCCTCCCTATTGCTGTACGAACCGACCGCGTAATGAAGTGCTGTCCAACCCCACTGATCTCGTCGATCAATATTACCCATGCCATACTTCTGGCATAGGTGCGCAAGCGGTGACACGGTAGACGCGAGTTCAGCCGCCAGATGCAGTGCCGTTCGACCATCTGGTAGTGCTTCGTCGAGTTTGACTCCGCAGTGTGCAAGGAATTCTAGCGCAGGAATGGTGACGTCTCCACTTCGCATCGCTGTGAACAAAGCGGATGACCCATACTCGTTCGCAATGGAAAAGTCAATGTAGCACTGGTCCAGAAGAAGTTGCAAGAAGGGCAGCAAGGTTTGTGAGGTCGAATTAAAGGCCTGGACGGCCAGCGTAAGCGTGGTTAGTGTTTGCCCAAAGATGGTCTCGTGGACAGAAGCGTCGTGTTTTACCAGCAACCGGATAATATCGAACCAGATATCTGTGCGCGGCGGCAACTGCTTGTATGGGATAACTGAATGGGCCGAGGAGCTTTTGGTGCCAACGAATCCGCATGCAGCAAAGACAGGAAGACTGATAAGTAATGTGAGACGTGAGCACAGTCAAGAATGAGGTCTTACATTCGCTCATCGTCTCCCATGTTGGGATCTGCACCGGCTTTCAGGAGGCATCTGACTGCTTCCGTGTTGGACGAGTCTAAGGCGTGTTCGATTGCGAGCTGCCGGGATACTTAGTACCGCGAGGAATCTGCTGGAAATAGAGGACTTACAAGAAGCGGGGTCTTGCCTCGGCAGATGGTCCTATCGTACAGAACACCCGCGTTATTCCGAAGGCACTCCTCAATGGTGCTGACGTCCCCTCCTCTACACGCAGACATGAAACGAGACTCTAAAGGGACTTGGTTCTGAACCCTGATATAGCCGGGAAGGATGCAGATGCTCGACCCAAATTGCAGGCGTGCAAACTGTAAATAAGCCGATATAACCTTCCCAGTCCATGAAGGCAACTTATATCCAACGTGTATCTGCAGTGTATCCACGTCATCGGTGGTGCTCACAGTATTCACTGAGCCATAGAAGCCCCACCTTCGTAACCAACAATCCTCTGGCAGAACATGACCCTTTGGCGCTGTCTTGAGACGTAAGTCACTGGACTTGTTGTTTCCGTAGGCTGGAAGTGAACGGAATCGTGTTGTCGAAAGGCGTGGGTTAGCTGTCGAGGCTCGGGCACTGACTTTATTGTCGATCGCTCGAATGGAGGCGAGCGTATGTAATGAGATGTAACTAGGGGGAGGTGAGATAAGGGGTATTATATATGTATAGGAGGATACGCACTGTTGAGAAAGTTGAATTAAGATTTCCAGATTGATCTCAGCGTCTCGGAGATGGGACAGCAATTTCCGCATAGTATCTTTGCCCGTCAGAGCGAATTTGAACCTGGTTCGGATTCCGGGATCCTTCGCAGTGTATCTTGAACACTCAGACCGTACGACCTGGATGGATTTCTCCACATCTTCCAGAGAGGTCTGTAGTAGGCTTTGCAACTCGATAGGGACGGGCGTATCCATGTGAAGACCACCTAACGTTGACCTAAAGGCACGGAGACCCCCATACAGCCGAGAGAGCTGGGCTTGTACGCGCTTTATTTCGGATGGAGCGTCTTCCATGTCTTGGTAAAACTCAGCTAGAGTCTTCGAGGCTTGTAAAACGCAGCCTAGCAGCTGGGAAAACGAAGCAGCGGCGGCGACCCCAGCCAGAGCTTCGCCTACCCCAGACATGCTCACGACTGATCTGTGTAGAAGGTGAACTAGCAGAATATTTTCCAGTTGTTTTTGGTTGGTATTGCCGCAACGGACAGCACGCCTGGGTGGAGCCCTGGAGTGCTTATCGATGGGTTCTAAACTGCGGAGTCGGGCTGAAAAAGATCAGCCAATGACCTCAAGGGAACATGATCAGGTAGGCATAATAGCAGCCTCGGGTCTCCCTGTAGCCAATAACAGGAATTAGCAAGCGAAGGCTGATACGAGGCAGATTCGCAACTTACCTTATGATCACACAGCCTCGTCCCGCCTTTCGCCAACAACTCATCCGCTCTTGTCAACGAGTGTTCCATTCACCAGAGTCTACACTCTATTGCAAGGATCGAACCAAATTATTCGCAGTACCATTTTCAGCGCTGCACCTGGCAAGCAATGGAGAATCGGGACACCATGGTAAGGCCGACCCCGTGTAGCCAACGGATGTGAGGCGATAGATGAGTGTTCTAACCTTTGGCGAAGCCACAGCTCGCGGAGCACATTCAAATAGACGGATATCCCTTCGAAAATGCAATAGTGGCCGGCCAGGATCCATACACTGTTGCAAATGGGGGAGGGATCGAGTACAGATGGCATTGCGTAGGGCTCGGAGCCTCGCCGCTATATCCACTATTCTAATCTGTCTCACTCTAGTGTTACTGTGGGGAGGCCGACAATTCCACCAGCCTCAATAGCCATTGTACTATATGTTGCCATCATCGATGCAGCGGTTGCGTGATTGTGGAGCAGTGCAGACTATAGCACTGAGCGAGGGCTTCAGTTCTTCCGGACTTCTTGCCGTGGAAAGACCTGTGGGGCGTGTGCGTGACACTGGAGCGGTTGTTTTAGTTAATGTCAGTTGAATTTGCGTCGTTTCTGTATATCTGTCGATGACCTACTCTTTTCCTGGGTAGCTGAAGCATGTACCACCCATTTCAACAACTGTAGTGGCTCATGACTGCGGCGAATGAATTCTTCCTCGGTGGCGTTTAAAATGGAGAAAAATTTAGCTGTTGACCGCGGGAATCTCTTATCTGTTATGGTTTGCAGCGGTCCTGACCCAACGCGGCAACGGCAGAGTAGATTATATATGTGTTCTCTTATGGGCGGGAAGCTACTAGTTTGCGGCCGCTTAATGACTTGAGCTGTTAGATATTGCAATGCACCGATATAGCGCTCTGGGTAAATGATGCGTAGACTCGGAGGCTGATAGGAGGTACGGAATGTTGGACCTCATGGTGCCAACTAGCTTCGTGGATCCCGAGTTGGGCAATGCGGTAGTGGGTCGTCATTCTCATTTTTGGTTGAAGGAGGGGTGAGATGAACTATATTGAGATGAACTATATTGAGATGAACTATATTGAGATGAACTATATTGAGATTGGTTGAGTCTGTCGTCTTAGCCCAGGCTAAGGATGGAAAGTGGAAGGCGAGATATCGTAGATTTGAGGGTATCGAATGACGTCATAGCGATAGTACTAGCACCGTGCTAGTTCTTCCGGACTACCCAGGTAGTGACGAAGAAGCTAGCTGTATGGCCTTCTCTCTGGATCCAGATAGGGCCTACCATTCCTTCTCCATGAGTCCCTCGTACCTCGTTGAAATCGACAAATGTCTAGAGGATACCGAACGTGCCGTCTGGCTCTGCGGCTGTTTGATCGCAACACTCTATCGTCTCGATGCCGCTTAAAGGTTATTCATCGCCGTATTCAGGATGAGGTTCGATATGAATTCTGTCCTACACGCATAGAAGCCCTCGCTTAGATAAAATAGGACGTCTTGCGCTTGGCCCCAAGGAACAGCAATGCTACACTTCTCAGCGTCATTTCCCACTTTAAGGCATTGTCGGCAGGCCAGATGCGGTAATAATATCCTCTCCAGGGCGTATTCTCTATAGTGTATTACCTAGGTAGGTATTGTCCCAAAGCTCGAAGCCATACCCAGTTGGGATACCAATCTCCCATTGGTTGATCAGCTTCATCTCCACGCCTGCTCGTTCTTCTCTGCACCTAGTATTTCGCGAAAACTCCGATAGGCATCCGCTGCTCCGAGACCTTTGGTCCGATCACATGTGCCTTTTCCCGTTCTGGAAACCAATCTCTCATTTGTTGAGGAGCTTCCCACTTCCCAAGTGCAAATGGAGTCGGGCTTATAAGAGACTCTGTCAACAGGATCTATCTCGTAGCCAGCTAGTCGACTCGATATCGAACCCCCTTCAGCCCTTATTCATTGCCCACCATGTTCTCCCCGAGCTGGATCAGGTCCCAGCTCATCACTCTCCCCGTCCCTCCAGCCTCTTCCTTCGCCGGCCGCACATACATCGTAACAGGCGCTAATAACGGCCTTGGCTACGAATGCTCTAAGCACCTAGTCTACGCCTCCGCTGCACGGGTGGTCATGGCCGTGCGCTCCGAAGCCCGCGGACACAAAGCGCTCCTCAAGATCGAGGCCGAAACAGGGAAGAAAGGCGTCGCTGAAGTGTGGCCCCTCGATCTGGGGGATTTCGCCAGTGTTAAGAGGTTCGCAGAGAGAGCGAAGACGGAGCTTGAGGCGATCGACGGCATCGTTGAGAATGCTAGTATTGCTCTCAGCGAGTGGACTCTAAGCGAGGGTGTTGAGACCACAATGGCGGTGAATGTCCTGGGTACTTTCCTTTTGGCCGTGTTGTTGCTGCCCAAGTTGAGGGAAAATGCAATCAAGTCTGGCGTCGCGCCGAGGCTTACGATAGTCGGGAGCAATATTGCTTGGTACCAAGGCCCCGGTTCAAGTAGTAGACTGTCCTTTGCTAACTTGTAGGCAGTAAGCAAGACCTTTCTCTCCTTTCATTTGGGACGTACTTGCGCTATATCTTACATTAGCGAGCTACGGGCAAAAGTTGGAGTCCGTCTAACATTTGGTATTTGTACCCTAGCTATTTGAACACCCGCTAATTGTACTGCTATCTTAAGTCATGGGCACTAAGGGGCAGTTGGAGCGTATTAACGAGGATATTATCGAAGGGTTGAACGTGGAAGGGAAGTGGCCGATGGACAATCCTAGGTACGTGCCGACACGGCGGTCTCATCACTTGCGACGATCGTGCTGACAGGAGAGTTTCAGGTATGCGATAAGCAAGCTGCTCCAAACGTACGCAACTCGCCAGCTCGCCTCCCTCCTACCAGTCTCCGAAACCAATATCATAATCAACTGGCTGAGCCCCGGCCTCTGCAAAACAGGCCTCGCGCGGCACGCCAAATTTTCGAGTCGTATGCAGATCGGTCTCGCGAACTGTCTCGTTGGTAGGACGGCGGAGATGGGAAGTCGCACGCTCTTGCACGCAGTTAGTGCTGGAGTGGAGACCCACGGAAAGTATCTGAATGATTGCGATATTAAGGAGGACGAGATTCCAGACTGGACGTCGAACGCGGAAGGGCACAAAATGCAGGAGCGGGTGTGGGCGGATATTGTTAGGAGGTTGGAAGAGGTGCAGCCCGGATGCGTAAAGCGGGCTTTGGAACCCTGAATTTGAATATGAACGTCCATAGGCCGCTCCAATGCTGAGTTCCCACTGAGCTAATGCTTCAAATGCGTTTGGTCGCTTGAATCCAAAGTTGTTCCGCAGGTGCACTGTGGAGGCTAGCAATCCAAGGGAATCGGGCGAGAGCTTCTCGAAGTCCAGCCCACTCCACTATGCCAGCATTCCCCACCTCCTGTGCAATTCTTGGGATCAACCACTTGTCATCAGACGTACTAAGAATAGAGAGGCGGCCGATAAACAGGAGCCATAGTAGTAGCCCTTCCTGATTTGATATATCCTGGTGATAACCCTGAACGAAGCTTCGAAAACGACTCGATAAGGCTTCGTGATGTAGCAGTCTGCGCCGACCGAATTGAAACATCAGTGTGGTCAAGAAGGCTATCATGCCCATTTGGCACCCGTAGTCCAACGTGGATCCGTGATAAGGACTAGAGAATGGACCGGGTTGGAGAAGGCGATAGCACAGTGCTAACAGCGTCTCTTGGAATGCAACTGGACCCATCTTATTCTGTGGAGAGGAGCGATCGAGTACGTCTGCGAGGCTGAATACGTCGTTCGCTATACTGCGGAGTGTATGCTGAAGATTTTGGAAGGCTACCGGGAGATGCGGCGCAGTGTAGTTTTGTGGATATCGTGCAGTGAAGCGTATTTCCTCCAGTCTCCATTGCGGGACGCACCCTGCAGAAAGCGCAAAATCAATATCGGCGCGGCATGTCTTCTGGAGGAGAATAGGATCGCTAAGCTGCGCGATGCCGCCCTTCATGTCAACAAGCCGTGAGAGCCCGCGCATGTGGATCCGCCAGCTTGACATGTCGCCACGCAACTGCGCATAAATGACGAGGCCAATAACGAGAGCAAATGTCAGTTCAGACAGTGCTTCATCACCCGAAAGCCTTCGGGCTAGTAGTTGAAAGGTCTGCGTGAGATGCGTTAAAGCGAGCGCGGAGGATTTCGGCTGGAGTAGATAGAAATCGTTGCACGCGGATATGAGACAGAGCATAAGGTGGAAGTCTAGGGGATCAATTAGAGTGTATCACGGGAAGGTGGAGAGCAGAGGCCCTTACAAGCTTCATCCCCAGTCATCCATTGCACCCACATGCTATGCTCGTAATCGAAGGAATTGCAGTACTCGTGAGGATAGACGGCATCGCTGACAACAAGGAAAACTGCTTGTAGTAAGCTCTGGAAAGTTCAACTCTCGGGCAATGCTGACATTGACGGATCACATTTCTCGTATCCGGCGACAGCTCGGCCGAGAAGGGCAGGGTCGAGAACTCGTGGTCGATGAAGCGCTGGATGTTTCGGAGGGCGCTACATACTTCAAGCCGTTCCGAAATAGCAGCAGCTTTGCCAGGCGCCTTCTGCTTGCCCTTGCGAATAGACGTTGCACGGCTGCGTCTCGTAATGGTCTTCCCTGCGTTCTTTCCTTTCATACAGTGGCTTCGAATCGCCTTCCTAGCTTTCTGATCGATGGCACTATGATCAACAAACTGAAGCATGGGCGCATATGGGGGTGATCGAAAGAAGCTGCACTCCACGAAAGTTGGCCTTTGGCTAAATGTAGGAGAAAGAGGGCCAAATGAAGTTTGAAGTGCTCGAAGCGGACTTAAGGGTTTCGTCCGAAGCGACCTAATCCGAAAACGGTTAGCGCTACACATGTTCTAGAAAGGCATCAGAAATAGTAATTCTGGCTCGTTGCCCTACAGTCAATCTTCAGTCCAGGGATGCTAACCTCCATCCTACCTCCTCCAACAAGTTGCACAACGCATCCACATCCTCAGCCTCGCAATCTGGAAATGCCGCAATAGTCTTCTGACCCCCAACGCCACTCATTTGAAACCCATATTCCGCTCCTCTCCTCCCTCCCGCAATCCACTGCGTCGGCCCAACCCCACAATCAAACATGTAATACCGACTTTCACGAATCTCAGAGACTAAATCATACCTCTGCTCAAACATTTCCTGCTCCGCCCAGTTGCCCTGGCCCAGCGCGAAGTGCCGCAGGTGCGGAAGGCCGGATGCGAAGCGAGGCAGCACATGGTGCCAGCGAAGCAGCACGTGGTGCCAGCAAAGGTCGATGTTTTTGAGATAGATGGCACGCGCGAAGGCAGTTAGAGGGAAAGGGTCGAGAGAAGGGAAGTTGGGGAGTTTTTGCGACTCTTCCAAGCGCAGGGCGATGACAATGGGGCAGTCATCCAGAATGAGTTCCTCGAGCGTTGCGCCATGCGAGAGGATCCAGTCGATCTGCCAGTCGTATGCAATCGTAAAATTGCCCAGCACCAAGGACTTTAGCTTAGGGAAGTGAATACCGCGGAGGTCGCAGAAGGGGAAGATGCCCCAGAAACAATGCGTGCCGTAGAGAGTCAGATGCGTTAGCTGAGGCTGCAGCGGTCCGAGCCACTGCGCAGGCAGATCACTGGTAAATCCCCGATGGCATCCCTGCAGCAAAATGCTGGTCTCCGGTGCTGCATCTTCGGTCTCAGTGGTGATCTGCAGAGCCAGTTTCTTCAGCCTGCTCCTCACGGCCTTGAAATCTTCAGACTCGTATATCTCTTCAAGAGTCCAATCTTGCAGATTCTTGACCGTTAGGCTATCCACGCTAACCGCAGGTTTCTCGAGATTATTTAAGCCTTCGAAAAATGCCTCAAGTACGTCGGTGCGAAACGACTGCGTCTCCGCGACTTCTTTATCCCATGCATTATAACGGCCAACAGCGGGCGCGGCACACTCCCTTGCGAACTTCAACTCCACCTTTCTTAGATTCGGAAACTTGAAGACGGCGCGTAAAGCGTCCAGGAATGATTCTAGCGGCTCCTTTTCTTCGTTTGAAGCCCAATCTGGATCGGCATCGGGGTCGTCGTCCGTGTTGAAGATGACGGTTCTGACGAGCGGGTTCAACTTTTCTGATTCGAGAATATGCGTATATTTCGCTGCACTCTCGTCGCTTGGTTGAAGAACGATGGTACTAAAGAGTGCTTCCGTTGCTATTGGAAGGGCGTCCTTGGAGACGAAGCGGAGAGATTTGAGGAATTCGGGGTCGACGAACTGGACACACTGGCGTTGGAGTTCAATGGGGAGTTGGAGCATGATGCGGGAGGGGGAGGAGCGTAAAGTCAGTTTAGCCAATGATTGGGGATTTAGATCCAAGAATGATCATGATTGTATGGAAGAAAGAAATCCGGGCGCTTTTATGAGGTTCAGGAAGCGAACCCGTACTCAGATCTAAGCGAGATGGAAAACTAGGCAGCTACGAATCAGACGCGCTCGGTAAGACGCCAAGGTGAAAGGAGCGCCATCCCTACTACTTGCGTATCTGAGTGATTCCCCAAGGCACATCCTCTTAGTTGGGCATTAACTTCATGGAAGTTCTGCTGCCGTGGGTTTTCAAAGCTTGTGACACTTCTTCAGCGCCCTCACGCTATTAAAGCTCTGAAGGACACCATGAACAACGATCCCTAGGGAAGTGCAGACGAAACAGTTTATTAGCCGGGTATTAGCGACGGGTCGAGGAAAGACATCGATCTATTCTAAGCTACCAAGCTTGATATCAAAAGGTCTTCGGTCTCGAAGGACCCATAGCCAGGAGCATTCTCACACGAATCCCGTGGCGTATGCGGACGACAACCTAGTCGAGCGCGGAAGATCAACGGAAATGAGATCATGCCCTACACCGCTCAAGACGCGAGATCCATCCATCCAGGAACAGCCGTCTTCCTCATCTCTCCTCCCTATGTCCGACTAAGTCACCTCCTTGCGCAGGCACTCAATACTCATATCCACACCCCCACGCGCCAACGCGTCATTGTACTCCTTATTCAGGCGCATCATGCTCTTCAGCCCAGCTTCCTTGATAGCGACGCAATCGAAGTGTCCTTCTTTGGTCTTGTTGTCGAAGTACACCTGGATGTAATTGCCGTCCGGGGCGACGACTTCCACATAGTCGGCGATGTTACAGAAGTGCTTGTTGTCGCCAAATTTGTAGCAGTTCTAGAGCGTGTGATTAGCAAAACGTCACTGAAATAGCCAGGGCCGACAATCCAGCGTGGCGTCGTGTCTTGACCGATAAAAGGCCTCACGGATAGCTGAGGCATGCCGGTAGTATACATACCTTCTCATCCAAGCTCATCCGCTCCACAACCCCCGCAATCGTCCCGATCATCAGCTTCCTCAGCGGATCATTCTTGCCATACCAGCCTCCCCTCACAAAAAGCTCCATACTCCCAACCTTCACCTCCTCTCCTTTGCGATAATTAACCGGGATGCTCTTGGTGAAGGGGTAGCCATGCTCCTGGTGGCAGGAGGAGTTGCCGGGTGCGCGCGGGCAGAGGTCGTCGATGGCGTGCCAGACAGCACTGTAGAGCGAGGACCCCAGAAGGTCGCCGACGTTCTGCTTGTTGTTGCCCATTTTAACGAGCACTTTGTGCTTGTTGGCACGGGGGAAGAGGTCGCCGCCACTAGCCATCGCGCGCATCTCCGCATCGCGAGTGGATAGGGCGTCGGGAATGAGGATTCCATCTATGCCGAGTTAGCCAGATCCAAATGGGAGGCACACGTTTGCGCTTACTCGACCCGACTTTGTGCACACGGAGATCAGGTACTGCAACGGCGATGGCGGCGAGTACCGTGAAGAGGAGTAGAGAGAGCTTCATCGCGGGAATTGAGAAGTTGCGGGCACCAGTCGTTGAATTCCAAGCTGAGGTGTAGGTTCGACGGGTAAGAGAAGAGGCACCTGGGTTAAGTAGAAGTGGGGTCGCGCGTTGCGGTCGAGTGCTTCACTATTACAACTGCATGGCGCCAATGGAGCAGCTGAAGTGAAAGCGGGACATGGTCATGTCTACACACTCGTCGGCGCCTGAGCGAGAGAAACTCGTATCTTTCGTGCATCCTGACATTCACAGAGCCTGTTGTAAGGTATGGTGTTCTCAGTCCGAGAGTCCTTCTGACTCCTGGACTGACGACTGGCCTTGGTCACGCGGGCCGTTCACCGCGATCACATGACACTCTTTTCGACAAAACCATGGAACCCATGGGTATTACTGAGACGAGACGTGCACCCATCCAAAGCCTCGATGAACTCAGAGCCTAGAACGGCATAACTCTTGAATACCAAAAAGTCTATTCCTCTAATCCTTCTTATACACCCCAAGCATCCACGCTGCTCTTAGCACCGCCAACCCCCACGCCATCGCCATCGAGTCCCAGATGACGTTTAACTTACTCCCCATAACCTCCTTCCAGCCGATGGCCACTTCAATCATAGCGATATCCGCGCTCTCCGCCAGCATCAGCATCTCGACGTCGAAGATCCAGCCTTCGGAGTGCATGTAGGGGACGATATAAGGTAAAGTGGGGCGGCTGAAGAGCTTGAAGCCGCATTGTGTATCCTTTATAGCGGCGGTTGCCGGCGGCGTCATGAGCCGGAGGAGAAGGTGGAAGGAGTGCATAAGGAAGTTACGTAGCTTGGAGCGCTGGGGGAGGTTAGCTTGGCTCGGTGCGCTGGATAGGATAGGCGGATTGGGAGGGGAGAATGGGCGGGCAGATGCGGAATACGAACTTACCTTAACGACGGCCTCGCTGCCTACAAGATGCGCTCGACTGCCGATCGCGACTCCTCTACCCTCTTTGTCCTCGATTGTTTTACAAGCCTCAACCAGCTTGTTCAAATCCGTAAATCTCGACGCACCATCGGCGTCTGCAAAGACGACATACTGCCCCCTGACGTGTCTCATGCCATGCGTGACTGCACCGCCTTTCCCCCTATTCTCCTCAAGAGCAATGACTCTGATGCTGCCATGAGGGATGTGCTCCGGATGCGTCAGGCCCGACTCCCAGGGTCCAGAAGCCGGGACCGAATGTTGGGAGAGCTGGTGTTCGCGCGCAAACTCAAGCGCTTTATCAACCGTGGCGTCGGTCGAGCCATCGCTCACGATCAGGATTTCCCAGCCCTTCTGCCTCTTCTTCCCGTTGTCTTCCTCCCCTTCGCTGTCATGCGCGCCTCCATACGCTTTCAGCAGATAGTCCACGGCCTCTTCGAGCATGCCGCGTAACCGCTCCTCCTCATTGTAGGCGGGCACCACGACCGACATGAAGAGTTCGGCCTCTTCGATCGGCATCTGCGGAGGTAGCACGACGCGGCCCGGGCCGGCTCTCTGCTTCGCAACTTCTTTCTCAGCACTCCATTTGTCTATCCAGCATGGCAGCTCTTTCGCCTCGCTTCTCTTCCCATCGGGAAGGATTGTGGCGTACTGTTTCTCGGACCGGCGAGGAGGGCGGGGCACGGGCGCGACAAGGTTGAGGGCGATGTATAGCTGCAAACCTGGATTAGCATATCCCTTGAATCGCAGCACATGCTGGGAATAGCGCGGGGAGAGCAGCGCTGGAGCGATGCGGCAGCTCGGGAGCAAAGTTGCGCCAACGTACCCAGAACACAAGCGCGGCACAGCAGAATCCCAGCGCCACAAGCAGCACCCAGGTAGGCGGCATCTCCACGCGCTGCGTCGGAAAGGAGTCGAATCCATACGGCTTGTCCATGGCTAACGCTTGCACACTCTGAGCGTGCGTCCACAAGCTCAAGCTACCTGCACGAAGACGCCGTGGACATGGATGCGCGGCAGCAGGCCAACAGCAGAAAAGGCAACGCTCAATTGCCCGTATGGAAGCGACAGCAAGGCGAAGCAACGAAGCAACGAAGGAAGGAAGGGCAGCGAAAGAAACACCCAGTGCGACAGTTATCTTGGGCCGGGCATCCACGCGCAACGCGGCCAATTGACATCTGAAGATGCAACGTGGACGCTGACGTCTGCCGAACGGCAAAACCTCGGGGGAGGCCAGAGCGGCATCTCTGTCCGTCCGGGGCAAAGCGCTTCCATTTCAAGTACATAGACTACCCTCGTCCGGAAGATCATGAGTCGTAGCTTGGACAATACCAGTAGTGTCCTATGATTGCCTTCCAAAATGCCCAATCTATGCCGTATATACAACCCATCCACCGAAAGCAGCCGCTCGCTATGAGTATCCAAAACGCGGTACAATGAGAGCGCTCACTGCTAAGTTATACCACAATAATTCAGTAACATGTCGATATGAAGGCAAGAAGGTCAAACGAAAGTCGTTGGACGCGCTCATCGAGAGGCCCTCTCTTCATCCTGCTCATCACTCCACGACTGCGCATGGTTTCCATCATCTTCGGGAAGGTATACTGGAGAATTATTAGCATGCCGGGGCAACGGTAGCAATAAAGTCTATACGTACCATGCGGTCGAACAAACCAGCTACACACAAACGCCATGCCGAAAGTCACCGTCAAGCAAACAAAGACCGTCTGCCTATACTTGCTTACGGTCGCGCTGTAGATGCCGTTGAAGATCGTGGGTCCTAGGACTCTCGCAAAAGCGTGCAGTAGCCCTGTAGCCCCAAGCAGCTGACCGACACTGTCGGGAGGGACATGCTTGGTCAACGCGGACCCAAGCGTCGGGCTACCGATACCGCCAACAGCTGCTATAGCCCCAGATGCGACAAACAGACTCTCGTTCCGGGCAAGGGTGAAGCCGAGGTAGCCTAACATGTCAAAGAAGACTGCAAGGCGAATGAGCGAAAGGTCGAAGCGGTCCGAGCCTGAGTTGCGCTGTTTTGCCGCGCCATCCTTCCCGCGCACAAAGCGGGTAAGCAAAGGAAGGATGACAAGCAGGGTGAAGACGCGTGAGCTGTTGACAATGCTGACGAATCGACCGGACTCTAGTTCTTGCCAGCCAAACTGGCGCCGCGTATAGACCAAAACGACACCCATCGCACCCATCGCTACACCAAACATGATGGTGTCTGTTGCGGCGAGGAGAGCCAGGTTTCGGCGGAGAGCTGAACTGGATCCGGGGCCGGTGGGCCACAGGATCTTGAGGGGCGACAAAAGATTGATGGACCGCAGTTGGTTGATCCAGTCTGAAGTCGGGCCCAGCCTCTCCACCTCGTCGCGATGCTTCTCACGAGCAGCTTCTTGACGCGCTTTAGTCAACGACTCGGGTATAGCCAGTGTCAAGAACAGGAGGAAGATGAGGTGACAAGCAAGCGCGGCGTAGAAGATTAGGAGCACGGCTTCCGTTTTGCCGACGTACTTCTCTCGCGCGTCAATTATGTAGCCGGCGAGAACGGGCCCAATTGCTATACCGGTGAAAAGGCAGGCGTGGAAGTAGCCGAACGCTACGGCCCTTTTGGCTGGAGGCGTGCAGTCCGTGGCATATGAGTGCGCAAGGGCCATGCCGAGAATGAATGAGCCTGAGAGACCGTCCAGCGCGTATCCCACCAGGATCCAGTTGACGTGGACAGTTTCGGGGTACTTGGCAGCCAAGATGGTCAAAACTTCTCCGAAAAAGACGCCCAATGTTGTGAAGCAGAGCAGCTTTTTCCGTCCGTAGCGGTCCGAGAGCGCACCGAGCTTCGGACTCGTGACAGCTGCCAGGATTCCAGAGCAGAGGTTTCCGTAAAGGAGGAAGAGGGAAGAACGAGAAGATACTGCGTCCGTCTGGCATCGATCCGGCTGTTGCCCAGGGTCCAATGGATCGCTTATCGGACCTTGCGACTCATAGTATTCGTCGCACACGAGATCCATGATCAGATTCAGCTTAGGAACGATGATGCACCCATATGCCAGCGTAAAGAGGAAGAAGGGTGGAAGTAACCAGAAGATCTATTCCATGTTAGGCCATCTTCGTTCGGTGTCGTGTAAGAGGCGACCTACAGAAGGCTTCTTCCACCAGGGAAGGCCGCGAATCTCCGCCAGCCCAATCCATTCCGGCGCACCGTCTTCACTTCGACTCGATATGCTTCCTCGACTGCTTCCCCCATCGTCGCTCAACAGCGGAGCTTCCTCGTCCGTCTCTGGGCTCGGCGAGCTGGTGCCGGACTTATCAGGGCCCTCGTAGGTGTGGTGCAGCTTCGAGGACGAGCCATTGTGGCGCGAGCGCGAGCGCGCTCGGAGCTCCTGTTCTATGTCGACGTCGTCGACGTTTAACACAGCGTCGGTCGAAGTAGACATTGTTGCGCTTCAGGGGCGGCGCAGCGTGTGCGCTGGGGAGGGTTCGGAGATAGCGGGGAGTCCGTCGCGTTGGAACGTGGAGGTGCCGAGAAGAATTATCAAGACCGCGGTATCATTGCTGGCTGCTGGGCAGATAGGTCTGTCACTGCGGACAATTAGCATTCAGTTCTCTCAGGTCCGCGAGAGATTGTGAAATGCGACGCACCACGCCTCGAATTGTCATCAAGCTCGGCCTCGGGGGCTACGTACCTCAGCTTACCAAAAGACGCCGTCAACTAGCCAGCCACTGAGAGTTGAACAGCACAGCCGTGTTGTAAGAATAGGGAAGGATGGTCAAAGCCCGTCCGCAACATGTGGTCCGCTATCCGTCCAGACGCATGACAGGCGCAGTGTTCCACGGTGCGCTGCGTGGCCTCGGGCTTCATGACGTACAGCATGTTTCGTATAGCGTCGGCGATTCGAACGCGCAGCGCATCCGAGATAAGGCTAGTCTTGATGCGGTTAGCTTCTCTTCCACGTGCCGTACTATTCACCTCTCTCCTTACTTCTTCGTCCACGCTTCTTTTGACTCGATTTTGAACATCGATCTCGCGATCTCGCAATCTCGCAATCTGGCAATCTGGCAATCCTAACGCTTGCACCATTATCGTTGCACTCAGTATTCGCTACCGTTCTCCCATCTGCTCGTCCAATATTTCCATATCTATTTCCACGCAACGCTCGATAGAAGACGAAGGCGTGCTAGAAGAAGTCGTTCACACCTTTTACTAAACCACCAATGCTTCATCACAATACCGTCCCCTAGCTTGTCAGCTCTCTCTCTCTCATACTAACTATACGAACAGCACCCACCGAACTCATCTTTTCAATCCTCACGGGTTCGTCGACAGTTCCAGTAATATAAACCGTCTGATCGTAGTCTGTACATCCCGAGCTTACCATCAGCAGTAAGTTCAGAGAGCGAGAGGAATGGGGTCAGTCCGCTCAGTGCTCGCGCCAGGGTCCACTCCACCGTGCATAGTCTCACGATACCGCGTTCAAGACACACTGCATAGACCCGGCAATCGCCTTTGGTATCGTTACAGTACCGAGCGTGGCGTGCACTTCGAAATAGGCGCTCATAGTGAAGTTTCCAAGCAGGCATGAGCATGGCCTCGTCTCGTCCCGGCTTACCTAAGGATTATCGATGCTTGTTCCGCTCATGCTTGTGGCAGGCATCAATCCTGTTGAATGTACTGATTCACGGGCGGCAACGTTCTGCCGTCTTAGCATGGACTATGTTGCTTCCGCTCATGCTTGCATCGTGCGTCAGCACTCTTGTACGCAACGCAACGCACACTCCATCCCCGGAATGCGAGCGGCGATCAGGGTGTGTAAAAATCTCATGAGCCGCTTCATGTTGCCCTTCGTGCAACGTCCGTTGAATAAGGCTCTGCAGTTCTCATCTCCGCAGATATAGATCGACGCCGTTCTTCACAGCGTATTCTCCATTGCTTTTCTCGCTAGACGATGTCGAAGTGAGTTAAGGGCGTTTGGCCTGGAGCAGCAGTACATTTGGATATTTGCTGTATAGTTAGTCCATGTGTCCAATTTAGCATACAGATTCCGACGTCCCCATTATGCCATATCCTTATCGAACATTCTCAAACTGACTTCAACGTAAAAGACACATCCGCTTACCATAACCCAGTCCGCGACACGTCATCTGGTCGTGAAAAGCGGACCATAGGTTTTCGACTCAGCAAATTGACTTCTTCTCCCATCCTTATCCTCACATTTGCTCACTTCTCGATAAAGCCAAACCTCATCTCCAGCTAGCAAGATGGTGCGTCACAGCTGAAACACCTGTAAGAGGAATGACAAAGAAGGAAGGCGCGGTATCTAGGAGGAAGGAGACCGGACAAAAAAAGCGAGCGTTGAGCTCAGGTGGAAGTGCTAGAGTTAAGAACGGAAAACGTATGTGTTTGGATGTCGTAAGAAATCCAGCGACGAAACTAGAAGAGGGTTAGAATACGCTAGGGCTGGGGAAGTTATCAGCTCACTGTTGATAACCGGTAGCCAAGGTGCAACACCCTCTCTGTCCGTGACTTGATCGTGCTGGCGAGCTCCAGGTAGCGATCCTCTTCATCGTGTTCTCTCGCAAACCAGTTCTCGGGGAAGTACGATTGGCTCCAAATCTGACCACGCATCAGATAATCCTCGGGCAGAGGCAGGTTATCGGCTTGGTCCGCTGGGAAGACGGCACCCGGCATGATTTGTTCCGGACGTTCAGACTTGACTAACGTATTGAGGAAGGACACAAGTTCGGTCCAAGGAGCGTGGTCGATAAGATGGGCAACGTATTTAATAGACGCAAAACTGGAAAGGAACGAGAGAAGCACGTGGACGTGAGGAAGCACGTTCTTGTCGCCAATGCGGCGGAGGACTAGCGAGAGTGTCGACATGGTCAAGGAGTAGGCTTTGGTGTACGTAAAATCCGTAGAAAGATTGGCCAGCTTCGGGGCAACTTCTGATTCGGAAATAGGAGGAAGGGACGGTTCCGGCTCGGCGGGTGACGGAGACTGGCTATCCTCGTCAGATTGCGAGGATGGGCTTGCCGGACGGGCCTGTTGCTTGCTGTGGAGGGCCAGGATCTGCCGGAGGACGGAGTCATCTGCACCATAGTCGAAGAGGCCTGCAATGTTGGTCACGGCGATGTAAACCCCCTGCTCTTTCCATTTGGCAGTTACACGGCCGATGTGGTTGTCCAACTGGTTGAGGAAGGCCAAACGGGCGTCCTGGAATCTCTCCTCGGAAAGTTTGCCAAACAAGACTCCATGAGCTTGGATAAAGCTGGTATCAATTGCAAGCGCATGAGAATATGAGGCATTAGAGCGGCCAAGAATTGGATCCAGCAGCGTTAAGATGGATTCGCGGGCGCTGGGGAAAGGCCTGACGCAAGTTAAGGACCTGGCGTAGTAATATAGCTGCTGCAAGGCGTTGGGCCGGGCCAGGATCGCCAGGTGGTGATATAAGCGACCAACGGAGGGATTCTTATCGGCGGCCTTGGAGTACCAGGATCTCGCGACGCCAGCCCAGGTCTCTCTGTCCCGGATATCCTCATCCTCAATTGCCATACGGTAGCGACCGAGATCGCCTAGACATTCGATCCAAGTATCCTCAAATGCGGGCACGGTCTCATAGAGAAGAGCCATCATCTGGTAGGCCAGATAAATGAAAGCAAGCATATAATCTATGCTCTCAGGAAGCCGGCGTCGCAGCAACTCAAGGAAAGAGTGAATCCCATGCTTCCACATGCGCGCAGGCATCGAGTACTTCGCCGCCAACCTTTTTAGAGCAGGTGACGCCGAAGGATGCTGGGATGCGAGGAAAAAGTCATGGTGTTCATGTAGGAGAGTTCTATGGAGAGCAATGAGCGCCTGCCAGTGATCGCTTGCCAACCTTGAGTTCGGATCTGAGCTATCTTGTAAAGCAGCTGCTTGAGCGCGATCGACATGGATACACTTGGTCTCTACCATAGTCAGACCGGCATAGATAGATTTCACTTCGGAAGCCAGTTGTTCCTGGGATATTGGCCTGGAGTCCGGCTGCAGAAGAAGACCGGGGTAGCGTGGGTCATATCTCTGTATCTCGATGAGTCCTGGTTGGCGGGGAGGGGTCGGGGAAACCGAGGGCTTGGGGCTATATGTCTGGGCGGCGGGACCTCGATGGGCCAGCGGACGGGTTGGCGATTGGGGCGGTTGGGAGGACTGGAATTGGCTGCGGTTGGCCTCCACTGACCATTCGCTCGGTGGCTCTGGTGTGGACCGGTAAGGGGATGCAGTACCCCGCGAAGTGTGGGCGGGGTCGAAGAGTCGAGGGTCCTTGGGCTTCGGCCTAGGTCGTTCCGCCACAATGGTATGCGGCATGTCTCTGGCGAAGTCCGGGTCGTAGATGTCTGTGTGACCGGGGACCTTTCCTCGGCGAGCATGGAACTCGGATTCAGCGGGCCTCTTCTTTCCCGAGTAAGGGGACTGGCGGCCCTTGGCTGGGTCCAGTGACAGGGTGGTGATATCGGGGGCGGAACCCCCACCAGCGGTAGCGTCCGAGGATTGGTCCACGCCCTTCCTGCACGAGGAGTCAGAACATGTGCCTGACGGGTAGGGCATCGTATGACTAATCAACTCTCTCACTTACAACTTCAGGGCCGCCTCTCTCACCTGGGCACGGGCCTGGGCGGGGTCCATGGCCTGCACAACGGGTGCATGTTCCACAGTGGCATGGCTGAACAGCTGGTCGGCGGTTTGGAAGATGCGGCCGTGGTGGCTGCAGTAGGGACAGGGCCAGGCGTCCGTGGTCGCGGCTTCAGCCGTCTTCGCCTGGGTGCGCAACGCGGCGACATATCTCGAGTGAATGTCGACGTTGCTCATGGTTCGAACCGCAAATTCTTAAGCAGCAGCCCCGTTCCAGATTTAGACCGCGGACTGGGCGGAGATCGAATCGGAGGTAGCAGGTTGGGCTGTTTCCTGTCCTTGGCATTTGGCCAAACGCCCTACGTGGTGACTTGGAGGCGGCTTGAACAACCGGACCAGTGCCCGGGCATGTAAAGCTACTGGCTCGTCTGCGCTTGTCGTCCTGGAGCTTGCATGGGTTTGAGGGCGGTATCGCACGCTCTGGGGGCCGGAAATGGGGGAAAGAAGAGTGCAAAGAGGGGCGGCGGTGGTGACTGCGTGCGCTCGCCGCGGCTCGTCCAGTGGCGGGGTGAGTGAGTTCGGCGCACGGTTCACACGGATGACGGCGGGTATATTGACGTGCAGACTGTGCGTGGGAAGGCTCGAATCTGGGTGCGCGAGCCCTCAGCGGAGGCGTGACGTTTAGTATGGCGGAGGGAAGGTTGGGGGTGAGGCTCAACTGCGGTTCGCAAAAAGGCGCACCACCAAGGCAGCAAAGTAGGCAACGCATGTGGCCCGTGCGCAGTGCTGCCTCATGCAGCGCCTGCACCACCATGCTGCGTGCTCTCGCATCCCGCCTGCCCCTAGCCCATTTCCGCCTGCGTCATCTTCGTCCATCAGGCGGCGGCGAGCGGTGGCGGCCGCGCTGACGGGCTGTAGGTACTAGGCGGCCGACGCCTCGATATATGTATCCCGCCCACTGCAGAGCCGCCTGCGCGCGTCCTCCGTGGCTGTCGCTGGCCAGCCACGCGCTGATGGATGGCGGCATGGGTACGCGAACCGATCTGCTTCAGCCGGCGTTGCCTTTCGCCCTCTGGCGCGGACGGAGCAATGCGGCTCTCCCACGGCCCACGATGCTGACGCTCACCGGTCTCGCTGTGAAGCACCATCCACCTTTAAAGCGTCGTTAATCTTCCGGATCCGATGCACTCAGCGTCCTCTTTCAGCCCCAAACGCCTTTCAGACGCTGACTCTCCTCTACATGAGACCAGTATTTCTCCCTCGTCGCCTTCTTCGCCCTGACCAATGCGTTGCCCGAATACGTGCTGGGCCCCAAAGAGGCACTGGCTGCCTACGGATCGCCAGGTAGTGTTTCGAAGCACACAGCCGCAGCAGCGACGCGCACCCACGCTCCACTCGTTTCATTAAGCATTTCACCGGATCCGCAGAGCGCACCGAAAACGCTAAGTGAGTTATTATCGCGACGACCAAAACACTAAATTAGAACAGGCGGCCGCCCACCGCAATGAGGCAGAGCATTCCGGGTCCACAGTAGGACCGGCATCCTACCGAAGTACCTGCTCTTGTTCGCCGCTTTGGGAGCAACAACGAGATCTAGCGGCTAACAGCCGTAGCAGGAAGAGGAGCCTTATGTCCTATTGGCGACCTCGATTCCTGGCGCACGTGGTGCATCTCAAACCTTGGAATCGCGCCCACGTTCCGCAGGACTCAAGCAAACCCCCTTTCGCAGGCCCCCTTTCGCAGGCCAATACTTCCGGTGCTACCTTCAGCGGTTACCAACGCACCCGAGAGAGTTGCGTTACAATCTGCATCCCGTGAGCCCAATCTGCACCAGACGCACCACTACCGGAGGCTACGCACTGCGTCAGAGTCGGACATAGTATCAAAGCAAGGAGTCGCCATACTGGCATCGCAACACGTAACATCCTCCCAGGATTTTCCTTCTAAGCCACCTTGTCAACGGCATCTGCCCGTTTGCGGATCCGCTAAGACTCTCAACTCCGCAACGGGCTCACCGTGTCCTGCTTTAGCACCCAAAGACGTGGCATCTGGAAGAGGAGGACCTTTGTAGAACATCACCAGCCCGAGGCGTTGTTGTCACGCCGTGAGCGTATGAGATCACTCCATGTGGAATCTCTCTCAGCTGCAGCTCTGGGGCCGAAACTAGAGCGATTGGCGCGCCTCAGACCGAGGGACGCATGTCACGGAACGCATCAGGCCGCTTCAAGAAGACGCCATTTCGGTCATCAGGACAGCACATCCAAGACTACAAGCATTATCGAAGGACTGTCGGCCCGCTATGGAGGACTGGACTGTAGGGCATCGACTTTGTAACTTCCATCAGGCCTCGAGTATTGGCTTGGATGCCGCCAACACGCTGATTGAGGGTTGTTCTATTGACGTACGCCCTGCAGAGTCTCTCGGCATCGGGCATGGCTCCATGTTCCTACCAATCAATTACTTTGGGCTTAAATGGTCCCCACGCCCGAGACGAGCCACAAGCAGGCTCTTGGAGGTTACGGGGCAAGATTCCGGACGCCGCTGCCAAATTTGATGTTCTCGAAGGACGTCATATCCTGTGCTGGAGGTCCGCTCACTCGAGAGGCGACAAGCCACCCGTCTCGCATTGCGAATAGTCTTCAAAGGATCCCAAGGTAACCGCGGTAGTAATGCTCAGATGTACGCCGAGCATCGTGTCATAGAAGCCCGAAAGTAATCACCGGCTGTTAGAAGTGCACTCAAGATCGCCGAATGTCCTCCATTTACCCAAACAATACCGGCTGAGCGGATCAGCGGGGTACACATGTGCATATTTGGTAAGCTGCAAGTCCCCCAATCTGCAAGCAGACGTGGGGTAAGCACTCCTCAATTTCAAGTTGCCCTTCTGCATCAACATCGAATTGTATATCAGCGACAGGGCGCTTACGTGCAGCGTGAGCTCTATCAGACGGAGGAACGATCGGGCCCTCCTAGAGGGAACTGGAGACAGTTCTATTCTGAGTCCTTCGCTCAGAACTAAGTTCTCCACCAGTCCTCCATACGGTACGTGCGTCGTTTCCTCACTTCTCTCCTTGCTTTAGTTCCAATCTTCCTGACAAGGGCCTCTGCACAACGTGCCATCTCGAATGCTTTTAGAAGAAGGCAAACGGAACATCTGCCCATTCGCTCACAAGATATGGCATCATCAACATTTTGGCGGTCGAGACCCGCCAGCTTATCAGAAAGGGCGCTAACAAGCATACCAACCTGAACTTCCAAGTCCGGCGCATATCTTTTGCATGATATGCATGAGATCCAGGAATTCTCCGACCAGGTATTGGTTCAGGAACGAGTCGCGGAAAGGTCCAACTGTAGGGGCGGCCTCCTCATCAAAAGCAAGTTCCCGCAGTATCGACGGGCCGCGCTGCCCTGTGCTTTTCGCGATCTACCCCGTTTGACGGTCCATTTCGAGACTGTAGCCTACGCTAATGCCTTTCCAGTCTGCTCTCCCTGTCTGCGCTCAACCAGCCGCGCGAGTGAATTCTAGTGACATGGATTGGACCGCCCGTTGCGGGGTCCGAGAATTGATACGGATGACTGCAGGGGTACGAGTTCACCAACGAGGCAACAGTAGGTACAAATTGGCCGCGCATAATGTACTCTGCGCCGTACCCTTACTCGCGCATCAAGGGATCGAAACTCACAAGCAACTTGTTCGCACCGGAAATTTCCTGACCCAGAGTCGGGTTCAAAAGCATGCCTCACTTAGCCGAGACCGGTTGCCTCGTTGCCTGATCGTGATGATACGGAATGAACCTGGCGTCAGCGCCCTTCCCGAACCAAACTGTGATATGCGGTAACAGAGTCAACATGCACCTCTGCGGCCCATCTCATGACCGCCCCGCATCCCCCATGCAGCCTCCTTGTGCCGGTAAGACTAATAGCCTAGGTAGCTCAAAGCGGGGTTGGGACGTCGTATCCAATCCGCATCCAAAATCGACCTTGGATTCATGATAGCCATATCATGCCGCATGCACCTTGTTCGCAATGAAGGTGCACAAGGCTGGCGAATCAAATTTTCGATAGGTGACCTCAAGGTGATAGTGAAGTGATGGTGGTGTGCGTAGTCGAGGGATCAATGGATTGCCTTATCAGATGAGGCAAGCCATCAAGCCATTGTTATCTAGATGACCGCTCGTCGATCATTCGAACTCGTAGTAGGGCGTAAGGTACAAGGCTACGATCTGTGTGTGCTGTGGAGGCATTAGCACCGGTACTAAGATGAGCAAGGGCATGGAAAGCGAGCTGGAGTTGCCTACCAGACATACTCGATAGGCTAGGTCTGGAGACAAGGCTGAGGCTGGTGAGAACTTCGCGAAGGGAACCATGGAACGGAGGACCATGGATGCTCGTACTCGTTCGGCAGGGGACGGGTAGTCCTGCAGCCTGGGGGCCATCGGCCGATGGGGCGTGCTTACTATTCGTCTAGGCAACCGCGTGCTCCTGCTGCGCCTTTTCCAACGTAAACATCGCGAGCTCTCACAGTCACATGCACAAACAAAGGCTTCGGATGACCTCCGCAAGAGGAAAGCGCATGACAGAAGCTGCATAAAATGCTCGTATGAGCGGAAGAAAAGCCGCGTAGTGACGGAAGGTGAGAGAAAGCAAAAAGTAGGCAAACGAAAATCTCTGCCGATGGTGGAGGCGAGCGGTCTCACCGAGAGACCGATATCGCAGGTCACAAGAGAAATTTCACTCGGCGGGGAGAGACGGAGTGCGGCTGGAAGGAGAAGGACGAAGTTCTCGTCTGAGCTGATTTGGCCACTGCTCACCGTCTTTCGGGCTCTGAAGACTTCGCGCTGCTGAAACGCACGATGATTACCAGGACCCACGCGGCCTGGCTCCGGGGACGCGAACGGTGAGGGTGCGGGAATAATCTAGAAGCTGAGGATGTGGAGTCATGGTGTGTGAGTGACATCTCTGTAAAGAAGGGATGCAACGATGTAACCTCATGTCACCAAACGCCGGGGCGTGACCCCGAAAAATCCATAGCAAAAGAACTCTTTGAAGAATATGTGGGAGACTGATGAGAGTAGATGCAAGGCCCTGGAGATGCTGACAAACTCTAAGGGGCCCAGGAGGAATATTTCGGTCGGCGTATGATATCTCTCGCGGGATGATTCGCTGCGCACACACTCTCCCTCTCTCGGCCAAAGGCGTATTCGGAGTAATGTGAGTGCTCCCAATGGTCAACGAAAAGGAACTTTCGGGTCGAGGAACTCAATCTGGTTCACCGGAAGTCATGCGAGAAATATACCATCGGGTCGGCCCGGCAGTCTAAACACATACTCCTTCCCGATAGGGTATTCATTTCCTGTGCCGGGTAGCATGCCAGTGTCCTCCGGTCCAGGTCGGCCAGCATCCGGCCTAGTGTTCCCGGTCGCCATCACCGCAGCTCTTGTGGACTATACCATTCTCCCGCACAATGCACACAGCAGTACTTGCTTTACACATCTAAACTCGCACTACAGCAACTCGAGTCTGTCTAAATCTTATCTTCTTTACATGAAAATTCTCCCGCACTGCTGCTGTATACACGCAGGAATGTCAGGAGAAAGCGGCGCAAGCTAGTCATCGCGTCCAGCAACCATATCCCACCACGATGCTGAAGACGACACCAGTGATGCAGGATGTCTGCGCGCTCGTTCCGGTGTTTCCTCTTCTTCCAATGTTGAAGCCAACCTACACAAGGTGTGGGAGTGATTAGCGTACAACCGACTTTCGCTGCTAAGGCGGTCCTCGATTTCCAAAAGATTCATAGCCCCAGACAAGGCGAGTGTTCTGTTCCTAGTAAATGATTTCCCGTGATGCGCGGTGGGACCCAAACTAGTCCTCTGCTCGCGCATTTTATGGTGACCATCAATGGTAGACCAGTGAATGCCCTCACCACGAATAGCCTTCCTGTTTCTTTTGTGACTGTGATTTTGACACAGCACATCTGGGTCAGCTCAGAGCATTGGGCGAATAATTGGGTATGGCTCGCCTAGTCTTGACGTCGACATTGTACTGCGGAGATGCCGCTGATATCGAGCCCGTCGGGGATATAACTTCAAACTTAGCTATTGAAAACTAATCTAGATTCGCCATGCGCGTTGATACCCGACCAACGTGGCATGCAGGATGAGGCTGCAGTTCGAGACCAAGAAGTGGCACCCTGACACGTATTGCAGACTAGATGTCGAAAATCCAGGCGTATCGGAGAATAGCCACGAGTGTCGATATGGCCGTCTTTAGTGCGTAGTCGCGATGAGGTAACGGGGTTGAATTGACACGCCGACGTGGCATCCACGTTACGCAAGGGTGAGCTCAAGATCTAAATGACAGCGTTACTAGCATTTCGGGCCAGCGGTGGTCGTATTCGATGTATCTGGTCTAATTTAGCACTACGCCAGTGAAGCTCGAATTCGATGGAGATTGGTCTCGCTACTCGTGAGACAGCGGTTTGGGCAGCTTCACGCATCCATGAGATAGAGAGAATCGCGACGGGCTTCCCATTTCTTGTCTTTTCTCGCTAAACGGCTTGCTTCACATCTCCTCGACCCTCGCTTCCCATGGTCGCCGGAGTGCACCAACCCTACCACTTCCCACCCTTTCCCTTCTTCTTTTTCCCACCACCACCTCCTCCAGCCTTCTGCTGTCCACCGGCCTGGGTCGCAGGGGCCTTCTCTTCCGTCACCACACCACCCTGCGTCAATCCCTCCATTTTCTTCTTTCCCTTCTTGCCCTTCGGCCGATAGTAACTCCTATCCCTCATTGGCAGCCACCGCTCTGGATCCATCTTCTTATTCGGATCGAAGTCCTTGGGCATCCTGCTCTTCCGCATCTTCTTCGGTTTCGAAAGCTCGGGTTTAGGCGCTATGCGTTTGCGGGCCTCTATTTGTTGAACGGACGTGGTCGTTAGAGTGCCGAGGGGTACACCAGCGTCTTCAAGCGTAGCGGCGTCGATGTCGGAGACGAGTCGAGAGGCTTCTGGAAGCAGGGAGGTGAGGTCAGAGGGGAGACCGGATGGGTCCGTTATGGAGTATGCGGCGACCAGGCCGGCGATGGCTGCCCGGTCAGAGTTATCTTGATCGTACAGATTCCTGAATATTTCGCCTGCTGCCTTAATATTTTCCGAATTGTGTGTGTCTAGCAATGCTGTTCCCGCGGATACAAGCAGCGCTTTGGACGGAGGTTGTGTTTTCGACTTGTGCGGTTTCCGCCAGTATTCTGCTGCTTTTGCTAGTTCAGACTTCGAGGCCCCTGGACGGCCTTGTTGTGAGTATAGCGAGACGAGAGTGGCGACGAGGCCTGGCGCGAAGCGCACGTCGAGGTCTGATGCGTCGCCGGACCGCTCAAGGCGCTTGAAGAAGGATTCTAGCAGGTGTGCTGCGGCAGCGTGGTTCCCTGTCAAGACGTAGAGATGTGTGATGGTCAGGATGAGGCCCACATCATTCGGCCTCTTCTCTAGCAAAGGAAGGATTTCCTTCAGGGCGGCTTTCTCGGTTGCGGCGTTTCGTGAGTGCGCTGCTGCGTTCAGAACGGCAGCCATGTTGACGGCAGGAGAGAGCGTAGGAGCCGGCGCCGTCGATATCACCTTTTCGGTAGATGAAGCAACCCCGGCTACCTTTTGTGAGAGGAGCGAAACGACGTATTCATCTTGACGTAGCAGGTTAGACTGAAAGGCGAAGTGCTGGTCCGTCTTCGGAGGCTTTGGTGAGGAGTGGAAAAGGCGATGTGAGAGGTACGGATTTGAATGATCCTTCGAGGCAGCGATGCTGTTTACTTGGGCAAGGTATCGTGTGGACAGCTCCTTGATCCTGCTTCCAATTAGTTCCAGTTTCGAAACAATCACGGGGAGTCGTACTCGGTGAAGGGTATCGTCGTAGCTAGCTGCTCCGCCTCGTCTACCCTTCCCATTTGTGTGAGCACGAAGACTTGCTGTACTGTGATAGGCAGAATCTCTGCCTGCTTCTCCGCCTCTGACAGATCCGACAAAGCCTCGCATAGATTCTTTGCCCTTTTCAAGCATATTTCTCCCTGCGCGTATTCGGCTCGCGCTATGCTTCCGCAGGCTGCATTGTACGCCGTTTCGAAGACTGCCAGATCCTCTCTCTCGGGTTTCTTCTTCTGCGCTAGCTCGCCCTGTCCGGACCACTCCAACTGCGCGTCTACGGCGCCCGAGTTAATTCGTATGTCGTACTCCTCGTCTTTGACACCCTGGCTGGCCAATTCACGGTACACGCTGGCGGCTTGGGCGAAGTTCTCCGAGCGGTATGCCTGGTCTCCGATTAGCTCTGTCTCCAACCCTACAGTGACTGCCTAGACATACAGCCTGGGCAAGCACATGCTTCATCCCGCGACTCGCGCCTCCCTCGGCCTCTGCAACCTCGACAGCCTTCGCCGCATTCCCCGTTTTATACAGCGCGTACGCATACTCGAATGGCGCCTTTTCTTGCAGCCCCTTCACATCCTCAAAGGCTTTCACCGCGTCATCGAACCGGTCCAAATGTAATAGCGCTACCGCTCTGGCATGGTGGGCATCTAAGTCCGTCTTGGACTTCTTGATCGCGGCATTGGCGGCGTTCAGGACTTCGTCGTGGTCGTCGAGGGATGCCTGGGCGAGGAGAGAGGCGAGGGATTTTGTGGAGGCGGCCATGGCGAGCGTTGAATGCTATCCTGTATCCATCGGTAGGTGAGTAGAGTGCGTTCAGAGCGTGGTGACGCTGGCGGGGCTGCCGACTCGGGCATGTATGGTGGGGATTCGCTAAAAGTTCGGCGTCCGTGCGCGTTTATAGGGCTGGCTTCCATCACTGCGAAGAGGCTACGTCTAAGACTACGAACACACGAGCATTGTCCCGCTTTAGATAGCCGTCACATGTATTCAGATAGTCTAAGCAGCCCTCTATGATATAACCCGGATTAAACGTCCTCCTTTGAGTGCCCTTTGCGCAAAGGACCCGCTTGAAGGCTATATGCCCTCGTTAAAAATGCTCTATTTTCCGACCCACCCCCAGTTAAGCCATTTAGCTCCATATCCCTTCGTCAGTAGCCCGACGTATGCCTGCCCTGGTATAGAGCACCCGTTCCCAAACGCCGTCGCTATGCAAATCAGACATCAACGAATTCGTCTTCATCACTCTCATCTCCCCCGTCGCCATTTGATACCGCAGGTGTCGCCGTGTTGATCGGCGTCGGCGCCGCAGATGTCTCCAGCTTGACGCGTTTAGCATCTGGAACTCCATTTGGAGTCCCAACCGCCACATCTTCGAACTCGTCCTCCTCCTCGTCTTCATCCTCCTCCTCTTCCTCTTCCTCCTTTTTCCGGCGCTCCTCCTCCAGCGCAGCGAAGACAGCATCTAGATTCTGCTCTTTGCCATTCTTGTCGCCCATTGTCTCCGTCTTGATCGCTGGTGTGCCGACCCCATTCGCATCCTGCTTCCCGCCCGCAGCGCTGGCGTCATAGCCCGAATTCGTAATAGTCGACTTTGTATGCCACTCTGGGAGTAGATTCTGAGCCGCAATCTTCTCTTGCCGCGCTTTCTCAGCTGCTCGGGCGGCTTCGTTGTATTCCGAGTTGGTAGCGATCTGCACTTCAATCTTCTCCACCGCGTTGTTCGTTCCTTTGACAGCCGTTGGCCGAACAGTAGTCAGAGGGACAGCTTCATGCCTCGCACCCGGGTTGACGTCTTTGTCGCGCGGCAGCTCCACAGCGGCTTCTAGAGCGTCCTTGCCCTCAATAGCCGGGATAGTCACCTCATCGATCTGTTGCATGAGCTTGAGTAATGGTCCGAATAGCCTATTAAACTTGGCAGGTGTATCGTCATTCTCGATTTCCGGCCCTTCGGTGGTGTTGATGGCAGTTAGCGGATGCCCGCATGTCTTGCATAAAAATCCACTGTCCCTGTTCAGGCCGCCGTGAGTCAGCACAAGCCAGATTGATGCATGTCTAAGCGGGGGAAAAGCAATCACCTGCCGAGGTGGTCAACGAGGTCTAGCACATCCATCGTTGTCCACTGCGCTTTGCACTGCGAACAGAAGAATTCGGCCTTCTCTGTGGTCGGCTTCGCGTCCTTCTTTATGCGCTCGTCAATCTTGTGGATCTTGTACTTGGCGGCGTCGATGGCGCGGCGGTAGTCGATGTAGTAGTATTCGCGGTTGATGGACTTCATAGCCCCATCGCGGACCTCCTGGCGAGAGTAGCTGGTAGGGTCAGCGCGGCGCATTCCGAGTCACAGCAAGCCTACATACACCGAGACCAGCCCGCCCTCTCTAAGCTTGCCGCAGAGCTTGCCAACGCCCTTGGAGTTCTTGCCGGCATCGAGCACGATGACCAGGTCGGACAGCGCAAGCCTACAGCTCGTCAGCCAGATGCGGCAGCCAGTGCGGCGCACTACACGTACGCTCCATGGAACACGAGCGCATCGACGACCACGATGTGCTCGGTCTCGTAGAACATGCGGACCACCGTCTTGACGAAGATCTTGGCGAGCTCGAGCGGATCCATGGTGAGCGACGAGGCAGCGGGCCTTTCGCGGGCACGGGAACGGAAGCAGCAGGGCTTCACTGTATGCGACGATGGTGGACGGTGCTGGCGCGAAGGCGGACGGAAGACGAGGTTGCGGCTCACAAAGGCTGCAGGGGGTATACAATAAGCGGCGGTCCGGGCGTACCTGCCGCGCCAAGGCTGCAGCCCGAGAGAAAATCCACAGCAGCGCTACCCCACGCTGCGCGCCGAACTTCACCTCCCTTTCTGCCTTCACCTATGCCCGCTTGCCCCGCGCCGTGGAGCAAGCTTCCGAGAAGCCGCCTGCCGCAATGGCCCACGACGAGTCTCCCCGCCACGAGAAGCGCAAACGGGACAACGACGACGACGACGACGAATCGCCGAATAGCAACGCGCGGACCAGAATGGACGACCACGACCACCATCACCCGAAGGGCCGCGGCGGCGGGCATCGCAAACCCCTGCAGCATGGCAGCCGTGCGCATAAGAAGAGAAATATGGGACGTAACGAGCACTTGTACGTAGCCGGTCCTCTCGCCGATCCGCTTCTCTAACCAAGCAAGCCGCGAGCAATTAGACAGGCGAGGGCGCAATGCAGAACAGCAGGCGAAGAATAAAAAGAAGGAGGACAAGGGCGACAATGCGGCGTCAATACTGCCAGCCGCGTTCCCCGCTGAAGAGATCGAGGCCGAGGAACGTCGACCGAAGCGCAAGGTCGCCGTGATGATTGGATACTCGGGCACCGGCTACAAGGGCATGCAGATCGACCACAAGCAGAAGACGATTGAGGGCGATCTATTCAGTGCATTCGTCCAAGCTGGGGCGATTTCGAAAGCAAACGCCGACGATCCGAAGAAGTCCTCGCTCGTGCGATGCGCGCGGACCGACAAGGGCGTACACGCTGCAGGCAACGTAATCTCGCTGAAGCTGATCATCGAGGACGAAGACATCGTTGAAAAGATCAACGGCCATTTATCTGAGCAGATAAGGGTGTGGGGAATACAGCGAACCACAGGATCCTTTAGCTGCTACCAGGCCTGCGATTCGCGGTGGTATGAGTACCTAATCCCGACTCACTCGTTCCTCCCGCCGCACCCTTCGAGTTACATGGGGAAGAAGCTGGAAGAGTACGCGGAAAGGGAGGGCGACCTGGAACAGTACCGCAAGAGACAGGCAGAGGTTGCCAGCTTCTGGCCCAAAGTCGAGGAGAAGTACATTAAGCCAATCTTGGAGGCCGTGGACGACTCCATACGGCCGCTTATCGAGGAGGCGCTCTATAACGTCGAAGCGACTGATGCCCCGGCGGGTGACGCAATGGTCGACTCCGCCATCGACATTTCGGCGAAGAATTCTGATGCTGTTCGCGATGTGGAAGCTTCCGTAGAGACAGCCGGTACCGCAGATAGAACAGCAGGCGAGAAAATGGATATAGAGGAGGCGGCAGGCCAGCCCACGAACGAGGAAGTGAAGGATATAGTCAATGACATCGAAATGCAGGAACCAGGCGTTAGCATGAACGACGAAACCGATGGCTCCATACCACTTCCGGATTCGGTGGTGCACAAGCCAGCTCTCGAAATAGCCATCAAGGCGCTCAAGAAGGCGTATCTGGATGCGAAGAAGGCATACCGCATCTCCCCGGAGCGGCAAGCCCGAGTACAAGCCGCTCTAGATCAGTATGTGGGGACCCGCAAGTTCCACAACTACACAATCCAAAAGAAATTTACCGACCGCTCCGCACAACGCTTCATCAAATCCTTCAAAGTGGCCGAGAAGCCCATCATTATCAACGATACAGAATGGCTGTCGCTCAAGGTCCACGGTCAGAGTTTCATGATGCATCAGATTCGCAAAATGGTTGGAATGGCTGCTCTCACGGTACGCTACGGTAGCAATCCAGCGATCATAAAGGAGTCGTTCGGTAATGTGACCGTCCGGATACCGAAGGCGCCGGGTCTTGGCCTGCTACTTGAGCGGCCCGTATTCGATTCATACAACGAAAAACAGGCGAAGCAGCATGGAAGGGAGGTGATTGATTTCTCTAAATTCGACAAGGAAATCGCAGAGTTCAAGGAGCGGGAAATCTACCAGCGCATCTTCCGCGAGGAAGCGCAGGGTAACCAGTAAGCTCGGCTGCATGGCATTTTCCATGCCCAATGTCCGGGCCCGGCTAACAAGATATAGGTTCAATACTTTCTTCACGCACCTGGACAACTACAAGGACCCCATATTCCTATATCTCACATCGGGCGGCATTGAAGCTACAAAGAAGCTCAACAACAAGTTGATGCAAGCGAAATGGGAGGACTCTGAGGACGAAAACGCTTCTGGGGGTGAGGGTTGAGCTCAGGGCCTGAATGAGAAGCCAGCTCCGCTGCAAATATGCTTCCATATGCCCAGTAGGCGCGAATGGATATACATCCGATTCGTGAATGCCTAGGCGTTCCAGAAGATCTTCGTAGTGCAATCAATCGCGGGAAGAAAGGTCATAAGCGTTCGTATGTGGTACAAACGACGAACTCTTTTGGACCTTTTCCGGAACCCTGGTTTGGGTGGTGATGACAAGCTCTCAGACCAAGCAGTAGTCAGCCGCGCTAGCGCAGAGCGGCTCGTCAAGCGAGCGACGTCATCGCGACGGATGTTGCGGGAAACAACGGAGCAGGACTGCGCATCATGCCTTCGATAAATACTTTGCAAGCCTCAATTGCTCATCTCCTGCTTTCCCTCTTCTCTCTCGACCCTTGTTGATATTCCCACTCATTCTGATTTCGCTATTCTCCTCCAGAAACGCCGGATCTAGCAACATCGCACACGACGAACCACCATCCAGAAAGACACGTGAGTGGAAACATGGCCAGCACGAGTGGGAAATTAGAGAGTAAGGTGCAGCGCAAGATCGAGCTCTTTTCGGGCACGTATTTTGGGGCTTGTACGCTGGGTGGTATCATTGGTACGTTGCCGGCAAGGGTTCACGGATGAAGATGCGCGACGCTGAGAATGGAATGCAGCTTGTGGTCCGACACATACCATGGTAACACCGCTGGATCTGGTGAGAGCTGTCTTTCTTCGAGACTTTCCACCCAATGGCATATCCTGGGACAAGTTTTGAATCGAAAGGTGTTTGCTAACACACCACTCTCAAGGTAAAATGCCGCCGACAAGTCGACGACAAGCTGTACAAATCGAACACACAGGCATGGAAAATGATCTACCGCTCCGAAGGCATTCGCGGCGTATTTTTCGGCTGGACGCCCACATTCGTCGGATACAGCCTCCAAGGTGCTGGAAAGTACGGTTTCTACGAAGTGTTCAAGTACCTATACGGCGACCAGCTTGCGCCCGGGGTGAATAAGACCGTCATCTACCTTGCTGCCTCCGCGTCTGCCGAGTTTCTCGCAGACATGGCGCTATGTCCGTTGGAAGCGATCAAAGTGCGGATGCAGACCACGCTGCCGCCGTACGCGCATTCGCTCAGAGAAGGCTGGAGTAAGATCGTTGCACAGGAAGGCGTTGCCGGGTTGTATAAGGGATTGTATCCGCTTTGGGGACGTCAGATTCCATACACCATGGTCAAGTTCGCGACGTTTGAGAAGACTGTCGAGCAGATCTATAAGACGTTGGGCAAGCCAAAGGAGTCGTACAACAGCCTGCAGCAGACTGGCGTGTCATTCTTGGGTGGTTACATTGCGGGAATCGGATGTGCGGTCATCAGTCACCCTGCCGGTAAGTCATCTCTGGAGCAAATGTGCTATGGGTCAATGTGGATGTTGATGTGCGATAGATGTCATGGTGTCGAAATTAAACAGCGACCGCAAAGCTGGCGAGGGCGCAGGGCAAGCGCTGACGAGAATTTATGGCAACATCGGTTTCCGCGGTCTCTGGAACGGACTCCCAGTCCGTATTTTTATGATTGGCACCTTGACCGTAAGCTTAATCCCATTCCTGGGGTGTTTTTGGAGCAGTGCTAACGCGATTCGATTCATGCAGGCCTTCCAATGGCTCATCTATGACTCGTTCAAGGTCTACCTCGGCGTAAGTTTACCCCAGTGCCCCACAACTAGTACTGTAGCCTTGGGACTAATGCTTCTCTTTAGCTGCCGACTACTGGAGGTCATTAGTCGAGTCAAGCCCTGGGATCCCAACGGCCCTTTACCGGCGATAGCAGTTGCATGGGGAAATGTGGGCGATCGGTGGAATACTCACGCACACGGCTGAGGCTTCGGCAGTTGAGATAGGCTGCCAAGTAATGGTGATGACACTGATCGTGTACTAGAGACTATTCATTCCGGGCTGACCCTAGAGGTTTATCGGAATTCGCAAGGCGTTCAGAAGCGGCACGGGTGCAATACTTGTTAATATAAGCTCACTGCAATCGGCTACAACAAACCTGGGCAGGCTGTTTCTCGGTGATAGGAACAGGGAATTCCGCTCACATATCGGCTTATGGAGACCGGGATCAGCTCCTCTTGATCAGAGTATCCTGGCTCTTCCGACATTTACCCTCTAATCCCTGCACAACTACGCGCGTCGGCTCCCAAGCGATTGCAAAAAGAGTAGTTCATGTTATATCGTGGCATGTCTGCTCTAGTCATGTAGGATGAGGTCGATATCCTCTCCTTACTGTCGCATTGTCCCACCCTCATTCTTCTCCCACCTTTCCATCCTTGCATTGCGCACAGACCACCGCCCTAACCGTTTCCCCACACCCGCGGCGATCTAACTCGCATCGACCTCCACTCCCGCCGCTTAACCTCCGCGGCTGGGCAATATCTGGTAAGTATGCTGGTTTCTCTCAAATTGCCATCCGCCATGGAACCCGGGAGTCGTCCGTTTTTTTGACGGAATGGTAATCGGCCGAGGATGCTAGGAGGCAGTGTGCAGGGACGTGGACGGAATGGAGTATATATTCTCTGCCTACGTTTGTTTCTTGCTCCATTCCCTGAGTGCCTGCTTTTCGAAAGGGCTGGATCGAGTCATGGCTCTTCTCAGGGCGCTCCCACTATCCCTCTGGGCTCTTGGCACATTCGCGGTACCTTATGCTTCCACCAATGCTTCCTCGCCCGTCGTAACCATCAAAAACGGCACCCTTGAAGGTGTCCACTCACCGCAGTACGATCAAGACTTCTTCCTCGGTATCCCCTTCGCGCAGCCCCCCATCGGAACCCTGCGCTTTCGCGTTCCGCAATCCATCAATACGTCTTGGGCCGATGTTCGAGGTGCTAAAGAGTATTCAGCGGCTTGCGCTGGATATGGCAGTGATGAATGGCCCTACCCCTCTCTCTCCGAGGACTGCCTCTACTTGAACGTCATTAGACCTTCGGGCTTCGAGGATGAAAAGTTGCCGGTGGCGTTTTGGATCCATGGCGGCGGGTTGACGGAGGGAAGTGGAATCGACCAGCGATACAATATGAGTTTCATGGTGCAGAGGAGTGTAGAGTTGGGAAAGCCGATTCTGGGGGTAAGCATTAATTATAGGTTGAGCATGTGGGGGTTTGTGACTGGGGAAGAGGTTGTGCAGAGTGGGAATGCAAATTTGGGGTTTAGGGACCAGAGATTGGCGATGCATTGGGTGCAGGAGAATATTGAAGCTTTTGGCGGTACGTCTTCTCCCTTACTCCTCTATCCCATCAAGTCACGTCCTGGTCTTTTAGATCAATCTTCGAGTGTGAACTGTATACTAACGAAAGACAGGCGACCCCATGAAAGTAACCATCTTCGGCGAATCCGCCGGCGCGCTCTCCACAGGCATGCATCTCGTCGCCTACAACGGCCGCGACGACTCGCTCTTCCGCGGCGCCATCATGGAATCCGGAAACCCCATCAACTACGGGAGCTTTCTCTATTCGCCCAACGACTTCATAAACGCCGCATCCCTACTTGGGTGCGGTAACGTAACATCGCGACTCGACTGCCTCCGCGCTATCGATTTCACCGTCTTGGATACTTGGATCAATAGCACGTCAGGCCAGACTTTCCGCTGGAACCCCATCATCGACGACGACTTCATCACGCAGAAAACAAGCATACAGCTCAAGAATGGGGAGTTCGTCCATGTCCCGATTATATCGGGGTGTAATAGTGATGAGGGAACTGCATTTGGCCTTAAACCCATGAACACATCCGCGCAATTCCTCGCCTCCCTCCAGATAATCCCCAGCCCTGTAATCCTCACTCCCTCCCAAGCCAGCGCCGTCCTCGCCGCTTACCCCGTAAACATCAGCCACGGTGCCGTTCCCACCAACCAACCCCTATCCTACATTCCTCCAGCACAATACGGCGCCGCGAGTCGCCGCTCCGACGCCTACTATGGCGACGTAACCATGATCGCCCACCGGCGAAAAACCTGCCAAACCTGGGCCTCCAACGACGTTCCCGCATACTGCTACCGCTTCAACACGATCCCTCACGGCATCTCGCCCGAAACCGGCGCAACACACTTTCAAGAAGTAGCCTTCGTATTCAACAACCAGATGGGCATGGGCTACGGCTACCCCAACGTATCTGTGAACCCGTTTGAAGGCGAGCCGCAGAGCTACTTCGACCTGGCGGAGATGATGAGCGGAGCGTGGGTGAGCTTCGTGCACGATCTGGATCCCGGGGACTGGTGGCCGATGTATGAGGGCGACGTGGGTCAGAATTGGGTATTTGATGCGAACGTAACGGGGCTTGGGTATGCGGAGCCGGATGACTGGCGGAAAGAGGGGATTGAGTTGATTAATGGGTGGAATGACGCTGTGTATCAAAGGTGAGATATGGAGGTACGGAAAGTGAGCACTTGATGGGATGGCATGGGAAAGGATGCCTTGCGCCTTGCATTACCTTACGTACTTTGTAAGTGTTATTGTATTTACATCATATTCTTGACCATGCTTTGTTATATCCAGTGCCTCCTCGCGTCTTCCATGCATCACAAACCCCGAAATCTCCCTGCTATTCTGCTACTGCGGAGCTCTGGTCAAGATGTCCCATAAACCAAAAAAAGGGGGGAGAAGGTGTACACATATGCCTCAACACCCCCAAAGAAAACAGATATCCTAAACCCCTTCGCGGGCTCGGCTCATCCAAGTCTTCATGAGTAGGAATTAAGAGCATCGTGAAAGGTAGAAAAAAACACCTTGCAATATCTGAAGACTGCCATTCGTGCGTCACAGCTTGATCTTCAGCTCCCCCTCCAACTCCTCCGCAAGCCTATTCATCACCTCAACCTCATCATCCCCAAGATCCATCTTCTCCAACAAGCTCCCCAATTCATCTTCTGTCTGCTGCGCATCAATCCTCCTATGGATCATACACGCGTGCATAACCCCAAACACCACTGCGGCACGGTCCCTCATGTTGCTCCACCAGTCCATCCCACACTCCCTAGCCGCCTCCCAGAGCAGCTCAATTAGTAGCTTCCTCTCAATCGCCTGCCCGCTTTTGATGGGCAGCATGGCGAGGAGGTGGTAAATGTCGCGCAGGAAAGAAGGGCAGGCAGGAAAGATGGAATGGGAGGCATTGAAGGCTTCGCACAGTGTGGACGCCTCGAATTTCATGGAGACGGCATCTGGGTCGCGGCGTCCATATTTGGCGAGCTCGTAGATCCACCACTCCGCCGGACTTGCGGGGCCTTCCGTAAGGATCACCCGTGTTCGTTGGCAGATATACGCCCAGTTTAGGGCTTTGCCGTTAGAGTGGCCTGGGTCTTTCATGGTGGCGAGACCGTGCCGGGTTGTGAGGGGAGTGAAATGGTAAGATAGATGCGAGAAGAGATTTACCCAGTGCAATATGCGGAAGCGACGCTGGCTTCTAGGACTGGCTTCACTTACTACATCGCATGGTAGGACTCGGAGTGAATGCACAATGCTGGGCTAGCTTCACTGGCAGATAAATTTTGACTAGGTGGATACCCAGGCAGCCCTCCAACAAGGTGCAGTCATTGCTCTTGGGGTCCAGCTGTAGTGTTTAATTGTAAGCCGCGTACCACTCATGTTATTATGTATGGGCCTCTGTTTAGCATAAATAAAGCTAATGTTAACTTAGAAGGAAGCTAGAACCCTTATCAAGAACTTCAAGTCCATCGGGACATATGCAAATAAACTCACGGTCTATTCCGATTCCGAGAAAGGAACCAAAGATACCTACCAGCAACCAAAAGCAAACCACGCTCTCCCTAGAGTAATTGACACAGCAAGAAAGCTTGACACAGATTATGTGTAGTATTACATGTTTTCCCAACGACGTCCTTCTAGTACTGCCTTCTTACGTCCTAGCCACCGGCTCCTGCGGCTTACCCATATCCGTTTCGTTGTAGTAGAAGTTCTCCTCCGGGATCCTGCCCCTCAGAAACTCTGGCTCCGAGCCGCGGACGTAGATATCCTCGTACAAAACCTTGCCAGTTGCTTCGGGTGGAGGCATCTGCTCGGCCTCGGCGACCTCGGCGTCGACGTTGCTGCGTGCTTCCTTGTCGATGGACTTGAGCTCTTCCTCGGAAGTGACGCCCCAGTCGAGAAGCTTCTGCTTGAGTCCTGCAATCGGGTCGTTGGTGCTGCGCATGCGCTGGATTTCCTCACGGGTCTAATCATGTGTCAGCTATGCTTGCATTGGATAAGGGGCGCTGACGGCATACCCTGTACGTGGTTCCAGGGTCAGACATAGAGTGACCTCCGTAACGGTAGGTGACGAACTCGTAGACGAGCGGTCCCTTTCCTTGCAGGCACCATTCCTTGCCGTACTTTGTGGCGGCCTTCACAGCGAGCACGTCCATACCGTTGATCTTTAGACCCGGGATGTACTGGCCACGCTTGTAGTAGTCGGTGAGAGCAGCGGCACGGTTGGCGGCAGTACCCATTCCGTACTTGTTGTCTGTATCCTATCAGCATTGCGTGGGACGATATAGCTCCGGAATAACGCACTCTCGCAGCCAAAGATGACCGGAAGGTTCCATAGCTTGGCCATGTTGAACGCCTCAAACACCTGACCCTGGTTCGAAGCACCGTCTCCGTACAGCGCAAGAGTGACGTTCTGCTTTCCCTCGTAGTGGTTCGCAAAGCCAATGCCAGCACCCACAGGAACCTGAGCGCCGACAATGCCGTTGCCGCCATAGAAGCCCGGGGCAAACATATGCATAGAACCACCCTTTCCGTAGGCAATACCACCCCTCCGGCCGAGCAGTTCACCAATGATCTGCTTAACGGCTCCTCCGCGCATCAGAGCGAAGCCGTGGCAGCGGTAGGCGGTGATGAGGTGGTCGGTCCTCGCAATAGCGTGCTCGATGCCCACGGCGACGGCTTCCTGACCGGTGGACAGGTGGCAGAAACCTCGGATCTTCTTCTCCTTGTAGAGCCTGTCAGCGGCCATCTCCATGCGTCTGCAAGCGGTATATTAGAATGCGAAATGTAATTGTATGCGCGGACTATGTGCTCGCGTACCGTATTGCGACCATGTCGTAGTACATCTGTTTCAGCTCGCCCTTGGTGGTGTCGAGCGTGTATGGCGGCGGGTCCAGCTCGTACGTTTCGAAGCTCTCGTCAGAGAGGCGGACCTCGAAGGGCTTGTCGTCCTCCTGTAGGCGGTCAATCATCTACCCGGACATGGCTCCCTGACAATTGAGCAGTGCATGTGCGCCCATACCTTCGGCACGGCCTCCTTGTCGGCGTGCGACGATGCTGCATCGGTTGTGACGGTCCGGAAGGCAGGTCGCGCGGCGGGAATGAAGGCATTGCGCCGGAGCGGCGACGCAATGCTCCTCCTGATTGTCCTTGACAGCATGGTGACAATTGGCCGGGGGAGAAGAAGGGAGCGGAGGTGGGCGGTGGTGGAGAGGGCGAGGTGAGAGAAGGCGTTGGGTCAGCGAAGGCCAAAGTTTGGTGTTGAGCTCCGCCAGCTCGGGCACTTTAGACGTCTCGGCGCCCCAAAGCCCGATCTCAACATTTCGCGGGCCGACGTTAGCCTCCACAGCTCACAGCAGCCAGCTGCCTTGTCATAATCGGAGTACGTCTGGCAAATTCATAATCCATTAGTCTAGAAGAGCATTATTGGAGGGCTTAGGTAGGCAAGACGCAAGATCACGTGACCCAGTATCGTTCTCTGGGGCATAGAATGCATTGCTTTTCCGAACCAAATGCTACACAATAGAGTACATGATGCATGCAGTCCCACTACGCTCGGACTGGCTCCAGATGCTTTTGCTGGCCTGCAAAGAACTCCTTTTGCGCCAGACAGCGCTCGCTCACACATCCCGGGCACCTCAAGGCCATCTGCGGGCTGCAGGCTACTCCGCTGTGCAAATGATGCTTCGCAATGTCGGCAAGAGCGCTGATGAACACCGGATTGCCGTTCAGGCTCTCAACACGCTTTACGCCCTCGTGGCCGCCTGCGTCCTCGCCGATGACTTCCTTGTCCAGCTCATAAAGCGTCTCGATATGATCGCTCGTGAAAGCGATAGGAATGAGGATGATGTCGGTGTGGCCTTTCTCCATGAGGGACTTGACCGTGTCGGATGTTTGGGCTCCTAGCCATGGCTGTGGTCCGACTTGCGACTGCCAGACGAGCCGGTACTGGTGCGTCATACCAAGCCTCTGCTTGACTGCGTGGACGGTTGCTGCGACCTCTGCGGGATACGGATCGCCGCGGTTGACAACGGACATGGGTAGACTGTGTGCGGAGAAGAGTAAGACGACGTTATCTCTTCGCTCCGGCGGGTACTCCTCCAATGTCTTCTCGATGTTCTGCGCGAAGGCTTCGACGAGCCCCGGATGCGTCGGCCAGCGGTCGATAACGCTCCACTTGATAGAGCCTTCCGGATCAACTTCTCCTGTCGCTCGCTTCCCTTCCAGTCTGTGCCGCCATTTCCAGAGTTCGTTGAGCGACGAGCCGGTTGTTGAGCAGGAGTACTGCGGGTACTGTGTAAATGCGACAGCGCGGCCGCCTTTCCCGCCACCAAAGCCGTCTTCCAGCAGCTGCTTGTACATGTTCTCCGTCAAAGGGTCGGCGTATCGAAAGGCGACATAGGGCTTGTGTGGAGCGGTCTCCGGCGAAATCTGATCCAGGATCTTGCACATCTCGGAGGCCTGGTGTTCGGACCATCTGCGAATGGGCGACCCGCCGCCGATTTCCGCATACTGCTTCTGGATCTTTGGTGTGCGCCGCCGTGCAATCAGGGGCCCGATGTAGTTCTGGAGTCGTCCGAGGGGAATGAGGTCGCCGTCGGCCTGCGACTGTTAGCTTATGTCGCTCTCCAGGCCGGGTACGACGGCATACGAATAATCTGCTCAGGAAATCGCCAACTTCATCTGTCGTGGATGGCCCTCCCATGTTCATAAACACCATGGCAGTGGGGCCTTTTGAGCCGGTAGCATCCTGCGTAACCGGGGGAGCGACGGTCGCATTCGCTCTGCTCCACTGCGCAGCGCATGGTGACAAGACCGATGTGGCGGGAGACTTTGACGTCGCACGCCTTAACGCACATGCAAGAGGGGTGCGCAGGGCCATGTTGAAGTGTGAGAAGGAGGAATCTGTCTAGACGGGCATGAAGGGCGAGTCGTCACTGTGGCCAGACGGGCCATGTGAATAATTCCTGGGAGTGAATGCAATCAGCCAATGGCATAGTGCTTGATTCGGCGCGGCGATCGGACGCGGACATCGCAGCTTACCGAATCGGCACCTGCGGGCCCGCCACGATGAGATCATGTGAGAGCGCGCCGAGGCAGGCGCGCGGTGGGTCGCTGCTGCCTTAGAATCCCCGCGCTGCAAACTCCGCGACCAGCCAACGCACCTTCGCTCCCTTTCTTCCTCCGCCCCCCACACCGCCTCTCCTCACGTCTTCTTTGCACAGGAGATTAAGGCGCATCTGATTGAGCAGTCAATACTCCGCTTCTGGAACGGAAGACACCTCATTGCGAGCAGCTCCACAAAGCGCCTTCGAAACGATGGCGGACACGCAGGACAATCGGCCTGGTGAAGACGAGGACGAGGAGGACGAGATCGATGATGCCGTACGCGAATCTGCATTCTCATCTTCCACCGTGACCCGCTTGCTGAAGCCTCGCAGAGCTACAAGACGATTAAAGATGCCGTCCTCTTCGCAATCGACGTCAGCCCCTCAATGCTGGAGCGACCGCCACCGTCGGACGATAAGAAAGCCGAGCGCGACTCCCCGACGTCTGCTGCCCTCAAATGCGCCTACCAATTGATGCAGCAACGCATCATCTCGAACCCGAAGGACATGATGGGCATACTGCTGTTTGGAACAGAGAAGACAGATCTGAAGGACGGCGACCCCACATTCCAGCACTGCTATTTGCTATCGGATTTGGATGTGCCATCCGCGCAGGACGTCAAGCAGCTAAGGGATCTGCTGGAAGACGGCGAGGCGGCGGCCCAGATACTAAAGCCTGCCAAAGAGCCAGCCAGCATCGCGACGGTGCTATTCTGCGCAAATCAGATCTTCACGACGAAGGCGCCGAACTTCTCGTCGAGGCGACTCTTTCTGGTAACGGACAACGACTACCCAGTCAAAGTCAAGCAGGACAAAGACACAGCTATAACACGGGCGCGCGATCTATACGATTTGGGATGCACAATCGATCTCTTTCCCATCTCGAGGCCTGATCGTGGCTTCGATCGAACCAAGTTCTATGATGACCTAGTATACCCTACGTCACCATCGGATCCGGACGCGCCGGTAGCAATACCGTCGACGTCGAAAGTCGCAAAAAGCGGAGAAGGCCTTACACTTCTGAGGCAGTTACTCTCATCAATTAATTCCAAGGCTGCTCCTCGGAGAGCTCTCTTCAGCCTTCCTCTCGAGCTAGGACCGGGTCTGCGAATAGGCGTGAAGGGCTTCATTCTGATCAAGCGCCAGGAACATGTCAAATCGTGCTACGTATGGGTCGGTGGGGAGAAACCTCAGATCGTCACTGCTTCGACCTCCCACATGGCAGACGACACAGCTCGCGTAGTCGAGAAGGGCGAGCTCCGGAAAGCCTACAAATTCGGTGGCGACACAATAACCTTCACCCCTGACGAATTCACTCAGATCCGCCAATGCTTTGGCGATCCCATTATCCGCATCATCGGCTTCAAGCCTCTCTCTTCGCTCCCCATCTGGGCGAATACCAATAAGGCAACATTCATGTACCCTTCCGAAGCCGACTTTATTGGTTCAACACGCGTCTTCTCCGCCCTCCAGCAGAAGCTACTCAAGAGCAAAAAGATGGCTCTAACCTGGTTCATAGCCCGTAAGAACGCTGCCCCCGTAATGGCAGCTCTTATCCCCGGCGAAGAGAAAATCGACGAGAATGGCGAGCAGTCAATGCCTCCAGGCCTGTGGCTCGTCCCCCTTCCCTTCGCCGACGACATCAGACGATGTCCCGAGCAAACCGAAAGCTTGAAAACCACCGACGCCCTAACGGACAAGATGCGCATCGTCATCGAGCAGCTGCAGCTACCGAAGGGCGTGTACGATCCTAGCAAGTACCCAAACCCAGATCTACAATGGTTCTACCGCATCCTGCAAGCCATGGCCCTCGAAGAAGAAGTCCCCGAAAATGTAGACGATAAAACAATCCCGCGGTACAAACAGATCGACAAGCGGGCCGGGGACTATGTCAAAGAGTACGGCGACGAATTCGAAAGCGTTTTTGCCTCACAGAACCGCGCTAACTTGACGTCCCGCGCGAAGCCCAAAGCCTCGTCTGCTGGTAGAAAGCGCACCGCGACGCCAGCGGATGGTGAGGATGAGGGCAAGCCGAAGAAGCGGGTCAAGAAGGAGCCGAAGGTTAAGGAGGAGGGTGATGAGGAGGGATTAACGGACCAGCAGATGGCAGAAATTAATGATAAGGGGCAGATCACTAAGCAAACGGTCGCGCTGTTCAAGGAGTTTTTGGGGAGCAGGGGTTTGGCCATAGCTGGGAAGAAGGCCGAGTTGATTGAGAGGGTGCAAGAGTATCTTGAGAGTAAGGGACTGTAATTCAACGTGGGAAAGCTGTTGTGCGGCGTTCGGGCGTACGGGCGTACAGGCATGAGACGAGTGGTTTTTTATATCGGCGATGAGATGCAGCGCTGTGATCTAGTTACTCCATATTTGGTGCCTCGTTCAACGGGACTGCATATGGCTTGAGTCCGGCACCGCAGCTAGATGAAGCTTAACGATAAGGTTAAACCCCGGGGGCCTCAAAGTCGGAACTGCATTGAGACTTAGATTATGAGATACCTGGTAATCAGAAAAACAGGTGCCATGTAATGTGATTGATTGTTGTGTATGCGGTAACGTGGGCCGTTTTCCAAGGGTGGCACATCCCCCCACCACAGAATAACGTCCCCTCAAACGCCTGGCCTTTCTCAAGGCACACGATCGTTGAATACTACACAGGCGCCTGTCTATGTCCCACATCTCCTCTCCACCCCTTAAATTCCCTCGCCCCTAACCCTAGCTCAAACATACTATCGATCTCCCCTACGCTCCTTCCCTTCATCTCCGGTACTAGCCACCAGGAGATCGCCACTCCGGTCAAACAAGTCCCCACATACGTAAACGCAACTTTTCCGCGCAGGTTGCCAGAGTCGGGGTTGAAAATGTACGGCAGCGCTATACCAGATGCGGCGGTAGAGAATGCGGAGACGAACCAACCTAGCCCTTGTGTCTTCGCGCGGAGTTGCAGCGCCGAAGTCTCGGCGGCTACACTGAAGGAGGCAGGCCAGACAGCGAGGCCACAGGTAATTATAGTAAGCATCATAGAGACAGCGGTCCACCTGTTTACTGGTCAGCACTCATTCCCGGATCGAGACATTTGCCTTGAAGGGAAGCGGACTTACCAAACAACAGCACTGCCAGAAAAGCAGTTCGCAATGCCATTGCTCAGCCACAACAGCGCAGTAATACCCAAGCTCCATAGAATCAGTGGTCTGCGTCCAACCCTTGCTACCACCCAAACACTCCCCAAGTTTGCTAGCAGGCCTAGTACGATGCCCAGAATCAGGAAGATGATACTAGTGTTCGCCTCCATGCCCACGATTTGCAGGAAGTAACTCGCTTTGGCGAGGAGAGGGAGACCGAAGACCGCAGTGAGCGAGTTGGCCCACATAACGATAAAGGTGCGGCGGAAGTTACGCTTGTGGAAGCATTCGGCAAAGGTCGCTCTCGCAGTCCGTTCCTCATGCTCGATATCGGCTGCAATCTTGTCGACGACGGCTTTCGTATTCGTCCCGAGAGGATCAAGCCGTGCCTGTGCAATCATCGCTTTATCGATCATCCTCTTCCTAACATACCACGCAGGTGACTCCGGTATCAAGAAGGCGACGAGTATCGGCACGAAAGAGAAAGGCCACTGACTCCCAAAAGCCACCACATATCCCTTACTCCTGTCCAGACTCCCATAGATGACTAGCGCACCTGTTAATTGGCCTAGCAGCGTAAAAACCGGGAAAAAAGCCATGCCGCTGCCCCTCAACACGGGCGGCAAAATCTCGCTCATGTACGTCTGCGCGGCCGCCATAGCTGCACCAATAGCGCCGCCCTGGAAGAACTTGCCGACGAGGAAGCAGGCGCGGCGCGAGTTTTTGGAAGAGGGGAGGTAGGAGACGAACATTACGGCGACGGCGAGCGCGGATAGGAAGGATGTTATGGCGAGGGAGCGGCGGCGGCCCAGGCGGTCTGAGAGCTGGCCACCCATCACGGAGCCGATCATGGCTCCGAGGGGGGATGAGACGTTCCAGAGAGCTAGCCAGGAGGAGGGGAGGATCCATTCGTTGTTGAGGAGTTGGCCGAAGTCTTCCCTGTTTAGCTGGTTAGCGATGCATCTTAGCAAAGCCGCGAACTATTGCCAAATGTCCTGGAGAACGAGCATCGGCATGGGCAGCCATCAGAAACACAACTCGAACGCCCCAATCCCATGCCTATGGAAGAAGAGACAGAGCATAAAGTATACGTACTGAAACTTCGGCATCCCGCTCACCGTCCCCACGACAACGTTGTCATACCCATACAACAGTATCACACTCGCAACCCCAAACGTAATCCACACTACCTTGCGATACCTCTGCACATTCTGCCACAGCGTCCGTCCTGCATCGCCCTCTTCGCTCGCCTGGCTCGTGCTGCCCCTCGTAGTCGTCAGTTCCACATGGCTGATCTGCTCCACCTCTGCCTCCTTCTTGTCCAACTCTTTTCTCGAATCAATTGAACTCATAATGCCGGATGGATCCCACGTCCCGTCCCTTCGCAAGGTGTCGTGAAGAGGGGAGGAATGGGACGTAAAGTGGACGACGCGACCGCGACGACTAAGAACAAGACGGGATAATTAACAGAGTGAACCTGGGAAGCTTGAAGTTGCCAAGAGACATGGGTCCAACGGGCGGCAAGCGGAATGGACGAATGAGACGAGGCCAAGGCGCAGTGCAGATGCCGAAAAGGGTACGTGATGTGCGTAGCGCAGGTGCAATTCTGGGCGTCGGGGCCACCCCCTCTTGCCCCACCCGATATGGGTCAGATGTAAGGGCTCGTGTCTACTATCGCTACTACTTTGGAGCCCCCGGTGTCGTCGACTACGCGTAGCCGAGGCAAGGTACTCCACTGAGGCATTCTTGCGATGGCACCGCGGCCGGTTTCGAAGCGCTGCGAGGCTCTCTCACCCACAACGCCGCAGTATGGCCGGAGCGCAATTTCACATGGACAACAGGGATGCCGCGGTTGTCGATCTGATGTGCCTTCGCACGATAAGGATTCAAATTTGAATACAATCAATGAGACAGTTGAAAGCCCTCAACGCCTTGCAATGCAACGCTACAGACATGATGCAAGAAGGAATAATACAGAAGGACAGGAATGAAGCGAAGGAATCGTGACCCACAGCATCATCCCAGGAACGACTTCACAGAGCCTCCAACGTGCTCCAAGTCGAGCAGGAAAGTATCGTGGCCAAACAGGCTTTTCTCCTCGCCCAGCTCAATGTGTGTGACGTTCTTGTTGCCCGTCCGCTTGAGCGTGTTCGCTATTTCCCGCTGCTGCCACGCCGGGAACAGAATGTCGCTGGCGACGCCTAGGACGAGAGCCGGAGTGTTTGCGAGGGGTTTAAGCCCAGCAACTAGATCCGCGGGCACTTCGTGCGAAGCAGCCTCAACACCAACCGTGTCTTCGTCCGCAGACTGCTCCTTCTCCTCGTAAGGCTTGTCAGGTAGCGTCAAACTGCAAATGTCGCTGTTGGCATCGTATGCAGGGACCCTTCCCTCCCAATAAGCCTGCAGTTTGCCGCTGTTCTCCTGCCTCACTTTGTTGATGCGGTTGCGGTGCTCCTGGCCCAGGTCGAACAAATCCATTGCCTTGGAGACGTACAATAGGCTGTTGGGGTCGTACTCGAGACACCACTTCTCCCCGGCATGGTCAAGGTACGTCTCGATGAGGAAGTCTGGGCACAACGCTGGAGGGCGCGAAGGATCCGCTCGGCGGCGGCCAAACCGTTGCTCCCATTCGGGACCACTGCGGTACGTAACGGTTGCAATCTCGCGGGCTAGCTTCATGCCCCCATGCGGCGGTATGCCGCCATAGTAGAAGCCCCGATTCCAGTTTGGGTCCATCATGAGCACTGCGGGAAGGGTTAGCGGCCATAGCCGGCGATATCGGAAGTCGATGTTGCTCACCTTGCCGCTGCGTATGCCTCATGGCAATGCTGTAAGGATGGCTTCGAGCACATCCGCTGATGCTGACGATTCGCCCAATACGCTCGGGAGACAGCACGCCCGCTGCAAGGCTTTGCATACCGCCCATGCTGGACCCCACGCTAGCATAGAGCTTCGCGATGCCCAAGTGGTCGAGCAGACGGAGTTGTGCTCTTACCATGTCCTCCATGGTAAGAATGGGGAACCTTGTCGCGTATTGCTCGCCGTTTGCAGGGTCAACCGACGAAGGTCCTGTCGAGCCATAGCATCCGCCGATCACATTCGTGCAAATGACGAAGTACTTATCCGTGTCCAGAGGCTTTCCAGGCCCGATGAACTTCTCCCACCAGCCGGGCTTCGGGTTCGTTTCAGTGCTGTGTGCATGGCTTGATGCTGACAAACCGGTATGTAGCAGGATAGCATTGCTCTTGTTCGCGTCCAGATGACCCCACGTCTCATAGGCGATGTTGAACTCAGGGAGTATGCCACCCCAATCAAGGAGGATAGGCTTTCGTGAATAGAAGTTAAGGTGCCTTCCGGTGGTATATGAGGGCTCGGGTCCGGAGGCGGCTGTACGGCGGGAGAGAGAAGCGGACCGCGACTCTACCTTGTCAAGGCACGGAAAGGATAGTGCAGGATTTGTAGAATCGTAGACGGGTTCGGGCTCGGGCTCTACGGCAGCGGCGGCGACCTGCGCGCGGCGCTGGGCCGAATGGTGTAGCTTTCTGGTGGCTGCTTGGTTCGACTGGTGGCGGGCAAAGAGCAGCGAGGCCTGCGGGGCTCGTGCTGCGGGTCGCGGTGTAGAGAGCGCTCGTGGAATCGAAGGCCGTGCGACGGCTAGCAGCCTACGGGGGACGCTCATGGTGGAATTTCGTGTCCGGAGCAGAATGGACACGGCGCCGCGAGCGTGCGGGAGAGGAGAAGGTAAGGACCGGCGCCATCGCGACGCTATTCGGGCTCGATTATTAACGGGTTGGCCGTTTACAAAAGTGAGGACAAAGTAGTGAGTTCGCGATCCAATGATGTTGCAAAGAAATTGCGTGCTTCGATGCGGTCATAGCGTCACCCAATTAGATAAGCAACGTCGAGGCTCACCGAAGTACCTCTGTAGAATACCGTCGCCATCCTGCCGGCGCCATTCTCATTCTTCGCAACCAGTTGATGGACGCAGCATTGTCTCCACGCAGCATACGCCTCGCAATAAAGGAAATGACCATGGTCGAGTACTCGCGCGGTTGCGTGCGTTCCTCACCCTCACTTCATAATGCGCAACTGCACAAGGCATCGCAGACCATGCTAACGGAGAATGAATCCACGGACAACCAGCTGTACACTACCTTTTGTACAGCTTTTCAATTCAGCCTGCACCATATGGCTGAAAGACGACCGAGCGACTACAGTACGAAGGGTATCGCCGGGCTCGCTTATCTACCCCAGAGTTTACAAATTGCCTACCGAGCTGCCTCCCGAGGTCCCTCAGGTACCCACTCATCAACCTCATCACCTGGGCAGTCAACCGTCCGGCTTACATTGTCAATTGCAAGACCTTGCATGTTCTTGTGCATGTGTCGCAATATCCGGCAGCGATGCCGTTCTACGGACCGGGATCCCGATATTAACCCAATCTATCTGCAGACCAAGCACTCCCCTTCGCTCGCACGACGCAAGTCGCGCGTTGAATACGAACCCCGCTTTTTCTCAAGGCACATGAGAGCACAGTTGAGGTTGTGGCGCTGCTAAGCTTCGTGGCAAATACACATCATTCCCTCTACGTCTCTTTAGGGCAAGGATGTATTAAGAACGTCTTCGGCGGGCTCAGTCCAACCAATGCAAATGTGAGCGTGAGTGGCTTGCTGAGGCCTTCAGAGTGACTGATGCAAGTACAGCATATTCTCCCGTACTCGCAGCGTCTCATTGCATATAGCAGACTGCATTTCTACCCCGGATTCACGCGTCGCCGTTGACCTTTTTCGCCTGCAGCATAGGCACGACGGTTATTCTCGCCTGCTTAAATTGTAGAAAAAGCTTGACCCACCACGACCTTCACACGTTTAATATACGAAAAGCTTGATCTACCACCTTTCTGTCAAATCACAGCATACGATTGGAGCAAAATCATCCCTAGTCCTTTAATAGGTGGTCCGTTGTACAAGTGCCTCGGTCCTATATCACTATAATATAGGTCAGCGGATAGCAAACCTGGGTCTTGACTGGCTTTCGACCGGGTACTCGACTCTCGAATGGGAATCGGGCGCCCGGTGGTGCGACCGCTACTGCGACTTCGACTTGCTTCTGGAAGGAAGTAGGGGCAGAGTGGAGGAATTTTACCCGTGGGTAATGTCTGGGATGGACGCCATGGAGGAGAGATAGGGGATGGTGGAGATATAAGAAGAGGACGGAAGAGCCTGGAGATCTACAAGCAGATCTTCTGGGCTGAAGCGTTTCCTTCCGAATTATTGCCAACATGAAGACTTTCTTCTCTACCGTTGCTCTCGCGAGCGTGTTCTTCCTCGAGGCGGCCAATGGCCATTGTATGTCTCTCATACCCAGCTCTCCTGCGCCCGTACTTCCCACCCACATGCTCATCTGCTCACTAACGAACTTAACCCAACTAACATCTTCATAGACATTTTCCAACGCCTAACTGCCAACGGTGCCCAAGGCGGCGTATATCAAAACATCCGCCAAAACACTAACAACAACTCGCCCGTCACCGATCTCTCATCCACCGATCTCCGCTGCAACGTCGGCGGCGGCTCCGGCGCATCGACATCCACAGTTTCCGTGGCCGCGGGCTCGTCACTCACATTTACCGCGGATATCGCAGTCTACCACCAAGGCCCCGTCTCTTTGTACGTTCCTCCATTCCTTGTACAACTGGTCCCTAGCGCACGCTCTAACCCTTCAACAGCTATATGACCAAAGTCTCCTCTGCTGCCAGTGCCGATGGTTCGACCCCATGGTTCAAAATTAAGGAAATAGGCCCGACGTTTCCTGGGGGCACCTGGGACCTTCAGCAATCCTACTCGGTCAACATTCCTTCCTGTGTCCCTGCTGGCGAGTATCTGGTGCGCATCGAGCAGCTTGCTATTCATAACCCGGGCGCGGCACCGCAGTTCTATATCTCGTGTGCGCAGGTCAAGGTTACGGGCGGCGGAAGCAAGAGCTTCAGCGGCGTGAGCATCCCAGGGCATGTGAAGGCCACGGATCCGGGATACACTGCCAATATCTATAACAATTTCAACAGCTACACGGTTCCTGGACCGAAGGTTAGCACCTGCTAGATGGGCGTGGGCGCGGAAGTAGGATTGGGACATTCCCAGTATATATTTCACTGAAAACGATTCTGTTCAATTCACGTCTGTCCTGTAGGCCTGCATCTTGACCGTTGCCATAACCGGCTCTGCCGCGGGTGACTTTTCAGGCCGTACGATGAGAGATGGACTGGCTGCGCTGTTGTTGTATTCGGTCAAATCGCTCGTCAAGTCTGTCGGCGCCCAGCTGAGTAATGTACCATAGGGATCGCACTTTCGCATAGCGGTCTATGCTTTGGTCGGAAATTTAGTCAGACCTGATCGGTTACGATAGATTAAATTCAAGAGGCGAGGCCGGTAGTTGGCCTATAGACTACCGGATGGCCGCCCGAGTACTTGACCCTGCAACCGTGAGCGGACGCCTTTGTGGAAGGTCGGATTTGCTGGTCACAGGGCAAAGAGGCTACAAAGGTAGATCGTAGATGGTCTTCTTTGACGTGCCGTGACCGCCAGACTAAACAGTATTCCTTCGGAGGCGGAGATATAAACCATGGTTCGCGACAAGGCGGATGACGTGACTATTTGCTCCTGGTGCTGCGTGACGGCCATGTACACCAGAATGACAGGCTGGTGATAATGATGGTCTGTGGGCTTGAGACGCGTTCGGGGCCAAATAGGGAGTTGTGGCCGTTTGAAGATGGGGTGCTAAATATGGCAGCGGGTTGCTTCTGCACATCTGAGGAAGCCGGAGCGGCAGCAAGCCATACTCAGGCAGTCTCAAACGGCTGGGGATGGCGCAATAGCGTTACCAGTCCATCTCTGGCGATTTCGGGGTGGCAGCAGTGCAGATGCAGGGGGCGCGTGCAGAAAGAAGGCGTTCGAGCACGTCTTGGCGGTCGACCAAGGACACAGATCAGATCTCACCTCGTCTCGTCACCCGCCTCGTCCTGCGACATCCGCACTCCCTCGCTGTGCTGCCTCTGCGCGCGACCCTCCCGCCTCTGTGCCCGCCCCGAGCCCGGCCGCGCCGCCGTCTCTGGAACCGTTCCGGCCCCCCCTTGACCGCTCTGGCACCTCCACCGCTGCCCCAAGCACCGCCGAAACACTAGCACCCCCTCGCTGCCAGAGCGTCCTGCTCTCGCCATGGACCACGACGGCTACTTCGGCAGCCCGCCCGACGACCAGCACACGCCGGGCGTGCAAATGGACTCAGACACCGACATGGCCGCCTCTGCCTCTGCCTCCTCCTCGATGCGCCCAGCCATGTTCTCCTCTCCAACCGCCCACGCCCGGAAGCCGAGCAGGATGTCGCGCTCAGGAGCACCACGGCCCATAATCACGCCCACGAGCCCGCTGACCTCGACGATTCCTCACAATCTCCTCCCCTCCGCCCCGGCGTCGCCGCCCACCCCCGCACCCAGTCCCACGCCTACTCAGCGCGTACCCGACTGGAGCACCGCAGCCGAACATGAAGACTCGCAGATCAAGAATACACGGGCATTGTTCAGTGACATGAATAGGGCAGAGCGCTTGCGGCTCCTTGGCGAACTTCTGAACCTCTGCGACAGCCATGAGCTGAGCTTCGTCGCCGAATTCGTAAGCCCGAGGCTCAAGAAGGACCCGTTCATGTTGCTGCCCACAGAGCTCTGTCTCCGGGTGAGTCCTGCTAGACGACGATGCTTTGCGCGTGATTAGTAATCTAATCTGACCTGCAGATACTGGAATGCGTCGACGACCCCACTACCCTCGCACGAGCGTCCCAAGTATCCAAGAAGTGGCGGGAATTGGTCAACGACGACACAGCGTGGCGGTTACTGTGCCAAAAGTACTCGTATCGCGGGCTATCGAAAGAAGAAAGGAGCGAAGAGGACGATCCGGGAGACGAAATGGAGGACACCAAGCCGCAGTGGTTGGCACCCAGCCGCGCCTCACGAACCGAAGACACTATGATGAAAGAGCAGCTTGACAGCAGTTCATCGGTTGGCGAACCCGAGAACTTGCGCACACGGAGTCTCGATCGGACCGCGAAGCGGCAACTGTCACAGCGCAGACCGAAGGCCACCACATACCGCTCACATTTCAAGCAACGATATATGGTCGAAACCGCATGGCGGCAGGGAGGCCATTGCGATGCCCGTCAGATAACACCCGACCAAGGCGTCGTTACGAGCCTACACTTGACGAAGAAGTACATTGTTGTCGCTCTAGACAATGCTAAGATCCATGTCTTCGACACCAACGGCTTTCACCAGAAGACGCTTCAGGGTCATGTTATGGGCGTCTGGGCAATGGTCCCATGGGGCGACCTGCTTGTCAGCGGTGGATGCGACCGAGACGTTCGCGTCTGGAATCTTGCGACTGGGTAAATCCCGTGCTACCGATCATCGCGCTCTCTAGGCTAATCATGCAAACAGCTACCCCCAGTTCACACTCCGCGGGCACACTAGCACTGTGAGGTGTTTGAAGATGTCGGATGCGAACACCGCAATTTCCGGCTCGAGAGACACCACACTCCGGATTTGGGATCTCAAAAAGGGTCTTTGCAAGCACGTTCTTATTGGCCACCAGGCTAGTGTGAGATGCCTCGAAATTCATGGCGATGTTGTTGTGTCCGGCTCCTATGACACGACAGCAAAGATCTGGAGCATATCGGAAGGCAAGTGCTTGCGCACGCTCACGGGCCACTTCAGTCAGATATATGCGATTGCCTTCGATGGGAAAAAGATTGCGACGGGCAGCTTGGATACCAGTGTTAGGATATGGGATCCGACGGACGGGTGAGTTTATTTGTGTTGCCCCCAATCCTCTGCCCTCGATATCTATTAGTGCTAACTCGTGTTCGCTATTAGAAAATGCTTGGCCGTGCTACAAGGTCACACTTCTCTTGTAGGCCAATTGCAGATGCGCGAAGATATCCTCGTCACTGGTGGATCTGACGGCTCTGTGCGAGTCTGGAGTCTCGTGGATTATCAGCCTATTCACCGATTGGCCGCCCATGATAACAGCGTGACGAGTTTGCAGTTTGATAACACCCGAATCGTCAGCGGAGGGTCCGACGGCAGAGTGAAGGTGTGGGATCTGAAGAAAGGCACCCTGGTCCGTGAGCTCTCAACACCTGCGGAAGCGGTTTGGAGGGTTGTGTTCGAAGAAGAGAAGGCTGTCATCATGGCGTCTAGAGGTGGTAGGACAATCATGGAGGTAAGCCGCATGGCGAAATTACAGAGGATGTATGAGGCGACGAATGCTAACTATGGCCCAGGTATGGTCGTTCTCGCCTCCAGACGAGGAGTTAGAGTTTGAAGACTACCGATCGTCGAGCCCGGCAAGCATGCCCGACCGCTCAGAGCTCGACTACAGCCGTCCGCAATCCGCCGCCTTACCCTCATCCTCCTCGGCGCCGCGACCTCAAGAGGACGGCGGCGACGTCACGATGGCTGATGCTGCGGAAGCATAGAATGCTTCACGACAGCTCAGTATACCAGACACCCCGCCCCCGGGCGTATGATTGTGTGAACTAGAGATGCGCACCGCAAAAATCTTATGTGTATAGAAGGTGGTTTTAATATTGTTGTGTCAAGAGGTGGAGCATTTTGTTTGTCTGCGTACGAAGATACCTCGCTCGGATCGGCTCTTTGTTGTCAGTACTCCCTGAGCGTGTCGATTTCTATTCAAGCGAGCAGACGAGCGATCGATGTTGTGTCACGAGTGAAGAAGTTTGGAGACTGTTGCGGTACATTTTGCATTTCTAGGAGTTTCTGTTGTTGCATTCAGCCCTAGCCTGGCGGCTGGCTTTATTGATCTCTTGTTCTTGTTCAGAAAGCGGAGCACGGCCGGACTTCACATTCAAATATTCATATTCAAACATCGCCAGGGATGGGGTTTGGGCCTTTCAGATGTATGGAAAATAGGGTTTCGGCATAGGGAATTGGTTGGGGTGGAGTGTGGCTAGGTTGGAGTGAGGAGTGTCTATATAGACTACATTTGTCATCAATTTGGTGCTTTGCGATTTCACGATATGATGTAAATTTATGGGTATTTACTAGAGTGAAGAATTCGAGGTCATCTTTGTCAGACGCGACGACCGAGATGGCTTTGAATCTCTTCAGGACTGGATCCTAATTCGCCCTTCTGTTCATGAGAGTATCGCTAAGGACTACTTGAGATGCTGTGCAGGGCCGTTTTACCAGCCCAAGTTCCCTTCTTCGCCCCTCGATAAGCGCGATGTTCCAAGGTCGGTGCTTTCCTCTTCTCGGAGCAGTTTCATCCCTTTTGCGTCTCTATGTTCACACCTTTCCACTCAGCATCCATAGCCTCTTCGATCCACCTGCACTCCGTAACGCCCACATGCTCTCGGACATAGTCCTCCAGTGCTCTCGCTCCTGGCGCGCCTGCCATGATCCCGATCGCGCCGACGTGTGGGATGTGGAGTACGGAGGCGAGACGCGGTTCATAGCCTAGAGGTACAGCAATCGGGCGCGTTGGTGTGCTAGAGGGCGATGAGAGGGTGGATAGATGTAGAAGGGCCGGGATGTGTGCGTGGGGGAGGGAGGCTGGGGGGTGGTTGTGTGTGATTACGACGATGCTTAACGGCTTCAATGTAATTTCCTGGGTGGGCTCAGTGGAAGAAGGCCTGGTGTCTGGGCCGGAAGCTCGGTTCTCTTTCTCTGACGCTGGCATAGTTGCTGGTGCGGACTGTGCAGCTAGGGCTTCGAGATGTCGGGTTACGCTGTTGAGCCCGATGAGAATGTGGGTGCCGATTGCTGGAGGCGGCGGTGGGGCTTCTTGCATTGGAGCATCTTCCTCAGTTGAGCCATTATTTGGAGCTGGTTCGGATTTGGGTTTTGTCTTTCGCTTTCGCTTTCGGCCTTTAGAGGGGTAGATATGAGTTCTCCTATGGTCTCCAAGGGGCTCTAAGAGGCTGTCGTAGTGTCAGTATCGGATCCTCGAGAAGCTTGGGGCCCGCTCCTAGTAACAAGAACCCAGCTTGGACGCTATTCGATGAGACAGATTAGAAATAACGAATCGAGCTTGTAAAATGGGAATTAAGGGAGATGTGCACCCGACAGAAGAAGTGAACTCGGCCAGTAAATTTTTGCCGCCCTACCTGCACAGGAGATCAAGAATGTTGTCTTGGTCGACTGATGAGAGTCTCGGCCTAGTACTGTCAATGGATGTAAAAGAGCATGACAAGGGGCCATACCAGGTCGTCTCTGTAAAGGGCACTCCGGTCTTGAAGAGTGGCTTCGGGTTCTTTTTGGTAGGTGGGGCCATGGCGTTGCTGCTGGCCAGCACAGCTGTGCTGTAGATCCCGGCCTGGCAGCTGCCTCCAAAGTTTGTGAAGGCCTCCGCGTTTGTGCATTCACAGGGCTGTCGACGGCGCCGGGAGAAGGGCGCTAGCACATAACCGGCTAGCTCCGCCCGGGAACCAATGACGTTCGCTTGGCGCTCCCCCACCAAACTCCAGCTCCCGTAGCCCTCAGCGACGCGTGAAATCTCCCAGAGCTTTGCCCCCATTGTCGCCCCCTCCCAACAGCGCTCAATTTGCCAGTCGCCCTGCAGCACCGCGCTCTGCAGCTCATGGTGCCCCCGCCCGCCGCGTCTTGTCCCCCTCCGCGCGAGGTTGTGCAGTAAGGCTGGGGCGCACTGCTGCTGCCTGTGCGGGAGCGTAGCTTGTCTCCTGCCTGCCTGGCCTCACCCCCCGCCGGCGTGCCTTCCCGCCGCTCGCGCTCAGTCTCCCTACAAACATTCCCAGCGGGCTTCACTGCGTCATGAGTCAGCGGGACCATGATCTGATGGAGTCTGTTGCCGCAGACGACGCAATCAGTGTCCCCGCGTCGCCGCCGCCGCGCGACTCTATGGAAGACGCTGACCCTTCACTGACCCGCAAACGACCACGTCTAGACACCGGAAGCAAGGACAATCTAGTCATGTCCGCCGACACTGCTTCTCCCGCCGCCGCCGCCGCGCAACCGAGCGAGCAACAGGTCGAAATGACAATACGGTCGCAGCCCCCCTCGTCCTCCCACGCCGTTGACGGCGCCGCCGACGCCAATGGCACCGCTGCCCCCGCGCCCTCTGTTCCGGCCGAGCCTGAAGCCGCTGTGCCCGGCACTGAGAACGGCGTTGCCGGCGAAGGCGACGCACCCGCCGACAGCCCGCCGGTCATCGCCATAGACGACGAAGACGACGATGCCGAGGCCATGACCGATACCATCCAGTTTGAATATGACGCGGAGACGTATTTCCAGCAGTTTCCCTTTACGCAACACTGCGATTACATGCAGGCCGTCCTCAACGTCGCACAGCATTTTCAAGGCTGTACGTCCCCACAGCCCGCACGAGTCCTAGTCTATATGCTCACATATTCGCAGCCCACCCCCTCGATGGCACCGTGCTTCCGCAGATCGCTGTCTGGCTAGACAATTTCCCCCGTCGTCCATCACAATGGCAGAGCTTCTACCTGGACAAGGCAGTTTTCTGGGAGGAGTTCTACGGCCTTGTGAACAGGGTGCTTCTGCGCAGGTACGATTGGGCACATAACCCGAAGAATACCAGGCGGGATAATGACGCGTACAGATCCCCGTTTGGGGACCAATTCTGCGACGACGGCCAGACCGAGGACGACATCTTCTACAACTTCTTCAGCGCTTATCTCCGGCTTTGCGCGCGCCTTGCTCAAGTCGATGCTGAGCTGCTCTCTTCCGCGCCGTCTGACGGCTCCTATCCCCACGCCGTCCTTTCTCACAAGCACCTACGACATATGAACACCATCTTCCGCCAGGAGAAAGCCCCCGTGTTCCACCTGTTGAGCAAGGAGTATGGGACAGATACCCACAAGCTAGGCATCCGGTTGCTGTTTGACTTCATAAAAGCCGACGGCGTCAAACACCTTTTCCGCTTTGCAGACCAGGCATGTGGAAAGGTTTCCATGACTTTGCAGAACTGGATCGCCAACTGGGCGTCTCAGATCCTAAGTAACGTGGGCTGGATCCTATGGGATCTTCCGGATGCTGACCAACTCACCAACCGCCAGCAATACTATCGAGATTTGTTGCAGTTCTTCCGGCGATACAACGTGGATCTACAAATGCCGAGCAAGGCCGTTGACACTGGGGTCACCAAGGAGCTCATTGGTTACTTCACACTTCTGCTCTTCGAACTGTGCCAATGGGACGAGATGCTTGCTGCCGAACTCGTCGACGAGTTCTTGGAATTCCGGGACCCTGATTCTCCTACGTCGGCTACTTCGCAGGATGCCGAGAGCAACACGGGCCGTGATGCATACCGCCAGAATTCGAACTTCTTCCCGGCGCTGGTTTCGAACGCCTGGAAATTCAAGCTTTTGCGGAAATACGTCGTAAAAGGGCGAATGGAGCTGCGTGTCATGAGCATTGGCACCATGGACAATGCGCTCGTCGAGATATGGCGGGAGTACAATAACACCGAGCAATCGATCAACCACCCGGTCATGCAGTACCTTGCCGATTTTCTGCTTCACGAACGCGTCATCGACTACATTATCAGCGTAGATTCGCATCCTCAGCTTATCTCCCGGAGCGGTAATATCGTCGGCTTCCTCGTAGTTACGCATCGATATTCGGACAGACAGACTGACGCTATCTGGAACACTGTATCCAACAGCCCTGATCCGCGTGTAGTTTCTGCCACCATGACGATGCTCCGAGGCATCTTCAGCCTCATGGACGCTCCAGACCAGCTTTATCTTTGCACAAAGCTGTATGAGCTTCCGATCGAGAGCTACAATCTCGACATCCTCCGCTTCCTGCGGGAGCTCACTCCCAAACTTCAACAGAGATATCTCGACTGGAGCATGACAGATCCGAAATCGCGACCTTGGAACGTGTGTATCCGGGTGTTGCAAGACACCTCCCCGAGCAAGGAGTCGACCAAACTTTCGAATGGTCTGCACCAGGAAGCTTTCCAGCAGTTGCAGATGGTCTCGGCTTTCGTTAGCCCAGACGAACGCCACCAGATTTATCGAGAGTGTGCAACTCTAATATCAGACAGGTCGAAGAAAGCAACCGGGAGCATTCGCGCTATTTGTGTCCTCGCGTTTACTGCAGGCTTCCATGATTCCGACTTCTTCACGGATAATTCGGATGTGACACGACCTCTTCTCGAAGAGACTTGTGCTTTTGTTAGAGAACAGCAGGACATCGGGTATAACACGCCCCAGGCCCTGGCGCTCCAATATCGGCTTGAGTTCCTGTCATTTCTGATATGTCGAGCCACTGAGGCGATACCAGTCGACCTCTATCAGGACATATGGGATCACCTCATCGGCAAGTACGCGCAGACGAATCTACTGCGGGATCTAGCTTGGTCCAAGTTTTTAGACGCTGCCAAGTCTAAGCCGGACAACGCCTTCTGCAAGCAGCTCATTGCAGCCTATGTACCGAAGTTGGAACCGCAATACTACACTCCTGGACTGTTTGAGTTTGTGGCCGCTTACAGATTCCCGACGATGCGGCACGTTGTCAAGACCGAGGATGGCGAAAAGGAGCTGTTACAGATTCGCGGTGCTGAACTTTTATGGTCAATGATCCTATCCGCTCCGCCAGACACCATCGAGGATCGCGCTGCGAGGCTACTCGCTGCCCGGTATCTCGAAATAGACCCGGACCAAGGCGTCACCCTAGAAGAGGTTGAAGCAGCTCATGTTGCGCTTGTCGATCAATGTACGCAGGAGCTCTTGTCTGCATATAAGACGTTACGGAACGAACCCGCCAAGAAGCCAGAGGATTGTGACGAGATGGACATTGTTCTTCCCGACGCCGTAAAGCAGCAGAACGAGCGCCGGTTTGGACGAACGATATTATTCGTAAAGCTTCTCCTCATGACCATCCGTACGAAGCCGGAGTTCAATCGTACTAGTAGGTCAGACTCTAAGGTTGAGCCTTTGGAGATCGAGCTTCCGTACGGAGACGCCATCGAGATCAAATACCAGTCTCTGAACGAGAAGCAATCTGTTCTCATGGGCTCGGAGAACACGCTCCAGGATTTGTACAGAAGACTCTGCCATGCGACCGGATTCTCTAAGATCAACCTCTTCGCTAAAGGACAGCGACTGAATGTCGCGGAGAAAGGAAACGAGAAAATCGCGGAGCTCGACATCGCAGGCTACCTGCTGCTTGTGCAGAAAGCTCCGGGAAGCGAAATGACGCAGCCCGTCGCCGATAGAAATGGTAGCTGCTCGGTCTTCGAAGTAACCATCCTGAACCATTTTGAGGAGCTTTTTGCGTGCATGGATGCAGAGGACTACATTAGCGAAGTGGTGAGCACCCCACATCCCCTTCTCTTCGACATTTAGTCGTTTGCTAATCGATTCTAGCTCTATGACTTCTTGATTTGCTTTCCCTTCCGCGAGCGGATTGCTGAATCCGTCATCTCTGGTAAAGCCTCTGCCGACAACCTCTTTCCTCCCGGAAGACACTTTCAAGCCAAATATGCCGCCTTAGCACTTCAGTACAAGCTGAGGGAGCAATTGAGGAGAGTACGTCGACTTCTCCTATTACACAATCGTTTACGCTAACCAGCCTTTAGGGCGCCCTCGACGATACGTTCCTAGCCAACGCTGTTCGGCTTCTGGACCAAGCGCTCCTGAATCCCGCTTTGATAACCGACTCCATGTCTGGCAGAACCGAGCTGTATTTAGCTGGTGTGCTCGTCAATGTTCTGCTGGAATTCCTGAAAGGTATGCCCATCTTCCCCGCCAGCAAGCCTAGTAACCAACGCCTAATGTGAAGTAGAACGTCCCCGACCAGAGATCTCATCATCTTACTTCTCCGACGAAGCTCGTCTGGTTGGTCGCCTAGTCAAGCTCTTGTCTGTAGCCCTCAAGGCAGAGCCCGATAGCGGTCCCATCGTTTTCCACTCTTACGCTACTATCTTAGAGGCATCCTTACATTCTCGCGGCATCTGGGAAGCCTTTACACGCAACGATGCGATTGCTATCTTACACAAAGAGCTCCTCCTGGCCGACCGTCGAAAGAATCTCCGAGAACACATTGCACAGGCAATTGCTTCCGTCTGTGGAGGTGGTCTTCCCTCGTCCTCTCCTCTCACTGAAGCCGAAACTGCGACACGCTTCTGGAAGATCATCTCCTCTGTTTTGCCAGAAGCCGTTCGATATGTCGGCCAATCCGAGCAGCTGTTCGACCTTGCAGAGCTAGTCTTCCGGAAATACGACGAGAGTAGTAGAGACGAGGCATCCCTGCGATCATATCTGGCTACCTGGAGTGACCTCCTCTTGAACTATCGGCACGAAGAATTCGTCGGCCGCGATGAGACCGACTTCGTTGTCCTCGGGTTTACGAAGCTTCTCCTCAGCTGCATTCCTTCCTTGAAGTCATTCAAGAAACCTCTAAACGCCGGTTGGCTCGTGGAGAAGATTTGGCACAAATTCCTCTTCGTTCCGAGGATAGTCGACGTCGACGAGCAAGCGGAAGATCTTCCGCTTCCAGTACTGGAGAGCAAGACGAGAAAGGAACTATATGATCTAGTACTTGCTTTGGCCGAAGACCGAAACAGCTACAGCAAGCTACTAGGCTTGGCCCAGGAGCTGGGCCTAGACGAAGGGGCCATGGCTTTAAAGGGCTTCTCCATTGATCGTGCAAACGAGATACGGTCCTCCACCGGATATGTCGGCTTGTTCAACCCTCGCGCCATCTGCTACATGAATTCGTTGCTCACTCAGCTATTCATGAACGTAAATTTCCGGAAGTTCATGCTTGGACTGAACATCGCCGACGCCGGCGCCTCTCAGCGTCTTCTGCACGAAACTCAGACACTCTTTGCGCAGATGCAAAACAGTTACCGCAAATCAGCTGACCCGCGGGCTTTTGCCGCTTGCGTGAAGGTGCCTGAAGGCGTGCCCATCGACATCAACGTACAAATGGACGCAGACGAGTTCTACAACCTACTTTTTGATCAATGGGAAGGTCAAATGCTTTCTCCAGAAACCAAACAGCAGTTCCGGTCCTTCTACGGAGGCCGAACCGTCAATCAGATCAAGTCGAAGGAGTGCGAACATGTCTCCGAGCGGGTCGAAAGTTTCTTCGTCGTTCAGTGCGACGTCCAGGGCAAGGCCAACCTACATGAGAGTCTCCAGGCTTTCGTCGAAGGAGACGTGATGGAAGGCGACAACAAGTACAAGTGCGAATCATGTGGTGGGAAGCTGGTCGATGCCGTGAAACGTACATGCCTCAAGGACGTCCCGGACAATCTCATCTTCCACCTTAAGCGCTTCGATTTCGACTTGGTGGAACTGCGCAGGGCCAAGATCAATGACCATTTCGACTTCCCGACGTGCATTGATGTAAGCCCTTTCAAGATCGATCATCTCAGCGATCCCTCCCAGCCGCGGCAAGAGGACATCTTCGAGCTCGTTGGAGTACTTGTGCATCAGGGTACTTCGGAGAACGGCCATTACTATTCTTATATTCGTGAGCGGCCGTGCCCATCTGGGAGCATGACGCACTGGGTCGAGTTCAACGATAGGGATGTGGACGCCTTTGACCACCAGTCCATCCCATACCACGCTTTCGGTGGATGGTATGATGAGCAGTTTCCGCGGCAGCTGAAGCAATTCAGCGCATATATGCTCTTCTATCAGCGTAGAAGCGCCATCGAGAAAGACCATCGCGAGTACATTAGCTCGCCTCATTCTGGAGTTGCCAAAGTTCCAGTTCCTCCAGCCTTGGATAAGAATATTCACATGGATAACGAAAGCCTGATCCGCGAATACAGTCTCTACGATCCGCATCACACCAAGTTCGTACGCCAGGTTCTCACCAATCTTCGAATGGTCAATCACGGGACCTGCTCGGAAGATCATCAACAGGAGGGACAAGCTCTCCATGTCGTGCTCGAGCACGTCTGTCAGACGCTTTTCCGCGTTAGGACCGCGGAGAATTTTGACGAGACAATCGCTCAGCTTCGGAGGACGGTGCTGTCCTGTCCCACTTGTTGTCATATCTCGTTGAAGTGGCTCGCAACGCAAGAGTGCGGTCTATTTAATATGCTGCTACAGTGTGTGCATATGAAGGTCCGCGCTTCGGTATGTTCCACCCGCGTCTCCATATGTCGACTTTGGGGGTGGCTTTAGGGATGGCAAGGACTTGTGCTAACGATTACACCCTAGATACGAGCTTTCCTCATTGACAGTCTGCGCTTCCTTCGCGAAAAGGACCCGGCTTCGTACGGTATCGAGAGCATGGACACCGATATGGATACCGGATCCTTGGCGCCTATGGACGGCATACTTGTAGACATCGCCCAGCGGCTTCGCCTCGTGGCCGAGGACTCCTACATAGCTTCCCGAGGCTGGGACGACTTCTATCTCACTCTTTGCCAGCTCAGCAACCTGGGACATATTGAGACCGCGGTACTGTTGAACCAGGGCTTCTTGGAGTTCTGCCTGCGGGTATTCTGCATGCATGCAGTTCCAGGCCTCCGGATGCGTGAAGCCGACCTTTGGCGGTTGGTCGAAAAGAAGAAGCGCATCTACAACAGGATGATCGAGTTCATATATACGCTATTGTCGAAAATGGACCTTCAGCTCGCAGTCGTTCAAGACGCCCGACGCAGCGATCGGCTAGAGAAGTACGACCGGAACCTCTTGAAATTCCCACTTTCTAGAGAAGAGAAGCACTATCTGCATCTATGGTACGAAGACAACCGAGCCTTTGCAGCTCTAGACAAGATGCTAGAATATTTCGACCCTACCAAGACAGAAGTCTTCTACCCTGGAGAAATACTCAAGTGGATGCTCCAGTCAAAAGATGCGCGTATCCAGCAACTCTTGTACTTCACCGTGTATGAGGGCGTCTACCAGCTTAGCCCCCCCTTCTCGGATCCGTATGTTCGCGCTGCTCTGCCCTACTGCGCAGCGTGTCCTGAGGCGAACTACGTCGAGAACGTGATTGAAGCTGTCGGCAAGGCTGCTACTCGGCTAAGGGACGGCGGCGGCGAAGTCTACATCCGATTTTTCAGCGGGCTCCTGAAGACGGAGAACGAGGTGGTCTTCGAAGAGAGGAGCCCAGACATGTTCTACGACTTCTGCCTTATCCTATCAAGGAAGATGGCCACCCCACTGCTTTTGTACGACGACGATGGTGTCCGCAGGGCGACGCAAAACTACCTCTCGGACCTCTTCACCAAGTACAAGGACGACGAGCTCGCTACAGAAGAGACGCTCAAATACAAGTTCAAGGCTATTCGGACTTTGGCAGCCGAAATGATTGCGAAGATCGCCGAGGAGCACCAGAACACGACATCGCGGGCTTACATGCAGCCGATGATTGCGACATGCCATCTGCTTGTGCAGCTGCTCTACCATCTTCACCAGAGCGAGGATACATCGATGGAGCTATTCAAGCAGGCCAGTGACGCGGCAATCATTCAATCGTATCAGCTCGAGGTCTCGGCGCGAATTCAGCAGTGGCCGCTTGATGAAGGTACGCCGATTTCGACAGGGGGTGAGTTACCGGTGCTCCATCTCAGTGTGTATCACAGAAGCTGACTTGCTTCAGAAGCTTATGAGCATTCGGACTATGGCAGTGAGTCGGATGAGGGACCTGACCTCTTGGACATGTGAAGTTGAGGATCGTCTCGGCGTTTGCTTGCGGCCCGTCAGGGGCTCAGTCCGCATCCAGGTCATGACCTGCCGTCACCACGGTCTTTTGACAACGAGAACTGGGCATGAGATATGGGTTACGGCGTTCTTGTGGTTAGACTCGGGCTTTCGTTTCCGGCCAGGATCAAAAAGAAATTTTTGGGCCATTCCTTGCCCTGCTGTGTTCGCCTGGCGGCGACATGGTCAGACGGCTAGATGGGGTATCGGCGCAACGGTTGGAGAGCCTAGGCTCACTACGGTCTTTCCTGCATGGGCATTCTACCGATCTATTTTTTGAGGTTATTGATGGCATAGCGCGGGCGATTCACACGACTGGGACAGTCTTCATGAACTGGGAAATAGAAAACATGAAAAGCTGCGATGGCGTTTGGTGTATGAATGAAATCGATTGCACGGCTGCGTTGGTCGCTGTGGATAGAAACGTTTTTCCCCAGAAGGCTACTGGGCGCGATATGGTGACGGTGATTGGTGGTGATGGGGGCGGAGTGGTGAAGTCATGGATCCTGGCAGGCGCGACTCGCGTCGGAACTTTTGGCATCGAGGGCCTGCGCTCCATCGCTCCAACGTGCACACCCACGCCAATGGCCTCTAACTACACCTGCAGAGCCTGCTCGCGCGTCTTATCGAGATGGTCTCCTTCGCACCTCCAAGTAAACACGCTGTCACCGCCTTGAGTGCTTTTTCTAACCGCCGCAGAAAACTTGTCCGCCCCGCCAGGCTCCGCGCTGTAGAATTTCCCACCCGCACCGAGCCCTCTCGACGACTGCCTCAGGGTTATACCATGCGACGGCGACCTTGTCGGCGGCATCGAAGCCCGCGGGCCCTGCGCAGTACAGCCCGAAGGGACCTGCCATGGCAAGCATAGCACAGAAGCTGCGCGAGAAAGCACCGTTGATGACGGAGACGTATGTCGCGTACGCCGCAACACAGCGGCTTTTGAAAGAGTGCGCAAGGCCGGGCGACTACACGATACCACAGGCGCTGGAGAAGAACGCGGAGATACCTCGAGACGCAACGGGCGCGCATTTGGGGGAGGGGACGGGCTGGTGGTATGAGAGTAAGCGCCACCGAGCCGAAGCGCATGGTCGGACGGGATGCTAATATTACGGCAGCGCTCCATCTGGCCCCGACATTCATAAACTGGGCGCAAATCACGTTTATCCACATGTACCTGCTCCAAGTCCGCTTCCGCATGTTCCCCAAGACGCACGCGCCGCTTTGGATACAGCACCTTACAAACCACGCTTTCTACGCCGCTGAAGATCGCCTCGTCGTCTGGCACAAGCTGAACTCCAACTCGCTTCGCCAGAAGTACCTCAAAGACATGTTCTCGCAATGGCGCGCCGTGCTGCTGTCGTATGATGAGGGGCTGGTGAAGGGTGATGCGGTACTAGCTGCAGCTGTCTGGAGAAACCTCTTTGCCGGTAGGGAGGATGTGGACTTCCAGAAGCTGGCGCAGATTGTCGGGTATATGCGAAGGGAGTCGAGGAGATTAGAAATGGCGACTGATGATGAGGTCGCGAATGGAGAGTGGAAGTTCCGAGGAGATCCTAGCGAGGAGGAAAGCATCGGCAAGACGCCGAGCAGGTTGATGGCAATCGAGGGAGCAAAAGCGTAGTGTCTGCTATAGCATACGAATGGGAGCTCCGCAATAGCATTGAGGTCGAGGCGCTTTGCTTTCACGTGCACGGATGCGCGAGCCCAGAATCCAGACGCATGTTTGAGTGAAGCATTAGGGAGCCTAACGGCTTCGATAGGATGAAGCACCGCTCAACGGACCCTTTGAACCGTGGGCTGAGAAAGTGTTGAGTTTGGGTTTGTGAACCTGATGCGGCGGGAACCGTGCTGTGGGGGGAACTGGGGACTTGGCATCTACATAATCTACTATAAACCGCAGCCTGCCCTTGTTCTCTCCGCATCCACGTCCACGTCCACACGGCTGCCCACGATGCCGTCCACGCGACCAGGCTCCTCTGTCCCGCCGCAGATTCCGGGCTACCTCATCCCCAACGATGCCGCCCATCAGCTGAAGCAAGAGGTTGCGTCGCTCCTCGGACGCGACAACTTGCGATTCCCGGGTGCGCAACCAGTCAGCTTCGCGCGCGAGCACCTCGCCGAGCTCCAGCGCATGGAGTACTTCCTGTGCGAGAAGACCGACGGCGTCCGCTGCCTGCTGTTCCTCCACTGGCGCGACAACGGACAGGCCCTCGAGCCCGTAACCTTCCTTATCGACCGCAAGAACAACTACTACGAGGTCACGCCTCCCCTCCGCTTCCCTTACTACCAGTCGCCCAGCAATCCCGAGCAGTTCCTCTTCGCTACCATACTCGACGGCGAGCTCGTGCACGATGTCGACCGCGAGGACAGCGATACATCACCCCGACTTATATACTACGTCTTCGACTGTCTGGCAGTCGATAATCAGAATGTAACGGGCCGTCCGCTAGACAAGCGGCTGGGCCGCCTTAAGGAATACGTCCTTAAGCCTTACCATAACCGGCCGCGCCAGCAGCCCTTTGAAGTCAAAGAGAAGCAAGTGTACCCGCCGTACCACGTCCGCAACATGTTCGACAACGTGCTACCGAATCTCCAGCACGGAAACGACGGGCTCATCTTTACGTGCAAGAACACAAAGTACGAGTTCGGCACCGACCGGCACATTCTCAAGTGGAAGCCGCCGCACGAAAACACAATCGACTTCAAGCTCCGCCTCGGCGACTTCCCTCTCTTCGACCCGGAAGACGGCGAAGAGGGTCTCATACCGGATTACGACGCCATGCCCACGCGCTTCCAGCTCCTCGTCTTCCACGGCAAAGACCACGGCCGCTCCGATTACCGCCCCTTCGAGCACGACCTGCACATCACCGAGCCCGAATGGGAGATGCTGAAATCCCTCAATCAGCGCCTCGATGGCCGCATTATCGAGTGCTACCGCGATGCCGCCGGCCACTGGAAGTTCAAGCGCGAGGACGACGGCATGCCCCGCTGGCGCGACGACAAGCCCGACGCGAACCATATCCAGACGGTCAATTCCGTGCTTGAGAGCATCCAGGACCCGGTTACCGAGCAGGATCTGCTGGATGCCGAACCGCAAGTAAGGGATGCGGTGCGTGGGCTGAGGAAGGCGGAGGAGGAGAGGATGAAGAGGCAGCATGCGCAGTGGCAGCAGGAGCAGATTGACAGGGATGCAAAGAAGCGCAAGTTTAGTGAGGTTAATGGCCATTGATGGATATGTTGACGGTGCTGCTAGCTAAATGGTATAACTAAGGCCGGGGCCTCGGTCGTACCGCCTTTAAGATTTGGATGACGCGATCGGAACGGCGATTTTGGCGTTTTGGACTAAATCATTGGTCTCAATGGACTCGCCAAGACTTGGAACTAGATATGGGAGACGCGGCGTTTTTACGGCTGGGATTAGTCACATTGATATGATACCCGTGGGCCTACCTCTATTTCGTACCACCTTGAATATATGGACGCTTCTTCCCTCTCTCTACATCTAGTGGAACCACGCGCAAGTCTTCTTGTTACGGGTTTACTACTTGTTGCAACTCGCGCCTTGATGTTTCGAACACCGCTCCTTTGGTAGTGGAGAGGTAGGGCATCTCGTTTGACAACATGCAAATCACAAGCAAGGGTATCAAGCAGGGGATATCATGCCGTATTCCCTCAAACAAGGGAAAGCTCCATTCTATCTGCCAGCCAGTTGAAGAGAAAACATAGATGAAAAAGGGGGTGTGATGTTCCCACGTAAAGAAGATCCCAGCCCAAAGCATGCCATATCCGCGACTTTTCATCCGCCTTGCTCCCCTCCCTTCACCACGGTGTTGCCTCGCCACCTCTTGACTGACAAACGTAAAAGCTTCAAAAGATCCCAAAACACCGCCTCCTATCCATTCATTGCCAGTGCTGTCCGACGCGCAGGCCATCCTAGTTACCTGCCGACCTGCCGAACTGTCAAGCCATGGGAGAGAGAGGGTGTGCTGAGAGGAAGTCGTCCTCCATGGAGTCGACTCGAAGTAAGATACAAGAAGGGGTTAATGTATGATGGAAGGACACAAAACAACAGAGAGGGAATCCCGCTAACACCGACGATCCAATCTGAAGCGAGTGTGATATTGCCGTTCGAGCCAGCCAGAGAGAGACGAGACCAAGGAAAGAAACATGCATGTCGTAAAGATGAGAGTGCACAAGGCAGGCCCGCTCCCTTCTCTCTGGCGCTCGCGAGCACCCAGAAATGTAGAAAAGACACAAGAAGATGGAGTATGACCAGGCTTTTGCATGCCATATCGATTCCGACTGTTGAGGAAATGTGAGAACAGGTGTGAATACCTGCGCAATCATATACACAAGATAGTGTTGCTGTCTCGTCGCAACCCTGGAAACACTCTAGATAGAGCTGTTCCACGTACGATTCTAGACGCAATAAGCCGTATAGTCGAAAGATGTATGCTCGAAGATGCATCGTTCACCGAACGGTAAGTAAATGGGTCGTTTATCGCTGGTGGTCGTTAGCGTCACATGTAGCGGACGTCGTGTGGGGTCTGCTTACCCTTCCGCGCCGCTGACCACCTCCAGCGACCTGTTGCTGCTGTTGCGGTACATACATCCCATATGGATACATCTGGGCGCCCATAACCGGGCTCATTCCCTGGCCGAGCTGGGCCGGCTGGAGCATCGGCGAGCCAGCGAATCCAGGTGCTGCGACTGGAGAAATATTTCTAAAACCATCCATACCGGAAACGGGAGGTTGGAAACCATTCATCTGTGGGTAGAAGGGTTGAGACCTCGACGCCGCGAGAAGCTGCTGGTATTGAAGCTGTTGAGGGCCCGTCATAGCTGGCATGTTGGGCATGAACATAGGAGCGCTGACGCCCATAGGGTATTGGTCGAAACCATTGGAATCCATGCTCGCGGTGCGCTGAAGTGCGACAGGATCGAAACCGGCTGGTGGGACACCTGGATAGAACTGCCTAGGCTCAATATTAGAGCCGGCTGGGCTGTCCTTAGAAGAGGCCGGACGCGTCTGCGAGTGGTCGCGATGACCTGGTCCACCGCGCGTTGAAAGGTTGACCTCGTCCATCAGCCGCTTGTATCCCTGGGCAGGTTGTGCTTTGATGCGGAGCAACACATTACGCACGTTCTGGACGACATCTGCACGAATCTTCTCATCGAAGAAGGGAGTCGTGAGCACCTTGAAGATCAAGGTAGCGCCGCAGTTCTGATCTACTAAGATGTCTTCTAGGACCTGATCGTTCGGCGAGAAGAACAAAGCTTGGAGGATAGTATCGCGCGCTTCAGGCTCGTTTCGCTGGTTGATGATCTTGAGCACCGTGAGGTAGGCAACCTTGTGAGTGCAAAGGTGCACGATATGAGGAACAAGGCGGGGAGCCAAAACCGTGCGCCTCCTAGGGAAGGTGCATGTGTCAAGGAACCAGGTCAGGAGCAACGCACCGTTGGCGTTGGTCGCAAGCTGGACGCTGTGAAGGGCAATGGCGGCCGCGACCATACGCTGCTGGTCCTTGGTAGCATAGTGACTCTCCAAGCAAGCCCGCATCGCTCGAGCGCCGAATCGACCTTGAGCAAGGTCCCAAAGACGGCTGAGCATTACCTCAAAAATGAAGTTGTTGAGGGGCGCTGAATATCGGAGACATCCCTGCATGACATAGTTGCCGAACTGGTCGAGGAACAGCGCCATGGCATAAGGCTGAAGAGCATCAACGACCATCTGCTGAAGAGCCGGGGTCCTAGCGACGTCAATGATCTTCTGTGCAGCCCAGGTTCCGTTCTTGTGGATGCCAATCTTTGCCAGGTGAGGCGCAATCTCTCGCAGCATAGCCTCCTTTGTGGGCTCAGAGCAGTATTCGAACAGCTTCTGGACGACTGTGTTTCCGAGATAATCGGACGACAACTCAGCAATCTCGGGCAGCATGTTCATGGCGATCTCCTCAATCTCCGCCTGAGAGCACGAGTTGTTGTCAATGCGCTTCCGGATCTCGCGCAGTCTCGGGGCATCGTGAACTCGAGTGTGGCTAGGCTCCTCAACTGGAGGTATTTCACTATGGTAACCGCTGTTCTGGATAGCCTGGTCGACGTGCGAAGAGATCCGTAGCTGTTCCTCATCGGTGGCGCCGAGGTCTTTCACGATCTGGACGATGTCCCCACGAATGTCTGTGAGCTCGGGAGTGGTGAGCGGAGCGTTCACAGTCTCGGCGCGGGCGCCGTTTGCCTTTGCATTGCTTGTTGACACGTTCGCGCCTTCCGCTTGCGATTTGGCAAGCGGGTCGGGGCTTGGCGAGGGAAAGAGGCCAGTGTGTCCAGGCGTAGCTGCCGCACTTGGGACCTTAGCGTAGCCAATTCGAACAGGCCCCGCACCGGGGAAGATCTCCTTGCCATTGAGCTGCGACTTGGCTTGGATCGCGCTGTCGAGACTCTCGAAGTTGACGAAACCGCAGTTCTTGTGCGTCAGAACCCGCGTCGACTCAATGGGGCCGTAAGCGTTGAAGATGACGTTCAAGGAAGAGACCGTAGTAGAGGAGGGGATGTTACCCAACCATAGCGCTCGAGTAGGGCCTTCCAACGTGTTGTCGTCACCAAGGTTAGAGCTTGGCTTCCCGCCGAGCTGAAGGCTTTTGACGGCCTCAGTGAGGCTATATTCTGCGTCCTCGGTCAGGTCTCCAGCGATCAGGCTGCTGTCAAGGCGAGACGGGGTGGGCAGGTAGTTTCGCATCAGTCGCTGCGACGGCGAGTCGAGCACACCCGCAGTCCTAGCACGAGGGCGGGTCGCGCTGGCGAAGTTGGCAAAAGCCTGCACCTCGAGGTTGTGTTGTCGGACAGCTTCGTGGATGGCATAGGCGCTAGCCTCAGCTGGTGTCATGGTGCCGCTGTAGTTTCCGGCATATGCCTGGTCGAGCTCATCCTCTTCGTCGGCATACTTCTCCTTGGCGTTAACTGAGTATGAGCGAAAGCGGTTGGCAGCAGCAGCCGAGTTCTGGTTGAAAGCATTCCTCTGGCCCTCGAGGAGCAACTCAATGTCAGAGGGAGCAAGGGTCGCGCGCGCAGGCTGAGGAGTGTCCACGAGACCAAGGTAATCCAACGTCTTCACGTCAGTATCAGCGAGTGAGTCCCGGGAGAATGACGACACTGGTGACGCCGGTCCATTGGATGGCTGGGACGCAATGCTGTGGAGCGTGCTGCTGCGGTCCCGATTGCTTGTCCAGCCTGTCGAGAAGATAGAGTTGCCGAAGGGCGAGGTAGACGGCGGCAGGAAGCCCGGTCGTTGAGGCATTGAGCCTGCTCTCAGACGAGAGAGCAGGGCAGACTTAGCAGCAGCGTTGGTAGAACCAGGAGCCGCAAACCCAGTGCTCTCTGTAGGCGTGCCTGGGCCAGGCTTGAAGGGGCTTGTCGACGGAGTGGGTCGGGACGTCTTGGGGAGGAGGGACGCAGACGGCATAAGTCCTCCTGGTGCTGCTGAGGGAGAGAATCGTGAAGGCAGCGTACCAGCGCGGGCCCGCCGAGTAGATGTCTGAGCAGCTGACGCGGTCTCTGGCATAGCTTGGTTGAAGTCGGGGAAGCTCTCACCGTTGGGCGACTCCGGGATGGTCTCACGCAGAGGCGTAGAGTTGCCGCTTGTGGGTGGTCCCCACATTTGTGGAGTCAGCCCTTCCTGAGCTTGGATCTCGCGTGCGCTGTTGTCGGAGGTTAGCCAAAATCCGATCAAGGTGCCTGTTTCAGGATGCGACAAACCGTTTGGAGTATAATCTGCCACCATATTCATGCGAAGGGGACCCTGCGCCCAGCCTCACGCCTGCAGCGGCATTGGCCAGGGGGTTCGAAGTATTTCCAGCAGGCATTGGGAAGCGAATTGAGCCGCTGGACGAGGGAGGCTCAACCGGCGAGGTCGACGTGGTGGAAGAGGCAGACTGCGGGGGCTGCGAGGTGAGCTGGGGGATGTAGTTGAGGTTGATGTGGTGCTCCGGGCGGTTGGTGGGAGCCATTAGGTATTACAGACCCTGTCTTTACTGTGCGGTTGTTCTAGGACGGAGAGGAGAATAGTCGCAGGGACTCTCGTTTACCAAAACCAGGGTAACGGCAGAAACGTGGGTTGGTACCGGCCAAAGGAATGTGAGGCGGAGGAAATTATTGCCAGCGGGACCGGACCAGCTCAGCGTGAAGCCTGTGTATGGAGGGTGCGGTCAGGCTGAAATGTACAGATGCACCGCTTGTAGCCAGGCCTGCGGACGAGGGGCACTGGGAGGGCGACAGACAGACGCGGGAGACGGCGTGTCGCTGGTGTGCGGCGTCGCAACGGGCTCTTTCGAGCGCGGGTGCGGCAGTTCGCAGGCGGCGAGGTGCAGCGGGCGGTGGGTGGGCTGACGGGGGGCCCGAGGGAGCGCAAGGCGAGCGTTATACGGCGGCGAGCGCGTTCAACGCAGGCGGACGGTGCCGGTCAAGGAGCGACGGAGCGGGCGTGCAGCTCGAGGGCGGCGAGGAGCGGTGGAAAGCAGCGTCGCCGGGCGAGGAGGCCCTGATTATGATACAGCAGGCGGGCAATAGACAAGCCACGGAAGCGGCCTGGAGAATGGAAGGGAAATAGGATTAAGCAAATGCGCGACTAGACACCTTTGCTCATCGGGCGTCCGATGGAGATAGCGGCAGCAGCAGAAGAGATGGAATGGAAGCGCGAGGGAGGGAGGAGGGAGGGCGAGGGCGAGGGTGAGGTGAATGAAGATGCACGTTGGCGGGAGGGCTCGCTAAGGCACGGGCGCCAGGGACGGGCTCGTCGAATCGAATCGCCAAAACGTGCGCTTTGACATTCACCACGCCAGAGCCAGGCAGACCGCAGACGAATTGAGGAGCTGCGAGAAGCGAAACGAGCTGCGAGCGGAGTCGTGTGTCACGGGCGAGCAGGCCCGCGGGAGCAGCGCCGCTGATATCTGCTCTCGTGTCTTCAGCGCTGCCCCATCGCACAGCAGCGCGCGGTGCCTTTCGCAAAAGGGGCCCGCGCCTGTGAGTGGCCCAGGGCGCTGCGCCGGGGGATGCACTTGAAACATGCTGTCTGGAGGAGGCGCGTCGAACGGGGCCCGCCTTTGCACCCGCGCCTGGTCTGACGTGGACTCTGGCGGCGTCGCGCGGCTGGCTGCGATGATTGGGCCTGCCACGCTAAACTTGGACGTGTCTGCATTCGCCTGTCTACTGTGTACCATTATAGAGTGCTCCCAGCGGCGGTTTGTTTCCGAGCTGCTCGCCATTCCCTGGCCCCAACGCCTGAAGAGACTCCGGCAATCAACAGGTCTGGCGACGCTGGCCTGCGGAAGCACGCGCGAGGAGGCCTTCAGCAGGTAGAGCGCTGGGTTGTGGAAATCCATCACATCACACATCATGCAGCCGCCGCTCATCTCCTTTCAGAGCACCACGGCTGAGAAATGGCGTTTTGGCTGTGCGATAGCATGGACCGTCAATTCCGCACTCTTAGCAATCCTTCTGGAAGCAGTCGTCGAAGCCACAGATGCGTGGATTATGCCAGCGACGTCGGTTTGTAGGGCCGCGCACGGAGCGTGTGTGTAGACAGGGCCTAGTCTGGCGACCTCGTAATCAATCCCGAACAGGCGCTACGTTTCAGATGTTGTGCGATTCTTGGCCTTTGGATCGCCATCAGGCGGCGCTCGCGCGTCTCGGGGCGCGTGCGTCTAACCTCCACGCCAGCAGTCTCTCGCCCTCGCACTCTCCAGCGGCCTCGCCCTCCAGCTCCACCACGTAAAGGCGCCGGCCCGTCAGCAGAGCACCCGGAGCACCTCCATAGCCCTGCCGTCCCGCCGCGCGCTCTTTGCACAGCATAAACGCGCCTGCGCTCGCTGCAACCGACTGCGCATAACCCACGGCTCCAGGGAATGCTTCTGGAAATCCTACCGCACCCCTTGACGCTGTCTGCTCGGCCCAACCCAGGCACACGAAGCTCGCTTTGCCTCAGATAATCCTCGCCGCTTGCACCTTCCCCCCACCTCGACAAGACCTGCCCTCGGGACGCTGTCCCTCTGCCGCCCTCCACTCCCGCCATGTCGCCAGACCCCGCAGAGCGGACAGACGTCCAGGACGGCGCGCCGCCTGATCGCGATGAGCGTCTGTCGCCGTCGCCGTCAGCGGCCGAGAGCGAGGCTGAGGCGCCGGCCGACCTGATGGTTGTTTCGCGCGCGAGGAGATCAAACGCAGGCAACCGCATGTCCACCCTGATTGCCAAGAGCGCCGAAGAGGACGAGTGGGGAGAGGAATGGGAGGAAGCTCCAAACGAGGAGGAGTTTGTTGGTGACGACGCCAACGACCAGGATGACTATAACCTGGACTCGTCCTCTTCCGAAGAGGACGACGAGGGTGCTGATGACGACGCTGGAGAGAAAGAGTTACGTAGGGCAGAGCGTCAAGAGCGTATCAAGAAACGCAAGCCGGCTACGAATCCATTCGCTGCTCGCCTCGCCGCCGCCGCCGCACGCAAGAGGGTCAAGCTTGATGTACCTACCACCGAGTCGCCCGCGCCCGCCGCACCTCGGCCAAAGAAGAAGTCGGAGAGAGCATCTTGGATACCCACCGACGAGGACGGTCCCACGCGGACGTCCTCTCGCCGGCAGACGGTCGCAAACAAGGAGTCCACGCTGGCTAAGCTGAAGGAGAAGGATAGAAGGCGAGATGATACCCTGGCGATGATGAAGGCGGCAGAGGCGCGGAAGGCCAAAGACGAGCGAAAGCCGTTGACTCAAGCAGAGCGGCTGGCTGAGGCAACCAGGACAGAGAAGGTCAACAGTAAAAGCTTGCACCGTTGGGAGGAGCTTGAGGAGCAGAGAGCCGCCGAAAGGCAGGCAAAGCTCGATGCCATGAAGAACCGCCAGATTGAGGGTCCATTCATTCGCTTCTACAGCGGGCCCGCGATTTGGGTTGATGACAAGCTCAAATTCACAGGCAAGGATGTCCCGAAGCTCGAGGAACTAGAGGAGAAGCTTAACAAGGACATTCCTGCGTCAGCATCACAACCGGCTCAGCCTGAAGCTACTGGGCGGACAGCGTCGGATCATACGCAGCCTTCCAGTCTCAATGATCCATCCCACGTCTCTCACCGTCTGTCGCTGACGTCGGTTCCGGAGTCACAGCCATCGTCAATGCAGAACTCATTACCACCGCCACCGCAGACATCGCAGGCGCCGGTGCGAGACATTTCTGCGGGCTCACATGGGATGCCGTATCCGAGCACCATTATGTTTGCCCCTCCCGAAAATACCGACTCGTTCCTCTTCGGAATTGAGCAATACGCTCAACCGAATCAGCACAACACTCACTCTCTTGCTCTCTCTCAGACAGAGAACCACGAAACATCGCCACAATATGCCCACACGCAGATGTCGGCACCGGAACTCCCCCAGAATCCCTTCCTTGAACCACACTCCTCTCTAAACGACCCTCTTCTCTCCCAGCATGAGCCAGGAGCACAATCCCTCCTCTCCCAATTCCAAAGGCCTCCCGCTCCGCCCGCACCACGACGTCGAAGGCTCATCCAACGCGCCCTCCGCAACCTCCTCATCCTCTCGTCCTTCCCCAATCTCGATTCCGCTGCACCAACGCGGGCCCGAACAACCGCCTCCATCCTCAAAGAAAAGGACCGCTCAGCCCTCATCCAGCTCTCCACCACCCTCTTCGGCTGGTCTCACGCCGACGCGGCCGCCTTCGTGACAGCCATGCTCAACGCCCCAAAGACGAAGAAGGAGAAAGAGGCGCTGCAGCGACCGAAGAAGGAGCTGTGCGCAATTACGAACAACATTGCAAGGTACAGGGACCCGGAGACAGGGATCGCGTATCGGGACGCGAGGGCTTTTGGCGTGCTGAGGGGCGTGGTGGGTGGTGGATTTGTCTGGAGTGGCGAGTTGGGGTGCTATGTCGGTGGACGGGCGAAGCCGATGTTGAGTGCGGATAGTGCGAAGTCGAAGGGGTTTTTAGGCATGGCTCCGGCAGCTGGTGTGCCAAAGAGGTTTCTAGAGATGAAGCGGGAAATGATGCAGGCCCCGACGCAAGCCGCCAAGGAGAATCCGGCTGCAGTTGCAGGTGAGAAGGCGGATGTACCTCCCACTACCGGCGATGCTGGAGCACAACAGCCACCGCAGAGTACGAGTGATGCGATGAAGGTCGAAGAGCCTGTGGCCCCGCTAGGCACCATAGGCCGGTCCTGATGAACTGGCAAGCAGACCTCGGGATACTCTAGAGCAGATTGCATCTATGTAATCATAAACGAAATAAAAACTTGATAAGATTATATGCAGTCAGGGTCCACGTTGAAGTGACTGTAGGATTTGCTTGTATGTCTTGTAGCGACACACGACACACATACGAAAGAGCAACACTGATTCTGTTCCACAGTAAATGTACGAGCAGACCCATCGCCTGCGGTCACCCGCGTAAGCAGGCTTCTTTATCAAGTCAAATAGTACTCTTCCCACACAAGACGCGCGTCGCATAACGGAAAGGCTGTGATCGGTTTAAGCTGTGGCACTGAGTGAGGTGAGAAACGGGGCAATTAAGGTTGCTGCCTCCCCCGGCTTAGCTGAGGAGCACAGGCAATTGCGGCGTGGTTCAAAGTGTAAGCATTTTGAAACGTGTCAGAGCAAGACGAGCTGTGGCGATGCTGATGTGTGTTGGTGGCGGAGTATCTCCTCGACGATTACATATGGCTTAGCTGCATCAAGAGGCCGATGCATATCACACAGTCGAAACTGGAGCCATGTGGCCTCAGGATAGGCGATGCCGTAATCTATCCGGCCTTCGAAGTGTCCTCGACCAGCATGCTGCTGCGGGTGGTGAGAGACATCCCGTAGGTAGCGCGAACCAATGGCAACCGAAAGGCCCATGATATGCATTGATGGTTGTTAGCAGACACAGGTAGAGGTAGATCTCAAACGCCATCCATCTTGCCCGGCCCATGCGCAAGAGTTTTTCAGGCATTCGTCGTAACTGTACACGATGATAATGCCCCGTGCAACTCCATGTCCGTGGTGAACCACCCGAACTAGAGAAACGACTCCATCCCGACCGTCACCGACATAGTGCACCCGCTTATTTCTTGTCCTTCTTCGCGCCGCCCTTGGTCTTGGCAGTACCTCGGAACTCCTTCGACCTGTTCTTTCGTTGCTTGCCTGTGTCCTAGTCAGTACCGCTCCACCATGTCCTGACTCGGTTCCCGGCCATGTCCACGACTTGTATGGGGGCAACGTACGCTGCTGCCTGCTCGCCTTCTCGATCTTGCTCGCCATGCCGTACCGCACGAGCCTGTAGTGGGGCTCGAACTTCTTCATCGCCTCGGGGCTGTCGTAGATGAGGGCGAAGCCGGTGCTCTTGCCGCCACCGTAGTGCGTCCGGAAACCGAAGACGGAGACATCGTCCTTCTTAGCCTTGTAGAGCTCGCCGAGCTTGCCGCGGAGTTCGTCCTTGGAAACGTTCGGGCGGTTAGGGTGTAGGACGTCGCTGGAGTTGTCCGTCAGACTCAAATCCCATCCACTCGTCCATTTGACATTCTGAGTATTTCCTGCACTTACACAACCATCTGGCGACGACCGAGGAGAGGGTTTCGGATGAACTTGCGCGTGCGCAAGGTGACCTGGGAATCAGCCATATTGAAGGAGCTGTGCCGACCTGTGCGCGGTTAGAGCGGGGACTGGAGGATGCATCGGCGTGGTTGAGGATATAGAAGACGTACTAGAGAGAAATCGATCCTGCTCGTTGTCGTGGGGGGGTTGTTGTGCTGTTGCCGCAGGATAATCGTCGACTTGGAAGTTCTACAAGCGTTGAAATTCGAGTGCGTCTAGCTGGCGTGCCAAGGCTTTCTAAGCGAGCGCAGGGGTGGGGCCGTCACATTAGGTAAGGCGTACTTGAACGTCGACGCGTTCGAATTCTTGCCTCTTCATCTGCACCATCGAAAAGCACGACTCCCGCGCAGGAGTAGTGGTCTAACTCGTGACTTGCATCCGATCTATCTTGCACATCCGTCGCTGCAAACCGCCACTTCATCGATTCCAGACGGCACACTATCACTTTCGCGGCGGGATAGACCGCTGGAGAGACAGGCTCCCAGTGTTTGACTACAGTAGAGATGGACACAAAGACTCGGTCGAAGCTTACCATACTATGCCGCCAATACTTCCAACTGGTTGAGCCTGCGCAGCTCAGATGGCCGGAAGACGCCGTTCTCAAGGACCCTAGGGTCCAGTCATGGATCTTCAACAGTCTCTTCAACGCGGAAAAGGTTATGAACCCGCCACCGGAGCGTTACCGACTTAGGGTTCTCAAATCCCTTGTATCAAGGCTTGAACAGTCAATTGATGATCCAGAGGAGGATGTACGGCTCTCTTTCTCTTACTTCTCTTCCTGAGCTTACAAGGTGATGCCGTCCTGTCAGTTTTGGACAGCCGGCATAACCCTTTTCTCTCTCAGTCTGCACGTCCATTCCAGCTTCCTGCTTCACTCTACTAACCAAGGCTTTCTTCTCCAATGAATAGGAAATTTCAGATGATCTCATGTCTGAATTGGCCTGCCTCCTGAGCTCCAATATTCCCTCGGAATCTGCCTCTGCTGAACGGAAAGCATTCGTGACATACACTTATGCTCTCCACTCTACTAGGGGAAGCATGCCGGAAGACTGCACGGTCACTCTTCTCGAATCTCGATATGTGATTTCCGCGTCTGGGACCACCGGGCTTCGGACATGGGAGGCAGCACTGCTCCTAGGATCGTTTCTAGTTTCTGAAGCCGGCCGAGCAATTATCCGCGGAAAGAGAGTGTTTGAATTGGGAGCTGGGACGGGCATGCTCTCTATATTGTGCGCGAAGCATCTCGGTGTATCCGGTATTGTGGCTACAGATGGCGATGAGGCAGTTGTCGATGCGATCAAAACTAACCTCTTCCTCAACAAACTTGACGACGAGTCAACCCCAGCAGCTCTCCGAACGGCGGCTCTGAAATGGGGCTGGCCGCTTAACGCAGCCACTTTCGCAGAAGACTATGGCATGGAAGTACCGGATGTGCTTCTCGGGGCAGACGTCGTAAGCTGGCCCCATAAGCGCTTGGATGGAGGGATTAAGCTCAAGCAAAACTCTGCAGACTTACGACAAACTCGTTATTCCGGCCCTCGTTTCGTCATTGCGGGAATTCTTTGAGCTGAATCCGGCTCTGCAGGTGCTAGTTGCTGCAACGATACGCAATGAGCAGACGTTCGAGACCTTCCTGAACTCGTGTAGTGGGTCTTTCCCCACATTCGTCTCATTGAAGGATTTACGCCATCTCCTGAGCTGCTGCTGATTATTGTGGGGTAGAGCGAAACGGCTTCAGTGTAGCACTAATCGATTTCCCGCCGACACCAGCGCACCTCCAGGATGGTCCTTTCTATCCAACACCGACGCCGATTCAGATCTGGCAAATCACCCGCCATCGGCCATCAGGGGACCCGTTCGCACTTTGACCGTCTCGGAGGGTTTCTATTCGACCGACACGTGTCAGCCGCGATTGCGTTTACTTGTTGAATGCACCCAGGCACTACTGCGCGAGAATACCGTATGTTTCAAGCTGGTGCGTTAATTTTTGACGCTCAAGGAATGTCGGACATCGAGTGCTCTCGACAAAAGCTGCCATTGGCCGAGGCCGGGAATTTGTTGCGCACTAAATAGGAAAAATGGAGCACCGTCTTCCGATGCTTCGCCAATTTGCTCAGGCGGATGAAGCGGTGCTCACGGAAGGCCCTCAAATGCCAGGTCCAGACGGATGGGTCGCAGCTGTCGGTCCTAGTGGTGAGCTTTACAGAAGGCCGAGCAGGTTCGTGATTTCCGTTACCTAACAATGGGAGGAGCTCCGGATTGCCGCAGAGAGCGAGCTGCAACGCAATCACCATGACGATTTTGCATGATACCTTCGTAGCAACATGGTAGGAGGTAGACGGGAGTCGTACGGGCTCAAGGCACGTTGCAGGCACTGATAACGCTCTGTGTTGACGGGCTTCGGGTGCTCTGGCACTCGATGTCAAAGTCGTACCCCGCAACCAAGCTCCCAGGACGTGGACCATGTCCATCCGGGACAATCCCGTGGCACCCCCGTAGACGTGATTCGCCAGGGGATGAAGCCGTTCTGCAAAACACCATGATGGCCAGGCACTGCAGCGGTAGAATGCGCATTGGCCTGCTAAATCCAGCGCGTATCACAGTCGCCGCTCAGTGGGCGCGAGTGGGGGTGCGCGCACTGCTATAAGAGTGCGCCAACAACGGGTCGACGATGGTGTGCTGGATGACTGCAATCGCTCCATCGCCGTCGCAATCCTGAGCCCCGCCCCGCTCGCCGCTTATCGATATCACCGTTCCTCCTGCGTATATCTACGCGCGCCCCCGTCCCCTGTTCCACACACTCGCCGCGTCTTCTTCGGGCCTCGACGTCGGGCCTGCATTCTGCTTCCAGGTACAGACTCCTCTCCTCGGCCGCGGCTGTTGTGCCCTGCATCGCCTCAGACCGCGCAGCCTGCTCGATACAGACTGCCGCCGCCAGCCGCACACGCACAGGAAAGACTCGGCTCTCCCTGCTCCCCTCGGCAAGCGAAAGGGCTTATCGTTCCCGCCATCCCTGGCTCCGATCGCCGCAAAGGCCCGCCTGCAGCGTGCTCCAGATCAAAAAAGATTGCCGTTGTCTCTACCACGGCGGCATCCTCCCTCCCGAAGTCGCACCCTTATCAATTGCTGTAAGTCCACGCAAGGCCGTCCGCGTCACATCCATCTATCCCCTTTACGCGTTACCACGTCGTAGCAGAGTAGCCGCCCGCAATCGCGCTGTAGCCCCCATGGCGCGCATTCTTGCATCTAAGCGCGCCGTTCCTAGCTAAACTATCGGCTGCAGGCCATCGCGCCCGATAAGACGCCTGAACAAAGCACCCGACGTCGTCATATCAGCTCCCAGCCTTCAAAGCAGCAGTGCGGCTGTGTCACCGCCTCTCCGTTGCTACACTCCCTGTGGGCAGCATTGTCTACCCACAGCCCTGTAACAGCAGACGCCATCAATCTCACCGCGCACCGTGCTCAAATCACCCAAGTGAGGCTATTAATTCTCACCGTCTTTCCACTCACGCTCAATGGCCGCCCATCACACCAATCGCCCGTCCAACCACCCTAAAAGGCCGTTGCCGGCCCATGCACGCCCTTCGAAGCCCGCTCCTCTATCGAAACGTACAAATTCCTACGGTGCCGGCAAGAAGGCCGTCCACTCCACGGAGGAGGATTTCGAGGACGAGGAAGTGATGGCAACGTCCTTCCTGCAATTTTGGTAAGTAGTTGGCGGAACTGTAAGCTCACTTCTCTTTAACCGGCTACTAATGCCACATGTAGCACCACCTGCGAGAAGCAAATTATCGTGCCCAGCAATTCCGTCCTATACTGCTCGGAGAGGTATGTTGTTGCCGCTCGTTCCCTACCCACGTAGCGTCCTATACCAACATGCATCCAGCTGCCGCAAGAAGGACACCGAGAAGCAATTCTCGTTTCCGTTTGACCAGTCACCGCCACCAACGCCCTTCTCTACCTTCTCCAACTTCTCCTTCGACGACTTCCACTTTCGCGACATCGTCCCGCCCCGATCGCCCACCCAACCCCGCTCCAAGCGCTCATCATGCGCCTTCTCAGAGATGTCTTCAGACGATAACACTGCATCGGGCGACGAGAAGTCCAGAACAGACTCTGAGGCGTCGCGGTACCTGCGCCAGTTCCAATCGCCGGCCTACTCAGGTGAAACCACTGTGCGACCTCGCCGCCCCCGTTACAATCGCGCCTCAACCTCCCAAGTCACCTTCAGCGCCGCACCCTCCCTTTCGCACACACCAGCCTCCTCGGTCAGTTTCTCGCTTCCGTATACGCCGTCAACGAGGCCTCTTCCGCGCAGGACGAATCCGCATAGCTCGTCGTACGGATCCAGATCCATTGATCTCGTCACACCGTGGACCCATGCCTCGACTGCGCCGTCAAGTCCGCCCCAATATTCCTTGAAAGCGGCGCCGATATCGCGCACTTCAACGAGCCACATTGAGGGCGAGATCCTGTACGAGAAGTCGCCCATTCCTTCGGTGTCACCGGCGAACGGTAGTCTTGGCCGGCTATTGGCTTCTACGCCTCGGTGATCCTTCTTACATACCCTTGTTCCACGCTGACATTTTCCCTTCGCTTCATCATATCCCGATGTACGTCGGTCTCCGCGGAATTTCACAGTAATTATGCCGAAGTGTTGTTATCGCGGCGTTCGTTCTAGTTTGTTGTGTTGGTGTTAGATGATGACAGCTGTGCAGGGCGTAGCCGATGCAGTGTCAGATCAGATCAGATCAGATAACACCCTTTATGGCATTCGTTTCCCGCGGACATTAAAAGTTTAGAACGAGTCTTGATGGATAGGCGTTCTCGACCATTTCGGACACGTCTGTTTAATTCGCTATATACCATAGGACGAGATAAGACGCGTTTGAGGCTTTGAGCTGCATGTAGCTCGAGTGAATATATTATGCGGCACGGATCGAGCAGGATTCCACTCCATGGGTGTTGAAGTCACTGCACGTAATGGCCAGGCTGCCCACGACCCGTCTCCGAGGTCTTTGATGGTGCTTGACTTCGTACCTTTTGTGACTCATTTGCTACCACTATCGCCATCGTCAACACCATTGCTATAACCACCACCCGACTCTATATATCGATAGATTGCCACAATCACCAGCTCGGATCGCCGAACTGACGCCGCTCTATCCAACTGATGCACCCAACTTCGAAGATCACCGGCCGTGAGGCGCTGAATCCAACCATGTGGAACTTCCCGTCGTCCGCGAAGCGCGCGTCGAATATGCATGGTTCTTGACGATGGTCAGATTGAATTCTAGCCCCAAGCTGTGAGGCAAGAGCGAGGATGAGTTGTTTCCGGATGCAAGACTTGGTCCTTATTTCCATAGGAGGAACGTGCCGCGTAGCGTGGATAGACGAATAAGGCGTCAACACCAGAGGGGAATATAGCACAGACCCGTCCCGAGAACCGCACTTCTGTAGGCGTGGAGTTATATTGACCCGCGTCTTGAGGGGGCCATTCCGCTGCGTCCTCGAACGCCAACGGATCCACGATGTATTCAAGAGCCTGCCTATTGGAGCAACGTTCTCCTCTCGAAGAATCGAGGAATCTCAGACGTTGTCATTAATGACATAGGATTTCAATCAGTCTTTAGTTGACCGTCTCGAACAAGGAAATGCAACACCGGCCCACTCGGTCGCCCCACTTCCGAATACTATTCTCGTCAGTGTGCATCGTGAAGCAAGTTTGACGTCTGCCGATATTATGGCGCTTCAAATTGAAGCGTTGTGGGTACCCTGCAAATGTTTGCGCGCATAAATTCCATAGGTGAAAAACTTAACCAAACAGATGTCTCCGTGGTGTTAGTTCATCGCGTTCGGCAGTGATATCTGTTGCAACCGAAAGGTCCCTGGTTATTCTGAGTCGGGAGAAAGAGAGATAGAAATAGATTGTCCAGTACTTTTTACATGCCTTTGTGCCGGCAGTCTGTGGTTTTCTTTTCTACAAATGCTTAGATATTAGCGGAAGAACAACACCAAAATTTCCGCTTAAACCTGCGACGTACTGCGGGCTACTCCCAACTATTCATTGAACGGCTACTGTTACAGTTAGAGGCTATGCCAGAAAGGCGCGCAAGGCAAGGAGAAGGAAAACAAAAATAAAGACACGAGGTTAGCAAACTTGACTAGGAATCTGCTCGCAAGTTCCGCCATGACTCCTGCCACTTTATTACCCTACGGATCTTATAATGGCAAAAAAAAGAATCGAATCTCCGCTCCCAGAATCGAACTAGGGACCTTTCGGTTACAACAGATATTACAGCCGAACGTGATAAACCAACTACACCAAGCGGAGTGATGGCACTGAAAGGTGCCGCTGGTGATTTATGAAGTCTGATTGGTTGGCAAAATTTTCCATTATATATAAGGAATAATTGAGGGGACGCACATCTAGGTATGTAAGCTGTGCTAGCTTTTTCGACTGCTTATGTGAAGCCTACGTGGGGCTTTCGGTTGCTTTCCGAGATTCGCTTGATGGCCCACCAATTGACGGCACCGCAATTGGTCCCCACACACCTCTATGACGTCGAGCATCGGGAAATTATCATTATCTATCGGCACCGAACTTCTTCTCCCAGGTTCGTAGACGTGGGAGAGACTTAGATGCCACGAGTCTGCAGTCGATTCCCCCAGCGATGAGTTGCAATGCACTACCAGCGCAGGTGCCATTGCAGTAATATAACTTATAGCAAATCATCCCCACGATGCTTCTTGAGAAAGGCATGATCAGGCACGCGATGCACTTTCAGCCATCATGGATCAACTCATGCCTCATCATATCAACAGGACGTCTTCTGATCCACGTTGCGAGAGGTGGATGCCGGGCATTCGGGAGCATCCGAGAATCTTCTACCCTTCTAGATGGACTTCGAGACGACGAAGACAGGCCGATAAGAGGAATTTTCTCTGCGTGGTAAAGGATATTTCCGCACAAAGGGAGCTGTCGACATACAATGGCGGCGCCGATGACAGGCGTTACACGCCTTTCTTCCAGAAGACGCGGGAATGCCTCGCAGCATCGCACACCGTCTAGTTCTACCCTACCTAAGTAAGCGCCACCTCAGGAGTCTGCCAAACCCGCTACCGGACAACGAGGGAGCATATAACCCTCTACGGCCCTCCTCCGCCTTACAACCCATACGAGCTTCTTGGCCTCCCGATACCAAAAAGTTACCAGGTATCCGACCATTGCGATGGACTAAATTTTTTTGTGCAGTGCAATCATACTTCTTAAATTCGTTGTCAACTAGCTCATAAGCTTTCTGACCCTCTAACAAAAGCATCTGCAATACCAACCCTTAAGGGACGTGCTTCACTGCATCGGTGCCATATCGAGACCCGTTCGACAGCCTCTTCGTAGGGTGACGTACTTTCGGCATTCTCTACTCTCCCCAATATATTCGTCTCTATGATACTAAATAACTCTAGGCTCGAACGTGACCATTAAGTCCGACATTTCGCTTTAATTAGATGCCGCCAGGCAGGGGCTGTTAAACTACACATGCAAACTCGAAAGATCGTTCAGCAATAAAATCATCTGGACGTTGAACTATATGGAACGAAGCGGGATCGGGAGACTAGCCCAGCCAAACCAGGCCCGCTGCGGCTTCATATTTCGCGTCTTCCGCCCTTTCTCCAACTCCCAACTGCATTCAACCGTAAATGGAAAGGCTGCATTCTCATGGGAAGGAACGAACTCAACGACACCCGCAGATATGAAGAATACTGCCCGGACCTCTTTCAACACTAGACCAGCGAGATGTAAGGATACATAAACCTCCCTTTCTCCTTCCCTCTCCCGCTTGTCTTTTCTCCCCATGCAACACCTTACCCCTTACCCTTCTAGTATTAAGATCCCTTGATATCTTAGGGCAGGGCATCTAGGAAAAACGCCGCAATAACGTTCTATGCTCCTTAAAAACAACGACAACGCTTTTAGCGAGCTCTGCTTTGCAAAGAAAAAATCCCTATCATGCGTTACCTGTTCCCCTACAACTAAGCTAGCATTGATATTACTGCATTATAGATCTCTTTCCGCCTCCTAATTACTCTGATCTAATTTCCCGCCATCTGTGGAACTACGAGGGAAGCCTGTCATTCATATGCGTCTGGCTAGCTATCCGCATGGCTGATGGGGACACGGAAGCCTTTATGCTTGTCTATTTTCATCCATACATATGTTGATACCTTTGTTGGAATAGGAGTATCTGCTCCCCTTACTAGTGCTGCTATTACGGACGAAACGTCCTCTGTTTAGCAACAGCGCGATTGCGGGCGACTGCTTGCTCGGGCGTCCATAACCCCCGATATACCAAGCGGCCAGCGCTCGTCCAATTATTGCCTGTGTTCGTCCGAACGGAGGTTAAGTGGACCTCCTCTAGTTACCAGCGATGAGATTAGTACTATATTCCTCCAACTTCTCCCAGCAGCTGTGTCCTACCTCCTCTCTCGCGCGACGAGTGTCTCGAGCCAGTGAAACGTCACCAAAACCAATAGTCGTCATCGCTGGCCTCGTACACTTCGTCGTCGCTCTCATTGTCGAATTCATCTGCGAAAGTGGAATTACACGTTAGCCAATGGTTAATGCACGATAAGGAAGAAGGAAGTGGACGGCCAAGCATTCCCTTGTTCCTTTGTGTGTTGGATGCCTCCAGGATAGGCTTTCTCGTGGAAGGTAAGACATGCGGATATGTGTGCCACAACATACGTACCTTCGCTGTCGTCGCTCCACTCTCCCTCCTCGTCGCCCTCGGCTTCAAGTCCATCGCCGCCATGTACGAGGTTCATGTGGTCGTAGCATCTATCAGGCCGTGAGAAGAATTTCAGACACTGCCAGCAGACATGGGCATGACAGCCACTGCACTCCATATGGTTGCAGCCGTCAATCTTCTCAATGAGAGTGCCACATTTTGGACAATCTTTTGTTCCTGCGGACGCTTTGTAGCTGCGAACGTAGGGGTGCAAATTAGAATATGACTTCGAGGCGGAAGGAGTCAGGCGTATCGCGACAAACGTACCTATCTAGGAGGCGCTCGTTCACCTCGTCCTTTTTGACGCGCTCTTGATACTGAGCGCAGGTCCAGCCCACATGAGTAGCACTATGACAGAGAGTGCAAGTCTGGGTTAGGCAGGCAGGACACGTAAAGATTTCGTGGTAGCCGTTGCGGAGATATACCGATGCGCAGTCGGGCTTCCGGCAATTGCGATATTCGTCAGGATGAGAGCGGATGAAGTACGTCAAGGAGGCCTTGAGTAGAGAGTCGATCATCGTCCCTGGTGCGTATCTACGCAGATCGAGAATTGAAAGTGGATGCTGACAATTCTCGTGCCAACAGCGGACTGGAAAATGATGGGAGCTCAGGTCTCCGCTTGCGACGTTGAGCTGGTGATCGAAGCACTCCCTGCACGAGACGTGACCGCAGGATAATTGTATTTCAGAGGTGATATCTGAACAGACTGGGCACGCTTGGGGTGGCTTCTGGGCAGTCGGGGGAGGCAGAGGCAGGTCTAACTGATAGGTGGCTAACCAGACAGCGTCTCGAGAACAGTATAAGACTAGTTTCTTCGACACAATATCAAGACTGACGTTTGTGGCGCCGAGGAGCTTCTGCAGCTTTGCGACAGTATCGGAGGAGATGAGCTTTCTGAGCGAATTTCGGTCGAGGCTGATCGTATGTGCTTCACGAGGCAGGTTTAGCTCTGTCACCTGCGCCAGCAACGTTAGCATAGTCCAGTTGTACAGTACAAAGGCGCCTAGGTAGTCTTTCAAGCAACGATAGCGAGTCTTACTTTCTCGGCTAGTTTCATCTCCACCACGTGCGCCTGCTCGTCACCGTCCCCGGCTTCTGGATCCGGATCGTAGATTCGTAGGCGTCGCTGCGCCCTATCGCTTACGATAATGAGCCCTGTGTCGCGGCCAAGATGCTGTAGCCAGATGTCACCTTGCGGCCCCGCGAAGAAATCATGCCTTAATGTGGCAATATGGTTAGCAGAAGCTTCTATATCTTGTTGTAAGAAAGGTACGGGGTTTCAGAAATGCCGCGCCGAAGTGCTTCTAGACATTGGAGGACCTACCAGATCTCGCAGCCGGCCTTCTTCTCGACGGTTTTCGAAGCCACTTTGCCAGAAAATATTGCTTCAAGAATTCGCTTCAGATCTACAATAGTCTCTCGATTCGGACCCGAAATTCTAAGCATCGTCACATTCTGCCTGCGGTCGTCCCATGCCGTATCCACATGCTGGGTCTGTGATATGATATCGTCAACATCCAGCAGCACCACGTCGGCAAGCTCCTTAGATACCGTAAAATATGCGGTATAAAGTAAAGTTGCTTCCATTTGCGGGATCCCGCTGAAATGGCGAACAGCGGCGAGGGCATGTTCGGGCTGGTAGTAGCCGGCGACATTGCTCCAATACCCGCGACGTGAAAGGCTTCCGAATGTGCTGGCGGCTCTTTGGAAGAATCTGAGGGGTCCGAAGCCCTTCAGCGTGTCCCTCACAGCGTTCGGGTCGCGATCTACTGATGAAGGTCGCCAGTGTATAAGAACGGAATTGGCGTCTGCCTTGACGGAAAGGTGGATCGTCACGCGGACGTTCGCATTCAGAAAGTACCCAGTAAGGACGCAACCCGGGCCAAAGATTGCGTTTCCGCCTTCGAAGTGTCGTTGAATTTGCACCATTGGAAGGGCCTCGAGCGTCTTCGGGCTAACCTATCCGCAAGGAGGGCCAGCGACTGTCCGGTTGGAGGTAAATGCAGTAGTCGAAGATCCTTTTCCAGGGGACTCAGCGGCCTACTTCGCCGATGGGTATCCGTACATGAGCGGATGACGCAGCTTCAACCGTTTGCTACGTCAGGTGCTCATGTGAATGGATCGCGAAGGGCCCATTCCCCAAAGAGTGGAAGCTCCGTCGATGTCGATATGAAGAGGCAGACGGCGTACGAAGTATGCAACATGAGCAATGAGCAAAACGAACTAGCGGCAAGAAACTCCAAAGGAGCGGGGATGATGGAGGACGAGGTGTGGTTAAGCTAGTGGCCCCGCCTGCGCCTTCCGTATTTTCGACGCGCGTTCACGTGCTCTCCCACTGCGCCCCTGACTGAACAGCTAAGCTATGCACGGATGCATCCATCCTCCATCTGAGGCGCACATACAAGCACTGACAACGACAAAGCGGATATCGGCTCGGTCGGGGCTAGCCATTCGCGGACGCGACTCAATGCCAAGCGTGCGAGTCCGCTTCCGCACCCCTGCGCTGCCCGCCCCGTTGCAAAGTGCGCCCTTTCGAGAGCCTCCGCCATACGGTCGCTCAAGTCCTCGTCCTCCTCCGCACGCCCCAATGAGCCGGCCCAGATGAGTTGGAATCTGCTTGAGCGCTTCATCGAGTCGGATCACTTCAACCACGATCCTTCGCTCACTGTTGCGTACCTCTCGTGAGTCGCCAAAGCCACGGTTGCGGCCGGCCCGTCGCATGGCCACGCTCCGCCGCGCAGAGTGCCGCTGACATTCGCCCATTGCGCAGACGATATGCAGACCACGTCGGCATCCACTATGTCCTCTGCTCCAAGCTGCGCCAGTTCGCGTACGAGGAGATCGAATTCTTCCTCCCGCAGTGCGTCCGCCGCACCCGTCCGAAGGCGCGCAGCTAGCTTACGCGGAACAGACTATGCCACCTCCTCATCAGCGTGGACAATGAGTCCATGGCGCTGGAGGAATTCATAATAGACTTGTGCGAGGAGTCGGTGAACGGGGCGCTGCTGGTGGGCACGGCACGCTGGAGTGAGGATTGTGGTTGCTAACCCGTGCGTGTAGACCTTCTGGCTCTTCCAAACGTACTTGCACGACCTCGCCGCGGACCCCAGCTCGCACTCCTTCAAGACATGCCGGAGGATATACAACAAGGTCCAGCGCATTGTTTTCGGTTCCGCCGAGCCGCAGCGGCGAGAGAAGATCAAGGAGAACATCCTCCCCGTCACTGTTCTGTCCAGCTTAATCCTTGCCAGCGTAGCAGCGCCTTTTCTCCCTGCGCATGCGGGGCCGCTCGCCATTGCGCAAGCTCGTAAGCCGCGACCAGTCGAGGACATGATATCAGACAATGTGCAGACTGCGAAAATGGGCAGGAGCAACACGGTTGCGGGAGCTTCTCCAAGGCTGAGGCGGACCAGACCGTCTCAAGGACATTCAGACCCAGAGGACGGGAGGTCGTCAAAAACCCCGGCACCACGGCCGAAAGAGGCACAGGATGCGAAAGAGTTGAGACGAAAAACAGCTCGACCTGCGCATGCGGACCGGGCCCCTTCAGCACAGCACCGTCCCAGCCTCCTTTCCGTGAGAGCCGAAGCCCGGCTCAGCTCATCTTCGCTGCCAGATTTTAGAAACCCCGCAAGCTCACCGCTCCCGACTCCGCCCGCCACCGCCGGCTTAGGCCCTACACCCGATCATCATTTGCCTCGCAAGCACCATTCTCACGCCCTGAGGCCTCTGACACCAACGGCATTGTCGCGTCCACAGAGAAGGCGGCTGTTACGGTCCAATTACTTTCGCAATGAGACACAATTTCTAAGCGCGCTAGAGGACATCTCGAACCGCTTGGTAATTGTGCCGAAGCCGGCCCGTCTGAGTGCTTTGAGGGCAGAACTTGCTCTGATTGCGCAGGACTTACCAGCCGAGGTCGACATACCCGTCATCTCACCCGCGACACTAAAGAATGGGATCGCGTCCCAAAGCCAGCATCATCGCATAGTCCGCATTAATCCGGCCGAAGCTACTAGCCTCAACAGCGCAGAAAGGGTACCATACCTTTTGATGGTAGAAGTGCTGAAGGAGGATTTCAACTTTGATCCCGATTCAGAGCAAAACCAGCAGCTTCTCGAAAGGCTGTTGCTTGAAAAAGGAATCTCCAAACGACGTCTCTTTGACATAACCAACGCCGAACGCCTCACCCACGACAAAACTCCCCCCAATGGATCCGATAGTGTCTTTGAGCCTGCCAATGGCGACCTCGGCAGCACCTCCCTCATCAAAGGCCTAGACGAGGAGGATATCACGTCCGGTTTGGCCCGTGTGTCATTACCGAGCACTGCCAATGGGAAGGTTATAGCTCCAAGATCATCCAGCGGTGCCAATACCCTGTCTTCGATTGCAACTCTATCGACCCCTCGGACATCAGACATGGAGCTTAGCAGATCCAGCAGCCCAGCTCCTCGCAAGATGACCATACCCACAAGTCGTGGGACCCAAAGCGCCGACCAGCCAGACTTCTCTGCACTCGCAACTCACATGCGCACCGCGGCGCAAATGCTGGCCCAGCTCGAGGCGAGTGGTTCCAAGCGCCCAAAGTCCGAAGTTGCTGCCATCAAGGCCAAAATTATCGCAAGCATGCAGAGCTTGGAAGAGCAAAGTTTCCTTTCTGAGGATGCGGGACCTACGTTTGACACGATCATGGCTGACGCAGATCCCACCGCCATTACTGCCGAACCTGAAGAGCTCGAGGGTATGCCAGTCGTCACCAACTCAGGAGCAGGTGCCGCTCGCATGGAGAATGACCTAAAGACCGGAGGCGTGCGGAGACAGGGCGATCGTGACGATCCGAGCGCTGCGACCTTTGGTGAAGAATGGAGCGCCAAAAAAGAGCGGATACGGCGCTCATCCCCTTATGGCCACATGAAGAATTGGGATCTGGTCAGCGTCATTGTCAAGACTGGGGCAGACCTACGGCAGGAAGCGTTCGCTTGTCAGCTCATCCAAGTGTGCACGAAGATCTGGGAAGAGGCGGATGTCCCTGTATGGACGAAACGAATGCGAATCCTTGTCACCGGCGAATCATCCGGCCTCATCGAGACAATCACAAACGGCGTATCATTGCACTCCCTCAAGCGAAGTCTGACACTCGCCAGCATAGCCGCCGGCATGAATCCCCGCAAACGAATAGCGACTTTGAAAGACCACTTCGTCAAAACCTTCGGCGATCCCGACTCTGACAGCTACAAAGCGGGCGTCGACGCCTTCACGCGCTCTCTCGCAGCATATAGCATAATCTGCTACGTCCTGCAGCTCAAAGACCGCCACAATGGCAACCTCCTCATCGACAGCATGGGCCACATCATCCACATCGACTTCGGCTTCATGCTATCCAACTCGCCCGGCAGCATGGGCTTCGAAGCGGCGCCCTTCAAATTGACCCAGGACTACGTCGACGTGCTGGGCGGGCTGACCTCCCCGTCGTTCGAGGAATTCAAAGTGTTGTGTAAACGCGCGTTCCAGGCGTTGAGAAGGGAGGCGGAGCGCTTGATCATGCTCGTCGATTTAATGGGGAAGAGTAGCAAGATGCCGTGTTTTGCTGCGGGGGCGGCGGGCGTGACGAATAGTTTGCGGGCGAGGATGATGCTCCATCTGAGCAGGGAGGAGGCGGAGGTTTTTGTCGACGAGTTGATTGCGAAGAGTGTGGGCAGTTATTATACGCGGCTGTAAGTCCCTCCTCTATTCCCTCTCGCGCCCTAGTAGATTTACTGACATTGGAGCAGTTATGATACCTTCCAGTACCGCACCCAGGGCATATACTGAACTTCTCGCTTTATGCATAGAGCCGCGCCTTTTTCTTTCTTAGTTTCTAATAGGGACATCGCATGTAAGGAGAAGAGCCCTCCTTCGTTGAGTTTTTGGTTGAATGCATTTGAAGGAGCATGGGGAGTTCACCTCGGGTATTTGAGCGAATCGCATTGGGAGACATGGCTGGCGGTTGCTCACCCCGCCTTAGAGCATGAGCAGGCATAAAAATATAAGACACGTGTTGTGTGATTCGTCTTTTTAAAATGCTCCCTCTCTAGCTCGGGTGTTTCAATGCGCTGCGCAAAATGTGGCTGCACAGTCTTGGTTGGGGTACTCGAGTGAAAGAGGCTAGCAATGTTGAAGGGTGAAAGCAAGGTAGAATATTGTAGCAACTATTCTTAAACAAGTTGCGAAATGTAGCTCGGAATCACCAGGTGCAAGAGTTTTCACGAAAGTTGGGAAGAGTGAAGTGACATGGAGCACTGCTGTAGCAATTTTTAATGGATATTCAAACGGCCCCTTTTAGGAAGGTTGCTATTTTGCATCAGCTCGTCCCTAATACTTGCAGTCCGAACCGCCTACCCCCCATTATCCCGCTCACTAACCTGCTCTACCCGATTCACCACTCTATCCAACAAACTAACCAGCTCATCGCTTACAAAGCCCGGCCCGTCTTTCTGCACAAAGTGCCCACAGCCGACCGCTACAATGGGACCTATCGCATTCTCTTCATCCGTAATCTTGACAAGACCTTCATTGTACTTTTGCCAAGCCGGATTGGCGTACGTCATGGTCAGAATCTTGGGCGTATGCAAAATTCCAGTGTATGATTGCTCGGCGAAGGTCTCCCAATCGTGTCCTACGACGGTGAGGTAGGGTCCCTGGCCGCCATAGCCTTCAAGCTTTGGAGCGTCTGACTGAGGGAGGAGAGTGGCGAGGTTGCGGCGCGAGAGGCCTTCATTGTTAGGCGCGTCCGGGTGGAACATTCTTCTGTACATCTCACGCGTTTCGCGGACGTCTTTCTCGGATACGCCGGGGGGAAGCGTGTGCGGGTCGAAGCCGGGTGTATCGGGATTTGGCCACAAAGAGACGAAATCTGAATTGGCCATAATGGAGTTGAGGAAGAGGAGGCCGGAGACAGTGCCGGGGTAGGTGTGTGCGAAGAGTCGCGCAAGGGCGCAGCCGATGGAGTTGCAGACCAAGATGAGGGAAGGGAAAACGGTGGGGTTTGTGATATCGAGGTGTTCTTTCCATATCTGCAGCGTAAACTGGCGGAGCGCGTGAACAGCGCTCATACAGTCATGGCCATGGCAGGGCGGAGGCTCTTTATCGTCTGGATCTCGGTCGCTGTCGCCTTGCCCGTATCTGTCGTAGCTGAGGAGCGCTGGGTAGGGAAGCCGGTTGTTTATTCTTTTGTTGAGGAAGCTTTGAATTGACTGGTCCCAAGAGGAGCGTGGCAGCATTAGTCCATTGAGGAAGACGACGAGAGATTGCGCGAAGGGGTTGGGTCTGTGGGGTGTGGAGGCTGAGGGTGGGTAGTAGGTGTAATGGACTTTTGCGCCGGGTTTGCCTTCGAGAACGAGGGAAGAGATTTCTGGGCTGGGGAAGGGTGGCAGGTCTTCTTCTGAAGACTGGGCTGATTTGCCGGACGGCATTGAGGGGGCGTGAAGGCCGTTGTGTGCTGAGCGACCGGGCATGACCACGACTGATATCAAGCTCTTTCTCTGCCTGTTGATAATGCAGCTCAGTGGTATTCCGGGGAATACTGAAGTTTAAAGTCCAGTCGTCAATACTGTCTTATGTGGTTGTACGGTTGACGTAGATTTCCTAAAGTAGGCAAGCGCTGGTGGTGCTGCAGCGGGAAGTTCGGATGAATCCAACGTCTCCAAAAATGTTGAGAAACAGGGCACGTATAAGGACTACAAAAGGCCGGACGGCGCCCAGAACCGACGCGAGGGTATCATGCCGACTTATACGTGGGTTTGCGTTGCCCCTCTTGAGGCTTTTCGACCGCGGCTGGGCCTTGTGATCTTCAGGCATCCTTTCAGTCAGCAAATCAGCGAACTTCGTCCTCGGGTTGGGGGCTTTGATGCAGACCCGGCACCCAATGGTTGGCGCATACGAAGAGGATCGCAGAGTTGGTGATGCGCAGTGGCTCTAAGAGGCAATATTTGGTGTTTGTTGCGAAGAGTGAGGCATTACGGTGCACGTTCAGGGTCCGCCAAGGCGATGACAGCGGAGTCCACAGTGCCGTGAAGGGGACCCAGGGGAGAAACGCGGACCCACCTGCCGATGCGCAATGGCTTACCCATGAGAGGACAATGGGAACTCGCAATTCGTGACAGGCGCATCCATGGATATTCCACACGCGGCGCGCTGTCGTCGCCGGCGGGGAAAGGCCGGCGTTCCGATTAGCGGGTCCGATCAGGTACCGGTTGCAGCTGCCCGTCACCGCTATGACGTCGCTCACTGGTGGCTCCCTTCCACTTCACGATGCCGTGGACACACTGACTCACGCGCTAAAAACACAGAGGCCATTTATTAACAGGGGGAAGCGCCCCCATTGCTGCCCCAACACACCGCAGTCTTACCCCCCAACCCCCACCGCGCACCATCCGATCGAGGCATTTCTCACCACGTCGCTCGCTTCAAAGAGCAGTCCTCCGGCGCGCGCCTCCGCGAATCTCTCCACAACGCGTGATCCTAGCTTCTGGATCCCGCGCCGCCAGCTGTACAGCAGTACGTGGACCCTATCCCCCGAGCTCCTAGTTAAGGCTTATTCCCCTCCTGACGTTACCGCCCATAGCGATGGCCCACTACGTCGACAAGGCCGTCCAAACCCATATAGAGGGCCTCACTCGAGACCCCGACGCTCGTCCGGCCGCTCTCTGTCCGCCTACAGATACCACGACTCCGCCCGCCGAGACGGTCGTTCAGAAACTCCAGTTACACACTGGAGACCCACCTACAATCTCCAAGACGGACCCCTCCCCCGACGCCGACGACACCAACATGTCCCCCAGTCAGGTCTTTTCACGCAAGAACCGGCCACGGCTCGTCGCACGTATATCCCTACCAGCCTTCGAGTTCGACGCCGAAACGCCTCTCTCGCCGCCGCCGACCCATGCAGTCCTCTCTCCACTGCCCGCCGCGAACAAGCTGCATGCCGGTCACACCCCGATCATACCACGGGCCCTATCCCCCATACAGCACTACAAATCGAGCGGCCCATCCACCCCCGACCAGGAGGAGGGACTAAGCGGGCCGCTCACACTGCCTCCTCAGCCTGGCGACGGTGCCGAGGACACGATTCCGCTAAACGTCCTCAACGCGGAACTAGAAAAGCTTCGCATAGAGCAGGAGATGGAAGAGCGGCAGAAAGGGCCAACTGCAGTCGTGTCCGACCTCTCTCCGGAACTCAATAGACTGAGCACCAAGAGCTCCGAAAATGAGGGCAGCCAACGCAGCCGGAAAAGCTCAGACGACGTGGTAGTCGTCGACGGCGTCATTCTCAAGAAGCCCAAGATGAACTTGGGCGCGCCCCTGGGTCAGGCATAGAAAGCCAGAACCTACAGCTCATCTGTCGATGCACGAGCCTGTCAGAAGGAGGCATTCAGGCTCAGACGGCAGCACAAGGGGCAGGCGCGGGCGCTGAGACCTGCGACGAACAATCCCGGGGATTCAACAATTGGGGAATGTGACGCAGAGAAGGTGGAAACCCTGGATGGCGTCCACCTAAAACAGCCTCCCATTAATTTCGGTACTCCAATGGGCTCCGCCCCATCGTCCAGGCGTCCCTCAGCACAATGGCAGCAGCAGTAGTAGCAGTAGTGGCTTTGTCATAATGGTTCCCAGCATTGCATTCTTGGTTCCTGGCGTTTGTAGGTACGCCCGGAACGGAAAATCAGGGAAAAGGAAAAGGGTTGGCTGTGCTAGTTTCGGAGTGAGTGAGAAAAGAGGACGATACCCATCTTTGCATTGCCGTAGGTAGACAGATCGGGACAGCGGCGGATATCTATATTATACTGCAGCTTGAAAGAAAGCTTTGAAGTGTGGAGCGTCACATGCAATTTATTGTCCGGGTTTAAGTGCGGTTAGCATGTGACGGCCCCCAATGCCTGAGGCATACGCGGGAAGATCCGGTTGAACTCCGGTTCTCAGTCAGCCATATGCCTCGCGGATGAGAGGAGCATAGATCTGGTTTTCAAGAATTTCGCGCTTTCTCACCGATGATGAGTAACTTAGCTTACACTGCCGCGCATGTCGCATATACAGAGAAACGCCCAAGTAAGGCTGACCCGGTAGCCTCCAGGCAGCCATTCCGCGCAGAAAACATGCCGAAGCATGTATCAGAAGGCCTCCCAATGAACCCAGGAACTCCAAACCAAGCAAATAGCCGCCCAATGCTCACTTCAGTTCCAAAACGCCCAGCAGACTGCTGTTCCATCGCAGTGCCGCAATACCCATTCAAGTACCCGTAGAAGAAGACGTTCCATCCCGTAATTCTCCATGACCCCGCACACCAAACCAACCAAACCAACCCCAGCGCCGTTTCCACAAGCATTCATCTCTCATCTCCAACCCCATCCCAAGCAAAGCAAATCAAAAAAAAGAAAAGAAAAGAAAGGTGCCGATTCCCAATCCGCAGGCGGAAGAGCAGGCAGCATCAGAGGGATAGGTACGTACAGTTTGCGGAGCGCTGCTCCTCCACTTAGATTCAGCTGATCGAAAAGGTCTCAAAGACCCTCCATACTGCCCATGACCTCATCGTCGTCAACGTCGTCGACTTTGCCAACGTCCAGATCCACGTCCTCGTCTGCACGCGCGTTCCTTCCTTTGATCATCCTCTCCTTCTCCTGGCCTTGTAATCCCGCTTTCTCTGCCGCCGCCATGCGCACGCTGAGCGGTCGAGTCTGCATGTAGCTTTCTAGGTAGCTCGCGCCTAAGCTTGACGGATAGCCGAATGAGCCCGTCTGATCGACGTTGTCGACGCCGGAGCCGGAGAGCCCGCCCACGTACGTACTGAACTCCTCTTCAACGGTCTCGGCGAGCTCGGGTTCATCGGCGTAAATCGGAGCTGCGGACGCGTATTGAGGGATTTCCAGATCAGCGTTCGGCGGCGAAGGATCGAGAAACGTGCGCGTGGCGGTTTGTGGAAGCTCATACAATAGGGGCGAACGGGGTGAGCGGGGAGATACCGGTGAAGTAGGAGGTGAGTGTGAGACGGGGGATTCAGGGAGCGTGTGGCCCACATGCTTGGTAGGCGATGTGCTGGGTAGGTGCATCGGCAGCGGAAGGCTATGATGCACCGGGTCCCGATGCTCGTGAAAGGGGGTATCGTGGCGAGCTACAAGACGAGGATCCAGCATATCCTCCAGGGAGGTCGTCGAATTCGATGCGCTAGATACGGTGGTCTCGCTCGGCGACATGAGAGCTGCTTCCCTGACCTCCTCCGCTGGCAGGACGATCTGATCATCGATGACCAAGCTCACTCTCTTGCGTCTCCTCTTCTCGTCGCTTTTATGCCGCATGGAAGACTTTTTGACTGCGGGCCGTTTCGCCTTCTTTCCAGTCTCCTGTTTCTGATTGTCCTTCGGAGCGTCGCTGCTCATGACTTCCTCTACCCGCTCCATCCTTTCCTCACTGTTCTTACTCCGGGACGTGTGCGTCTCTTTTCCTTTCTCACCATCCCTTGACGACGGTGCCTGCTCTGAGTTCGGAGGCGAATTTCCGGGGCTGTCAATCTTGCCCTCCTTATGCCGCTTTTTCTTCTTCTCCTTCTCCTTTTTTGAGGGCGAGGTGTCGCCGGCGTCTAGAAGTGGCAGAAATATTGGTGTGACGAGTCCACACAGCTCCTTTTCCCGCTTGTGGACGCGTGTGTGCTTTGTGCGCTTCGCCTTGTCCTCCAGCTTCTTCGCCTCCGCTGAGGATTCAGCGGGTGAAGCTGCACGTGCGGTCGAATGTGGCGAGACAGCCGGGGTTTGTGACTGAGGCTCCGCACGCATCGAGATTTTGCCCGTGGCCTCTGGGGTCGAGGCGCGCTCCGTCCTGCGGTACTCTTCTAGGAGCTAGCCCAATTAGCTCAATCAATGGCGCGGGTGCTGACGGCGGCGGCGGTACCTCTTGCTCATACTGGCGCAGGTCGCGCTGCTTGCGCGCTATATACTCGGTAATGTCTGCCTCGAGCTTCAGTTTCTTGAGCTCGACGCTGCGGGTCAGGCTCTCCAATTGCTCGGTTGAGAAGCCTGGGACCTCGGCCAGACTCGGGTCGGCGTGCAGGAGCATCTACTGCGGATAGTTCCTGCTGCGCCGGCGAATGACGGAATCACGGGACGCGCGCGGCGAATGGCGGTCGCGGTATTGCAGTATGCGAGCTCGGTCTCGACGGGTGCAGCTATCGCGTGGGCGGCAGCAGACGTGGGCAGCTGGGCTGGTGTCAGTTGCCTTGGATATAAACAGGCACAGGCTGGCGCTGCAGCGCGGGCGGGGAGGTACCAGGAGCGCGAGGATGACGCATCCGGGACGGTATTGGTGAAGGTGCGAGGTCACCGGACTCGCCTTGCTGTGGCTGCGTACCTAGGTACTTGATATCGGCAGCTGAAAGGCGGGATCGGCACGTGGGCAGTCGGGGGCGGCGCGGGGCGGAGCAATTGCGAGGAGGAGGAGGAAGGGAGAGGAGAGAGGGGCGCGCAAAGGCCGCCGCGCACACAGGGAGCGGTCGGGAGGGGCGCTCATGCGGTCAGAATGGTGTTGTCTTTCTGGAAGCGCGTTAGACCGCATGCAGCTGCTCGGCCACAGACGGCACCAACGGCTACGCAAAGAACATGGCGGGCGGGCGCTGACTAACGGGCCGGGGCTGCTGGCGAAAACACCACCGCCGCCGTCTCACCTCTGCAATCCCATATGCCCGCCCGTCGACCACCGCCGGCCAGATGCATCTGCAGCTGCACACACGCGCGTGCGGACCCGTCGACTAGCCGTCCGCATGCGCTCACCGCAATTCCCTCCTGCCCATCTCGATCGGCTAAATCGACATGGTTCACATGCCACGGCGCGAAGCGCAACGGCCTGGGAAGCTCCCAAAAGGGCTATCCGGGCACGCGAGGATCCGCGCTCTGCAGCGATCGGCGCCCGTCGTCCGTCGACTACCAGCCCTTGGAGCGGGTGACATGTCCATCGAGTTCATTTGGCTTCATCTATCGATCCCACACGTTCCTGCCAAGTGATTCGCATGTGAGATTCTGATAATGCACCCGTCCTGCCGTGTAACACACGACCATACCTGAACCCTGCGTCCGACGCAGAGATATACTATGAGTCGCGGAGATGGGCACTTCTTAGAAACGTCCTCCGATAGTGCGCCCAACACCCACCAACTCCTTTCGACCAGCTATAGCATGGAACGCCGTATATAGCAGGCTCCCGGCCCTCCGTCCGGGGACGTCCATGCACCTCTCGACCATCACCTCATCCCCCTACTCCAACCACTTCTCATGCAGCCTCTCCAAGAACTGCACGTCAACATTGACAAAGCTCCGCCAAAAGTCCACCTCCAGCCGCCAAGGTTTCGTCTGAATCGCCCACGTCACACCTTCGCTCAGCCTTCTCACGTCCCTCTCGTCCTTGCCCATGACGAGAACCAAGTCTTTGGCAACCATGACCTGATCACCGAAAATATCCCTGTAAGGCTCGATGCGCAGCGACAGCTGCTGGTGGACTGACCACTCGCTGTACGGCATGTCCTTGGGGATGAATTTGAACTCCCAGGCGCGTCCGCGGTCGTCGAGGAACGAACACATCGGCCGTTTGTCGATTCCGAGCATCAGGGGGTAAAAGTGGGGCGCGCTCCACATGCGAAGAGCTGAGAAGCGTGCATTAGGCTGCTGATCGCGAAACCTACGAGCCTTGGTTAGAATGTAGGTGCGATCGAGCGGCGTAGGGTCCCTGAGGTGAGAGACTACTCTCGCCAAGGGGATGCTGATCCGGTAGTCGATATAGAGATCCATCGGACGATCAGGTTCGGCATTGGCCGTTGCTATGCCGGCAGCGGAGCCGCAATACGACTGAGCGATTACGCCAGCTTTGAACACTAGAGGACGCGTCAGAAGGTGGTAGGAGAGAGATCGGGCGTATAAAGTCAGCACTTACGGCGTACGATCACTGGACGGATTGCCTTGCGCCATTCCATTGGATAGATGTCATCCACCACGTCTCCACTCGCGCGCTTGTTGTCTTTGAGCAACCGATCCCAATCCGCCCAAAATTCCTTCGGCATGGTCTTGTTGCTCATGTGCGTTCGTCGATCAGGCACTTCCTTTGCTCGTTCGGCCTGGTCGAGGAGCTTTGAGTTCTTGAATAACTCTCCACGCTCTGTCCCTAGGAAAGCTTCCGTATCGAAGAACAGTGCGACGGCCGCGCATGCCTTGAAAGCATCATCCACAATACGACGTTCGTCGGTAAAGTGAGATGCCATGCGCATGAACTTGCATAGTTCGAAAGGACCCGTCTTGAGGCCCTCTTCCATGATGAAGTCGTCCATGAAGCCTACCATGACATACCATTCAATCTGTCTTTTGATAGCATTGGGTGACAGGTCCCCCATTCGCCAACAATTTTTGAAGACTGTACATGTTAGCGGCGAAGCTAGGAAAAGCAACCCTAAGTTTCGTACCCTTCGATTTCTCCCTGTCAATATGACGAAAGAAGTCCGCCTCGAGGGCGTCGTGGCTGTTGTTGTACACCTTTTGCCTCTTCATACTAAGCCGGAGCGCCGCCATCAAGTCTGCAGGATTGTCCCTGACGCTCTGGGGTATCATCTCAGCAGATGAGGGATCCCGCAGAATGGGTAGAAAGTAGTCAGGATCTCTAGTGTTAGCGATGGTCATCGTTTTGAAGCGCTTGTCAAGTGCCTCGAGAGCATCATCCATATCGGCTTCCTCCGCAGTGACGAACTCGTGGTCATCGTAAGAGGCAGAATCCATGTCTGACGAGTTTTCCGTATCCCACTCTGGGTCGCCATCATCGTAAGGAGCACCTTCGAGTGCTTGAGCGAGCGCATCATTGAGTGTCTCGTCGAGCGCCTCATCATGAGACTCTCCATCAGGCTCTTCATCTGAGAGCTCCTCGTCAGATGAAAGGTCTTCTGCGAATCGACGCATGTCCAAGGCCGGCCTCTTCTCGAACATTTCCATAATGCTTGGATTCGCCCTGAACAGATTGTCTTTCAATTCTCCACTTTCTTCCTCCGGGAAAAGTATAGCGTCTTCCAGCTCGTCCGCCTCGGTATACGCATATGACTCGTCGAAGCCTTCGTCCTGATCACCCGTATCAGGCGACCACTTCCACGCTCTTGCGGTACTGCTTAGAGTATCCCATATGCTCTCTTCTCCAGCCTTGACCGTGCGGACTCTTCCTGTCTCTTCATCTCTCGTGACTGTCTTGAGAACAGGAGCGCAGACACTAAACATATCTTTAAGCTCCTTGACACGCATCGCACGGGTAAGTGTCTGCTTGCGTTAGTCATTGGAAATTCCTCTCAGGCTAGCCTGCACCTACCTCCTCAATCTTTCGTTGTAGAATGTGGTAAGACCTGCCGGGATTTGAATCCCAGATGTACACGTCATAGTATTCTTCAAAGCTGAAGTGCCACTGTCGGATATCGTCCATCTTCTCAAAAAACTCCGGTCCCACTTCAGCAACGGTCTCGAAGTCATTCTTGAGGGCGCGTCCCCAGCCACTTTTCTCGCGCACCAACCAGAGTTCATCTTCGGGTGGCTGAATGAGCACTCGACCAGTTTTGCGATCCCGGATCAGAGCGCGGAGCTCCCAGGTTTCCATCGACAAGTACTGGATAAAGCGGCGACTTATTTCGTCGTCACGCTTGATGTGAGCACAGATGAAGTTCCTCATCTCGAAGACCTCGTGGGATCGGCGAGCCATGCCACGAGATCCTGTTTGGAAATAATGCGTAAACTTGTCTGCCTTGTCGCATGCGAAGTATGGAATGAAGCCAAGCTGCAACAATTGCTGTCGTAAGATGTCTCCAGTAAATAGCGTCCACTTCGGAGCTGGGAAGTAGTGGTAGAGACATAGGATGTTCAACTCGAAGAACTCGGTCCAGTTACGGCAGAGCTCTACCGCATCGAAGAGGCTAGAGTCTTTGGCGATAACGGAGAAATGGTACCAACCTACGAACGTGGTATTACAAATTAGCACCTGCCTTGAACTTAGAGAGAAGGGGTTAGGTCAACATCCTAAAATGTTTAGGTCTTTACCCATTGAAAGCGTCCAGGAGTGGCTTTCTCAAGTCCAACCTAAGACATGCTGGTGTGAGTCGCTACTACTTACCGGCGCGGCCCAGAGCCTTCTCGCTTGGGTAGTTATACATGTATCGCCCGCATATCTTGATCCGCATCTGTTTGCGCCTGTAGTCCTTCTCATCGGTGACTTCTCCGAAATCGACGACGCCATCGCGTTCGTCTTCTCCGAGGAGCTGTTGTGGAGTCGTGCGTTCCTTCTTCGCAGCCTTTTCGCGCTTTGTTTGATATTTCTCCGGGATGCTCTTACGACTTTTGAATTCAAGGGCGTACTTCTTGGGTATTAATTTTGTGCGCGGTTTCTCCCCTTCCTCTTCGCTGCGTTTGTCCAGCTCCTCCCCTTCTACATCCTCATTTTCTCCGCGTATGAAGTCAGCACAAGCATCCCGGACGTCTTGAAGCCTGGGCCGTTCGATCTTGAGACATAGGTCTCGAAGATGCTCCTGTGTGACGTTCTCATTGGCAAGGAAATCTTCAATGCTGTTTGCCTGGAGCGCAAAGGGAAGGAGTGATGCGTGAGAGAGCAACAATCGGCAGAATAGAAAATTCTTGACTTCGGCAACCTCCTGGAGCAACTGGTCGATCTCGTCGTCTGGGAGCGGATGCGTTTGCGACTGAACACCAATAGGCCCGTTTTCGGTATCGATGTACCAACCTTTCGGCCGCTCATACTTGACAGGTTTTTGCAGTCGTTCCCTCATTTGTGCGCGCGTCTCCATTTCGATGGTGTTAGGGCCTCTACCGTCAGCAGCTTGTTGAGAAGGGTCAGCTAGCTTCTTCATCGCCGAATTGGCCTTTTTCGCTCGCTTCTTCGCGCTCTTGGAAAGCGATTTCTCTTGGTGTTCCGTTTCGGTGGTGCCATTGCTGACAGGCAGACCGGAGTCACTGGCGTTTGCCTCTGATGTGTCTTGGTCTTTAAGCATAAGAAAGAACTTGATAAGATCAACGTAGTTGGCCCTCTCGCCGCCGAACAGATCTTGCACGGGGTCCCACTCATCCTGCTCATCCTCGGACATCTCGGAGAGTCGTTGTTCGTACACCTTTTGAAGGAATTCTCCCTCACGCAGTTGATTTTCCCTGGACTTTATCTCCCGCTGATGACGCTCGATCTCCTTCTGGTGTCGTTTGAAGAGCAGCGACTCGAGTTTGACCTTTTTGCTCTCATTCTCGCGCTGAGTCTCCTCCTCCTCCTGGCATTTCTTCACCCAATCGAGCCATTCTTTATTCTTGTACATGACTTCCGCGCCACGCTTTCCAAGCCGTTCCAGTGCTCTTGCCATGACATGCTTGTCATTTTGCAACTTCGTCAGATACTTTTCGTGGCCGTAATCGTGATCAATCGCAAAGAAATGGCTGTGATGAAGCTTTCGTGCCCTGATGACTCGTTCGAGCAGGATATACTTTCTGAAGAGATATTCATGCAGCTCTCGAAGCGTGGTTTCGTGTTCAACACCCCCGAAATCTTGCGTTACCAGCGACGTCCTGGAAGTTGCCAAAAAGGCTGGAGGCTTCTCGGATAGCTTGTCGAGCTCCGCGTTGCGTCTCTTGTATCCGCGGTATAGTCCCTGGCACTGGCGGCTGTGGAAAGCACAGAGTCGCCCATCAAGGGAAGTAGCTTCCTTGTCGCATGGCGTCTGGCCGGTCAAATCAGACAGCAGACGCGCCCGGCAAATAGCAGGCATGGCTTCGTATTCCTCTCCGGCTACAGAGAACCGAAGTACTCCGGTGTAGGTGTCTCGAGTCGAAATTTCAAGAAGAGCGGGAAAGGAAAAGCAGGCCGAAGCCCCTCAAATGTAGATTGAGACAACAGACCCCAACAAGCGTCAAAAGGACTGTCGTATACTTTGCCCCTATAATGGAAAAATGGCACAAGGGGCAATAACGTTCTCTGTGCGTTTATCAATGTCTTTCGAGGAGTATTGAGTTTGATCTTTTGCGACAGAATCCACACGGAGCGGGCAGGACCCCTCGACGACTCGCGAGCTTTGTGAGAGGATATGCAATAGAAGCAAAAGTGAGGATAACGCGAATAATAATCTCAAAAGAATCGACGCATGATGTTAGCCAAGGAAGGCGCGGTGGAACGGTGATGGAGAGATGCAGAAGTCGGAGGGGTGGGCGCCCGGCCCCTTGGTTTATGACTCGCGGATGTTAGCGCCTCATTTTCACCACGAAATCCCGTGATTGTGTAACCACCTGAGCACAGTCTATGGCCACTTAAAGTCTTATACTACTCCATGGCAGTCATGTCTCTACATAGGAGCAGAGAAGATACGACGTACTCAGCGCAGCGATTCACCTGCCAGCACTCATCTCGCGTCCACCTCCCATGCCACGTCACCGTGGTTCTGTTATACTATCTTTTCTCTCTTCTTAGTTTTGGCGTCCTCAAACCCTTTTTGCATGTAGGCATAAACTCCGCTTGCTGCCGGTTAGCATAACCTATACGAAATGGTGACTTCAAGTAAGAGAAAGTCAATATATCAATTAGTTTCCCCTCTCTCCTGAGGACCTTCCCTACAACTCTACAACCACCTTCGCTAAACTAACCCCTTTCTTCTGCATATCCAACGCGTCTTGAATACCATCTAACCCCTTACCGCCCACAACCGGATCCGGCTTCGCGTTGAGCGCTCCACTCTCCAAAGCACCTGGCACCCACTTCCCCCACGCCGCCTCGCCGACATTCCTACCTTTACTCGCGATCACGCTCGCAAAAACATGCATCCCCTCAACCCCCTCCGGCAGGCCCCGTGGTGAAAGAACGGTGGCGTAGCGCCTGCCGAGTGCCGTACCGGTCTCTTGTATCTTCCCTAGACAGTATCAGCTTTTAATTCTTAGTGAAATGAGGAGGCACATTACAGTCAATCGGATTGATAGCAATGGCGTGGTTCTTAATGATGACTTCGCTCGGTCCTGCCTTTGGCATAGGCGCCTCGTTGACCACAAGGGGCTTCGCCTTCGCTTCCATGATCCATGCTGCTTTATTCGATATGACTCCTTCCTTTTCTACCTCCAGAACTTCAGACTCGAAATGTAATCCAAAGACAATTATCCTCGAAAGAAAATGAGCTATCCTACGCTTAGAAAGTAGTTAGCTTTTAAAAAAGGGTATTTCCAAGACCTTATATTTATCATAAGCTCCAGCCCGGGGTCCCGCAAAAACAGCAAGCTAGGCATGGGGAGCAGGCCTTTCCTCGCATCTCTCGTCCGGTCCATTGACTATGTCTGGAGTAGTAACACACCGACATGTAAACGCTCGATGACATATTGGATGGAGATATCGGAGCTTAGCCATGCAGGGGACCTAAATTCACTCGGGCTCGTGTAGTGTACCAATGAAAACAGTGTGAACTCTGAACGGGCTGTGTGACCGTTAGTATGCTCGCGAGCAACCCCCCACCCAACAAATGGGGAATACTGCGCGATGGCGGGACCTGGACGTGGTACAAACGCCCCGGACCCGAGCAGCCCTGTCTGGAAGAGGAGTGTTACGCGTCGCGAGAACAAGAGCAGTTGCGCAAGGTGAGTAAATCCGAACAATTGGCGCATAGGGAGCGCGAGGTCCGACACCTGTAGAGGCGCAGACGTTCGTCGAATAAAGTCAGGGATAGAAGCCTAGATGGTGTAATGTCGAGCACTGCGAATAGAAAGCATACTGTACAATGATTCTACAAGACCCGTACCTATTCTACAAACTGCCTAAAGCTTTCGCATATTTACCGCTCGGCGAGCATATTCTTAATCGATTGCCAGTATTTCCGGTCGACCTCCTTCTGGATCTCGTCTTTCGCTAGCCATTTAAAGTCCGTGAGACCAAGCTTGTTGTCCTTCAAGTTGGCTTGGCCGGCCATGATGCGCGCTTTCATAAAGAAGGTCTTCAGGCCAAATTCATTGAGACCTGAAGCGGTCTTCGTAGGCTCGAGGTAGTCTTGCTGGTGGTGGCCAATGGGCACATTGCCGACGACCCAGGTATTCATGTTCACACCGCCGGCTAGACCGAGGATGCGGTGTGCTGCCTGTGAGATATTAGCCTCGCTGCCACTTTCAGCATATGTGGAGGATGTGAACATACGGCGTGCAGAGTCTCATTGGCCAATTTGTCCTGCGGAAACATCCAATGACCCTCCTTGTTCTTGACGAGCAGATATAGTGTTCTCTGCAGCGCCCGGTTCAAGCTCTTGACGTCGTTCTTTAAATCAGCTTCCGTGACTCTTGGCATGGGTCTCTCCACCGGCTCATGTTCGACTTTTTTGCCAGCATTTGGGGTGCTGGACCCCTCACCGCCCTCCTCGACTTGTCCTTCTATTCCGCTCTGCTCGGAATCTTTCAACAGTCGCTCGACCTGCCATTGGAGGTCGCTCTCCTTTGCGCCAACAAGGATCTCGTCATTCCACGCTTCTTCCCCGTACCCTTTATATCGTCCGATATCCCGCGCTGGTGTCAATCGCTGCCTCATCTTCCTTTTCCATTCTAGATCCGCTGGTGTCCTCTTTTTAAAGTAGAAGTATCGCGTGAATGGGAGGGCTAGTCGCTCATTAAGACGCCGCTGGTACAGGAAGAAGGCGGATTCGAAGGGGTGTAGATCGCGTGTTATTTGCGGAGGTCGAGAGAGGACGACGCCTGCGTTTACAGCATAGGAGGTTGAGGGGGATATTTGGGCAACGGGGGGCACATGCTGCGCAATCTGATCTTCGGTCTGCACGGCTGCTGCCGCTGCTGAGGCATAGTTGCGGGCGCGGGTGTCTTTACATGAGCGGCATATTGATTGACCTGTTTCTCATTAGTCAAATGCTTCAAGAAGTGCAATTGATCTACCTACCTGCTCTCGAGGCCAGCCGCCTCGTCGTCTGCTGCCCTGCGTTCATCGCTTCATCAGCGTGTCGCGTCGTTAACTGCTCGCTCCATCTCGAAAAGTTTCGGGGAGCGGAGGTGCATTCGGCTTAGCGCTGCACGTGCGCTGTCTTACTAATCATCATCAAACCTTTTCTTCAGTTCGGATTCGGGGTCTGTTCTTTCTTCCTACGGCACCATTCCTTATCCCCAGTATACTCGTATTTCCATGAGATGTTGGTCATTTACAGGTGCCTAGAGGAAATCGGACAGTCTTTTTCGCTAGCAGTGCCTTCGTATATTTACTCCAAGGTGCACGGCTAGATAGATCCTGCTCACATCTATTTAACAGCTTCAGGCCTCTTCAGGTTCTGGGATGCGTGCATACGGCAATAGAACTTCAGAGGAACAGAAGACGCTAGTTGCCAGCTTCGTATAATGCAAATGCGTAGTAAGGATGAGGAGTTTCGTGGCATGGTTTAGCAGGGGCAGGCTCAGGAGCATTGAATCAGGCAGACGGAGTCCATCACCGGCCTCAATGTGGACAAGTAATTCAAAATATCATAAGCGATTTCCATTGTCGAGAAACCGTACGCTGCATACGCAAAAAGCATAACGCGGGTGTCGGTGAAACTTAACGCCGACCAGATTTTAAGAAACGCGTCTGCGCGAAGCAGCTCCAAGGCACCACACCACACCACCTCAAGATACCCCTACTACATATCCGAAATGTCGCTCTCAATACCCAGCGCCCCGAACGCTGGGCTTTTCAAGCAAGGCTATCAGAAGTAAGGCCCCCTCACCGTTTTGCCCCGCCCGAATACCTCCGGCGTCGTATACAAAGCTAACCACCCCACAACAGCTACGACGCCGAAGATGGAGCAGTCCTCCGCAATATCGACGCATGCCGTACGATTGCACAGACCGTACAGACCTCGCTGGGCCCCTACGGCCGCAACAAAATCATCGTAAACCACCTCCAGAAAATGATACTGACGTCGGACGCTGCCACTATACTGCGTGAGCTAGAGGTGGTCCATCCCGCCGCGAAACTGGTCGTTATGGCAAGTCAGCAGCAAGAGGCGGAAATGGGCGACGCGACAAATATGGTTATTGTCCTGGCGGGCGAGCTGCTGAAAAAGGCGGAGGAGCTGCTAAGGATGGGGTTGAAGACTAGTGATATTGTTCTGGGGTACGAGAAGGCGCAGAATGCGGCGCTGGAGATTCTGGAAGGTATAACCTACTGAAGCACTTGTGCCTATGAAACGAAGCTAATAGCGAGGTTAGAGCTGGTGTGCGACAGAGTCGAGGACATCCGGTCGCAAGACGAACTTAGCAAGGCGATTCGCACCGTCGTAGCAGCCAAGCAATCCGGCAGCGAAGACTTCCTTGCCGACCTCGTCGCCGAAGCTGTTCTGGCAGTCCTCCCCAAGAACCCAGTCAACTTCAATGTGGACAACGTCCGGGTAGTCAAAATCATGGGCGGCGCCCTAGAGCAGAGCAAGGTCGTCAAGGGTATGGTGTTCGCACGTGAACCAGAAGGCATCATCAAGAAGTCAAAAAAGGCCAAGGTTGGCGTCTACTCATGCCCGATCGACATTTCCCAGACCGAGACGAAAGGAACGGTGCTACTACACAACGCAAAAGAGATGCTGGACTTCACGAAAGGAGAGGAACACCAGATTGAGGCTATCATCAAGGAGCTACACGATTCTGGTCTCCGCGTCGTCGTCGCTGGCTCAACAGTTGGAGAACTTGCCGCCCACTATCTCAACCGCTACAACATCCTCGTCATCAAGGTCCTCTCGAAATTCGAACTCCGACGTCTATGCCGCGTCGTCGGCGCAACACCACTCGCCCGTCTCGGAGCTCCTATGCCCGACGAAATGGGCAGCATCGACGTCGTTGAGACCCTCGAGATTGGCGGCGACCGGGTAACTGTCTTCAGGCAAGAAAACGAGCAGACGCGGACAGCGACCATCGTTCTACGGGGAGCTACGCAAAACCACCTCGACGATGTAGAGCGTGCGATCGATGATGGCGTGAATGTGGTTAAGGCTATAACCCGCGACCCGCGCCTCGTCCCCGGTGCCGGCGCCACGGAAATGCAACTCATCGAGCGCATCAAGTCTCTCGCGGACCGCACGCCGGGGCTATCCCAATACAGCATCCGCAAATACGGTGAAGCCTTCGAGGTAATCCCACGCACACTCGCCGAATCCGCCGGTCTGGACGCCACCGAAGTGCTTGCCCGCCTCTACGTCGCACACGCCGCCCAAAAAGGCCGCAAAGACGACGAGTGGACCACCGGCGTGGACATCGAGAATGAGGACAAGACTGGTACGCTGGATGCGAAGGAGGAGGGCATTCTGGATCTGTGGGTGAGCAAGAGCTGGGCGATTAGGCTGGCGACAGAGGCGGCGAGGACGGTGTTGAGCGTCGATCAAATTATTGTGGCAAGGCAGGCCGGAGGACCCAAGATGCCTGGGAAGGCGCAGCAGGGAAATTGGGATGCTGACGATTAGGTGTAGGCGGTACGGAGAGGGAATGTTTATAATGATATGGACCGAATACCATAGCTGGACTAGGCTTTCTAATGATAACGACTCTGGTCGAAAAGCCTGCACACGCTCGAACCACTCAAACTGAGATTTTGGAGGTCAACAATCAGTACGATCCTGAAGTCCTTGAGGCAGATACATCCCGAATCGCTCATCCCGAAACGTAGATGCCCACCCCGCAAGACATGAACTATCTTCATTATCCATACACGGTAATGCTCATTGGAGAAAGTTCCTGTGCTTGATTCACGTTGTGTTGCATTTCTTGCTATGATCTTACAGACCCGAAAGGAATATCGTCTCAGTCAGTCTGCTATGATTCCAGCGCGCCGCAATCCGTGCGCCGCTGGGTATGATATACTGCAGTGTACAAAAGAGCCCCATCGGTCTCAATTCCGTTCTGGTCCACGGAGGGTATCAATCAATCTGTCCAAACTTTTAGTCCCCCGAAAAGAAATGCAAAACGAAAGTAAAGCTGGTCCGCCGTTGAACTGCAAGCCCGGTGTCCACGTAGAAGCTGTTCTTCGCATCGCGGACCGTCGTCGATGATGAGAACGTATTCAGCCCAGCTTCTCGAGCAACTTCCTCCTCCTTCGCTCCACCAGCTCATCGTTGACCTCTTCAAGCGTCGGCACCCTCCACTTCACCCCATCCCCTGCATCCCCTGGCAACTCCACCCACTCCTTCTGCGTCTTGCCTGGTTTCTCGTCAAGATTATCCGGCAGCTCGATGAAATTATCCCACGCCTCTTTCTCCTTCGCCCTCTCATACGCCAACAAGGTCCCATCCTCTTCATCAAGATTGTATCCATAATACCCTGCGTCGACTCTCTGCCGCAGCTCACTCCGCTTCTCGCGCCCCTTCACGATCCCCTCATCGTCTTCAGGCCGCTGCTGCCGCTCGAAGAGTTCCTTGACACCGGGCAGTTCGCGTGCGCGCCCGAAGTATCTATACCCCTTCCCTCCGCCAGGAACCTCCCTCCCCTCCTCATCCACCACCCTACCTCCCCTCATATAATTCGGTCCACCCAGATTCCTAATCTGCGCCTCCCACATGTGCTTCTCCCGCATCAGCTTGTTGATCTCATCGTTCAAGTCCCTGATCTGGTAGTCGCTCAGCGCGAGATCCTGGATCTTCGTCACTTTCCGGCTGATCTCTTTGAGGACCTGGCCGCGCCACTTCTCGCACACGGGGATCGAGGAGACGGAGGTTATTAGTTTGGGGCGGCGGGTGCGCGAGATGTCGATTATGCCTGCTTCGGCGGCTTGCGCAGCGCGGAAGCGGAAGAGCATCGAGTGCGCCTTTTCGCTGTTGCGAGCCATGATTGCGGTGCTTCAGGAAGCCTCGGAATGTGTCTGGGTAGGTTGTCGATGCGCTTCGAGAGGGTAGTGGTGGATCGTGTGCGTCGTTGGCCGCGCTCGGTCGGGGATGTAGAGTTGTATAGGAAAGCCCTTGTCACACCCCAGTCCTTGGACTCCCTTCCCAACACCAAATGTCGTAAATAAACAAAGAATCGCTGCCCGCAGTCGCAGAATCGAAAGCAAGGAAACGGCTCTGAGTCGAAGGAGTGAAGCACGGAGTGCGGCGGGGGCGTTCGAGATTGATGGAGACAGTGCAGACGCGTTGGGCGACAGCGAAAGTTTGGTGTTTTGGACAAAGCTTGGAAGCTTTCCGAAGACGGCAGGCGGTGGCGGGGCAGAATCACAATTGCCAAGGCCGTGTTTTGTTTCACCCCGGCTTTTCCTCTTCGGCAGTAGCTAGCTATTCCCGATTCAGGCAGCATGTTCATGCGTTTAGGTCCATGTCATTTCAGTTCTATAACTCTGCGACTCGTGGAGTAGCGGGGCGTCACAGCGACATTAGGACGAGATTCGCAATTTATATCTTTCTTTCCATTCATGCTACCGCCAATTTGACCAACGTCCATCGGAACGGGCCCACCGTTCGTCCACACACCACCAAAAAGACATTAAGAGAATAGCTCCCCTTCTCCAAACGATACCAATGACAAGCCAAGGAGTGACAAAAAAAAGGATAGCACGCTAATCAGCTAGATGATTATGAAGGTGGTACAACGGAGGAAGGAGAAGAGAGGTAGAAAAGTCGTCATGTACGCTTCTTAGGAGAAGCAGTTGTCGTCTCAGTGTTCCAGGCCCAGCCCCATTCAATCTTGCTCACAAGATCGCCGACCCAATTCTTCACCGCGGAACGCCGGGCCCAGACCCAAAGGCTTTCGAGGCTCCAATCCAACGGTGGCCGCTTCAACCGAACCCAGGCCGAGAGACAATGCCCAAATACCGAGAGCTTTATGGAAACAGACAGAGGAGAGAAGGAATGCTTCGGGTGCATTTGCGGTTTTAAGACTAAAGAGATAGAGGGAGTGTCAGTCAGATCGGTGACTATGTGAGGTATGGCGCTGCCAAAACAAACATGAAAGTAGTGATGCTTTTAGGAGAGGTAGGTAGTAGGAGGAGGCTTAACAGGCACTCGCGTTCGCCGCTTCCAGCTCAGTCTGGTGACGGATTTGCTCGTTCCGTGACTCTGCGCGGGAATGTGATCGAGAGCTCATGGAGCCGATGAGAGAGGGCCGGGAGTTGGCGTTGAAGCTGTTATGGCGACCTTTGGCGGTATGGTGGAGATGACCGACGTCATGTTTACCTGAGATAATATTAGCATAAACGTTCCGCACCATTAAAACAATAAACATACCATCGCAACATGCCCTCACATTCACCATCTCCATTCGATCCGAGTCCCGTGCATTTGCTTCCACCATTTCCCTGCTAAGATCTGCCGCAGAGTTGCTCGGTTCCTCGTACGAAGTAATATCACTAGCCTTGCTCTTCCTGGAGGAAAAGGACCCTCGCATTGCGGACGTCGGACGGAACATGCTGCTGAAACGCGAGGCTACAGAATTTTGTCCCGGATCAGTCGAAGACGCTCGTTGTTGTGTCACTGTCGATTGCCTGAGCGTGGGGATCTGGGCGTGATGAGGAGAAGAGGCGCGGCGGCTGGCATAGGATGAGAGCGAGGCTCTTGAACGGCCCGTCTGTCGGGAGGTGCTCCTACTGTAGCCGGCGTTGAACTCGTTCTGAATTTCATCCGCAGCCTCAGACTTCTGTTCCTCTTCGCCCTCGCCTGCCCGTTTAAGCAGGTAGAGGAGTGCGTTGAACCAGGTTTCATGACGCTGGCTAGTCGTTGCTGTGAACTTGATCGTGCGACCAGGAGTTATAACAACCAGGCTCTTTCGGTGAAGCCCTGGAGGATATGGATTATCATCCGAGATCTCATGAACAGCCTCAATAGCAACGCTCTTTGCTTTCAACTGCGCTCTCCCGGCACTCGCAGGGTCCTGCTCACTCCAGTACAACGTCCGGGTGTACGGATGGACCCAGAAGAAGCGACGATGGCGGTTCTCGGACATGCCTTCACGCCCAGCCTTCCGAGTGTATTTCCAAAGAAACTCGCCAATCATTGTCTGGGTGATGGCTTGGATCATCCGCGGGTCTGTGGCGTCGGCATCCAATCCACTTTGGCTGAAAGTAGGCGCGCCTGGGATATTGAATCGATGGTCAATCTCTGAACTGAACGATGACACCGACGATCGACGAGTGATCGGAGACGTAGCACCACTTCGAGTCTGCGAGTGATATCGTGGCCGAGGTGTCGTGCCGCCAGTCTTCGGGCTCTGAGGAACATTGGCTGTCTTGGTGGTCGGCGTCTGCGGTCGCTTCTTATAAGCAGATGCTGGAATGGCTGGCGGACCCATCACGGCAGGGCCAGAGGTAGTCGGGCTCGGCAATGGGGCCGGCGATTTGAGCGAAGCTGCAGCAATGACTTCCTTATGGTCTGGAGGCAGGGGTGGTTGAGACGCTGTACGAGAGCGCATGCTTGAGGAGCTGCCGGGGCGCCGAGGTGTGCGACCAGGTTCGCCGGAAAGCCGTCTGCTAGGGGAGGCAGGCGGTGACATGCGCTTGTCTACGCCCGCTGTTGCGATAGTACCAGAGTGTCGTTGGTTTCTCGCCAAAAGTAGCCGGTCGATTTGCTCTGCGGATACCATGGTTTGAGTGCCTTCGTCTGTGGTTGGTATTCCAGGCTTTGAGGGTGATGATCGACCATCACTGAGGCCACGTTCATTCTGTACCACATTGGAAGCAATCAGTGCCAGTGGCATGCGACCTTCTCGGCTGGCAGGAGGGACTTCGTCCGCTGGGATGTCCTTCTCGGACGTAGTCTTGCTCCAGGGGAGCACAGAGCTAAAAAACCCGCGTTTTGTGGCATCAGATTGCTCGGTTTGAGTTCCGCCTATAGACAGGGCGAACGGAGCAGGGCCGACACGGTGTGCGGTCGATGGCCTTGAAGGCACTGATGGCTCTGTCTCTTGTGATGCGATAGTCGACAACGACAACGGCGGAGGCGCAACGCGGTGAGCTGTGGGCGGTCTGCTCGGACTTGGCAGGAACGAAGGGAGCGTGGGTGACTCTGGTTGCGTGTCCTGAAGGATTGTGACATCCGAGAACCTATGTTGGGGTCGAATTGCCGCAGGAGCCTCATACGGCTCGGTGTGCTGGGTAGTGATTGCTGAGACTTCCGACGGCATTTGCCTTGACGGCTCCACGGGTGAAGTGGTCTGATAGGAGAGAACAGAGAGCTGTGGTGGAAGGGGCCTTGGCAGCTGCAGCGGTTCCGTGGCCTGAGATGTGAGGGCCGAGAACTGCGAGCGCGGTGGTCTTGATGTGATGGGCTCCGTAGCTTGAGACCACACCGAAGAGTAATGTGGAACAGCCGGCTTGGGCATCTCGACTGGCTCTGTGGCCTGAGACCAAAGTGAAGAGAGCTGCGGAGCAGCCGGTCGAGGCACATCCACAGGCTCCGCGGACTGGGAGAACAGCCGTGATATGCTGAGCGGAGGAAGCTGAGGTGGCTCAGTCGGCGCCGTCGTCTGGCTATAAAGAGACGACAAAGTCAATGGAATCGCCTTTGATTCCTGCGTGGGGTGCAGGGTCTTCGACTCCGCTATAGGCTTAGCTGCTTGTGTAGACAGAGTCCGATCAAGCAAGAGCGCTGCTTCCGCTACATGGGGCTCTGTGGGCTCAGTTGTCTGGTGTGATATGGATGAGACCGCAAGTGACGGGGGTGCAACCCTCTCGATGACAGGAGACGTAGGTTCAGTAGCCTGTGTAGCGAATGAGGACATTCCTAGAGCCATAGGAGGAGAATGAGGAGTAGTCCCTTGCGCGGAAACCGCAGACATGTGCAGTGCAGGAGGGGGTGCAGATTGAGGAGCAGTGTGCTGAGCGGAGACTGCCGACATATGGAAGGCGGGGACAGGTTGCGATTGAGGTACCGTACCCTGTGCTGACAAGTTTGACATCTGAAGCGAAGGCAGGGGCAGGGACTGCGGTACGGTATCTTGCGATGAGAGCGAAGAAATATGAAGAGCTGGTGGAGGGGGTGATTGAGGTGCCGTGCCCTGCGTGGCGAGTGTAGACAGTTGCAGAGACGGCAACGGTGCCTTCTCAATGACGGGGGATATTGGTTGACTGTCTTGAGCCGAGATCGAAGACATCACCATCGGCGGAATCTCAACAACAACTGGAGCTGGCTCCCAAGGCTCTGTCATCATACTTGAATCCACCATCGCTGGTCTAGGGAGTACCACCGACTGAAGGGGTGATCTTCCGAGAGCAGGCTTCCTAAGAGCTTCGGGAGAGGACTCCGGCGACAGTATAGTAGACCGGCTCGGTGTCCCATCTGCAACACTTCCATCTTCGCTCTCCCCTGCACTCAAAGCGCCCAACTCCGCAAACAAGCTCTTGCCTTGAGCTGGAGTACTGTTATTGCTGTTGCTAACGAAGCTGGCAGGAGAGTCGTTCGCAACTGGAGGAGTATCTGCATAGGCCTCCTGGCTGGCTCGCGGAGTGGACCTCCGGTAGGCGCCTGATCGGACCTTGAGTCTGTAGCGAGGGTGTTGAGTTTGCACAGGTGTCTTGATGTCCATATTGTCGTCCCATTCATCCCCGGATGTAGATGCAGTACTCTCATATGAGTCACGGTGGCTGGTCGCTAGGGAGGACGGCCTTTGACGAACTGTTCCGGTGGATGGTCCGGCTTCAGTTTCGGTAAGTTCATCACTGCTGTCGCCATCCAGCGTCTCGGCTCCAGTCTGGAAAGCGTCGGTCTCCGTCGTAGTCCCGTCGCGCTCATTAGCGGTTTCGAAAGCAGCATCGGAGGTTTCGTTGGCGGTCTCGAAACCCTCATTGGCACTCGTTTCTGCGGCCGAGCTAAATCCGCTGGGGAACGCTCCAGGAACTACGTCTACTTGTCGAGGTCGCCGGCTCGGCGTGTTAGGGGCTCCTTCCTGCTCCTCCCACTCCTCATCGTCCACGATGACCTCTTGAGTTCCGGCTCTCAGAGCACCAAGTCGATCTGGACGCGCAGGTTTCTTGAATACGTCTTTGTCATTCTTTCTCCGCTTGCCGGCACTTCCAGGACCATTAAGGGCGCTGCGGTTCGATTCCAGCTCGTCACGGGCATCTTGCAGCATTCGCTTCAGCTCAATCTTCTCCGTCTTTTCACGGTGGATGTTGTTCTTGAGCTGCTGAATCATGCGGTGGGCATGATGAAGCGAATGCTTGAGCGTCTCAGACTCCAGCTGGCCGTGTCGCGGAGTAGCTTTGCTAGGAGACGGCGGCGGTGAATGCTCAGGTGTGATGGTGTCGTCCTGATCGGCGCCTTCATCTGGCGAAGTATCCTCGGCAGACGCGTGGTCTTCGCCCCGCATGCGATACGCAACAGCTCGTGCAAGCTCTTGGTTTTGCGTAGCTAACTCGTCCACCTTTCGCTGCAGAGCACCCCTCTCGGACTCTCCCATGCTGACATTGCGCCGCAGGCCGGACAGTTCTGTCTCGTGCTGTTTTGTGTGGGTGACGTGGTCCTCGCTGAGCTTGGAGTACAACTGCTTCAGCTCTTCAAATTCCCGTTCCAGTGCGGCCTTTTCGGATTTGACGAGATTGAGATTGTTGTTCATGCGATGCTCCTTGTCCGCGGCTGCCCTGGACTGTGCTTCGAAATCGCGCACCTGGGTTTCTAGGTTCCAGTTGACATCCTTGAGCCTGGATTCGCTCTCATCTATAGTCCGCAAGCGCTGAGAGAGACCCTCCACCTCAATTTCGAGTTGTGACCTGTCCAGGTTCGCGGCTTTGAGTGCTTCATCCTTCTCCGAAAGGACAGCCTGCAGGTCCTTCAGCTGTGCAAGCAGAGAGGTGGATATCTCGGTGGCAAGAGCAATGTCGTTTATCCGGCTGGGCTGCTGGTTTCGCTGTTTCCGGGACGGAACGCTGACTTTGGAGGGGGAGTGATGGGCTTCGCTGGAATACACTGAAGCACCAGCTGTTGAATCGGCCGCCTCACCGCTTGGCACCCTGGACTTTGGGAGAAATGCGCGAGCCGTCTCCCTTCCGACCTCGTTGAATTCCTTCTCGAGCTCAGCCAGCCTCTGGCGCAGCTCCGGTCCGATGTCGGTATCCTCCTCTTGTTTCTCGACCTCCTTCAGCTTCTCCTCCAGTTCCTTGCGCTGCTGGACAAGTGAATTGCCCAGGTGTGACGTCTCTTGCAGCCTGCGTGTTGTCTCGGCGAGATGGGCCTGGAGCGCCCGCTTTGCTTGCGCCGGAGATCCATTTAGGTACAGAGAGAACTGCGACTTGTCGAAGGCGGAGTATCGCTGCCGCTGTGGGTCGTGCGAGCTCGTCACGAAGGGATCCGAGCCATTGTGGTCCTCCACGGCAAAAGCGCCGGGTGGCGGGTTCGCTGTTGTTGCCATTAGTGCTCCCGACGGTTGAGCGCTTATCCTCCCATCGCCCGGTGGTTTGTTGACGGCTCGGTGCGAATATTGCAGCTCGTATGTGGCGTCCGAGGTAGAAGCGCGATCGCGTGAGACGCGGGAAAACTGCTATCAGAAGGCGATTACCGTAGGAACCGTTGGAACGAAAGGAAGGGCAGGCGAAGGTCGGGCACCGGCGGATATTAGACACGAGAGCGATTGAATGTTTCACGCCCGTCGGGAGGCGGCCGGAATGCTCGCGAAGGGTGAGGGAAGGGCAGGACAGGCTTGGCCGCGGGCGACGCGCAGGCAAGAGCGGGCGCCGACACCACGGTTGCTGGAGGAGCTCTCGAACGCGTTCCCGTCACACAAAGAGGGCCGGATTAATGCGCATCCCCCAGGCGCTTAAACACAGGCAAGGAGAGAGAGAAGGGCCGGCAGACGAAGCAGAGACAGAGCAGCGGGAGCGAGCGTGGAACGGGTGTTGTTTTGCATAATCGACGAGATGAGCGTCTGTGCGCGATTTCCAAGGTTGACCTCTTCGCCCAAGCCATGCGCGGAGTCATCAATTGGCTGCCAGCGACTCCCATGCGCGCCTACCGATGGACTACGTAGATGGCTCAGAGGCGCTCCGGACACGCCATTCAGCGGCCGGTCTAGGTGGTAAGGAGGGGTGTTTACGTCGACCATTGGGCGCGACGCGCTGCCAAACAACATCGATACCCCCACAACGCGGCGTGTTGATAAAGCCCGGAAAAGGGGCACAGAGACAGTCAAGGCGTCGAACTGACTGGGTGTCTTATTTGAGGTAGCGGCATATCGGGTTGCAATTTGGGAACCCGAACTACCTACTGCCCCGGCATGGCTCCCGTCTGTCAAAGTTGATCGCCGTTGACAAATGCGGGAGTGACAGATCGCCGAACGCCACATGCACGTGACTTGCCTCTCCGATTTCTCAGCCACATGTAGATCGTGGCTCGAACTTTCGACGCTTCAACGTCCACTTATACCCCGCCCTCCCACATCTCGTCACAGCACCATGGCCGATACAGAAGCACCCGTCGTCAAGTTCAAGAAGCGCGGCGCCAAAGCAGCGCCCCGGAAAGTGGCACCGCCGCCACCGCGATCAGATTCCGACTCCTCATCCGGGTCAGAAGCAGAAGGCGACGACGGACGGGTGGTGAAGCGGCGGAAGATCGCTGGCAATGCGCTCAAGGCATCCACAGCAGATCAGCAGAAATCCTCTGGATTCGAAGGCGCAACAAAGTACGAAGCCGACCGGTCCGCCGTAATAGAAGCCAGCACGGACGCCACGAAGCAGTCGAACTGGTACGACGAGAATGCAGATAACGCCTTGAGCGCGAAGAACCTGCTCGGCAGCACACGGTCGAAACCTCAGTCATTCGTTGAGAAAGATGCCAGCGCGCCGGAGCGCAAGGTCGGCCCACAGAAGGCTTCCTCGAATGTTCGAACGATTACAATAACGGACTATACACCAGATGTTTGCAAGGACTACAAGCAGACAGGTTTCTGCGGTTTCGGCGACGGCTGCAAATTTCTGCACGCTCGTGAAGACTATGCCGCAGGCTGGAAGCTCGACCGGGAATGGGAAATGTCCGGCAAAGGCAAGAAGCCAGGTGGTACTATTGTCGCATCCGCAAACCGCGACGCCAACCAGAAGGACGAAGATGGCATCGATCTAGCTATGCTGGAGAAGATACCTTTCGCTTGCATCATCTGCAAGCAGCCTTACAAGAGCCCCATTATCACGAAGTGCGGTCACTACTTCTGCGAAGCCTGTGCGTTGAAGCGGTATCGCAAGGATCCTACGTGCGCAGCGTGTAGTGCGAAGACATATGGGGTTTTCAACGGGGCGAAGAATCTGCAGAAGCTGCTGGATAAAAAGCAGAAGATTGAGGATAAGCGGAAGGCGGAAGAGGAAGCTGCGAAAGCAGAGGAAGAGGAAGGCGGGGATTGAACGGGTCTCTCCAGGAGTGTGCATATGAAGCTAGAACGAAAAATACCACCTAACACAGCAGGACGATCCGATATGTGTCTATGTGTTGCGCCCGAGTGGGCAGTGCTGAACGCTTCCAGCGCTCTACTCCCGGTCTGGCCAGACGAAGACCAGGGCGTCACATTGCATGTGTCAGAGGCAAACAGAGACAACTATCTATGATATATAATCCCTCAATGATAGAGGGCATGCAGCAGATCACTGCTCGCAAATCGTAACGCAAGATCCCATACAATTTTTGCTTGGGATGGCCATACCATTGCTTCTCGTAAACTAGTGACTGACGCATCGGGCATGCGGTGGCCAATTCCATAGAGCGAAGCGACGAGGAGCTGATAAGGAGTCGACCCGACATATAAGCAAGCCAACACGACCAAGAAATAAGTGCAGCAAGGAAAAGAGAAGGGTGGAAGGGATTGCCGTGGATCCTTAACATTCAAGTAATTGTACATAAAGAGCATAGAAAAGGCGTTATATGTATAGAGAGCAAAACTTGTATGTCTCCCCACCCGACTCATGCCGTATTGACTTTGAAAATGCCATAAAAAAAGACTCGAGTGAAGCAAATGCAAGTATACAGATCCGAAAACGCCAACATGACTATGCAAGTGTAAACCGCCAAATGCTACAAGAATGACCTCAAGAGGCCCTGAAGTCAAGAAGTGAAATGAGCCTGGCTGGGCTTCCCTAAATACAAGCAGTAAAGACATGACCCTAGATCCTGATCTACCAAGTGACCTTCACGCCGTCGGCCAACTTCCTGCCATTGCGGTACTGTGTCCAGGCGACGTTCATGCGGCCGCCCTGGCAGGGCGTGAACTCTTGCGAGCAGTCGGTGTAGTCCATCTGTTAACTCATTAGCATTACCATCCCCTATACTACACCGCATGAAGAGGAGAAGACTTACGAAGTTCTTAACATTGGCTGGACCCTTGCCACACTGATCCGGCGCAGGGCAAGAACCCAAATCACCCGGGGTAGCCAGGTGCGCATAAGAAGGCTCGGATTGGGGAGCAGTGTCGTCGCAATAATCACCATCGCCATCGCAGCCACCCTGGAACGTGTGCAGCAGACCGAACCAGTGGCCGACCTCGTGCGCCAAGGTACCGCTGGTGGCTGACCTGCCGACTTCCAGCGGGACAAAGCAGCCATCGAAGTCGAGCAGATTTTGCTGAACAGGATCGCCAGAGCCGTCGGGCAGCGAGCAAACACCACCACCGGCGCCCTCGACTAGATAGACATTAAGGGTCTGGTAATCACCGCGGTGCAGCTGGTGCATTTTATTCTCCTTATCGGTATCGATGTCCGACGCCCACTCGGCATTGATGACGTACGTCGTGAGCTTGAGGTCGAAGTGATAGCCCCACACTTCGTAATGGTTGTTCAGAAAGTCGAGCTGGCCCTGGATCGACGGCCCCCAGTCGTCAGTTGGTGCTTGCGAGACGAGCACGTGGATGTAGAGCTCGACATGGGTGAGGTCTCGCGTGCGGAGAGAGTTGAGGGCACGGCGAGAGGCTGATGGAGAGATGTTCAGGGGGTCGTGGTCGAAGTCTTCGTTAAGACATTGGTCTGCTGCAAAAGCAGTGAGGGGGGCTAAGGCAGCGAGAGCGAGGGTGAAGAGCTTCATGGCGAAGGACTAGACGGAAAAAGAAATGGGTATCTTGCAGCACAACAAAGCGACTGTGATTGAAAACTGGATTGCTGATGAGAGTACCATGATGAATCGACATTCTACGATATATATATTCTTTCGAGCCCAAGGGTGTAATACACAGCCCGTCGACGGAGATGAGCTGGATAGAGCGCTTGGTGTTTAGCGCAGGCATGGTGGAGATCGGCGGTGCTATTGCCCCAGCAGTAAAGGATTAGAAACAATCCTTCGAGTAGGCGGAGCCGCTCCAGTGAGGTGATAGGAAGGCAGGTCCATGTAAGCGTTTCCTAGGCTGAACGCCTGATGGCGGACATGGTGGTGGAAGGATCAAGTTTACTGGTAACTTCCCGCTCCCGCATCATGTAGTTGTGATCGGCGACTAGAAATGACATCCGGGGTACGGAGAGCTCATCGATGTGGACCGGCGAGCAGACATCGAAGAGGGTTTTGGGCCATTCGTCCAATCGAAATAAGGAATGAAAGCCATCCTGGACCCCATCTTTGAAATCTGCGGCGATGCTCTGCCCCCGCGCTAAAAGAGACTAAAGGAATGACGGCGGAAACAAAAACAATGGAAACAAAACCGGCCCACTGCCAGCGCATCGGTGGGCGGAAGGATTTCCAGGCGACGAAACAAGTCTATGCCTGACCATCCTTAAATGTAAGCTTCAATTGGCCTCCGCCAGAACATGCTTTGCGGACGGAGTCGGAGGAAACACGCGCCGGAGTGGCAGTGTTCAGCCTTGAGACACAAGTGTAATTAGCGGACCGGGCTCGGGAGCCTCTTCGAGAAGGAGGTGATTGAGAGCGAAATTTTAATTCTCGTGATGTCAAACGATGGGAGCGGGCTGGGCAATGCCGCCTAAGGTGTACAGTCGCGTGGAAGTGGTGCTGTTGTTGTGAGACAGTCATCAATCGCAGGGCTGATGTAGGCTCGTGGCTGTGCCAAGCGGTGTTCGAGGCTGGTGTCGAGGCGAAAGTCCGTGTTCTGTAAATAGATTAGTGCATCGGAGCGGCGATACCATTTGGCCGCCTCCATAATTTTTCTTGCTCCCATTTCTCTCCAACGCTTCTCCCAGTTCAACAATCGTAGCTATTAGGATTTGTGCGCATCCCCTGCCTGCAGTCCTTAGCTGACCTGTAAGTACGCAATCTCCTCTGGTACTCCCATGTTTCCTTCCCACTCCTATGATGAAAACCTTTCCACATTCGCAGTTTCCACGCTATGGCGGCTGCTGCCGGAACCCATAAAGGCACACCGTCGATGAGCGCAAGCAAACCTTCCTTGGATGTCTGACTTTTTCTTCTATTTCTCGTTCTCTTGTGCCCGCTGTCGGCCGCACCAGATGGCTGACCGCATGAATAGGCCCATTAGCCGGAACTGACCAGCTCTTTCTGGTACGCTGGCTGTTGCGCATTCTGAGCTACAGCACGCTGCCAGCACCAAGCCGAGAGAACTGCTCAGGCTGGCAATTGTGAGAGTGTATAGTGAAGGCCGTTCGATTCCTCTGACCGGCGCCTAGAGTCGGGTGGATATCCCACCGCAGCTGGCGGAATACCGTTCCTTCGAAGCAGAGGACTACCAACTTTCCCATCGAAAGTTGCGGGCTGCGGAAGGGGCCGAATAAGCAGTGCCATCCAAGAGGCTGAGTATTGGACCTGAGCGTGGAGCCTGTCCACTTAGTCGGCTTTCGTAGGCGAAGCTGCTGAGGCCAGCAACCCAATAGACTACTTTGGAACAAGCGCTCCTGCCCTGAAAGCGCGGACGCGATGAAGGAGGACGGATAGTATCCGAAAACGAGCGCGCGTGGTCCCGAAGTCGGTGGTCCGCTCGTAGCGCTACTGTGCCGGCTGCAGTTCTTCGGGTCGGCAGTTGAGGGAGGAGGATGCGCGAAGACGCTTTATGATAGTTGGCGGACTGCTGTGCCGCACGGAGAATGAGACTGCGATTGCACCCTTGTGACAGTCTTCGCACGAGGGGACGAGCGCATTCAAAGCCCAAAAATCCAGATCCCTTGGCCAATGCTGTGTTGATTCAGTGTTCAGTGACGCCACAGGCTAAGTAATTCTCCGCAGCGTGCAACTGCACCCCAAAAAGCACGCCACCATCAGCCTCAAGCTTAGCAAAGCTTAGTTTTGACGTACCAGATCACGGATCTTACTGGCCACCTTGCCTGCTTTCTGCGAAGAACCTGTGAACCATCAGAAGGGCCGATCGTAAAAATAGGCGCATAGCGGTGCCAATGGGCTTTTGGAGATGCTGAAACGCCACCCGCTGGCGGCAGGGGTCAACGCATGAGGACGCTGCCGCAGTCGTCACCCTGCGGGTCACCGAGCCAAGTTGACAATCTTCATCTCCAACCGCCAGCCCCTCGAATTCTCGTCACGACTGCGTCGCTGCCTTTGCTTTCGACGACAACATCGCGCAGCGCTTCGAGACACCTTGGCTAGCACATACAGACGTCGCAATCCCCGCGCTTACCTCGCGCCCCATTAAGCGCATTCCGACCGCAACACCTCCGCTCTTGCGCGACCGAATGCCCCCAGCACCCTCAACGAAGCATGGCCTCACGAATATTTCCTAGGGCGGACCCTGGCGACTCCAATTTCCTCGTAGGATCATTCACAAAGGTCGTCCGAGAGCTCGGGAAACGAAATGTGACCTGCGCGGCCGACAAGCTAGAACACGAAACGAGTGAGTAAGAATTGAACGCTGGCTGAGAGCACACACTGACCGCCGCGCAGTCATCGAGAAGCCCATATGGAAACAGCTCACCTTCCATCATTTTGGCCTGATACTCTCTGCAACCTTCGGCGCGCTCGCTGTAGCCATCGCGTTTTTCCTGATTTTGCGCCATGCCACGCATTACTTGAAGCCTTATGAGCAGAAGCAGTGTGTACACCACGTCTACATAGAAGATGAAAGCTAATTGAAGCAGTGTTATCCGTATTCTCGTCATGATACCCATCTACGCCGTTGTCTCATTTCTGAGCTACCTATACTACAAGAAGGCCATATACTTCGAGGTCCTCCGCGATTGCTACGAAGCATTCGCCATCGCCAGCTTCTTTACCCTCATGTGCCATTACATTGCACCGAATCTGCACGAGCAGAAGGAATACTTCAGAAACGTACAACCAAAGAATTGGGTTTGGCCCTTGAATTGGATGCAGAAGTGCACCGGAGGACAGGACAAAGGCTGGCTCAGGAAACCACAGAGCGGACTCACATGGTTCAACGTATGTCTTGTGCTAACGCGCTTGTATCGTCTTGCTAATGTTCTCAGGTCGTATGGGTCAGCATCTTCCAGTACTGCTTCATCCGCCCATTCTTCACCATCGTTGCAGTTGTCGCGCAAACGCAAGGTCGATACTGCCAGAGCTCCAAGGATCCGCGTTTCGCCTACATATGGGTTGCTGGCTTCGAAGCCGTCTCCGTCACCATTGCTATGTACTGCCTGATTCAGTTCTACGTCCAGCTGAAGGACGACCTCGCCCGGCACCGGCCGTTTCTCAAAGTCCTTTGCATCAAGCTCGTTATCTTCTTCTGCTTTTGGCAGAGCTGGATCATCTCACTTCTAACTGCCGATGGCGGCCCTCTGAAATCGAGCGACAAGATCTCTGGACCTGACCTCCGAATTGGAATTCCCTCCATGTTGACTTGCGTAGAGATGGCTATTTTTGCAGTCCTTCACCTCTTCGCCTTCCCCTGGAAACCCTACGACCTCGGAAGACGCCACGAACAGCTCCCACAAGGCACGGACAGCTTCTCAGCTGACACTCCCAAAGCATACGCCCACGGCCCCGCACGCGCCCTTCTCTCCGCTCTCAACCCCTGGGACATCATCAAAGCCTGCGGCCGCGGCTTCCGCTGGCTGTTCGTCGGCGCGCGCCATCGCAAGAATGACCCCTCTTACCAAACAAAACTCGAGCCCATGTCGAACGGCGACGATACCAGCTACCACGGTCCTACCTTCGCCGGCAACAACGAACCAGCCATTAACACCAGCTCCAACAAGCTGGGTGGCAGACAGGGACAGGCAGGCAAAGAAGGGTCCGACGACTCAGACACCGCTGCCCTGCTCTCTCACGCACAGACTAACCCGTATGTGCGTCTCCAGGAGCCTCCCAACCCTGGCGCGTACCATGGCCGCAATGCGTATGACAGACCCTACAATCCCGACAGCCTTCCGGCGGCGCCAGTGCCGGGACAGGAATACGGCATAGTGGGTTCCGCGACGCCGCAGGATGGCAGGAGGAGGATTAGCTTCGAGACGCAGGAGACAACGTATCATGGGGCAACACCGCAGAGGAATGAGCCGCAACGAACATATGATGGGGATTTGGGTCGGCCGATTACCGAGTGGGATATGTTCGCTGGCGTGACGAAACCGGGTGTGAGACCACCTGGGAGTGGACCGCCCCCGGGTATGATTTGAGGAAGGCGTTTGGGATCCTGATCAGCTTGTTGGATTCAACATTGCATTGCGGGCGTTGTAGTCGTTTGACACGGCGGCTCTCTGCTGGTTTTGAAGTGGCTAACGAGGCTTTCCTTTTCCTAAGGCAGCTATGTCTGCCTCTTATACTTCCTTTGGATACCCATTCCCGATTCTGAGGCTGAGCTTTCTGGGAGTTCGACTTCGCTCTACTACGCTAGGCTATATGTAGGAGTTACGCGTGTATGACTAGCAACTGAATCACCGTTTACCACTTTCAAGTGCTAAGTGAGCAAACGTGCCAATTGTCCCAAAGCATCGACAATCCCGAAAGTCTAAGTGCGGAGAGGTGTTATTTTATCGGGATGAGCTTTGGTACGATGGTGGAAATTCATGCTTTTTATTGAAAGGAACTGCATATCTACATCGAGTAGATTAGCGGGTCAAGCTCTAACCCTACTGCACCTGATTGGTGCATGAAAGTATCCAACCCAGCCAAAGAACCTTCTGATCCGTTCCAAACGCCGTCCTGAATGCGGATTCCGCCCCTTCTTCAATTGGAGTTCTCCATAGGGAATTAATTCCCACTCCTCCATCCTCCACCACCACCTCGTCCTCCCCACCCACCCCTGCCTCTATACCCTCCCCGACCGCCTCGTCCGCCACTAAACTCCTCCGTCCACGGCCCAAAGTCGCCCCCAACTTCCACAACCCTATCCTCCTCGTCGAACCCGAACCTAACCTTCTGATCCAGCCTACTTCCCTGCATACCGCGTCCCTTCCTCCTCTCCTCGGGCGTCCAATCCCTGCTAGTCTCCAGATTCAATTCCTTGAGGCGGTCGTCGGCGCGGCTGTCGGAGACAGGGAGGTAGTACAATTTCGGCTTGGTTGCTGTGCTGAGAAACAGCTCGTCGAGGGTTTTGAAGGACTTTTCGATGTCCTGGCGCGTTTCTTTGGAGGTTGTGGGCGTAGGAAGGGATTGGGTTGGAGGGGCATTATATTGGGGTGTGGATGTGGTGGTAAGGCGGGGGCCTTTGGGCGGGTTGAAGGGGATTGCTGATGCGCCGACTTCTTGGAAGACTGCTTCGATACCGCCATTTTCGTCTTCGGGATACACGACTTCGAATTTCTTTGCTGGGATTGGGCGACCGGCCGCGCGGGATTCTTTTTCGTCGCGTATCGCGTCCTCTTCTTGCTTGATCCAGTCTTCGACCCTGTCCTCTGGGATGAAGTCTACCCAGAGCTCCTTACGGTTGCCTTCAGGTGGCCAGATACTCCCGTGAAAGCTTGCGCGCACACGGCTCGCAGCCGTCGTATTTGCGAGGAGGACGAGCGCATGGGTCTTCATGGCGTCGAGGAAGAGGGCTTTTACGAGCGTGGGGTCGGGAGAGCCGGATGGTGGGGAGGCGAGCGAGACGAGGTGTGTGCGGAGGGGTTCCGGGCGGAGCGGGCGCATGAAGTTGCGAATGTAGAGGGCTGGAGTCGCGGGGTGGAGGGCGGGGACTATGGGACGGTCGTCTATGATGGCTTCGGTGGGAGTCGTGGCTGCGGCTGGCTGGAAGAGTTCTCTGTACCGCGGCGCCTTTTCTTTCTTTTCATGTACCGGGCGTTTCTCTGGTTCTTGTGGAGCTGGAGACTTGGTATCCGTTGGAGCTGCTTCTTTTCCAGGTGCCGCTTCAGCTTCTTGCTCCTTTACTTCGCCCATGCTCGCGCCATTTGCGCCCTCTGCCTTAGTAACCTCGGCCTTCTCCTGTTCTGCTTCATCCTCAGGCCGTCGTTGTTCCATAACCACATCCTCATCCTCCTTCAAATGCACCTCTGGTGCCTCCACACTCGGCCTAGCCTTCTTTGCCCTAATATCTTGGCTCGGTAGATCTGGCGTCAAGCTCCTCCTCTTCCTTTTCCTCGTCTCAGCCGCCAATTCCTCCGAGTTGAACCGCGAGGGATCCGCCGTCGTCGTAGCCGAGCGCTCTTCGGGAATAGGGAGTAGGTCTGGCTTTTCGATGGACTGCTTTTCGTCCGGGCTCGGCGACGGCGTGCGGTCAGGCATTGTTGCGTCTCCTGTTGCGGGTTCGAGGTCGGCGCGCGTGGGTTCGGCGGCGGGCTCGGGGGTCGGCTCAGACACCTGAGGCACGGGCTGCTCATCTGGCGCTGGAGCTGCGGGTGCGACCTCTTCTGTTGGCTGCGGCACGCTGGCTTCTACAGGCGTTTCTGCCTTGTCCGTAGATCGTTCCGCCATTGTTGCGTCTGGCGCAAGTGCTGTGGGTGGAGGAGCATCGTCCGATTGCTCTGGCGCAGGTGTAGGTTCCGCTGCTGGCAATTTCGACGTCACCGGCTCTGTATTCACGTCAGCCTCCGATCCTTCATTCACTCCAGTTCCAACGGCAGACCCGCCTTCACCTGGCTTTTCCTGCTGCTGTACCTCCTCTTCATCGCGAGGCTGCGCTCCATCCTTCACCACTTGGCTCTCCGCCGCCGGCGCATTCTCCGCCCTATTATCCCACTGCTCAAGCTTCTCAATAATCTGCGCCTTCCTTGTAAGCCCTGTACTCGGGATTGCTCTATCCTTGAGCAGGTGCCGCAAATTCGCGACAGTCTGTTTGTTGTAATCCGTCATCTCGACTGCCAGCCGCTCCTAAAAATATCGTCAATGCGTCGCGTAGCGTATATATCGGAAACAATGGGGTAATCGAGCATGCAAGTAATAGAGAGGGCGAGGTGGGAGCCGGCTCGCGTGAGTTGTAGTGGATGCACCTCGACGTTGCGCTCAAAGAAACTTGGGGCAGCGCGTTCTTGGTACGCTAGCGACTTGGCGTGCATAGGGTCGACGCATGCGCCACGGGTCGTGCCACATGATCTGCAACGGCTTTGCACGTGCATTTTGATGCCGACGAGTTTCGCTGGCCTAACAGATCGTCAATCAGAGGGTTATTCCATTTTATATACCTAGTAGTAGGAACCAATGCTCGTGTGCCAACGTTCAGGTGATGCTCGCATGCTCCCATACGTCAAAGCAGAGAGAAATCCCACGCCATGCAATGCAACGTTTACAAATGGCACGCATTGCCGACCCATACAAAACAAAGCGCACAATCATACAGTCAACGGGGTATCTACCCACCCATCCACAACAATCATGTCTGCTCCTCCTTGGGACTCTTCGTGCTCGTCTCCCTCTCCCGCTTAACCGCATGCTTCAGCGCGGCCAGCTTCTCCTCCGTCACGCGAATCGCCTCGTCGACCTGCAAGTCCCTCATGCTGTCCGCTACCAGCTTAGACTGGATTTCGTACCCCTGTTGTAAGCGCCCCGCAGCAACGGAGCTGTGCACGCGATCTAGCGCAACGCGTTCCTCTAGCCACTTCCACAATTCCGCTTCCTCCGTACGCCAGATTTCTTCGTACGCAACTTGGCGTTGAGCGGTTGGCATTTGGCCATGCAATCCAACTCCCGCTGCCGGGGAACGAAAGAACCAGGAATACATCAGAAGGATAGCAAGGAACAAGATGATGGTTTGCGTGGTGATGAGCATATCCAGGATATCCGCCAGGGGACCGAGAAGGCCGCGAATGGGTTCCAAGACGCCCCAGTTCTTCTGCTGTGCTTGAGCTGCCGGCGTCGGTTCTGTGACTGGGGTGGGAACGTTGCCCTCCGCCAGCGCGGCCTTGGAACGCTTCTTGGGCTTGCCTCCTTTGCCGAGTGCTTTGGGAACACCCTTAGCGCTCACTGCGGCTCGGAGTGCTGAACTAAGGGCTGTTGCGTAGGTCATTTGGCCATCGTTTGCACCCTTTTCGATCGGACCTGCAGGAGTATTAGTGTCGTGCAAAGGGTATCTTAGAACTGTAAACTCACCCTTCAGCCAACTCTTCCCGCTCCATTCGACCGTGAACGTCATGATCAGCCGGGTACTATTGTTCGGGCCCCACATCAGACAGTATCGCGTTTTTGTGAGGAAGATGCTTCCACTAGGTACGTCTGGGGTCTGGGTGCTTTGTTGGACGGTGACGGCCCGGTCCAAGTCAAACTGCTCCAGTGTCGCGGAAATGTTGCACTTCGTCTGCCTAGGTCCAATGCTGCCGGGCAGGGGCTTGATGTAAGAGTAACTGAAAGTCTTGCGACCTTCACCCATTCCCTTCCCGTCATCCTCCATTTGCAGGTCGGTCGACTTTTGGTCTTCGACCAGCCACTTCCGCATGAAGACGCCAGAAGCAGGACCAAACATCATGCTATATATCTTGCCGAGAGGTGCGGGAATCGTCGTGTCAATGAGGAGTTTGTCATAATGTTGATCGCTGTCGCCGCATTCCGTAGGCGTATGAGTTGCTGAGCCCGGGAAGTCCGGGGATGTTGCTCCATTAACAGCTGCCTCGGCAACGTCGCTCAGCTTCATAGTTCCACCGCTAACCGCTTGTGCAATGCTGGCACTGGCTTTCCGAGTCTCACCTTGCACTGAATCGAGCTCGCTGCCGGCAATGCTGCCTTCACCCGCTTCTGTGAAGCTGCCCAGGCCCTCCTCTTCTTCGGCGTCCTCATCGTACACCTCGTCGTCGGAATCCTGGACCGAGCCTTCTTCACTACCGACGGACTCAGCCTTCTCGGTCTTGTCACCGGTTCCAGAGCCGTCGAGCGCAACGCCATTGAGCGAGGACTTGAGGTTAGGATGAGAGATCTTCCAGATGCCGATTATGAGGTCGTACGTCGAATCGCGGCTTAGGAAAGACGCAAAAACATTCCGCGCGTGAAGGGTCTGAATCACAATGGCGTTGGGGAACACCACGGCCGTAGACTTCTTCTCCACCGAGACCACTTCGTCAAAGCTGATGACAAGGTTCGTGACCCAACCCAAAATATTGCTGGAGAAGCACAAATGGCCCTCGGAGACATAGAGACGCCCATGGAGCAAGATCTCCTTCTGCAGCGCTGCACTGTAATCTTCGATAAGGTAATCGTCCTCGGGCACGCTCTTGAAGAGGTTGTGGAAATCCCGGTTCCGCTTCGACGATGCAACCGCAAATCCAGTCCCATTAAGACGGGAACTGCTCATTGCAGCCTGGGGCACCAAAGTAGATGTGCTCGCGCCTATTGCGGCTGCTATTGTGTTGCCAGTAGTGGCGGAGCTGCCCCGATGCCGTCTCTTTCTACCACCGCTTATGCGACTTCGAATGCTACCCTGTCGCTGGATAGATGCCGCTGCAGGAGAATCCGTTATATCGGGCTGTCGAGGCGGTGATACTGCACCACCGGATGCGGTAGTGAGTGACCGGGGACGGTCATTGTTAGCGGCTGTGGGTTTCTCTGCCGCGTAAGCTGCGGATACAGCTTGCGCGGCGGCCATATCCTCAGCTTTCGCCGAAGCCTCGTCAGAGTTCGTCGGGAGATTAATCGCGGAAGACATTGGGCTGACTCCCTCGCTGTCAGTTATTCCAAGCTGGGCCAAGCTCAAGTTTCCAGATCCAAGGGTTTCGACAGCAGGTCTCCGCTTCTCTGTCCCAGAGCTATCAGTGGATTCTGCGTTATCCGGCCCTATGACTTCTTCGCCACCGACCTCACCGGTCTTTTTGTCTTCAGTCTTCGGTTGTTGGTTGGCAGCCTTGTTTTTGTTTGTGGTAGCGCTGTTAGCAATAGTAGTGCTTAGACTGTTGGCAGCGTTCTGCGCCGCAGAAAATACAGAGGAGAAAAATCCGCTAGGTGACTGAGGAGGCCCTGCCGTTCCGCCAGGAGTCTTTACCTCCTCAAGTGTTGGCGTCAATGGCGCCGATATAGAATTGGAGAGTTTGCTGGGGGGATTTGTCGCTGAGCGCACGCGTCGGTGCGATATCATATTCCCCGAAGGAGACACGACGACATTTGGGTTGGACTGCGAAGCGCTGTGTTTTGTGCTAGCTTTGGAGCTCGAGGCGGATCCAGCGGGAGAGGCAGGGCGTGCATCTGTTGGCGTGGGAGGGGTCACAAATGTCGTAGGAGCCTCTGCCGCATTGGGCGGAGTCGCAGGTGTCTGCGTGATGATTCGCTTGGGAGCAGCTGCCGGCAGCGAAGGCGTTGATTGGGTCTCCTTGCTGTCGTGAATCGAAGGCGGAGAGGCCTGCAGCGGCAGAGAGTCGTCCAAGACTTTGGATGCTCGTCTCTTTGCTCCAAAGAGCGCTCCCAGCCCGGCCCCGCTGGTGCTCGGCCGTGCGTCGTCTGCTGTATCGCCTCCGGTCTTGGGCGAAGTCGACCGTCGGGTGGGGGCGAATGCTTCCTTTAGCTTTCCCACTGGCGAAGTGCCCCTCTTGTTGTTTGCCGGGACGTCGATGGTTTTGGCGTGTCGCGGCGTAGGCACTTCGTCGGCGGATATCGCGGAGTCTACGAGGGTCGCATCTGAGGGCGCAAGCGAATCGACAGTCTCGGAGGTGATTAGGGGCGACGACAATGTGAGGTAGCCGGCGTGCGAGTGATGCGGTGAAATGCCCGGCCGCACTGGCGAGCTACGACGATGTTAGCGATGACGCGCAAGCCGAGGGCCCGGGCCGCGGAACAAAGAAATAGGCGGAAAGGATGTCTGGGTATCACAAATGACGAAAAGGAGCAATGTGCGAGCGAGTGGACGCAATATAGGTCTGCATGCAGTGATGTCTGGTGGGGACGTTGGCGGCCCAGAACGAGTGGAGGTGGATCTCAGACGTCCAAGCTCTTACCGCCAATGCCAACACGTTGCTCACTGCTTCCAGCGAAACACGCGTGTCGCAGCTCAGAGATCGCAAGGCCGGACGTGGAAGGAAGAAGGCCAAAACTTACGATTCTGCGTCTGAGTCTTCGGTGAGCAGGCTGCTGGCCACGCTCTTGTGCAGCGCGAGTGACTCCTCGCTCTGGAACGGCGCGTCACCGGTCTGCGGCCTGACTGGCAGCGGAGGGACCTCTTCGTTGGTGTCTACTTGCGAGAGGTCGTCTTGGGCAGAAGACCTCCGTCGTCTCCGCCGTCCCTTGAACAATTTCGACATCCGCCGCCGGTGCGAGCCCTCGCCGTGGCCGTCCTCGGACCCGCGGCTCTTCAGCTTGTCCAGCGCGCCGTCGCCGGACATGCGCAGATCGCTCGATCCATCGCCTGGATTGTCGCTGCTTGCGATTGACGTCGTCGACGAGCCAATTCCACCCTTGGATGGCGCTCTGTTGATAGGCGCGGCGAGCGAGTTGTCTCTGCTCGCGGGGTCCAGCGAGGAGGTCGTGCTCCGCGCCCTTTCGACCGCCGCCATTGTGGTATTAGAATTATTCGCAGTCGGTGCGCGCCGCTGTTCGGTCGGCGTTGTCGCGAGCAGGATGAATCACGCTGGCATGGCGGGTTTGCGAGCGTCTGGCGTGGGCGGTCTGCGGGAATCACGTCGGTGCTAGGTGGTGAAGGGCTTCGAGATAGCTGTGGTCGAGGAGCGCACTGCGCCAGGAGACATAGTGGAGGGAGAGCGCGCTGAGCGGAAGAAAAGGGCTGGTTCAGGCCGCCTCGGGAATCCAGCGAGGGCTCCAGCTGCAGCTGAAGGAGTGAAACGCAGCCCTGCCGTGCCCGCCACCAAACTGGAGGGTTGGTTGCCGTGTGATCGGCGCAGATGCGACAGGGGGCCGGGTCACAAGCGAGCTCACCGTCATTTATGTCCAAGCAGGCGTGGCAGGCATTCATCGCCAACTCCAACCTTGGAACTTTCCCATGCTACAGCCACCGCTCACGACATGACTGTGCCGCGCAGAGCACCGCAATATGGAGTCCGCACAACTCACCAAAGCCCACGAGCACGTCCGTAATGCCGCCACAGCCACGTATGGCAACAGCATCGCGACCGCGGGCCAGGAGCACGAGCTCGCTGCCACGGCCTTCCACGAGGCCGCCCAAGATACCCATAATGCTGAGGTATGCTCTGCCATAAACCTGCGCGCTATGCATTTGACAGGTGTAACAGGCCCTTCGTATCCTCAGCCTCCTCGAAGACCACCACCACAAGCTCGCTGGTCTCATCAAAGAAGCCCCGCGGACGAGGGAGAAGAAGAGCGATGCAAGCCAGGCTCCAGAGTCGGCTACCGCTTCACCGCCGCCGAAAGGCTCAGCGGACAGGACTTCCTCGCCTTCCACTTCCTCTCCAACCCGCGCGCCGTCTCGCCGCCGGCTCCCGCAGTCCTCCATCGCCAGCAACCTCGCCGAGAAGCGCGGCATCCCCGGCCCACGCAGAGGCACGCCCAGCGCCACTCCAGTGTCGGTTACAAACGCCCTGGCAACTCGCAATGAGCGCCCGTCCACCCCGGTCCGAGACATGCTGGAGCGCCAGTCGCGAAAGGCGGACACGAGTAAGCAAAGAGACACTCCGCAACCCCCAAAGCAGGAAGAGCGGGGAACAAAAGCTAGTCCTCCAGTGTCCTCTCCAACGGAAGATAATTTCAGGCGCTTCTACTCCGCATTCGGCGGCGTCATATCAGCCATCAGCGCGCCACTAGCCTTCACCTCTCTCCCTCTGAATCCCACACCCCCAGCTCCAGCTCCCGATCCTCCCTTACGGGAGAACAAGACCTCAAAGTCAAAGTCGATGAGCAGAAACCAGTCGCCGGAAGCAGCTCGCACTGTCAAGTCCTCTGAGCCGGATCTCGCGTCTCTAATCAGCAAACCCGCCCTCCGCGCCCTCCGCGAGGACAGCAATGCTCGCCTCGGTCCTGTGAACGAGTCCTTCTACCTCGTACCTACCTCTGGCGGCACCGTCTCCTACGCCAACATCCTCCAAAATCCCAATGCGCCCCACCACCCGCACCACGCAGCCCAGGATCCACGTCTCGACTCCATCGACGAAGGCGATAATGAGTCCGGCTCGGGGCTCAAGTCCTCCTCTCACGAAGAATTCGTCGACGCGCGGGAGTCTGTGGGCCCACCGTCTCCCACCACCCCTCGCCGTCCCCGCTCTCGTGGAACGACAACCGGCGGCGTCACAACAGCGCGGACGATTGCCGCAGGCCGCGGCACAGGCCTCAAGACAATGGAGGAACTCGCCCTAGAAAACGAGACCCTGAAGCAGCTCGTGGACAAACAGGCCAAGCGCCTCTCCATGTGGGAAACCACTTCACAATCCTCCTACAAAGCCCTCGCGCAGTCTTTCCGCGCCCGCAAGTTTCCCTCCGACCCCGCCGCCCTCGCACAAGCCCTCTCTTTCGGCTCAAACGCCGTGCCCGCTCTCCCCTCCCCGACAACACCGCCCCTCCCTCCGATTCCCCCACAGTTCCAACAATCCCCACCAGCTGGCCCATCCACACACCCTACACAACCAGATCCCGAAATCACAAAGCGAATCGCAGAACTCGAAGCCCAGCTCGCCGACCAAACAGCCAAGCTCAGCGAGCTCAAGAGCAACAACGAGCAGCTGACACGCCAGAACGAGAAGAACAGCCAGGTTCTGGGACGCTATAGAGAGCAGTGGGAGAAATTGAAGGCGGGGGCGAGACGGAAAGAGCAGGAGAGGAGGGACAGGAAACTCGCCGATCTGAAAACAGGGGAGGCTGCCAGAGAGAGCGAGAGCGGCGATGGTGATCCAAATGGTGAGGTCGACGAGGTGCTAGAGACGGAGGAGGCGGGCTTTGGGAAGGCGTAGGGGTAGATTTCGACACTGGAGGGAGTTATAAGGGACGCCAACATATGATAGATTTGATACCCTTTTTGGCACGGATATAGCGGTACGGCACCATACATATGCTTTACTGGCGCGGGCTTAGTTCAATGCGCAGATGGCGGAAGAGGACGGTCTCTGGGCATCATGTGCAGCTTCACTAGATGGCAACGCCTCACACGAAGTAACATATCATGTGAGAAATCACTGTTATTTCGATTATGGAAAGCTCGTCCGTGAAAGCGACAAAAGCGATCCGCCTCCTACCAATTTGCCGTCAAGCAAAAATTGTTACTAAAGCCGCAATATCAGAATAAAATGAACTCCTAAAACTACCGAATTCCCATCGCTACCATGCAAATTAGCTTTATCACCCCAGTATTTCCAACTGGGCTTACGCCGCAGCAGCAATCGGCTGAGGAGGTGGCGTGCCCTGTGTATCCATCACAACGGCCGGCTCAATCTTGCCAGCAACAGGCGGACCCTCATAGTCCGGCTGCGCAGGGTGCACACCAACACGCTCCTTGCTGAGAAGATCCACAAGAAGCGGGCTCGGCTTGTTGTTCCTGTCAGAGAACATAGCCTGATGGTCCTTATACTTCTTGACGCTCTCGATGTACTTGTCAAACAGATAAGCGGAGTCGAGAGGACCGCCCTTGGCTTCGGGATGGAACTGAGCGCTGAAAATGGGGCGGGAGTTGTGGATGAGACCCTCGTTGGACTGGTCGTTCAGGTTAGTGAAGTACTCCCTCCATTCGGTGGTGAGAGACGTAGGGTCGACGGCGTATCCGTGGTTCTGCGAGGTGATATGGCATTTGCCGGTAGTGAGGTCCAGAGCGGGGATGTTGTGAGCACGGTTTCCGTACTTCAGCTTCAGGGTCTTGGCGCCGGCAGCAAGAGCAATGAGCTGGTGGCCCATGCAGATGCCCATAATGGGGATCTGAGAGCTCTCAAACAGCTTGCGCAGGTTGTAGACGGTCGAAGTGCAGTGCGTCGGGTCACCAGGTCCGTTGGAGATGAACACGCCATCGAAATGATGGGCAACCTTGTGGATGGGGTAGTCGAAGGGGAAGGCAGTGACGCTAGCGCCTCGGGAGACGAGGCTTCGCAGGATGTTCTCCTTCACACCGCAGTCGATGAGAGCGATGTGCATGTCGCCCAGAGCGGAGCTCACGTGGAATGGAGCCTTGGTGCTGACCCTGCGGACAAGGTTGATCGCCTCGGGGTCGACATAGGCCTCGTCCTCGTCGGCATCATACTCCTCTCCAATGGTGAGACGAGCCAGAGAAGAACCTTGCTCACGGAGGTATGTCACAACCTCACGAGTGTCCACGCCAGAAATGGCAGGAACGCCCTCGCGAGCACACCACTGGGCAAGACTCTCCACGGCAGTCCAGTGACTATACCTCATAGCATAGTCCTGGACGACGATGCCAGACGCTTGGATATGCGGAGATTCGAAGTGTCGGAGCAGTCCATGCTCGTCTCGGGCCATGGAAGGTACACCATAGTTGCCGATCAAGGGTTGGGTGAACACGAGGATCTGGCCACGGTAGGACGGGTCGGTCATGGACTCGGGGTATCCGACGAGGGAGGTTGTGAAGACGGCCTCTCCAGAGATGTTAGCTTTGGCGCCAAAGGACTTTCCGGAAAAGATTGGTCCATTCTAAAGTAGCGGTGAGTGACGTGTATTTGACGGTTGACTTGCAAGATACGCACCTTGATGGTGAATGTAGCCCTCTCGGTAGAGATTGGAGTTGCTCGTCGATGGGGAGTTGGTGTTTGACGAGGGGTGTTGGTTTGGACGGTGGCCATGAAGCGAGCACATGCTCGGTTCTTTGTCACCTGTCCCAGGACATTGGCGGACCGGACCGCGGTAGGCTTGAGGTATTGCGACAGCATGTTGAGTGGAGATTTACGTGAGATGTCGAGTCGTTACAACTGGGTGTTGGGCCGGCAATTCAGTTTACTGAAGCCTTCCACAGGTGGTCTGGCAGCCATGTTAGTTTGACGCTTGGGAGCGGCGTTTGTCCAGCGGCGGCATACCTGAGATGTAGTCCTGTCGCAATCAGTTAGCCATTGCTCATGAGGAAGAAAGGAGGCATAATGGGAGACGGGCTGCACGTCATGACGATGCAGGGGTGGCGTGCCGGGCAGGGCGCGGTGGGATTGACGGTGTGCGTCGGATTCGAGATAAGGAACGAAGCGAGTGTAATTCAGTCACGTACCTGGGAAGTGAAGATGGAAACAGCACGCATAAGCGCGGCGGGAGACCAGAGCCAGGCGAGAATAGACAGAGGCGGGCACGGAGAACCCTTTGAAGCGTTTGAAGCCGGGTGACGACGAAGCTGGGGAGGCGTGGATTTTGTTGTTGGAGAGCGATGAGAGCAACCCCGCCGGAGAGCAGATAAAGTGCTTAGAGCGCTAGCCCGAAAGGGGCTAGGCGCGCTGGGACGCGAATGACGCAGCGACAAAATTTTGCAGTCACAGAAGCCGCCGTATCTTTTCGCGGCCCGGTGATTGGGCAATTCACGCTCAACTGCATCGGGCCGGCGCGAGGCATCGAGACGCATCGATCGCTCGAATTTTGCGAATTTTCTGATCTTCTGATCCCCACACTATGATGTCTTTGGGCGGCGACGCCATGCTGGGGCCCACGCCCACCCCAGAACTGCCAGAATACAGGTGTACTATTCATTTTCAGATAAGGGCAACTCAGTGGTTAGCTTGCAGCACTGCGGTATGAGTATGGAATGACGTCCGCTAAACACGCCGGAGATCCCGCATGTGAAGCCGTTAGCAGTTGTTGATAGGACCGCAGGCTCAGAGTACAGTACATATTTACATGAAGTACTTACTCAACCGACTTCTCCGATGTCGGCGTTCGCACTTCATTATACAAGGTGCTCAATATGTACAAGAAGCGCTTCTCAGCAACATCTCCGATCGATTTTGTCGCCTCCGACATTACTGTCTAGACAGTGATCTTCCCCGTCAACCTAATGTCCCTCGAACTCGCGCCCACGCTCACGGTAAAGTCGCCGCTCGGCACGACCCACTGTCCGTTTTGCCAGACGCTCAAATCCCTCCTCCTCAACGGGAACGTCGCGGTACCGCTAGCGCCGGCGTCTAACTTGAGCTTGTTGAAGCCCCTGAGCTGCTGCGGCGGCGTCTGCGCACTCGACGGATAACCGACATACAGCTGGGGCACCTCAGCGCCGGCAACTCCGCCGCTGTTCGTGATCTTGGCAGTCACGGTAGCAACGGTCTCCCAGAGGTCGGCAGGACCGCCAACACCCCTGGTACCGCTTGCAGGGCCAGACGTGGGCTTGCCAGTGATAGCGATGTCGCTGTAGGTGAAGTTGGTGTAGGACAGACCGAAGCCGAACTCGAAGCGAGGCTCAATCTTCTGCTGATCGAACCTGCGGTAATCGATGAACAGATCCCATGTAGAGTCATCACCAGAGGCGATATTGGTGCCGTAGTCTTGCTGCGTCTTCGCAATAGTGTATGGCAGCTTTCCGCTTGGGGAGGTCGACCCATAGAGGATGTCCACGAGGCCATTGCCAGACTCTTGACCTGTTCTTCATTAGCCCTGGCGAGGGAGACGGTGTGAGTACGTTGAGCTTACCCGGCAAACCGGCCCAGACTACAGCAACAACATTCGGGTTATCAATCCATGACTCCATGATGACTGGTCCGACGCTATGCACGACAACGATGGTCTTCTTGTTGACCTGAGCAACAGCTTGCACAAGCGCGTCTCCATTGTGCCATAGGTTGAGGTTCTTTCGGTCGCCAGCATTGCTCTCTACCGTAATGTAGCCCTCACCGGAGTCAGAGTTCACGCAAACAATCGCATAGTCCGCGTTCTGAGCAGCCGAAGCACCCTGCTGGGCGTTGTCGTTGGTCGAGGTGGTGACGCTGGTGCCGTCCTTTTGAGCCTGGGTCTTGATAGCGTCGAGGGGGGCGACAAGGTACGGGAATTCCGCCGTTCCGCTTCCCCAGCCCATCGCCAGAGTTCCGTCGTTGCAGCCGCGGTCGGCACTTCTGTGCGTCAGATGCGTTCGATATGGAGAAGAGACGGCCATACCATGCATTCGCGCCCTTAGGAGCCACAATGGCATCACTGCCAATAACCGCGATGCTCTTCGGCTTGCTCAAGGGAAGAGCGTTCGCAGTGTTCTTCAGCAAAACTATGCCATCACGAGCCATAGAGCGCACATTCGTCTTGTGGTTTCCGCCGACATTTTGGGAGCCGATCTTCCAGGAGTTGAAGGTAGCTGTCGGATATCCCTTGTCCTGACCGACAAGGTACCATGCTGCAAGCACGCGCTTCACCATGTCATCGACACGAGACTGCTGAACCTGCCCGCTTTGGACTGCGGATTGAAGTGCTTGATCTGTTAGATTCATTGTTCTATAATGTGGGTCAGTGTGGTGCTGGATTTACCTGCGCCCCAGAGGACATTCTTCTTGTTGAAGTCGCTGCCGACGGGATTAGAAAAGGGAATGTAAGATGCAGAGAACGAGGCTTACCTTCCGGGCATGGTCATATCCATGCCAGCATTGGCACTGCCCGTCGTGGTGTGCTGAGCTTTTACATAGTTAGAGTTGTTTGGGTTGATGCTGTTGTGTTTAATCCATACCATTCCAATCGGACATCATGTATCCGCGGAAGCCAAGCTCTTCCTTCAGCAGTTTGTTGATGATTCCGCCGTTTTCGCAAGCGTATGTTCCATTGATCTTGTTATAGCTGGACGTTATCAGTACCTCACTGGACGGCGTGCCTCGCTCCGTACTCACCTGCACATAACGCTCGCCACATTGGCCTTAACAGCATCTGCGAACGGCCAAAGGTACAGCTCATGCATCACTCGATCTGGAACATTACTGCCCATTGTCTCGCGATTCAGCTCCTGCTCATTGCCAATGTAGTGCTTGGCGCAAGCTTGCACGCCCGCTTCTTGCATTCCTTCAATAGTCTCTTGCATTGCGATACCGGTTAGGTAAGGGTCTGGCCCGAAACCTTCCCAATTCCGGCCACCTGTGGGGATCTTGCCCAGAGGACCGGCAACAGGACCGAGCTGGACGTGAATCCCGAGTTGCTTGGCTTCCTGTCCCAGAAAGCTGCCGCGTTCACGGATCAGGTCGACGTCCCAGGTCGACGCAGCGTGAATACCAGCGGAGAAGGCGGTCGCGCCCATGACATAGCGGATACCGAGTGGACCATCTTCGTTTGATCAGTACGAGGAGGGTTCCACACTGAATATACACCTACCCTGCAGACACAGAGAGGGGTAGCCGATCGAGCCAACAGCTTTCGTGTTACCAACGCAATTGCCGGCTTGCCATCCTGTTCCTGAGACGATACCGACTTTGTCGCCGATGGACAGCTTTGCGAGGGCAGTCGTCGCCTTCGAGTACGCATCATCCCAGCTGATTACTGCTCGCTTTGAAGACGAGTGGTCGGATGGAAGGGCTAGCAGTTGTCAGTGTTCGATGCGACACCGCGAAGCGCGGCTCAACGTACTGGAAGCTCGAGACAGAGCGACCGAAGCCAGCACAGGGACAATGTATCCGCGCATCCTAACCAATTGCTCTGGCCAGCTTTCTCTTCGCACAACTTAGTCGCAGACAGAACTTCAATCCCACAGGACATCAATGCCGTTAAGTACCACGCTGGTCGCATATGTACGGAACCACGCGCGCCGACCATAATGTGCGGAGTAATTATTCCCTTGGCCAGTGCCTTGGATCCGTCAAGGCAAGCCTCGGCGGGTAGACTTCCCAAGATTTCCATCGTTAGACTGTGTGTTGTGTATATTAGTTTCTGATCAGGCATATTGAGGCGAAGGTTGACCTCGTATGGATTTAAGATATGGCGGGCCGGTTCTCCAGGATGTTCATTCCGAATCACTCGGTCGGCAGGGGTGTCAGCGGATAAGATCGCCAATTAAGAACCTCACCGGCGGAAGCATCAACAAGGACCAGATATTCTTGAAAGTAGGCGGAGACCATTTTGATGACGAGTTCACAACTGTGGGATCGCAATATATAAGTGCCGTTCCCCGGGCTTGGAGCCTCAAATCCTGAGTTTGCGCGAATTGAAATTGTTCGATTCGGGTATAGTTGCAAGTAGACCGTCATAGGCTCCGCACCTAAAATGCAGGGCGTCAGTCACGCTAACGTGATCAAGTGCCCGTTACTTAGTGCACCTTCCCTACAAATACTGATACTTCCTTCACCGAGGACACTCATTAAAGAGAGCCGCTCCCAGGGTATACTTGTAGCCGGACTACATACAAGTCCAGCTCTGTCCTCTGAAAACTTTTCGAAAACATGATAGAACAGCGCCTCTTGTATACTATTGTCTAGTAGGTCGTAAGGTCTGTACTCGGCGTCAGTGTCGGCGCTGGTCTGGGCAGTGTCTTGGAAAACCCACCTGGCAATATTCATACTTTCGTACTATGGCCCATCCAATCATCATCGCTATCATGCATCGCGCTCACGCAAGACGCATGAAGAAGCCAGCGTGATCGAATTCGGGCTGTGGAGGTAGTTGGTTCAGGGTCCATTTGCGAAAGCCGCTCCTTAAGATGTCCAGAGTGCACCCCGCTCAAGCGTAATCCGCATATACGCAGTCGTCGTCGACTTTCAAGCAATGCGCACAAGACGGCCTCTCCTCTGTACACTTGCGCTTTCTTGAACGGCAGTTCAGGCATCCATTCTTAGAACGCTTTTTGGCCCCGGGCATCTCATACTGGCACGTCCATAGCCCTCGGCGACACTGGTTACACGTCGGCTTCGCTTCGTTGCATTTGATGCCTTTCTCCCGGCACCGCAAGCATTTGCCCTTGATTGGTTGCGCCGGCGGAGGCGTCGGCTCTCTTAGAGGAGCTTTCTTGCGTGACTTCGAAGGCGATTGAGGCTGCTTCGCTTTCTTGCCCTTCTTTGCTGAGGAGCTCCGACTGGCTTCGGGAGACGTGCCGCTCTTCTTGCGCTTCTTTTTCGTCGGAGTTTTCAAGGCTTCAGGGGATGTCGACATGGCTAGATCTGGATCGTTGAATTCAGAGTCGACTTCCACCTGGTCTTTCTTGCTCCGTTTCCTTTTTCGCTGTTCTGTGCTATTTGATGCGCCATTGGTGGACCCTTGAAGTACAGTGTCGTTACCTGTAGCTAGTGCGGGTAGCTCACTGAGAACGATTAGTACAGGAGCAAAGTACGACTTCGGCCAGGCCGCAGAGACTCGGCTGCGTGGGTGGGCAATTCAGGAACCAAAAAAATCGGCTTTGGGTAGTGATGGGAGGGAGTGGTGGACTTACCTATCGCCATTTGACGGGCGGCTCTCGACGTCTCTGTGGATCGGGTTGTGCTTGTATATGACGTTCATAGCATCTCGCTTCGTCGAAAACTTGATATGTACGGCGCCACCGCAATCGTACGTTGGCAGGTCTGGCTTAACCTTTCTCTTGCGTCGACTCTCCCCCTCCACCTTCTCACCCTCCTTTTCTTTCTTGACATTGCTCTTGCGAACCCTATTTTGGAGACTATCCGTGCATACATACTTGAACCGACTGCCATCGGCACCGTCCTTACCCAAAGCTTGATGCTCCGCGTACTTGAAGCCATCTATTTGTTGAATAGCCCCAATAAAACACCTGCAAAGCGTTCAGTATCGGGATCAACAACGACGCCTCTCACGTGACTGTACCGAGCAATTGCCCTTTGCAACTTGAGCCTCTCCTTGCTTTCGAAGCTGCGGCACAAGGCGTGTTCGACGGTAATGCTTTGCGGATAGTCTGCAGGCTGGAAAAGAGCTTCTAAATTTGGCTGCTGTGTCACAGGGACCGTAATGGACGATGCAGCTGCAAACACGAATTCGGTGACAATCTCCGTTGGGATCAGACTTGCTGCACTCTTCTGCAATTCGTTTCGCAGCGCACCATCCAGAGACTAGATGAGGAATACCTTAGCCAAAGGCGCTTCAATGCGGGAGGAGCTATTACCTCCAGGGACGGGCAGCGGTAGTAAACATCGGGGTTAAGGCCACGATGGTAGCGCAGGTCTAGCTCGTCTTCCAATCCATCCATGGTGACACGGATACGAGAACGACACAGCTCCTTGTCAGCTCAGGGTGTTGGTAGCATGTTGCGTGGGCGCGCTGGCAGAGTGATGCGTTGGGGTTGGAGCTCTCGCGAGCTCGCGAAGCCAAGAGCCGGGGAAACGGTTTCTCCGGACTCCGGGTCTGGAATGCCAGCGACGCTTCACCTCAGGCATCGACTGCGATGGTGCTATCCATTCCTGGCCATGAATTGAATGACATAGTTCCTCTGTCCTGCAATGGTCTCAGGCCATCGCCAGCGGAAGGACCCCGAGATACGAGAGTCTTAGGAACCAGCAACACAGATACGATGTACTCCCCGAGCGCGTTGGCATTTGCATGGCTTCTCTCGTCAAACAAACCAAACGTTTCTGCCGTAAGCTTCCTCAGCCACATCTGGGCATCTTGGTGCATCGCGCACGGACAGCGTCTCTGAATCTATGCTTGTTGGAGATCACAAGTGCCGTGTGCCGGTGTTCGACGGCGGCCTGGGCTGGCTGCACAGCGTGCCCAGGTAGTGAGGTCAAAATACGCGGCATCTGCAGATGGCGGTTGACAGCCGCTGGCCACGCGTATGGAATGGAGCCGGCGCAGTGACGAGGCTTTGTGATTCACGGTCGCGCGGTAATAAAAAGCCATGGCATTATTATTGTGTAAACGCCGCATTATTAGCTCGCTTTAGACCCCGGACTCGCGCTCGGAAACGATGCCAGCAGCGCATGGGGCTTAGCTCATCAGCTTGACCTCCGTCGCCGAAGCTGGACTTCACCTACATCCCTCCGCGCCTCATCACTCACCACGCCCTGCGATAACGCGCACACGTCCTGCCGACGCTGCATCCGCAGTCGTCCAGTCCGCCTTTCACCCCTCTCTGCATCACCGCGCCTCCCCTCGCCCGCTCGCTTCATTGTTCGCCCTCGACTCGCTTTGAAAGCTCGAGGTTTCATTCGAGTTTCAAGCACAATAAGTCTGCGCAGCACGCGCCCGCGGTGGTCCTGAGTAGGACTCACAGGTATGATGCCGCTCCCTGCCAACGCCACAGTCATGACCGTGGACACAGACTGACTTGTTTGGTTATCAGGCGCTCCCGCTCTTTCACCCCCTCGTTTGGATAGCGCCCACCTACAGCTTTACCTCAGCCAATCTACGCCGACTTATACGCCGACTTTCCCTGCTGTTTCCGTCTTACCGCCCTAAGGCCATATTTCTACACCTGGCCCCCGAAACAAGCACGTTTGTCAGAAACCCGGATACCTAAAGCGCGGCCGACAGACTGCCAACATGGTGGTTGCTACAATCAAGTGCGTCGCTGGGAGAAGCATTTCTGGAGATAGCGGCTAACGCACATTGCCCGCAGGTGCGTCGTCGTCGGCGACGGTGCGGTCGGCAAAACATGCCTCCTAATCAGCTACACGACCAACAAATTCCCGTCGGAATACGTTCCCACGGTGTTTGACAACTATGCGGTCACCGTAATGTGAGATTCTCCCACATGATCTATTCTTGGAGGAACAACCATAGCGCAGCGTGTACATGAGAGCGGTGGGACGTGTCTTGGAAGAGCCCCTGCTAATTCGTCGTCTTAGGATCGGTGACGAGCCATATACCTTAGGTCTTTTTGATACTGCCGGTCAAGAGGATTACGACCGACTCCGCCCCCTCTCGTACCCCCAGACCGACGTCTTCCTTGTCTGCTTCTCCGTTACATCGCCAGCTTCGTTCGAGAACGTCCGGGAGAAGTGGTTCCCCGAGGTCCATCATCACTGCCCTGGAGTGCCATGTCTGATTGTGGGCACACAGGTGGATTTGAGAGAAGATGCATCGGTCAAGGAAAAGCTGGCGAAGCAGCGGATGTCACCGGTGAGGCGAGAAGACGGCGAACGCATGGCAAAGGAGCTGGGTGCCGTGAAGTATGTGGAATGCTCTGCTTTGACACAGTACAAGCTGAAAGACGTGTTCGACGAGGTGAGCTGCTTGAGCTAAGTCTCTTGTTTTCAAGCGCTAACACGGTGCAGGCAATCGTGGCAGCGCTTGAGCCCCCGGCGCAGAAAAGAGACAAGAGAGATAGGAAGAGGGGAGTTTGCATTGTTCTCTAGAGGCTGAGCATGAATGGTGCTTCGATTCTAAAACCAACTTTTACAAGCCAGGCGTGATTTTTGGGATACCTGTGGATTGCCGGCGCCATGTGGGTAGCGATATCTCCTACCAAGTTATGAGTTTTCCCTACCCCCTTTTTCGAATTTAAGTTCAAGACTTCTTTTCTTCTACACCATATTGCATGGCGAGGTGCCGTCAATGAAGTACCAAAGAGTGATTCCGCGAGCTCGATGTGCACATCGATTTTAGGAGTCTGGGGATCGTAGACCGGGTGCACTGTTCATATGAAGCGGAACAAGTAGTGAGAGGAGCTGTCAAGCGCGGCCGCAGGTAGTATACCTCTTCTCTTACGCTATGATATTTCGTCTCGTCAAGTGAAGTTCTTTTGTTTGTTGTGCGGTTGCCCGGGACGATTACTCGATTTTTCGTCACGAGTGAAGGACTCCATAACACCACGCTCATCGTCGGCGTAAACACCAACGCCGTTCGCTTTCTCTCTCCACCCAGCCACTCCGTCTACTGCCATTTACTGCCGCTGTCCTATTGTTGCTAACTGCCTCTATCCAGACCTGCAGGCCGCATTCTTGGGTTGGTATTGGCGGAAGCCAAGTTTCTCTTCGGTCGTCGGTGACTATTAGCCCACGGTAAGTGCGCATTTTTCCCGCGATTTTCCTCCTCCGTCCGCGAGGCAATTCGATTACTGACACTGAGACCGGTCAAGTCAACGGCATGGCATCGCAGTATCCGGAGTACAAGAGGCGCCCGCCGCCAATTGAGATCCCACGAGCTGTACCAGGACCGAATGCTTTCGCAATTGCGGCAAAGCAGGACGCGTCGGACAGGCGGCGAGAAGATAAACCATCGCAGAGACAATCCCCCACGCGCTCTAGCGACAATACCCCATTTCCTTTCCCGCTGCGCGATGGCAGTGGCGATGCCACGCGCCTGCCTCCCAAATCCCGCAGCTCTGCCATCACCACGTTTGCCAGCCTCATGGACCAGGCTCGTGGCTCATCGCCGCGCAAGTCGGAGCATAGCTCGACTGTAAGCCGGCACGGCTCGACGACTCGCTCGAGACATTCAGAGCGTAGCTATCTGAGCGCCGCTTCAAGAAAGGGCCAGCTTGGGGGCCTGGGCGAGGAAAACAAGACCTCGAGGGGCGAGCTGGAGGCGCAGTCGGAGAGGAAGTTCTTCAAGATGATGGGCCAGATTCCCCAGACGCCGGCTAGTAAGTATTCTGACAGCTCGAGCCTTGTCGATGCTGACTATTCTAGATCCTCAATCTCAGTCTCCAGAGAGGCGCGTCATAACCAACGACATGAGAGACAGGAGCAGAGATTCGGAAGCAAGCAGGTCAGAGCGGGAGGAACCAATGAACAAGAGCCCGAGGAAGAAATTTTTCGGCATGAGCTTTCCAACCTTTAAGTCATCAGCTAACGCGTCTACACCGCCTATGCCGTCCAAAGCTGCGCAGATACTCGGATCAAGCCCACCAAAGACTCGCCGATTCTCCCCTCGCCCATCCAAGTCTGGGGGGGATTTTGCAGCACCTCGCTCCGACACGGCCAAGTCACTCCCGGCGAAGCTGTACAACCAACACACCCACAACCGCCGTCCGAACCACGGCGGGCCCTCCCGGTCAAGGGTCCGTGCCTCCAGTCGAAGGTCTCCTCCACGAGAATTGCAGTCATCTAGCGTCAACGTGGGTGGCAGCTTAGAGGAGTCATCCTCTGAGCAGGCCAAGCCACCGACTCCACCGGAGAAGGACACCCCGCCAGAGGGCAGGATGCTATCCGAGGGCATTCCGCTCAGTTGGTATCTTCGCGGGCCACAATCTCCAGAGGGACCCGAAGAACACGAGGACCTGGTCGATACTGGAATGAAGCTGCACGTTCCTAGCGTCCAGAAGTTGGATCCCATTCCATCTGGAGGTGGCGAGAGCCCTACAAAATTCTGTCCATTCGACGCGGAAGATCACGCAAAGCTCATCGAAGGCCAGCGCGTCTTCTCTGCCTATGGTGAAGTTGACTACGTAACAGATGAGCAGGATCGGAATGTTGGTGCTCCCTTGGAGACTGGGGGCCTAGATGTGGCTCAGACACCTGAACCAAAACGCTGGAGCGAGGACCGCCACATTCAACGCACCCCGCTCAGCACTCGTCTCAGGAGCAGCCCTGTTCAGCTCCTTCAGCCGACTGTCTATAAGCCCATGAAGTCTCCCGTCCGCGCTGTTGATGACGAGTCGTCCAGAAAGGTAAGTGCCCGTCCGCTCCTTCCGTCACATTGGGCCAGTCAGGCCACTGCCCCTCACTCCGCGAATGATAGCAAATAATACCAGCCCTTCCGTTTGCTTCTCTGCCCATGTCACCGCTTTCTCCCTCTTCCGCATGATTTCTCCGTACATCTCCACAGATTCGCTAACGAGGGCGCAGACCGCCGAGGACGTCGCGGTTTTCGTATTTCCTCCGAAATCAAGGCCCATCAATTCGCCCGAGAATCCATCGCGAGGCTCAATCGGTGTGATATTCCAGGGTAGTGCGACCGAGATCGATCCGGACTCCAAAGTAGCACAGAAGATCAACGCTCGTCTCGGAGAGGCATCCAGACTGCCGAATGACCCTGGCCTCGCAACGCAGGTCACGCAGGAGCTTCGATGTGATGAGCAACAGGCACTTTACACGCAGAACGGTCAACAAAGCTATCTCCAGCCCGAGCAATCTTCATCACGGCTTACGGACATGCTGAGTGGTGTGAGCCCCTCCAGAGTCGACTTCACCAACGAATTCCAGCCGAACTGCCCAAGCGCTGTTCCCAGCCCGTTGAATCGGGAACCCGGCCAACATCACCCAATGACGTTGGAGATGGACGCGCAAGGCGCTTTGGGAGATCTTCAGGTTCCTCAAGCTCTGGCAAACCACTTCTACATGACGAACGAGCACGTGGATATCGCCTGCAAAGCCATCTGGGACTCTATCAAAGAGCGAGGAAATTTGCAAACGGAGCAGACGAGGGCATTCTCATCCAAGCAGGAGCAGCTCAGTTTGCTAGTCGAACAGCAATTTGAGGATATCAAGTTGCAGATCGAGAAGCTCAGTGAGAAAGCCGACCACACCTACGATCAGAACCACAACATCAATGTGCAGCTAGATAAATTGCTGGAGTTCATCAAAGCCGAAATTGTCGCTCCTTTGACGAGCCAGAGCAAGAAGGTGACAGCCATGGAGCAGAGCATCGAGGAGCTGCAGAAGGCATTTCAGGAGCTACGGCAGTCAGAGCAGAAGAAAACCTTAGCGGTCGGTCAGCCGTCTCCGCAACGTTCTCAGCCCACGTTCGCTCTCCCAAACCAGCGGTCTCAGCCTTCGTTTCCTGGCTTTTACGACTCGAGTGACGCCGGTCGGGATTCCGCCACCCGCATGACTCCAGCACAGTCCGAAATGCGGCGCTATGGGGACCAGCACTGGGCTCGCCCTACACACGGCCAGTACAGCCAGCACAGCAGGGATGCCAACCACCCTTTCTCCGCCACCAATCCGTACAACAACGGTGTCGCACAGCTCGGTCATGGCTTCATGGGCGGATTCCCTCCGTACGGCTACTCTCCCAACACGCCGGAGCAGCACTACCCTTTCAACCAGGGGCCGCACAAATGAGGAACTGCATGGAACGGCCATCGGGAGCTTCGTCGCTGTCTTCGGGTGTTTGTATATCTACGGACGGCCTTGTACATATGATACGACACGCTATATGATGGTTCCGCGTCGATGACGAAAAGCGGTGTTGGAGTTTGGGGCTTGTACAATATTGCGGGAACTGTGTCCTGTGGCTTTCTGGCTCGCAGTCTCACCACTAGGTAGCACTTGCTGCGGCGGATATGCTTGGCGTCAGCGTGGGAGCGGCGACGGATATGTGGAGTGGATCAAAAGCTAATCCTTGGTAATGATAGGTCTTTGACAGAACATGTATGACCATGATTAATTCTCCGAGAGTCTTTGTAGTCGGTGACGTCGTCTGGTCGTACGTGGGAGCGAATATGGTGCCGATAGCCGCGCCTATAGGACTAGAGCGCGCATGCGCCCAACCTGCATCTTGCGCCTAATCTTAGACTGCAACTACCGGTAGCCCGCAGTCGTGCCTTAATGCTCCTTCCCCATAGGCCGGACGTCACTGCTGCCTTTTAGGATTCCCGTGGGCCTTCGTGCCTGCCACTCGTGGATGCGGGGCGCAGACGGAGAGCGAGAGGTGCTTCTTTGACCTCAACAATACCTCAACAACAAGCCGCTGCAGCATGAAACCAGTATTTCCTTGTATCGCTATTGTATCGCCTCTGTATCGCCTCGATAGCGGCATCGAGATAGCCTCGCGCCGTGGCCCGTCACGCTGCTCGGGCGGCCTCCGCCTCCCCACGCTTACCCGATAGGTGAGACGGGGGCGCGCTGCCGGAAAGAGCACAGTCCAGTTTACCCGCATGCACGGTACGGCGAGCGAAGCACCACGGTCTCGGCCGCAGCGCATCCTACAACACCATGGAGGACCCCAAGCCATCCTCCGAGGGTGACCACCCCTCCTCCACGACACCGCTCGGCCCCCCGGTGGCCGCCTCCACGCTCGTCGAGACCAGCCCGCATGCGGATACGAGCCGTGCGATAATCAATACTACCCTTCCTCCCTCGGCGACCGCCAATGCTACTCCGCGCCTCTTGAACGCGGAACGGCCGCCGCTCAGCGCAGGTGACGCATCGTCTTCTGCGCTGCCTGTCTACCCATCCCGTCCGCACATTCGCACCCCCTCCGCCGCCGGTCTCTCCCTCCAGACCGATCTGCCCCCGCCAATGACGGCCGCCGCTCACACCTCGCCGAATCATCCAACCATCGTGGAGGGCGGCGCAGGAGAGTCGCTGCGGCAGTCGGCCACCGCGCCCATCGCAATACAGGAAGGCTACCTGCGGAGCACGCTGTCTGCGGCGAGCATGACCGGGTCGTTGTCGCCCGGTTCTGCGCTCTCCTCACCTGCACTGAACGCCCTCGCCGACCTTACACCTTTGCCATCTCCACTGGTGATGAGCGATTCGCCTGGGCCATGGGCAAGGGCTGGCATGTCGGTACGCCCTCGCTCGCGGGGTGCGTCCGGTTCGTCAAAAGATGACTCCTTCGCCATGCTCAGCAAAGGAACGCTATCTCCAACGCCCTCGCAGAAAAAGAAAGGATACCAGCGGTTGAAGACTGCTGCAGTCCAAGCTGCAGATGCCAGCATGCAGACGCAGCACAAGAACGAGGCCGCTCGTGAGAGGAACAGGAGCGTCAGCGAGTTCGCGCCGGACCAGTTGCACAACATCCGGGCACGCCATGTTACCATCTCTAACGTGGCTCCCGAAAAGATGCAGACGGGTCCAGGCCCGGAGCATCATCTCCACCGTGAGGAGTACCTTGCAGCGCAGCGAGGATTAATTCCCGCTACGCTTCCGGCCGGGCTCCCTACGCCGCCGGCCAGCAATCGAAGTGTGACAGAAAGTGAGGAAGAGGAAATCCCAGAAGAGGGCAAGATCCAATATATCACGGTGAGGCACGGAGCACAGAGGACTAAGAAGCTTTGGCGCCCCGTCCGACAGCTTGGCCAGGGCACTTTCAGCAAAGTCTATCTAGCCACAAGCGAGAAGGTTGCACCTAAAGACCCACTCAATGAGGCCACCCTTGACCCGCGCAAGCTTGTTGCCATCAAGGTCGTCGAGCACGGTCCGGCCGGTGGCGCCGACGAAGAACGCGTAGAGCTAAGCCTCAAACGGGAGGTTGAAATGCTTCGATCCGTCTCACATCCGTCCCTCGTACATCTCAGAGAGTTCGACCACGATGAAGCACAGGCTCTGCTGGTCTTGACCTATTGCCCCGGCGGTGACTTGTTTGACGTAGCCAGTGCGCACCGCGATCTCCTTGGAGTAGACCTCGTCCAACGCATATTCGCCGAATTGGTCAGTGCTGTGCGGTACCTGCATAACCAGCTCATTGTGCATCGCGACATCAAACTAGAAAGTACATTACTCCATTCATAGTGGTTAGTCTATCTAGCGCGTCATCTTACTAATGACTCGCAGACGTCCTCCTTAATGTCCCGGTCTCTACAGTGCCGCTGCTTAAGAGCCCACGAAGCCATCCTTATCCCATAGCGACACTTACAGATCTTGGCCTCTCTCGCCGTATCCCTGCTCCGCCCGAGTCTCCTCTCCTTACTACTCGCTGTGGAAGTGAAGACTATGCCGCCCCCGAGATTCTTCTTGGTCAGCCGTATGATGGCCGTTCTACTGACGCATGGGCGCTCGGAGTCCTGCTTTATGCTCTAATGGAAGGCCGCTTACCCTTTGACCCGCCGCCAGGCAAAGTTGGATCCCGTAGCAGAGCCGCCCACCGGATTGCCAGATGCGACTGGGTGTGGGTCAGCTTCGGTGATAACGATGGCGACTGGGATGTCGAGAAAGGCAAAGAATGGGCAGGCGCGCGAGAGTGTGTCGAAGGCTTGTTGAAGAAGGTTTCGAGAGGTCGCAAGAGCCTCGAGGACATTGAGAGGATGGAGTGGGTGCAGCAGGGCATCCAAGTTGAGGGTGGGATTAGAAGGAGGATTGAAGATGAGGACATGGAAGAGCATGTCCCCGAGATTACCGTGAGGTAGTCGTTATTGAGGAGCCTTTTCAGATCTCTCCTCGCGCGGAGTATAGGCTCCTATCGTTTGCTTCCGACAACGATCGACGACTTCTTCGGCGGTCACAGTCGAAGACATTGTACTACTATCAGACCGTTCACTTCGGCAAATCTTTCTTTTCACATAATTGGGTAAGAGCAGGGATGGGAGGATGGTGTGGGTCGGGCACGGAGAAGGGGGCACGAAAGATACCACGGGCCGGGAGGGATGAATCACTCCCCCAGGCGCGGTGCTACGCATGCACGCTCGACACAACCTTCGCTTGACTTTTGTTCTCGATATTTCTTCTTCCTGTTCGTTTGATATCCCTATTGTTCTCTCCCGCGGATACTCTATTCCACTTCTCAGTCATGTCGGCTTCCTTACCCTTCTCATCTGCATCTAGACAAAAGCTGGCTCTATCATTTGGCTTCTTTGGAGTTGGGTTGGATTTCCTCTGGGACGATGATGATGTTAGAGAAAAAGAATTGCAAATCATTGGGGAAGATCTTGATCCTAAGCATCTCGTTGTGATGGCGTAGCGTGCGCCTTGCAGATATACGCTGATCTAGTAGCAGTAGTGCAGCGAATGCACCCGGGCATTGCACTGAGCCAGCAATGTATAGTGCGCTGAAGGCGCACCTGCTGCGTGACCCTATTCGAAGACTTCCTACTGACTAGCGTGCAGGTTCTCGTGCTTGGCCCATCTTCCGGTCGGGAGAGGTGAGGCCCGAGAAAGCAGTTTCGTAACCGGATTTACATTTCCTCCCAAGCGTACCAAACGCTCATGCCTCCAATCAAACGTGTAGCCCACGTGCCAACCCCTCACTTCCTCCTCTGACGCATATAAAAGGCTGCCTTCCCCTCCCATTCTTTCAACTCTCCACCGAGGATGTGCTTAGAATTAAAATTTCGCAGCGAGCCAGGCCATGGGGCGCTAGGGAATACATGGCCGCAGACAAATGTAGTGGTGAGTGGGAGGTCGTGTGGGTAACTAAGATGTAGTGAAGCGCCCTTTATGGAGTTGAATGTTGGAGGAAGGAGAGCTTGCTTATGTGGATGTGGATGAGCGCATGGAAAGAGCGAGGAAAACATACGCGAGGACTGGGATGGTGGTAATGGGCACTGATCATCGGAACTTGATATGAGCGACGTATCAGGGGGAGCTTTACATGGTACGCAACGGTTCCCGGGGTTCGTAGCTGTATAAACACCCTTTGTTCTCCAGATTTCTTCTCACCCTTCACCCTACGCGGAGTCGATAGCACTAAAAAAGCTCTGGAACGATGTCAATTGGAGACTAAAAGGATACCCGGACTACTGTATGCTTGGCTGCGGCTGTGGACCGGGCTTCAAGTCTAAAACACGAGGGGTTTTGAAGATGGGTGTCGAAGAGATCGGGGGGGACAAAAACGACATGGAGGCGGTTCGAAGGTGGAGTATGGAGCATCGCTGCTGATGACGTACGTTATCACCACCGAGCGATGATGCTGATAGCCAACCAACACTGAACATGCGGCCAGCCTATCTCGTGGACCTGAGCACCTACTCCCGATATGCGCCGCCTGGCCATTCGATTCTAGCAGTATATAAACGTATTCTGCCTCCTCATTTCCCCTTCACGCTTCTCTGCGCGAGAGGACTAAAGACTTGCGCGAACAGAGCCATGGAATACTAAAACTCTATATGTGGGGTTCCCTGGTTCGCTACTCGTGGTGTAAAGGTGCACGACTGCCTGGACATGGCCACCGGGGCTCTTGCGGAGCAGGGTAAACGAGGACTGGACATTGGTAAGCGTATCAATAAAGGCAAGATGCTCATGCTTCCTGTTATCGCAAGGCGACGCTCACCATCTGAACCACTCCTCATATGCAAATCCTACGTAGAAGGGCGTCCCCCTGAGCAGGCTGTTCCCGAAGTTTTTCTTTCTCTAAATCATCCCTCCTATACTCTGAATTCACCTCTCGCGGCACTTCTTTGCGGCCTTGCGAGCAATAAAAAAAATAAAAAAGTGAGAGTCACCTACCATGGGAGACAAAAATGGGAAAGGTTGGAAGGACATGGTGTGGTTGGGCTCCCTGTTTGGGATGGCCTCCAAAATAGCGTACCGCGCAGGGTGATGAGAGTTGGGGATGCTGTGGAGAGCCATAAGTGGTGCTTCACGAATTTCTGGTAGAGGTTGAAAGGAAGGATGCTGGTGAGGGCGGCGAAAGGGACTGCAGTTGCAGGTCTACGGTAACTCAGATCGCTTCCGTAATAGTTCGAGGGAGAGTCAATACCTGTGTGCCGCTGATAAATGAAGCTACGCTTTCGTTGGTGAGCATTACAGACTGCACCCCTCCCCAACAATAGCTCGGCGTTGCGTAGGCTGCCACGTTGACTGGGCCTCTGACATACGATCAGACGGAGCCGTCAAGATTGGGCCACAGATGCTATCCCAGATGGGAGAGGGTCGCGAGAGGCTTCGAACAAAAATCTTGGCCACACCCCTAGGTTCGTGGTTCACTCATTCTCCCAAATCATGTTGGTGCGAGCCGCCAACGAAACTGAATTTGGGAAGGGTAATGCGGTATTCATTACACACTTGCTGAGAGCAATCGCACCCGTCCTTGAGCATATTCAGCTTTAGACGATGACGATGCGTTCTGGATGCTGGTAGACTTCGTCAACCCGGCTCAGTATCTGCCGATGCCACAAAAGGGCCTTCATCTGCGCGACCATCTGTAATGTCGCAAGGTAGATCCGAAAACGATCTCGATTCCACTCCCAGGATTTGGCAGAATCAAGGGGAATGCTCTTGATCAATTCCCAACCCTGGTAGACAATGGTTGCAGGGGACGTACGTGTATATGTCACTTCATAAAAATTAAAGAAGCGGCATCTGAGCCCGGGAATCGGCTGGAGGAGTTTGTCGACCACGCTCGACTCGAAGTCACTTCTGCGTTGTTCGTCGAGAAAAGTCCAGACAGGCTCGTGCCCGGAATGTCGAAGTCCGTCGATTATATCAGCTATTCGCCCATGTCTCTCCATGCTTTTCTTGAAAACCTGGATAGCGCTCTTCCATTGCGGAAGGAGGACATCTGCCGAGGCATTGTAACTGTTCCATGTGGACTGAATTGATTCAATCTGGTTGAGTAAGATGCGTTGGTAGGATGAACCGTCATCAGTGGATCCGGAAAAAGGTGACAGTATGCCATAGCTTGCTCGCACTCCATAGGTCGCTTGCTCAGGCCATATCCTATGACCCCGCAAATGTCGCAGCGCAAGCAAGTCATCATCGGAGAGCGCCCCTAGAACTTCGTCGCGCATCGCATTCATTGAGGAAAAGTAGTGCCCACAGCCTGGCTCCCTAGCTATCCTCCGACAATGTTGATAAGCCAATTCCTCACATACGGCTGGGAAACTGGAGAACCATGGCGTGGAGAATGCGCGCTCTTCGGATGCTGCGGGTGAGGATGACCGGATACCAAGAAAGAAAACCATTAGAATCCACCGTAACATAATCTCTCGCTCGCTCTGCGTAATCCTGTGGGCCACATCTACACGAGACAATGGTGATAACGCTTTTCCCTTCGGTACTTGCCCGACCCCAAATGAGCAATGGCTGTGCAAAGAAAACACTTGATGGCCACGTGGTTTCAGTAAGAGCGTTCTTTCCAGTGCCGGAACTAGGTAGCACACAAAATCTTCACCATCAGCGGGATTGCCCAAATTCGGTAGTGTGACCTCATCCTGTGGAAGGTGTAAAGGGTCGCTTGGGCCGCACGTAATTGAAAGCTTTCCGCGAGCGACAGAGAAGATGGGAAAGCCAGAGAGGACCAAGGAAGCCGTTTCGGAGAGAATCTGAAGTTGGCGCATGTTCTGGTGGCCTTCAAGGATACTCTTTGCTATCACGTTGCTATGATGCCAGCCCGTGAAAGGAATTATAGGCTGACCGAATTCCTGGAGAGGCTCAGGGACCGCATCTGGAGGTAGATCGAGCGCTATCTCGACATGAAAAGGTTCCTTCTTCTCCTCCGGGAAGAATAAACCGTCCGGAACCCATGATGGTAAATTTTTGACTTGTCTGGATCCTCCTAGGGAATCCAAGAAGCCTACATATCCAGTGACTTGGAGAAGATAGCTCGCAATGCCAATGTAGATTTCTTGAATGCTCAGTGTGTAATCAATTGGCAGACCAGTAGCGTCTGAGTCCTCAACAAGGCCTAACAGAGCAAAGACCTTGTCTCTTGGATCGCCACATTCGCACTTTTCGGTATCCCGTAGAAGATGGAAGAGCGAGGAGGACTTATTGTGGACCCACGAGATGCCCAGAGAATATGGACTCATGAGGTGTGGAAGATCGACGAAGGCACGCAGTCCGCTCCAGTGTCCGGTTAACCCTCCGCAGGTGATACTGGCTTTGTGCGCCAACTTGACCTCCTGCACCACCCATAGTCTGCGAAAATAAGGCCTCCCCATAAGCTGTCGGACGGCCGCGAACTCTTGTTCGGTCGCGGGAGACGCGCCACATTTCAGAAGACTCATAGCCGTGTCAGTCTTGGAGCCTTGCTCGCCCAAGTAAACGAGAACTCTTGAAGCAGCTGAATATATATTTCGCATAAGGGCAACCTGGTGTCCTCTCTCGGAAACGTCTCCCTGATTGATACATATGGCGTCCACCCAGATCAGCCGATCTGTGGGGGCGCGCAATTGACGCAGGGCAGACAGGCAGTTCTTCGTTATCAAAAGCACCTGGTAGTCACTTCCGAGATAGATTGGACAGATTAGCTCGGAATTCCCATCGAGGTCGGCCCAAGTATAGGAAAGGGCCTCAAATATCGGCAACTCCGGCTCGTTCAGTCGTACAAGCTCCAAGGAACAGTGAACCGGATCTTGCGGGGAGGCGCTTCCATGTAGGCGAAGTAGGCGAATGCTATCTCTTTCAGGCAGCCTGCCGTAGATGTCGAGTTGGGTGGGTTCGGAAGAAGCAAGGTCCATGAGAGATGCGTCCGGCTCGTGGCCTATTATCGTCTCTTGCACTTTTTTGCTTGGAGAAGACGCTGAGTCCTCGGACGAATCCCCGATCTTCCAGGAATCAATGTTGTCCCGGATGAATTGCGCGCAGTCCTCGAGGTCAAGATCTGTGCCATACCGCACACGTGGTGGCCAGCTGCATTTGAGCTGGGATCGAAGGATACTTGGAGGTGGGGGCGTAGGTGGGATGCCCTTGGTAGCTGCAATGTTGGGGGCCCGTAGGCCGCAGCGAGTACAACCCGGCGTTCCGTTGTGCCATCTCAGGTCCAACTGGCAGGAAGGGTCATGCCACGACATATGGGCGGGAGAGAATGTGACACACAGATCGTAGATGCTATCGCAAATGTAGGACGAGACGAGACAAATTGTTGCGAACGACAAAGATAGAGAGAAGGGTGTAAGAGTGCTGCTCAGCCAGGCTGCAGGAGGCTGACGCTTCTCGTGATGAATCGAGCTGGTTTCAGCCTCGCTGCCCTATTGCTTGAGAGGTACGGCATGATGCCGATCGTCGGCTTTCCGCAATTCGATTGGGCAATTAGACAAGACAGCCGTGGAAGACGCGAGATTTCGAGCTAGATGAGACAGGATACTGAAAGACGGTGACGGCGAGGGAGGTGGTGCCGCTCGCGGAGGTTATTCGGACTTAATAGGGACCCTAGTCCAGAATTAGTCAAGCCGCACCGCAGCTTGTGCCGCAGCCCTGGAGCTCCTGCTGTTCGCCTTTCTCCCGTACACCATCACCTGTCACTTGCTCCGACCCTGCGTCAAAGCAGAACCAGACAGCGCAGCGCACCGTGGAGCCACACGCTGGAATTGACGAATCACCTACGCACAAAGAGAACAGCGACAATCCTGCGTTCAAATTGGATGTCTCCATTGATTCGCGGTTATTCGGGCAGCGACATTTGCTTGCACCAGCTGTCTTCGTTTACGTCTGCTAGGCCCAAAAATTTCCCTTCCAGATACTTCTTAGAAGACGGCTCTAACGAGCTTCAGTTGGAAATGAGGGGTTTCGGGACGTAGAAGTCGTCCCAAACCCCATCACACAATTCATACCCATCCACGTCCTCATCCTCCAATTCCAGCATCAGCTCGTCTCCTTCCTCTTCTTCGTTCTCCTGTTCATCAGTAGTCTCTTTTCCCATTGCGTCTCCCCCGCCGAAGTATTTCACTCCTATACTGTATATTGAACCATAAGACTTTTTCCTCGTCCAAGCAAGAATCCAGCTTCTCTTAAGTGTCCTGTATTCTACAGCAACTCCCGTTTCTCCGGTCAAGGAACCCTTGTGGCCGGATTTAGTAGACCTATGCGCTTCGCCCGAGAGACTGGCCGTCGCATTAAGGGGAGTGACGCCGGGAGCTACTGCGTTCGCGGTTGCACCAACGGGGGCTTCTCCTGAGGCCTTCACCGACAGCGACTCCGATTCTTCCCCGGAGAATGAAGCGTTCTCGACGGACTTATATCCTATGACCATATAGACCTTTTCCGGCAAAATTCCGAGCCTCGGTGCGATGGAATCCATGAGTTGGTTGATATCTTTTTTATGTTTCTCGAAGATGAGCTCAAAAACTGCATCGTGGTCTCGGAGCTGATGGGTTTTTATCATCGCCGCATCGAAGCTGTAAGATTTCTCTCCGTCGGTTGAAATGCTGACTTCACCAAACGGTTTCAGTGCAGCCTGGATCTTGGAGCCATCCTGGGCTGTTCCCCACACTTCAGCCGCTGTTTCTTCTACCACACCTCGAAGATGATCCTTTGTGAAAGAGGTGGGATCGTCGGGGACCGAGTTATCCAGTGGAGAGGTGTAGTCGAGCGTCAATCGACCAAGAAGCTTAGGGAGATCCTGGCCGGCAATCGGAGAACGGAGAATGAGGAATCTGTGTCGTTCCATGGATGGCGAGCAGCAAAGGATGGCGGTGCCGATTTCTCCTATGAGTAAGGATCACCAGGAAGCCTCGAAGCTACGTTTATTGTAGCTGGCCGTAGCTGAAAGTGATCACAAAATACTGGCGTGATCAGAGTACCGGTTTACGAGATCGAGATGTTAACTGAAGAGCAAGAGAAAATTTGTTGGATAAGAGAGCGGGGCTGAAGGCTGGAGTTTCTGGTCCGCGTCGCGCAAGGTGGCGTGAAAAAGCTGTCGCCAATGCATTGACGAGCATGCAGCCACACCGGCTCTCTCAGACGCCACGATTCTCAGTTGGGGTATGTTATCAGGTCATCAGCTCATACAAAGAGGTCCCATTGGGTGGCTATGACCTAGCAAAACTCTCGTCAAGGCGCATGATCCGCCGTCTGGGATTTCGCTACCTCAGTAATAACCGACCTGAGCACCACCAAAAACCGAAAACAAACGCCAATGCCCGTGCACTAACTATCTGCCGAGTGTGCGCAACAGACTTTTCTCTCAGGATGTCTTCGCCCTTCCAACTACCTGTTGAATTCGATGCCTGGAGTATTGAAAGCCTTGACCAGACACGCAAGTGGGCCCTGAAGAGGGCAGGGACCATGGAAACTCACGAAATAGAGGATCCATTCGATGAAATTCAAGATGCCTTGCTACGATGGTATCTAGAGGAATATCCCATCCATGATCCTCTGGAGAGAACCAAAGTCTCGTACGCGACCACCAACCTCTGCCGGTATTCAGATCGCCTTGCCCAGCAGGTGGTGCAGTTAGTTGGTGACCCTGAAGAGAAGCAATGCTCAATCACAATCCGTCAGATCGACGATGCAAGACCAGGGCAGTCGGTGCAGATGATCCACTGGGAAGTCTTAGAAGCTGCGTTCGACCGGGAGAAGACCACGTTTTCTTCTGTAGCTGTGAGCCGGACAATCTCAGAAACACATCCGTCAAAAGCCCCGAGCCTACCTGGGGACTCGGAGCCTTTCCGCATACTACTCGTGGTTGCGAGGTCGGATTTAACTGAGAAGCACCATCGAATCATCTCCTCGACCCTCAAGCACATCGTTACCGGCCTTGGGTCGCGACCGGTCGAGCTCGACATTGTCCGGCCTGGAACCTATCGAGCGCTGGAGGTTTATCTTGACCAATGCAAGAAACGCAAGAGAAGAATTCACCTCGTTCATTTTGACGTGCATGGGGAGGTCAAAACCTCAAAAGACACACAACAAGGTCCCCGGTAAGCATGTCCGTGCGGTCTGGAATATGCAATGTATGACGATGGACAGGTTCAGAAACTTCTTACGGTTTTACCCCAAATCAGAACGCGACTCCGGTCTCATTGGAGCATGTAGGGTGGCAACTCTCCTATCTAAGCACGAAATTCCCATGGTAGTTCTCAATGCCTGCGAGTCGGCCCGGAGCGACGCGGGACCTGAAGCAAACTTGGCCCAGGCCTTTCTGGCATCTGGAGTCCCTTTTGTCCTTGCCATGTCTTACAAATTGCTCGTAAGCGGGATGGCTACATTCTTCTTTCATTTCTATCGATCCTTCTTGAAGCATCGGAGAGACTTCTGCCAAGCTGCTTCCGACGGCCGGAAGGCTATGCGCATCCACCGTAAACGACAGGCGTATTTGGGAATAGACATTGAGCTTCAGGACTGGATCGTCCCGGTGACCTATATCGCAGATGGAATTCGAGCGTCCGAGTTCGTAATCCCCGGCTCACCGAGCACTGGAGATGGCGCCGACGTTGAAGACCAGCCTCATTGGGAAGCATTGCGTTACAATGACCTGTCGTTTGACATCGAAGTCCTCAACGTTGAGACTAGGCTTTTGGATCCTTGGAGATGCGGGTCGGGTCCTATCGTCAACATCTACGGCTTCAGCGGTGTCGGGAAAACGGCGTTCCTTCGTCACTGCCAGACTTGGTGGATGGAGACATCAATGTTCGACCGAATCTTCAGCTACTCCTTCCAAAGCAATAGACCCTACCAACCGAACGAGATTGTACTTTGGCTAGCACATAAACTCCAGAACGAGATGCTCGCACAAGATCCGCACAGTTCGCTGTGTACGATACAGAGCGGGGTGTCGAACCCGCTCAGCATCATAAAATTGTACATGAGGACGACCGGACTTGGAAAGCGTGTCCTTCTCATTCTGGATGATTTCCCACAGATGGTACAGGGAGACACTCCTGCAATAAAACCCCTTCCATACATCGATCAAAAGAACTTGAGCGAGACGTTTGAGAGCTTGAGCTCTTCACACATCTACGTCATTGTGTCTTCTATTTCGATGGTCCCATTCATTGATGCACGGCCACTTGAAACAGGCAAGGGAGACGAGATCTTGCAGCCTCCACGGTTGCTGGGTGACCCCCTACCAAAATCTTCCCATTACAATATGCCGGGCATCAGCGAGCCATTATCTATCGGATTCCATGGAGATGCTTCATTTTGGGCAACGCTGACTAATACGGATACGACTGCTGCGCTGCAGGATATCGTTGACTATTTTGCCGACTTACCATCCTTAATTCGAGCAGATATTTTGGAGATCATGAACGATGCCCACCGAACTGAGCAGTCTGTACTTTCTCTCAGAAAGTCATTGCTCCTGGGACGTTATCCATTTAGCACACTGAGTGAGGATGGAATGCGAGTCTTGCATTCGCAACCGGCTTACCGCGCCTCCATGGAGTATTACGAGAAGCAAAGTGGCCTTGCAAAGGCTGTTTTGCTTGGTCTTTCCCTGTTCACAAGGCATCTCGGAATCCGAACAGACTCGTACATCCTCCGCTATGTTCGATGTCTGAAAGAGGCCTTTCCTCGCTACTTCTCACGATTGTGTACAACAACGGTCAGAGATCACTGGTACCAAGACGCATTGCGACGAATGTCATACTACTTCCAGACGCGAAGCACTCTTGAGGCCCAGGCGTTGGAAGTGCTCTCTCAAACAGTCAATGACTTGCGCCTATTAGGCTTCCTCCGACCTGAGTTCGCCTACTTGAAAGGGAAGCAAGCGGATGAGTTGGAACACATTCCTATATACCGGATACACCCTCAACTTTCTTTGTTCCTACGCCAGGCCCTCGAAAACGAGATCTCTTCAACTATAGCAGCCCGGGGCTACACACCCAGAGAAGTTCGCTCGAGGCTAGACAAGGTATTTATCGAGCATCATCGAGAGAGAATTGAGTCTTTGCAGTCGGCCGAATTGAGGTCCCCCGAGCAAGCCATTACAGTAGTGAACCATATCGCTGATGAACACTTTGGGAAGTTCAACCTTCTGGGCGCATTACTGATGTGGATTGAAGAGGACGCAAACCATCGGGACTTCGAGTATCCACTAAAGTTCTTCGATTGGTTCCTTGCTCCCTGGCCGCGATTGACATCCAGGACCTATTACGGACCCAGTATTCTGGTATCATACATCAAAGAGACAAGGGAGCGAATTTCCCAAGTCTGCGGAGAGCTAGCGAAGGAGACGAAACCGGAGAAAGGCCAGTCCCGATCAAAAGTAGAAGCACGCTTGCCAATGCGCCGGCAATTCTACTCGGCCTTGACCCTCTTACTGCGTCTCTCAAATTGGCTGTCGCATTTCTATATGGTTTCGGGCCAGCCTGAACTCGCCGTTGCCGAGACAAAAAGGTCTGCCTTGATGATATCCACTCATCTTGGCCCTTATCGGGCTGTGGAACCTATGCTGCTCGCCGATGCTTATCTGCAGTTTCTAAGTGGCCATTTCGGCTCCAGCCGCCGCAGATCTCAGCCTATATCTCTCGATAGCCTGGCGCCAGAGGCTGAAAGAGAGCTGGGGATAATGGATAGCACACCAGGTCTCAAGCACGAAGAGCAGCTTGCTGGTCTCTCCTATCACCTGCTCCAGAGGGCAAGTGTAGCCACTGTACGGACATTTGAAAGAAGTTATGGGGAGATGGCGGCCCAGTTTGAGAGGCTTCTCCATTGGTCGATGGATACGGACAATGAAACGGAGCGGCAGTGGACTGCACTTACCAACAAGCTGATGGCCAAAGGCTGGGCTGACAAGCGCGCTACAGAGCGGTGGGGATATAGAACTCGAGAGGAAAAAGAAAACGTTGAAAAAGAGAATGAACTCCTTTTCCGGCGCACTCTGGCCGAGCTTGCGAAATTTCCCCAGGAATGGTTTGACGGGATGTTGCAGCGCTTTTCCGCCATCCTGCAAGGGCTCACCGGGAATGCGATCGCTATTCCGGAAGGACAGAGTCTTGATGAGACACTAGTCACCATGGCGCAACGGGACGATGAGCAGATTCCGAGATTGACATCTGGGGGCAACGAGCTCACCGATCTTTACGAAAGCGTTAAGCGAGCATGGCAGGATTTGCGTCGAGGAACATCACCAGATCAGGTATTCGATGCCATTTTCCCGCGATTCAAGACGTTCTTCGAATACTACTGGAGACGGAGCCTGCTGCAGATGATCGAATTCAGCATGCGTTATGTCGACCGGACAATGTCGGCCTCCCTAAATCAACTCCTTGTTAAAGACTACATGACCCGGCGCGACTGGGAGGGATTGAATCAGTACCTCCATAACCTAGACCTCGAAAAGGAGCATGGGGGACGGACTCAGTTTTATGCTGTACAAGGGATCTGCTCTCTCTACCTGAAGAATGTGAACGAAGCGGGACTTTACCTGACGAAGGCTTTGCGCAGCCTTGAGAATCGTGAGGAGTGGTTCTTTAGCAATTTCGCTATCTTCGGTTTCGCAGGCGCTTTTACAGTACAGGTCGAGATTCTCCGCCTTTTGATTGCTGTTAAATACGAGGCTGGGGATGATTCCACTGTTTGCCCAATCTCGGCCTGGCTGCTGTTTCTCGACGCGCTGGCGTTTGGCTATGCTCCATCGAGCAAGATCCTATACTGTCAGAACGGAGCACTCCTGGAACAACTGACCGAACATTACCTGCCGTACCCGTCGCAAACCCGGGACGCTATGCGCGTCGTAGAGCTTCCACAGGAAGAAGAATACGGATGTGCGATGCTACACTATGAACCCAGCATTGACCCGGACGATCGCAGCGTGATAATCCCGGACGCGGAACGCGACCTTTATCTTCTGATCGAGTTTCTGTACCGCACAAGGATCAGGTCCCACGTCGACCTCCAGTTTCCCGAGACTATCTATCTGAAAGCGATGAAGTACTTCGTCCGTCACTGCGAGCGGTCCCCTATTACGCGGCTTCCGCCCGATGCAGCTTCCGTACTGTTCCTCAGAGCCCTCAAAGAGGAACTTGTGTGCAACCCGGCAGCGCGAAAGGATACGATTGAACTTTTCGAGCAGTTTCTTATGGGGAAGAGCGTTGTAGGGGTACCCCATAGTCTCATTACCATGGACTCGTGCCCGGTGTTACCAGATAACTATGAAGGCATGCTGGACGAGAACGATGAGACAGCTTTGTATGCGATGTTTGATGAGGGTTAGTGGCTCCTCTAGTTGAGTCAATTGGTTCATCGCTCGGTGTCTGCTCTTGCTGTTGTTACAGATCCACGTGCGTTACAATCGAGCGCCGCAGAATGTAGCATAGAAGCATCTAACTGAAAGGCAAATGCCCAAGTGTGCAGTCTTGGATACGTCGCGGTTAGTCAATGACCCTAAGCGTTAAAGGATGGTATTGATGAAGCACATCTCCCTGAATCGAGGAATCGGTAGTCAATACAAGAGGTACTTCTGGGCACGCCAAGAATACCTAGGTACATTCACTGGTGGTCAGTGCAAAGAACACGGTCGCACAGGTATGCTTGAAGACAGTCCATCATTCGAAAGCATAAGCATGTATTCCCTATACTAGCCAAAGTCTTCTTCCCATGCGCTTAATTACATAGTGCTCGCTTCCCGTCAACCTTATATGCGTTCGGAAGCACCGTCAAGGGTTCCTCCTGTTACAGCTTGACCATGGATCGTCCGCGCTGGTCAGCCAGGTGCCGAGTGTATATCTGGCTCCATTTGTTTGAGCTTCTGCTGCTTGTTGAAGTTGGCTGGTTTGGTTGGGTGGTGCGCTATCGTGAGACGATTCGGGAACCTGGGCGCCGGCATTCCCCATGGTGTTTGCTTGGCCTTGCGTCTTCGGAGGGGCTGGGGTAGGAACGGAGGGAGTGGGGTTATCTTCGCTATAGGGCTTTCGTCAGAAGGGAGTAAGAGCCGTGAAGATAAAGGTATGGCTCACTCTGACATGTCGAAACTGTTCGACTCTTTGTCTGGATGGAAGATAAGGGAGAGCTAAGCCGAGCAATGAGAGGAGTGCAGGAAGCTGGTTTGAAAGGCAGAATGATGATAGACAGCTCATCCCTTCAGGCGAGCAAAGGGGACAGCTTTATAACGAGACATTGCGACAGAGAAGGACGCCTCTCCCTGCAGGGGCAGGAAAAGGCAAAACGCCATTCGAACCATCTTGCAGTGCTCTAGATAGTCAAAGACGACCGGTCAGTCGGTTGGGATGAGTAGGATGCAGCGATATGAAGTCACGAACGCTCTCGACGGCGTACACGCGGTATATGCAGCGAAGCGGAAATTCACAGCTATTTGATTGGCGCGAGTAGTGCAAACCTCGTCTGAAAGGGAAGGTAAATGCTCACACTCGCCTTGCAGAGCCATCTGATGACGGCAAATTCAGACGCCGCCAGCTGTATGCACGATGGTTATCGGGTAGTGATGCGCTGAGATGGCGTACTAAGGTCGGGTTACGCACACCATGTTTCGTCCAGTCTATGTTAAGATACCGAGCTGCGACTAAGGCGGGTAAGCGAGCATACGACTTTTGGTGGCGTCGAGGCGGTGCCCAATGGGAGAAGAATCCTCATATGCAGGCGCTCCATTTGATGCCCGCAATCTTTGCGTCTGATGCAGGCGCTCATCGGCTGCGCATGACTGGCCTGCCTACTCTTTTGCTCTTCATTTCCCATCCCGATCCAGATCCCCAAAACGCTCGGACGAACCCTATCGCCTGGTTAGGGCCCTTGAAGCTCTTGAAAGCCCCTAGCCCGCCAGAAGCCACGCGAACCACCCCATCCGCTGCCGGATATTTTGCGGGCGTTGCGTTTTATGCAGGCGCCGCCGCAAGGCCCGGGTATCTCCGTGAGAAGACCCACAACAAGTCCTATCAACTTCAGACAGGGCATTGGCAAACAGCATGTCTTTCTACAAGTCCTAAACAAAGTATTCCTCGTCATAGATACCCCCAGATTCTCCTCTGGCTAAGAATCTACGGCTGAGGGCTCACGCTGGTGCCGGAGAAGCATAGCGATCTCTACACGACGTCGGGAACTCCTCTCTTCTTTTGGTGGGCCGTATTTTTCTGTACGCAGTAAGCCACCCTTGCCGCGTTTTGTATAAGCTACCCCTGCAACATTCTGCGTGCCCACTGGTGCTTTTCTGCGAGCAGGGTACAGTGTAGGCGGGATGAGGATTTTACAAGCCTTCTGCCTCAATTGCCTCTCGGTCGGCCGCCCCGGCACCAATCAAACCGTGCGGCTGCATCCCGCATATAAGCCTCTAGCTATATCCTTACCATCAGGGCCAAGTCAAAATAGACGCCCGGGCGAGCTTGCAGCTTAGGCATCGCCTTGTCCGACACGCATTCCTGAACCAATAACGTTCACGCCGCCACATTGAGGCTGTGGGACCACTGATTCAGGCACCAGACCAATGGGGAAAAGCGGGCATGAGAGTATAAGGCGAGGACACACTTATGCCCGGGCACATTCTCCGAGTTTCTCTCGTGCTGAACCCTGCTCTGCACCCTGCTCTGCACCCTCCGCCCCAAGTTAGACGTAACAACACAGTTGTTCGGTCCACATGCCCACCAACGGGCGGCCTCAGCACTGCAGATATCAGCCGCATCATGTTCCTTTTGTGTGAGCTCAAAGTCAAAAGAAAGCACTAACACACGTGGGCCCGATTCCCAAAGCCAACAGAGTCCTCTCCCGAGGAGAGAAAAGCCGTGTTGACAAGCGTCACAGGTGAGCGCAATGTGAGGAAAACTTTATGAGGCATACAACCAGTGCAGAATGAGCAATATATTCATCAGGAACAACGCGTCGCTCTATCCCCTCTACAAACCTACGTTTTCATCGCCCACTCCATCCTCCCCCGTTCCTTCACATCCCCAAACCACTTCCACCCCTGTGGCAACGCTCCCACCTCGGCATACTCCATTGCCTTCTCCGCCTCCTTAAAAACATCATACCCATAGAAGAAATCTCTAATCGGCTCGCTCCAGCTCGTCACACCCATGGGCCAGTCCACCAACTCGCCCTGATAGAACTTGCGAATCTCGTCTGTTTTCTTGGCCAGGCCTTCCATGGTGAAGCGCGGGTTGGTCGAGGACAGGATCTGCGTGGTTGCGGAGCGGGGGAGGCGGAGCTGCTGGTAGAGATTCAAGCGCTTCTCGAGATTGGCGGGGGAATAGGTGAAGTTGGACGCGGCGAAGAGGATTTCTAGGGCGCCGGCATCTTCGAGCGCGGAGCAGGCGCCTTGCGCGTGCGTGGGCAGCATGTGGTGCGTTGCATCGCCTATGCAGAGCATCTTGCCTCGGTAGATTCTCGTGGAAGGCGGTCGCTGCGTAACCGTGTACACCTTCATCTGATCCGCCGTCCTGTCTTCGCGTTGGTTTTGATCCCTTTTATCGCTCTCCTAAACTATACACATCCGAACCTCCAAGTGACGAGACAAACTTACATAGGTATATTCCTCACCGCCTCGTGAAACCCCTCCATAGCCTCCAACACTTTCTCATGCGTGGTATCGCTATCCCAGTCCTCCTTGTCGCGCTCTTCGGGCCGCGTGTCGTGGAAGACGGCACAGTTGAGAAGCTCGCCTCCTCGGCAGGGGTATGTCACCATTGTGACGCCCTTTTCATTGAAAAAGGTGCAGAAGCCCGCGCCTTCGTTGTTCCACAGTATAGCGGCACCGGGGTGCTCGATCACCTTATCGAAGGGGGCGAGCCATCTGTACACGCTCTTCCCGATCTTGACCGAGGGAATGTGTTCCTGTGCAATCTTGGAGACGAACCCGGTCTGTGGGAGTTAGCCGTCCGTTCGTTGGGAAGACTAAATGCATAGCCTTTCCGAGCAGCGGGAGCTCACATGACATCCATCCGCCAACACCCAAAAATCCTTCTTCACCTTCTCCCCACCTCGAAGCTCCACCTCCCCTTCCTCTGGCCAAACTTCTACAACCTCGGCACCGAGCCTGATCTTCACGCCAACCTTCTCTGCCACTTCTCTCAACCCTGAATGCAGGTCCACCCGATGATAAGCGCACATGCGCTCCCCGAACCTCTCTTCCACGTCCTCGAAACTCGTTCGCAGCGCAATTTGAAGTGTTTCTACTCTCACGAAGCTAGTTTAATCGTTAGTGAGCGAGAGGCGTATAACGCATGGAAGCAATACTACCGAAACTGCTTAAAGTCCACCGGACGCGCTTTGTGGAAGTCAAAGCCCCACCGTCGGATCACACGGTTCCCGTTCGGTGTGAGAAGAATAGCTGCGCCGATTTCCCGTTTGAAGTTGCTCTTCTCGAAGATCTCGACATTGTGACCTGCCCGGCGTAGGCCGATGGCGGCAGCGAGACCGGCGATACCAGCCCCGACGATACCAACGTCCATAGTTTGAAGGTTTCTTTTCTCGTAAGTATGGCCCTAGTAGTAAAAGTCGATGAATGAAGACCGCAACTGTGTTGAGCGAGTGTTGGGTTGTAAGAAAAACAAATTCTGGTGGGATTGTAGAGCTTATGGCACAGCGTCCTGCGCCACGATACACGCGGATTCCTAATCTTCCTTCCGGAGTATAAGAACGCGAAACAAACAGTGCTGACGCAAGACTCGCGATCGATGTCTTGTAGGTTGTAGTGCGTAATGGTACAGCACATGAGATCCTTAGCGCTCAACTGAGGTCCGGTCTGGGCAGACATGCAACATCGTATTCCCGGTGATATCGACCAATCAGCGGAATTATGAGATGTACGAACGAGAAACGAGAAAAAAGCCTAGGTTCTAACAATTCACTTCGTCGAATATTCGTCGACTTGAGCGCCTTACAGCGCTAGTAACGATTTATGTGAGCGTGCTAAGCCAAACAACATATCTGCGCATTGACCGAATAGGGAAGCGAAGTACGGGTGCACATAGTAAGCACTGCAACGAACTAAAAGGTAAGCCTGGAAGGAAAGAAAGTTTATGGCGTAGATATGCCTCGACTTTATTGACATACTGTTGCCCATTGGTTCTTATAGGCGGAGAGGCAGGATACTGCTACCAAATGACGAGAGAGGTCCGGGGTATCGAATTCTAGATAAACCATGCTGAAAGTCTTGGAGAAGCGCAAAATAACTCGTGTGCGAAAAAGTGATGAGCGCAAAATTACCGCCGCTTTTCCCTCAACGCTATACCAGATCCGAACGCCATTAAGATTAGTAAAGATATATGCTAGGAAGGATGCCCGTGCCGGCACATCGTCCACGATACGTGTTGTCGTACAAAACCGCTTCTTACTAGCGCAAGAATGGGTGACCGAGAATGGATGGCATCAATGAGCTGGAGAGCGGTGCTCTAGCCGTACCAGCCTCCGGCGGTGACGTTGGTTTCGTCTGGGACACGGTGAGGAATAAGCGGCACCTTGATGTCGAAGGCTTTAATCAAAGTCTTCCAGGTCGGCCAATCAAGGCTAAAAATTGCCTGATGTTTCTCAACGTGCAGTTCTCGTTGCTGTTGAAGATTCCGCGGCTCCTCGGGCACTGGAAGAGTCAGCAACAGATCTGGAAGACATGGCAAAAAACACTCACCCAACAGCGGGAGTTCATCTGCGTCGGTCAAAACCTTGGCAGCCCCTTCACGGATGAGGAAGCTAATGTAGAAGAGATTCTCCACGGTCTGCCCGAATGAACGGGGATTGATGGCGAAGTCAAACAAGGAGACCGCCGCTTCGCCCTCAGGCGTCTGGTAGACGCGGTAGCGTTTGCAGGCCGCGCTGACGTCCTCATCGTCATAGTTTGGGTACGCTTTAAGCTCTTCTTCGATTTGGACCTCGCCGTCGTTGATGTGCTGTTGCAGTCGCGTCTTGATGCCCTTTACAAGGTTCGTCAGGTTGGAGTTTTCGGATTGAATTATGTCCTCGTGTCTGAGTTCTTGGGGGCGCGTAGCCGGTCCCAGCGGTTGTCGCTGGGCTCTTGCACGGCGGGTCTGCAATCGGGCGCGCTTCTGAACGGAGAGCGGCCCTAGAAGGAAGCTCGATACGGGGGGCCGCTTGTTGTTCGGAAAACAAGCATATCTTCCCAGAAGGGCCCAATCCAGACCCTCCCCGTTATTTTCCTCGTCTTCTTCGTCTTCGGGCACCGGCTGTCGCCGGCGGGGTGCCTGCGTGGAGGCAACTTCTTTCGAACCCGCTGGTCTGCCCTCCTTCATGAAGAAGATACACCGCGATACAAATTGATCAACGTCGACACCGACACCAACGTTTCCATGCAGACTGGCATTCAGCTTCTTGGCTGCGTAATCGCTCGCCAGTACCAGGACGCGCGAATCCAAAGTGGCATCGCCAGTCTGCCGAACCTTGCTCATCAAGTGGTTCTGACGTACGATAGCATCCGCTAAGGCGCCGCTCTCCGGCCGGATCAGGTCGTCGCGGTTGTCTAGAATTGTCAGCCTTGCCTGGTGCAATTGCGGTCCGTCCCTCACCTTCCATCTCGCGATGGTGATTGCGAATGCTAGCGCGCAATATTCGGCGCTTTTCGGGATCCTGGTGCGGGTTGTAGTATCGCGACCCTCCCTCCTCTTCGTCCTCTTCGTCGTCATTGGGGGTCGGCAGGCCTTGCTCATCTTGTTCCTCCTCGTCCTCGTACGTCTGCGGGCCATCACCATCGTCCCCGTCTTCGTAGATGTCTGACTCGCCCATGCTGTAGTCGCCGGTCCGGCGGCGCTTGTTCGCGTTCCCTGATGACGAAGACGAGCCCGACACAGGGGTAGGCAGACGCTGTGGGCGCCCACCAGCCATTCTCCTGCCTTTACTTGTCGGACGGGGCGTCATTTGGCGCGATTCCGGGATTTCGTTCTCCTTATCCGAGTTCATGGACTGCGCGGGGCTCATGACGGAATATGAGGACTGTCGTGCTGCGCTGCCTGCATTGAGACGCGCGCCGGGCGGGGGGTCCGCGTAGAGTGAATCCACGGTGGCCGAGCGACTGTATTGCGGGGTTGCGGAGGGGTGGGTATTGAGACGCGCCATGCTGCTGCATCGGAGAGACAGGACGAGTGGCGGGAGAAGGGGCGGTCGCTGGTGTTGACGAGGCGACGGGCGCGAGCACTCGACGCGGCGCAGCAGGAGCCGCTACGCTAGCGCGATTTTCGTCGAGACGCCCCACACGTGCCACCGTTCTCCCGCGTCGTTCTCACAAGCGAACGCTGCGTGACATTCACCTCTCTCATAGCTCTGGTGCTTTGTTGATGAATATGCTGCCGGCCACTGCTCATTCAAATAACTAGTCGCAGGGCTCTCTCATCTCTCCCGGCGAGTTGCTACACTCTCTCACCAACGGCGCCTACCTTCACCTTCACCTTCACCTTCACCTTCACCTTCACCTTCGCCTCTCTATATGACGCACTCCGATGGCATGCGATAGCAAACATCCGCCTTTCCGCTCGAGATGGAAGCCTTCCACTTTGCTACCTCCTCCGACCTGAACGAGCTCACGGTCCATGTCCGAATGTGAGCTGCCCCCAATATGCGCGCTGAAGCATGCTGAGTCCCGCATAGAGATCGCCTTGATGGACACCAGAAGCCTGTGCCCTATTCGGAGCTGTTGAAGAGACCTGATCTTAGGCACCGAGCCTCGAATATCAGGTTCGCCTCGTATAGCTTCTCCAGATGAAAGCTGACAAGCGTGCAGCCCGCACTCCGAGCTCTATGTGACGGCTCAGATATGGGCCGACAGCAAGCCCCTCACCGTGCCCGTCCAGACCGCCTACAAGTCCTTCAAGAACGCGCGCATATGGAATGAATGGCTGTCTCTTCCCGTCACCTACGCGAACCTCCCAGCCTCCGCCCAGCTCTCCATAACCGTGTGGGACTTGTCGCCGGCCGAGGATAAAGATTCCAACCTACATGCGATACCCTTTGGAGGCACCACGATACCTCTATTCGACAAAGACAACACACTGCAGAAGGGAAGGCAGCGGTGTCGGCTGCACCGCTTCAAGGCAGCGGATGGCCTATCCAATACCACGACGCCGTGGGTAATACCACCGGCGCGGAAAAGCAGGAAGGATGCCGTGCAAGAGGATACAGTGAATGAGCAGATAGCAGAGATGCAGAGGCTAGAGGAGCTCCTGAAGAAACAGGAAATGGGCGACATACCCCAGAACCAGTGGCTGGATGCCCTGGTGTTCAAGAAGATGATGAAGATCCGCAACGAGGCTCTCAAGGCAGAAGCTACCGCTTTGAACCGTCGTAACAGGGTCCAGTCCAACGGCACGAATGGCGAGACTGCCCATAACTCAGACGAGGAGCTATTCTACCTCGACATCGAGCTACCCCGCTTTGATCACTCCATAGTGTTTACGGACGTGGAGTATCCTCCGCCTCCGGTATCAGACATCAAGCTTCCCACAGAATCCGATATACGGTTACGGCCACCACCAGAGGTATCCTTTGGCCCTGGAATTGGAAACGGATACGGAGACGCGGATGCAGGTCGCCTCATCCGCATTTACGACCCAGAAATCGGCAGAAGGGTCAATCCAGCAGAAGACAAGCACCGCGAGTTGATGCGCAGCCAGCAGACCGACTCGCTAGACCGCGATAGAAAACCGAACGTGCACGTCAGGGATAAGCTGAACTTGCTTATGGCCAAAGGCCCACTCGAGGAGATAACGTCGCACGAGCGCGACGAAATCTGGAAGTTCCGATACTACCTCCTCAGGGACAAGCGTGCGCTTACCAAGTTCGTCAAATGCGTGAATTGGAAGAATGAGCGAGAAGCACGGCAAGCAGCGCCTCTCCTTGAGAAGTGGGCCGAAGTTGATGTCGACGACGCGCTCGAGCTCCTAGGCCCGCAATTTGACCACCCCGTCGTACGCAGCTATGCCGTCGAGCGCCTTAAGAAGGCCGACGATGAAGAACTCCAACTATATCTTCTGCAGCTCGTACAAGCCCTGAAATACGAAGCCGATGGCGAAGGCGACGACTCCTCGCTCGCACGCTTTCTGGTCACGCGGGCGGCCAACAGCTTCACCTTGGGCAACTTCCTCCACTGGTACCTAATGGTCGAGATCAGCGACCTTAGCAGTGACCAAGCGCCTGAGCATCGCGCTCTCTTCTCAAAGGTCGAATACGACTTCATGGTCGAGCTGGAAAAGACTCATCAAGGAGAAGAGACACGGAAAATGTTCAAGCGCCAGGGCGAGCTACTCACCGTGCTCGCCAGAATATCGAAAGAGGTCCGTTTTGGCGGCGGCGATCGACCAGCCAAGATCGCTCGTCTGAAGAAAGCGCTTGGAGATCCGCGAAACGACCTCGTCAGCTTCGACCCCTTACCCTTGCCACTCGACCCAGCCATTATGGTCAATGGTGTCTATCCCGACGACTGCACGGTTCTGAAATCCTCTCTCCTCCCCATGGTCCTGAACTTCAAGACCACGTTTAACACGAAGTACCCCATCATCTTCAAAACGGGCGACGACCTCCGCCAGGACCAGCTCGTCATCCAAATCATCACGCTCATGGACCAGCTACTGAAGAAAGAAAACCTCGACCTCAAACTTACACCCTACCGCATCCTCGCTACCTCCACCTCGGCAGGCGCCTTCCAATTCATCCCATCCATGTCCCTCGCTGCTGCAGTGCAGAAACACAAAGGCAGTCTCCTCGCCTATCTTCGCGCCAATAACCCAGACGACACGGCACCCTTGGGCGTCAGGAAAGAAGCAATGGACACGTACATCAAGTCCTGCGCCGGCTACTGTGTAATAACCTACCTCCTCGGCGTCGGTGACCGGCATCTCGACAACCTCCTCATCTCACCTTCCGGCGCCTTCTTCCACGTCGACTTCGGCTACATCCTCGGCAGGGATCCGAAACCCTACGCCCCGCAGATGAAACTCTGCCGCGAGATGATCGAAGGCATGGGCGGCGCCGACCACCCTAACTATCTCTCCTTCAAGCAATACTCATTCACCGCCTGGAGCACGCTCAGGAAGAGCGCGAATCTGTTGCTGAATCTGTTTGCTCTTATGAAGGAGGCGAATATACCGGATATTAAAGTCGAGAGGGAGGGTTCAGTGAGGAAGGTTGAGCAGAGGATGTGGCTGGGCAAGGGCGAAGCAGAGGCGGGGAGGGAGTTTGAGAAGCTGATTGAGGAGAGTATGGGGGATCGGCTGGCAGGCGTGATTGACTGGGCCCATGATTTTATGCAGTACTGGAAGAAGTAGGGGAGATAGAGCTAGTCGTGTCATACATTGCGCCAGCATCCTTGATTAGTACTGTAGCCACGCAGACTCGTGTCGTGCATGGAAGTTACGCTCTATGGTGCAGGGCATCCGGCGGGTTGGTGACTCAAGGAGGAGATGGCTTCCGAAAATGCTGAAAAGTAGAGAACCACAAAGTCTTAAGATGTGTAGGGAGAGCAAGTCAACAGAAATGAAAGGTATCGTAAATATGTTAGGAGCTGAAGAGAGAAAGAGGTATATTCCTCCGTCTATTTCAGACTTGTCTATTTAAGCTCCTCAAGACCATCCTCAGTGACTTTGTCCAGCAAGGCCTCCGGGTTCTTGCTCCGATGGTACTGGTAAAACGCATAAGCCGACAGCGCTTTCCCATCGCGCCCACCATGGACGCACAGCTCGTCAAGCGGGACCAGCTTGAGCGTAATCATCTCGCCCTCGTCCCGCAGGCCGGTCGCTCTACCCTGGAGCGCCTGCAACTTCCCTCTCGGCACCCTCTTCTGACACAGGTACAGGGGGAGAAACTCGTCGCAAGCGCCCATGCTGGGGTACATTGCGTTGTGGAGATTTTCTCGTGCATGGCTGTGCTGCGGTGACGTGTTCCTCTTCCACGGCGTGATCGTGGACTGGGTAACCACGTTCTCGGAGAGGGCGAACAGGTCGTCGGGTTTGACGACAAGCGTGGTCTCCTCTTTGATCTCTTTCGCCGCGGTGCCGGTGAACGAGTGGCCCTCGAGCATGCCGGCGGGGATCTCTGCGAAGGCGAGCGACGCGGCGGCTATGCGGGGCTGGATGGTGAGGAGGGCGAATTTGTCCTTCTCTGAGTCCTTGGGGACGTCGTTGGGTTGGAGGATGATCTGGGCGTGGTAAGTACGTACCGCCTCGGCAAACGCAGCTGCATGAAATGAATGACTCACTAGCATCCCGACGCTTCCTCCCCGAAGAAAGACAGCGCCTGGTAGAGACTGTCTGGGCTTTCTGAGCTCCATTTCATCGGTCTCGCCCTCGTTGGGCCCGCTCTCGACCTTGACCTGCATCTTGATGAAGCCTAGTTTGCCACTCTTCCCGGTCTTGGGATCGATCTTGCCGAACCAGTCGACTGCCTGGACGTCGATTTCGCGGAGCTTGTACGCATTACTGTGGAAGGTGTGGGCTGGGTCTTCCTGCAGCTTGAGGTTGTCCAGCAGCTTCGAGAGCCATTCGTTGAACGCTGGGAAACTGACTAGATCCTGGCTGTCCAGGTTCCATGGAAGGAGGACTTTGCATGGTGGTGCGAGTTGCCGACCTCGGCAGCCCGACAAGATGAACTGCTTCCGAGTCTCTGTGGTAGTAGACATTTTGGCTAGGGTATTTTGCACGTTCGTAAGTGGTTTCGCGGTGGTTTGCCCGCTTCGAAGAATCAGGTGAAGGTGTTCTTTCCAAAGAGGATTGTTGTAGAGAGAAGTTGGTTGAAGTGGGCTTCCGCCTCCAGGTATCCTTTATAGGTGCGCTGAATCATATTCATAGCTGTGAGTCTACGAGCACACGGTGACTGAGCGAGTGACGTTAGGCTGCGTCGTGCCTGAGTGGCTAGACCAGAAGCTTGGGCCAAACTGGGGGCCGTGCTCACTTCCGGTGAATGGCGCCGAAGAGGGGCATATCAACATCAACACCGTTAAGTCCGCCACCCACGAGATAAGCTTAAGAGCATCCAAATAGCCCCTCACCTGCCCCTAATCCGCCTGTTTCTGCCCAGTCTAGCTTCACCATCGATTTCCCGTCCCAATGGGTACTTTAACAGCCGGTTATCCGCGGTTGGATACGCACTGCCCGCACAAGCTCGCGACGTCGTGCCGCCTCACTTCGACGCCGAACTGCTGCGCATGCGCCGATGAACGCCCTCACTCGCGCACATACTCGGTCTACGTCGACGGCGTGGGCTTCGTCCAGCGCGGAACACGCTGGCAGAGCTATTGCCCGCCCTGCAAGGGTGAGTTTGCTCCGATACCCCTCCCGTCAACAATAGCACTGTACCAAACAATGTGCAAACATTGAGCCATGCTGATGCACGCAAACCAGAGTTCTGGAACAACCGCCTCGCAGCGACCGACCCCCCGCTGGAAGCCTCGCAGACGCAGATTCCACTCATTCCCGACCAGACCGAGTTCCTCGAGCGCTGGTTTGAGTTCCACCAGGGCTACCGGATTGTGAAGCACGCCGATGGGACAGAGTCTCGCATTGCAGTTCTAGGAGAGCCGTTCAGAGAGGTCAGCCCGGGATTCCTGCCGCGGACGCTGAATCAGTTGCGCGCGGGGATTGAGAACGACGAGTTCCGACCACAGAACCGGTTCCGACGGAGGCGGTTATCGTCCGAGGAAGAGAGGGCGGAAGAGCCACAGCAGAGCCTTGAGGAGGCTCTTGATAGTTTGCTCGAGGACGCTTCAGACGAGGAAACAGCAGACACGGAGCATCAAGAGTCGGACATGCCCCGCGACGCAACTGGCCTCTCGCGGCCTCTCACCCGGACCGAAGTCCACCTGCACCGCGCAATGGATCGCATCGCCCGCATATTCGGCACCCGAGAAGACGTCCAACGGGACGACTACGAGTCGCCTCTCTCGACAATGTACGATCGGGCCTGGGGACGCTATGAACAAGCCGAAGAGCGACGAGCGTCTGGAGACACGACCGCTCCCTCTGTCGAAGGCCTCTCAGGCAGAGACCGACGCGAGATAGAAGAGCAAGTACTCTGGGGCGTCATGGACGATTCTCGAGACGCTTTCATACAAGAGCAGGAGAGCGGCAACGTTAGGAGCTATACCCCTGCTTCCATGAACCGAAGGAGCGAAGACTCCGCCACGGAGCCTACCACTCCTCGCACTTTCGAATCTTTCGTCAATCTGCCTACGAATGCACCACCCTCGGCGTCGCTAACAACCACCTCTTCCGCCTCAACCTCTACCAACGATCTCCGCACCTCCCTTGAGCAGATCACGTCCGACCTCACCCGCCTACGCATGGCCTCGGAAGCCGTCGCCAATGCCCGGCATGCCATACACGCACGCCGCCACCCGGCACCACTCATGACGCTCGACAACCAGCCTGACCGCCCGGCACCGATGACCGACGAGCAAATGACGAAGAATCTGAGCTGCCAGGTGTGCTATTGCCAGATTGCGGATATCGCGGTGCTGCCGTGTGGACATATGGTCATGTGCCAGTGGTGCGCGGACGTGGTGGTGCCGGTGAGGCATAGTCATTTGCCGGTAAGCCCGAGCAAGTGCCCGATGTGCAGGAAGCCGGTCAAGCAGAGGTTTAAGATACATATGGGCTCGTAGGGCGGAATCTGGTATGGAGAGCGAATCTGCCAGGGAGAACTGGCCCTGATGCGTCTAGAGAGGCGGGCGCGGTCCGCATGGGCTGTGTCTCTCACATATTTCAGGCTCGAGGGCTGGTGACAGTGGAAAAGAGCTAGGGTACCGCAGGCCCGCCTAGGCTTGCGTGCTGAGCCAGCACTTTATGGAGGGGATGGCGCAATAGCTTAGAGCAGTTACGCAGCGATATGTATATATTGACGTTCTGCGGCATAGAAACAAAGCTGAATCCGAAATATCCCTCATACTTTACAACCCTCTTCACGCGCTTCTTGCGGGAAACTAGAAACGAGATCAGACTAACTCAAACGAGACGACACCTGAAACAAAGCTACTCTATCTCCGCCGGTGGGTGGGGAACATAGGAACGAACAGAACGACTGTAAACAGACGAACGACAACTGCATGAAAAGTTAAGTTGCCCACCACTGCTCCACTCCACTCCCCATCAACTAACTCCCACCGCTCTCCTCAACGACAACATCAAAATACCCCGACGTCTTACCATCCTCCTTGCTGCCCTCCCCACCCGTGCCGCTATTCTTCGGACTGCTCAGCCCCCCGCTCATCTTCTTAATCGCCTCAAACGTCATCTGCAGCCTCGTCTTCTCCGCCGCTCCACTACCAGCCGCATTCGCTCCCGCGCTCCGGCTCGACGTCGGCGACGAGGCGGCGCTGGAGTGTGAACGCGAGTGCGTGTAGTTGGGCGAGGGATGGCCGTGCGGGTAGGCTGACTGCGGTGTAGCGTTTGCAGAAGAAGCCTGGGCCTGCGGCGAGGACGTGGGGTCTGCGAACTCGAGGATTACGTGGGAGCCGCGGCTGGATTCGTAGGTGTTGTGCTTGGAGAGGCTGAGTAGGTGGTTTTGGCTCGAGCTGGTGCGCTGGGCGGCTTGGGGGCGGGCAGCGGGCGCGGAGGGCGCGGAAGAGTGGCCTGTGGGAGAGGGGGATTAGTCTGTTGGATCAGCGGGTGGTAAGGAGGAAGGGGTAAGGAAGGTTTGGGGGGACGTAGGTACCTCTTGAATGGCGAGCTGTGCTCGGCTGGGAATGCTCTTTCCTTAGTGTCGGGGGTCTGGCGCTACTGGGCGTGGGTGTGGGCGTCGTGTTCAAGCTTTGCGGAGCGGATTTGGAGTGGATAGAGTGTGCTGGACGAGCGGAGGAGAAGGACCGACGAGGTAGACAGTCGTTGGAAGAAAACCTTGGGGTGTTGTCCGTAGAGTGAGACTGCGATCTCGCACGGCCGTTGTATTGCGCGCTGCCCCCACCGCCGGTACTGCTGTTGCTTTGGCTGCTGGATTGCCGCGAGTTGGTCTTCGCCTTATCTTCGCCTTCGCTCTTGTGCTTGGCGTCGAGGTCGGTGACGACGACGGTGTCGCCGAACTCTTTCTGCAGGTTGGCGAGCCGCTCGTCGTAGGACTCGGTCAGCGTGTTGGAAATAGTGTTGATGGTTTCCATTGCGTTGTTTGACGGCTTCCAGTCGACGGGGCAGAGGACACCGTGTTTTGCAACGGCTTGGAAAGCTTCCAGCAGGCGGAGGGCTTCGAGGACTGAGCGGCCCACTGTCAAGTTGTTTAGGGTAATCTGTCTTTCATCAGCCCACCGGCTAGCACTGGTGATGAATGTGAAGCACTGCGGAAAGGGACTAACCTGCTGCACAACCGCCTCCTCGTCCAGAATAAACATGCCCCGCAAACAAACACCCTCCTCCTCAATCAGCACCCCATAATCCCTACTCATCTTATGATTCGCATCGCTTAGTAGCGCGATATCGATCTGGCCCAGCCCGCCATACTGTCTGGGCACGTTCTGCCAGTGCCACAAGCTGTGCTTCGTATCCACAGACACGAAAACGACGTCGCAGTTGCGGTCTCGAAATTCGTCAAGGCAGTTTTGGAAGGCGAGCACTTCGGTCGGGCAGACGAAGGAGAAGGCCGCCGGTATGAAGAGAAGGATCAGCCAGGAGGGTTTGTTCTCGTTGATGTAGGTGCTGAGGGACACTTCTGTGGATATGTCAATAGCGTTATGAAAAGTGGAGGGATGGCCGAGCATACCCTCGATTGTGCCCTTGATGACGGCGTCGCAGTGGAATTCGGGAGCTTTGTATCCAATGCGGACTTTGCCTAGCGTACTCATCGCTGAGGCTCTTCCTAAGACGCGATGAACGTGAAGACCAGCTGCTCGATTTCGCTATCTTTGCCAGATTCCGGCTCTTGATTCTGGAGTGCGGCGAAGGACGTATACATGAATATGATGCAGGACTTAGCAGAGGAAGTCAGTAAATATACTAGTGGCGACTGGAGGCGTCATGCCATCGTGTCTCATACGCACACGACGGGGTCGGCAGCGATCGTACCATCTCCATCGCGTTCGATCTCATCGTGTCTCTCCGACGAGAGATCTAGATTGCCGTTTTCGGTAGGAACAACTTTCTAGAAGCGAGCTAGAAGCGAGAATTCCTTTGACGCCTCGTGAAACATCCGATGTAACTTGGTGACAACTGGCACTAATCATCGCATACCGACGCGGTGGATGAAAGAAAGCGGAGAGCGCACGAACGACAAGCTGAGAAGGATTCACGAGACCGCGAGATGTGCTGGTGTTGAGGGCTAGGCTAAAGTGGAACGTGTACGTTTAAGGCTTTGGCGACGACGAATGTATCGATGTCTTAGGAACATGCACTTATCGAGAAGCGAAAGTGGAACGAACGATTGAGGTGATGGAATATTGGGATAGTCTGCGCATGGGTATCTAGACGGAAACATAATGTGAAGGATTCGGGCGTTGACCACGGTTGGCAATCAGTTCGCCAAAGGGGCGGACATGTGGGTCAACACCCGGAGGAAGTGAACGATGCCTTCTCAAGTGGAGCCTAACGCAGTCGAGTCTATCAGCCGGAGCACAAAAATCGGAGGACACCTTAGAAAATGCGAGTTGCCAGGCTGAAGGTGTTCCTGACAGCGAGGCAGTTATGGCCACTCACCCTGCTGACCGCACTTCTCGCACACCCAGCTGGAACACCCAGCCTTTGCATTTTGCACCGCTTCCATACTGGCGACTCTCTTCTCTCTTTTCTGCACCTCCTGCTCCCTCAGTCGAACCGACTTCTCTAGATCCTCTACTCGCTTCTCGAAGCTTTTCTCCTTGAGCCGGAGCCGCTCCTGCCGGACATGGAGTACCTCTGTCCCCTCTGTGAGATTTGTCGAGGATGGTCCGGACGTATGGACTGTAGGGTCTCGTGCTTTAGTTCCCGCCACGCTCTCTGTCGACGATTTGTCAGCAATCCACAGGTCTTGCGCATGGTTGTACGGGGGATCTCCTGGCATAGAACGAGAGGGGAGGCACCCACCAGAACCCGTAGCGCTCACGATATTGATAGGCGCTGCAGCAAGGTATCCAGTATCCCAGTGTGCGTACGCGCAATCCTCGTCTCTCTTGTTGCAGCGGCCGAAGTGGTGCCAGAAGAAGCAAGTAATCGGTGCAACGAAATGTTTTGGTAGCGAGACATCGATTGATTTGTTTCGATGTCGCAAACGCTGAGATGCGAACTCGTAGTCGGTATATCCAGGTGTTGGCTCCGGATAGGTAGGCGACGATTGAGGGAACAGACGGGGACGCGACGGGGACCGACAGGCTGGGGTATAGGTGTCATACTCCTTATATCTATCCGAACGGGAGCGGGGTCGTGATGGGCGTGGGTGAGGTTCCTGGCGCTGCTTTGTTCGAGGGCGGTAGCCGTAAGGTTCGGGCCTGTGAGCAGGACGATAACGATCCATAGTGCGGGGTCTTTGGTGAATTGCCCATAGGGATGTGGTTCCCTTCTTGGGCACAGGTCGATACGGAGGGCCGCCTGTCATTTATGTTGTTTGTCTGAGATTTTGAGCGTTTGCCCGAAATCTCGGTAAGATGCAGCGCGTTTGCTTTCCGCTCGCAACTGCAGCCCGGGCAAGGATCAGGCTTGAGGAGAGGTAGCGAGTGCGCAACAAATCAACAGGTAGCCATCAGAGAGCGTAGTCTAGCCCGAGTGGATGTCGCCCAAGTAGAAATATCCTGAAGCCTACAACTTGCTCTCACGAGGCGCTCCCTCAGTTGGCAAAGCTCCACTCATCATCTTGAGCCCGTCGCTTTCGCTTTCCCTCCCAAACAGGACCTGCTCTCTGCCGCCTCTCGTGCCCCACCAGGCAACGGCTGATGCGCTGCGTTCAGGATCCATTTCGCCGCTAACAAGCACTTCCCAATATCTTGCTTTGACGGCTTCCCGCATGATATCATCATCAATTTGATTGAGTAGTTCCGCGCATAGCGGCATCCACTCTTCCAAGAGTAGAATTGGCAGGAATGGTAACGCATCGATTAGGGTCAAAGCTAGGACAGCTTGTTCAGAGAGCGGTGGCGGTGGGGCGTCGGACCCTTGCAGCGCTAACGTCGTTTCATCAGGAGGTAGAGGTTGGGTAGGTGCATTGAACGCCCGGTGGAATACCAACTCCATTAACGTCGCCGGAAGGTCTGGGTGGGATGCCGAGAGTGTTGACGAAGGTGCGGTAACCCGCATCAGGGTCTTGAATGCGAGTCGGAATTGCCGTGGTGATAGGTTATGAGGGAAGACGCTGAACAGTGCGTCGATGTAAAATGGGAGATGTTTCGCAGTGATCTCCGCCGATTGCGATGCGGAGAGCACGGCTAGCATCACACTATGTGCGGCCTCAAAGATGGGAAGCATGTTGTGATTTCCACCAGCGGCGAGATACGGAACAGCAGATGCCACGAGGAGATCCTCATTCGTCGCAGGCGATAGCACCAACGTAAAGTGCTCGGCAGTGTTGAGGAAGTAGAGATCCAGTATGCGATCGAGCGGATGTCGTGGTATCTGGCCGAGTTGTTGTGGTGCGATAGATTTGAGGAATTTATCAGCATGCATAGGGTATGCGGAGAGGATATCGATGGCCGTGAGGTAGACAAATGTATGCTGGGAGAAGGAAGCTGGTCCAAGTCGTGATGTGATAAAGTACAGGTGGCGGAGCGTGTTGAGCGCTTGTGATGCCAGGACCGGTGCTACGGCATCTCCGGCGAGGACTTTATCGCCGAGAGTCCGACTAAATACCCCTGTTATAACGATGGTCGTAGCGAACAAGGCAGTCTTCAAGAGCTTCCAAAGTAGAGGAAGCGTCCTGTTAAGTGCGTCCTCTTCGAGATAGACGGATTCTTCGGCCGGGTCGATTTCGGAGAACTTAATCTGCCTCCATTGAGTAGTGAGAGCTCTTGCAAAGCTTGCGAGGTCGTCCATCATGGTCTGGATCAACCAGGGGTCCCTCACGTTTTCGACTGAATGCGCGATAAACCTCGACAATGGCCCCATTGAGGAAACCAGTGGTCTCGCCATGATGGCTTCAACCTGCCGATACGAACTTGATCGGGCCTGGATGATGTTAGTGAGACCCACAGAATAGAGCTGCGAGACAACTCACATCCCAATCGAGCTTCTTTGCCTTGACTTTAATATCTAGATCCAAGCCGCCCAGAAAGTAGGCCGACTGGAATCCCTCGTTCGAGAAATACGTTGTGCCAATCAGCACCGGCAACAGCAGGTCGTAATCAATCTGTGCCCTCTCCGCACCCGTAAGGCCGCCAAAAGCGTGGTTGAGCACAAGCGTAATCGTCTGTCCTCCCAGACCGTCTGCTTCGGATCGCTCTCGGACTTGGACGAGGGCCAGGTTTGCCGCCTTGACCAGCGCAGCTTCCACTCTCTTCCTCATGCTAGACGCCCAATACAAGTCCATTCCTTGCTCTTCAAGACTGGCGACGCCGATCAACAGCCCGCCCAGCACCACTAGATGCTTCCATCGCTGGCTTCGGTCGTCTGCTCCAGCCACTACTGCGCGTATCCAATCGTCCAGCGGGAGGCCACCACCTGTAGGCGTCTGACTGGGGAGTAGCTTCGGAGCTTTGTGATGACGGACGTCATTGTGGTAGTTTATTACCGTAGTGACGGCGGTGTGAAATACGGAGAGCAGGCGGAGGGGTGTTCGCACGCCGTCGGGACGGTCCCAGAGCGCTGGCGCAGTTAGGAGATGGGAGGTTAGGAGGCTGAGGTTGTGAGGATTTCCGAGAGTCGTGAGAAGGGACGAAGCGGTTCCAAGGATCCTGGCGCGCTGTTAGCTTGCTGAGTGTTGCATGTTGGACTCGATGCGCACCGCGGCGTGTCTTGCTGATCTGTGTACGTCTGCAGAGAGCGCAAGAGAGTCGACAGAAGGCGATCAGCCGGCATTGTGGCAGATTGGCGTGCTATCCAGTCATTTGATGGTCCTCATCGAGGTCTGAATGCTCGAGCGATGGCTGGTGTTGACCTTCGCGTGATGCTGAACCGAGGCTGTCGGAAAAAGCTCGGGACTCGCTCAGCCCTACGAACATGCACGTTCCGCACGCTCGCTCCCAGGCGTCACATCCCACAGCGCATCCCACGACATATTGTTGAAGACGCAGCTGTCGGCGTAGAAATCATGCTGCCAAAATGAGGTACGCCCTCCATCTTCTTCACCCCCTTCGCCTATCCTCCGTTAACAATGGCCAGCTTCATCCAGCGCGTCGACAGCGCCGCCCCTCTGGGCTACACTACCCCCGACTTCCCCTCCCTCTACTGGCCGCTCCCTATTAGCGCCTCCAAACCCTACTACCTCTACCACCCCGGCGACATCTGGCGCTTCACCACGATATGGACGCTGATCTGCATCGGCGCCGTGCACATGGTCGTCGCGGCTTGGGCGTGCATCGTGCAGCGGCGCAATTGGAAGATCATGTGGATGACACCACTTGTGTATGCCATCATTGCAGGCATAGAGGCATTTATTGCGGGGAGCATTGTGGGTGGGCTGTAAGTCCGAGGCCCCTGGAAGAAACGAGTCCAGAGGAAGAGGAGACTAACGAGAAGCAGGTTGGGCGGTGTGTATCAGGCGGGTTATTTCAAGATGTCGACGTGGATACCCTTTGTGTGGGCATTGGTCAATGCCATGGTACTCATTCTGTCGTCTTTCGCCATACATGGCGGTCTATAACATGCTTCAATATCCTCGAGTTCTAGGGAATGCCAGCTTTCCCGATCGGTCGATCCAACGTTTCCGTGAATCACATCCAGCGCCAGTCACATGAAAATGGAGTGCTCAAAGGGGCTGTTTGAACCCTAGGTCATGAGAACAGTTCAAAGTATCCTCCTAGAACAACGCTAGGACGGTAGGCAAGCTCAGAAACTATTGGACTCCACGCATGGAGCTCCGATATACCCTACCGTCTACATCTCTCCATGCGATCCGAGGCCGGAAGGATTCGGCTGATTGGCTATCAGTATCGTTCCCCGCAGCCCTCCACGCGCATTTCTACAAATGACCCAGAGCCTGAGCGTCATCCAAGAGCTTGTCCAGGCCATCTGAAGAACTGTCTCCTGCTACCGCTCCAACACTATGGCCCCAGCTAAGATCAATACCTTCCGGCTCTAGAGGAGGAACTGGTTCATGCCCTGGGCTTAGCCCTTCCTCCGCGAACTCGTCCCCTCTTCTCACTTCCCAAATATCGAAGCAAACATACCGTCTTTTCTCCTCGCTCATGTCCCAAACCTCGCAGTCGGCCGAGTGATTACCCCCATAGCACTCTGGCGAAAACCTCGGCACATGGTATAACTCACCAATCCGCACTATCTCTTCCATGGCGGCTCTTTCCCTCTCCACAATCCTCTCTGTGTCGTCCTTTCGTGTGTACCAGCCCAAGTCCATAATTCTTTTCTCTTCCTGTACCTCTTCTCCCTGCTGCGCTTGGTGCACCTCAGTCTCTTCGAATACCACGTAAAGTACGTTATACGGGTCCCAGATCCTTTCTGCGTTTCCTCTCGGTATTGGACGGACAAACACACTGTCCAGATATTGCCTGCTGGAGATGGAATAGGAGTCCACGCCATCTTCGTGTGAGTAGACTGGATGGGCGCCACTACCTTCGCCCAAGCGGCTGGACCCAATTTCCGTGGCCCTGGTGGTGCAGAAGCGGTTTGCAGAGCGGGTGTCGGGATAGAAAACGCATGCACAGGTCTGTGGGAGGAGTGGGGCCGAGGAGTATGTTGCGAGGACGACGTAGACGGTCGATGGAATGGTGCTTGGCGGTTTGAGACCGCTAGTGTGGCATGTGTGACGAGCGGGGGTACGAGACCGATCATCCTCTAGCAAGTTGGAGTCTTGTGTTGCTGCGGAATCTGAATCGCTTTCCTCGACCCCGCCATCGGAGTCCGCCATCTGCTCATCGTCACTTCCGGAAAGGTACGCGTGTGGATCCTCTCCGTCCGCGAACGGGTCTATGATGCCACCACCCACCTCCACAACATCGAAATGAGCCAGTTGCCTTGGACCCGTTTTCCAAACTACGCATCCACGACGCCCAAGTCCATGCGTATCCAGATTCGCGCAATGATATTCTCCCTCGTTCTTCATCGCCTCGTAGTACTCTAGGCCCTCCGACTCCATGTCCTTCCGCGCGCTCGCGTAGTCCGAATAGCAGCCGAGGACATGGCACTCGTTCTCTCTTCCAGTATCATATCTCGTTTGTTTAAGCGTCAGCACCACATATCCTTCTCCTTGCTCTCCTACAGGCGCTTCGACCTCACCACTGTGGCCATGATGTGGCATTTTGACTACGGATACGCGGATATAGCCGTTTGGCCACGAGATGATCCAGTGGGTTAAGCCATCGAGATCGTAAGAGTTGTGCGTCAAGCTACTAGCACGAAATCTACCACTTCTAGTGATCTGGTGGACGGTTTCGGTGCAGAGGGCGTTCGCTTCGGAGAGGGTCGAGCAGCGGCGTGAACAGTCGATCTCTGGGTGGTAGTGGCAGCGCGGGTTGGGAAGTGTGAGGAGTAGCAGGTACTTCGGCCCGTTTGGGGACATCGTATCTCCAATGAGGATGTGTGTCTGGAGACTCTAAGGGAAAGTCGGGGTTTTTGGGCAAGCTGGCGGAAGGTTTTGAAGGAGCAGGTATGTGAATGTCTCGCGTGCTTGACGGGCAGTCTGATTCACAGCGTGCGCTTCGCGTTATTTGCTTCGGACTCTAGTCTCAACGTGCGAAGCGCACGTGGCGGATTCCGTTAGCATGTGTCTTAGAAGCATGAGAGGCGAGGCAACGCTGTTACTCTGTTTTCTCCAGTGGAGACATTCAGTATGATCTAAAGGTGGGGATTTTTGATCAAGTTTCCTTGCTCATGCTAACGTTTTCATTCTTAAGGTACCATCACGCCGCAGCAGGACCCGCACCACTCCCCGGTCTTTCAATCCCGACCGACGCACTCCAAGTCCACGAAACACAATGCGAAATCCAACACTTACCAAAGACGCGCCGTACCCCCACTCAGTCCCCACGAGCAATCCGCAACCTGCAATTCCTCCTCGTCCACCTCTTTCTCGATCCCGCCGATGAAGCCTTTGACTGAGAGACGTACCTGGAGCGGCTGCCCTTCTAGCTGGCCCGCTTCCTCTTTGTGGGCTTGCTCATTGCGCTGGCGATTCTCTGGGTCTTCAGCGCCGTTAGCTAGCCGTCATGTTCTACGAGATTGCGAGTACCTTGGTCGAGCTACTGGATAATAGTTTCAGTGGCCGATGATGTTTGCTGACTGGGGAAGGCCAGGAGAGGAGCTGCAGAGGCTAACATTGATGGGCGACGGCGATGTCTCGTTGGACATGCGCTTTGGTCAAGCAGGCTTTTGGTCCTACGACGAGATCCAAACATGTGTCTAATGGGGTGCGCCACGCAACGTGATCCGCGCATAAGAAGTTCGGCGCAGCTTTTTGTTCGTCCTGGGACAGGGCGTAGCCATGAATCTGTGAGTCGGTAGATTTTCATTCCCCGACATCCTACTTCTTTGCATCCCTCTCGAATCCTAATTCCGCTCCACACAGCTTGTTTCCTATCGATTTGGTTTTCGGCTCTATCCTACATACGGCACATCCTTGAGACCTGTTTGTGTTCAGCCATACGGCAAGTAAGCGTTCTAGTCGGGACGAGTATCATACATCTTACAGACTGTCCTTTCGGTACTAGCGTTTCTTCTGAGTTTCTCACGGGCATCGAAGTTCGCTCGGTGGGCTTGTGGTTCTAGAAGCGTTCTCGCATGACGAGCATGTTGACCCAGTTTTTGGTCTCTTGGTTTGTATGGTCTGGTCTGAGGGTTAATTTTGGCCACTACTTCATTACCACTAGCTTTCTCGGTAAAGACGTTTGTTCTGGTGGCCAATCTTTGCGGTCATTGCTTAACGTTCTCGAAGTTTCTCGTCTGCACATGTCTCACAAATAAGTGGGAAGACATTATTTCTTTTCCCGCGAACTGCTCCCTCGTCGATGTATCTCTTTAGCCCATATGACCAGATTTCGTATGCCTCCTGGTCCGCACCACAGCCTGCTTGTTCGAGAGTTGTCTTTTGTATTGCTTCTTCTGGGCTTGGAGCATAATCCTTCCCCTGGCTGGAGAAGCATCACCTGCTGCTCGTTGCCTTCGGTCCAGTCCACACCTCGACGTATCTTGCGATTGTAACGGGAACGAACTAGATCTTGTCGCCAGTGGCGGACATGAAGCCTTGGATGCGGACGTTTTTCAGCTTGCAGGGGAAAACCGGGACATATCAGTGTGGCGAAGCGACTTTGGTCCCACTGCCATGAGGCTCTGCTCGTTGGGTCTTTGCTACCCCATACTTTGAGTGTGGATAGAGAGTTTGGGTGGATACTGCCTGGTGGATATGATGGCTTTTTGAGGAGGAGGAACATGTTATACGAAGAAACAACGCCTTAGTCCTCAGGCATCCATACGAGCATCGTGAATTTTAGCGGTGGACTTTTCAGGAGAAAGAGAACTTGGTATTTGACCTCTTTTAACGCGAGAGATGGCAATCTAGTGATGGAGGTTGTACGCTTGCGAAGACATATTTTAAGGGTTGAGCTTTCGGACCAACGCTCCGCTATGGAAGCGGTCGGCCACGCTTTAGAGAACCCCGCCGTGACCGTTCTCTGCCCAGCTACTTGTCCATCGAGAGATTGGAAGAGAGGTGGAGAGATGAAATCTTGGGTAAGTCGAGGGTTTATAAACGGCTTTTGGGGAACAGGGTGCAGACGGAGCGGCATTAGCGCCTATCAGATGCTATTTCCCCGCTTTGAGGATACTCACCACACCTCCTCGACTCCTAACTACTGTATACGATGTTTCGAGATCGCATTTAGCCGTCTACCACATTTTGTAGAAGGATTCCCCTGTCCCCTTAAGCGATGCGGCTGCGCCAACCGCTAAAAGCGCCACCAATTTCTCGTTCACCGGAAGGGAAAACATGATAAGATGGAAAGGGGACCAACGCCGATGGGAGTAGTTCAGGTGTCGCCATGCCGCAATTAACCTTTCTACGGCGTGTATTTTCGCGTCGCACCTATCTCTACTTCCTCAGCATTTCCACTTTCCTCTGCTGCGCCGTCTTCTCTTTCCTCGCTTACATCGTTCTCTTCCACCATGTGCTCCCGATGCGTCGCGCCTACTGGCTCGAAACCGACTACCAACGCGCAATGCGAGACGCCAACCAGCAAGAAAAGGTCGCCTCGCGCCTCGCAGTTGGGAGCAGACCGCGGCGAAGAATCCAGCCTCTCATTCACGATGTCCCCCCCTTACATGCCTGGAATGCCGGCCACACGAGGGTATACAGCGAATGGCTGGGCCTGAACCGTGACGGTACGGGATCTTTTGTACGGAAGGGCCCGGAATACTGGATATATCTTGGGGGAACGGCTAGGGAGAAGTCGCGCGAGGAAGAGCAGGATCCGACGGTTTTCACCCACCGGTACAGGAAGCCAACCTGTGCCGATCCACCGTATATATGCGACATGTACAATACGGCTTTTAATCGCATCTCGGAACGCTGGCACAATGCATTCGGATACCAGACCATGGCATTCGGAACCACAAAACCGCTTCTCAGATATGCGGACTGCGATATTTCGCCACAGTTCTGCAGCTCGCGACACTGGGGCCTCGGCTCTACACCTGTGCTCTTGGTCCATCTTAAAGTCAGCGACCCGTGCGATTTCAGCATGAATATGAGGGGCCGATGCACGGGCACCTGGCGCTTCATTGCGCTGCCGATGCTGAAAGCGCCCTGGACGCGACAAATCCGGATCTCCTTGGACAAGGGAGGCAGCACGGTTGTACCTGCATTTCCAAATGCCGAAGAGCAGATGTGGTCGCTCATGGCGCAATCCGGTGCGCTAGATGGCTTGCAATACATGAAACATAGTAATGACAGTTTCAGCCGAAACAGCATTGTTACCGTTGAGCCTGTCGAAAACGATAAGCCGCGAGTTTCTACACCCTTCGGGCTCGTCAGCTGGGCGGTTTTCCGCGATTTCGTGGATAATCCGCTCAAATATCCAGAATGGCTGAAAGAAGCGGTGATTAAATGCTACGTTGAGAGATGGGCGGACATTTTTACGAGGTGGTGGGATGGGGTGGAGGATGTGGTGCGACCCAGATCGTGCGAAGGGGTTGAGGAGGAGAGGGCGAGGGCGAAGGACGCGAGAGAAGCGTTCATCCAGTCTGAAATGAGGAGACGGGATCAGCTGGAGGCTCGTATGAAAGCTAGAGACCGGGCCGTAGCGGATGATGGAAGTATGGGGAGAAGAGGGGCTGAGTTTTTGAAGTAGAGCCGTGCCGCATGTTAAAAAAAGCGTCTACAGTTGCCTCTCTGTACCGCAAACATGCCTACGCTACTTCTCGCCGAGTACTCAAGGGTCGACGAGTCTTCCTCCGGAATTACCTCCATACGCGTCTCCTCGCTCTCCCGGTAGAGGTCACTAGTCTCGTCCTCTCATTTAGCTTCCATGGGAATTGCATCTGAAATCTCGCCAGCGGGAAAGTGTATTGTGGATCACTCGCTCGTGGATAGCACAGCCTGATGTCCTTCACTTCGCTTCGCTTTATCTCTTGTCCTTTAACATTAAAGCATAAGTTTCAGACAGGCTCTCCTATCGGTGATAATCAGAAATGATCGTTCTTGAGGTTTGCGAAGCTGAGCAGGACGGTCTGTGACAACCTGAGTGGGGCAAGCGTCGTCAGCCCTGAGCCAACGCGCACGGGCCGACCCCTATCGCCACCCAACCTCACCTACTTCCATCCCTTCGAGCATACACTTCACGACGTAGAACTCCCTTCAAAAGGGCACGTTTGAATAGACAAACACGCTCCGCTGAGTGCCATATCGCTATGTGGCCTTGCCTTCTGATTGCGCTGTGTCCAGCAGCATGGAGCATTTCCGTCCCCGAGGGGCTGGGGTTGCGTAAGTAGAGCAACGCGTTCAGTAAAACTGGAGCTCCCTGAGCGCGGAACTATCCTCGATGCAGCATTGTTCGATTGTGGTCTTTCGTTCGTTGCTATTTCTGTTAACTTTTCAAAACTATCGAGTTAGCTTGCGGCGATATTTTCCTTCTTCTTCCTCTTCGTCCCTTCTCTTGTTGCTCGATCGATTTAATCCCTAATCATGATCTCAAATAATTTGGCCAGAGTGCTCTTGCTCTTCGGAGCCTACGCAGCCGCTCAAACATCTACCTCGTGTAATCCCACCGAGAAAAGTATGTTCGTTCCCCTCAACATCCACGATTTGGGTTGACACCTGACAGCATGCGCCGATGATACGGCATTGTCCTCTAGTACCTACACTCATGACTTCACACAAGGCGAAGATAGCGACAACTGGAACGTCACCGCGGGCAGCATCACCTATGGTAGCAACGGGGCTGAGTTTACGATCACGGAGTCCGGCGACGCCCCCACTATTCAGACCAATTGGTACATCTTCTTCGGCCAGGTATCAGTCCTAATGCGCGCCGCTCCGGGAACTGGCATCGTCAGTTGCGCGATCTTGGAATCGGACGACCTAGACGAGATCGACTGGGAGTGGCTCGGGGGGAGCGCAGACGAAGTGCAGACCAACTATTTCGGCAAAGGCAATACGACCAGTTACGACAGGGCCCAGATGTCGTCCATTTCCGATACCCAGAGTACGACGCACAATTATACCGTGGTGTGGACGAAGAACGCCACAACATGGTATATCGACGGCACCGCCATTCGCACCTTGAATTACGACGACGCTCTTGGCGGGAAGAATTACCCCCAAACGCCGATGAACATCCGCATAGGTATCTGGGCCGGTGGTGACTCCAGCAACGACGAAGGTACAATCGAGTGGGCTAGAGGAGAAACCGACTATAGCGACGGACCGTTTACGATGTATCTCGAGAAGGTCGAAGTTGTTAACTACAACCCTGGCAGCAGCTATAGTTATGGCGACCAGACCGGCGATTGGGAGAGTATTGTCATCAACGACGGAGAAGGAACCACAGCGTCGCCATCGGCAAGTGCAGAGGATGGCAGCAGTTCTGCGACAAAGGCGTCAGCAACTTCGACGGGGATGTGGTGGACGGCGAGCGCGTCCGTGCAGATGGCGCAGGCTGAGTCTAGTGAAGGCCGGAGGATTGAGAATCCGGGATGGCAGCATGTTGTGTTAGGAACGTGGATCATGTGGATGGTGTTGTAGGGACGTCGGTGCTGGGCTGCGCGAACTCCTCATCCTATATTTCGTTTTCCCGTTTGATCGACGACCAGGTCCCTCCTTCCCTTTCCGGACGCAATCCCATACAAGCACCATCTCCATGTCAATATCGATGCTATCTATCTTCAAGGGATCGCAACTGCATCGGAATTTTTCTTTCCACCCACATCACCTTCCGCACCCATGTTGGACAGGCCTTTGGTGTCTGGGATGCGCAGCATAACTTCGTAGCCTTCATCGCAAAGGTCGAAATTTCTCCGTCAGAAACATAATTGCCAAGGCGCGTTGCCGGTATTGGTGCTGCTCCAAGAAACACCATCATCAGTTCGAAACGATCGTAGGAACAATTTCTCGTGAGCCGGACAACCTGCAATGAACATGCTCCCGTACAAGTAGTCCATCGCGTCCGCATCGATGGGCCTCTCGCGGTCGGCGACTTGTTCAGAAAAGACCTTTGCCCATCTTGTTTCCGTCCTGTACTATCTTGCGGTGCTGCTGCTTCGTCCATTCGAAATGAAGCACGCCGTCATCTTCCCCGCGCTCTTTGCTTCGGCCTTTGCTGCGAGTATTCCTGCTCAAGTCTACGAGCACATCCACGGGCGTGCCGCCGCGCTAGCTCCTGTGTGCAATTTCGATGCGCGCTCTTTGGGCGATGCAAACACCGTCGTTCATGTCGAGAAGCGCGACTTGAAGCAGACCACTTGGAACCCGCCATCCAACCTCGTGACTCCACTCAAGCAAGTGTGGGACCATGAGATGTCGACCTACTCCAATCCTCTTGGGTTCATGAACTTCGGGTACGACCAAGTTATGGCCGGCCAAGGCAAGATCAACTATTGCGTGCGCTGGGACTCATCCGAGTCGGTGACGGCGGAGCAGCGTACGCAGGTCGAAACGGCCATTCGACGGCAGTTCAACAAGTGGATCGCTGTTCTCGCCGGGTTCGAGAAATTTCCGTACAACACTGTCGATGTCAATGTCGTGGGATGGGCGGTGAGAGATGCCTCGCTTCTGAGGGGAGACACCTCGGGGATCCAGGTCTATACTGACAGGGACTCGGGCGGCGTCCCTCAGTGCAGCGAGGCCTGCGGCCGCTTCTTCCATCAGAACAACGACTATAGCAGGTGCGCTGCCGGACAGGCTCGTCATTACGGTACTTCTTCATCTCTCCAAACTTCAACCTTGCTTCCCCACATGTTAACTCCTGACACAGACCAATCGCTCTGGCTCACGGCTGGTTTCCAGGGCGGTGCCGGGGGCGACTGGGGACAGCGCGTCGGCTCCGAGTACTTCATGCAGAACGTCAACGCCGATAATATCCACATCGTGCTGCACGAACTCGGACATACTTTCGCGCTCGACGACTTCTATGACTGGACTCCGACGGGGGTCACGAACTTCATTATGCGGGCTGGGAGCGCAATGGAGATTACGGAGTTCGATGCCTGGATGTCGAGGGACTGGTGGAGGAACTTGAAAAGTCGGTACGGTCTGTAGGAGGCTTGTTCGGCGACGTGGCGCTCGAGAAGAGCTGGGCCAATTAAAGGATGGCCTGGAGGGATTCGAGGGGCGATGGATAGTCATAGAACCTGGAATAACTCTACCTTAAAAATTAATTATTACGGTGTAATTTACCTATGGTAGCTATTCCAAGGTTGAGCTTCCAGGGCTGCCCAGGTGTGGCTATGCGCGTCTTACCATGCGGGCCGACCTCAACCCCGCAGTCTTGCGATAGATCCAACATTGGCCATACCTCCGGTCAACTAACTCGACTCTCTGAGGACACCCAACGATACAGAATTGGCCACCTCACAGCCCTGTGGCCTTACCGGGTCGGCCTCTCTTGCTAGCGTCCCAAGGTCACCAACAGTGTTCGTCCACTTCTCAAGGTATAAGCATATTTTGCTGGAGCCTTTCCGCTGCATCTCAGCCTTACCGCAGCCATGTCTCGAAACAGGGAAACAACGCGTACCGCCATCGGACCAGCGGCAGCACTTGGAAGACTATACGATGCGAAAAACGACACCGTATTGTCGCGGACGATTTTCACCGCCGAGATTCCGGAGGAAGCCATTGAGTCGACCGACGTTCGATGCAGCAATTACGAGCTTTGCATGACCGACACGCTCGAGGAAAAGTTCTCCAAGCTCAGCATTACAGCAGATCTCAGTGCCAGCATCCTGGGTGGGCTTTCGACAGTCAGCGGGAGCGCTAAGTATCTGTCACAGAATAAAACCAGTGCCCTTGTTCAACAAGCATCTATCGTCTGCAACATCACGACCGTGGACGAGAATCTCCGGATTGCCAATAGCAAACTATGGCCGGTACTGGACCTGGACGCGTTGAAGCATGAAAAGGCGACCCACGTTGTTGTTGGTATCCGATGGGGCGCCAGAAGCGTTGTGACAGTGAAGAGCTCCAAGGCATCTACTGATGAGCTTCTCAATTTTGGTGGGTCGCTCGGAGTGGGTAGAGGCCATGGCGGAAAGCCTTTGAAGTCCAGTGGGAAGGAAGTCGATTCGACTAGCCAGCCGGGATCGGAAGGTGAGGGACCCGAGAAACGAGAAGAGAAGTCTGAAACCCCTTCTTTTAGGGGAAGGCTTGGCCCCCTAACGACATTGATCAAATCCATTGGCGGCGCCCATGCAGGTGGAGGCTTTGAGTCCGACAACACACTGAAGGAAGTCGCATCCTCGTTCGAGTTCAAGGTCAGTGCAGACGTTGTCATGGACGGAACCGTGCCCGCGACGTATGAAGATGTCTGCAAATTCATTAAGAGCACGCCCGAAGCCATGCAGAAGGCCAACAAGGGGAAGGGAGTACCCCTCTCTTACCAGATCGTTCCGATTGCCGAGATAGCGAGGGCGCTTGGGCCTTCGGTACCCCGCGAAAACGTCGTACGTGACCTTGATGAAGACTGTCTCTTAAACTGGATTGACTACTTCGACCGAGCCTCCGCTGCCGTGCAGCGACTCAACGACTACTACGACTTGGTGTCCCAACACAAGCACTGCGTACCGGCCGAACACATAACCAGGGCAAAGAGCTCTGCAGACGAAGCGAGAAGACAAGGGATAATCTCAGAGGATAAATTCGGTAATGTCCTCTACGCCGTTAGGTCGGGAGAATATAACATGCAAGCTTTACGGGAGTTGCTTGCGGTTCGGGAAACCCAGGCAACAGCACCTGAAGCTGCTCTCACGATCACTTCGGAGTACTTGGACAAGATAAAGTTGGCAAAACAGTTGGAACTGGTTGGAGCGATGTACATGGGAGACAACACAAGCGACCTGCAGAGCCTCTACGTCAGCGCCGATTCCAAGGATCTGTACGTGTTGTATTACAACGAGACTACCAGGTCTATGCCGGAGTTTCTCTCAACATACGAGAGACTGATGGACCTGTTGAAGAACAATAATGATTCTTATTGGGTCGTTGTCGTCGACTGTGACGTTGGAAGCCAAAGGCCGCTGGTCAAGGCGTTCATTGAGCAGGTGCGTGGGGGCAAAGTTGTTGTCGATGATGTTGTCCAGGAGTACCTGGAGCTCGCAGATAAGAACCTTATGCGCTGCATGGACCAGAGCAATTTGGAACACCCCATGATCTTCAACCCTCCTGCTGGACGCCGCATCGTTCGGATCAAGTGCCCAGGCAGACATTGCTCTGCGAACAATGTCCTGGAATGGACCTGTCCCAATTGCAGAGAGCGGGTTTGCTTCGGATTCACAGATGACTACTATTATTGCGATTGTGGGCGATACACGGTTCCCAATGCAAGGTTCAAGTGCATGAGCAACAAGCACGGGACATTGTATGAGCAGCACGAGGATGTCGAAGCCGTGCGTATCGTGCTGAAGACTCTGGATCCATTTGAGGAATACAACATCCTGATCCTGGGCGAAACTGGGGTAGGAAAATCGACGTTCATCAACGCCTTTGTCAACTACATGAAATTTGGATCCCTGGATGACGCACTCGCCGATGAGGGCCCGCTTCAGTTCGCAATTCCAAGCGAATTCTCCTTCGACGAGCGCCGCAATGAACGAGACGAAACATTCCATGTCACCGTGGGGCGTGCAAGTGAGTTTGAACAGTTCTCACGAAAGGGACAGTCTGCTACACAAAAGTCTGTCACCTATCGATTTGAGCTTGATGGGAAGCGGTTCAGCCTCATCGACACGCCTGGTATAGGAGACACACGGGGTGTCGCTCAAGACCATGAAAACATGAAGGATATCCTCAACACTCTCGAGTCTGTCGACAAAATCCACACTGTACTCCTGCTGCTCAAACCGAACAGTTCACGTCTTGGACCTGTCTTCAACTTCTGTGTGACTGAGCTGCTGTCACACCTGCATAAGGACACGTCCAAAAACATAGTGTTTGGATGCACGAATGCCCGTAACACCAATTTCAGCTTCGGAGACACGCGGACACCGCTTGAGACCCTTTTGAGGGATAAGGCTACCGGTATTAGCCTTGGATACCATAACAGCTTCTTCTTTGATTCAGAGGCTTTTCGCTACCTAGCTGCAAAGAAATTGCGGAACAGAAGTATCGCATCGAAAGCGACGTTCGAAGACAGCTGGATCCAGTCAGCCGGGGAGGCCCGCCGGCTTATACGTACGACGATGAAATTGCCCATGCATCGCGTTCAAGAGACATTAGCGCTGTACAGAACGCGCAATATGATCGCCGGCATGACGAAGCCCATGGTAGCAATAGTAACAGCCATCAAAGCCACGAAGGCTAAGCACGCAGAGGCGCAGAAAAAGCTCAGCGAACTTCAAGCCGAGGGCTGCAAATTGGAAGAACGCTTGGAGATCGGCTACATTGTCCCTGCCCCCCGTAAATTGAAAAAACCCCGGACGGTGTGTTCCGATCCATCTTGCGGCAAACCGGTCTTGGTAGACGATATCAGCATCAGACAATATACCAAGATTTGCCACGAGGGATGCTACATCGAAATAGCGGAAGAGACGCTGGGCTTTCCGGAACTTGCGAAGTGCGATGCATTCGGCAACAAGGGGCAAAATTGCTCAGTCTGTGGCCATGCTTGGTTCGTGCATCTGCACGTCACTTACCGAGTTGATTATGAGTCACAGCCGAATCCCGCTGTTTATAAGGCAATTCGGGACAATGTCAACGGCTTGGTCTCTCTAGAGGATACACTTGCGGTGATTGAAAAAGAGAAGGAGCAGCTTGACAAAGCCAACCAGCTTGTGCAGGAGTCGCTTGCCATGTTCGGCATCTATCTGAAGCACAACGCTATGGTGGCTTTCAATGATGCGATCATCAAATATCTCGATTACCAGACCGAGGATGCTACGGCCCTGGGTAAGATCGATCAGGCGAAAGACTTCCGCGACCAGAAAGAAGTGTATCGGAAGCAGTTCAATGCAATCGAAGATGCCATTGGCCGCGCCGAAGACAAAATTCCCCAGAGGGAGGACCTAGTGGCTATTGTAAAAAGGCTGGAGGCCATTCCTGTGTACGGGGAACAATTGGTGCAGATGCAAGAAGGAGGCGCGGGTGTTCTGAATAGGACGGCTCCACCCAGTGTAAATTTGCAGCTCAGGAACGGGAATAAATGGAGCCTGAATTGGATGAAGCGGTTTTGGGGTTAGGGCGGGGGCAACGAGTGCGATGAGTTATTTCGGTACGAAGCTCTGGACTGGTAAGGCAGCGTCGGGCATGGGTGCAAAGAAACAAGTGATGCCATGTTCATGGACCTATGAGCCTGAGGAGCTTGATCCTAATGAAGATGAGCATACACGGATACGACACGCGGAGGGGACCAATGAAGTGCAAAGAGCCGGTGCACAGTCGGCAAAAGATGAGGTGGAGTGAAACAAGGTTGCGGGCTTCGCATATGTGCTTCTGGGCAGCAGCAGACAAATTGTTATTGTACCCCTCTTCGCCATCAATATACTTGTCTTGTTCGCTTGAATATTCATTTAAGGGATACATTGTCTGAGGAAAGCAAGCAAATGATGGTGTCCGCGAGGAACTCCTAAATGCTCAAGGTATGATCACGTCTCAATCAGGAGATGGGCAGGCTAACAAAACAAAGACACTGTCTCCACCCTCCAGGCGTCCAAAGCCCAGTGGGACCTTGGCCAAGGAGAACCAAGAACAAGCGGTTCTGTGCACAGCTGCAGAGGGATGACCTACTAGCTCCGGGTATCCAGTTAATAAGTTGGTCTTCCAGTCGTTCCTTACCGAGGGGTGATCACTCTCCAGTATGATGCAATGGAGTTTCCAGTTTGAAGGTGCACCCTGGTGTCTGTTCACTCGAAGGTGCCTCCATGGCTTCTCTAGAATGTCATCGGGGCTGCTTCGCCATGCGTATTTCGCAGCAAAGTATTAAGTAAAAAGCATAACCCAAAATGATTACCGCTTCCAGACACCTTGTTTACTCCAGCTTCAAACTCGACGCCACCTTGGGAAAGCACTGTTTGCTTAACGTATAGGTAAGTGCGCGTTGCCCAGGTGGCATTTGCTCCCTCGAGGTTACCTCTTCCGATAGCTGTCGCTCTTACTTCCTAACTGCAAGCTTGCCCGCAAGCTGCTCCCACATGGTGACTCCGCGGCAAACACGAAGCAAGAGCGAACTCTGAAATACGTCCCGAATTTTCTGTCATCTTATTTTCTCCGCCTTCAAACTGACATCACCGAAACTTCACCTCTCACCTATCGTCCCTATTAACCTTGAGCATCCTCACATTATTCATTGCATCTTAGCTATTTTCTGTATACGTCATAGCTCGATTCGTCTCCTTCTCACGGATTTCCCCGAAACCTCACACTCTTCCGTCCGAACAGCGTTCATCTGGCCGAGAACCGACGTCGCGACCTGGACAAGACCAAAACGATCCTCGCGACACCCGCAGTCAAAATGCTCGGCACACTCCTCGTAATCTGCGCGCTGCTCACTCCCAGCGCACTCACCTACCCCTATCTCAACGTCACCGCTGCCCCCGAGCAGCCACCATTTGCCCCCAACATCAGCACCACTTGCCGAATCTACTATCCCGAACTCCGCGTCATGAACTCGCAGTACCCCAGCTACGACGATTCTCCTCTGCACGGCGCGACAGACTTCTTCATGCTGCTTCGCCAACGCGCGGACACCTTCCAAATCGCCACACGGGTTCAATTCACCGGCATCTCACTCGGCCCGGACGCTTCCTGCAGCCTTGTGTTGCAGCTCGCCGCCCACGATCTCCAGAAAGTCCTCGGACCCAGTCCGGTATTCAACGTCTATCAGGTCGAGCGGGAGGCCGGCTCCGCAGCTATGTGGGATACGTACGAGGCGAGGAACTTCACGGAGACGCTACCGATGTTTGGGCAGGTAAATGGTACGGAGCCGGCGCGGTATATGCAGTGGAAGTACCATGGTGGACTGTATCAGATTGGGAACGCGAAGTGCAATGATACGTTGACGTTCCAGATGGGCATGGCGTTCGACGGGGGCGATCAGGTCAACTACTGGGACTTTACGAATGTGGCGCCACCTGAGACACCGGTTCAGGGGTTCAGACTTATGGCTGGCTGCTGAATGGCGGTGAGCGAGTCCGGATGATGAAGGCTCGGAGATGGGGAGTTTTATGAGGATTCTTACTTTAGGCACATGACTTCTTTTTACCCTTCCTGCTTGAGTGCCTAGCGAGCTCCCTTTACCATTTGCCTCTTGAGTTTTGCGCAATAATTGCAAGCGCTTTCAGTGCTTATGCAATAAGTGATTAGGATGATCGACATCTGTCCAGGAACACAGAAGACATCACGTGACTTTGCTTGTGCCGCTCAACCTTGGGAAGAGGCCACAACCCAAGGCGACAATTTTCCTTGCATAGTCTGTGCATCTTCTTAGGATCTTAGAGGATCTAGCGGCTGCCTTCAACGTCAATATTCAGTGCTACCAGCGATTCCAGCCGGATTTCGTGAGGGCCGGATCCGGCATAGTGCAAGGCGGCAGCTAAACCGCCCTTGGACCGCTCCCTTTGTCTCGTCTCATGTGATGGATTGCAACGCTCCTTTGAAATCTGCATCAATACCCCCCTTTCCTTCTTCCTTTTCTCACTGATGCCCCCATTTCAAATGCACTATGCGCTTCACGCAGGCTAGCCTTGCTCTGGGCTTCCTCTTCTCGTCCTCTTTCGCGTACACGCAAGGTCCGGCTGGCATTACCTCCGATCCATTCTTATGCACCGCATGTGCACCTATCGAGCGACTGCGTGCGCCTGTTTTTGGCATGGAAATCTCTCCAGACTACATAACGGTCGCGGTGAAGCATGCGAATGGGACAAATGCCCGGCTGGCGAAGTTCGAGCCGGGATATGCGTTCTACGAGCTCCTGATGACCGCGATGGAGGCGCGAGAAGTGCAGACCTGCGCGGGTCTGTCGTTGGACAGCCCGGGGTATTTTAGGCGCCGAAACCTGCATGGGATCTTCGAGTGCTGACAGCTTTCAGGTTGGAAGGGCAGTTGGCCTTTAAGCATGCGATCGTGGTAGTCGCCGACGAGCTCCACCGCGTTATACAACGTCTCCGTCAACTCTACCCCGAAGTAGAGTTTAAACATGGCGGCATCGCTGTTCCAGACTACATCTACACGAGTCCACTCCACCACATGATCTTCAAATGGTCCCTGCGGGCCCCCGGTCTCCCCGACGCGGAGAACGAGGGACTAGTCAAACTATATCCCGCCGATGCTGCCGCGATAGCTGCGGCAGCTCCGAAAGTCTTGGAGAGTATGGACATACAGGATTACAACTTCGACGCGCTTGTTGTGTCGAATGTGAGCTCATACCTGTCAGCCTCCTGGTACCAGTTCAGCTTCACTCAGAAGACGATCGGGCAAATGGCCGAGCCCAAGGTCGAGTACTTTCATGCCCGCGAATCTAAGCGAGAGCCTGTAATGGAGGTCGCCCAAAAGTTCGTTATTGCTGATCTGTCGAGTGTGGGTGCCTTCGTCCGCGAGAGGGAGGCCATGTACGAGCAGCGCAGAGGCTACGGAAAGCGGCTAATGAGCGGTAATTCGAAGCTCATATTACGACTTAGCAGCAGCTCTGATGATGACGTTCACGAATTCGGGAGAGGGATGCACGAATTCTTGGAGAAGTCGCGGTTCGATCCGGCCAGTCTCATGACCACTGTGTACCGCGAGGAGGGCGAGGATTGGATGTGGGCACCCGCACTCTGGCTCGCTGGCCACATGAAGGACTTCGTGGACTCTGGCATCCCGCTAGGCTGCTACTACAAACACCCTGTGTGCAAAGAGCTGAAAGAGTGCGTGCGGAGGGAGGCGCTGGGTGAGCTGATCATTTGCGAAGACGTCGTCATACCGGAAGAGACTATGCGCGAAAGGATCGAGAAAGGCGGGAAAGGGGGGTGGTGGGACATTTACATGGACTTTATCTTCCCTTGGGCCGAAGAACTGCTCAACGAGGCAGAAGCAAGACTGTGGTTGCTGTACTGTCGACCCTCCACGGCTACGCTCGCCCCACCATCCAAATCGAAATCTCTCTGCGAACACGCGATAGTTCCCATCTCCGACACGGACTTTGGCATTCTGACCGACTACCTGCACATTACTAATAGAGTGGTTACAGCCGTCGCGGAGTACTGGCTTGGTGGAAGTACGAGTCTGGCCATGCTGGGTGTTCCTGTATCCTGGATTGGGACGGAGGATTCGCTGAAGATCTTGTTCTGGGCTGTCAGCAGAGTTATTGGGCTGGACAATTTTAAGAAGCTGACTAAGTTCGTTGAGGACGAAGAGGACCTAGAGATAGTTTGAGATGCGAGTCTTGGGGAGGCCGAGGTGGGCATGCAGCAACGTTGATAGTGAGAGTCAGCGAGCGACACGATCAGACTTTTAAGGTCCACATAAGAGCAGGAGAAAAAAGATCTTTTACGACTTACAGGAGAGCGAAAAGTATTCACTTTTCTCCTCGGATCGGGAAATATATACTTCCCTTGCGAAAAATGTCAAACAGCGAATCCCCCACGAGTCCCTGATTGCGGTAAGTATAAACTTACCTAGCAGCAAGAAGCATATGACTTTTCTGGAGACCGGCAGGTATGCACCTGTCTAGGAGAGATATACATCTCTCAGGTTCCTAGCCTCGCGTTCCTGCCCACGTTGTACGCGTGAGCGTACGCCATCATCCTAGCGGCTAGTACCGCGACGCCCGCCTCGGACTTAGCCTTCTTGAGCTCCTCCTCCTTGTTCTTGAGTTCGGTCTGGAGCCGTCGGATCTCTTCTTGCGCTTCGTCTGGACCTTGTCTGACGGAATCCCTTGCTGGAGGCTGGGCTGGAAACCCCAATTGCATCTGGCCTGGATTTCCGTAAGCGACTGGAGCATTCAACTGGCCATACCCTCGGGATGCCTGGGCTGGGTCCTGGAGCACGACTGGTGTGGCTTGAGAAGGCGAGCCTTGAGGAGCTTGTGGGACTGGATTGTCATGTTTGGGATTCACGAACCCTTGCTGGATGAGGTCGGTAGCGAACTGGAGGCCGAACACGATCTCGAGGTTGACTCGCGGATGGCCGTTCCACGCAGACCACTACAATTGCGTTAGACAATATGCGAGAATGAAATCAACTACCGTGGACGTACTCTCACGTCGTCCTTGAAGAACTGGATGAACCCCAACATGGCCAAATTAAGTGGAGTAACTTCACTCTCGCCAATCTGCTGGCGACTGGATGCAGCGGCCGTCCTGTCAAGGAGAAACTGCCCTAGCTGGATGCATCCGGCCCGTTCCTCCTCAAACATCAAGTCGATGCGTTCTTGAGTTGTCATCTGGACACGCGTTAACCAGATGCCGAACGTTGTGTGAGTCCACTATTCACCTTAAGAGCTGGAGAAATGCTAGAGAAGAGGTGTATTTAGAGCTTGAAGTGGTGAGGTGATATAGTGTTATTGTGACGGTGCAGGAAGCCAAGAGAAGTTTTGGCTTTCTCAGTGTGCTCGCGCTAAGCTCGCACGTGACGTGTCCGTTGCCAGGCCTACTGCACAGATTGGGAAGGAGCGACCCTTCAACCTTCACACAGACGAGATTATAGACGTGAAGGCTAACCTCGAGAACTCCGACACTCATGCAGCATCTTGCGGCTTGCAAGTGGAAGCAGGATTGTTGGCATTTCCATAGACCCGCGTCAAGGCACCTTCACAGCTTGTGTATCTCGTGCGTAGTTGGTCGCACTTCGATACCCGCCGCACACTTCTCAACATCTTATAGTCAAGCAGAGAACCTCCAAGAAGGTCGAAGAGAAGATTACAAATTACTCTACTCCATTCCAATGATTCCTACTTTCCTCTTGACCATGCGAAGGACTCTCTTCTTGCTCGCTCAAGACCACCACAAAGAACCCCGACTACGCCGGATAAGCCTTCACGGTCCCGCTCCCCCAGCACGCCCGCTGCGTAGCACAGGTGACATCCAAAGTCCCAGCTCCAACCAAATCCTTTACCCCGTCACTGAACTGCACCTTCTGGCTCACTTGAATATCTGCCCTCTCATCAGTATACCGTCCTATCCACTCCTCGCCCATCTTGATCAATTACACTTACCGGCGTCCCCCTCCAATGTCCACTTGAAGTCCGCATTGTCGCACTCATTGATCTCTTCATTGCCTGGCCCGCCTTGCTGCTTGCATTCCGTGATAAGATGCAGGCTCTCTTCGCTGTTGGTGTAGACGGCGGTTACGTTGCGCCAGAAAGCGCTACTGGGGACGTTCATGTACGTCGTGCTGATGTCCCAGGAGCCATAGTTTCGTGGGGTTGCAGCGGGAAAAGGCTTAGGCAGGGACAGGACGGCCGGCGCGGTGAGGAGGAGGGCGGTGAGTGCGTTGCGCATGGTATTTGAGTAGAGGGTGATGGAAGGAAGAAGTTTGATTTGATTTGGGAGTGTCGAAGTTGTCGGGACTGTTTGCTGTACGCGCGGTAATGGTGATGATAATGGAGTTTCGTATGGGATATGAAACCCTTTATACATCTCCCGCCATCCATCTAAACTCGCCATCATCCAAATCAGAATACCTCGAACCCCAAAGTGCTCAGTCCCTAGTGCAACTCTAGCAACCTAGACGAGCAACATCAGCCCTGGATCGGACCTTCGCAGGATCCATCGCGGAGCCGCGCACGCAGTGCAGCAAGTCCAAAACAACCCCTACTCGACCTACTAATTCGTAGAAATCCAGTCGCTGGGCAAACGCACCGTCAGAAGACTAGACAAAGGAATATATTCGTATACTTATTTTAGTGGCGTTACGTGACGGCGCGGGAGCCGAGTCGTGAGGCGATATATTGGTTGGGGCTGTGCAGTTGGGATTAGTGCAGCGTGGATATCGAGATGTCACATGAGCGATCTGACGAACGCGGGAGCATCGCTAGATTACTGGAAGAGTGTAGGATGAAACACGCGTATTCTGAGAAACTGAATTGAGGTGTTTTGGGACGTGCTTTTTCTTTGGTGTATATGCCACTGCATGAGTAGCTGACTGGCAGCTAGAGCCTGCTGTTCACTTACCGCGATGCTAGATAGCTGCCAACGTATCTTCAATCCGTAACATGTTCAACACTCTTTGAGCAGGTCTAGTTTCCGTTACATTCTATCTTCATCAGTGCGTTCGCACTCAAGTTGTTGCTTACTCCGGATAGACAGCTCTCACGGCTCCAACTAGCTTCAGTGAATGGTTGTCCATAATGAATAGCCTCGAGTGCTTCAACTCACAGTCTACTGTATCAACTCCTGCTTTATTTCTGCTTCCCCGTCGCGAACGCGATGCGAACCTATGTGGCACCTACTTACCTATCCAGATGTAGCACACTTCGTACGGGTTCGGACACTAGAAGCTGGAGACTTGGATTCCCAAGCAAATATCAGCAGAATGCCTTTTGAAAGGGTATCCCGAAGTGCTTCAAGGTATGTTGCCAGCTCCAGCTCTTATTCCTGTAGCGAGCGATGTTGTCTGCAAACTTTAAGTTTGCAAGATACAAAGAGTTTCGGGGCTGGATACCAAGTACAGAAAAAGTCCACAAGCTTGATAACCTGGAGGCACTGGACCTTGAGTGTAGCCGTAGCCTTGATATAATAGAGCTGGAGGCTGGAAGTTGTACCCGTGGGATGGGTAGTAACCTTGCTGCTGGTATGTGCTTGGATGCCCCGCACCGTAATAGCCCAGGTTCTGGAATGGGCCTGGGATTGTCGGGACATAACTGGAGCCAGGGCACGCTGCAGGTGGCAAAGGGCCCGTTGGTTGTCTTGAACTTGCTTGCTGAGGCCCGTAATCTGGGAAACCCGGGTATCTGGAGGCATCTGGAGGGGACTGGGAGTCTTGAGAGGGATTCATTCTTGTCAAAGCAAAGATTGAGCTCGGGAAGTATTGCTAAAGAGTTAGGTGAAGGAATAGGTAGTGTTGATGCAGAAATGAGGGGAAGGCGACAGCAAATTTACCTCTGTTGTGGTCGCGCAAAGCTCGCACGTGACGCGCTGCCGGGCCTCCTCCACAGGTCAGGAAGAAGCGATGCTAGGGAACCGTCACACCTTGACACCTTGGGCGCTGATAAAGAAGACCACGCGTTCGATAAGACAACATAGGATGATATAGCATAACTGAAGAAGAAATAGAAAAGAAAAACATAAACCATATTCCGGGTATCAATACTCTCTCCAGGCCATCATCTCTCCACCATCTTCCAACCCTGCTCAATACGCACTTGCGGTAACCGCCCGTGTAGCAATCCTCTCTACCCTCGTCCTATACATCCTCATCTGATGCTTCAACGGATCCCCATACACCACATTCCTCAGCTCGTCATCATCTACCGTCACGGCCTCGACATCGTCCTCAGTCCCGCCAATCCGCTGCCTCAGCACAACGAGCCTGCCAGCAGGGCTCAGTGTACAGGGCACTATGGGCCAGGGTGGCGCGGACGACGCCGTAGTCGAGGAGGAAGTTGTTTGTAGCGAGGTCTTCGAGGGCTTGGAGAATTTCCACTGCTTGCCGGGTTTAGGAGGCGGGGAGGTCGACGTCGTTTGTAGTGTAGTCTGCGAGGCGGACGAGAGATTTAGCTTCGAGAAGCTGGTGAGACTCCCTACGCAAGATGTTTGATTCGGTGAGGGGGCTGCAGTTGTGTACAGCTTCAGCAGGCTTCTCACGACTGTTTTATCTGCCCGCGGCACCGGATCCCCCTCGTTGATAAAGCTGTAAAACAGGCTCTTCCGATGCTGTTTATCGGCCGACTTCTTGAGCGGGAGGAGACTGACGGGCGGGGCGCCGAAGGTGACGCAGTGCACGCGCTTGAAGAAGCCGGTGAGATAGTTCAGCTCGGATTCGATACGCGTGTTCATCATATGTGCGTAGAGAAGAGCGGCAACAGCGCCACCCGCGGAATGTCCGGTTATGAGCAGGCTGCAGTTTGAGCGTGCGGGATTCTCCTGCAGGAGCACGCGCAGACGATCCGCAACGGGCTTGACCATCTTCCGCGCGACATAGAGAAATCCCGCGTGGCAGAGGTTGCCTTCGTCGTCAAGGAAGCCTTCGGGGCTAGTGGGTTCGGACTTGTAATTCACCGCCCAGTCCATAAAAGTCTGACTACCCCTTATCGCAAAGACGACCGTATTCATATCGTCAATAGGCAGGCTCTTCAGCGCCATAGCTTTCGTGCCCGAGCGCCAGTCCGCCGGAATGTGTGTTTCTGTTTCGCCAGGCGTTTTGGGATCGGGAGGCGTGTACACGCGCTCGGAGTAGGTGGCTGCCAGGCAGAGGAGCGGGTAGGTGGGCATGTAGACTTTGAAGGGTGGGAGGTGAGGAGGGAGCCGCGAGTTGGAGTAGAGCCAAACTTTGGAGAAGAAGTTGGAGCCTTTGGTGGTGGTTGAGCCTGAGCTAGAGTATACTGCTGCAGATCGATCGGCTGGCGCGTCTGGTGGGAGAGTCGATGAGGATGGGTAGGGCTGTTGCTCGTATACCATGAGGTCCTGCTCTTTTCCGCTGAAGTGTCCGCCATCAATGCTAGTGATGACTGCGTCCAATTTCGTACTAATTAGATCGCAGAGCGCTGCGCCTTGATTCAATGCTTGGGTGCTCTTTTTGCTGATGAGAGCTGTTGGCCTATCAATGCAGTTCGTCGTCAGCACAGTCACGCTTTTGTTTGCTCCAGATGTGACTTGTGCCGAGAGGTCATGATAGGACTTCGAGGCTAACCTTTCAGCTCTATTCCACTGCGATTTGATAATATTTTCCTTCCCCTTCTGCGGTGGCGACGGCGCCAAGCTGAGCGCAGAGTTGCCGACGTACGGCTGCATAGGCTGCATAGGAGGCGATCCGTACGGATGTCCATACTGGTGAGGAATCTGAGGAACCTGAGGGACAGCTCCATACACTGGGTGATATTGCGGGCCAGGTGCATAGCCTGGGTGGAGCAAAGGCGGGCTTCCGGAAAATTGCGGAGGTGGACTCATCGAGTATTCATGTTGGTACGGTGCAGGTTTCGGCGGTATCGGCGGTTGATATGTCTGCTGTTGTACGTGGACGGAGGATGAAGAGGCGGGTATGTACTGTGGCACTGAAGACGCTTGGGCAGCCTTGGACGCCGCATGCTTCCGCCGCCTCCGGTCTTGGTCGTGGAAGATGATCGTCATGGTGTCGAATCGATCCTTCAGTATTCAATAAAACTAACTCCAAGGCGCTGGTAATGGAAGTTGTTTCGCGTATTCCGTGCTCTTTGACAGTCGGAACCCCGTCGCCCGTATCGAAAGATACATCGCTAGCCCTCGTAACTGCTGCTCCCCGCGATTCCCATTAATCTCGCCTCTCTTTCGGTGAATATAGCGATCGTTCCTTTTACACTATCCAGAAAAAAAGGGTAGGCTTCGCGAATGAGCCGGCTGAAGTCGTTGGGAGGACGTTCCGGTGGGGCAAGCCCGATTTTAAAGGTTGACGTTCTGCAGGCTGTGCATAGCCCCCTGTTCTTGCCTTCGACTGGTCGACCACTCGCGCCCTACTAGCATCGAACGGGAAAGCTCGCGGAACCCCAGTGCGAGGCTCTGATTCGTCGTCCTGATTACTCGGCTGACGTATGAAGGAACGATGTGCGAGATTTCTATTTCCGTCTCACCCGTTTCTCCACAGCAGGTGACGCTAAAGCAAGGCACCATCCAACAGATCGTCGTGATGAGTGCAAAATGCGGATTGGAAACATCATCTATTCAAAAAATGCACACGATGCGTAGAGTCCCAACACCTGACCCGACCTACCTCAGACCCTCGCTATCCCTGAGACTCCCATCCTCATCCGCCGGACTCGCTAACAACCCTCGCTCCTCGCTACCTTCATCCTCTGGCTGTTCCCTTAATGCGCCTCGCCCAACGCCAGCGCCTGCATCTTCGCTCTCATCCATTCCATTAAGGACAAACCAAACATCCTTCTTGGTGAGCAGACCTTTCAAGGTCCCTCGATCGACGAAGAGAACGTATCGCAAACCCAGTTTCTGGAACATGGATACAGTGAGTTGGAAACTTGCTTTCGCGTTTAGAGTTATGGGCGTTTGGTCCATCCAGGGACGGAGATCGAGGGAGGTAGTTGGATCGGAGAGGGGCTGATGGGAGAAGTATGCTTCTGTATCGTCGGAGAGATTTCGAGGTGCGGAGAGGGCGGCGGATAGTGCATATGCGAGTTCGGTGCGAGATATGTAGCCTAGGAGGAGCGCATCGCGTGGGTTGTCGATAACCGGGAATCCTCGGAAGCGATGTTGCGCGAGAAGTTTGCGGAGGCTCTCGATGGTATGGCCGGTTGCCGTGATGACGATCAGGTCATCAATGCGTGTCATTACTTGCGCTGCTGGAACGTCGGGCACAGAAGATCCGTTGTCATCGCGGTTGTCGAGGAATGGATAACCGTTGAAGCGAATCCAGGATTCATAGATACCGCGGGGCGAGATAGCATCGCCTATCCATTTACCGATCATGACAGCAATCATGATGGGCAGTACGTAGGTGAGTGCACCCGTGAGCTCGAACATGATGACCACGATGGAGACCGTCATTCTGGTGGCTCCTCCAAGTGCAGACGCCGCACCAATGATCGCGTACGTGCCTGGCGTGACGCATGGAACGTCTGGTTCGCAGGACCCAAAGACGAAAAGGCTGGGCCATGCTTGCTGGACTACCTGCACCGTCAGTCCAACGGCGCGTCCATAGAGACCACCGATGGCCATGGAAGGAAGGATGATGCCTGCCGGAATCTGGAGGCCGAATGTGAAGCTAGCGAGAATAATCCCCAGTCCAGCTGAGATTAGGAGAAGCGCGATAACTCCGGTATTTGCTTTCCCGGCTTTGCACAAGCCCAGCGTGTCTTCCGACAGGTCTACACATTCGGCGAAGAGAAAGTATACAAGCTCAGAGGCCTGCGCTCTCATGAACTTGATGGGGTAGTTGATCATCGCGGTGATAAATGCCACCACGACGACCTCGGTAACGGGGCCTTTCAGGTACGTCCTCTGCTTACGCCACTCCGCAACTCGCATGTTGAGCTTGGTGAACAGCCCGCCATACAGGCCGCCCAGGATGCCGAGGAAGGCAAAGGGTACCAGTTCGAAATCATGCCAGCCGCTGTGGTAAGTGACTTGATACATAACGAGCTTGCCACTTCGGAAGGGATTGAAGGCTTGAAGTGTCACCGCGGCTACCATGGCACAGACAAAGCTCTGCCACATGGTTTTATCGGGGAAGTAGTAGGAGAGTTGCTCAAGACTGAAGAGAACGCCGCCGATAGGCGAACCAAAGGCCACTGAGATGCCGGCTGCGGCGGCAGCGGAAAGCACTTCTCGCTTTCGTGCTGCAAACTTGTCAGTCACATCCTGTATCGGACAAGGTCGCTCACCTTCGTTGTCGTTGACATTGTGGAATAGCTTCATGAAGAGGTTCGCACAGCAGCATGCAACGTGCACCAAAGGACCTTCCTTGCCCAACCAAAGACCAGATGCAACCGCAAGACACTGTCACGGTTAGCTCAAACTTTCAATATCTCTGGACGACTACTCACCAGGCCTAGTGTCTTCACTAGCAAAGTCCAACCACCTAGAAAACGCCGAATAACGAAGCCGCCCAGGACCGTCTTGATCTCCGCGATACCGCTATGTTTGGCATACGTCGAAAACTCGCGAACCAGAATGCTGGCACACGCGGCGAATATAATCTTCCCGTGGTTAGCATGCCCCCCTCTCTCTATTCCGAGCCACTCACCGAAAATACAACGAAGAATATATACTCCACAATCCAACCACCTCCCTTGGAGCTAATTCCCAACGCACTACTCCAAGGATGCCAATCGCTGCACTGAGAGTACTCCGAGTAACCCCAGCAGCAAAATCCTTTGTTCAGGTAGAATTTCCCGTCTCCGTCCATGTCTCCGTCTTGGTGGTTGCAGTATCCCGTCTTCAGGTCTCCCAACCAGTCGCTCGCGACATCGATGAACGCTGCGATGCCACCACTGAGTATACCCGCCGCGATGAGTATCAGCCATATCTGACTCGCGTCCGCGATCTGCTTTATATATCCCAGGATGCCTGATGCGCCGGTGTAGAGATACCGCAGCCGTTGCCGCTCCTTCGCATATTCGAAGATCCAGTCAATAGCCGTGAGATCGTCGTATCCGACGCGGCGGCCCGGTCCTTCGACATACCAATCCAAGCCATTTGCGTCCTTTGCATCTTGTAGGTTTGTTCCAGCATCACCGGGTGTATCCAGGTAGTTCAAGATAAGCTCCGTCGAGTCGTTCGCATGCGGGTTGGTCCGCAGTTGCTGCAGTCGTGATTGCGGTGGTCGTGGGAGAGGAGAATTACGGTTACTAGGCGTTCCGGCGGGGGAAGAGAAGAAGCGCGGGATGCCGAAGGGTGATGAGGCGGCGGCTTTCTGTTTGCGCTTGAAGGAGATCCTACGCCGCAGTCTGTCAGCCCGCTCTGCGCGTCAGAGAGGTAATGGCATCTGCATACTGCTCCGGTAAAGTATGCTCCAGCGGATCCTCGCTCAGCAGCCCCTCCTCCTCTCCGATCTCATCTTCTACGGTAGGCTGCCGGTTCGCATTCGATCGGCTGGAGGACGCTTCGGCCTGTCCATGGGCGGACTGGCTTGATGACGAGCTCGACATCCCCTTGGCATGTACTTCTTGGCAGCGGGAAGAGCATATTCTATGCGCGCATGCCGAAATAGCGTCGATAGCTTGCGAAGCTGCTCGAGACCAATGTTCGAGGTTGAGGCTGAGCGAGACAAACACGACAAACTTGTGGCGCAACGTGGCTTGTGCGCTCAACACCAGCCCTGGAGAAGGGTGAGAACTCTCCATCAACCATAATCAGGCATCGTCAATTGATCATCGTATCTATATGTGCAGAAACAACGCCCAACTATTTAGCCTCTATCCTACTCTCTACTCTGAGTTGAAATCAACAACCGCCCGTCCTGCAATCTCCCCCCTCCTCAGCTTCTGCACCGCCTCATCAAACTTGCTCAACGGATACACCGTGTAAATCGGCTTCAACAGACCCCTCTTCGCAAATTGGAGCGTCTGGTCCACATCCGCCATGCTGCTCACCAACGTACCCTGCACACCCTGCTTTTTAAAGCACATCTGGTTCGGATCGACATCAATATGCAGACTTCCCGCGGGTGGTAGGCCGATGCACATAACCTTGCCGCCGATACGCCCGCCGAGATAGGTCAGGGACGATGGGTATGTCTGCACGGCGGTGACGAAGACAGCGTGCGCGCCGATGCCATCGCAGATGCGGATTACTTCTTCCGCGACGTTAGAGACGGTCTTGAAGTCGATGAAGTGTTCTGCGCCGGCGGTCTCGAGGCAAAGCTTCTTCTTGTCTTCTCCTGTGTCGATCGCTACTGGCCTCAGGCCCATTGCCTTCGCTAGCTGGAGACCCTGCATTCCGACGCCGCCGCCGGCACCAGGGAACACGGCCCAATCACCAGGTCGCAGACCAGACTCCTTGATCGAGGTGTAGATTGTAGAGGCGGAGCACATAATGGGACCGGCGATGAAGTCGGACACGCCGTCGGGGATGATAGTGGTGTATCGTTCGGGCGAGACGATGTATTGCTTGTAGGAGCCGTCGACCATGAGACCCGTCATGACCGCATTGGGGCAGTAGCACTCTTTGTCGGTACGGCAGAGCTCGCAGACGCCGCATGTATCCTGGATGGGCTATGCGGCGTTAGCAATCGCACAGTCTATCACAATACGTTCTAGTCGCCCCATCGACGAGGAAGAGCATACCTTGTATCCAGCCCTCATACCAGGCTTCAGGGACTTGACCGCATCGCCAACCTTCACAATCACGCCTGCACCCTCATGCCCCGCACACTTGGTGCCCAGATCCGACATCTTTGGCAACGCCCAGTCGTTGACCATGAAGTGGATATCCGAGTGGCAGATGCCGGTCGCATTGAGCTTGATGAGGACTTCATGTGGCTCTACTTTCCATTAGCGATGGGCCCTTAGTGTAGTAGGCGAAGGAAACTAGAGTGCTGTTGGTGGGGACGTACTGATCTCGGGCACAGGCAACTCTTGCACCTCCACATGGAAATCCGGGCCCTCGTTCACTACCACGCCCGCCTTGCACATCTTCGGGATCTCGAAGACCGGAGCTTTGGTGTCTGCCATACTTCTAGTCTTTCCTCGTCCTCAATTGGCAACAAGAAGTGCTAAAAGTGTAGTTGAAAGATGGAGTGGATTGACAAATACACGGAAGAGATGAGAAGGCAATCAATCCGAAGAGAAACCACCTACCCCTCTCCCCCTTATAAACAAACGCTATCTCCGACGACGCCGTGCTCCCTGTATCACGCGGCGCAAGTAACCCGACTCACGGCCCACCGGCCACCATTTCCCTCTATCGCTCCCTGCCCTAGCTCTTCCTTCCATTCAACCACTCACAGCGTCGCCTTTGCTCGATTCAGCGCCATTGAATCGTATAGGGGGCGGAATAATGCCGCGCGTCGGTCCTTTTCTGTGCGCCAAGTGCATAGTTCCTCGTTCCGAAGCGGTGCGGTAGTTGGAAAATAGTGCGGGGGAGAAAACGCGGGGCCATCGTGACGTCGGTACCTGTGCTTCGGATCGCGGAACTTCAGGGTTCCACGGGTGCACGTGACAACTCTGGATTCGTGAATGACGACCTCGGGAGGCGTGGTATGAATCCGATTCAGCCATCCTTCGAGTTCAAGGAAGCGAAACGAAGGAAGAGAATGCAGGAGACCAACACGCCACGCCTAAGGAGGGGACCGTGAGATCCGTGGGTCCATGTTCTCAGCTCCAAGCCTTGGAGGCTTCCACGAACTCACAGATCATCCACGGAAATGCTGTGCAAAGCCTGCCAGGCGATATTCAATAGAAAGCTGAAGGTTTCCGATACACTAGATGGATTTGACGTATATCAAGCGAGCCACCACCAGACATACTCGGACCTAACTCGATCAGCGCGACGAGGCTGTCACATCTGCCACCGACTGCTAGAGCGCTTATCCCTAGACTGGCCAAGTCTAAATCTAGAGGGAGACGATGTAAAGAAGCCGCTGTTCACATACAATATCAAAAGGTACGATGACGACAATGTCAGCCTCGAATTTCTGCTGGCTCCGGGCACCAGAAAGATTTTGCTGGCTCACGGCATAGCAAAGGAGACATCCCTTAGTTTCACGGGCGAGTCAGCGATGGAGTTTGAGCTGCATCCGCTCCAGCACGCGGATGGCCGCAGTCATTTCCGTCTTCGAGGCAACACGAAGATTTCGAGCTGTAGTGCCTTAATACAAGACTGGTTAGAGGAATGTCTTGAAGGTCATACAGTTTGCGCAACGCAGGATAAGCGGGAGTTCTATCAAACTCGGCTGCTCGAAATAGGTGTCTCTTCGGAGAGGCATCCAAAACGCGTTCGACTCGTTCACTCCGACGACGTTGCCCTGCACGAGCCATACGTAACACTAAGCCATTGTTGGGGAGGGAGCAACATCCTCAAGCTCCAGCGCGACAACATCGATCGTCTCTCGGCGTCTATCTCCAGTACGGAACTCCCGAAGACATTCATCGACGCGATAGAGGTAGCCCGTTTTCTACAGGTGCGCTACATCTGGATAGGTACGTAAGTGCCAGCACATACTCAGCATGTGCAGTCTCAATTCCTGTCGACGATCCCTAAGCAAAGCTTCAAGTAGAAGACGCCTAAGAGCATCGACTTCACTATTAGTTAGAAACAACTAAGCGCCCTGACACGTTCGCAGACTCGCTATGCATTATTCAAGACTCGAAAGAGGACTGGGAGAAAGAAGCAGCACTTATGAGCGACGTGTATCAGAACGCGTTCCTCAACATCGGTGCGACTGCTTCAAGCAATAGCCACGGAGGTCTTTTTTACGATAGGAATCCAGAGCTGCTGCGCCCATGCGTCGTCACGTACGCGCGCGAGAAATACGAGCTCCGGTATCCAGAGCTCTGGGAGCACGGAATCAATGAGGCGCCCCTCAATAAACGTGCCTGGGTTGTTCAAGAAAGGTGGCTGTGTCCGCGAATGCTGCATTTTGGGCGCGAACAGGTCTTCTGGGAATGCTGCAAGTTGGTTGCGTGTGAAGTGTATTCTCGTGGCCCGCCTTATAGCTTCGTGTTACGCGACACGATATACCACGGCTTCAAGCAGGTGAAACCACATTCGGATCAAAACCATGGCGAAGGGGCTGCCGAAGCACAACTAGCCTCCGCCTGGGGAGCTATCGTACTCCAATATTCCTCCAGCAACCTTACTTTCCACAGCGACAAGCTCATCGCTCTCTCTGGCATGGCAACACAAATGCAACGCGCAATCAAAAGCGAGTACCTCGCCGGTCTGTGGAAAGGCCTGGGAGTAATCGCTCAGCTGGATTGGAGGGTGTTTAATGGCTATCACGAGGTAACTTCTTCGAGACCAGACGAGTACACTGCACCCTCCTGGTCATGGGCCTCTGTCAACGGTGCGGTCACGATCACAAGTCAACAAAGACTGCGCGCCTACAGAGACAAATACTGCGAGCTATCAATTCTCCAGGAGTATCACATCGATCTTACAAGCACGAATGCCACAGGTCAGGTCACAGGAGGATACCTGCGAATTCGGGGCCCCGTCCACGCAATCACGCTTAAGGAGGAACCTCCAGCCACGAATCTTGAAGACCCATATGAAGCATTTCGAGTGAGCGCCTATCCATGGCAATTGTGTTTGGATGGAGTAGCTCTACGGAGGTTTTCCGTCTACCTTGACGTTCCCTTGCATAACGGCGGAGCTTTTTTTGGCCTGGCACTATATTCCTGGAACAACGGAGGGGATCCTGAAGCGGTCGGATTACTGCTCGAGGAGATTTCAAACTCGCCTATTCGGTTTCGGAGAGTTGGCATTCTTGTGTTGAATGGCGAGCGTGAGGTTATGTGGTTTAGTTCCGGAACGCTGAATTATCCTCAGGGATTCAGCATTGTGATTGTCTAAAGTGAGGGACGTTTAGAATAGGCCGGGATTCGTTTAATCTTTGCTACTCACGTGAGCGGAGCTGTGCGCATGGCAACGAGGCGGCGTATAGTTATGGAACTGCCGTGCGTGCTCCTGTCGTTCTTTTTGTAGAGCTGACGACCTATGGCATCGTCGCCCTCCACAGTCCATTAAACCGATAGGAAAGGCTTTGTTTAGAATTACATTGCATGTTAAGGAAGAATTCAAACGTCCAGATCTTTGGCTTCGGCGCTATTGCACATTGTGACTAGCTTCGAGACGAAGAAAAATGAGGTAGGAATCCACCGCCGAATCTTGATCAGGATCTGGACAACGGAGGGCCTATCTATTATTGATTATCTCATTACACTTTTCCTCTCTTCGGGGATACTCTTAAGACCGAGGAATGTTTACTGTAATGTCCTGTGTTGATCGCAGATACATCACACATGCCCCGCGGGGCTGAGTTAGCTGCTTGAGACGCCCATGTATCGCCCACATTTGTTTCTCTAGTAGTCTACATTCGTAACGTCGCGGAAACTTGGGCGATTTCGGGGTTTAGGCAGACGGCATAATATGTTGAGATTCAAGCTACGAAGTAATGGTAAAGGGTTTATTTGAGGTCGGTAAGTACGAGGGGACACAGCTGGAAACGACTATGTAGTCTCGATTGAGAACATGAGCCATGGGAAAGTATACGAGGAAATGCATTGAATGCAGTCTTATTGAGACTTTTAGAGCTATCTCCAAATGGGTGATAAGACATACTCTGCTTCGATTGAATCGCTATAACAGTTACTTATGCAGCTTATGTAAACTTACCCCCGTGGAATACGATCTTTCTCTCAAATTGAAGAGAAAAGCTGGTGGAAAGTTTAGTGCTTCCCGCAGATCGAAATACTCACTTCCATGCTTCCGGCGTGCCCGTCCGATTATACCACGCTCTCCGCACGTGATCGAGAGAGCTCGAGTTCTTCAATCGACCCTCGAGAAAGGGGAATGCGATTGACCCTGAAAGTGAGCGCGAGAGCCAAGCGCTCCGGTGAGCAGGCCGCTGGACATTTTCCAAAAAGCAAAAGCCAGTGGCTATGCATAGCAGCAAGCCACGCCACGTAGGCGAATCCTCAGCCTGGTCAACGGGGCCCTGGAAATCTTTCTCGCAAAACTCATCATTACGGAATGATTCGCCGCCTCACTTTCTTCAGTCATTATTCCGTGATAGAAGAGGAAAGCGAAAGCGATGGATGACGTCGTTGCAGCTGCGCGAGTTGAAAAGCGGGTAGGGTGCGGGACCAGATACGCCTGGTAGAAGTTCTCGTCTCGTGCATCGCATATGCATTGCATACGAATGTATTGAAGTGCGCCGTGCAGATTGCGAGTGTGCCTTGCCATTTGGCTTACATGCGTCCTTCTGCTTCCGAGGAGGCGGCAGGTGCGGATGGAGCCTCCTGAGCTCGCGTTGTTGATGGGCTAGGCGAAAATGAAGTATCCATGCTCTTGCGGTAGGGAATTCTCCCGATCTAAGGGCTCACCGTACAAGTAAGTAAGATTGGCTCAGCAAATCATACGTCCTATTGTACGCGCTCGCGAAGGCCTCCAGGGAAGCTGTTACGCACGTCGTATAGCCGGAGAATGCCCCACCATGAGGGCCATGGTCTCGATGCGCACCATCGAGTGGTGATCCGCTGAAACCTGCAAAAATTTAGTCATTTAGTACCGCAACTTGTTCCTAATGTAAGGACTAGCTTAGAGCCCAGATTCCGAAGGCGAAGGGTATCCGCAAGAACCGCCCGAGTCTACAATCTTCCTCTAGAATCTATGCACGGCCCCAAAGACACGTAGCATCGATAATCTACCCGATTCCGCGGTTGCTCACCGGACGGTGGCTGGCTGACATGGTCTCCACAGGCAGTGTGCGGTGTGCGGTCTGCAGTCTGCGCGGGAGACTCTCAACCCAGAACTCGGTCTAGGGCAGAGGTACTTCGTCAGATGTAACGGTATTCGGATCGACTCGTACACCCGAGCAGTGTTTACGTATGAAACGGCGTATGTCTAGCGTGTTGGCATGGTGGCAATTCGGGCGAGTATATCGTAGACGCAGGATGAGGCCTTGAGCAGGGAGCCTTGGAGACATCGTTCGCTTTCAATAAGGTATCGGTCTAGACCGCATCTGGCGTTCAAACCCTCACCGCCATCTCTTCAACGTGAACGGGCAACCAATTAGTAGCTAAACTGGACAGACTGAGTCTCGATATTTGTGATATGTCTTGTTCTTGTGCATTGTGCCGGACGACGAGGGTAGCGAATCCTGGTCTTCGAGGTTATGCTGGCCGTATACGGGTGTCCAAGAGCGTGTGGGTCTGATTGTGACGACCAGGTAGACCTTTGGTTTGCAAGCCTCAGGCAGCAGGCCAAGGAGGGGGTGCAGTGAGCGCCGTCTTTGCGTGAGGCGAGTCCAGCCAGCTCCATTCGGGGCCAACCGTCTTCCAACGCATACTCCACCTTATCGACCATCGCGACTGAATGTGTGACCGTGTGCCAAACCGAACTCTTGCGCAACAAGTCTTCTCTTGAACCGAACAGGCCCTTCCAAGTACCTGTGCCGCTGTTAAAGAATTGCGATTGAAACACGGCGCCCTAGACAAGTAGTATCCCGGCAGCATCAGAGTCTTCGAGCCTCGAGCAGTCAACGTCCTGGCAACAGCCGTGATGGAAGCACACCACAGAGGAATGCGGAAGGTCGCCGTGGTAATTGGGCTTGGTAAGTCGAGACCCTTTCCTGTGTCGGCAGACTGGCTTCGATAGAAGGTGGCTAATCACAGGCTTTCCATAGTACCGAGGACTCTAGCTGCACCTACAGGCCAGCAGTCGAATGCCGTCGTGTCTGTGGGGGATGTCGCTGGTCTGGTAGCCATGGTGATCGGTATTCCTGCAGCTGTCGTTGCAGTGATCATGCTTGCCAACCATGTGAAGCAACAGCGTCTTACTCGTCGAGGTAAGTCGGATGATCCTTTCATAATGACAGCGACGCCTTTGCTGGGTAGGTTGTCGATAGTCCAGCTGTGCTCTGTCAGCGGCGGGGAATGGAGACGGAAGAAGAGGCCAACCTAGACATCGCAACGCTGTAGATGTTGTACCTCTCGATACTTCATTCTACTTCGAGACTACTAGGCAAGCACGAATGCAGGAGGTGATAAGTCAATCATGGTATCGCCGTGCTGACTCCTGCGTAGTCGACATTGTCGGGTCAGGGCGGTCAAGGGAGCAAGATAGTTATGCCGGCCGTGGCATACTAGAAGGTATGTTAGGCAACAAAGATGATGGCTCCGATGTGCTAATGAGGGTTAAGACTATGATCGAAGAGATGACTCACCTGATGTCGATGGCGGATCAAGACCTGAAGCCTCTATTCGCACTCCAGACCTCACCTACTTTCCGGAGACGAGAGGTCCCACTTTCATCCAGCTAGTAGCAGGGCAACATCTAGGACAGGCGGATGCGAATCGTCAAGGTGAGGACTGGACGGCCGGGTCTGTTGGGATGCCCTGCCCTCCCGAGAATGAACGCGGGGCATGCCGCCGCGAACTAGGAATTGAGTCCATAGCCATGAGCGAGCATGCCGAGGAGATGGCGGAAGGAGTAGTCGCCCCGAGTTTGTAGCCACAGTAGGCGAGCATGTTTGGGACGACTGTGGGCGCGTAGGATAAGGTTGAGAGGAGCGGGAGATACGGTAGAAAATGACACAAAATGGGATGATGAATTATCCAGCATGAATGACCACGAGGCATAAATGAAGGCGGGTGCTGTGAGAAGGGTAAGGGCGGTGAGACTATTTTATGTCCGCCTGGGGGGGCGGAGGGCGGGTTTTGGTTGCGGCATGTGCCCTTGCAACCAAGCAAATCGGAAGGCCGTTCCTGCAAGGATGCGCATCGAAACTATCAGGGCTACGCTACGACTGCGGATAGGCTGCCTGGGATTTCTTCTCAGCGTGCCCAGGAGATGCCAAAGGTGGTCCCTGTATGCACGTCCTTCTATTATATGCACCCGTCGAAACGCCGCCTCGATCGCGCGAGCCCTTTTGGAGCCCTTTGACGCACGCCCTCTTACGCACGCACGCCCATTCTGGCGAAGAGAAGCGGATTTAGTTGAATCCAGGCGATGATGTGCAACGTGGCCCGCTTTATCAACTGGGGGGCTATGTGGCTTCGTCACTCTCCTATACCGGTATGAGTTCTGTTCGTGCGGTGTCGGCTGGTGATGAGGTGCCCATTGCCCTTTTAGGAAAATGGCTGAGCCCGCCTGCCCGTTACTACAATAGGTAAAGGTGACTACCCTTGGCGCGTTGGGCGAGTACTTAACAGGGATGATGCGGCGGGCTATACCTGGCTTGCTGGCTTTCATAATGCGGCAAGCAGCTCAGCCAACATTGGCCCCTTGAGTTCTCTTGGTATCACGACGTATGTAACAGCCACCCTAGAGACAGTATCCTCATAGGAGCAAGGAATGAGATGTAGAAGATGTCAAGAATCTTAGTTACAAGACACTAAATACGAGATCCTCGTGGTGCGCTGTCTGGCGGATCCTCAGCCTTTAGCGTCAACATGTTTCAACGTCTCTCGCGACGCGGGAAAGCGTAGTCAGACTCGGGAGGCATGAGGATGAATACCATCTCTGTGAGATATGGCACGGGTCGCGACATCAGAGTGTAAGGCTCGTGATCTGCGTTTGCGATGGAACTGTCTGACTGGTAAGTGCTACCTCGTCTCCGGCTCCGCTCGCTGTTGCCCCAAGGCACTGCCTGATTGCCCCATTTGCACTGCTTGCGCGAACGGTCGCGTTTACCTGAGATAGGAACATAATAAATCAACGTGGGATGTGTGTTTGTGCATTCGTCAAACTTTAGCCGAGATGGGCAGAGAAGTCAGTGCAGTTCTCCATGTTGACCTCTCTGGACTACAAGAGGATTGAAATCCATGAGAAGAACAAGCGCAGTTTTAATTTGGCCTCGTGTAGCTTCTGTCGCATGCTCCATGAGGATGGAGCGACTATTGATCGCTTGTAGCGCCGCTCTAAATTGGTACGAATGATGCTGCGCAGTTGATCCTTGGCCTTCATCCTTTTGCGGCCTGATCTTGCTCGTGTGAATGAGTAGAACGAGATAGAAAGATATAGAACGCTCGGAAGCGCCAACATGTACTTTTGCGCGCTAGCTATACAACGCCGCTCTTTTACCGATGACGATTGAAATCCGAAAACCGAAATGCGCTCTCCCATGCCTCGTATTACACAGCCAAACACACGTACACTTCCTACGACACCGTCGCCCTCCACATCCCCCTAAACCTCTCCCCCCCAGCAACCAACCCACAAACCCCCATCCAGCCCAAATTCCACCCGGGCAGCCCGCCCGTCGAACTACTAAAATGCAACGCCATCGGCAGCCACGCTGTCGCAATCATCAAATCCATCCACCACTTCGCATCCACCTTCCGATCCGCCTCTTCCTGATACACCGCCACCTCCCTGCCATCCTCGCGCATTTTCCTGCGCGCCGCCCGTCTCCGGTTCTCCAGCTGCGCTTCGCGCGCGAGACGCAGGAAGTCGCAGCTCACGCCGCCCAGCCACGCGCGGTACGCCCACAGGTAGACCCGCGCCGTTGTGCTGTCGCCCCGGTTTATCCGCGCGATGAAGGACTTGGGGACTACGCCGTTGTCTGCCAGCACGGAGATGTTCTCCAGCGCTTGGTAGGTGAAATAGCTACTGGCTTGTAGCACGGCGACCCGATGGAGGACCGCGTCAGCGCCGGGTTTCGGCCCGGTGAGTAGCGTGCGCAGCCATGCGTATAGCGGGAAGCAGCCGAACAGGCGGAGCGTTGTGCGGCAGCGCGAGATGAGGCCGGCGAGCGCGGCGATCGGCGGGACGGCGCCGTCGGCTACGAGGATTGTGATGGGGAGTTTGGAGATGCTGGAGGGATTGAGACGGGCGAGGAGGCTACTTAGATGGGCGGCGAGGGAGGGCAGCTTGGGTTGCAGGTACGCGAGGATGTAGAGGGTGTAGTTGAAGGTGGAGAGGAAGGCGCTGAGGCCGCCGGGAGTGGCTAGGAGTCTGTATTGTTCAATCAGTCTCGAAGGTGCTCGCTATGATGCGCTGCGGTAGTCGCACTTGTTCAATCGCAGGATTATGCGATCGAGCTGCTTCGCCGCGGAAACGGCATTCTCGGGTACTGCAACGCTCTTCGAAGCTACGCGATCTGATGCCTTGTCGGCGGCTTGGGGCGTCGGCGCGCCAGGCTCGGAATTGTCGTCCGCCATTGTGAACAGGACGGTTCCAACAGAAAATGAGAGAGAGCGGACAGAAGGGGAGCAAGGGGCTAGCTCATAAGCTTCTCCGCAGCTGTGGTTTTGGCAGCGTCAGCCAGCAGACCGACCCGAGGTCCGGCGGCCTGGGAACCCTAGCCAGTGGTTGGTGCTGGCATTTTGCGAGCGAGTCATGGATTTTCTGGAAATGCGAAATTCGTGAGGTGTGATTGGTTGCATTTTCCGATTTTCGAGAAAAGTCCCTTTGGCGAGAATAAACACAAGCATTTGCCCTTCGGATGAGGGCGACGTGGAATGACTCTTCTGAAGCGTGAATGTGTTCGGCATGAGCCATATGGTGGCGTCAGCGTCTTGTAGCTGCTGCTGTTGCTGACTAACTCCTGTGTCTCCCCTAGATCAGTATATCGTCTCCTAAAGAAAAGGGAGTTATTATATAATAAGTACTTGGGGACAATACCTAAACTTAGTATCCCACGTGTTCTGACAGGTGACAATGAGTGCTCGATGCTCTGAGTCCACATCTCCCCCGTGAACAATGTCTGAGAGACCTCGTGAACCCGCGAGTGACTACGTGTGTTCACATCACCCACAATGCATCAACCATTCACAATGCCACTCCACCACATACATATACCTCGCGCATCTAATAATCCCCACCCCTCGCCCAAGCAATATGCAACAAAACCAATCAGAACCAACAACCATGGCCCACTACCGTTTCGAAATCCCCTCTACTATCGAATCGCTGCGCCAACGCGCCTTACTCCCCTACGACATGGGCCTCCTACTCGGCCGACTCCACAACTACATTACCAAGCTAGTATCCTACCACATCGACGAGCCCGTCGACTTCCACAACACGCCCCGTAAGCTCGCCATCCCCACCGAAGAATTCACCTCCGCCGTTGACGCTCTGATCCGGCAACTCCGCCTCACGGATGGGTGCTCGGAGAAGTTCCCCAATAAAGTGCCCGCTGATCGAAAGGGCCAGCGTGTACGGCGCAAGTACCATGAACGCTACACCTATATGGTGGAAGCGGCGTTCAAGCATACGGTGCGGAAGGAGTTGGAGGATGTGTTCTCAGGATGGAATACGGAGGAGACTAAGTTGTTTAATAAGGGGGTTGATCGGGGGGTGACAGGCGCGGCGTGGATGGTGTATCCCGAGCGCAATGTGGTGATGGAGGCGGGGGAGGGGGGCTGGGGCATTTGGCTTCAGGGCAAGTGTGAGGAGTTGGGGTTTATTGAGGCGATGGCGGATAGACAGGTGCTTGATGACTTGAAGGATGTGGACATTTGAGTCCCTTGATGGAAAGGGGCTTGAGCATTTCAGACTTAAGCCAATACAGCTTCTGAAGAATTGATATGTTAAATAAATTCAAACTGACTTGATGAAATGCAGTGATTTGACAAAAGGGCTTCGGGGATGAGGAAAAGGCAGCCAGTATAAGTTTCATAGCTCGTCTATTGCAGAACAGTGAAAGGGGGTCGTGAGAGCTGAAGACGGCGGCGCTCCGCTCATGAGTTTGTTCAAAGGTGGAGTAAGCGTGGAGTATTCCCGGGGCGGGAGATCATAAATGCAAGCGCAAGAGCCGTATTTCTGGTTCTTGAGCCTGAGATGGCTTTGTTGTCGTGGAGAAAGCGGGCGGTTGGAGCTTTGCGACCAGGGTCCACGCCAAGAAAGAACCCTGCAGCGCAATGAAACACTGCTGGACATGCGAAACCACCACCACAGCCCTCTCACCTCGCGTCCCCGCCGCAGCAGCTATTTCAGGCTCAGGGGATATTCACTTCCTTCGATATTCATTCCTACCCCAAAGCATCCGCATTGCGCATAGAGAACAATGGCCGGTCGCTTTGTGAGAGCTTCTAAGTACCGTGAGTGTCGTGCGAGCGCCTTCAGCTGCTGACGGCTAACAACAATGCGCCAGGCCACGTCTTTGGACGGGGCACGAAGAAGGTACGCCTTCGTAGAGCTCCATGGATTCACTAGGTATGCGCTAACATGCTTCTTATAGGAACAATGCTACGACAACCTGCGCATCTCGAAGAACGCATGGGACACCAACCTGATCAAGGTCCGCGAGGCCCCTCCGAAGTAGAACGAGGCCATGCGCTGAGACTCAACAGGCAAACCCTGAGTATATCTCCGTTAATTGGGAAGCCAGTGGCGGCGGCGCATTCGCCGTCATCCCCATCAATGAGAGGGGACGCCTTCCGGAGCAGATGCCCCTCTTCCGCGGGCACACGGCTGCTGTCCTCGATACCGACTGGTACGGTCATGTCTGGCATACTGCGAGAGAGCAATTCTGATTGGCATATAGGAGTCCGTTCAATGATTCGCTCATTGCCTCTGCGTCCGACGATGGAAAGGTGCGCTCGATGCTGGACATGGCGGGGTCGAGAAAGCTGACGGAACCAGGTCTTCATCTGGAAAGTGCCCGAGGGCTTCACACTCTATACCGACGCCGAAGAGCCCGCCGATGTTTCTCCCGTTGCCAAGCTGAGCGGACACATGAGGTTTGTTTCGGAGGGTCCCCTGCTATAGAAGGCCTACTAATAGGACCACAGGAGAGTTGGCCACGTGCTATTCAACCCCGCCGCCGATCACGTTCTTGCCAGCGCCTCCGGCGATTACACTGTGAAGCTATGGGATGTCGAGGCTGGCACGCCCAAGCTGACCCTCGCCCACAAGGATATAGTACAATCCCTGTCATGGAACGCCGAGGGCTCCATGCTGGTTACCACCAGCCGAGACAAGAAACTGCGTTTGTGGGATGTGCGACAGGAGAGGCCTGCTCAGGAAGTGGCAGGACATCCGGGAGCGAAGAACAGCCGTGCCGTCTGGATGGGCGAGCATGACCGCATCGCCACAACCGGATTCTCGCGCATGAGCGACCGTCAGCTGGGTCTGTGGGACTCGCGCAACCCCAAGGAGCCCATTGGAGGCTTCCAGATTCTCGACTCCATCTCCGGTGTCTGTATGCCGTTCTGGGATGACGGAACGCAGTGCTTGTACCTCGCTGGAAAGGGGTAAGTGCATGCCCGGTCTTGCCCGAGGCTTTACTAACGATGCCAGTGACGGAAATATTCGATACTACGAATACGAGAACGACAAGTTTGAGTACCTGTCCGAATACAAGTCCCCCGACCCGCAGCGCGGCATCGCATTCCTTCCCAAGCGCGGCATTAACCTTCACGACAACGAGGTCACTCGCTGCTTCAAGACCGTCAATGATACATACATCGAGCCCGTCTCGTTCATTGTACCCCGCCGTTCGGAGATGTTCCAGAGCGACATCTACCCGCCCACGACTGGTATCAAACCCGGCGTGTCCGCCTCAGACTGGTTCGGCGGTAAGACCGCTCTACCCCCGAAGATCTCCCTTGAGAGTGTGTACGAGGGCGAGGCACCCAAGGAAGTGCCAGCAGACTACAAGCCACCATCAGCAGCCACACCCGTCCACAGCCCTCCACCTACGAAGACGGAAGCTCCAAAGGCAGCACCGGCGCCGGCGCCAGCTGCTGCTCGCGCACCCCCTTCATCAGTCAGCAATAACAAGGCATCACTCGCCTCTCAAGCCTCCAAGTTCGCGGATAAAGAGGAGGAGTCTTCCGAAGATGAGACGTCGAGTTTTGAGGAGGTACCAAAGCCTGTGGACCGTCACACCGCGACTGCTGCACGACAGGAAGAGAAGACGCGCGGCCCAGCTATCACCAAGGAGCCCGAGCCTCCGAAACCCACACCTGCCCCAACTACTGCTCCCGCCAAGGCATACTCTCCATCAAGCGAGCCTACGCCGACGGCCTCGACGCCCGCTCCGAGCGCCTCTGGTGCAGCAGCTGGGCTCAAGGACTATCTCGCGGATATCAAAGACACGCTCCACCACCAAAATCAGATCATGTCCGACCAGTCGGATCAGATTGCTCTGCTCATGCGCGAAGTCAGCCAGCTGAAAGTCAAACTCGTCAGCTCGGGGAGCTCAGACCGAGAAAAGGACGAGCGCATCCGGCAACTAGAGCTCGAGCTCGAAGAAGCCAGGTCGTGATCGCGCAATGCCGCGTAAAGCTTCACGGACTATGAGCTGACGTACCGTAGAAACGCCCTTGACACGATGACTTGACCAGTTTTGGCAATTGGGATGATCCCTGGGCGGCTTGAGGCGTGTATGTTGCTGGCACTGTGAATATCGAGGGCTTGGTCAGGGGTGAAATTGTATGCGTATTGGTAGCGATCGTGGGTTTGATAGCGTTTGGGGATGCACGGTGTTGGTTTTGGCTTAGCAGCATCTGCTGAAGAATGAATCCCAATGTTCCAAGCCTCTCCTACGCTGTTAGACGACTTCATTATCTACTTCCTGCAATCGGACAACCGAAGGCATGCAGCACAGATGTAGTGATGACAAGAGTTGAGTCTGGCTCTCTGTCCATATGTGTGATTGCATTGGTAAATTTTTAGTTATAGCTTCCTCCGCTGAGCGTTTCTTGCTTCTGCCTCTCGCCTCCTCGGTTCGACTGTTCTACAACAATGCCACCCCGAGCACACCCACTACCACACCCACCACGCCCTGCGCTACTCCCCTGATAGCCGCAGCACCAGTCTCCGCCGGCGCACTCGCACTCCCCGTCGGACTCGACAGCGTCGCCGTACCCGTAACATTATTCCCGCCAACGCCCGAGCTAACCGCCGTGCTCAACCCGCCCGTTCCAACCGCCACAGCACTCGACGCACTCGGCAGCGTCGCCGCGCTCGTCACACCACTGCTCGCCGCCGCCTCCGCGCTGCTCGCCGCAGACGCAACATCCGCCTGCGTACTCTGCGCGCTCGTAGCCTCCGCTGTCGCTGTCGCGGTCGCAGATCCCCAGCCAGGCAAGAAGTCGGGTGTGTAGGTCGCGCTGCCGGCGTACTGGGGGCAGCCGGGCACGGTGGTCTTGGGCGGCGCGCGGCCGCCGCCGCAGTCGAGGAAGGAGCAGATTTCGCCGTTGGTCGGGTCCCAGTAGACGAGCGAGGCGCCGCCGAAGACGACGGTTTCGCTGGAGGTGCAGCCTTCGAGGTCGGTTTTCGCGAGGGCGAGGGCGGAGAGGGCGCTGAGGAGGAGGAGGGACTTCATTTTTGTGGTTGAGATTAGGATAGTTGTGGGGTGATTGATGATGGGGTGTTGGATGAGGTTTGGATGAATTGGTTGGATTTGTGTTGTGAACGAAAGGATACAGCGGATGCTGTGGTATTAAAAATATTAAGGTATTTGTAACGAAGGACTGGTTGGGGAGGAAGACAAGACTCGGAGGGCGAGGTAGAGAGAGGAATTCGAGCGAACAGGATGAGGAGGCTTTTATAAGCGTGAAGCCCAAGCTCACGGTTGCGGCAAAGCATCAGCATCCGCATCCCCCTAAATCCCATTCCGGGTTCCAGGCCCCCTCGCGTAATTGCCCTCTTCGTCGCTAGCCGTTTGACCAACGGCCACTTGGAAACATCGCTTCGTGGGCGGCGAAGCATTCTCTCCGACTCGCCGCGTCGAGATTTAAGGGGTGAGCAAATCTCACCACGTGTATGCAATGAATGGGGACTCCCTCCCTTTACTCGCCCGAGACTCCTCAAAAGGGCGCAGAACACAAATATGGGAGGCTGTTCAGGGACTGAAGATGGCATCAGCTTTGCAAAGACAGCCCTCCACGCGAATCCGATAGGCGATCCAGAATTACGGTGCGCGAGATTGCGATAGGCGCCGCGGCTCATGAAGCTTAAGTCGTTAGCGCGGACTTAGCTATTTTAAGCTTATCCGAGGCTCATCCGCGAACGTTCTCGGCCGTGGCTGCGGTCATCTCCGCGAGATCAATTTTCCTGGGATTTGCCTTGCCTTCAACACTTGTGAGAGAGAGTTAGAGTCGAGCCTGGCCAGCCAGTTCCATGCTAGGTCGATCGTTGGTTCCTTCTCTTTTCGCACTCTGCGAGAGCGGTCGCTAGCCTGCCCGCTATTGTGGACTGTTGGAGCAGAGGCCAAATGCGTGTGGATCTACTTTCGGCCGGAAGTGGGTGAGGTAACGATAATAGGTGCCTGTTTTATTACTTGCGGGCGGACGATTCACATCGTACCCTCCCACTGCCTCAGCAGCTGTTTCAACGGCTCCAAAACATGGCTAGAGTATTCTTCTAGAAAAGCCTCGTTGCTCCAATCAACCTTCGAGCCAAAGGAACAGTCGATGCAACGACGAATAGCTTCGGACAAGCCTTCGCCGCACTCTCCCTCCACATCCTTATGCCAGGCCTTCGCGGTGCACAAGTCCGTGTATTCGTTCGGTGCTCCCTGGGGCCCTAGGTACTTCTGGCGCAGCGGTAGCGTCTCCAGGCGTTCGTTGAAAGTGAGTTCGAGGAGGAGTATCCCAAGGCGGAAGAGAGATTGTTTGCAAGCTTCGTTGGAGGATGGATCTCCCGGAGGTGTGGCGGGGAAGGACTTGCCGATGAAGGGGCGCGAAAGTTGAGGGGAGGCTGAGGATAACGGATAGACGAAGGTGATGTCACGTTTGTTCCATGTGGAAGAGAGCCATGGTGTTGGCTGGAGTTGGAGTAGGGTGAAAGCGAGGATATTCGCCAGAACGAATCGTTGCTTTCTCGTCATCGTTTGGGCAGGAGAAGGTGAGGCGGAGCGGCCAGGGAGAAGATCCTCGAGGGTCACCGTGCCACACTGATGATTGAGGTCCTGGTACTTGGCATTCGGATAGAATAGGAATCGCGATTGTTGCGCTGCTGGGATGTAGCCGAGGCAGTCGTTGGTGGACTTCCATTTTGCCATCTCAGAGCAGATGTCTTTGATCTCGTTGGGTTTCAATACTGTCTGCACAGGCTGAAGTTGGATGGTGGTTGGTACTGTCGTTTGGGCGATGCGCACGGTTTTCTTGGACCTTCACGTGCTGGTTAGATTGGAGCTGCGCAAATCCTTGGTCTCTTACCTCTGGAAAAAGTGCAGTGGAGAAGGACTCCTAGATGCCGGGGCTGTTACTGCCACAGGTTGGAGGCTTCCAGCTGCAGTATGGCACGCGGAGCCCTGGGGAGATGTTGGTGGAGTTTTCACGGCACGGGCATGGACCTGTCGCTTTAGCTCCAGCAAGTTTCCGGTCGATGACTTTGCTGACGAGCTTTGTGCAGAGTCTTGGTGACTGGAGTCACCTATGCGGACCTCAATTGGCTTCCGCACACCAGCTCCCTCGAGGAGCAAGTGGAGGCTGAGAGAATTTGGGTCGTCTCCCGCGATGTGTCTCTCAAGAAGGAGTCTAGTCCCATGTGGCGCAGGGCATTTGCACTTCCATCTGCTCAAGATGCCACTATAAAGGACCTGGGAGTGGTGTTGCAGCGATTGCACGAAGCCTATCATAGGAGTCTTCCGGCGACGCTCCCGGGACGGAGTGAGCTCGTCATTCGTACTGAGCAGTTGGTGAAGCTCGTCGTTGTACTTGGTGAGCAGCTTGACATGCTTGAACTTCTTTTTGGAGAAGCTGATTCTCAATCGACGCAGCTCGTGGTCCCATCGAGAAGCGTCTATGTATTTGACCTGGACAGAAAGGAGTTAGCGTCGTTCGCTTGCCTAAGTAATATTCACCAAACTAACTCACCTGCCCGTTCTCGATTCCCAACCTCTCTTCTAGACTAGAAAGCGTGGCATCCATCTTTTTGCATATCGCGATATACCTGGGAACATCGCAGTACGCATTAGCAAATGTTCATAAAGAGCGCGGAGCCTATCTTCGACGCCTGCCTCGTCTTCGGTCGCTGACGGGCTTTAGGAGCCACTTTCTAGAATCGCCACAGCCGGCAGATGCTGGTATAAAAGGGGAGTGCGTACCACTCATAGGAGCTTCCTAATCTCTTCTGGATATCCCTCTTCAGTGCTGGATCCTGCCAAGCCTCGGGATTGCGTTGATCCAGCAGAGCATTCATCTGCGAACCGGAGGTCACAAAGGGATCCAGGAGTCTCTCAAGGTTCATGTCGAAGCGTGTCTGCTGTGTTCCGAGCTCTTCGATGAAGTTACTGAAGTCCGACTCGAATTTCCACCACTCCTGCAGCGGCTCGAAGCCCTCCCGATAATGTTCGAGCGCCGAAATGATCAGCGGGAAGCCGCCGAGCACCACACCTGCTATCTCTGCCATAGTCGAAGACGAGAAAAGACGTGCTCAATGGGCCTTCGATGCTGGTGTAATGCCAGTGAGGGTCGGAAAGCAATCCGGCTGAGAGCTGAGGGCTGAGCTGAGGTGTTTCAAGTGGGGCAATGCCAAGCCTTCCTTCTGCCTGATGCACCGCACCCTTCGCCTTTCCACGAGCAGAGATTCAGCAGAATCATGGATTGAATCACTTCTAGAAAGAATTATCTCCTAAGATACCTCTCCTCTTCAGCGCTCCTGTCGGTTCGCTCGCTGAGCCATGCCGTCGAACCCAGGGCGCACGATCGCGGCCGAGTGCTTCCAGGTCGCCAGTGCCTTCGACCAGCTGCTCTCAAGGCTTGCGGATCCTCCTAGCGACTCTTTTGAGCTCTCCTTGTTAACGGTCCGGGACGAAAAAGGCCGCTTCCATGTTTGGGCCGGGAACATTGGGGCGCTGCAGAGTCCTGCTTCCGTCGCATCTCTCGACTCACGGCTCCGCGATGCCCCCCAAATACGTGACCAGATCCTCCGGATCTTAGCACGGCTGATTCAATCCATCCAAAAAAGTACCGATCTGGTCCTGCCGAGGAGATTTAGACTAACCGTATCTAGCGGCATCCATTGCTTCTGGCGAGTCGCCAAACAGAGTCGACGTCTTGGACATTGATGAGCTACAAATATCCGACAGTGACGAAGACGATCTATCTCCCGTGTCTGATGACGACATGTCGTTGCTGCCGACAGCCCCACAGATATCGGAGATCGCACAGCTTCGAAAAGCAATCAACGACACTATAACCAACCTTTTCAAGCTATCCATGGCGATCAGAAAACCCACTCCCCGTGGGAGGTACGCCGCTTCCAAAAGCCTGCGGCCTTTCGATGCTTTGTATGACGTCGCTCATGTGCAGCACAAGTTTCCACTCATATCCGACCAACCATGGTTGGTTGAACGACTGGGGAAAGCTATCACGCGTCGTCGAGAATACTTCCGATATCGCAGAGAACATAGAGCAAAACTTGAGCGCCAGGTATCTCGGGCAGAAGAAGAAACGCAAGAAGAAGCAAGATCAACCGGACATTCCGTCAGGCAGGAACTCACAACAACGCGCAGCCAGGCCGAGCAGCATGGCGAGGGAGCGCCAACAGTCGCACACACAAAGGCCACCACATTTCTTGCTAGCCCGCTCTCGGAAAAACTGCTACGAGAGCAGGAGGAAGCCGCGTCTCTAACTTCCTACGCGACTTCAGTTGAGGAGAACTCGCCACATGCCCTAGGAGTGCCGGAACCACCACAATCCACCAGAGGCGTGCCTTTCGAATATGGTGCTCCGTTCGAATGCCCGTACTGCTTTACCATTCAAATGGTGAGGGGTATGCGCGAGTGGAAGTACGTATCTCACCATTTCTGTACTTCGAGCGGTACTAACTGGGATTAGGAGGCACGTGTTTCGAGACCGTACGTAACCCCCGAGGTACAAACTTCCTGCCCTGTCGGTTGTAGTGTGTTAGCTTGATTGAAGTGCATCTGGATGCCATTTCATGATACCACAGATTGTAAACTGAGACATGAACCCTAACTTTTACTTCAAGGACTGTGCTAACATTTTACCGTGACATAGTTCAGCCGTACATGTGCACATTCAAAGACTGCGGCTCACAGTTATTCGCCGAGCGACACGCATGGTTCCAGCATGAGCTGTTTGCGCATAGGAAAGAGTGGCGCTGTAATTTATGTCGACACAAACCGTTTGACACGGCGAGAGGCTTAGAGGAACATTTCCGAAACCGACATGCGGGAAGTTTCGCCGAAGCACAGCTTTTCGGCGTGGTCCAGCTATGTGAGACTACTCATGATCGATTCCCAGCGTCTGCATGCCCTTTCTGTGATGACTGGAAGCTGCATTCACTCCCGGGAGTTCCGACAGATACCACAGTTTACGCCACTGTTGCTCAGTTCCGACGGCACTTGGGAAAGCATTTAGAGCAACTGGCGCTTTTTGCCTTGCCGAAAGCTTCAAACGATAACGCCAGCGACGACGACGCCGATTCCAACGACGCTATTGCCGATAAGGACGCTACTACTTTATCCAGCCTCCCAGACTGGATAGAAACTGATCAAGCGCATGCTGCTGCTCCAACGCTCCAGCCGCAGCCCGAGTCCACACATAGCTCTACCGAGAGTATTGGGGCCATGTCTGACAAAGAGAGACAATTCGAATTTGTCAAGCAGTTCAAGGCCAATTCCCAAGCCGAAAAGCAGAAAGATCAGCCCGATAAGGCTACGAACGAGGCTCGCGCCAAAGCCTTTGACGAGGCTATGCTGGCGTGGATTCCTACTTCTTCAATGGATGCACGGAAACCATTCGGCGAGCCGGAATTCAAGGGCATATCAACTGTCCTGCGTCAGTTCGGTAGAGACTCCTGGAGCCATAATCCAAAAATCTACGCGCTTCTCCACATCATCAATGAAGTGCGAGCCATGGAGGATTTCTTATCCCAAGGATATAGCGATGCGTGGTTGCCATTCAGCCATAGAAACTTAGAAACGCTACGCCCTCGAGCCATGAAAGACTTTCTTGATGCGCAGCATCTGGTGCTGAACCCGAATTCCTGTTCTGAGGAGCTCGGGGAACACTGCTCATTTTCCAGTCCGGACGTTGTCCCCTTTCAAGAGATTGCTCTGCTTGGTGTCGGCGGCTTTGCTGAAGTCGACAAAGTTTTTAGTTCTATTAGCCTGAAGCAATACGCCAGAAAGCGAATGAGGAGGGGATTGGGGGGCATGATGGAGAGGGTGCACCTGGAGGTCTTTGAGCGAGAGCTTTCAACATTGAGGAAATTATCTCATAGACACATTGTCAAGGCCATAAGCTCCTACACCGATTCAAGGTCAGTCCGAACAGTATGCCCTATGCTCATAGTAGTCTGATGATGAGTTCTCAGCTATGTTGCAATAATTATGTCGCCTGTTACGGACTGTACCTTGGCGGATTTTCTGCTCAGCAACCACTCACCAGGTGATCGAGCCTTCCTTCAGACCTTGTTCGGCTGCCTCACATCTACGGTGGCGTATCTACACGAAAGTCACATTCGTCACAACGGCATCAAACCTTCGGTGAGTATGCGTACCGCCGCAGAATTCGTATATTGACGAAGGCCGTAGAATATACTTATCAAGTCGCGTCAAGTTTTCCTGACAGACTTTGGCGAATCTTACGATTGGTCGAATATGGGCGATGACACCACCCATGTACCCATCGCTAGGACACTGCGCTATTGCGCGCCTGAGGTCGCGGAAAGTCAAGCAATTGATTCTTCAGCCGACATCTGGTCGCTTGGATGCGTTTTCCTGGAGGTTTGGACTGCGTTGATAGGGAAAAGCGTATACGACCTGCATGCACACTTGGACTCCTCCGGCTCTGGCTCCAGAGACTACCATAGCAACTACGAAGCCATCTTTCCCTGGTGCGACCTGTTAATGTCGAGCAGCGACAGTTCACGCTGGCGTGAGCTACATTCGTGGATAATGTCCATGCTCGAGCATAAGCCGGGGGATCGCTGGACAGCGCGCGCTTTGTTGGACCGTATCCAGGAAACCAGCACAGATCCACAGACCGATGTGGAATTTATGGGGCACTGCTGCATAGAGGCAGCAGAATACTCAGGCGAAGAGTCGTCAGACTTTAAGCATGATGTCACTAAGGCGAGTTCTTCGCCCTACCAGAGACCGTCCATGGATCCGCCAAGAGCCAGCCAGAAGATGCCAGAGCATCTAGCGAGCCTATCGACTCGACCCGATACTCAAGTGCAAGAGCGGGGAGGTGCGGAAGCTGGGAATTCTAGAGCCTGTGAATCTTTGCGCTGCAAACACCTGGACCTGCGGATATGGTACTGCTCCCACTGCGCGATGTACTTATGCGATGACTGCTGGGGACAGCTACCGATACACGAACCGGGGCGCGTTGACCTAAACGGCGAACCACACCAAAAGGTAGACCCGGACGGTCTTGTGGATAGGTCGGGAAATACATCAGGAGAGGCGGATGCAGAACTACCCGAATCCAGCACCGGTGTTGCCCATCGCTCGGATGCAGCAAGTGCCTCTCCCGAGAAGCTCCTCAGTAGCGGAGCAACTGCAGACGTCCCGGATACCTCTGACATACCCAGGCGGGGAAGAATGGTGTACAGTTTTGGGGCGGATTCCGCGGATGAGCTCACAGTCAGTGCTGGCGATGAGGTTCTGGTACTGGGTGATGTCGCTCGTGGCGACTGGTGGAAGAAGGTTCGAAGCTCGAGCGGGGCTGAAGGCCTAGTGCCGGCCGCCTACGTTGCGATGAGAAAGAGGGGTATTATCCTGCACGATTATGTTGGGAGGAGTTCCGGCGAGGTCACGGTCTCTCGCGGCGACGAGGTTCTGATCCTCAACGATACGGCTAGTGATCAGTGGTGGAAGGTCAGAGTTGTGAAGGATGGTACTGAGGGCATGGTGCCGGCTGGCTACGTTGAAGTCGAGTGATGAAGTAGCTTGGACTTTGGAATTGACTGAGTGCTTTTCGATAAAAAAGGGTGGATGAGTGGGTGTGTTGCTAGAGATTGACTTTCCATTCATCTGGCAGCATCAAAGAAATCCTATGCGTATGTAAACGGCATCCGTCTTGTTAGGCACTCTCCCATCCTTGTACCAATCCCATTCCGCATGCCGAGTCCTACTTTTGCGCGCGATCAGTCCGCCCAAGGCTATGATACCGGCCGCCCTAGAGATCTTGGAGGATCTGCGTTCTTTTCTCTCGACATACACCTCTTTCATACCTATCGAGAACAGAGAATAGACTCCGTGGGCTGATAGTGGTTCTTCAATGGCGAATGGCGTCCGTGTTGAGCGATAAATTCCGTTGTAGTTTTCGAATGATTGCTTGAGTAACGAGAGCCCACATAATTGCCTATATAGAGTAATGTTGAAGAGGGTCGCCGACACCAACAGGGGAGCGATTGCGAAAAAACCAGGTGGCTATATAGAGCACTGAGCCAAAGAGCGGATTGTACAGATCATGTGATGACATGCTCGGTGCCTCAAAATACGCCGCCTTCTTGCGCCCCTCGTACTAAGCGGAGTGAGACGCTTTCCCTCCCGTTTCTCAGAAGAGATGTTACGGAATAGGAGAGGCTACAAGCTGGAGGTATGCAAGAAATCGAAGTCGCTGAAAGATTGAGATATAGATTGGACACACAATCTTTGAGAGCCTTCAGCTCCGCCGCGCTCCCATTTCGAAGTGGAAAAGATGCAGTATCATTCTCCAGTGAGCGCCCAGAGTAGGAATTTTCGTGCACTGCGGTCCTCATCATTGGCGTTGATATACCACATTGCCTGTCCAACCAGGTGCGCTTTGCACAAACGCAGGTTGGAACGGTGTCTCATATCTTTTCTCCAGTTAACGCTATCCACATACATCCACGATAGAGCGTGACTCACATATAGCACAGATACAGTCCGTCCGCCATTTTGGCGAAAGAGAAGGTTTGGCACATAGCTCCGTACCCTAGCGGCAATGTCAGGGAATTATATGGTACAATCGGGTAGTTATCGAGATTAGATGTACCTATTTGGCGATTAAGGCACGAAGGGACTAGTGGAGTCCGGCGAGGGATAGCAGGTGACTTACAGGTGCACATGTTGAAGCAATTGTTGAAGAACTCATCAGGTTCTGTGCCAGGATCGCTCCTGATATTCACCGATTGCTCGTAGATGGTGTAGTTCGTGCCGTCTACGGGTCCATATACTTTGTTCAGGCTAGCGGTCTACATCGCGCGTATTAGGTCAGCCCAGGTCCCCAGATCTCGTGAACAGATGCCGGAAAATGTAACTTACAGCAAGACACCCGCACGCGCTGGTGACACGTGTCGGATTACTCGCGCACTGTGCGGTCGCCCACGTGGGGATCGTGACTGCGGCATCAGTGGTGTATGTTGAGCAGAAGGGAACGGCAGTGCTGATGCGATTGCGCATAGCGCGAAGACAGTTGTCGGCTGCGCAGTCACGTTTCTCGAGCGCAAGGCTGAGCTCTGGCGCCGGGGTGGGTGCTGGTGTGGCAAGGGCTGATGAGATGAGGAAGGAGAAGAATGAGACGGCGAAGAGATGCATCTTGAAATTTGGAGGGGACGTTCCAAAGTAAGACAGACGAGGAAATCGCTGTGTATCTGGCGATGCAGAAACCTAGACGAAGATGAGAGAGGGCATTTAAAAGGCTTGACAGGTTGCGAAACCGACAGACGCTCTGCATACACGAGGTCTTCATGTATCGACCGCAATATATTCAGTCAGCACTGAGACGCCTTAATGAATCCTTCGTCCACTATGTTCCTGCTGCCCATTCAAAAGTCCATGTGCTGAGGCAAATACGAAGCAGACGCCGAGCTTCTGCATGGCGTATGTAAGCTACAGGCGGAAATGGAGATGTTCAAGCTGTGGTTCGCGGGTTCTCAACCAATTTCGTGCGATAAGCAGAGAGCCAAGACGGGAAATCTGCATTTAAGCGAGAAATCCACGTGCGGACGGAAAGACCTTCACGGAAGTTACGCGAGCTTCCCCTTGCACGGAATCAGAGGAGAAATCGGATCTAAAATCGCGCGGGGACGAGGGGTATCAGAAAATCCAAGTGTAGTGGAGAGAGAAGAAACTAGCTTAAAATTCGTAGATCTTATCTAGATAGTCGTGAGGGGTCACTGAAGAATCGCATGCCAGCAGTATATTAGCTGTCACCAGCATTTCCCAAACCAGTTTAGCTTGGCCGTGCAGGGGTCGGACCTGCGGGCAGTCCTTAATACCAAACAAGAGCGGAGCCCTTGTGTGGATTGGCAGGCTGTTATGAAGGCTTCGGGATCTGGATTTCAAACGGAAAGGTTCTTGAAGTTGCCCAAAAAGGGTGTTATCACGTGACCAAGGTGTTTACGAAGATGATCAGTCCGCTAACGATGCGTAGCCTAGCTGGCTTATCTAACTTCGCGTCCATTTCAGCGAATCTCTAGAATATGCTGGATGAGCTCTGGCTATAATTAGGGCTCGTGTAAAAAAGGTACGTCACAGAAGGCCGTGACAGGTTCTATACAATGATAATTAATGTGCCATCTAAGGTAGAAACGATTACTGTGATGGAATTCGAATCTAGAAAACGGCACCACTGGTCTCTTCATGTAAGAGGGCGGTAGAAAAGGAGTCCAGTAATACATGCGAGATTCATAAGGAAGCACGGTCCGAAGTGCATCCACATCGGCGCCGAACTTTATGACCGCTTCTAGTCTCAGCTGAACCGATCCGTTTTATCTGCAACAACCCGGATCCGAATCACAGCCACAGCCACAAGACGCGTTTGAAATCCGCCGTATATTGAGGCGCTGCATGCCGGTGCGACGTCATGGATCAATCGGCAACCCAGTATCAAGGTCAATCGCGCCGCTTCCATTGGCGTACCTCGACGCGCAGGTACTTTCGTACAAAGGAGCTACCATGGATCCCATCCATACAACCCTGCCTCCCCACTTATCTGCGCATCGCTGACGCCGCAACTGCACGACGACATCATCCCCGCTCACTCATCCACTTACCAGCCGCCACGGTCGTGCCGCCACAGCACCCCTCGTGATCCCGATCTCACATCTGAAAGGCCCTTGTAATCTCCCACCGCTAACCTGGCATTATCCTTCACCGCCAAGTGCTGCGGAAAGCTTGTTTGAGCTTGTGCCTTGCTTTTGTGCGGCATTTTTGCGCGCCAAGAAAGCTTGTCGTGGCTTAGCGCTGAGCAGTCATCCCTGTCAGCATGCAGAACCGGAACCGCTGGAACCGGCTGGACGCGTCGTGTAATGATTCTGGCCTTCAACTGTCCAATAGCCGTCGAGTTCGCGTGGTGCAGGGGGAGCTGAAGTGGCTCAGCTGCGCCCCTTTAATTGAACTATGCGTTGGAGTGGCATTGAAGCTGCGGAAAGGCCATGCTGTGTGGGGTACGAGGCGGTGCTGGCAGGTGTCGAAATGAAGAGGTGCAGCTTGGACGCAGGGGGAGCCTGCATTGGCCGGATGACGGGAGCTTACCACGGGCATGACAGTGCATGCTTGGGTGGACAATCAGACCAGGGACCATTCAGCGCCCGGTGTGCAAAGGGCGTATAAAAGGGCCGGTGTCCGCCCTGCCCGGTTTCCAAGTTCCCAACCCACTTCGCCAACCTCCACCACAGACAGTCACCTCGAGACATCCACCTCACTTCAAGCATCACCTCGATCTCGTCGGTATGCTCTCATCCCCACTTCAATGGGTGAAATATTCTAATTATGGGTGTAGAACAGACCTTCAGAATGCCTGGCAGCACTACCTCTTCGATCACCTCTATCGTCAAGCCGAAACCCCTCACGCCCCACTGCGGCGAGTCGTGCGATTGCTGCGGCTGCGACGAGTCCTGCTGGTGCGTCGTCATGTGAGCACATACCACGACAACGATCGAACGAACACAACAGGCGGCGAGCATATCTCAGCGAAGGCTTAGCGGGAACTGGGAGTTTGGGACGTGGTTCCAACTTGAATACCTATCAATAGCATGATCATTTAACTTGCGCTGTTGGTTCCTGACTGTATCATCGTAATCAGCCCGTCTCCTCTTCTGCGCTGTGTGCATCCTTAAACTCCATCAGTATGCGTGAATGTTATGCCCCTCCATCCGTCCTATGATCTTAGTCACTCTACACCAAACCCACCACAACGTCACCCTTATTCGCCCTCGCATTCCTGTATGCAATCCACACAGTCCGCTCGCCCACTCAATCGTCCAACCCAGACCTCGCCACACGCTCCCACGGCGACCCGCTGCTCGGCGCCCGCATGCATCCGAGTTGCACGAACTCTCACTTCGCTCGCCATCCGGTGAGTTTCAAATTCCCCAAGTGGCAAAGTGAGGACCTTTGCGAGAGTTAAATAGTCCTCGCAGCCCAGTTCATAAAGGTCATTTGTCGTGAATGCCTTTCACACGGTAATAGATTGCGGCTCCGTGCTCGAGCGCTATTGGGTACCGCTCGCCAGGCGCAGCTTGTGCCTACCATAGGGTGGCCAGAAGTGTTACAGTCACGTGCGCGCTCCTCACCAAAGCTGACCAACCGCGAAGGACTTCAGTCTCACGGGACTGAAAACCCTCTGACCACCCTATGGTAGATCCGGAGCTCTTCAAACAATGGGTGGCGACAGCGGGGACCGGTATTGCGCGAGGGCCGGCGTCGAACCACTCGAGAACGGAGTCTATGTGAAACGTGTGCTTGCACTTGGTGGTTTGCACAGCCCCTTCAATGGTTGGGTTCTAGTGGAGGACGTAGTTTGGGTAATAAGGCTCATCAGGCGGGGATTCGGCGTTGATCAGTTGCTTGACGCAGTAGATGCATTAGGATAGGAGGGTAAGGGCCCGTTGTTGCTGCTTGGTAGGAAGCGCAACTAAGTTCAAGTCGTCTGTGGGGTGGTCCATGTCGGGGCGTTGTAGCAGCTTAGTGTGTGGCGGTTAGGGCCATTGTAAGGGAGTAAGTGTTCGAGAGCTGGTAAATGCAAGCGGGTTGGGGATCCAAACGAGGCTTGATATTGTCAGTACGTAACTGAGAACTTGTGATATCTAGGCAGCTTTTGACGGTCGCTAATTTAGAGCATGCACACTTAACCGGCTCGTAATAGCCGAAGAGGTGTGCAAACCGTGGCTCCCGCAGCCAACGATTTGGATGTTGCTCGGCACTGCAACTGGTAACGGCTGCAAACCACGATAGTCGCTCAGACCGACCCAGTCCTCATCGTGTTAACACCCTCCAGATGATACAGCGGCTCGAGTTTCGCCTTCCTCTGGAAAAGAACATATCGCTTGATGAACCATGGTAGCCAGGTCCGAACCTGATATGCGATGTGTCGGCGCGTTGGGACACCGAAGATGAAATCCAGTTCCTCCAGTGTGCGCTGCCTGCAAGATACTCGGTTAGAGCTATTGTCACGACGAGCCGTGAGGGTAATTTGGCTTACATCGTCTCGGGCACTAGGAAGAAAATCATGAAGAAAGCTACGACATTGAGCCCGGCATAGAATGCGAACGCACCGGTCGGTGTGATCTTCGCTAGAAGCGACGGAAAGCTAAGGGTGAGAGCAGATCCGACGGCGTTATTGACGCAAATCGTGAACGCAGCGCCAATCTCTCGATGCGAGAGGGGGAAAGCCTCGCTGAAGTAGATGGATGGAAGCGGTCCCATGCCTGCATTCTATTAGTGTCGGACACCGAATACGTGGAGAGATGGTACTTACCCGGCCCATACAGCGCAGTGAATAGGAAAATGAAGAACGCGATAAGTGGTACGCGCGCTCCCACATTCTCATTGATCAAGAAGCAGAAACCCGCCGCCAATAACGACCATGCCATGTTCGGGAAGGTGACTAGTAGTAAATTCCGTCGACCGAACGTATCCATTGTGTATACCGCTGGGATAGCAAATACAAACATGATGAGTCCGTAGCCCATAGAGACGAGCAAGCACTCCTTGGGACTGTATCCCGCTTCGGCAAAGATGGTTGACGAGTAGAAAGCCATGATGTTGATACCCGAGAACTGCTGCGAGATGACGATGACGGCAGACGCAATGGTGGCACGGCGGAGCCGAGGGACCATAAAAAGATCGCGGATGCGGCGACCTAGAGATATTCCCGCAAATGCGTTGTGTTCCTCGGCGATTTGACAGTGCGCGTAGTAGAGCTCCCGTGCGGCAATAACGTCGCTGGTACGAAGACGACAGAGAGCCGTGTACGCTTCCTTGTACCTATGCTTTTTCAAAAGCCATCTGGGTGATTCCGGACAAAACCAGATGAGGATAACGATCGGGATGGCCGGTGCGAAGGCGGCGGCGAGCTGGAAACGCCACGCGAGACGTCCAACCTGGAAGAAGATTAGATTGGAACACTGGCCGGCGAAGATGCCAAAGGCCACCCAAAGCTGGAAGCTTGTGACCATTCCACCGCGGATAGAAGCAGGCGAGACTTCAGCTGAGTAGACAGGGATAGTCGAGATCTTGATACCCATGCCCAAGCCCATAAACAGACGACAGAGTAGCAGGCCCCACCAGTTCTGCGTGAAGGCCTGTGCAAGGACGGGGAAGATACAAAAGAGGCCTGTGACGAAGATGGCACCACGTCTTCCTAGATAGTTGTTGACGGGATCAGCAGCCCAGGCACTGGCGAGACCGAAAAGGGTGGGCCCGCTATTTATCACGCCGACCAGCCAGGTATCGTCTGCGATGCCAAACTCCTGAGGGAAAGACAAGTTCGCTCCGTTGGCGCCGGTGTTATCCCAGCCTTGAATAGCAGAGCCAAGGGAGCAGAGAGCGATGGCGAAGTACAGATCCTTTGGTAGATGCCATCTGTGAGTGACCTCCCGCCGAATGTGGTACTTGTCTTCCTCAGCCAGCTCAGGTACCTCCTCGAATGTCGACGGATTCTGTGCGGCTAAGGCGCCCTTCCAAAAGACGTCCCTTTTCTCCTGGAAGCCCCACGACTCGCAGAAAGCATCGACCTTGTCCCGAAGTCTTTCTTTCGATATTCCGGCGAGCGGATTGATGATCCTCGCATTGACATTACGCGCGTAGTCGACGATGGTGTCAACGTTCTTGGTAGTGACAATCTCGTCTTTCTTCGCGTCAACCGAATGAGCTGAGTGAATAGATTCTGTGGCCATGGTGTGAGAGCCTCGATGGAGGAAGTGATCGTCGCTAGTGTAGAACAAAATCCGAAGCTGTAGGCGCGGCCAACGGATCTTATATACCTCGGCGGGACCCATGAAGAAGCGTCTGAATTACCGGGGAGCGTCTCGGTACTCCGGTATATCGTCTTGCCTATGCTCGCCCGGGCCGCGCTTATTGCCACGAGCATTGCTACTTAGGATGAGCAGTGTTTGGCTATGATGACTTGGTGGGCCGATGTAACGTGACTGAGAGGGTGTTCCGCATCCCGAATCGGTGTAGCAGGTGCGTTAGAATCTGGGGAACCCCGTGGGGCCCTGTAAGATTCCTTGTTTCGCCATATGGCTCTGTGTGCGACCACTGGTGCCAAGAGCCGACTTACTCGGTGGGTTGGGGAACGAAGATCGGCACTGAGTAAGACCAGATGCAGGTATCGGGAACCGAGCTCCCAAGAACCCCTCCCTCTCCAGCACATTCGGCTCCGAGGACGAATTCTCCATCGACGAAAGGTCAATGCAAGAAATCGGAGACCTTTATCGAGACTGCTATCATCTGTGCCATTAGAAGAAGTCCACGTCACTTTCGTGGTCGGAAACTACTCTGGACGGGGAGTCTCGGAAAATTCGCCGAGTTTGGTCATCGAACCCCACATTGCCCTGTGTGCGCACATCGCCCACCATCGCCACGCTGCCGTGCCCTGCGTGTAGCACTTCATGCTACGGCGATCGTTATTGGATGACTGGGTGTCCTGTCGCTGCACCTCCGCCTACGACAAGACGCGTCGGAGTCTCAAGCCAACCCAACGACGTGGGACTGAGGACGAAACCCACATAAGACTCCGCAGTGTCCTGTGTGTGCAGCGAGCCATGCGAGCCATGTGATCGTGGGTGAAGCAGCCAATGCTGCTATATAAACTGGGAGGGTGAAGGCAGACCCCAAGAGCAAGAGCTTCGAAAATCGAGATTCCAGACTTTCAAGCTATTACAAACACCGCCAAAATGGGAAGCGCCGAGACGCAATCATGGCTGCAGAAGCTCGACGAGCAATGTGAGGCATACTTTTCATATCCGGGACCGGAGGTAGATTGAAAAAGCCAACCCGCCTGAATAGCTTCAAGAGGTCGATGGAGCGGATTTGCTGATGCTGCACAGTGAACGTTGACGTTGACTGGATGGACCCGGCCTTCTCCAAGAGAATGGCGAGCGAATTCGGCGTCAAGCCCTACGATATGACGAGCAACAACCTCTGGGTCAACATCCAAATGTCGCACCCCGACAACAAGGAGTTGTTCGAGAACTCGGTCAAGGAGCTCAAGAATGAAGGCTGGCTCGCCATCTACAATCGCATTGCCGTGGGCCTATGCAAGGCAAACATCGACAACATCAAGAACCGTGTCGCGCTCCAAGTCAACCCCCATAAGGCGTACGACACACAGGCGGTGTTGGACCATGCGCGTGCTTATGCTCGCGAGTTCGAGAGAGCCGGCATTCCGAAAACGAAATACTTTATCAAGATTCCTTCCACTGGTCCGGCGTTGAATGCGGCCCCGCAACTAGAGGCTGAGGGTATTCGCACTCTCGGTACCGCTCTGTTCAGCTTGGCTCAAGCCATCGCGTGCAGCCAGGCTGGTATGCTGTACATCAGCCCATACTACAACGGTATGTAATCGAAGCGAACAACGCTAAAATTGGTGGTTGATGGAATCTCAGAGACCCGCGCACACGACGATCTCAGCCTCTGGCCAGATGTTGAGGACCCAGCGACACAGCACACCAATTCGGCCCGCGTCGTCCAGATCATTGATACGTACAAGCGCCTGTACAGGGAGACTGGAAAGGAGCAGCCGTTTGTGAAGAACGCGAGGTAGGAAGACAACGCTTTGTAGATAACCTGGGCTGACCATTCCAGCTTTATCTCACCAAAGGAAGCCATGGCCGCAGGCGAGATGGGCTGCCACTCTGCCACGATCTCGCACACCTGCATTGAGCAGCTAGCGAAGCTCCCATACGACGGTACGAAGCAGCCAGGAGCCGGCGTGCCCAAGCCTCAGCACGTTTACAAGGACGCTGGTCCGATTCCGGAACGCCTGAAGAAGCTGGCTAATATCGATCCTCTGGCATCGGCAGAGTGGGACGGCAAGCTTGCGAGCACGGATATCGACTACCTCGCAAACAACGGCGCCGAACTGGAGAAGGCGATTAAAAAGGACCCCGTTACTGTTGAGAGGCTGGATATTGCGCTGAAGCTGTTCCAAGGCGGCATTGACGAGAGCCGAGCTAAGATTGAGAAGGCGATGAAGGAGTTGTAGGTTTGCGCTCCGTACAGGCCTTCAGACCTAGAATGGGAAAACCTAGTCGTGGAAGATTATTCAGGTCAGGAAAACGGGAGGATGTGGATCGAAATCTTCTTGCGCGTGTTGTAGATGCATATGATTGAACGGCTCATAGATAGAATTGGTATGCGGCATCGTTGGAGCCATTTCGTTAGACACGGGAAGCTGAAATCCATTCCGTAAATCGTATCGAAAGGTTCCATGCGACGAACTGTTGTCGGGGCCTGACATTGGTGGCATGGACTCGAGGATCGTGGTAGCATCGTTATGGTCGTTGAAGCTAGCGTCATGACTGAGCAAGCTTCCGTAATCTAAGTGCGATTGTCCGCCGGGCGCGCGCTCAAAAGCGCACAGCCTAGAGTTTGCGGCGTCGATGGACGAAGGCGGAATATCAAACAAACCGTGGATTTGATCGCCAGGGGAGATCAGAGGTTCATCGGAACCCGTCTGAATACGCTGATCATCCGGGGGCATTTCCATTACAGTAGGTAGACATGCTCCTGCATCGTCGGCAGTGTTGTACCCTGCCTCTTCATACTCCTGGTCGTCCCCAGAGCCTCCTTCAGGTGGATTGTCGCCAAAACCATTCGGGAAAACTCCGAATGTTTCTTTCTCGACGCCGAGTAGGCTCCGGCACTGCTGCCCTACGGGCCTAGCTTCCCTTGGCGGAAATGTAGCTCCGCTCGCCGATCGCCACTGATTGACCTCAGCTAGCAATTCATCCCGTTCAGCAAGCAACGCTCGGAAATCCTGGGCGGCGGATAAACATAGCTCCCTCTGAGCTTGGTGCCGGGCAATGCTGTGCTCAACAATCATGTGTTTGTTGAGACGTCTCGTACCAGCCAATGAAGGTACCTGTCGGGCTAGTTCCTTGCTACGGTTAGCGAAAGACAAAGTCCTTTTCCTAGGAGCGTGCACTTACGATCAAGCCATCATTGAATGCTTCACGGCGAGATTTTTCGAAGACGCGGTGAGCGGCACGGTCTTCAGGCGTCCATACTCGGATGCGTTTCTTCTTCGCGGCTGCCGAGCTAGTCATCGCTGCAGGCTCTAACAAGCTTTCGACATCCCAGACAGGCATCCGTTCGCGATTCAACACCTGTTGCAGGCTAGGACGATGTCGGAGGCTCAAGTCGGTGTTGATGGAGAGACGTGGGGTTGGGGAAGGAGAGACGCGCTTGCGGAAATAGCAGCCCCGGAAGTCGGAGCGACATGGGCCGATGAGGAGCTATTGATACGTCATCGACTATTCCCCACATTTCGATTTTACCGTAGAATTCCCGAAAATGATAAATCTATCGTATGCGAAGCTATGTAGCCAGACATCAGAACTCAATCCATCCATAGGATGGATCTTTTTGGCTTCGGTCACGTGCTACCGGGTATGCGTGCCGAAATTTACGCACATGGTATGGAAAGTTCAGGATCACTAATCTTCCTCCGCTGCAGATGCCAAGCTCCGCAACGACGCAATCGCAAGCCTCCCAGCTTTGAGGTCCTCCGACTCGTCCGCGACTACGATACGAGCAATGCGATCCCTCTTCACTAATCACTATAGCGGAGCTGAACGATTCTGAAGCACAAGCTTCGTACCGGGCGGGATTTTGTGATCGCCAAGGCACAAAGAGTGAGGACGCGTGGACCTGAGCACCAGCGGACTGCGCTTGGCATGGGCATGCCTGTAGACATGCGAAGAAGAGCTGAAGCTGATGGCTGCGGAGTCGGAGTGATTTTGAGGCTATGGCCATTACGTTAGCCATGGCTGTTCAGAACTGTAACACCATGAGGAAGAACAGGGAAAGAAGTATAAATATGGCCCCAATGTTCGAGGATATGCCAATATCAACAACATATCGGATAGCCTCCATCGAGAAACACTATTTTCGGCAAAACTAGACTCTTCCATCGTACCACGTATCCTTCGACTGTCCTCATCATGTCTTCCAAACTCATCACCGTCTTCGGTGCGACCGGCGCGCAAGGCTCCTCAGTTCTCCAATCCCTGCAAGCCAATACCAACAAGTCCTTTGCCCTTCGTGGCATAACCCGTAACCAGCACTCGGATTCCGCTCAGAAGCTCTCCGCCTCCGGCATTGAAATGGTCCAGGCTGACGGCTGGGATAAAGACTCACTCATCGCGGCCTTCAAGGGCAGCTGGGGTGTCTTCGTCAACACTAATTCGGATGACGCCGTCTTCGAGAATCCGGAGGAGAAGCGCACTGAGGTGGACCTCGGAAAGATCATCGTTGATGCGGCTGTAGAAGCTGGTGTTGAGGTGTTGGTTTACAGTGGTTTCAACAGTGCGAAGGAGATCACGGGCGGCAAAGTCCCAGTCGCCGCTTTCGACGGTATGCTTTTCCGACACCTCCAGAACAGCCTCAGCTAATATCCTGCAGACAAGAATGCCATCTGGAAGTATGCTAGGGCCACCCGGGCTTTCCAATCCGTAGTCGCCGCCAGCCCTGGCTGGTACTTCGAAAACTTCCTCGTTCAGGATCTCGCTCCCATATTCGGTGGCTTTCCCTTCGTCCCATCCGAAGATGGTAACTTCGTCTTCCGCGTCCCGCGATGGGGCGGCAAAGAAGACATTCCTTTCATCTCGATTGCGGACGACTTCGGCGACATCGTGCATGGGATCTTCCTCGGACCTGAGAAATGGAATGGAAAGCTTGTGCAAGGCGTGAGTGACATTCGGTCTTTCGACGAGGCGGTAAAAGCCTTTGAGAAGGGTGAGTCATATCCCTTTATAGCTCCATCCGGGTTTGCGTGCTGATAGCGACAGTAACCGGAAAGAAGGCGCGCTTCGAAGAAGTTCCCAACTGGCAGGATCTCGACATTTACGGCATCCGCGCGCTGGAGACCATCAAGCGCATGTTCGGCTTCACTCAGGAATCCGGTGGACGGTATTATGGGGATGAGACCGAGGCGGAGACTGCGGCGCAGTTGAAGAAGAATGCTGCCGAGGCTTGCGGGAAAGGCGGGGATGAAACTCATTTGGCTACACTAGAGGCATTCTTTGAGAGGGAGTTCGCCGCCGCGTCTTGAGTTGCGATAATTCATCTCAGAATGGCGGACGGTAGAATACTCTCAGTACGTGTATCGAATATTAGTATGGGGAACGTCTAACTATGCATCGATAATGCGTCTAACGCACGTCCGTCTTCGACACTGGATTACCCGCCGAAGGTCCCCAGGCTACAATTAACACCTTCCAGGCTGGCCTGCCGACGCCGACTAACTTTAGGGCTGCATCACAGCCTGAAGGGCCCCAGGCTCCCTTTTACATTCATATTTCAGAGAAAGTTTTGCAATATATAGTGTACCGTGTGGAAGTGCATGAGCTATATGACAGCACCTCAAGGAACGTCTTTCCACCAAAGATCTCAACCTCCATCTTACATCAGGCCAAAGAACTTCATGGTGGCATCACCCTGGAAAGCAGGAATGTGACCACCACCCTGGACCTCAAATCCAATCAACTTCGTGCCATCGCCATAGACAATCCGCTTCCAGTTTGTGATCGGGTCGTTGGTAACGTTCTTCGAGAAGGAGACGCCCAGGACGGTGCTCCACTGGTCAAGCTGAGCCTTCAAGTTGTTGATCGTGACCGCGGTATCCGCCGTGCCATGGACTACCATCATTTTCGGGTACGTGCCGTTGTAGCCGGGGTCGCATCCGTGTGCAAGATCGGCCCACTTCTGCGCCGAATACGTGGAGGCTTTCTGGCCCATTGGGCAGGACAGATCGGAGGACATCGGCGTGGAGATCGGAGACCCAGCCCAGCAAGCAGCTGGCACACCAGAGTACGAGGCCGCACCCTTGAACAGATCAGGGTATGTCGCGGCCAGAACGTTGGACTCCATAGCTCCGGAGGAGCCCCCGACAACGAAGACCTTCGACTCGTCGCCACTGTACGTCTTCAGCGCCCATCTGACCATTGCTGCCAGGCCCTGCGAGTCGCCGCCGCCATCGTGCGTCAGAGACTTTTGCGTGTGGCAGTCCCAGCAGTTCATGCCTTGTTGGGAGTTGGAGGTCGGGTACATAACGACGAAGCCGAGTTTGTCGGCGTAGGAGTTGAGCGGGGTCATCTGTTGGTACATCTGACCGGTGCCGCCGCAGGGATGGAGCTGACAGTGGATTAGAAACGTGAATTATATTAGAGCAGTAGTTTCAGCTTACTCCGAGGATAACAGCTGGCGTAGCAGCTAGCTTGTCGGGAGTATAGACGAGCACTCCTGGCAGCTTGGAGGGATTGTCACCCCAGTTGGTGACGGTCTGCGTCTTGCCGGCGGAAGCCACGGCGGAAAGCGCTGCGAGGGCGCTCAGGAAGGTTCCGGAGTACATGATTGTTCACGTCTTGTGGCAATCTCAAAGGTAGGAAGGTCTCGTCGCCGACAATGTTGCCGCATCGAATACTAAGGCGCAGATTTATAGACGGAGGTTCTTGACTTTAGGCATTGCAGTTGATGCTCCAGATTGATGTTAAAGTGAACTCCATTCCAAGTTTGAAGTCTTGTGTAGCTTGCATACACATTAAAAAGGAGGAGCGCGAAGCATATTACACAAGTTCCCAGGAGCAAGCAGATACGCGTTATACGGTGTGCTCTGATTGGCCAGGTATGTTGATACAGCCTATAGGCCACCCGCGCAACTATTCGACGTTCCTTTCGCGTGAGCTTTTGTGTGGCTGCCCTTTCATCGGCATGGAATTCGGTAGATCCGCATATTATGGCCTCCGCAGACTTTGGATCGGGTTGGAAAACGGCAAGTCAAGAGCAAGGATTCCAGAACTGGGAGAATATTTCTGGAAGGCCGATTCCCAGGTAACACGGAGCTTGGCCCGGATATTAATATGTGTCTGTCCAATCCAGAGGAAACCTAATTTAAATATTGCTGGATTGAAACATAGATTGATTGATTATAGATTTGAAAGTCTCGGGAAGGAAAATCGGGTCCCAAGTTTCTAACGGGATGATGGGGCAAGCGACGTGGCATTTCGCTTAAATGCGCATGCATTGGGTTCACTTCCCCCACGTGAGAGCATCCATAATAAGCGACGAGGGTAATTATGGTTGTAAAGATGACGCAATGCGATCCTCTTTGCAAGAGCACTCGTCCGAATTATCTCCAGAAGCTCTGTTCGGCGTAGCAGTTCGTTACCCAGGTAGTTTCCCTGCGCATAGGCTTTGTTTAGGGAGATCTCCGTCCAGGCAAGACCGCGAGCAGCATAGCCTTTCTTCGCTCTGTATCTCTCCTCTTACTCCTCTTGAATCTTCCTTTAATCTTGGCTTCTATCAAATTAGTTGACTAAGTGGGTTACCGGCACGCTTCACTGCTAGTGATAAATTATACCCGACTTCTCGCTGCGTGCACGGCCTGCGTGAGGATTTCTCTCACTACGGAATGCCGATCCCCGGATCGGATACGTCGAAAAGTGCTGCTCAAGTCCAGAAAACTCCACTCATGACTTAAGCCATATGCGCCTGTCACTGTCGCTTCTGGGTCTGCTGGGGCTGGGACTAGCTGGAGTGGCTAGCACCCCAGGCTCGTGCAATGACTGCCGCCAATTCATGCCCTTCTATCCGTTTGAGCGCATTGAGATCCAGCAATCGACGCCTTCTCTTCGGCTCGTAAGGTTGGGGCGGCCGCCGCTTTGTTTGACTGCATCTTGAGGGCCAGTAATCGTCTTCCTCCATGCCCCATCCTCCCTCTGTGCCCGGACGGATGATGTCGGTCCCAGGTAATTCTATGTCGGCATTTTCGATAATGCGGAGCTCCACGCCAGACGCTTCGGCCGCGGATATGCATTGGACCATGCCTCTATAGACGCCCGTGAGCGCAAACCACCCCTCTAGTTCAACGAGCTCCAAATAGGGTGTGAACTGCTGCCACACGGCTAGGAAGGCAGCAATCGGGGAGCAAAGGAATATAGATTGATGCCGAGGCTTGACGATACTGAGCGTGGTAATGTTGGGAGGAAGGAGGCGGGAGATGTTCATGCCCGGATCAACGATGAACGTCGATGCAATTTTGAGATGCTTCAGCGCAGTGAGCTCGCGCAGACAAACGATCCCGGGTGTGCCTGAACTCTTGAAAGTGTTGAGCAAAAGCCGTGTCAGGGTGTCCTTGTGCAGCTCTAGCATAAGAGCGACTCTGCGAATATCCAGATCCGATCTCCCTTCGTGCTCGAAGATGATTGTTTCCACCTCGCGGCACTCACGGAGGAGTGTACAGACATCCTCGTCTTGTAGGGATACCCGCCGCATTTCGAGGTGCTTAGTAGGTAGCCAGAGCCACTCTGGAGTGTCAGCCATACGGCGCTTCATGCTCTCAAGATCGCTCCTAGTAAAAGGTATGTCGGGTATCACGTTATCGTCCGTGTACATGTTGTAAATGTACAGGGCTTTTGGCTTCAGAGCATGCAAATGCGGCACAACATGTATCATGCTGCGCCTCTCCATATCGACGTCGTCGTCTAGAGTCGGTGCGTCTGGCTCTACCATGAGCGTCCTAGTAGGTATAGCTCGCCGCCCAGATTGTAACGACCCTCCCAGACCGACAGGTCCGACGAGCATAAGCTTCTCGAGTGGGGTGAATGGCTGTTTCCTCGGAGGTAGTCCTACGAACCTCGTGTAGTCGTCTCCTGCTCTCATCTGAACGATCCGGCGCAGGCGCTTTAAATTGGGCAGATGAGCTAGCAGAAGAGCCAGCCAGGCATCATCTCCATTACGCCGCAAGTAGTAAACCATAGAGCTATCGGTGATGCCCTTGGTTGCTAGAGCATCAACGGCCACTGATACTACCTCATCAAGGTCCAGAAGTTCGTCACAGTCGAACACGCGAAACTCATCCACGGGTCGCAAGGGTTGGTCAACAGTGACTTCTTCTACAATAGCAGCTAGGTCAGGCCGCCGTATCAGAAAACTCGCAACGTGATGTAACCGGGTAGAAAAGACGGCTGGATTCGTCTGCGAAGGGAAAGTGACGTGTCCGTATAGCCATGGCGTAGCGAGTCTGTACAGCTGTCTCGAGGTGCGAGCGAGGATAGCAAGAGTGAACCGATGGTCAACGAAAGATATGATGTTATCAATAAGTTCTTCTGGAAGGGCATCCATCGTGAGGGTGTGCCGTGTAGGTCCGCAGTCTTCAAAGATTCAGTTCCAATAATGTGTAGGTCTCAGGCTCACATACAGTGTTTAAGCCTGTCCGGGTGATCAAATCGACGGAAGGCAAAGATGGATAATTAGATCGCCGTCTAAGAGTGCTGCAGCTAGGCAGCCTCTTGCGGTAAAATATTCTCTGGATTTGAGAACCTGCTATATAGATACAAAGAAGCTTATATAGCTAACTATACGTGCGACTGTACTGACCTGCGAAGGTCTCCAGGGCGGCCGTTACGTGGGTTGTTATATCCGGAAAATTCCGCCAAGTGCGGAACGGACCGGCCTCGGAAAAACCATTGGCCGTGCCGAGGCCCCTTCGAATCGACCAATTCTCAGCGATCCTCAAACAAAGTCTTCTCTCCACATAACGTCAAAGTCGCGACGTTCTCAAAAGTGTCATTGACGTTGGCTATATTTAGAGAAAGACATCGTGGCGCGCTCAATGGATGGCACACCGCCCCTTCCTGGACTGGCAACCTGCCACAGCGAGATCATTATGACGACACGACTGCACACGCCTTGGACGTGTCGTGGGTTCTCTTTGCATACTCACTTGTAACTCACTGCAGCGCAGACACATCGAAGAACTGTCACCATTGACTCAACTCGGCAGAACGCCAAGACACAGATTCCTAACTACACCACGATGTCTTTGACAAGCAACAAGTTTGATCCAAACAAGGATATTCCAGACCTCAGCGGCAAGGTACGCAGGCGTACACCCGATCGTGAACGCTTACTGATAGCCACTAGGTATACGTTGTCACTGGCGGCTCAGCGGGCATTGGCTTCGGTATCGTCGCGCACATCCTCCAACACAACCCCGCGAAGATCTACCTTCTCTCCAACAAAGAGCAGCACGCCGATGAAGCACAGGCAGAGTTGGCAAAATGGGGCGACGCCAGCAAGGTGGAGTGGCGGAAGTGCAACCTCGAGTCGCTCAAACAAACGGACGAGGTTGCAAAGCAGCTGGCGAAGGAGCTGGATCGGCTAGATGCGCTCGTCTGCAATGCTGGGCTAGGCGTCGGCGTATACAACGAGACGGAGGACGGAGTAGACAGTCACATGCAGGTCAACCACTTCGCACAGGCCCATCTAGCCCTGACGCTGCTTCCCGTCCTTCAAAAGACCACCGACTCGCGTATCGTCTTCCAGTCGTCGGAATTGCACCGCCCATCGTCGGCCTCGTTCGAGTCGATCGAAGAGATTAATAAAGACATCGGCGCTACCAATCTCTACAACCGCACCAAGCTCGCCCAGGTCCTCTTCGTCCGCGAGCTCGTCAAGCGAATCAAAGCCGATCAGTTCGGCACCGTTACCGCCGAGAAGGGCCAGCCCTGGATCAACGCAACACACCCGGGAGGCGTGAAGACGGATCAACAAGACCAGGCTGTTGAGGCATACGGCACGCTTGGTAAGATCAGCGTAAAGGCTATCCGTCCGCTCATGAAGGATCCGGTTGATGAGGGATGCCGACCGGCGCTATTCACGGCTACGAGCGATGATATCGTCAAGGAGAAGATCCAGGGCGAGTATATCGTGCCTGATCGCAAGGTCACGGATGTGTCCAAGCATGCGAAGGACGAGAAGGTGGCTCTCAACCTCTGGCGGCTGACGAAGGAAGTGTTGGAGACGAAGCTCGGCAATTTGGATTATGCCATGTAATCAGGCAGTGAAATGGAGCAGGCCCTATATTGTGGCGTATTACCAATAGGGTCTAGAGGCTTGGTCATGGAGTCTGAGGCTCGGAAGGTGTAGTCTTGATGCTCCGATACTTGCTATGCTGGGTAATTTCTCCATCAGTGTTGAACACTGCAAAGTACAAGAGGGCGTGTGTGCGCCCTATTCATGAGCAGTTTCGTCTGCTTTAGTCATCTTCGCCACATGAGCCGACTACATTGCGCCCTGCCTGGCGTCTACGGCGTTTAAGGCGCGAATCACACACCTCTTAGGAGAATCATGTCGACCACATCGAATAGTCGCGAGTATGTTGTCGTCTCTCTCCACAACACTCTTGATTACACAGTATCAAGATGTAGCACGCAGGGCGCGCTTTCCGTGCGTCATCGGGCCGAAGTGGGGCTGGGATCTCTGGGCGAAGACAACAGCAACGCAAGAGATAAATACTGACCCTCAGTGTGTGAATTCATTTTTGACGACTTCTTTCGTGTTTGTTGCTTCAGTATAGGTTCACGCCGTCTTCTCACGCTGTGTCCTCGGCCTTTTTATTGCTTCAACCACATCCCATTTTCCATCACCCACCAACCATGGCCAAGCTCACAGACTTCAAACTCCTCTCCTTCGATGTCTACGGGACGCTGATAGACTGGGAACGCGGCGTCGTCAACGCGCTCCAGCCGTCCCTCGAAAGGTCCGGGAAGTCTGACATAGATCCCAAGCACATCCTGGAGATCTGCCACGTACTCGAAGCGCCCGAGCAGAGCGCGAATCCCGGGCTGATCTACTCGGAATTACTTACCACGATCCATCCGAAACTGTGCAAAGAGCTAGGATTGCAGGAGCCAATGAAGGAGGAAAGCAAAGCGTTCGGCGACAGCGTGGGGAAGTGGCCCGTGTTTCCGGACACGGTCGAGGCACTGAAACGGCTATCGAAAGTCTACAAACTCGTCGTCCTCTCCAACGTCGACAATACTTCCTTCTCTGCGTCGAACGCCGGACCGCTGCAAGGCTTCCAATTCGACGCCGCGCTCACGGCGCAAGATATCGGGTCGTACAAGCCCGACCTCAAGAACTTTGAGTACATGCTTAAAGAGGTGAAGGAACGATTCGGCGTAGAGAAAGAGCAGGTGCTGCAGACGGCGCAAAGCCAGTTCCATGACCATCATCCGAGCAAGGAGATAGGGTTGAAGTCGTGCTGGATATATAGGCCTGGGGCGATCATGGGAAATAGGGAGGATCCGGTGTGGGATTGGAAGTTTGATACATTGGGGGAGATGGCGGATGCGGTGGAGAAGGAACTGGCTGGGAACTAATGAGCTCCCAAGGTCGGTGCTGGCGGGAAGTGCCCAATTGGAGGAGCACCGTGATGTGAATGTTTCAATATCTGCCACGTGTATCTCAGCCTTTTCATCCTGTTCCAAACGCGCGTCATGACAAGGGGTCAGTGAACAGCCGCGGGGAGCCCAATGGGGTTTAGAGATCGAACACTTCTTGGCACGGATCGATCGGCCTTCGTACACATGCAAACTACGCCCCAGCCAAGACCCTTCACTTTTAATCTCTCCGTAACAGCCAAAATGAAGGATTTCTTGCGATCCTCCATCCAACATATCAGGAACCAATCCCGCGGAGGAATCCAACGCGCAAGGCCCACGTTCTGGCCCAGACAAGCTTTCTGCTAAGCCACGCCAAAACCGGTTAAGCGCTGACCAGGGGAAAGTGCGACACCTAAGAACCGTCCCAAGATATCTGCCATGTCTTCGCCATCACAAATCCATCAACGACGTGCTCGCTATCCTCGCCCAACCTCCCTGGACTACGGCTCCGCTGCTTCTGCCGCCATGGCGGCCACGCCGCGCCGAGCGGAGAGCCCCACCACTACCGACGATGCTTCCCCGCCGGATGGCAGCATTGACGAGCCCCTATTACCCGTGGATGAGAGTCCGCGCGAGCACGTGGGATTCCGGAAACGTTATCCGGGGTTCCTAAGGAGGAATTGGAAGCGTGTCGCTGTCGTCGCATTGCTTTTGGCGCTTCTAGGGCTTGTTTTATTATTGCGATTTGCGTTCAGACCGAGCGGCCCAGTACTAGAGGTTCCTAGCACGCCGCTTCTCGTTGCTCTTCCAGGGTATAGCACGTTTAAGGGGGTGAGAGTGCTTACGAGCTTGAACCGGAAGATGACCTTTGAGGAACCCGTGGATGCATGGCTGGGTGTGGAGTATTCCAGGCAGCCAGTGAACGAAAGCCGATTTGCGCCTCCTGACTGGCCCGAGCCGTTCAACGGGACGAAAGACGCAACCGATTACGGTCCGATATGCGTCCAGGCCTGGTCCAACCCGACAACACATTCCGAGGCTTGTTTGACCTTCAACCTGTATCGTCCGGCTGGGATTCAGGACGGGGCAAAACTTCCGGTCTTCGTTTTCCTGCATGGCGGCGCGTTTGTTGAGGGAAGTGGGAAGAGTTTTGATGGCGCGACTTTCGTCGCAAAGAGCCAGGAGCCGCTTATCGTTGTTACGGTGCAGTACCGGATAGGTGCTTTAGGGAGCCTGCCGAGCAAGTTGTTTGAAGAGGAGGGGTTGCTGAACCTAGGTGTGAGGGACCAGAGGATGTTGTTAGAGTTTACGCAAAAGTACGTCTCGTACTTTGGAGGGGACCCCGAACGAATTACGCTAGGTGGACAGAGCGCGGGCGCGCATTCCGTCGGCATCCATCTCTTCCACAACTATGGCGATGACGAGGGAAAGAAGCTGTTCAGCCAGGCGATTCTAGCCTCCGGGGCACCGACGGCAAGGTCTTTTCCTGCGGCGACATACCCGCTTTACGAGCGCCAGTTTCAGCGCTTCATGGACTATCTCGACTGCCCCATCTCGCCCAACTCCGAAGCGCTCTCGTGCCTTCGAAATGCGTCAGTCTCATCGATTCAATACATTTCCAAAACCGTCTTCAAGGACTCGAAATACAACATCACATGGCCCTGGCAACCCGCCTCACCCGGCCCGCTTCTCGAGAAGCGCGGTTCCAAATCCGGCGAAGACGGCACCTTCTACAAGATTCCGACCCTCATCTCCTCCACGACCGACGAAGGAAAGTTCTTCGCGCCCAAGAATCTGTCTACCGGCGAAGAATTCACCGCTTTTGTTGCGAACATGCTGCCTGGCCTTACGGACGACGACCTTGCTGATCTAGACGCCCTATATCCTGACCCTTCGAATGGAACAGGCCCCTACGCCGACCACACCGGCGCCTTCCAATCCACGCAATTCGAGCGCATCGGTGCCGCCTATGGCGACTACTCATACATCTGCCCCGTGCAGGAAACAGCACGCCTGCTCGCCGCAGCCGGTGCACCGGTCTACAAGGCGCGTTTCAACACGCCCAACTATGCGTCTGCACACATGGGCGTTCCGCACGCCTCAGACGCGCCATATTTCAACGGCGTCACGGACGTCGAGTCCCCAGATATTTCGGAGATTTATAGTAGCTATTATGCGAGTTTTATCGTTAGCGGCGATCCGAATAAGTACGCAGTGGAGGGTGCGCCGGTTTGGGATCGGTATTGGGGGGTAGGGAGTGGCGAGTTGGCGGTGGGGAGCGAGGAGAGGGGTGGTGTGGTTATGGAGGAGGAGAGGGCGGGGATTAGGATGGTGGAGTGTAGGTGGTGGAGGGATCCGGAGAGGATGAGGAGGTTGAATAAGTGAGGAGCCGTCAGTGCGCGATTTGGTGATGTTCGGGATGGTGCATAAGTGGCGTTTCGTTTTGTGTATATATCGGCACGGCGTCTGGATACCATTTCGAATACTGGAGTATGCTTCCCATGAGAATATACAACTGATTCGGCACCAGGCCCACGGCTCCATTTCCGCATCAGCTTATGAATTGCACTCAAAGATTACGGTGTTCCGCACATTAGTCATAGCAGCAGCCACGAAACAGTTCACGGACCGTCTGATCACGCAGCCGCACTCACGACCTCAACACCCACCTCTCCCATCTTCACCCCCTCGGCCGCTTCATTCTCCTCTGCCCTCTCCCCCTCCACCACATCTGTCAACCCCATAAAAGCCAGATTCCTCGCCCACCCTAAATCATCCTGGAAATACGCCTGCATCACCTCGACTCCCCACTTCATCCCATTCGTCTTGTCCCACAGTAGACACTGCTTTCCGACCGCGAGGCCAATGACCGCAGGCCAGGAGGGGAGTTCGGTGAGTGGATATGATGGAGTAAGGTCAGTCGTAGCGGTGGGAAGGGCCTCGGAATTTAGGATCGAAGCGTAGATGTTCTGCGCGGCGGCTTGCCCCATTACCATGGCGGAGCCGGCGCGCTTGATGCCGGACCAGGCGACTACGTCGCCGACACCGTAGTGCGAGGAGGCGTTCGGGATGGAAGCGTTGAAGGAGAGCGTGGGGTGGACGAGGATCTCTTTATCGGCGTTCAGGCACTCGGTGGGGAGGACGTCGGTCGTGGGGATACCCTTTTTCGTGGAGTCGATGACGAAGTCCGCGGCGAGGGTGTCGCCGCTGGCGAGCGTGATGGCGAACTGGCCGGACGGTAGCTCGGCGACGGACGCGCGCTGGCCCAGGACGACGTGCACGCCTTCTTCTTCGAGGATGCGCTTAGCTTGGTCTTTTACTTCAGCGGGGAGCGGCTCGGAGGAGAGGACTCGGGCGCGCGAGTGGACGAGCGTGACGTCGATGCAGGGGTAGTAGTTCTTGATCTCGCCGGCGAACTCGACGCCCACCGCTCCCGCGCCGATGATGACGACTCTGCGTCCCGCCTGTGGATGTGACGGATCGCCGCCGACGATCTTGGCGATGAAGCCCTTCCCGTCTTTCAGGTACTCTTCGTAGCTGCCCGCCTTAGGCACCGCGGGCCAGTGGCGCTTCAGCCCAGTTGCCATAACGAGGTAGTCGTACGCCTGGTGCTGCGTCGTCCCGTGTCGATCCAGCCACTCCGCGACCTTACTCTCCGGGTCCACCTTCCTAACCGATCCGTGTTTGAAATGCAGATTCGGCTGCCGCAGCTCCTTCAGCTTCTCAAACCTCTTCCACATTGCCGTAGTATGCTTCGGCGCGACATGCGCGAGCGGCGCGCCGACGGAGTGGACTACATTCCCCACAGTCAGTGACAGCGGATGCCAGCAAGGAAAGAAAACACACAATACCCATCCCGCTCATCAATAACGGTGATCTCAATCCCGTTGCGGCTCTTCGCGCCCTTGAAGTCCGGACCAGGATACACACTCTGCCGCGCTTTCCCCTTTTCGTAGTCGAGCAGGTTGACGACAGCACTGAGGCCGCCATACGCGCAGCCCACGACGAGCACGCGGTGCGGACTGCTCGACAGCGACAAATTCGCCAAGGGGCTCAGCGGGTTCAGCGCGTCGGAAAGGGCTTGCAGCCTCATCGCGAGAAAAGAAACGTGGAATACGAGACCGGACGGAAATACGAGGGTGGGGATGAGAGATGATCTGATAAGATAGAGGCGTACCGTGGCTTTTAAGCGCCTGCCGCCGATGTCGGACAGCCGGGCTTGGCGCGTCGGCCAGGCAAATCAGTCCACAAGGCCCACAACCGGAAACGGCGGACTTGCGGTCAGGTACCGCCGTGGGGCGGCGATGTGATTGGACGGGAGAAGGGCCATTTTATCTGATCCGCTGCTAGCGTGCTTGGCGGGGAAGAAATGCCGCTCGGAATTGTGGACGGAATTCTTCGTCATCCACGTACCTCGGACAGACGAAGAAAGCGAGCACCGAACACTCGAAGAGTCAAGAGGAATGGAGGTTGGACTCGGAGTTGTGCGTACACGTAGAGGCCGGAGCGGTGAAACATCAGCGGATATGTGACGCATGCTAGGTATGTCCAAACGTTAATTAAATGGCGATGAAACGCCTAATTACCTAGGTACACCCACTTGACATCATCACTACGCCGAGCTCGGCCGGGATAGCTAGGAACATTTCTCAGGAGCATACTGTGGGTCAATTTCCGCCTACCTCTCGGGTCACGTGATACCCTAACTCAGTTCCTCTCCGAGACTTCCATCCTCTTCAAGGATTCGTCTCATATCAATCTAGCTTGTTTGCAGTCACTGAGCCCTCCTGCCACTACAGCCTTCACACATACCTAGGTACAACATCCTAGGGTAGTGAATCCTCGCTGGAAGCTGGTACTATAATGCAGTGCGCATTCCGAACTTCCTCCTTCCGTGCCCGCTCACTCCTTTCACGCGATGCCCATCCCCATATGGTCTTCTGGCATTGTGCGCCAATTACAAAATCACTGACGCCGTATATTCACAGGCCATGGAACGGCAGCGTAGATATATCACCTGTTCTCCCCTTCGCCCATCCGCACTCTACAACCCGCCACCGTGCGTATAGATTTCAGGATGGACGACCCCAAAGTCAAGCACATTTTCTTCTTCGCCTCCTTCAACCGCGAAGACTACATCGCCGGCAAACTGACACCTTCAGCCCCGTCCGCAGAGCATGTCTGCCCGATTTGTTGCGATGAGTGGGACCCCTCGAACAACGCAATCGTCGCAACTCACTGCAAGCACATCTTCCACCGCGAGTGCCTGCTCCGTTGGTTCTCGAACGACGCCGTAGGCAACTTCAATACGTGCCCCGGTTGCCGCGCCAAATGCTGGGGAACAGCCGAAGACTTCGAGGAATGCGCGCGTCGAGTAGCCGAGGAGATCCACCGGAACTGCGAGAAGTGCGCCCACATCTGGGAGCCTGTTATGAAACCCGTCTATCTCCGGCAAGTGTTGGGCGTCGATATTGAAGATGCCTCAAACCCGCACCGCTTCGAGCAGGCGCTGGCTCGCATCCTGGATATACCCGAGATTCGCGCGATCTCGGAGGATACGGATATGTGGAATGGTTGCCTACTCAAGGCCTACATTGTCGCGCGCTTTGCGCAAGTCTATCGTCCGCAGATGAAGCCGCAGGAGTGGACGGCTATTCTTCGCGAGCGAGGAAGGTGGTTTCAGCTGGCTGAGGACGATCTTCTTGCATCTGATCCTTCCTCGATTATCTTCAGTGGTAGGTACCAGCGCAGCCTCGCCTACGACGTACATCTCACTACGGGCCTGTGGCGGGAAGTCTGCTGGAAGGTTTGGGACCGAGAGGGAAAGGTCCTTAAGCAAGGCTCGGTCACTGTTAAGGGGAGGCAAAATGTGACTCTGATGAATGAATCCGGGATTGAGGTGGTCCTTGGAGCTGGGTCTAACTCTTCCGATCAGCTTACGGTTCGTGAGTGCTTACCAGGGCGGCTCGCGAAATTCACGGTTGAAGAGGAAACGTTCACGGTGGTGGTGAGGGCGACGTCGGGGAACATGCTCATAGTAGCCTTCAGCTCTTGCGAATATGCAGCTCCATCCTAACCGGCGAGGGGGAATGACGAATGCAAGGGCCGAGGATGCTCTGTAGAGACTACACGTTAAGACAGTACTACAGGGTGCAATCAATGCAGCACCGGTGAGCCGAACATTTCCTAGAGGGTACACTCTAGGCTGATGCTAAAGTTATTCTCTTTAGCGTGTAAAATGATCCAGTGTACAAAGTTATTCTCCGTTCAGGCGCTTAGTTCTATTTCCTATCTTTTTGCAACCAAGGGGTGCTTTTGCAGCCATGTTACCATCCATTTCGGCTTGTTGGGCCGGTTTAGATTCTACTTGGCTTCCAAGGTTTTGGGGGAGCTTTATCCGAGTGAGTTGGCTAATCCTTTGGTAGCGAAATTTCTGTGTTCCAACGAGTGACGGGGTCGAGCGTCAGCCTCAACAGTTCGAGAAGCTATCCGATTGAAACATGGTTGGCGCATTGTAAGCTCACAATGTATTATTTCACGTCCGGCAGAAGAGAACCTCACACCACCCAAGTACAAAATTCCCCTTTTTCTTCGACAGGATGTTGCAGAAGAACTATCCGATTATAAACATTTTCGGTATACCCACGCGACCTCTACGCCGCGACGCACATTGTTAGAATGGCGCACTATCCACCCATCTCCCGACGGGACTACATCCGAACCCGCCTCACCCCAACCGGCCCATCCGACGAAGCAGAATGCCCAATCTGCCACGACGCTTGGAACGCCGAACTCCTCAACAACATCGTCGCCACCCACTGTGCGCATGTCTTCCACAAAGCCTGCATCCTGGAATGGTTCCTCAAAAGCGACCTGGACAACAACAACACCTGTCCATTCTGCCGAAGACACTGCTTCGTCCCAGTCCTAACCACATTCCGCATCACGGAAGAAGACACGGACGTAGAAGTAATCGCAGAATTCTTCGAGCGATTCCAAGCCACATATGGAGGGGAAATGCAGGTTGATTATCTGCGTGAGGTGCTCGGATTCAACGTCCAGGATGCCGAGGACAAGGACAGGTTCCGGAATCTGCTGGACTACTTCTTCAACATTACGGATGTCGACATGGTGGAAGGCTCTGCTCCTGAGTGTGGCGACGTCGCGCACAACTTGATGCGCTCTTGGATCATCCTTGAAGTCCTACACTGCCTTGGATGGCTGATGGAACCAGAGGTGTGGAGCAGCCTTCTTCGCGAACGCGCGGCGTACTTTAAGAGAGCTGAGCATTACCTGCTAAATGTGCCTGCGACAAGGAGCCCGGACTTCTTCGACGCGGTTGTGCGCTACCAACGGCTCCCGGTGTTTGAGTTCCCAGTCACGAGTTGGTCAGGAACCCGCCCGGTAACGGAGGTCATTCGCAGCCTGATCAGCGTAGAGCGTCAGGTCCCGGAAGTAAGCACTTTGGCTGTGCGGTCCGGGCAGGCAGAGAACAATGGACCGTGCGGGGATGTGATGCTGTCGGGAGCTTTTGGTCTCTTAGTGAAGCTGTGTTCACGAGAGCTGATGTGTGTGGTTGAGCTGCAGACTGGATGCCTCCATCGTGTTATTGTGGATAACGAGCGGCACACTGTTATGGTTGAGACGAGTCGGAACAGGATCCTTCTATTTACATTTATCTTTGGGGACATTGATGCTCGAGGGTGATTTCAAGGCGCTGTGGGCTAGGATATGATTCCATATTGTGATCAATTATTTTTTGGGAATAGAAACTTCACTCCTAGCACTTCGGCGGGAGTTCAAGTAACAGGCATTCGAAACTCCGCACCGGCTTGTATGTGCGGCATCCACTTTCACCTAAGCGATAGTATGATAATGGTGGTGCGATCGCTTTCACCATCGAATTGCAGAGATATAACACAGGCTTCCTCTATGTGACGGGGCCCACCCTCGGCGTGGTGTTATTATCTTTATAACGCGTCAACTTCTAAAACAGTTCCACAACTCACTTCAGAGATTTCTCACACAACCAACTTCACCATGGCTTCCGCCTCGCGAGACGATTACATCCATAACAACCTTACGCCCAGCAGCCCATCCGATGAAACAACGTGCCCTATCTGTTCGGAAGACTGGAAACCGCAGACCATGGAAATCGTGACTACACACTGCGGTCATGTTTTCCACAAGGACTGTGTGATTGCATGGTTGGAGAGCGAGTTTGCGGGGAGTTCCAATACTTGCCCTAGCTGTCGCAGCGTTTTCTTTGAGTCCTCCTCCGACGGCGATGACGAAGAAGACAGTGAAGACGATGAAGACGACTATGATGCCCCCATTGCCGCCATTGGTCTTATCTTCCGGGAAACGTTCAGTGTTATCTTACAGGCCGATGCACTGCGCCAGCGATTTGGCATTGACCTGACAGACGTATCCAAGCCGGATCGCTTCCGACAAGCGCTCGAGGCCACTGTCGAGTACGCCGGGGACGCCGGGCTTCCCCTCATGGAACACCCTGAGATGACACCTGCAGGTGTTCAGGTGATCAAAGCAAGCGCCACGCGTGGCTTGCTCGCCAACGAGATAATCAGGGTGAATGAGCACCTGATGACTCCGGACGACTGGGTGGAGATGCTAGGGCAGCTATCAGCGTGCCGAGAACAAGCGAGTGATCCCGCGAACTTTGCAGACACACAACACGTAGACACTCTTGTACGAGCCGTCGACTACATGTGGATGGCATGCGTGAAACCTGACCCATGCTACACGCTGCGGCTTTCTGAACGGCGGCCTGGCGCATGCCTCACCAGTGTCCTCTGGGCAATTTCGTCGAACAACCACCCTGTCCAAAGGGGAAATTTGGAGTACCGTGGTGAGCAGATTAACCTATTCGACGACGGCCTCGTTCAAAACTACCTTCACTTCCAGGTCGAGGTGGCCGTTCAGCATGACGGGCACAATCCCGTACTCCGGATCACGGAACTACAACCGGGAAGCGTCTCCCGTCTTATGGTTGCTGAGGGTATGGCTCGGGTCGATATATTGACGAACGATGGGCCGGTCGTGGAAGTGACGCCAGTATTTGCGGATGGACCTTTCGGCCTGGGGCCTTAGTCTGAGTTCTGAGCGAACGATCTGGCTGCTTAGATCCAACGAGCTTGCTTCCTGTGAGATTATGTGAGAAGTCCTGCGTTGAAAGAAGTGCGCAAGGTTTTCAACATAGAATAGCAGGGGCATGATGATAAGCATCATCCAACGCCGAGTGATTTGATAACCTGAAAATGATCAATCAGAAAAGGGCCACGGATTTTGTATGGAGTTCGGTGACACCACGGAGTCACATCCCATCACCGTTTACACTGGCCGTGGAAGCCCCTGTGATGTATGATGTTGTGGCATTCTAGATATCGAAACTACATTAGGAAGCTCTCAACCGGAATCGATCAATGATAGTAGAGACATGAAATTTGGGGCTGAGACAAAAAGGCGAAAATGCCTGTCGTAAATTCCATCGTCAGAGTCACCAAGCTCGGTACGGCCGTCGAGGATTTGTTGTTGTGTTCTTAGGTGCTCCAAAATCACCGAGATCTTACGAAAGGACCCAATCGAGTAACTCCATGTACAGTGGGTTTGATCTGAAAAGATTGGATAACGAAACGCAAGAGCAGGTGCGGGGTTTTCACGGTTTTGGTGAAAATGGCTGCGGTCTTTTAGCGGATGAGCCCTTAAGTATTTTGGGAAGAGGGAAGCATTACGTGTATATTCTAGTGTTGCGGGTTAGCCCCATAGAGGCGCTCAGCGATTGCCCTTGCTTTATCCCTCCAGCTAGGCTCCGGTTCCACAACTTTGAGTCCTCTCTCCTTCCTCACTCTGATCGCGCGTTCCCTCCACGCAATCCAGTGTCCCACTCGCTGGTGCCGCATCACTTCAGACCCGAAGTCTTCGTTAAACGTTTGCTCTGCCAGTATCTGGCCCACATCCAACTCTTTAGTGATCTCTCCATTGACTTTGAAGACTATGCTGCCGATGCGTTCGTGCAAGATACCTCCGTAGGAGGCATAGTGGTATCCCATTCGCAACAGCCTCTGGATTTCACCACGAAGTTCGGATTCGAGCCATTCAGGCCGCAGCATCTTGAACTCCTCTTCGTTGGGCCTTCGTGACCATATGTGCAGCTGCATTGCTGTGTAGATTTGTTCCGGGGTGACTGGCTCCGGAGGTAGTAGGCTCGTGTCTTCAGGATCTATGAAATCGAGCTCCAGACAGTTAATGGTTACGGGTTTCTGCTCGTCGTGCGTGCAACGCCCGACCGGACCGGCGTGTAAGAAGCGCTCGAGTAAGATGTAGAACATCCAGACGTAGCCGGGTGGTCCACCACATCCTCGGCGCCATATATCACGGAGGTGCGCCTTAGAGATATTCCTTTCAAAAGTTCCTGTACTCTGGAACACTGCGCGGACGTGGTTGACCCTTTCCGATAGTACTGGAACCAATGCCCATGTCGGTGCGAGATACTGTTCTTTGACGAACTTCACGTCGAGTTCGTAGTTTGTGCCTTTCGCGGGAAGTCGCTCCAGATTCTCCTTCGTCTCAGCGTGCAGTTGCTTGTTGGTAAGCAGCAGAGGGAGGCAGGTTGGAGTATAATCCGCTGCGTCCTTGGAATAGAATACGGCGGGATAATTCCAGCCGGCCAGGCTGATGTCGCGCAGGACCTCACGATCCTGATCCTCGATTTCGGACGGCGTTCTTGGAGTTTCCCGACAGGACAGTAGGATGAGAGTGATGATCTCATCCCTTAGCTCTCGTGGGATAGTTAGGAAGTGCGGCATACCAGCCGGAATAGAGGAGGGTTGACCGTGGATAGACGATCTAGATTGGTGCTTGGCACGATGGGGATGGAGTAGTCGGCGGGTTAAGGCTCGCATTTTTGATATCTAGTGTTTGCTATGCACATCGAGGAGTGGCTGTTGTTCAAAGGTTGTTAAGGGACTAAAGACCATGGTTGCTGCCTGAATACGATTATGGTCTAAGCCTAATTGGGCTGTGTGCAGAAGGTGGGGTTATGCCACGAAGGATCGCAAAATCGCGCTCGGATACTAGGTACGACCTCGGGAATTCCTTTCTCATCCCATCTGCCTACGCTCTTCTAATATACAGCGCTTTCCAACTTTACGGTCTGGATCCTAGGTCAGCCACCTTTGCCTCTCAACCCGGTGGAGCTATGAGAATCGCTCTTTTTTAATTGTTTGACAAGTAGGAGATTGCAGACATAACTATATTGGTGAATCTTAGTCACGTGATTTAATGTTCCTGCGTTCCAAGATTGTCCTGGGGTTCTCCGGGGTTCGTCAAATTGTACAATCTAATTCTATGAATACGTTTTCTGACCTGTGAATAGCTCATTATTTTGCATTTGCCTTCAGTGTCGCGGTGCTGCCCCACAATCAGCCCCTGCCCAGGTGGCACGGCACGATAGTCCTCCCTAACTAGGTACGCTTCCGGCTTTTTCTTGATCGACGAAGCCTTCTAGTAATAAAGGACACTATAGAATTAACCCCTTTGGTGTTCTGCGTGGAGAATATTATGTAAGACTGGGTCTTCACCTAATTGGGTGGGAAGCGGAAACGCGGGAAGAGCCCTCCAGGACCTATCAAATTCTATCCGCCGACTCCGGAATGCGGTTAGGTCTAGTGCTGGGCGCCGAGCTGTGCTGACAGCATGAGCTTCCGCCCAAACCGCGAGGTCGTGAACTTCCCATCCAATATATCACTTCGAGCCAGCCTGTCATATCAAGGCTTCAATCCTAGCGTGCAATCCCACTTCAAATACATCGGAAGTCGGAAGTACGGCAGGAGTTCTCTTCGTGACTACCGACCCGAGATATAAGCCCATTGGAAGTAGTGGTTTAGACCAACACTCCTCCTTAATCATGTACCTGCAGCGGGAAAAGCGGCGAAGTTTGAAGTGGGGCGATTACGATGCACCGACCACTCTATACTACGCCTCACTGCTGAATGCCAGAGGCGCGAGCCTCGTGGGTACATTGACCACTAACGTTCTTTAGGATAAAGTGGCTAATATAACTAACAGCGACGGCGAAGATTATCTTTCTCTAGAGCTGTGCTACTTGATTAACGCACCACTATCAACGATTGCGGCACAGCAGGACCCCTTTTGCGAACGGGAGACCTGGACCGTTGCGGATTGACGCCACACATGCCTCGTAGTTTTACGCTGATCCGAAATTCGTCCCTTCGTCTCTGGTTCGATGAGATCGTATTGCTGACTTTATCTGGGAGCACTAACGGTAATCGGCATACGCCGCAGGTTAGGATCCTAGAACAGCAAGCGCTGGTAAAGAGGTATAGTGCTATCGTAAGCCAGCCACGTATTCGGGCGCCTTCCTCCTGTGTATAAGTTCAGTGCTACTCGGAACATATCTCTACTAGTTTTACTTAGCTAGTTTTGCAAAATAGTGTCACATCTACCACCAAGGTGACACACCCAACCACTCCGAGATGGACGCCCCCTCCCAATATGACTACGTCATAGTAGGCGGTGGCACAGCTGGTCTCGTCCTTGCCAACCGTCTTTCAGAAAATCCCGATGTCTCGGTCGCTGTTATCGAAGCCGGTGGACAGGCAGATGCGGATCCAAGAGTCGCAATACCGGCAATGTTCGGTGCGCTGTTGCGGTCAGAGCTGGATTGGGCATTTGCGACGACGCCCCAGGTGGGTCCATTGGCTCGGTTGTACGGGTCTCAGCCCTTAGTCGTGTACTAACTCTCAATAGAAAGGGCTAAGTGGCAGGCGAATCGGCCATAATCAGGGAAAGATGATGGGAGGCACTAGCTCCATCAACTGTCAGGCTCTTATCCCGCCATCCGCCTCTGATCTCGATGCATGGGAGAAGATTGGGAATGCGGGGTGGAACTGGGAGGTCATGGCTCCATACATCCAGAAGCCGTTCACCATCCATCTCCCAGATGAAGAGACGCAAAAGCACCTGAGCATTTCCTGGGCCGAGAAACTCGCTGGCGACTCCAAGGGCCCTATCAAAGCTTCCTTCCCTGGCGTCAAAGAAGATCCAATTGGAAAGGCTTGGGTGGAGACTTTTGAAGGGTTGGGATATTCCCTGAGCGCAAGTCCATTTTCCGGAAAATCCATTGGGCCATACAATGGCGCATCCACAATCGACCCAACAAGCAAGACGAGGTTTTCGTCTAGTACAGGATACTATCTGCCAATCGCTGGCAGGCCAAATCTGAAAGTTTTCCTCAATAGCGTCACTGAGAAAGTGCTTCTCGAGCGTAGTGCCTCCGGCGAGGAGCCAAGGGCGAGTGGCGTCCAAATCGTTCACGACGGCGCTAAGTTAATCGTGCAAGCAAAGAAAGAGGTTATCGTGTCGGCTGGCGTCTTCAACTCCCCAAAGATTCTGGAGCTCTCTGGCATCGGAGACCCGGATATCCTCCAGCCTCACGGAATCGATGTCCAAGTAGCGAACCCTTGCGTTGGATCCAATCTTCAGGACCATATGCTGTGTGCTCTCAGCTTCGAAGCGCGGGATGGAATCTACACGGGCGATGATCTGATGCGGAAGGATCCATCGGCCATTCAGTTCGCAATGAATCTGTACCAGAAACACCAGGCAGGCCCATTCACCTCCACCGGCATAACTTCGTTTGGTTATCTCCCAACGATCGACTTCGTTCATAACCCCGAGGACCTTGATGCAGCTCTCAAGTCGCTGTCTAAAGGGACATTAAGCCACCCGCTTGACTCTGCCCGTCTCGGCATTCTGCGCAACCTCCTTGAGCACGGCAAAGAGGGCACTGCGCAATACTTCCTGTTCCCCGCCCAATCTTCTAGTAGTGGAAAGGACACTACTACCGGGTTAGGCTCCGATCCTCAGCCTGGGAATTTCATCAGTCTGGTTGTCGCCCTATCTCACCCTCTCTCCAGCGGTACCTCCCATATCTCTTCCGCTGATGTGTCTGCCAGCCCCATCATCGACCATCACTATCTGGAGAAGCCGCTCGATCTCGAAATGCATGCTCGTCACGTGCGGTTTCTTGAAAATATCGCCGCCGCCGAGCCGTTCGCGTCGCTCCTCAAGCCGGACGGACGCCGCAACAATCCCACAGCATTCATCAACGGTGATCTAGAGAAGGCGAAGGAGTATGTCAAGTCAAGCTCGACGACAAACTGGCATTCGGTAGGCACTTGCGCTATGGCTCCAAAGGACAAGGGTGGTGTTGTGGACAAGGACCTGAAGGTGTACGGTGTGAAAGGCTTGAGGGTGGTAGATGCTAGTATCTTCCCGTTCGTTCCGCAGAGCAACACGCAGAGCTTGGTGTATGCTGTGGCCGAAAGGGCGAGCGATATCATTAAGCAAACCTCTTGAGGGGAACCGGCTTTGTGGACGGAGATGGCTCGGGCTGAATGACGTCATTCCATATCTGGAACCCGAAACGCTCAGAAATTACATTCATTCCTCATACAATACGGGTATCTACATACCGGATTTTGAGTAATCAGTCAAGACGTCAATAGTACCATGAAGAGAGCACTTCCAAACCACCAAAGACCACCGCCGCAGCGAACGCAGGCCGCACTGGCACCTCTGTCCCAACAGCCACATTCGTCGACGATGTGCGCGTAGTCGTTGGCGTCGCTGAGGCCAAGCTCTGCGCCGTGGCCAAGCTCCCCGCAACGCTCGAAATGCTGCTCACCAAGGCCTCATCGGCCTTGAGAGCGCATGGATTCCCTCTGCCGCCTGACAGCTCTCTGAAGGACGAGCAGACCTCGGGATTGCCCGCATCAATCTCGGCTACCGAACCAAGCTGCGCACAGTTGCCCGTAACATTCCCCAGCGCGCTCGAATTCGGCACGATCCACTGCTCGTCCAGCCCCTCGGGGTGTAGAGTGAAGAGGATATGGTCAAAAACTTGGGGCGCAGGGCTGTCGCACTGACTTTCTATGGTGTCCCATTGTATGTACCACTGCAGTGCATACGCTGTGCCCCCATAGTTCGGCGGATGGTCCCAGTCATACGGGTTTGTGTTGTTGACCAGGATATAAGGGGACCCTCCCGGAGTGGTAAATGAGGACGCATTGGTCGGGGAGAATGCGACCTCCCATGAATCTTCCCGGACGCCTCCCGGGATGGGCAAGCTTACACTGTTGTATGGCATGATGGTCCATATGAAGCGGAAGGATCCGAGCGCGGCTGCTGCGCTGAGGTTCTGGAATGCGAAGGCGATGGGGAGGGACGTGGTCCAATTGTAGGTTTCGTTAATGCGGGGAAAGATGATGTCGATCTCGAAGGTTGGAAGCGCGGGCGCCGGCGTTGATGTAGAGGTTGAGGTTGTGCCGGCGATCGTCCTAGTCTCGGCGAAGGCTGGGCGGCAGGCGGCGAGCATCGCTACGAGAGAACACAGAATTCGCGCCATGATTTTTCCCGCATGTGCCTATCCTCGTGGCTGAGTCTTTTTTCACGTCGAGAATGAACCCTCTGCCTCCAGCTCTCAGCCTCGCTATTGTATTTAAGGAACAGGGGCACGACCTTGGCTGGGGGCCTAGCGTATCTAGCCTGCCTATTTTAGGATCCCGGTTTGCTGTCTAGCCACGGACTGCGGGAGCGCGAATCCTTCAAATGCCTGGAACCCAAGCATGCCGACCAGTAGATACATATCGGCTCCTAACTAATAGGTTCGTATCTGCTCAAGAACCCGCTACGGCAGGAAGCGTGCCACTCGTTCGATTGTTAATGTTTCCCTTCCGGAATCAATGTACGAAAGAACTTCGGAAGCAAACAAGGGCCGCCTCACGACAAGGCTTCTTGTTGCTCGCTCCAGAAGTACGCATAGACGACCTAATTGCGCGTCAAATTTTTCCGCGGTATTAAGCCTTTGGAGGGGGTAAATCTCTAAATGGATCACGTGACTTTCCCCTTCCAGCACATCGTTGGAATAGAGTTCATCCATAAATCTATATCAGGTATAACTTCTAAAGATAACACACTCAAGGCTTCCTCCAGGAGGAGGAAGCACGCAAAGTCAAAGGTCCAAAGGGCACCCTCTTCGTGAGCAACGTCCCTCGAGGATCCAATAGCGAGTACATTCGCCGCGTCTTCTCGCGCTACGAGATTGAAGACGTTAACTTCCACCCAAAAGGCGGCTGCGCTATTTCCTTCCTGGCCGTGAACGACCCAGCGGACATCCTGGAGAAGTTTTCGAACGGGATTTGGTTCGAGAAGCGGAAGCTTTGGGTGAACGAATTCCAGGGCAAGAAGGGCAAGAATAAGCGTCCTCTCGCCCGCGCGCCCACCCCGGCTCCTGCAGCGACTCCTGCGCCTGTGTCAATCAACACTGATGACCTTACCGCAAAGGCTGCCGCCATGTCGCTCGGAAACTCGGCCATAATTATTACAAAACCCACCACCAGGCAAACCGAAGTGATCGTCAAGAACCTGAATTATCAGGCTACCGAGCAAGGCATTAAGCATCTCTTCAACAACTTCAAGCTCAGCAAAGTCAACTTGAAGCACGGCTGTGCGTTTGTTGGGTTGGAATCTCAGGATGAGGCTCAGCGTGCGGTGAACCAGCTGAATGAGCGGAAGGTTCTCGGTCGCAAGGTCTTTGTTGAACTAACGCGTCCAAAGTGGGGTGGATTTTAAACGGAATTCGGTAAGATAAGTGCCTCTTTCTTGCGTTTCAAATTGAGTGGTGACTATCGACGGATTGTTGCTTTCGTTCTTCGCTCTGCCTGCAGCTCTATAGCCAAGGGCAGCGCATTCCATAATACCATGCACCGTAATTGATACCGTATTATAACCAGCTTCGTTCATGCTTTGCTCGTGGTCCCATAGAGCATACAGTCCACTTCTAAGACTAATAAGTAATATCATAAGTCACAAAACTCTATTAATGTCATACACCGCAACAGAAGTTGGATACACATAAGTTTCATCCGTACTATTCCACATACGGCACCCCGTGCCGTGGTACCCATGGATCCTAAGGCGTAGTTTTCTTCTGATACCGTCTCATCCAGTGAATGAACTGTTCCTTCTGACCAGCCTGCTCCGGAGGATTCTCAATAGTGACATCCTCCAGGATCTCGAATCCAAACTTCTCGTAGAGAAACCGTCCCATTCGAGTAGCTTCGACAACCGCCTGGCGCAGAACTTCAGCATCGACATCCCGTAACAAGAAAAAGAATGCAAACTCACATCCACACCAAGCTCATCGGCAATCCCCACTCCATATTGTAAGAACAGCGGCCCAGCACCACGGCGGTGGTGCTTCGGATCAACACACGTAAGATCCAGAGCTAGCGCAACACCAGCCGCATCAGCACCAATTCCCCGCTCACTCCTACAGCACCACTCCAAAAATCCACTTACAAACAATCCGTCCCCCACTTTCCCTCACCGCCTCCCACCTCCTGCGCGTAAACTCATACCACATATAATCCGCATACTTCTTCTCCCCCTCGTCCCTATAATACTGCGCCGGCATTTCCGTCACCACTTCCGGGACGAACCCGTCATAGACATCCCACTTCGCGAAGCCAATCATCTCGCCCGTCTCCGTGTCGACCACCTTGCAGAACCGCGCGTGCGGCTGGTGCTGCTTGGCGAGCAGGAGGCGTTCTGCGCCGGCGGCGCGGCCAGCTGGGGTGTCGTGTCGCGGCCAAACGGCGTCGCCGTAGGCGTGCTCGTGGCCGAAGGCGAGGGAGAAGATTTCGAAGGCGCGCGGCATGTCGGCGTCGGTGCAGAGGCCGAATTTGAGAGGCATGCTGGTGAAGATATATCTTGCAGTATCAAGGAAAAAATATCAGGGCTGTGAACTGAAGGGAAAAGGTGCCTAAGACAGCAGAAAGATGGCTGAATGAGTGATCTAATATCCTCCATTCCGAATAAGAAAAGCCGGGGTTGTGCTTTAGTTCTTACGTGGACTTGTAGATAGGGTCGATGCCAGCGCCTGATTGATGATCTGCAAGATGCTTGCTTGCTTGCGGCATGGTGCCATCTGCCGATCAGCCATTTTGGGTATGTGAGGCCCGCGATTGTGGACTTTTGATCTGCAACATAGAACTATCAGCGCGATTGCCGGGGAGCGCGTGCGGCGGCAATTGCAGCTCTGAAACCACTGTATTGTTACATAGTCGGAGGACCTTGTAGGGCAAGCGCTGTGGAGCTAGCGCACATCTCAGTCCGCTATGCGTTGAAGTTAGAACAGTGAAAAGCCCTTTTCACCTTCACCAGTGGCTCAATGCGAAAAGACTACTACGCAAAACGTAACTATCAGGAGTGAATAGAGACGGGTGTAACCTCGGTTCTTTATTTCCACCTCTTAAACTTACTAGCAATATCCCCGCCCCCGATGTCTTCACGTAGTTACGCTCTTTACACATACATTTCCAAGCCAACTAAGTTCATAATATAATCCTGTTACCACAAGACGATTAAATTCACTCTCCGTGTGAGCTAAATCGATTCACTTGAAATCTCATGATGAGCATTCACCGCCTCTTTCACTCCCCTTTCACCACCGTGAATACACCCGCACGACCCCATCTACGCACCATTACACCTCCCCCCACTTCCTCTCCATACAAAATCATCCCAAAACATCTCAAGGTCTCCTCTCAGAACAGCAACAACTCCCCACACCAACTCCACATCCTCACACATCCTTACCTCTACTCAATTCTCTCCCCTTACCAAGCCCCACAACCCCTCCTTACATCCCTCATCCACACCTTCAGCATCCAGCATGCACAAGCACGCACGCGACGAATCCGCCTCGACTGCTGAAGATCGCCCATCGAAGTACCCCAAGCAGAGTACTACCGAGGTCGAGGCTGCCGAGTACATCCCCGACAGCACGGTCTCCGCGGAAGAATGGGCCGCGTTCGATGAGTGGCTGATGGCCGACATTGGGGACTACATTGCGGAAGCGGAAGCAGACGCGGCTGCTAAAGCCGGGCCGCTGTCTGAGTCTGCGCTGGATGGAGATGAGGGAGCGGAGGTGGAAGCGGAAGAAGGGATGAGCAGTAGCGAGGATATGCAAGTGGCCGGCACTAGCGAGGAAGAGCAGCGGACAGGCGGTGAGGAACAGCCTACGAACGACAACAGCGACAGCAAAGCAGTAGATGCGCCCACCGCTACCAGCGCTACCCAAGCTACCGCGCAATCCCAACAGCCCAAGGAGGAAAAGCAACAGCCCACCACCAACAACAAAGCAGCCGACGCATCCACCAACGCCATCCAAGCCCCCCAAGCCACCACCCAGTCCCAGAAGCCATGCCTCTGGGTAAACCGACCACAAGGCTGCCGCTTCGGCGCTACTTGCAAGTTCTCGCACGCTCACCAAGGACAAACATGCCCGCATATCCTCGAGGGCGAGTACTGTCCAAAGCCGCAGCAATGTTGCTACAAGCACACTTCCACGGGTTCTACACCTGCACAGGGCCAGGCGCAACAACCCAACAACGCTGCGCTGGTGAGCAGGCCTCGCACATGGACGAAGAACGGGAAAGAAGGTAGAGGGGCTCGGAAATGTTATTAGCGGCTAGACTAGCTAGGTACACAAACGGAGTCCAGCTACCTACCGAAAGTCTTTCCAGGATTGCATGCACGAACACGCTACGCCATCAGATCCACTTCGCGACCTTAAGCACCGCCTCCCTCGTCCCAAACACCCTCAGCGTATTCCCAAACTCCGTCCAGAACCCCGAGTCAAACGGCGGTATCATCTCCATGGGCTTGCGCTGCACCGTCTCAATGGGCACCCAGGCAGACGTGTCCTGGACGAAGGGTTCGTCCTGCCAGGAGGAGGACGGAGGGGTCCATTCAGCTTTCTCGGTAGCCTCTGCGGGTTGGTTCTCCTCAGACGAGGGAGAGGAGGGCGCTGGGTCGTCGGTGTCCGGGTTTAGGCGCAGTTCACGGAGGCTGTCGAACATGTTGCGGGTTTCGAAGCGGCGTTCCGATGGCTGTTTGGCGGTGTTGGGTTTGTTCTTCTTGCCTTTGTTTCGTTTCTTTTTCTTCTGGGGAGGCGATTGCGGTGAGGGTTGGTTGGGGTCATCTATTGGAGGAGGAGGAATAGGCTCGTCGACCTTCTCGCGTCCATCCTCCATCATGACTTGATCCTCTAGAGCGGACTTGAAGCTCTTCTCGGATTGGGTATCCGTAGCTGCCGCGAGGGTGTCTTTCTCTTGACGCTCTGCATTTAACTTTGCGGGTAGAATGTCCTTCCCTTGGCGTTCTGCATCTATCTTTGCGGATAGGCGGAGCATGATGGTTGCGGTGAGGAGGCTATCGTACCCGGCTTCATGGAAAGCTTGCTTGTTATGGTATTTCGGGTGGTCGGCGTGGGTGACTGCACGTCTGTCAGTTAAGAAACGTAGATTAGAGAAATCATGATGTACCAATGTCAGGAAGCGACTGCTTTTCCAACCTCTCAGCGATCTCTTGTAGTGTCGGCGACGCGTTGAGATCTCCTTCGGCATGGGTCGCGAGGTACTTTGTATCTACAATCTTGGGGAAGAGCTTGTGAAGTTCCCTGCAGAAGTCATCCAAAGTATCTGGAAGCTCGCCAACGAAAGTCCGGTAGAAGTACACTAGATCAGTGAACATGTTGTGGCCCACCAGAACAGGCTGATGCTTCTTTAGGCGCTCAAAAGTGCGATCGAAGCGATCCTTCACATCGTGCGTGTCGGCGGCAATTATGTAGCCACTCGTGCCCTGGGGGTAGTGGAAGGGATCGGCTTGCTGTATGTCGCCCTTCGCGAGGGCCTCGAAGACCCATCGGAACCCAGTCTGCTTCGCGATCTGCTCCTTCACCCTGTTCTTGAGCCTCCTCGTGTTGTCCGCTTCTCGCAAGGGGTCAAAGTCGATGATCCGGATGCATTCGGATCTCCCAATAGAAACAAGGTCCGGGAACTCCGCGCGGACGAGCTGGTGCACGAGTCGTTTCTCGAAGCGGGAAATGGCGGGGATGAGGGGTTGTTCTGGCAATCCTGTGTGCGTTGTAATATCCAGTGAGTGCACGCTGCTGGCTTTCCATTTCGTGATAGCTTCCCGGGCGCGTCTCACAAAGTCGAGCGAGTCAACGTCTTCGTCCTTGAGCTGCAGATCCTCAATGGCGTTCTTCTTGTCCAGGCGGTCGTACGCCATTTGCTTTGCTCTTGCCGCTTCTTCCCGTGATAGGTACTGCACGCCCTTAGAGAACGGCAAGCCCAGGTCGAAGCCATTGTTCAAGAGGAAGGTGGCCGCTCCACTCTGAATACAGATGTCGCGTTCAATGTCCAGCCGTGCGTCGAGCAGAGAACTGATGGTGATATTGTAGGGGCGGAGAATGTACTTGTTGGCGAGGTAGTCGAATCTAGCACACGTGATACCCACCTGAAGGATCTGATAGCGCTCTGCTGCTTCTTTTGTTTCCTCGTAGCGGTCTTCAAGCGTTTTCCTGTCCCGGCCGGCCTTTTTCCTACCGGGGAGGTGTGAAGGAATGCCAGACAGCTCAAGGTCGAAAGACACAAAGTCGGCTTCAGAGATGCTGACTAGCAGGCCGAGTAGGCGATGCGAGAAAGAAGCAGCATCGACTTCCATGGTTTTCGGTCACTCGCTTGTTGTGGAGATGACAGGTTGAGGTAGCGGACAGGTAAGTCGTTTTATATCGGATAGTATCTGCCTCTGGAGGCACTGCACTCCACCCTGCTGCCTAGCGAGAGAATATTTCTAGAAGAGTTGGGCGTGAGGCGAGTATTCGAGGGGCGCCGCCCTTTTCTGCAGCTGAGAGTGAGCAACACGACGGTCAGTAAGAACGATCCAAGACAGGGTGGGGTATGCTTCTTGACTCAGGCACAGTTTGACATCCGCGCCATGTTTGGCAAGCACAAGCGTGATGCGATTGCTGGGGGTGTTGCCATGTCGCGATGTGCGCCTGGTGTTTGAGCGAAGACGAGGTGGCTTGCGGCTAGCGGGTGGCTAGTGAGTGGCTGGTGGATGCCAAGACCCTTTTGATGATTCCGTCACTCAGCCGAGGTTCGGCAGGCGCGACCTTTCACATTCCTCACCGCGCCGGTCAACACTCCCTCTCCGCCGTTCCAGGAGACATGGGACGTCTCTCGCTCGCCGCGCCGCCTCAGTAGCCTCGCCCCGCATGGCTGCACTGTACGAGGACATGAGTAGCTCGCGCATGCTCGGGTCCTCCGTCTCGTCCTTGTCCGGGTCCCGGCAGCACTCACAGCAGATCGCAAAGGCGTACCGGCAAGCCGCCCAGCTGTTCCTTACGCGCAGACTGCCCGAAGCCCTCTCAACCATCGAGCCCATCATCACTCCGCCTACTCATGACGACATCAACGAATCGTACAATGGGGAGCCATCAGGCTATGCACCAATAGCTACCGCGTCGCGGGGAACGCGGGTCAAGGTGTGGAGCTTCTACCTCACCTTCCTTAATTCGGTCGTAGAACTGGGAGCGGAAGAGGGCAAGCATGCGTTTGGGAGCACGAGGTGGAAGCAATTGGTGTCCAAATGTCGGGATGGCAGCGTTTGGGACGAGCTCGTCCACGACGGGTATGCCGGCGTCGAGGGAGACGTGGACGCGGAGGTGGTAGTTAATCTGTGAGATATCTCCTAGGTCACGCGGTGGAGTATGCTAACCCATGCGTAGAGCAACACTGCTCCTCACTCACTCGCCCTCCCAGCGGCTCAACCAGCAGAAGCTCGAAATTTATCTCTCCGCCTCGGCAAATCCCACCTTCGACATCTCCTCGCACATGTCCTCGTCCGCATACCTACAGCGCCGACCCAGTCAACACAACAACGGAACAAGCACACCGCGCGATCTCAACACCCGCCTAAAGCTCCTCGAGCTCTACACCCTCCATGTCCTTCCCCGGAACGAGGAGTGGGACTACGCACGCGAGTTCATATCTATGTCTGAGGTCCTCGACGACGAGAGGAAGGAAGCATTCCTGCTCGCCCTTCATTCCCTGAGAGAAGAGAAGGAAGACACAGAGAGAAGGGACGAAAGGCTGCGCCAGCAGCAGCAGGAGCAGATGGAGCAACGCCGCAAAGAAACTGAAGCTCGCCGTTTGGAACAGTCCCGAGCTGAAGATGAAAGAAGAAAACGAGAGGAAGAGAACAGGCGTCAGCCCAGAGGCTCAGACGAAGTGTTCCGGAAGTCCGGCGGTCATCGACCTGCGCCCTCGACATCGTCCCGTGCATCAAGGCCCGCAAAGAAAGCTGCCAGCCCTCCTCCGGGCCTGTACCGTCGCGCTTCCTCACTGTTTGCATCGGTACAAGCGCTGATCACGAATACGGCGCACTCGATGACTGCCAATCCCATGACTTTGTTTCGAACACTCCTCTTTCTACTGGCCTTTGCCTTGGCGTTTGGACGACGGGATTTACGAGAAAAAATAATGCGACTTCTAAGGAATGCCTGGGAGAAAGTTCGTCGTACTGTCGGTATGGGAGTCAAGGTCTCTTACATTTGATCTGATGTCTAGTTACGAAGGTAGTACCCTTCTTTTACCATACTTGGACCGAGCACCTGGGTGCTTTAACGGTTTAAGACAATATATTGCTAATTCCCATCGTTACAGTGGAAACTTCTCTGTGCGCCTCGATATAAAGTCCTTGTGAATAATCGACGTACCCAGCGATAGATAGGAAACTAGTATTGCGTAACACGCGTAACGCAAGGGCCTTACAATCGGCCTCTACGCGCAGGTCTTGCGAGCCGGGGGCTGTATGCGGAGCCGGTGCAACCCCTCATCCGCTAACTCAGACCTCGCGGAACCCTGACCCAGCAGATCCCCTTCCGTTTCGGGCGAGGCATGCGAGTAAGAGGAACGAACACGCGTGTTACGAGTTCATCTGTCTATACAGAGCATCTAAGCCTTCCTCCTAGGAATGTCAACGTCAATCCAATGATACTAACGGCGACATGGACTGTGATCCTACTCGCATAACAGGGGCATTCACGTATATAAGAGATGGGAAAAGTACTGGGTGGATGTAGAGTTCCACTTGAATCATTGTCAAGCATTCGCACGACTACTTTCTCATAACCAATCTTCTTGACCGTTCGATTTGCACTTCTGCGGACACAAAGGCGGAGATATCCCCAAGTAGTAAATAAACGCTCCATCCGCGAGCAAGGCGCGTCACAGAGCCACCATGTTACGCACCGCGGCGGAGACTAGCGCTCTCATTGCTTTCCTATTATCTACAACTACAGCTACCGTCTCAAATGGTACCTCAGCCGTCACTGGGTTTCCTCCAGTAAGTCGAAACACAACTCCACTCTCTACCCAAGTCCTATTCACAATACTTCACCCACCCATTCCACCATTACCCAAACTGTCTAACAATCCCCATAGTGCGACGCGTTCCTCTCCACTAATCTAACTTCCCGCCTCGTCCTCGCCACCTCGCCCGCCTACGAACCCCGCGTCCAAAGCTATTGGTCCGGCAACGCCCGCCTCCGCCCCTGGTGCTTCTTCCAACCCCTCACCACGCAAGAACTCTCCACCGCCATCACCGCCCTAACAGCGGCCGGCTCTGGGGCGGGAGACTGGCACATCGCCGTCCGCGGCGGCGGAAATTCCGGCCCGGGGATCAGCAACATTGCTAACGGCATCACCATCGACCTCGGCATGATGAACCGCTCGTGGTACGATCCCGGGAGTGGTTTGGCTAGTGTTGAGCCTGGGGCTGTGTGGAAAGACGTTTATTTCAGCTTGCTGCACAACGGCAATGTTACGGTCACCGGCGGACGCGATGGCGGCGTGGGCGTGGGCGGATTTCTCCTTGGAGGCGGGAACTCGTACCATACCACGCGGAATGGGTTTGGCTGCGACACAGTTATCAACTACGAAGTCGTGCTCGCGAACGGAAGCATCGTTGACGCGAACGCCAACAAGAATGCCGATCTCTGGCGGGCGCTAAAGGGTGGTGGTATGAACTTTGGCATCGTGACAAGGTTTGATATGGAAGCTATGCCAGCCGTTGATCTGGCGTATGGGCAGAGCGTTATCGCGGCGAACTACAGCGACCAGGTCGTGGACGCGGTGGTTGATTTCACGAATCGGCCGGAAGAGCTGGGGAGGAATGATCACCTCATTGTGTTATATACCCACGATCCAAAGAGCAGCGAGGATGTGAGCCAACCCCGTGGTATGAAAACTAGAGCATTGCTAACTGTACCGCCGTCTTAGGTGATGATAGAGGTTATCCGCGCGAACACGCAGGGCAATCTGAACACGGCGGGGTTTGAAAAGGTCACTGACATCCCAGCGTTGAGCAGCACCTGGGAACTCAAGTCGCTCGCTGACGCGGCGAATGAGTCGCAGGTTGCTGGTGGAGGGAAGTCAGTCTACGCTTTTCCCTCTTCTTTCTTTTCCCCTATCCCCCACGCAGCTAGACTCCGCTAACCCCTCTATCCCAGGAACGTCCGCGCAACCCTAACCTTCCTCAACAAACCCCCCATCCTCCGCGCCACTGTCTCCCTTCACGCCGACCTCGTCCGCTCCCTCTCCTCCTCCATCGGCACCTCGAACTTCATAACGCAAAACTTCTTCCAGCCCCTCCCCTCTTACCTGTCCGCCATTGGACAGCGCCAAGGGGGCAACGTGCTCGGCCTCGACCGCATCCCCGGCAACGCTATTCTCTGGACCGCTGGCGTATCCGTTACTAATGGAGATGATGCTGCGGTCGCGCTAGTACATGCGGAAGTGAGCAACATGATGGTGAAGCTCAGGGAGGTGGCGGAGAATGAGGCAGGAGGTGTGGATTGGGTGTATTTGAACTATGCGGATGTGAGTCAGGATTCGCTGGGGAGTTATGGGGAGGAGAATGTGGGGTTTATGAGAGAGGTGGCTGGGAAGTATGATCCGGAGGGGTGGTGGCAGAGGATGGTGCCGGGGGGGTTCAAGCTTGAGAGAGTGACTGGGTAGGTGGCACTGATGGTGCCAGGGTGCTAAGTAAGGCCGTCCGGTTCTGTGAGGGAATGTGGAGACTTTATGAAGTGAGGGGGGGTTCCAATGTTCGCGACGTCCCGTGCTGATTTGGGAAAAGACGAAACTTTGGGGCTAATACGTGTTTAAGACAGATAGAGAGGGGTTCCGTTCACTAATTGTATACACTAATTGTATACTAAATATACAGCACTAGTGAGAAATAGACTATTTTCTAAACACACCATCGATCAACACGGTTTAGTGCAAGCAGCATCAAGTCAAGTCAAGTGAAAGAATGCTTTCGGCGCCTCGCCCACCACCTTGGCGCGCTTACAGTATCAATAACAACCTCAACTCTCCTCCCTCAAACAAACTTTCCGTCCTCCACCCCACCCGACCTTCAACACACAAACCTCCTCTCGACTCCTCACCGCCTTGCTCAGCATGGCCCCCGCCGGCAGCAAGAATCTCTCCTCCCTCACCCCGCAGCAGCGCTCCACGCTCCAGGTCCTCAACAACTACATCCTCGACCCGAACATCCTGCGCGCCAACTGCCCGCTCGACTACGGCCGCCACAACACCACCAGCGGGAAACCCAAGACCGGCCTCGGCGCACTAGACAAGCTGCCCCTCGAGCTGCAACACGAAGTGCTCGCATACATCGATCTACAGTCGCTCGTCACGTTTCGCAGGGTGGGCAGGAAGGCAGGGCAAGTCGTGGATAGCATGGTGACGTGGAAGAAGGCGAGTAGACATTGACACCCTGCCTTCTTCCACTTCTCTCTACTAACATCCGTTCTCCAGATCATAACCCACGCCCCCAACACCATCCGCCTCGCCCTCAGCATCCACACCGCAGACCTCTTCACCGCCGCGCAGCTCCTCTCCAAGCTGCGCCAGCGCGTCTGCGACGGCGCCGCCTGCGCCAATCTCGCGCCTTACCTCGACGTCTTCACGCTCTCGCGCCGCTGCCTCACCGTCGGCGGGCCCTGCGACGCCGCACCCGGCCCGCGCAACCTCGCCCAGCTCAACACCCACTTCGGCCTCGCCGAGCCCGACTTCCCCGCCGCCCTCGTCCCGCGCTTCCAAGCCGTCCCCGGCGTGTACGGCACGCGCTGGAATAGTATTCGTGTCTACGCCAACGCGCCGCGGACGTACTACGCCAGCACGGCGGTGCACGGGGGGATTAATGCTGGTAAGATCCCGCCGCGCGAGTCGCGCACGTCGCTCCGGCAGCCGATGCGCGGCGCTGTGTGGATCGAAGACGATGCGTACTGCAAGCTTAGCGTGGTTGTGGCGCCGTGGCTGGACGGTGGTGGGGAAGGTAGGGAGGCGGAGTACGGGGCGTTTTGCAATGTGTGTCTTGAGACGGAGACGCGGGAGTGCGAGAAAGCACTGCGGCGTGGGGGGCACGGCGAGTGGATGTTGGGGGATTGGGTCGGGGTGAGGGCGCCGGTGCGCGCGTGGTTTGGGACGGTGGAGAGCGTGGATGAGCATAGGCGGAGGGTGCATAGTGTGGAGTGGCCGCTGGGTTTGTGGTAGCATAGCAAGCGGTCCTGGATGGACCGTTGGGGTGGGAATGGATGGGTGGGTGGGCGTCTGGGTGAGGTGCTTCGGCCTTGATTGATTGAAGGATTGATTTTCTTTCTCGAGTTCCCGGGGATCCAGAGACCAAGGTGTATGCGCAGGAGCGATGGACGTCTAGCAGGCTGGCTAGTGGTCTTTACCACTTCGTACTCTTCGGGAGTGAGTGGCTCGGGACAGCCTAAGGTGAGCTACTTTGCGCCCCTCTAAAGCAGTAGCGCTGGACAAGCTTCGTCTTCAATCAGCCAGCTACGCGAGAGATGCATTCGGTGTTGAGGTAGGTGAATCCTGGGGAGGCCTTTCCAAGTCTTTTGTCCCCTCCTCCAGCCCCCACAGCAGATGCCATACACGCCTTCCGTGGACGTTGAGCTAAGCAACGGTGCGAAACACAGCGAGCGGCTAATTTCTTCCCTTTTTGTTCGTGCGGAAGAAGGAAGAGGATTTTGGCGATAGAGGATGGATGGAATCGCGGAGATACTTCGCGCTCGTTTGTCGCCGGGCAAGAAACTCTTCGGCCTCGTGACTTGGCATGGCTGATGTCGAGCCAAGGCGTCAGAGAGAGTAAGTAAAGAGGTGAAGTAGAAGAAGGACATCAATGCCCAAGGGGCTCTGCCATCCCATCGAGTCCCTCATTCCCATTCTACCCCCCTCTCCTTCCTCAATCATACACACTCCCCCGACTCCACCTACTCACCCTCCGAATCCTCTTCCCATACGCATAAAACACAAACGGCACGGGAATAAGCAGCGCCGCAAAGCCCCCCGTAACACTACTCCCCGGCCCCACGCCAATATTATGATACATGGGTCCCACGACGAGCGGGAACGCGCCGGCGAAACAACTCCGCAGAAACGTATTCGCCGCAACCGCGCTCGCCGCATACAGCGTAAACGTATCGACCAAATAATTCAGCGCCGCCTGGAAGATAGTAAAAAACCCCGTTCCCATCATCACCAGCCCGAGCACGGGCGCGATCCAGTGTATCGACGGATCGGCCGTCCAGCCCATGAGGAACTGCCCCGCGGAGAACAGCACGGAGCCGACCATCATGGGCGGGAGGCGCTTCTCGGGGACGGCGCGGTTGCCGGCTGCGCGGTAGGCTTTGTTGTAGAGCAGTTGGTTGTAGACGTTCGCCGCGCCGCCGAGGAAGGCGCCGAGCAGCATCCCTAAGAACGGTAGGGTGGCTGGGAGCTGTTTCCAGCCGCGCACTTCGCCGAAGATGATCGGGATGCCGCCGAGTTGCATGTACAGGATGCCGTAGCAGAAGCTCGCGTACAGCGCAACGAGAAAGCAGATGGGCGTCATGAGAAGCTGGCCGGGGCGGACGAGGAATTTTCTTACCAGCTCGGCGATGCTGACGTCCCATTCTTCGAACTTGGCGTGTAGGGCCCAGTTCCCGGTCTCGTGGCGGAGGCGCCGCGCTTTGTAGACGAGGAGTTTGGGCGGGTAGGATTCGTCGATGAAGAGGATGGCGAAGACGAGGATGACAGCTTGTAGGATGCCGGTGAAGTACTCGGTCCAGCGCCAGCCGAGGGAGGGCTGGACGACGAAGGCGGCGGAGACAATGGGGCCTGGGTCGTACTATTAGCTTCATTGTAACTACCTCCACCAAAAAAAAAATTTGGGGGGGATAGGGGAATTAGACTCACCAACACAAGGCCCACCCACAACGGCCATCGCATACCCCGCCATAGCAATCCCCCTCCACGCGGGACTAAACAAATCCCCCAACACACCGCCCGTATTCGTAACCGGCGCGCTCGCAAAAAACGCGCCAAAAAACCTCGTCAGCATCAGCGTCTGGAAGTCCTTCGCCGTCGCCGACGCAAAGCTAAAGCAAATCGCCACAAACATCGGCGTCAGTACCGCAACGCGCCTGCCATAGACCTCCGAAAGCGGCGCCCAGAGGAGCGGCCCGACGCCGAAGCCGAAGAGAAACAGCGTCGTCCCCAGCGTGGCCACTGCGGTCCCGACGTGGAACTCGCGCATGACTTGCTCGGTGCCGGCGCTGTAGGCCGAGGAGGCCCATGTCGCGCTCATCGTGGTGAGCCCGTAGAGCATCGTGGTGATGACTTTTTTCTTGGTCGGCCAGTTGAGCGGGCGGTATGGATCGTCGGGGCCGTCGAAGTCGACGATGACATCTGCGGTCGTGGGCTGGTGCGCCAAAGGATGGTTGAAAGGCGGGACATTTGGTCTCGTGCGTATACGCGATAGCACGGTGTCGCGTCTCGAGAGAGTGCGTGAGAGGTGCTGCGAGAGGCCTGTGGTCGTAGCTTCTGGCGCGCGAGACGAACGGCGACTGCGCGAGCGGGATATCGAGTGCCGCAGCTCGCGGCTGGTGGGGCGATGTCCATCGGCGTCTTTATCGTCTGAATCGAGGCTCGACGACGAACTCGAACTGGATACTGAATGTCTTCGCCCTCGTCGTGGCTTTTCCGGATCTATTTCCGACGACGACGATGCCTGTTGGAATCGCCCAGGGCCTTTAGCCAGTGGATCTTCCCCTGCTCTATCCGTCATTATGGTTTTTGTGGTTCAGATTGGCCGTTCTGTCGGTGCTGTCCATCGAAATTTAGCTGCAGTGAGGTCATCGTCAGTTTTATATCATGATGTACGGATGCACTGCAGGGATCACATTTCTCCGCAGAACGGATCTCGCGCCTCCCAAGCACGGAGATATCGCCTTTCAGGGCTTTTCCGTACCAGTTCGCCCCTCTCTTGTACCGCGAGCGAAAGACGTTGCCGGAAATAAAGTTTCTTGCCGGAAAAGCGGCGAGTTGCCGACGTGACGTAGTTTTCCCGGGGTTGGTCGAATAGGAGCCACTCACGCTAGCCTCTTGCAGCCTAGCCTCTGGCATTGCGAGATCATATCCATGGATGCAGGTATAATCAGCACTTGCAGAAGGTACTAGATTTGGATTTCGATGAACGCGTGGGCCAGTTTTGATGCTTAGCTTTCGGGGCCGAGCCGAGAGATCGTTGCTTGCTTACAGCATAAACCCTCACAGTCATATGCATTGTGGCGTCCGCGGCCGGGCAGCATCAGGTCATCCATTAGTCACGAGAAGCAGCGATACCAACTGCCAACTCCATTCACATTCTTCTATCACCATCCAGCCTCTTCACACAAACTCATCCGCCCCTCCCTCCCACGCATCAAATATCCCAACCGGGAACAAGTCCGCCAGCCTCTGGTACCCAGCGACATTAGGATGCAGATAGTCTCCGGAGTTGTACTCTTCCCTCAGCTGAGCGGGGACCTTCGGATCAGCCAACATCTTATCAAAGTCCACCACCGCATCGAACGTGCCGGACTCCCTGATGAATGTGTTAATCTTCTGCCGCGTCTGCTGCCGCACCGGGCTCGAATACGGCTGGCCTGTGAAGTTTGACGGGGCGGAGAAAGGCGTGATAGTCGCGGCGAAGACAGGGATGCCGAATGCGTGGATGCGGGATACTATTTGCTGGTAGGCTTGCACGAGGGAGTCGTAGACGGCGGTTTGGGCGGCTGCGGTGGCATCTGCTGTGCCAATGTCGTTTACGCCTTCGAAGATCATGGCGTATTTGACACCGGGGTGGGGTAGGAGGTCTCTTTCCACTCTGCCCAGGGCGTTGGGCCCCAGGCCGTCAAGCAGGATGCGGTTGCCACCTGCAGCTTGGTTGGCCACTGCGATCTCGCGTGTCGAGGGGTTCTTTTGGAGGCGGGCTAGGAGGAGGTCTGGCCAGCGGTTGTTCTTGTTGGTGTCTGAGCCGCGCCCATCCGTAATGCTGTCTCCGATAATATTCAGGGTGCCGTAGTGGGGTGGGACCCATGCCTCGACGGCAGAGAGGAAGTACCAGTGTGCTGCGTTTTGAGTAGTCGCGTCCGTGACGGTCAATGCAGGCGCAGAGACCGCATTGCCGAACTGCCACCAACTGGTTGTGCGGCTACCAGGGTGCGAGGTGATGCTGTTGGTGGTTTGCCCGGTCTGAAGGTACATCGTCACGGTAAGCATGCTCTGCGGCTTGATCTTAAAGTTCAGCGGATCGGAGACCGCGAGCGCGCCATTGGGAATCGAAATGGAGTCTTTACCGGAGAATGTGACTTTTTGCAGAGTAGAGGATTGGATCTGGTGGATGCCGGCGGTATCATTTGCGGGAAGCGCTATGGTGACCGCGGTGACTGGTAAATTTGTCACACCGAAGGCATTCGAGATCTTGATTCGGATTTGAGACGCTCCGACAGACATGTGGAGGGTCTGTCGGATGGTGGAGTTGACGAAGACGGCGCCGGTTTGGTTCTATAGCATGTAAACAACTGAGGAGCTTGAAGTGCGAAGGAACATACGAAAGGGGCTGGCGGTAGGTTTGCAGGCTCTGTGAGCTGCGGCATCGACGTCCAAGTATCGATCCAGTGGCCATTGGGAGGATTAGGTCGGATTGCACGTTTGGCAATGGTTGCGCTGTCCACTAGCTCTCCATGGGCAGCTACCGACTGTAGCAACAGCCCAGCGAGCAGCGAGAACAACCGCGAAGAGACCATTTCGACTGATTTCTGCTCAATTGATCCTCCACGCAAAGAAACTATAGACCCGCACCGTAGACCGGGACGCAACGCCAGCTTTAATACTTTCCAAGCCCGCGGCACCCATATTACGGACGCATAGAAATAGGAAACTAATGAGCGCTAAGCACCGACACGAGGACAGATAAAGTAAAGGCTGAGAATAGCTTCTCTGCTCGGTTTCTCGAAGTGTTCCTGAATTGTCCCTAAGCTGCCGCTGCGAGCGGGGATGCGCGTAGATTGACGGATAAATTGCATCGGAAAGACGGTCCTGGTTGGTGGTGGTGCCGGGAGCCGCATGCCAGGGGCGTGGCCGTTCTGCAATTTATCCAGCGGCTCGTTTTCGGTTCGATGAAGAATCGATCGATGACGTGAGGAACAAATGAGCCGCGTAGTTGGGGTTGGAGATGCAGATGAGGCTGAGGGTCGGATCGCCCATGTTCATACCCTTTCGAGACGCGTCTGCCCAGGGACGACCATGGAAGTCCGCGGGAAAACATCACGACGATTGAAATACTATTGAAAAAGAACAAAGAACCCGTATTGATTGGTATCGCCGCTGCTCCGTCGAAGTGCTAAAAAGAAAACCTTCAATGCCGTTAGAATGCATGCATGCATGAGGTAAGTGTACAGTGCACACCTGCTCAACGCCGACCCCATCTAAGATTCTGCAGATGAAGAATTTGGACCTCAAAAGTTGCGTGAGGGTGTGATAGGGGCTGAGATAGAGAGCGGCCTGCTGCAAGTGAGGGAGACACGATGGATCCTCAGACCCACTCGGATCACTCAGCAATGGCAACAAGTCCTTAATCCTCGAACATCCAGCCATTCAACAAGCCCGATGTTCGTGCCGTCGAAGATGACATCTGGGGCGAGCTCGATGAAGGCAACCGTGGATGGAGTTTCGGTGGTCTCCCCCATGGCCTTCCTGTTGGCCCTTTCTGCACACGGCAAGGAATGCCCGTTTCAGGTTCGGGTGGTCTCCCCCCTGGCCGTCTCTGCACGTCTCCACGTTTTAGAAATCATCATCGTCGGCCTTCTTCTTTTTCCTACCAGACGCCTTCTTCTTCTTGCCATCCACGTCCATTGCGTCGCCCTCGCTCTTGTCCGCAGCGGTTGCATCTGCGACCTTGGCGACGATCTCGGAAAGGAAGTCGAACTGCTCGTCCTTGGTGATGGCTTGCTTGAGGTGGATGGCACCGACGCGCTTAGAGTTGCGTGCTTTTGCCTCGGCGGCGGCTTTCGTGACGAGGGAGATCATGAACAGCTCGAGTGCTTTCGCTGCGACAATAATTAGCAAATGCGGATACAGTAGAACAAGACAGCGGGGACGTACAGACTACAACAGGTGTGACCTGTGCGACCTTGCCGACGTCGTCGTCGGCCTGCATGATGCGCTTTATCCTCGCGACGGGGAAGTGGACTGTGATGTTGATGCTGTCGGCGGCGGGCGGCGGTGCCCCGCCGGTGCCATTGCCTTCCTTCCTCTTGCCCCTCGACTTCGCCGGTGCATCTGGAATGTAGTCCGCATCGTGCATGCTCTCGTCCTTGGGCACGCCTCGAGGCATATACGGCGGCGGCAGGGCCTTGGACTGCAGCGTGGGGCTGGACGTGGGCGGCGAGTAGGGCGTGGCGTGCGAGATGGAGCCTCTGTAGCCCTGGTGCTGCGGGTGGATGGGCTCGGGGTCGGCGGAGTGGTAGGCAGAGAGGTCGGGGGATTGCGGTGCCCAGGTCGCGTCGGGGGTCTCCATTGGCTGGGGGCTGCTATTTAAGACGGGCGAAGCTTGTGCTCGAGGCCAACGGGCTGCTAATTGGGCTCGTAAGCGATGCCAGTTGCAAAGAGAGTTCGACGCCGGCGCTGCGTCACGAAGAGCTCGGGGCAACGCGTTTTGGGCAGGCGGTGAGGGCGGGCGTGGTTGGGCGGCAGAAAAGGCGAGTTTGCTCGCGGGGCATGCACAAGAATTTATCAAGATCGCAGCGGGCCAGGGGCGCGCCGCCAAGCCAGCCGCACCTTCCCACAACACCCAGCGCGCTCGACCCTTCGCCCTCACCTTCACTGCGCCCCGGACCTGCCCATGCGCGCACCGGCCAGTGAAAGGCCCGCAGGTTGGGTGATGACAAGAGCAAGCCAGAGACACTCGCGACGCGCCGCTTGAACAGCGCCCGTCGCCGCCTGCCCGGGACACGGTGGCCTGTCGCAATGACGAAGCCCGCTGCCTGCGGCTGCCCGTGGTTCCTTCATTGCGATCGGCGCAGCGTCACGGGCAGCCGTCGCTGAGGGTGCATTACTTGATCTAATCTGACAACCGCCTCTTCTTTCTTTCAACTTTTTCTTTCACTGTCTCCACCGCGGCCGACGCCGCCCGGCTGCTTCGCCCCTCGTTGATGCTCGTCAGCGAGCAGGCTAGGCCGCCGACGAATGGCAGCGTCGCCCCTCTATCTTGGGTATTCCTCTCCCCTGCCTATCATACAGCCTGAAGCGCTGGCGCTGCTTCAAGTCTCTTTTGTCCAACTCCCGTCGTCTTTCTGGCCCTCCCTCTTGCCACCTTCCTTCCTATACGTCTCCACGAGCCCCGATTTTGGATCCTCGTCCGGGTGGCCCAGCCTGCGTCTGACGTCCAGAACTGCCGCGCGTACGCGCATTGTGCACTCCCTGCGGAGCTTCACAGCCTCGTCGGAATGCCTAAGCGCGTCGTTGAGCACGCCGACCTCCATCTTCCCGCTTGCTTCTTCTTCCTTCGCGCGCATCCGTTTCCACCTTTCGCGCAAGTCGCCAAACACTTTCTCGCCGTCGAGCCTGTCGCCAAATGTTATGCTGACATTCTTGAACGGGCGGGGTATGAAACGCGGGAATGCGCGCGTCTCATGCATAATCTCCTCCGGGCCCTCGATCCAGATGGGGACGACGTCGGGCATCGGATCGCTTTCCAGTATCAGGCGCGAAACTCCCCATTTGAAGTAGCGCATCGTCCTGTCCTCCTTCTGGTGTATCATGCCTTCGGGAAAGATGTGTACCCATCCGTGGCGGCGGCTGAGGTAGGCTGAGGGCGCGGGAAACACGTCGCTGCCGTTTGTAGAGAAGGTGAGGTGCCCGTTGGTAAACGGATCGGCTAAATCGGGGCTCTTGAACGACCTGTGCGGCTTCTCGGGGGTGTCATTCGCGCGCAGGAAGGGGCCGCGGGAGAGGAGACGGATGGCCTGGGTAATGGTGGGCTGGAACAGGCCGCCGAATGGGGAGTATGCGCTGCGATGCGTGGGGAGGACTTGGCCGAAGGTGAAGAAGGTCGACAACGCTCTGCATCCCGTTAGCCGTCGCAATGCGCGTAGACTTGGTGCCGTACTTGTTGGTAAAACACAGGTCGTAGCTTCCCAGTCCCCAGCGCATGTTATCCGGATTGAACAGGTAGCTAACGGGAAGAATTCCCCACACGAGGGGGTCATCAAGGCTGTCGGCGCATGACGTATTAGCAAGGCTGCTTCGAATCGTAGAGCGTCAGCGCGGGCGAACCTACGTACACCGAGACGTGATTAGATACTGCGAGAGAGTTAATTGAGCCTACCATGGTTACGAAAAGAATCGCATACCAGTAATCAACCCTCTTTCCCTACCCTCGACCTTTTCCCTCTCGTCCAAAAGCTCCAAGAACCGATCCAAGCCATGCACCTCCGTTTTACTCAGTCCGAACAGGAATCCGCGGCACAACAAGCCCACGGCGCCCATTACGAAAGCCGATCCAGCCTGCCATGGTCGGCTGGGAGTAGGCGGCTGCTCGTCGGGCTCCATTGGGAGGTGAGTGAAGGATGGTTGGGAGGAAGGCAAGGGCGGAAATGTCTTTCGGAATTGTACACGGGAGCTTGGGCCTCCACGGGCTTCAGCCACGTGTGGCGAGGGCGAGCTTTCCGAAGCTCCGACGTCGATATTTCGACGCGAGCTGCGTGACGACAATTTTGTCTCTTCGGACTGATTTAGCGGCTCAATTTGGGGTAGCTTTGGGGTTATCTCGATTTGATCAGCCGGCTGGAACTTCCTTGCCTACTCGCACGGCTCGCGCTTTCCTTCTGTAGCTTTGCCAGCCCCAGCGCAGAGATATTCGCCCTCCATCTTCTCCCCACGTCCACCGCCGCCGTCATGCCGCCGCCGAAGACAATCTTCACCTCTTACGAGCGCAATTCGCTGAAATCGGTCTGGGGCTCGCAGTCCACCCGCCTAACGCGCGACTCCTTCCTCCCCTTCGGAAGCTGCCAGCTATGCCTCCTCCACGCCGTCGATCCCGTGGCCTGCCCCTCCGGCGACTTATTCTGCCGCGAGTGCGCAATGACAAATCTGCTTGCGCAACGAAAAGAGATTAAGCGGTTAGAGAAGGTGGCAGAGCGGCGGCGAGAAGAAGAGGCAGAGCAGCGGGCTCGGGAGGAAGAGGAGGCCCGGCAGAGGGCAGTTGCAGAGTTCGAGGCCGTACAAATGGGGCTTGAGGTCAAGGTTGGCGCCGGCGGCAGGGTCGTCGGGAGAGAGGGCGGGAAGATTGTGGTGGAGAAAGAGGAAGAGGCCAAGGCGGGCGAGGCGAGGGGCAAGAAGAGGAAGTTTGAGATCGACGAGGACGAACTCAAGCGGATAGCAACCGAAGAGCGCAGTCGAGCAAAGCTCGCGCTGGACGAGGAGCGGAAAGCGGCGAAAGGCCACCTGCCGAGCTTCTGGGTGCCGGGAGAAACGCCGGATCAGAACTATAAGCACGCAGACAAGATCAAGCAGAATCCCACGTGCCCGTCAAGCGATCCAGAGAATCCGCATTCGCTGTCCCTAAAGACTCTCGTTACCGTCAACTTCAACAAGGAGAAATCAGCTGAGACGGGGAAGACACTGCCCACATGTCCAAGCTGCCAGAGAGCGCTCTCGAACTCGACAAAAGCCATGCTCGCGATACCCTGTGGCCATGTGCTCTGCAAGCCTTGCGTGGAGAAATTCCTAAAGCCAGAGCACAGACACCATCGGGATGCACATGACGACGCCCCGGAGCCGGAAACGGTGCATTGCTATGTCTGCGATGCGGATCTGACGACTGCGCCTGAGCCTAAGGAGAAGGGCAAGGAGGGAAAGAAACATAAGAGGGATGCAGAGAAGGGCCTAAAGCCGGGACTGGTGGAGATGCGGAGCGAAGGCACCGGGTTCGCGGGTGGTGGGAAGGCCATGGTTAAGAGGGAGGGCGTAGCGTTCCAGGTGTAGCGTGTGGCTCTGCTGCTGGGAGGAGATACAATGATACCCTTTTAATATGCCATAGCCATGATGGCGTCTCCCCTTTCACGAAGCTAAGACGCGAGAATACTAATAACAGCCACGAGGTTCAGTGAACAAGCGACCTTTATCGAGCTATGTATGTCGTGGTACGCAATATCTTCGAGCGGCTTTCCTGGTGATTATCATCATCACTCAGATTAATCCTACCTCACGCCACTTATCATCCTCAGATACCCAAGCCCGACTCCCATGGATGCGTGGCTCCATATTTTTGGACATCAATTTGCTGGTAGTTCTTTTAGTTCCGCACTAGCAACTGTGTGTAGTATCAGAAAGAAGCCACCCCCTTCTGCTCGATTTTATATCATCTCGCCATCCTGTTCTTTCTCTCCCACGTCCCTCTTTTCGAGACGCTTCGCTGATAGGTTGCAGATCCCGCGCCCCTACTCGCGATGTGGACGTGGGTATATAAGCGCGATCGTTTTACTGCGAGCTTCTGCTTCTCACGACCACTGCAGCTCTTGTGTTGGACTAAAATTGTGAAATGACAGTTTAATGTTTGCGAACTAAAAATAGCGATATCAACCGATGATGGTTTCGGAGTGTGAGAGCAGCTGGAAAGTGGAGATCAAATGGGAGTTCAACAAAATCCATGGGATGCGGATCTCGCTGTTTTGGGGTTGCCAGATCGTGCAGAAGAATCCCGACAATAAACTCCTCATGGCCACAGCTTCTTTCTGTGAACTATCAGTCCGTTCCACCGTTTCATGGAACATGCGCAACCGTGGATCCTTGCCGTGCACGATACCTTACGCTTGCTTGGAGCAAAACATGTCCACACGACGCCATGGCAGCGAGGAAGTGGAAATCGCGAGACCAATTTCCATATGTGGATTTCGAGTGCGCTTCCTCATTAAGTCATGCGACGCACGAAAAGAAGCTCGGCCATTCCGCGAATGGAAGTTGGAGGATTCTTCCAACAAAAAAGCCTGGGTGATAGATATGGAGACTGAAAAAGCCGCAACATCACTGGCATGCTTTCTGCTCTCTGGCTTTGCGCGCGAATGGGGGTGTTACCTCTTCTTCTCCTTCCTTCCTAGAAGAACGTGGCCACTTTCTCATGGCTATAAAACGATTCATACTCCACGCGATGAGTGACTCGTCTGTCGCAATTACCCTACAACAAACCCTGTACCTGTTTGAGCAATGACGTGTTAGCCAGTATTCCACAAGGCCGGGTGGCACTACTATAGCGCGCACCGCCTTGTAATGACCTTCCACCTAAATTTTCGACCATTCTTCTCGATCCCTCCACTAAAGATCAGAAGATTAGAGTCCATGGCTTCTTGTTTCGCCATAGCATTACAAGTTGCCGAGTTTTTTCAACTACACAGACTTTCAACGGAAGTGTAAACACAATCGCTCCTGGAAGCGTATCGCCTGAAGGGGGGACCAAAGAGTCTTTCCGTATTTTCCATGGTCCAGAAGACCAGTCAGTATGGACACATAGCTGGCCTCCTCTCCCGTCCATAAAATCCATCCCAAGAACAACATGGTGCGGACCGGCCTGCCTGCCTCTGCGAGCTTAAAGTTAAGAGAAAGGATTCGGGTCTTCTTGTGCTCCTCTCTATAAATCCTCATTATCGTCACACCATGCTCTCGGAAATGAAGAGTGTGGCATTTCATGCCCTCTTCTGTAAGACCGGATATGACGAGGGTTCCTTGGTGTGGGGGATGTAAGGGAGGACAAAAAACCACAATCATTCTACTGGTAGTTCTGCAACCCGATCGACGATTGCGGATTGCCGACTTTTCTTCCAAATGGAAGGGGCTCTGATGAAATGCCCGGGAAGTTGTCTCCCCCTTTCTAAAGAAATCCCGGAATCGAGTACCACGGCATCCTTCGGCACCCAAGGCAACCTCGGAATCCATGCAAGCGCACAAGTAGTAGGCCTGAGAGACTGCTACGCCTCTTCTTTCTCTCTACTCTCTTACTCCTTTCACAGCGCCCTTAGTTCGATCCCAGCTCATTAAAAAAGCAACCCTCACTGATTATGAGAGGGGCACTTGTCTAAACTTCCTAAATGAGTTTCACACACCTCCAGAACCCGCTGATTCTGGGTGTCATGTCTCCTCTTTGTCGCCTAATTACTCTCTGAGAACTGCATGAAGTTTGTCCGCCTCCGAAGAATGTAAATGAGATAGCGGAAGGAGGCCCCGGTTCCTGAAAGAATGTAGCTTGGAACTATGCGAGGCGCCCCCGGGAGAACCAAAAGATCACCCATATCTGCTCATGGCTCTGGAGCTTGGATCTTGCTGGATGCACACCAGCCACAGCGTCGATCAAGGTCCAGTATGTTCTGCGGTGCTGTCAGTCGACTTCGTCAGCTATATAATTCTCTTCGCTCTCTCAGTTCTCTCTCCTCTCTACAAATATTCTGCATAGCCGGGCCACAAAACCTGTCTTCCTGAAGTTGGATGTGCAGCGCTGTTATACAACCACTCACCGCACTCCGTTATGTCTCTGGAGAATTTGAGAGCAAGGATTCATGAGTATCCCGCCTTCTCCAAGTATCCGGCCGTTCTTGCCATGTTGCGGGGAACTTGGTCCGCTTCTTAGCAATTCCAAAATCAACTACTTCAACGATTATTGGAAGCACGTTGGAGCACCAAAGTTCCCAAACTTTCCCCGCATGGCTCCGCAGCCGCACTTCCAACAAACGTATGGCTGCCATCAGTCTCAAAAGATTTCATTGAGCCAAATCATGTCCTGGGAAGCGTCCGCCCAGCTCATCTACGTATACAATCCTCCCAACCCCGCGGTTTACGAAAAGGTTAAGGAGTACCAGGCGATGAGCAGCACCTCTCCAAAACTACGGGCCACGGTCATACGGGCTGGATATGCTGTATGCCTCTAAAGGACCTCAGCAGATATCTCCATGCGGAGTCGAGGACTCGAAAAAGTAACTTCAAGCACAGATATGCGGGTGTGTCTCCTCCCGGCCCGAAGAGCATAAAGCACGCGCGCACGTGTAAGCGTCCCGTGTTCTCTAGAAACGACTTGAGCTGTGTCGTCATGACTGCTGGATTTCTCCGTCCCCGTTTCTAAAACCAAAACACGGCGATGATCAGGTCAAATGTCTGGCCCTGCGTGTGCGTGTCCCACCTCCTAGGCACTCGATTACCTTTCAAATCACCGAAACGGCGCATTTATGCACCGGACCCGCTTTGCCCCCAACGCAGTCCTCATCAGAAAAAACAGCCAGAAATAGTATAAACATGCCGTCCCCTCTCCGCAAAGCACGCCGCAGCCTCTTGTAGGCAACTAAAAGCATAACGCGGTCTACGATGCGGCGACGATCAGCGAGTGCCTCTCTAAAACTATCTATGATCCGCTGAATGGCTCGGAAAAGCGCAGTACAACGTCTGTGGCCATGTGTCGCGCAACTCTCCTCTTCCAAAGCTCCAAGACCTAGACGACATGCCGAATGTCTTGTCTCCCCGTGTGTATGTATCTCCACAGCAAAACCCCTAACAATGAATAACACGTCCCTTCGGAAGCGCCACGCCCACCCCCCCTATCCCTCCCCATACATCCACCCTCCAACCAAAGCAGCAGCCAGACATCTCTCATTCGCAGAACCTGCTAGCATCGTCGTTTCTACACCGAAAAGTACAACAGCATCACGCATGTCTGGCGAACCCGAGAAATCCTTCCAATACCACATCCATGGCCAAGACTCCAGAAAGAAAGACACTCGAGTGCTATTTACGAGCGAGCTTAGCGCTTCTAAAACCAGCGTACTCAACAGCAAACGGGACGGAATGGACTGCATGTGTTCTCCGTAAGCAAAATAAGAGCATGGTTCAAGATGGCCCGGCTGGCAACGGGCTTTCTTTGCGCGGGCAAGCTATCTAGTTACTCAAGGTGTCTAAAATCTAGGAATGTGGCGTATCATGTGGAAAGGGGAACGCCGTTTCGCGCCGGAACGAGAAGCGAACAACGGAATACAACATGGCTTGGTAGTTGTCTGTGGAAAATGGGATGAAGCTGAGAGCATGTTCTAGGCGTGTTGAGACGGAGACGAGAGATAGCCGTGGATGTTGATGGTATTTGGCGTGTGACGTCGAACCTAATCGATGGTGGTCAGCACTAACGAAAAATCGCGACGATGAATATCACAACACTAGAAGACTATTGCTTGAAAAACCACGAACCGCAGGACAGATAGATAGACTCGAACAAATGATATGCTACAGCAAAATAAAAATATAAAAAAATAGAAGCGAGCCAAAGCCCAGAGGCCCGCATTTCCCAACCAACCGAAGAAAACAAACCATCCACAACGCCCGAACCCACAATTCCCATATGCAAGCCCGAGCTAGAATCCCTAAACAATACCCTCGTGGAACCGATCCACGCCCTTCTTAATCTCCTTAACAATACTCACCGCATCCTCATGGCTCTGCGCCTCGAAATCGTACCTCTTCGTCTCCTTCTCCTTGAACACAATGACCCTGAACATCCGCGGATGCTTCTTGCTTACTTTACTCCCCACCACGCTGCTAAAGTGCACGGTCGTAGTTTTGGACGGCGCATCGAAGAGCTGCTTCGTGTTGCCTGTGTCGCCCGGCATGATGTGCATGTATTCGTTGTCCAGGGCAATGATGCGTGAGGTTGAAGAAGCGAAGGACATAGGTTGTTTGCGAAGGACAGGGAAGCGCCGGTAGTACGAAGTTTGGGTAAGAGTGAGGCCCGAATCGGAGGGTCTGGCTAAGGGATGAATGAGGCCATGGCCAGAAACCGCAGCGGCAGTGCGATCCCCTTTCTTTGTCTTCTTCGGCGCACCACCTGTACCAATAATAAGGGGCGCATTTGGAGATGAAGAGCCGGGCGAGCCAGCCAGACCGAAGACGCCGTCGCCCACGAAACGGCGGCGCACCAGGTCGAGATCCATGCGTGTGCCCAATGCCTCGACTGTACGGTCTGGTGGTGCGACGGTGGTGCTAGCGGACACCTTGAGGACATAAAGACCTTTATCGAGATGAAGATCGCGACATACTTTGTCGAAGATCTCTGCGATGTAGGTGTCCGTCGTACATGGCACGGCTATATGTCTCGTATTGAAATTTTCGTCCGTAAAGTGCACGTTAAGTGTCCTGGGTGCACCGGTGCGGCTGGCAGACTGAGCGTTCGAGATTGCAGGTGCATCTGCAAGATTTGATGTGTCTTTGCGAGTAGCAGTCGGGGCGAAGGATGGGCCTGTGATGGGATTTCGGAAGCTCTTTGCTCGGTTAGGTATAGGCTTTGGGGGAGGCTTCTTCTCTGGCGCCCCTTCCGATGCCGACTTCTGAGAGGCCAGGGCTGCAGCGGCTTCACGGCTGTATATGGGTGTAACCTTCTCGTTCTCGGTGAATTCGCGCTCTGTTGCTTCGACCAGGCCGAACTCGTCCCATGGCTTTTCCCGTGCGCGTGGACGCATGCCGCGACTGTTGTTCGATGCGAAGTCCATCAAGGGTCGGTTTCGGGTTAATGCAGGGAACTCATCGTCTATCTCGCCATCGTCGTACATGCGCAGGACCCAACCATTGACGTTCAACTTCTCAGAGGGTAGAGGAGGCTCCAGTTTATCCTCCTGATACCGCAACAATGCATAACCAATGGTCTCAGCTACGGTTACTGCTGCACCTTTGTCGTCAAATCTCCTGATAAGCAGCTCGATGGGCTTCGACGGCTTTGATGAGAAGGGACAGTATATTCTGATATAGATCGGATTCACTTGGGCATCGCTTGCGGCGGACCAGGTGGCGAACCGCTGGACGGGATTCGATGGTTTCTGTTCTTTAGCTTGTAGAGCCTGCGTCAACGCGCTGACCGGCGGTACAAAGCTGATGGGCCTTGGAGGAGGCAGAGCTTGTAATGTGGGCGTTGGTTGTTGTTTTTGTTTCCTGGGCGATGTGTTGTTGAACGGGGTTAAGGTAGGCATATTCGGCAGTTCGGTTGGTGGAGACGAATCTAGAGGATCGTCTCCATCTCCTATGAGTGAGCCACTGTCAGCAGTCCCTGAGAATTCAGACGAGAGAGAGCTGTCCGATTCATTTCCCTCGTCGAGGGCTTCTAGGGGCGCTCTCTCGTCTTCTTGAATTCTTTGCGAGAGTAGATGGCTGGCTTTTGCTGCTTTTTGAGGATTGACCTTCCTCTTCTGGAAGGAGAGAGAGTCCATTTCGTTCTCGGATGACATTTCACTGCTGGTTATTGTGTCTCTCCTAGCGCGTTCTTTGATGGTCTCTACAGCACCTAACGAGCCTCGACGTAGACGGCTGTCCGGGGGTCTAGATGGAGATGTGACCATAACTGCCGGTCCCTCATTGGCTTCCGAGAGCCCACTCCTGAGGGTTGATCCGCGAATGGGGGACGAGCCAGCGCGCATTCGGAGAGGCATCTTGGTGAATTTGATCTGGTTCGCAGGCCTTCAACACGCAACGTTAGCCAAGTCTGAGGTTCAAGATAGGGGTTCGGACCTATGTGTTTCCTCTTCGTAATCACTCTCATCACTCAGGTCGCTGCTGTCGTCTTCTTCGAGCTGTTCCCTTCGCCGCCGCCGCTTCGCATTCAGGGTTGGACCCACGGTATCGTTGCTCCCGCCCCCTCCCGTCACCATGCCGCCTTCCTCTTCATCCTCGCCGAAGCCCTCAGGCGCCTTCAGTCCAGCCGAGCGCGGCGCTTGGAAGTATTCGGAGGTTATGGCTGTGGGGATCGGCGGGGAGTAGGTGCGCTTGATGTCGGCGGCATTGGGCACCCAGCCGGCAGCGCGGAACGCGGGATTGTTCAGGACGGAGGAGTTCACATTGATCAAGCGCTCGCCGACGCCATCCTTGATAGCGGACAGGTATGCTATGCGCAACTGATATAGCACGAAGCTGCGGGGGTCAGCGGAGGGCAAGGCGGCGGTGGCTGCGGGGCATACTCTTCGTTCTGGAGGAGCGACATGGCTGTGGAGCTACCATGTCATATTCTATCCCTCGATTCTGCAGTTAGATCAGCTGAAGTTCCAGGCCATGAGGTCATTGCCGGCGTTGTGAGAGAAAGACGGGATCGCGACCTGGAGTGAGGTTCGTGGACCCTGAGCCTTGGCAACCGCGGTCCGCCAAAGCGTCTTCTGACTTCATCGCCGCATCTTATGCCGACATCCCACCTCCCACCTAAACACCGCCCACAATGAATCTTATCGCCTACTCCGACTCGGAAGAGTCCGCCAACGAAGCGCCATCCGCACCGAAGCCCGCGGCAAAGCCAGCGTCGAAGCCCGCCTTCCAGAAAGTGGTCGACCGCTCGAAGCCAGGCAAGATCAAGCTCAACCTGCCCGGCGCATCACGAACACAGCCGGAGAAGGATGACATAGAGGCCGAGGCTCCTCCGGCAAAGAAGGCGCGCACAGGAGGGGGTGCTTTTAGTGGGTTCAACGCCATGCTGCCAGCGCCGAAGAAGCCAGCCCCAAGTGCGGCTGCCGGAGGGGCGACATCTGGGAAAAGGGGCCTGGGCAAGGGCTTGGGCGCAGGAGTGAATCTTAAGACGGGCGCGGAGCCGGCATTCAAGCGGGAACCTAAGGTTGCGGAGGACGAGTATGATGAGAACGGCAACCCAGTCAAGAAAGAGCCCATGCAGAAGGAGGATTTCAGGGCTCTGCTGAATCTGCCTCCACCGAAGACCGAGACAAAGATCGAAAGCGCGCCCCTGCAGAAGCCGGACCTTGCACAAGCGGAGCAGCCGCCGGAGGTCAAGCCGGCTGCGAAACCCAAGTTCGTGCCAATGTCGGTCTCTCGTGGGAAGAAGAAGAAACCAATGGTACCGCGACCTGCGGTTGCAGCCCCGGAAGAGGGCAAGCCCGGAACAGCATCTGCTCTGAAGTCATCAACAGGAGAGCCAAAAGGCCCCGCTAAGCCCAAGGTGTCGCTATTTTCTTTATCGCAGGACGCCGAAGCGCCGACGAGGAGCCAAGCGAATGGTAGCTACCAGCCACTCCTCTACGGTTTCGAGGAGGAGGATGATGACGATGCGGCTCGTGCAGACGGAGCCTTTGAAGCACAAACTACACACCAGACTACACAAGATGCGTCTTCAGTCAGCCAGCGCACACCCGGAGCATCAAACGATCTAGCCAATATCGCCTCCGAGCTGAATCTCTCAGAAGCAGAGCGGCGGCAGCTCTTCGGTCGCAAGGGCCACGGCCCCGACCTCTCCGCCGCAAAGATTACCGAGTTCAATACGGATACCGAATACGCGCACAACGAGATGTTGCGGCAACAGGGCGAGACCGTCCAGCACAACGCGCTCAAGTCCATCACTGGTACCGGCAAGAACAGTCTGCGGAGCTTGGTCAACGTCGCGACAACGCAAAAGGATGCTCTCGAGGAGCACTTTGCGCAAGGCAGGCGGAACAAGAAAGAGGCGGGGAACAAGTATGGCTGGTGATCCCTGCAGCAGCAGTCCATTAGCTTCAACGCTTGCACTCAGTAGCTTAATGCTTGCACTCAGTAACTAGTGGAGCTATGCTGAATGCCAAAGTAGTATATCAGCTCACTCGAACGCTGCCTCCTTTCTCTTCTGAATACCCGTGACGCGGGACCTTACACCCGAGCGCTGCCACACCGCTCGCTAGGACTACACCCACACATCCCCCAACCCACTCAATCCGGATACCCAAACAAGTAACAATCATCCTCCTCCGTCCCCGACTCCTCCCCCCTTTCCCTCCTCCCCCTATGCCTCTCCCCCCTCGCCCTAACCAAAGCCCTCTTCCGCCCCAACTCCTCCCTTTCCTCCGCCTCTCTGCCCCTGTCTCCCTCCTCCCACAGCCCGTCAAAACAGCCCCTTGCCACCAACGGTCGACTATCGTAAAATAACTTGCCCCTTCCCCAATCTTCCTCACTGCCTTCCACATATGATGAAAGTGACGCAAGTTGGAATACCGCAGCACAACGCATAGTCCTGTAGCTTCGGCAGCGCTGACCCAGGTTGCGACGCGCTGCTGGAGATCTGCGGGGTAGTATAGCGGGTAGGTGTCTTTGTTGTACTTCGCTGGCGGCTGCATGTTGGCGTATATTTCTATTCTCGACAGCTTAGGTAGGATGGCTTTTGCGGGTTTCAGATGGTCGCCGAGCGCTTCCAGAGCGTAGCAGCTGTCCACTGCGATCGTCAAGCCCTGCAGCGAAGTGGGTAACTTCTCCCACGGCCGCGGCGTCATCGCGCCTTGAGCCGGATTCGTCTGCATGAGGGCTTCTTGCGGGAGCGTGACATGCGTCAGCGCACTGCAGCGTCGCAGATCGAAGACTGCGCTCAGACGATCCGTTTCGATGCCGAATACGTATTCGGCAGGGAGTTCGAGGCGACGCAGCCTAGGCGCGAGACGGGCGAGGATGGTGCCGAGATACGTGGTTTGGGTTTGCTCGCTGGTTGGGTGCAGGGCGCCATCGAAGAGCGGGTGGAAAGCGCCTAAGCCCGACTGGTACTGTTTTGAGCCGAGGAGCAGTTCCTGCAGGTTCGGCATCATGCCCAGCAGGAGAGCCAGATAAGCGTTGGGTTCGTGGCGGGCGAGGTCGGCGGTTAGGCTGAGTTCGAGGGGGAGGGGGAGTTCAAGGCGGGTAGTTAGGGTCGAGCAGGAGCGCTGGAAGAGCGTGGTTTCTCCTTTGGTCATGCCCGGAAGGCGTCCGATCTTGGTCTTGGGTGGATCTCCCTTGGATTTTTCTATATGGAAGCTTGCTTTTGGCGATAGAAGCTCGAGTGTGCGTGCTTTTGCGGCAAGGACTGGGTGCTTGAAATACGCACGGACGAGTCCTCGGGCTTTGTCGGCGTGGACGAGGGGCTTCGTTTGGAGCAGCTCCTGGGCGAGGGGCCGGAGTGAGCGGCACACCCGGGTTAGCTTGACCAGCTCTTTCCTGCGGTCCTTTGGCAGGGCGGGGAGCTGCTCCACGATGGCCAGAAGAAGCTCAGTTGGGAGCTGGAGGAGGATAGGAGGGGACATTGTGCGGGAAATGGTCTGCTGATGAGGATGGAGGGTGCTGATGGTTCAGTTGTGAGGATGAAATGGAGAGGATGTGCGAGGAGTTAAGTAGGGGTGAGGAAGAAAAATGTTTAGAGGACCGAAGTTTAGAATCGTGCTGCGCTTCTGGTAGCGAGGCGAGTCCTAGCGATTCGCTCTGCTGCATGGTTCTGTTGGTAGAATTTGCGTTGAGGCAGGCATAGACGAACCCGACCATGGTCCAGTCGACATTGGGCTCTCGGGCTCAAATTACTTCGGACGGGTGGCTGAAGGTCTCGCGGCGGCGGGATCCACACGTGGAAGCACTGTGATCTCATCTTCATCTTCAGCCGTTTCCGCAGGGCGCATTCCCTCTCCATGCCGCCCGCCATCCAACTCATACACCCCGCTCTCTCCGGCCTCAAGCTCGTGCGGTCTATCCACAGCATGCAACTCCGCCTTCTGAAATAGCGATGGGTGCCTCGGGTCTGCGACCTCTAAACCCTCACCTACAGTTTGCATATCCTCCCCTGGTGTGGAGGAATTGGCAGCAAGTTTTCTCTTGCGCAGACGCCTGCGATAAATCGTTGAGACTACTACAACGATGAGAACAATGACCACGCCTCCGACTGTGATGCCGATTGCTACCTTCATGGTTGAAAATAGGTTGCGGGGCATTGGTGGGGATGTGCGCCTATCGGGTGTGGGTGAGCTTGTGTTTTGATCGGAGTCGACCGGTTTCGGCTGGGTGGTGGATGTTGTGGAGAGGCGTTCGGAGGATAATCCCTCGGTTGACGCGCTCCCTGTCGCTGAGGAAGACGTTGTGGAACTAATTATCGATTCATCCGTCGCGCTCGATGAGACTCTCTCTGCACGTTCCGCAATCCTCGAAGGACACTGCTCTGCCTCACAAGCCGCTGTAGCCTCTTGATTGCCTGTGCTGGCATTGAAACATAATTCTTTCCAGAACAAGCACATCTGTCCCGGTATGCTATCGCGGTATTCGGGCATGTAGGGTGCGTAACCATCGCTACATGTACACTCGTAGTCTAGGGTGTCCTGGGGCAGCAGTAAGTTGACGTGCAGAAGCTGCAAAGGCAACAGCGGGCCCTTACACTATCGCATCCGGCTCTCACCGCTTGCGACCCACAGATCTCTATGCAGCTGTTTCCCGATAGCCTGCACCAATCCGTTTTTAAGTCGTCGGGGATCCCGCTGGGACTGACCTCGCAACAGGGTTCCAGCTGCGCAGTGACCGCACGCGAAAAGACCATTACCGCCACGGCCACGGTGAAGGATATGAAGGAAACCATGACGAAGGTTTAAGCTTGTTTACGCCCGAATCCCTTTCCGCTCCCGAAGGCAAGGCTTTAAGGTCGAAAGCTCCGCCTACTCTTGGCGTGCTGTGCCGCCAGCAGACGGCGCTTGGCTGCTTTTGAAACATTTCCTAAGCGTCGTTTCCTTGAAATGATTGGAAAGAGTAGGGTAGTTGGTCTAGCGACTCATGCGTGGTGATAGTGACGGAAGTGTTGTTTTATGCGTGAGGCGGAGTCGATGATTGCTGCATTCTCTCGTACCTGCGGAGGGCTTGACCATCATCGTGCGTCGACGCAGCTGAGCCAGAACACATCGAGATGGGAGGATAAAATTCCTTCGATTTCTCCTGAATGCTGTCGCGATAACCAAAGAGAGGGATTTTCTACACTCGTTCGGGTGTGAGCATCCAGAGTCGTCGCCGTAATGTTTTATTGGTAAATCCTCTAGAGACTTGCCATCTTCGCGGACAGTATCACGTGCCTCCGGGTTCGCTCTCCTACCACAGTAGAAAATTTGGCTCACTAACCGTACGTGAAAACGGAGTGGTATCCGCGCGGTTCAATGGCGGCCTAAAACGTCGTAGACCGCGCCGCGTGCCAAAGTCCAGGCTTCGAAGTCTCGCTAAGTGCTTCGCCGACAAGCTCACACGATCCACGATCGACGAGCCCTACAGGAATGATCCCTAATCGGATGTAGACCAGCGAGACATACCGCGCTTGCGGCGTTTGCGTGGGTCATAAACGCCGTTTCCGGAGGCAGCGAGTTATCTAGACGCGCTCTTCAAACCTTAACGAAAAAGGGCCCTCGATAGGTTTTAGCAATAGAACCCATAATGGCTGAGACGCATGTATTAGGACCGAGCCCGCACCTGGAAGGGGCGTCTGCAGACATATCGCATGAAGTAAGACAATATCTCAAAGACGACTTGTGAAAGAAAAAAATGTCTTGCCGTAGGTGTCATAGAGAGCCACGTGGAACGAATGAAACAACAGCGGCGAATAGTCTGGACATGCTTTTTTGAGTTGGAGCTGAGACTGGAGATATCAGAAGTGATGAAAGCAACGATGAGAGGTGAATGTTTCGGATAGGGGCCGTGGTGTTAACCGTAGTGTCCAGACGTCGAGCGCAAGTTAATCGGCTGCTGTGTAAAGTGACGTCGACCGATGCGGTCTTCCAATACCTAGGTAGTTTCCTATGCCCGTAAGTTGACCGCAAGTGCGCTTAGTAAACGCGCGGCTCCCGCAGATATATACCCGTGTAGGCCTGGCGTGGATGCAGCATCAGCAACTCTTCCTCGGTATAAGTATCGAATCTGGTCAGATCTAAATGCTCTCGTTAACCGACTTCATCTCCCTCAGAACGCGCACATATCCGACGTTTCAGGCAAGGATGGCGAAAGGAGGCTGTTTGTGCGGGAGGGTGACGTTCGAATTCACCGGCGAACCTGTGAAGACGGTAAGTCACTAGCGCACGCTAGTGGGTAACTGCAATACTGATAAACTGGCTCAAGGTACTCTGCCATTGTCTGAACTGTCGACGAATAACCGGCACTGCATTCTCTACCAACGTCAGCGTACCCTCTTCCTCCATGCGTCTCCAAGGCGACCCAAAACACTTTGTCTTCGATTCCGGTCAAGGGCCAATCTTCAAAATCTCCTTCTGTGGCGAATGCTCGTGCACGCTGTGGAAGGAGAGCGACGCAGAGGGCTTCAAAGGCTTCCACTTCATTCAAGCTGGCGCCTTGGGGCAGGATTTCGACAACCATCGTCCTGATGGGGAGATCTTCACGGGGTTTAGATCGAGATGGCTGGATGCGATCCAGGGCGTGAAGCAATTTGAGGGCACGGATGAGGGCCTCGACTAGTTTCGTAAGCTAGAGCGCATTTTCTCGTGGTTAATCATCACACGTTTCTGGGTATCCTTTAGATACGAGATAACAGGGCGGGAGGGCGACCAGCCAGTAGAAGCTCGAGATCAGTCCGGGGCGTATAAGCAGCTTCACTTCCCCGTCGCCGCCTTTGCCGCTGCGGCCTCCCTCTTTCGCTGCAGGTACCGTTCCTTGGCGCTGCTGATCTCGCTTTCCGTCTTCTGGCTCTTACTAGCATGCTGCAGCTTCCGCTGCTCTTCAGCATCTTCATCTGCTTTGCGCTTCGCGGCTTGTTCGATCTGCTCGGCTACCATCTGCGTCTGCCTAGCTCGGACATTGCGCTGTGGAGCATTACGACCTTGGTAACCTGTCTGAGCACCGTCCGGCTTAGCCGATGTAGTGGGCGCGGAAGAAGTGCTCTTTGGCTTCGCAACAATATTCAAGCCAGCGGAAAGGAGCTGTCTCTTGTCTGCCACCTGACCCTCCTCGTTCAGAATGATGTTCTTGCCCTGCTCCTGGAGCTCCTTGGCAATCTCCACATCCGTCTTCTCTTTCGGTTCCTCATCCAGCTTCACGCCCTCTTTGGCTAATCGTGCCGCGGCTTCCATGGCTTCCTGATGTCTCTTCTCTTCCGCCATGAGCATCTGCTTGTGAAAGCCCTGCATCCCAAATGTTCGCCTCTTCTCATCCTCTGCCTCCTGCCTCCTCCTCTCCTCCTCTTCCGCCTTGCGCGCTTCTTCTTGTTGTGCCTTGTATGCGCCTGTGACGAATTTGTCCTTATCTGCGAATTCGTCGCCCTCGGCCTCCCGTTCCCGTTGCAGCAGCTTATCACGGGCCCTTAGCTGATCCTTCTTGCGCAGCTCTGCCGACTCGAACAGATTGTCCATGTATTTCGGTCGGCGCTGTAGAGAGTCCTCTCGTTCTGCTGCCTTCTTCGCGGCGGATTTGGCGTGTAAGGCGTCGTATGCGGCGTCGTAGTCGTAGATGGATGAGTCGACCTGCATGGCTTCTTTGGCTCGCCGCTCCGCTTCTTGCGCGCTGGCCGAGTTTGCGAACGAGGTCGGATCATCCTCCTTTAGTAGCGGTTTCCGGGTTGGAGGGCCAGGAGGCTTGCCTTTTGGTTTTGACGACGGCTTGGCCTCCTCGGACTTTGATTTGGAGGCTAGTATGTCCTCGTAGCTGAGTTCGCCGATTTCCTGAGCGCCATCTGATACTTTCGCTTTGGGCTTCGTATCTTCCTCCTCTTCATCGAACAGTGGCTTCTTCTTGCCAAGCGTCGGCTTGCTGGGTAGCTTGCCAGGCCCGCTCGCCGCCTTGTTCTTTACGTTCAACCCGAATTTGAACGACATGGTGGCGTGGAGTTGTATAGAAGCGCTGGAGGAGCGGCCGGGGGAGAGCGGAGCTTAAATGCCAAGCACGCACGGGCCAGTGAAATCATCGTAACTTCCGCAAAGCCTCCGCGCTTTCCTATCACACTCACCATTCACTCATCAACGCAGTCGGCAACACAGCATCTCTCCCTCGCTGCAAAACGACCTCCATCTTCATGCACATCTGGAACCTAGCACATAGTCCGCACCATGGAGGAGCCGGCTAGCGACAAACATCAAGAAAAGGACGCATATGGCGGCTCCAAGGCGACCAAGTTTCACTTCAAACCGAAGTCCGAACGTTCAAAACGACGCCACAGAGCAAATGACGACGGAGACTACCATGAAGAGCAACGGTCTAAGCGACGCCGATCCGAGAGAGACCCTGAATCACGACGCAGCCACCGAGAGCCGAAGCGCAAAGATAAGCATCGCCGCTCTGACTACGACCGTAGCTTCGCCCGAAATGGCGAGTACAATGACCCAGACCACCGTTATCGCGAGTCTATATATGATGGCCTGGATGGCGAGGGCCTCCGCTCGCCGGAGGCTGATCCCGACGATGCCTTTCGCGAGTCGCTCTTCGATGCGCTCGCCGATGACGAAGGGGCGGCATACTGGGAGGGCGTGTACGGACAGCCCATACACGTATACCCCAATACGAAGCCTGGTCCGGACGGCAAGCTGGAGCGCATGAGCGAGGAAGAGTACGCGGAGTATGTTAGGACTAAGATGTGGGAGAAGAGCCATCAGCACATCCTCGAGGAACGTGCGGCAAGAGAGAGAGCTCGCCAGAAACAGAGGAGGCAGCAGGACGATCTAGAAGAAGAGGCTGACGGGGAGGAAGAGGAGCGGGAGAAAGTACGGCGTCAAATGGAGGAAAGTCTGAGGCGTGGCGAAGCGCGGAAAAAGGCCAAGGAGGCAGAAGTATCGTGGGTCAATTATTTAAGAAAGTGGGAAGATCTCAAGAATAAGGCTCTTGCCCAGGAGCCTGAAAGTGGGGTACGGGAGACCATCCCCTGGCCAGTGGCATCAGGCAGATCCAAGCACGTCGAGAAAGACGAGATCGAGCGGTTCCTGAAGTCCTCTAGTGCTTGGAGAGAGGACGCGGTTGCTTTGCTGAAAGCGGAGCGAGTCCGGTGGCATCCCGACAAGATGCAACAGCGCTTCGGGCAGCATATCGATTCCGAGACGATGAGACTTGTCACCGCTGTCTTCCAAGTCATCGACAGACTGTGGAACGAACGCCGGACGTAGTGGTGACACTACGGTGCGTCACTGTCTCCCGATACTTCGGGCCTCGCTGCCGTCTAACAGTGATCCTGCAATCAAAGCCAGAACGCCTCCACCGAGGCTTTGCCTCTTTCTTCGACAAACCGTACCCCTTGGGCTCGACGCGGACAGTCTCCAGTATTCATCGCTCTTGGAGTCATTGCGCCCATTCCTTAGCCGAGCTATGCCAGGGTGTTTGTCGACCTGCAAGCCTCGTTCTTGCCATCGTCAAAACAGATGCCCTTAATAATAGCATTCGTCAAACCTGGTCATGTCGTCCCTGAGTATTTTGAGACGGGTGTAAATCGGAACATGGCTGTCGCAACCATATTGACATTCTCCCATTAACATTGTAGGACGACGCTCTCCGCGCGCCAAGCCTGCCCTCTATCCCTGCCATTTAATCTACCCACTACTGCCAAGAGAGGTCAGGCGCGTCTCTTGGGTTACCCTGGCGCATAGGAGCTTACGATTCTTATAATCCGGCTAAATTCTTGGACCCTTGGGCAAAAGGCTTTTTCGAACCCATCGCCGGAGCTTTTTGTGTGGGAAGCAGCGGCAGCAGTCTTGAAGCCAAGAGAACGCGGGGCTTTCTCAAATTGAAGCCGAGGCGGCAGGATGTTCCGAGCGGAAGCTTCACCTAATGGCACAGCTCTTGGTTGAGCTTGAGCATAGTATCGCGGTCGCTTTGCCACAACGTCCTCCCATTTCGTGGTTCATGAAACCGCAAACGAATGCGTTTATTTGATGCCGATCGGAACCAAACACACGGCCTCATCCCGACTCGTTTTATGCTGTCCAGACCCAGGTCGGCCTCCACCCTTCGGTACGGGACGATCAAGCCAGCGCCTCTCATGACCAACCAAATACACAGATGCGGCCCTTGGCCGGGTTGCATCATGTCACCATCAAAGAAAAGAGAATCCGCGGCTCTGCCAAGGCGTACTTGGGCATGAATAGCCGGTGGAAGCATTGAGATCTGGGGAAATCAATCTACCTCCGCGGCACGCTGTACTACCCTATGCACCCCACAAATATACCGGTAAAAGTACGCCACTTTACGTTGCCAAAGCACTCGGGATCATCCCCCAACCAGGAGCCTCCTCTGGGCCGGGCGGTTCTGTGGCCTTGCACGACATGGATTGCAATGATGGCGATATCAATTTCAGACTTTTCGCAAGTGAATATATAAAGACTGCGCATCTCCCTCCATAGTGAGCCACCACGCAACTTCCAATTCCAATATACACGCCGTCATCATGGTCGCATTCTCCTCGGTTTTGCTCGCCCTTGGCGGCGCTGCTTCTGTGCTCGCCACTCCCATCACCATGAAGAACTCCCCCCTGAACCTCATCACCCGGGGCACCTCGGGCGTCCAGACCTCCCCAGGCACTGGCACTAACAATGGCTTCTTCTACTCCTTCTGGACGGATGGCCAGGGTTCCGTGAACTACAACAATGGCGTAAGCCTTCTACACTCCTTTTCATAACCCCGTCTTAACGTCGACAGGCTGGTGGCAGCTACACCGTCTCGTGGAGCAATGTCGGCAACTTCGTCGCCGGCAAGGGCTGGAACCCCGGATCCGGCAGGAATGTCACCTACAGCGGCACCTGGAACGGCGCCAGCGTCAACTCGTACCTTTCGCTCTACGGCTGGACGAAGAGCCCCCTCATCGAGTACTACATCGTCGAATCGTTCGGCAGCTACAACCCTTCGTCTGGTGCTCAGAAGAAGGGCACCCTCGCCGTTGACGGCGGCACCTACGACATCTACCAGACCCAGCGTGTCAACCAGCCCTCAATTGAGGGAACCTCGACCTTCTACCAGTTCTGGTCCGTCAGGCAGCAGAAGCGTGTTGGTGGGTCGATCAACACGCAGGCTCACTTCGATGCTTGGACCAAGGCTGGCCAGAAGCTCGGCTCGCACAACTACCAGATTTTGGCTACGGAGGGATACCAAAGCAGTGGGTCTGCCTCCATCACTGTCCAGGGTCCTTGAAGAGGCTTTGTAACTTCGCTGTCTAGCGGAGACATTGCGTGAAAGGAAGTTCTTGTGTCAATAACATACTCCAAAAAAAATGTAAATATCTTTGGCCAGGCATAACTGTGATTCATCAAATCGAAGCAATACATAGCCCGTTCGCGGATCACTCTCACAGCTCTACGTTTTCTCCCAACCCTATCGTTGCCTCAGCGCCCAGAACTTCGACACCCTGCCAGCCCAGTGTTATCTAATCTGTCAAGATCGGTCCCCAACCCCAACCGTCCACGTGACGCTGTCAGCATAGGCGGTCGCTGACACAGTCTCGACTATTGCCCTAATACGGAGATCGTCGACCGTAAAAGGCAAAATAGCGAGGTGCGGCATACGAGTAGCTGAGCTCCACAAGCCGCTTCATAGCCCGAGCGTTAACCTCTCCCCGGTACCCGAGCTCCCTACGCCAAACGTCAAGCTCTGATAATGCTGTAGCACTCAAACGAGCTGAAATGCTTATGGCTGCCTGTCGAAGCGGCCATACAGTTGAGCCGTTTCAACCCCATTGCGTGCCAGAGGACACTGTTGGTCTCCAATTGTGAAGTGCCTGGGTAACGTCCCACGCATCTTTGCGCAGGGAAAAGTAGAGTCTCCTTGCTGGGCATTTGGGGTCGTGTTGGACTCCCGGGGGTTAATCGTTGCGGGTGTTCGACGAGACGCTTCGGTGTCCTGCGAGATGCTGGGTCAATTGGAGCATAGGAGCGTTGTTCGCCCCAACGCTGCATGCAGAAATAGCGGAATGGAGAGAGATAGAGTTTGGCTTCTTTTGATTATGCTGCAGTGCCTGTCTGGATACAAAGATGTGAGCGGAGCACTGAGATTCCTGGTGTAGGTTCTCGACCTCAGATATAAATTTCTCCAGTCATTCTCACCGCTGTGTCCGAGCAGGATAGACTCCAAGGAAGAGAATACCATTTTGCCTTCCTCGCCGCCTACAGACGTCTCTGTACCTCAGTGTCCAAGACTACATCTCTGCTCGATCCCCTCGTCATTCCACGCCGAGATCCCGTACACCCCTTCTATCCTGGCAAATTTCGCAGCCGCGCCGCCATGTCAAGGTATGTTCTTCCTAGTTTTGTCATCCCCTGCATATGGGAAACCGCTAACACTGAACTTTCAGCGCCGCGAACTCCAGCCGCTCGAACGCAAATCCATCCTTTCTGGATGCAAACGCCAACACATAGTTTGCAAAGCATTGGCAGCCAGTTCGCCGGTCAAGAACGCAATGCCACGGCGCCTAATGGACGCTCTACGCTAGATAAGAACGTCAGTCTACTCAATGGTGAAGGAGTAGGAGCGAGCAGTGAAGAAGGAGATGTGATTCTCGGATGGCTGGCTGGTCCAGATGATCCATGATCGACACATAATAGGTGGGACAGTTGATGGTGCATGCAGCTGCTAAGAGAAGAAGCGATATAGACCAAATCCTCGGCACACTCCCTAATGTTCACTAGCTCTTCAAACGCGCTCCTCTCTTCTCCACTATTGCTCTCTGCCTTGCTCGCGGCAGGGGCACCAACCCATGTGCATAAATCGGTTGTGAATCTTTCCGCCTTCGCCCGTATCTGATATATATATAGCGCTGATAACTGCCAGTGTCAATTTCGGCGCCTGGAAAAACAGTGGTCTTTCGTGGAACCGGGATTGAACTACATCACGCATTATAACGCGCGCATCGAGGACTTCTATTCTCATATCGATACGCCTTTTTCGCCCACGCATGTTCTGAAGCTACTCCGCTCCCCATTCAAGGAGATCCGGAGCACGGAGGCCGACGGCGTCAATATATGCTAATCGCAACCGATGGGGCCTTCATTAACGGCCTTAACGCCTTATGGAAAAGTAATATTTCATTTCCCTTCGGCTATTCTATCTTCAGCGGCAAGAGGAAGTCAACACTGCCTTTTCACACCCTTCTTTCACGACTCCAATTACTCCATGCGGCGGCCCCGAGTATCTCAGACATTGTTCTCTCATACTATGGCGGTGCGTTCTTCATTGCTACGATGGCTTTGTCCGCTAGAATTGGGGTAGATTTCAATTTGGGTAGGTTCATCGTGTACAATTCTGACTCCATTAAAGCAATCGCTAGCAGCTGTCTGACGTATACCATCTCCATGTGTTACATGATGAGCACTTCTTTCCTCGAAGCCCTAGGCTTACAAAATATTGTTCAAGAGGTGCTTTCTGCAGAATTAAGGACCCTTGCTAGAACGATACAGTCAGTTTTGAAGCGGCTCACGGATGTCCGTTGAGCAGCATATGAAATCCTTTTACCTTGCTGTTTCTTATTCGGCCTAGGTGTGATAGATGCTCCACAATCTGCTGTCCCGGAAAGTGCTCTTCAGCTCACGAGTTATCCATGGCACTGGGCATTAGACTTTGGATTTTCATTTGTCCCGGGACTAATTCCAGTTTTGAGTAGATTTTTCAGACTTCCATGGTCAGCGTCAAACGAGTACGGGGAAATATCCATTGAACATGCATGAGATAAAGCTATAAAAGGGTATTCAAATACTGCCGTATAAACATCACCGCGCAATCTAGGCCCGAAGCAGAACATTTACTGGGGGCCAATCCACCAGTCGCACACTCCATCGATGTGCCCATATGATCAACACTCCACAATGACAACCTTCAGAGGACAAGACTGAAAGTTTGATGGTCACGTAATTACTAAAAGGGTAGTTGCTCCTTCGACTAGCCACGAAGCTACAGCCCTGTATTCCAGCCTCAAGGGGCCTCATGTACGCCCTTAGGCATAGGCCGGGATGGTTGCTGATATTCCTGATGGCCGTACGGAGGAGCCGGGCTCACCGGCGGACTCATAGGCGGGCTCGTGGGAGCATATCCCCCCTGGTTCCCCGCTGTGTGCGTGTTGTCCCACACCGGCGCCTGCTGCATGTACGGCTGCTTAGGCTGCTCCATATATTGCGGCTGCGCAGGCTGAGGGGCGAACTGCGGCTGTGCGAACTGGGCTTGACGCTTCTTTTTCATAATTAGGATAGCGATGATAGTGGCCGCAATCGCGATGACTGCAATGCCGCCCACCACGCCCCCAACGATAGCTCCCACCGGGGTCTTCGAGCCGCCGGACGAGGGCGTGGTGGTGGCTAAGCCTGCGGACGCGCCGGTAGTGGTCGTCGACACAAATGTGGTTGGCGTTGGAGTAGATGTCACCCGTTCCGACGTGGGAGTAGCGACCTGCGTGACGGTGATGACTTCTCGAGAGATGGACGAGCGGCTGGTGGGCCCGTTGGTGTAGTCGTCGTAAACATAGGATGTATAATCTATAGGACCGCAGCCGAAATTGGTATACTCGGTCGTGCCGGTCACCCAGACATATTGATAGCACAAAGTATCCACACCCGCGGTGCTGTATCCCAAGGGCCGGATTAGTGTTTGGACGTAAAATGGCGAACCCAGAAGACACTGACCAAATGTAGTGATACGGGTTCACGAGACAACTGGAATCACATGAGGCCACTGCCGCGGCGCTGGGATAGCATGCTGTTTCAATATAGCAATCGCTCAAGACACCGGAACAGCAGCCAAATGCCCCATTGTACGAGTTGAAAGCACAGTAGTAGTCAACGCCGCATGTTGCCGGGTTATCTGCATAGCATGAGAAAGATCCGACAGCGTGTAGCAAAAAAGGGCCCTGTCTCACCATAGTCTCCATCGATGTAGCCGCAGGTCCGAGTTTCCTCGCGTCGAAATAGCTTGAGCGGATTGGCAGCGTCCGCGAGTGCTGTTGGAATAGGGCTTCGTCCCTCGATCGCTAGATCCAAGACTCCAGGCTGAGTTGGGGCTAGGCCGGCCCGAGGGAATGCCAACGCCCTGCCGACTATGAATGCGTATGCGAGGCCAAGCGAACGAAGCATTTTGTCCATTGGCGGTAGTGTCATCCGATATACTTCGTACCCCAGAGGGGTCTGGAGGGAGGGCAGCTATACTTATATTTCATCTTTGCGCACAAGGCTGAGCCTTTTGGCCAACACGAGGTGAGGCTTGGATCGCGTCCCCCTCATGTCTAGAGATGTGGTGGCTCGTACCACGGCAGTCAGCTACGCGACCAGGCCGTCAAGGAAACATCGCTCGCAGTCTATTGGCTGTCTGAAGTTTGGAGGCAGTCTTTACCGAAGACAAGCCCAAAAGATGCAATGTTTCGCATCCATCGCGAGGTTTTGGCTAATGCCCAGACATCCGGATGCAGGTCTCGGCTGGTGGCGTCGAATTCGATATTTCCAAGGCTCCGGTGAGCTGCTAGTCTGCAGACTTGTGCCTCCATGGTGGAAGACACATCGAGGCACGGGGTGGGATGGCTGCTTTGCGTATGCAGCAATTGAACGACGAGACGAGGTCCACAACCACAAAAATTGTTTGGGACGAATTCAGCGACCGCATCGCGTGGGCAGGAGGGTGAGCCTGGCGTGTGTATCGCCAATCTCCGCGATTTGTCCTGTGACCTTGCCGAGTTGTTTTCGTTTTGTCAGCCCGTATACGGCTGAGCGACAGCTGAAGACTGGTGGGTCCATGGGAGTTGAACCTCGCAGGGCTTTGTCGTTCGCGATCGTCTAAGTGAGCGTCAACATGAATGCATAGTCCAGGAAGAGCTCTCCGGCCCGTGCCAAGAGCTCCACCCACGCTAGGCTTCATCTGGCCTTAGCAAACCCACACCTCTGCGGCTGAGGTGTGTTCTCCCTCTTTCTAGGACTGGCTGCCCATAGACTTTCAACATTTCATTGCGCTACAACTGCCGATGCTGCTGCTACTGCTAATCTGCAATTTAGCAAAGTGTAGTACGTGCGACCCACGATAGCGTTCCGCTTTAACCCTGATTTCCCCATCCATCACCTTCCCCTGTCTCTAATCTCGTCGTCGGGCCCTATCTCTATCTTTTCTCCACTGCTTAGACATGCCCCATGGTTGGCATGTCGTTTTGATTTATTTGCTCTTATTCCTATTGCTGACTTCCTCCCGAGAGTAAGTCGGCGCTCCTCTCTACTTTAACGCACGAGGCAGCTCCATACAACACCCCTCCGTATGCCAGAAGTTTATGACAAGCGCAAGACGGGTGGTACTATACTTCAGTGGAAGGAAACATCATTCTACGTCTCAAGCTCCCACTATTTCTGTCCTCCGTGCCTGGCTTGGTAGACAATTGGTGGAAGAATACCGCGGACTCTGCCACACCTCACGCGCCACAATATCTGTGTAACCGTTGCGGGGGAACTTAGAACCGGGGAAACTCGATATGATCTACATCGGCAGAGCACTTTTATTTCCCAGAAACATGGGAGGGTATAAAATGTTTGGAGCCCAGGATTTGGACCGATGTTCAAGCTTTGCTTGGTATCATACTTGGCTTTGCCAATCAAGATGAGGGCTCAAGGTACGGAGAGGGCTCGTACCAATATAAGAACTGCTGGCTAACATCTTATAGCACGCGCAGTATTGGCAATTGCTGTGTTCTCAGCGGCGGCTCTCGCGTCTCCTACAGCGACTGCTGCAAACAGCTCTTGTACTGTGACGAGCTATACAGATGTCGCTGCGGCAACAGCATCCTGTACAGCTATCACTATTCAGGACATGACTGTTCCCAGTGGCTCGACCCTCGATCTCTCGAAGCTGCAGACAGGAACGACCGTCACGTTCGCGGGCAAAACAGTACGTTCGAACTCTATCCCCATGATCCATCCAGCCCCTCACGAAGCATAGACGTTCGAATACTACGACGGCAACATTGACCTGATTAAAGTCGGTGGCACCGACATCACCATAACTTCCAGCCCGGGCGCCATCATCGACGGCAACGGACAAGCCTGGTGGGACGGCATAGGTTCAAACGGCGGAATAGCAAAGTACGCTCCCCAACCCCCTTTCCCCTCAACACCCCTAACCCTCCCCAGACCCAACCACTTCATAACCGTCAGCAAAGCCCTCGGCGACTCCACCATCGCAAACCTCTACATCCAAAACTGGCCCGTGCACTGCTTCTCCATCTCCAACAGCGCGAACTTGCTCCTGACCAACATCACGCTCAACAACGCCGCCGGCAACGCGCCGAACAGCCGCTCCGCCGGCCGCGCAGCAGCCCACAACTCCGACGGCTTCGACATCTCGAGCTGCGCCAACCTCACGCTGCGCGACTCGCGCGTGCGCAACCAGGACGACTGCGTCGCCGTGACGTCCGGCGACAACATCACGGTGTCGAACATGCACTGCGACGGCAGCCACGGGCTCAGCATCGGCAGCGTGGGCGGCAAGTCTAATAATAACGTCACCAACATCCTCTTTGAGAACAGCGTAGTCTTGAACAGCCAGAATGGCGCGCGCATCAAGACGAATGCGAATACTACGGGCTACATCGCTGGGATCACGTATCGCAACATTTCGCTCGCCAATATCAGCATTTACGGCATCGATATCCAGCAAGACTACCTGAATGGCGGGCCGACGGGCGAGCCGACGAACGGCGTTATTATCAGGGACATCACGATGGAGAATATTCACGGGACGGTGGAGGCGGATGCGAAGGATTATTATATTCTGTGTGGGGAGGCGTCGTGCTCGGATTTCGTGTTTAACGATATTGCGATTTCGGGCGGGACGAACGATAGCTGTAATTTCCAGCCTGACGGGAACTTTATGTGCTAGGAATATAAAGGGTTGCAAGGGATGTGCAGGAGAAGTAACTAGTTTCTCTAAGAGCCATAGTCTTATTCTAAGATATCAAAGTGTAGAACCGTTTATCGCGGGAATAAGCCCGGAATCTCGCAAACAAGTCCAGTTCCTCATCTGTCTTCACCAGGGCCATCAGAGCCGCCGTTGTCGCGATTGCTACGCATCTCCCCAGAACGTTCCCCCTCAGCGGCCGCAGCATATGATTGGGCCTGGCGAATTCCCCTGGGTCTTTTGCCTGCCCTTCTCCATCCACTAGGATGTACTGGCATCCACGAAATACCTGATGCCATGGATCATCTGTAAGGACGAGTCTTTCTGCGCGCTTGTATTCCACTGCTTTTCTCAGACGCTCCAAGAATATTGATGATTCGATGAGGACTGAGCCGGAAGGAGAAGTGATCTGGTGACGGACGTACAGAGTCGGAGGTTTTTCTTCAATCACGAGCTGTACCGTGATTGGATTTATAGTTGTATCATGCTTGAGGTAGCTGATGTCATCGACAAGCTCCGTTCGTCGAGTAGGATATAGCGGCCGCGACTCGTCTTCCCAAATTTTATCATGCAGAGCGGGGTAGTTGCGCGCACGATATTCGATTGGACCAGATCCAACATGGATTTTTGATGCTGTTTGGATGTTGTCTGTGAGTTCTTCAAGGGGCTGAATGTAGCAGTAGAGTTTCCCGTCACTTTGCGCGATGTCTCCGTGAGAGTCCTTTTTCCAATCTTCCGCCGAAAAGACTGCAGCTAGTGGGGCAAACGTTTTAGCGCAGTCTCCTTCCGCGAATCGACTTAAACACGTGAAAAGAGCCAACGACGGAGGCGCGTCTATTCGAAATGCGGTTCGGCTTTCGAACATCCCTGCCGTGGCGTTGGCAATAGATACCGCCCCATCGTACAGATAGTGGAGGCCATATACTGTTGGCTTAAGAGGGGTATCCAAAACCGCGCAATCGAATAGGAAAGTCATGTATATAATGGTGTCTGCGAGCCGTAGAAGGCAGAATTGCCGCGAGTGTCCTTCATGGTTGTCGCACGGACAAAGATTCTGCAGATGCGCCACCAACAGCTCGTAGTCTCGAGTCAATCCTAGTATCTTTGGAAGGTGGTTCAAAGTCGTGCGGTGATCTAGCCAAGAGTCCTCAATCTTAGCAGCTGTTGAGAGGTCTCTGACCGCTAACAGAACCTCTTCCTTGCATTGCCGTAGCTCAGGGATGGTGTCGCATGCTCGCAGGAGATAGTGGCGAGCAGTTCCGTAGTGCATAGTCGTAACGCCTTTAGCCACAAACACTATCGCTGAGATGGCCAACATGCGAGTAAAGATCTGATTCCTGGTCATCGGCTGTTCGGCTATGAAGATGAACCTGAATTTCGCCATGGCTGGAGGCGGTGCTATTGAGGTCTCATCGTCCGTCCGTTGCATTAACGACGTGAAAGCGTCTCCAAATGTGTCGGATAGCATCGTTTCCCAATGCAGTCTGCCGGCACAGAACGTAACGTCTGAGTCCATGGAGTCTACGCGTCTTTGAGGGCCGAAGCATTGCCGAATGAACTCCCTTCCGCTTCGAACGATGTGACTGGATTCCACGCAAACCAGGGCTTTGTTGTCTCCATCTTCAAAGAAGTCGATATTAACTTGAGCGAATGATTCACTGGTATCATAGTTGGCGTATACTGGGATTCCATGCGTGTCTCGGACGAGCACTCGTAGACCGAGGACAAAATCGGCCCATGCAGCGATCCAGCTGCTGCTATAGCCCCCATGAATAGAAACGCTCCGCAGGCTTCCGTGGACAATTTGACCGATTGATAGCAATGCTTTAGCGAGGTCAGAAGGGTGGGAAACCTCGGGCCGCGAAGCCAGTCCATTGACGGGCATGCCCAATCTGGAAATCTGATGGATGCGTATCCCAAAAGTTGTTGCGTTGAAGACCGGTGATGCGACGCGGACCAAAGCCTCCCACTGTTCGAGTGAAGGTGCAAGTTCCTGTGACCCTCCGCACTCTCTCGCAATCTCGTAAAGCACGAGCGCGGAGACCGATATCGAGTGACTCTCGGTGAGGGCTGCGCAGAGTGCAACAAGTGAGCATCCTTGCGACGTCTGCACTAGTTCACGAAGGATATGTCGAACGCCAACACCGAACCATATCAGATCTCCAGCGACAGATTTCGCAGTGAGTGTTTTCATGGATTCAGCGAGAATCTTTTCGCCGTGCGCACCGATAGGTAGCCTGACGCACATAGCCTGCCCGAAGGCGACAGTCAGAGTGTCAATGCCCGCTTTCGCCAGGCGACTCAGTACCGCGATAGAGGCGGAATATTGCATTTTCCCGAGTGCGACCCAATCCAGGCTTCCTTGTTGGGAGAAGGCTGAGGAGCCTTGGCTGGAAGGCACCAACGCGTTCGACGTTGATGGATTCGACATCTTGGTGGGCGCTTGTGTTCCATTCGATAGGGCTGGAAGAATGGCGAGTGAGTGATCTTGTGCCGCTCGACTATGAAGGTTGTATGAGATGGGGAAGAGTCCGTTGATAAGAATGTGTTGTAGATTCAGCCTGATCGACTCCGCCACTTTCAGCGTCGCCTCTAGTGCTGCGGTGCAAGCGCCCGCAGGTATAGCACCAATCACAGAGTCGCGCACAACTAACCTCGAACTCAGCCTAGCCAAAACCGTAAACATCACGGGGCCCTTGCCTTTTCCAGCATCTATATATCTCGCACGACTCCTTCTGTTTCGTAGGCGTAGCTTGAGCAGATACCGTAGCCGGTGCGTGGTCTCTCCTTCAGTTCCATTGTCATTGGCCTCAGGGATCGAAACTGGAACGGGTGCCAATGGAACCCAAGAGGGGACCATAGCAGACCGATCGAGCGAGAAACCCTTCAATCCCAGTCCCTCCTTAGTCAGTCTCGCCAATATCCTCAAAACAGGCAAATATCCGCCCAATATGGTCTGAGTCGCCGTACATATTCTGCGAATAGCCTCACATCTCCAAGCCGAACACATCGTACGGGAGTGTATTCGAATGGACGAAGCGAAAGGGATTCGACTATTTCGCAAGTAAATTATTTCCAAGTGACTTTCCTGGTGTCGTCTTAGGTCATGGTCATGTCTTGGAGAGTAGTTCTGCAGCAAGCGCAGCGCACACCGCCAACCATCATACGAATAGCAGGGCCCTTCTGTGTCTTTCCGCTCTACACCGCTGTGTTGGGAGAGCGTCTGATGCTGTCAGCGTAGCCGTGGCGATCGAGCCGTCGTGTTGGCCCAATTTCCCGTCGATTTAATTTCAGGCCAATACATCCGAGTCAAGAACGAGCTTCGAGCGCGCACCAAGGGCTGGAAGTTGGCGGATGATATGATTTCGGTGTTGCGGAGTGTTCGGAAATAGAAGAATGACGTCCTGGCGAGTATCAGAGTTCACATTGTCGATTGCGCACAGATGCCTCGGCGGGTCATATATTTCAAGTCCTATGATACGCCGGAGAAGGGACTTCCAGCGTATCCCTCCGGGCCTGAGGTCGGCCTCTGGTGGATTCTGGAAACGGCGACGAATCCAGAGGAGGGCTGGATCCGCCCTCGATCCCGGAATGGGAGGATATACTGGCGGCAGAACTACCCGCTCTCGAATGCTCTTCGCGGAGTACTGCTTCCCTTCGCTGGCTGTACTGCCTCCTGATTTCAGACAGTTCCGGGTTTCTCCTTTCCTCGCCAGGGATCTCAGGAAACTCGCGCGCCCGACTATGGTTGTATGCGGACGTGTCGTACCTGTCGTCTGCAGCGCTTCCGAGATAGTCGCCTGCCGCCCTCAATATTTCAGCTACTCTGCGTCTACCACCCGGATCCGCCGGAGTGGATGGCCTGGCCTGCTCTGTCATGGATTGACTTGCAGTATGGCGCGATTCGTTCGATAAGCGCGGATTCGTATCGGAAGTATTGCCATGGAAGCTCCTATGACTTGGCGAATATTCTCTGGGCGAATAGTCCCCATCCGACTGAATGGTTAGGGTCGGATGCCGCTGGATGTGATGCGAGCAATTGCAGTGACTGACGAAACCATTCGTGGCTACGGCTGCATTTTCCACATCCACACCCTTTGTCAAGAGGACGTATAAAGAGCCTATGGCAGCAAGCGAAGTACCTGCGATGGGGGCCCATTGACCTAGAGACGCAATGAATTGTCAGTGGCGGTGGGGGGAGGGTGAAGGTTTGCTTGGCAGAGGACGTACCGATGCTGGCAATTTCTTCTGTCTGGTACATGACTTGAGCACTGAAAAAGTTGATCTCGCCGATGCAGAGAATTGCGAGGACAGCACCACCGAAAAGTGGGATCTCGATAACGCCCAGCAGAAACCTGACCATGCTGTTGACATCTTTCATTTTTTGGACGGTAGCACCGTTTGTGCCTTCGATGAGCTCGTCCATTCTTTGATCTTCAGCGGCATCCCTGTGCCGCATCTTCCAGTTGATTTCAAGAATTTTGTCCCATGTGAACATGAGCGACAGGATAGCGGGAATGCAACAGGCGGCGGCAAGCAACATGCCGGTGTTGAAAGTGAGTTTGCTTGGTATGGGTATCACACCGATGTCATTCGAAGGGCCTTGCCTCATTGGAGACTGTGGGCCCTGGTCTGGAGAGCAAACCATGCCGCATGTGGCCTTTCCATAAGGAAATTGCTTTGGATTGCGTGCGATCGGCTGTCCGGCGTCGTCATAGCCGCAGTCGGTTGGCGTGGCCCGATAGAACTCGACGGTCAAGCCAAGCAGCCCGGCCAGGATAAGAAGAGTCCACAAGAAGATGATGTTGCGGCCTGGGTCGTAGAAATAGGTTCGAGAGAGCCTAACGGTTAAAGGAGCAGCCAAGATACCGATAGAGCAAAGCTGGAAGGCGCCGTAAATGTCCATATCAACAGCTCCTGTGTTCCGGCGCTGTTAGATGTGGCGGGCATTGATAGGGCTCAAAGCAAGGAAACTGACCATTGACGTGAATGGATGCGAGCACGATGCCGTGAATTGCAGCAACGGCCGGGAACACCAACGCCGCCGCTAAGCAGGCGTTCCTCAGCCATTCTCTCTTTCGTGCGAAGACGCAAGCGGCTACAAGGACGTAGTATCTGTGGAGTGTTAGCTGAGTGTTCGCGCATGGCTCAGGAAAAGAAAAGGGTGAATTGTACATACAGCAGCCTAGAGCCTAATCCGTACTGTCCAGAGAGCGGCCAGGCACACACCACTTGCAGAGCGTCGCCGGCGGCGGCTTGAGATCGAATGGCAAGGTCGTCTAGCACAGGAAGCGCAGATAGAGCCGGCATGAATATCTAAAGAAGATGGAGCGGGGAGGTGGACATGAGGATGCTGGGGCAGGCAGGCATCTTCTGTAGTTCGCCGGAGAGTTTGAGCCGCATGGAGAGAGCGCGCAATGACGGAGTGAGGCAAGTATGAAGCAAACAGGGCGTGCGCCAGGTGATCGCGCACAGGGCTGTGCTGACTGTGAATCGCATCGCACAACGGCTCTCCGGGCGGGATGTGGTGATCGTGGAGGAGCGGGCTGGGGCTGAGTCGATCCCGCCTTCCCGTTCAGGCGGGCGCTAAACTCGAATCAGCTGACCGGTTCCTTGGCCGCTTACACGGTGCGGCGTGCCTCATCACGCACTGCGATCGCCATCGCGACACCGCCATCCCACCAACCTCGCAAGATCCTGTACAAGAGCCTCACATGCCGCGCGCCGGTGTCCTGAGGTCCGATCGCAGTCTTGAATCCTCTGGCTCACCCCCACCGCATCGAAATGGCCGAGAGCGACCAGATCAGCACAGACACCAGCCAAATCAGAAACTGGCGCTCGATCGTGACCCTCATCGTCTTCGTTTTGACCAATGTCAATGTCCTGTTCCCTTTCCACATCCCCATCTACGTCCCTCGGAGGCTCGCTGATGGGTTTCTGGATGCGCTCGCCGCGCTGCGAGTTCTTCCCAAGAGGTCTCGCCGGTCTCATGATGGCGACGGCACAGGTGGTTTCTTCCTGCGGATGAGGTTCCCCATGAACTTTGTCACGGCTCCTCTGGTAGCGGACCTCTTCCTGCTTGCTATACTGGCTATCGGGAAAAAAGAAGTGCACGACGGGACTGTCGGGGTGAACAGCATCTCTCCCATCGACATCATGGTCTTCTTCCTCTCGCTAGCGTATATCGCCATCTCCATCGACGCTTCTGGCCTGATCAGATATCTGGCCTTCAAGGTCCTCCAATGGGGAGGCAACGTTGGACACAGGCTCTTCTTCTACCTCTACGCCTTCTTCTTCGCCCTGACCACCTTCATTGGGAACGACCCCGTCATCCTCTCCGGCACCGCTTTTCTCGCTTACATGACGCGCGTGTCGAGCAACATCGTGCACCCTCGAGCCTGGATATACTCCCAGTTTGCCGTTGCCAACATCGGCTCTGCTATTTTGGTCTCTTCCAACCCAACCAACCTCGTACTTGCAACTGCTTTCGACATCAAGTTCCTCAAATATACGGCCAATATCATCGTGCCCGTAGTCGCTACGGCTGTCGTCTTGTTTCCATTTCTCCTTTACATCGTCTTCGCCGACCCGGATCTCATCCCATTCTCTATCAAAATGCACGAGCTCCCAGAGGAAGCGAGGAACAAGAAGCCCGTGAACCCAAATATCCCTAATGCCCGACCAAATCTGGAGAAACAAGAGGACGAGCACGTGAATGATGAGGCAGGGCAACTCCTGTCCCTTGAAGAGATTATGAATCCCTTTCTGGATAAAGGCGGCGCCGCCTTCGGAGGCATCGTCATGGCTGTTACCCTGATCACGCTTTTGGCTCTCAACGCTGCTTCCCAAAAGAGCGGCGAGCACCCTGTCTTCTGGGTGACTTTGCCCGGCGCGTTTGTCACATTTTGCTGGGACATCGGCTTTGGATGGTGGCATCGCGCTGAGACGCGCGACATCGCTCGCAGAGGTCGGGAGAGCTTGCAGCTCGTTGAAGCAGAAAAAGAAGAGCAGGAGATGAACGACATAAAGCCCTTAGATACGGATCAGTCCGAACCTGATATTTTCCAAATCTCCGACCGTGGCTTGACTGAGAGCCCTTCACCCAGGTCTCCTTCTCGCGAGCGAGGCCAGCAGTGTAGCGCCGTCGCAGCCAAAGACGACCAAAAGACGGCTATTGTCGACGAAAAACAAACGGCGCACATACAGCAGCGAACAACGCTCGTATCACTTATCGCAAACGCATGGCGATGGTCGCAGGAGACCTTCCCCACTGCCACGACGGTGCTTGCGCATCTACCGTTACCACTTGTGCCGTTTGCACTCTGCATGTTTGTCCTGGTACAAGCTCTGGTCACCAAAGGCTGGATCCCGGTTTTTGCTTTCGGGTGGGATCATTGGGTGACCAAGACCGGCACTGTCGGAGCGATAGGAGGCATGGCATTTCTCTCCGTCATCTTGTGTAACGTAAGTCCCTCTCAGAAGGTCAAGTACAAGAGCATGTGTGCTAACTAATCAGTTCGCTGGCACCAACATTGGCACCACAATCCTGCTTTCCCGCGTCATCCAAACATGGCAGCAGATCCACCGCGAAAATGGAGTCCCAATCTCCAATCGCACCTTCTGGGCAACGGTTTATAGCATGGCACTCGGGGTTAACTACGGCGCATTCAGCGTGGCTTTCAGCGCCTCCCTAGCCGGTCTCCTATGGCGCGACATCCTCGGCAGGAAACACATCAAGATGCACAGCCTCGACTTTGCGCGTGTCAATCTCCCAATCATCGCCATCTCCATGACGATCGGCTGTGTCGTCCTTGTTGGCCAGATCTATATCATTAGAGACGACCACCCTTATGATGCGCCACGATGATATTCATATTTTTGGCTCGTTTCGCCTTTAATGAAGGTATCGAAAGTTTCGTATCGAATTTATTATTCGATCGGGCATATCTGCTGCATGGTATTGTAGATTTTGTGACGCGACCGCCAGCGTCCTCGGAGTCGTGCGCCACTCCGAATGCATAGGGACTCGACCCCCACCTAGGTCCCTTCATAAAAGCCCTTCCCGGAGATTGAAGGGTTTCCGCTGCTCAGGTCTCCGGATTCGCGGAGTTGATAACCGGCTAGAGGCATCGAAACCTAATCCCCTGGGGCTGGTCGACTGTAGTCCGTACAGTAACCAGCGGTGGCTTGGCCTATGATGTCTAGGCCATGGTGGACCTACTTGTAGATTCACTGCAGTAGTCTCTTGTATATATTCTTCCTTTAGCTTCATAGGCATTTCTATAGGTTCTTTTCAAAGGCTATAGAACCCGTTCGAAGAGTCCTTCGGGGCCTTTCAAATGATCCATACATAGGTATATCTTCACGTGGCAAGCGGAGTGACCTGGAATCAGTCAGGTAATGCCCGCAATGACCTCGTCATCCTGCTCTGTGATGCCGTCAAATTGGTATATCCAAGTCACGCCCGCGAAGACAAGTGGGAAGTACAAAGCGCTCAAGACACTTTCTCGCCACCATCCACCCATCCACACAGCTTCTCAACCCCCCTCCACCGCGCCACCCCAGTCCCCCCCGCCCCGGCTACGCCATCCTCCGCAAGCGCTACGACTCCAACGACCCCACGGAGCTTACCCACGTCAGCGCCATCCAGATCTACCATTCGCTGCAGGCAGTGCAGGAGGGGCTGGCGAGCTTTGTCAGCGAGAACTGGCAGGAGAGTACGCAGTATTGTGTGGGAGGTCTGGAGGACTTGCATGGGTATGAGATGAGTAGGGATGGGGTGGTTTATGAGGGGGAGGTCGAGATTGAGAGGGCGCTGGTTGTGGATTGGTGGGAGGGGGTGTGGGTTTAGCGGGGGAGGTAAGAATGGATTAGGGGCAGGTGGTGGGAGGGAGGAGTGGGGATACGTTTTGGAGGGGACATATGAGTTACGTTGCATGAATTATTTTCGTTTCCCTCTATAGGTAAGCAAATAGATCCACTAAATTTCAACGCCTGATATCCTGGAAATGATCAGGTTTGCCCGCACTCTAACGAAACGAATGAGGCTTTCACCAAACACCAAAGTCACGAGCCCGAAACCAAAGCCCACAGCACTATACAATCCCACGCCCTTCAGCCCTTTCCCACCACCAAGCTCACTTCCGCATACAAGCCCGACGAAATACGCGTCCGCCATGTCCGCCACCAACCCTTCGCCCATCCCCGGCCCCTACGCTCCCGACGGCTACGTTCTCATCCTTACAGTCTTCTCTCCGTCTTCAAACCCCACTTCCCAAGCACCAACACACACGCCCACATCCACATCTACATTCTCAGTCATCGGCATCTACCACTCTATGGTCGAAGCGCTCAGGGGACTCGACAAATACTCTTCACAGTACCCCACTCGCAGGCCGACTAACGTGAACGAGATAGCGAATGGGTATATGCTTGAGGATGCGGAGGGGAAGTGCATGGGGAAGGTGGAGATTAAGGCGGCGGGGATTATGGATCGGTGTATGGGGGCTTTTGTTTGAGTGAGGGGGGTGGGTACATGGAAGCGTGGTTAGGAATTGGGTTGCATCTTAGATGAGGTATTTGGTGTGCAGAGCTAGAAAACAGTGTACAGGAGCGACTGAAAGAAATGGATGAGGGCGTGAGGCTAGGATGGGGTGCAGTAATCCAAGTGCGTGCCTAATCTCTATCTGGCTAACTTTACCAGCACCACTCGATGGGTCTGTTCGGTTTCAGAACCGATGCCGCCTTCAACGGTCTGGTAGTGAAGGACCCAGGCAGTTCTTTCTAATGAACAGAGTCCAAAACCTTCTGATACTCATCCATACCTTCCCATCTTGACTCAGTCCCTACACTCTCATTCCGTAGATACATAGACCGAAACTTCCCAATGCGTTCGTCCTTCTCTTCAAATACGAGGTCTTCCGGGTCGTGAATCTCAATTTTCTGGTCCACATTCACGCCGTTGTCTCTAGCAATGATATTGACTAGCCCGGGGATGGCCATTGTATGTTTCATGCGCTGTTGGACGGTGGCGCTGTCGGGGGAGCAAAAGATGAAGTAAAGGAGGTTGTGGTCGGGGTGGCAGTAGAAAGTAAAGCTCGGGCAGTCCGCCGGTAGCTTCTGTGCAACTTCCGATGGCGTGACGTTTTGAGCTTGAAGATTAAGCTGGAGGACTTCCGTGGAGACGTCAACGGACTATGCCGAATGTTAGATGGGCTTCTGTGCGCAGCCTAGTAAGACGTACGAGCTGAACGCAGTTTCCGCCATCGTTCAATTTGACTAGTGCTTCGAGTGCATCGTCTTCGATCTTGTTCTTCATGCGCCGATCACAGAGGCGACAAGTGTTCTTCTTGTATCCCATGTCTTTGACAGCTTGTCCCTCTACTGCAACCTTCTCGCAGGTCTCGCAATCTGAGGACTCCTTGTTTTGATTACTATCCCAAGAGCGGCCGCTGTCGTCCCGCTCGTCCCAGGAGCGAGCATCCGTGATTTCTCCCATCTCTTTGCAAATGATGGACGAAGCAAAATGCTCGCTGCCCAGCTTTTGAACCAGCTTCAGCCTGTTCTCAAGAAACAATGCCCTCTGCTCAGCCTTTGCGAGGTATGGCACGTATGTTACGGCGACCAAGGAGTCGGTCCGGCGAAGGAGGAGGTATAGCGCGGATTTCGGGCTGAGGACATCGTCGAGCTGGTTCAAGGCAGCTTGGAACGTCGCCTTCAAAACTTTCGGGTAGGAAATTGGTGACAGTGATTGGAGTTCTGTATCCGAGAATGTGATGGGTAGGGCAAATAGCGACGCATCAGGCTGAAAAGCCACGAAAGCGTCGTGGACTGCTTGGGGAATTTCTGCCGCACGTTTGTCAGATCTTGCCATCCTAGAGCGGAGGAGGCCAACTCACCCATTGTAGTCTTAGATATTTTCGCTGGATCCTAATTCCAGTGGCCGATGCGTGGAGTGCGTCTTCCTAAGTGTAAACTGAAGCCTAATGCGGACCTTTACGGGGGAAGGGTAGTCCTCATATAGGACGCGTTGTGCGGCACAAACACGCGTAATTCAAGGCGAAGCATCATCCTGAGGCGCCATAAATCGAAGCAGGTCCCATTGCCAGGCCCATTCGCGACATTGTTCGGGCGGGTTTCAGTGCGGAATTCCGCGGTGCTGCGGACTTGCGTGAATGGCGGTCATTGAAGCGTACGCAGTGCTTTGCGCGTCGAGACCTTGGAAACGTATGCCATTGGCAATCTTAGAATAATGGGACTGAATCATAGAGGAGAGGATGTGTATTTGTCTGGAGGTGTGCTTGACCGATGGACAGATGTCGTTGAGGGTTGAGGTGGAGCCTCGGCTCGGAGAAATCAGTCCCGAGATGCCGACCTTCATCAACGGCTGCTCCTGTGTCGCCCACCATGAGAGTCACTAGAGGACGTCTTTTCGGTCTCACGGCCTACAAATCGGTACGAGACTGCCATTTGCTCTACACCTTAGTACGCACCACTTCAAGGTTGCCCACGTCGGACGACTCATGCATCGGACCCAGCTTTTGGACGTTTCAATAGAGTCCCCTTGTGGAAGGGATACCGGCCGCAATGCTGCGGCGCAGTAACCGAATATCTTCTCCAGGGCATCGAACTGTTGCAGCAAGCGACATAAGTTGTGATATCTCACTTCTCGTGGAGATTTTCTCCTTTTCAGAGGATGCCGCTGTCCGATCCCTGGCTATGGCCGACAAGACCCCTCAGCTGGGGTCGATTGCGTAAGTTCATACAAGATATAGTAAAAGGTGGGAGTGCCATAAGGCCGTTATACAGCCAGGAACAACACACCAGGGACGGAGGTTGTCAAGATGCCCGCTAATCTTCGATATCTACCTCTTTATTGCCATCGTCCGTTAAAGTCTTATAGCCTAACGCTCCGGCTCCAGTATAAATAAGTTAGGCGGAACGGAGCTACTTCTCGAACTTCCGAGGCGTTGTGCTGCCGGTCGGCATCCTGTCTCTGCGCCAAGCTGAAAGACCACGCGCCTATCCAGATGTGGACTCATATGAGTGTTTTAGGTCCCGCGGTGAATTATTTACTCTTCAGCGGACGGGTCGAGGGGTAAGTCCCAATCGCAAGAATCGCGCCTTTATCTACGGGCTAGGTAATGTATCATTGGTTCGTTAAGTAGAATCTTGGGAAATACACACCCTCTTCAGGAAAGCTTAAAGTGGTAGGTACGTCCTCTCCATTCTCGCCGCGTTTTCAACTTTCAATTTCACTGACATATCATCTCCGAGTGAGCACGAGGCTGGATCTCTGGAAGATTCCATAATGTCCACTCGCGCTCGCCCGTGAGCGCTCCTGCTTCGAGGACAGCCTCTCTCTCTCACCTCACCTGAATCTAGATGGGAGTATAAGAACTCGATCTCGGAGCCAATCATTCTCTCACCTTTCCTTTGAACAGCCCACGTCCCGCCTTTACCAGGGAGGGAAAGCCAGCGGTATCTCCTAGTATATAAGCTAGCCCTCCCTCGCTCCGTTCCAACCATCTCTTCTCCACTCCCGCACTCTTTACCATCGTTATACTTCCTCACTCATCGGCCGCACCAGACTTAAGCGCAAGCTACTTCAGCTTTATAGTTTAAGCAATCATCAGAGAAGCCCCAAAGCCGCTGTGCGAGGCGTCACCGTTCCTGTAAGTGGTGACCGTCTAAGCCTTCATTAGACGCAAGCACCACTTTCCATTTTCGCATGGCAGCATCAAAACAACCAACAACAGCAGCTTGCTCGGTCTGCTCATACGTGCGCTTGAAGGCCTTCAGTCACTGACTCGCGTCTAGACATTATGGCGGCATTGGACGAGCCACTTCCCTTCGAGGAGTTCCCTAACTACCTGAAGACTCATAAGCTCGTCGACAAGTACGACTCATCAGAGGAGCCAAAGTCGCCTCATCCGTGGTGGGAGCTAGATAAGAGAGGGATCGATGCGGAACTAAAAGAATTCGCTCAATTGGTCATCGACGCCCTAAAGGGTCTGCCAGATAATGACAAAGAGCTTCAGCATCTCCTTCGAGCAGCCAGTGCCCTCTCCCAGGTTGAACGCAGCCCAGCCATCAAAGTCGCGCTCATCGGTGCTCAAGGTGCAGGGAAGAGCTTGCTCACCAACGCTCTATTTGATTGTGATGGCCTTTCGATCACGGGCGCTGATGGACAGGCATGCACCAGCGCCATCACGCGTTATGCCCACTATCCCGGTGAGAACGATCAGGACGGGGAGAGGTACTTCTTCGCAGAAGTGAGGTTCTTCAACGCTGAAAAAATGGAGACAATGATAAACGAGCATGCGCGCTCTTATTATTACTATCAGAACGACGACGACTCGGACGACGAAGATGAACCCCGAGTCAAATCCCGGCGACAAGACGAGCAAGATAGGCGCGCCAAGGACACCGCAGAAGACGTATTCAATACACTTTTCGGTTCTCGGGAGAAGTTCTTGGAGTGTTGGAGTCCCAGCGCATACAAAAGTGGCGAGTTTTCCGGGATTTGTCAACATAAGTGCGACGAAGCGATTGCGAAGCTCAATTTGAACTCCCAGCGCGTTGCGACCTATATGGGTAACGATCAGGGAAAATTGCTCGAGAGGATCAAGCCGTTCTTGACCAAAGTCAAGGGAGAAGTTTGCCTATGGCCTTTGGTCGACAGCGTCACCGTCAGATTTAGGCATGACCTTCTCCAGCAGGGCATCGAGCTCATCGACCTACCTGGTACGTCCCTTTGATTGGCCCTTTTTGAGGCAAATTTAACCACATTCTAGGCTGGGGCGACATTAACCTCTCACGGGTTCGGCATGCGGAGGACATTAAAGACAGTGTGGACGTAGAGATCCTCGTGGCCGACACTATTCGCATAGCATCGGATGACGCAGTCATTAATAATGCCCGCGCGGCCATCACACTCCGTGGTGCTGCGAATGTAAGGTTGGTGGCCACCAAGATCGACGTAAGTTTAGTAGCTCAAAGCGCAATATTACGGCCTGCTAACAATCCAGTCTCTCACCCCCAATCAACTCAGTCAGTGCAGCGGCCCGCCATATGATAGGATCAAGGAAATGATTCAAGAGGCAGAAGAGGAAGAGAATAGAGCAGAAGAAGAAGACGACATCATCGGGCGCGACACCATCACTAAGTACAAGTCTTACCTGCAGCGATGTCTGAAACAAAGGAAGATTACCGACCGCGCCAACGACATCACGCTGGAGATTTCCACTAAATTTCAGGGACGATCAGCAAATGATCTCCCAGATATATTCCATGCCTCTGCGTCCGATTATATGGATTCAATCAAGAAAACAAAAATCAAGTTCGCTGACCAACCGGCTCTATCGCCGTCGATGACGGGCATTCCCGCTATCAGGCAGTTTCTGTTCTCTCTTCCGGCACAGAAAAATCTCGACGACTACTCGACCCATGTCAACGTCCTGGTACCCGCCTTCATCGAGAAGGCCAAGCGAGCAACGACGGAATCCGACCGGGATGCCGGTTTTCGTACGCTAGCCGATGAGTTTGATTGCATGCGGCATGCTTTTTTCAAGGATTTTCTATCGCAGACACAGTGCGCATTCCGAAATATCTCCAAGAACTGCCTCGACAAAATGCGAGCCGACGCCAATACGTACAAAGAGTTAGTCAACAAGAAGCTTACCAAGCACTGGTTCGCTCTCAAGGGTCCTACTTTCAACAAGATCTTGAAATGCAGAGGTACCGTTCCCCAAGGCGCATCAAAGGCCAAAGGCCTAGAAAATGGGTGCAACTGGAACAAGGAGCTTTCGGACCTCTTGGCCCCAGGATTCCAGCGCTCGTACATTAAGCACGTCGAGTGCATGCATGACATGAAGCGCGCTCTGAGTGAAGCCCTGGACCATACCCACTGCCGGGCGATACGGATGATGGACGACTCATCCGCGAACCTCGTTGTCGTTGAGAAGGCGAAGAAAAAGTGGATGGACGTGCGCCCAAAGATGCAAGCCAAGCTGAAGGTTCTCATGGACCGGATTGATAGAATCGAGAAGCGCACCCTTCTATGGGCGATGATGGAAGGAGATCGCGACAACAACCTCGTCTCCTGTATTACCGATGGTCACTACGACGCAGTCTTTGGCGCGGCTCCAGCACTCAAGCCGAATCCGAATGGCAAGAAGAACCCGGGGTATGTCAGTCCCAAAATCAAGTTCCAGCGGGACATTATGGCGAAACTTTTCCTCCTGGATAAAGACCACTTCGTGGACCATATCATCACCCACTTTCAATCTGAGTTCGACCGGATTATGAACAGCGTCCTTGCAGAGCATTTCGACGATGTATCCAAGCTCCTGGAAACATTCAGTGCCACCTTGCGCGGCCAAGCTCCGGTCGACTACATGATTACTCAGGTTGGGGAGGATATTCGATCCGAGCTTCTTCGGCTCATTCCGACACTCGAAGACAAAAGCGCCGCGATGAGAGAAAAGATGCCGAAGCGCATCAAAATGGAGGGTGGCGCAGCGGCGCCTATTCCTGAGGACGATATTGCTATTAGTGATAATATCAATGTCGTCGATCTCTACGAGAAAGAAAGCAAGCGGAAGCGGACCGGTGAGGGAAGCACCACCAGAGTCGTTCGCATCAAAAAAGCGAGCGAGACTGCTGTCAAACGGCCCGGCTACCGCTGAAGGTACGAGATTTCGGTCGAAATACTTGAGATCCAATAGCTTCCCCCTCATCCTTAACACTCCCTCCTAGCATGCTGATCATTCCTTCGCGTCCACTCCGCCATTTACAATCTACATAGAGCCCCCACCTAACACGGCGCGATATTTCCTTTGTTCTTGCGCACTCCCTCTCCTCGGTCATTTTCTGGTTTCTGGGGCGGCAATTATGTACGGGTAAGCAACTTGATCCTGCGGAGTGGCGGCGGAACGGAAAAAGCTTGATTTCAATTTCGGTTGGCATATCTCAGAATTTACCCCTTTCGTTCTAGATCTCCGTCCTTCAGTAGTTTATTGCTAGTTCCAGTTTTCGTCAACTCATTAGGCCCTGAAGCACTTCTACCCTCCGGCTCCATAGGCCAGATCTTTGCCATCTAGGCTCACTTGCTCATCAGCACCCGGTACGAACACGTGATGCGACCTCGAAACACGAAGCTGAAGAACGACGATAAGGCACATGTCAGAGGGCGAAGTGGCAACTAAGGAATGCCGCGTGCGTTTTGAGAAAGTAAAAGAAAGTAAAAGAGTGACGCGATGCTGGGGCTTGAATCCTTCGACCGGGAGATGGGGAAAGATGACGGGAGAAGGAGAGTAAAGTTTTCGTTATACTGCGTGAGGCTTGACGCTCCTTTCGGACCCGCATCGAGAACTTCCCAAGATCCTCACGCAAGCCCCTCACTTCGCGATCTATCGTTTCATATAGGCCGCAGTGGCGGTGTCGGAGACGAAAAGTCGAGTTGATGTTGCCGTGCAGCCAGGGGTGGCATAGAAATGGCGGAGAAGCGTTGTCCCACCACTTCAAGCCAGTCAAACGATTCGAAATCTACAGCGTTCCAAATTCTACGCTAAATCTTGCCAGATACTTACATTTCGGATGCTCGTACGTACCACAGCTTATATTGCCTCTTCAGGTAATACTATGGAACTTACCGATCGGTGTAGGTTAATCTATGCATGTCAGAGCGTCTTAATAAGCCAAGCCCCCCTAGGGTGACATTACTCCATTGGTCAGCCCACATACACTCACGAAAACTTTTCACTCGGACTAACAGAAACTCAAAAAGGGGAGAATACGAATCCTTCCTGATTTTCGCTCCGCTCGGCTTTTATACAATTATCCATTTTAGGAAGCGACGCCGGAAGAAGCGGTCGCTTTGGCTCCATGTGGGGAAGGCCTGGACTGACTCCCCTCTCGACGTCAAATTGAAGGATGCGTGAAAGTGCCGAGAGCTGGAGGAGGATTCCGTATAGCGGACGGTGTTGTATAGGGGAGATTGTGAACGAGGCAATCGATACTGGGCTTTGAAGTACGGCGCGCTAAATCTAGAGAGGGAGCGCTGAGAAGTGTGACCTTTCGGCAATGAGAACTCACTTGAGCCTCACGAGCGTGTATATAAAGAGAAGGGTTTTCAGTCATCGTTTCTCTTCTGTCCTTCAGGCTCGAGAAGCAGTCTTCGTCTTTCGATTGCAACACCTGATCACCGAAGTGTTTCCTAAGACTAAGCGCCATGATGAAGCTCCTTCTTTCCGCTGCACTCGTGGCTCTGGCCTCTGCTACTCCTGCCAAGCGAGCTCAAGCCAACATTCCCGTCGACGTCCCGCTCCCTGCCTCTTTCCCTGCCGTCGTGGATGGCGCGACTCCCTTCGTCAGCGGTGCGGCTAGCAAGGTGAAGAGAGCGACTCTAATCGTCGACGTCTGGATGGACTCCGACCGTGCAGGCCGGCATGAGGGGCTGTACACTGACAGTAAGTTCTCGGTGTAGACGTTCTTCGCAGACGCTAACATCCGGACAGCGAACAGATGCTGTAAGTCATCCCATTCATCTATCCTGCATTGGCTGCTGGCTCTGCCCGATTCTTTTACTGAGACAAGCTAGACAATCTCGGCAACGGATGGAACGATGAAATCTCGTCGCTCTCTGTCCCTAGTGGCTACGGCTGTATCTTCTATCGCAACAATGATTGCGGCAGCAATGACAATAGTAAGTGCTTAGCATCCTTTCGTTCTTCTCGATATAGCAACAGTATTGACAGAGACAGGACTCACCGTCCCCGGCGGTAATTACATTGCCAATCTGCAATCGTATGACTTCAACGACAAGATTTCGAGCTACCTCTGCTACAACTAGGAGGAGAGCCATTCGATGAAAACTTCGAAGCGGAAGCCTGTGCTCGGGCGCGGGCACTGTCGAAGACTGCATTTAGGGCGTCCCTCGTCCCTCGTTCAGGTCCGCTTTGAGGCTATTTCGAGAACGGCGAACACACCAAAAGGGGAGTATTTAGCACAATCAAAGGATGGTGATCGCATGGTCTATTCGTCTTGATTCCATTTCTTCACAATTGCCAGCCCCTATCGTCTGACAGCTGCCTATGCGCCGTGGCCTTCTCCCCAGACGCAAACCGACAGTGAGAAGAACCGTGGAAATAGCCACATCCTACAGCGTGACCGTACGTCGCGGTACACATAACAGCAGCATGTTTCACTTTTCCCCCCTGAAAAACCAAGCCCGACAACCTTCACCGTGCAATGCGTACGACCACATTTAGCGAACTCTACAAATCGCATGCGCAATAACTACAAGTCTTCCACAGAAAGTCTTCAGCCCTTCAGGCAGCCTTACCCCTCGCCACATGTGCCCCAAAACACCGTGCCTCGAAGACGGTGTTGTCTCATACCAATATCGCCCTGCCACGGTCCTGAATTTATCGACCGTCTTTCGCAGCCAGTACTAAACCAGGAGCACGGCGCAAGAGATATTGCGTTCATGCAAAGTGGTTCAAAAGAGCATCTCAGCTCACGAGCTGAAAGGCCTCCCTCCCTGCAAGTCTAGATCTCCTCGACCACATAGGACCCGCGATCTGAGGCCTTCAATCTCCCCAACCATACACTTCATGCAAAGAGGCTTGAAAGGGGATATCGACCGCTCATTCGAGACTGCGTCCGTCCCTTGGAATAAATAGCGCGGCGAGAATGCTCCAGTGACGAACGCGAGGACGCCGACCAACCAACCAACCCCCCGCTGCAGCACGCTTTAAGGCTACCGAAAACAGCAATTTATATGGGAGGCCCCTGTTACGCAGGATATTCAGGAACGAGAGGTAGACTCGGTTGCTGGGAAGTATGTTCGGTGTTGTGATTTGCTGGGGAGTGAGATGGGTGGGTCGCCTGGTGGGGGGCCTGGTATGGGGTGTAGATGCAGGTACGAGTCGGGCCTCCCATGAGCTTAATCGGGAGTGTCTCACTCTCGCTCTCGGTGGTAGTTGCAGTTGTATGGAGCAGTAGTGGTGTGAGCACGTTGAAGGGGTGGAGAGGCTGCGCGATGAACAACACTTGGAAGCTGGGGAGGAAAAGGTATATAAACCATTCGCATCTCCCACCATATCCCATCCACCACCAGCACAGCACGGCAACCTTCTCCACTCCTCCATCTATCCACTCCACCAACATCCACACTCCAACCACACACTTCAAACCCCCAAATCCTCACAAAATGAAGTTCCTCGCCCCCTTCTCCCTCCTCGCCCTCGTGGCCCTCAGCTCCGCCCTCCCCCAAGCCTCCGACACCAACAGCACGGAGATCGGCGACAACGTCATCGTAGACATCGGCCCCATCCCCGCGGCGCCCTCCAACCTGGCCGACGGCAACGCGCCGTCCGTCTCCGGCGACCCCAACGAGCCGGACAGCAAGAAGCGCGGGCTGGCGCCGCTGGAGAAGCGCAGCTTCAAGATCCAGGTGTGGCAGGATCCGAGGAAGGGCGGGCGGCACCAGGCGTTGGTTACGGATGGTGAGTTAACCTTAGCCCTAGCTGAGTAGAAAGACAGGGTTTGAGGGGGGTGAATGTATGCTAATGTGTGTGGTGTAGTGCAACACTGCTACAACCTGGGCAACTCCTGGCCCAACGCCATCTCCTCGCTCTCCGTGCCGCGCGGGCACGGCTGCATCTTTTATAATAGGAATAACTGCCCTCAGCATGGTACTCGTGAGTCTCCATTCCATACCATACTATACCATCCCGTATCTCCACCTCCTGTTCTTACTAACTGCGTGTGATAGAATTGACGGTTCCTGGGGGCAACTACATTAAGAACCTGAAGAAGTACGGGTTCAATGACAAGATTAACAGCTACCTGTGCTACAACGGCTGAGGTGGGATTAATCTACGGATTTGAGGACTGAGCGGGGGATAGTATGGCGGTGGGGAGATGCGAGATGGTGGTTTGTTCGGGGTTTATTTTTGTTCTGTCGCTCCTTGCTGTCGCGTTCTGTCCGTATTCTCTTCGTAGTCGCTCGTTAGGATCCATTTCGTAGTTTGTATTGCAAACCATTGGAAAGGCGGCGTGCTTCCTGATCCGCCACGTGATGAGTGAGTTTCCTCGCCTTCTAGTGTGCTCCAGATCATGCTTCGAAGTCCAGTCGCAAGCGCACGGCAAGCGGACAAGTTCAGTGACAATGATTGCGCCACGAATCCACGTCTCTTAACATATGAAACCCTATGTATCCGCCCTCAAATCTCAAGCATCTATCACCCTCCACCACATCCAACGGTGGTCTCCAAGGAAGAGTCCGCACGCGAGTACGTCTACGACCTCACTCAATGCTATTGTCCACATAGCAAACCCAGGGCTCGTCCGTACAAACTCCGCGGCGCATCCTCCACCCGCATCAGCATCCCATTGCACGACGAACGCGTCAGGTCGCGCTCATGGATCGATACGTACACGCTCCAGCCCTCCGACAAGGGCAAGACCGCCTAGCCACTTAGCATAGCGATCAGGACGTGGCCGTCATCGGAAGCACTCGAGACTGAGCATGGAGAGGCGTGCATCCTCGGCGCTGCTCACGACGCAGCCACGGCGCGCATAATGCTGGAAGCCATCGTGGAGGAGGAGATTTCTAATGTCGAGGCGCAAGGAGGCACGTGGAATCCCTTCTGGATTGTCGACAAGCACCGTGACAAGATGGCGGCGTGGGGGAAGAACAAAAAAACGCAGCAGATTGTCCAGTGGAACATCAACCGGGCCCGCATTCTTGACACCAATGCGACGATTGCTGAGGGAGTGAAGTACTGAAGCCACCACAGTCCTATGACTGGAGGGGAGAAGGAGGCCGAAGAGGATGACGATTGGGTGTTGATTGACGTGAGTGACTACAGTGGCGAGTTGGAGAGTTGGGAGGTTCTTGAGTCGTATGATGTCGATGCCGAGTAAGAGGGGCGACTTGGAGTAGGCGCGGAGCAGACATGAGAGCTCGGGTCGGACAGGCGATTTGCCAAGAGCAACATTGAAGAGTGTACGTACCATGGTCGCGAATCGCGTTTGATAGATATCCCATTCAAGCCCTTCATCATTGCTTCGCGAAGTCCTGAGTAGCATGTGATGATGCAGTAAAGGCTAGCAATTAGCTCCAAACGTCCAGCATCTTCGCCCCGTAATATTGTCAAGTTTCCACGACCTTCAGCCCCAAGCATGCAGATTGCGCTCAATTCTTTCCCATAACAACCGCAGACCTCGCTTCAGTGCGACCACCCGGAGGAAACGAAGCTTCCGTCCCGCCACTCAGTATATCCATCGAGGCCTGTTTGAGCGAGCTCAGGAGTGAAAGCACAATGGCTTGGGTGCTAGGAGCGGCATGGGGCAAGAAGAGAGTCATCGAGATGCCGAAAAGCGAAGTCGAGGAGCAGTGCTAAGTAGATAGCAACATCTCAGTACCGAAGTGTACGTTGGGCGACGAAGGATCGTTGAACGGAGCATGTGCTAGCCACAGACGAGGTGATAGAGTGTGGATCCAACGCTAAGACATCGATGAGGACGCATATGCGTACGAAGCGACGCCTGGTAGCTCGCCGGAGATGACCTATGTGTGCCGTTTAAAGAGGGGCCCGTCCTTGGGACGAGTAGGCGGAGGGCAGGGTAATGGCGACTGCGACCCTCGGATTTGTAGCGCAATGCATACGGCTTTATCGTGGCTAGCCGGCCACTTCTTCACGGCAGGCAAACGATCCATCTCCCACGAAATCTTCACTTTCCCCCCTTACTCTGCGCCCTCACCCTCCTCCTCTCCGTCTCCATCCGCCTCGCCTGATTCATACTCGGCACCATCGCCTCTTCCTCCGCCCTACTCTTCTCCAGCGCCTCGGGGCTGACTTGATCAAGCAGAAACCTGCCCATATGGCCCGTCCTCCATCTTTGAATCATCCACAGCGCCGAAGCCTCTGTATCCGCCTGACCCCCCTTCCCCAACCTTCCCGTTCTCCCCGCAATAGCTTCGAGCAGGGGAATGATATCGTTCGTAGGCGGCGAGTATTCGGCGTAGAGTGCCGGATCGACGCGATTAATATGATAGAGGAGGTAATCCGCCAGCACAACGGGCGGGATAATAGAATCCTTCACCGACCCACAAAGCGCCAACTTCATCATCGCCTCGGCATCCGGCACATACGGGATGAAAACGCCCGGCGTATCCACCAAATACACGCCTCCACCCACACCCCTATACCTCCTCCTACTACTCGCATCCATACCCTCAACGTCATCCTCACTCGGGATAATCTTAACCCCGCTGCCAACCTTCCGCGTAACGCCGGGCTGCGCGCCCGTCCGCGCAACCTTGCCCTTGCCCACGCCCTGCGCGCGCAGTGCATTGAGCAGCGTGCTCTTCCCCACATTCGGCATGCCGACCACGAGCAGCCTGTGCCCCACAAGCTTCCACCTCCTCTGCGCATGCTCCCTAAGGAACTCGAGCAGCCTGCCCACGCTCCTGCGCTTGCCCGCTTCGCCGTCGCCGTCGCTGCCGGCGTTCCGAACAAACATCACCGGCACACTGCCATGCCACTTTGTAATCGTCTCCTCGTTGCGTGCGTCGCGCGGCGGGCCGCCGAGGTCGCGCTTCGTGTAGACGACGAGGCGGTCTTTGCCGTCGAGGCTGGATTCGAAGAGCGGGTTGCGCGAGGTGAGCGGGACGCGGTAGTCGCGGCATTCGATGACGAGGTCGATGGTGGAGAGCAGCGTCTTCATCTTCTGGAGGCCGGACTTGTGGTGGCCGAGGAAGTAGGACCGCGGGAGAGAGGTGGCGGCGGGGAAGGCGGTGCGTGGGACGAAGGACATGGTGGGTTGGTCTGCGAGGTGTGGATATTTGTATGTGAAGTATTGGGATACATGGTCAAATTCGTGATTCGCGTCGGGCTATCGCGTCATCGTGGAGTTGGGGGGAGTGATGGACGAGGTGGGATAGGAGACAGGCGTGAGTTCTTCGAGGCTGCCTTCCGTTGGAGGCAATTAGCGGCACTGGAGACGGATACCTTGTGCGGCTTCAGATTGCTCCTTTGGGAGTATGACGGAATTAAAGTGTTGCGTTGGCGATGTGACGGCTGATGTTCGTGAGCTCGGAGGTCCGAACTTTTTAGTACACGAGTCAAGTAGCTCACTATTCTTAGCACTCTGCGAGTCATGCTATACATAACCCACCGTCTCGTTAAACTCTATTAAACTACATTTATTCTAAGATTTAGTAAGATATAAATTATAAGACTGCTAAAAAATATACTAAAGATGTAGATACTCAGTCTCTAGGCGCAGTACTTGCTAGGCTAAGGTGTAGGCTCCTAAGGTATACCGTATACAGACGCGTATTATAAGGATAGCACGCTCTAGTGTTAAGATGTACGTTGTTGGCTCGCATGGTACTACAAGAAAACGCGAGACGACTTGACTTTCTTTTTGCTGGAGACGATGCGGTTCGGAGCGCGAAGACCGCGGAATGGAGTTGATTCGACCCTGCCAGTCGATGATGCTTGATATTTTGCCATCACCATCGACGTATATGTTGCCGGAGTGGAAGTCTGGGTGCCAGAAACGGGGAGAAGAGAGATCGGAGTCCCTCGGAATAATGCAGGGGATGGCTGAGATGAACTTGCACAGCGACGACACATGGGCCTCCGGAGAGCTTTGTGCTTCAGACGTGAACTGCCGTGGGTTTTGGGCCGTCTTGCTAGGGACCGCGTGTCTGCTGATCCAGTCAATCTCGCGCCTAGCGATGGTTTCCAGGTACTGCCTAGCTGATTTCCCTATAACCAAATTACTACGTGAACAACCGCGGTCAGTGTTGCTAGGCAAAACGTACACGGACCGTGGTAATGGTGCATATCGCTTCGCTCTCCTGCCCAGAACTCCCTTCGGACAATCGGTCCGATGGAGAAGCGTGATTCGATACCGTCCGCCGCCTTTCGCGATGGTGCTGTAGCCTCTACCGACTCACATTCCAAAATTCCACTGTCCTTAAAATACAGCGACCCGATCCTGTAGAGGCAAGTTAGATCTGTGGCGCTTTGTTAGTTGAAGCCGAACTCACTTATCGAACGATACTGAGAGCATCTTCTTCTCAATATCGACAATCTGGTGAATAATATCCCGCTTAGCCCTAAGTTCCAATTCCGGCCAGACTGTGTGAAGCTGAAGGCCCTTTGCTTCCTCCATGATGATGTATTCGGACTCGACGGGATTCTGGCTCGTCGCGCTCCAAGCTAGGACTTTGGGCACAGGAAGGTTTAGAATGGTCCTAGCAAACTCCATAGTAGCTACTTCTGAGGCAGTCGTATGCTTGATGGGGCCAGCGTTAGGGTTGGGGATCTTGACTATGAGGTTCTGGCCATTCCGCATTACAAGGCGTAATGCCTTATTGTAGTTCCCTTCCCCAATCTTCTCGATTGAGACGCACCCTGTCGATCCTATTACCCCACAAGCAATCTTTTTGAGGCTCGAGATGTTGAACTGTCGGTAGCGGGCATCCAGTTGCTGCTTTTCATTCCAAAGCCAACGGCCACTAGTATAGCTGAAGAGCTGCTCGTTCTCGGCCGGGTTGTCGAGTGACATTGTGCGAGTGCATCCAGGGGCTTTGAGAGACATGTGACGTGACGGCGCTAGATTTTTTATCACAAAGGCTCGCATCGTATTTGGACCCAAAATTAAGCAAATCAAGTGCGATAAAAAAGATGATGAGGAGGGTTGCAGGGAGGATGGGTAGACACTGCTCGAAAATAAAGTTAATGTTGCTAATCCTTAGGTTAGTCGCTACTAGGTCTTACTAGCTAGCGCACGTTCCTACTTAGCGTATACGTAATACTAAATTTTCTATACTTTTCGATGATAGCTACAACCTCCATCCAAAGATTCGAGTTCGTCCCTGGTAGATCCCTTGTCGACCACCTAAAGACCAACCCGCCCTTCTCCCGCAGAGAGCGTAGCGAGTGCTGCGCCAGTCTCTCTGCTACGGCCTCTAGTGTCCTTCCGGGTCGTCCTGCGTCGACTTGAACGATTACGTGCAGTGCCAAAACTCCGATGTGAGTTACTATTCGGCCGATTCCTCGGCTGTGGAGACATAGACGGCAGCACCACCGCCTTCAACCGCGACGCGGACTGCGGGGTCAAGCAGTTACAGCGGGACGAAGAAGTCGGAGAGTAAGGTTTGGATTGCGGGCGCAGTCATCGGCCCGCTGATTGGTACCTAGGTACCGCTGCTGTCGCGGGCGTAGTGTTATAATTAAAGGTGTTATACGATTACAGAAAAAGCTATCAACGGTAAACGGTGCCGCAAGAAGAAAGAGCAGAGAAACAAAACAAACAGTAACAACACGCCAACAAGCAATGAACCACAACCATCAACGAACCCAGCAGACAACCCTTCGCATTCACGACCCCGAAACAACACGCCCTCTTCTAGCGCCGTCTCTAGCCAAGCAACCCTTCACCCAGCAGCATCTAAGCATCACCCGGCTGCCGGACCTAAAACGGCGGCAGAGCCCACGCCGGACGCGCATCCACAGTGCGCGTAACCGTCGTCGACGCCATCGCCGTATACGTAGCGTACGCGCGGCCAAAGTTGATCGAAAGCGGATTGTCGCGGCACTTGTCCAGGTCCTTGATCTTCTGGATGCGTACCTCAGCCTTCTCCTTGCCCGCCTTCTCCCACTCGGCGTCGGCGCAGACGAACAGTCCAGAGTGGTAGGGATTCTCGACGATGACGGGCTTATGCGGGGAGCGCTTAGATACCGCGTCTGTGGCGGTTGTGGCGGTATCGGCGGTCACGGTGATAGTGGAAGCTGAGGTAGTGGTGGTCGCCGTCACAGGAGAAACGGCGTCCGTCGTAGTGGAAGGGTCCGCCGAGAGTGTAGTGGTCACTGTCGTAGGAGAAACGTAGAAGCCGTCCGTCGTGTGGAAGAACTCGAAGGTAGAAGTGGAGGTGATAGTCGTGCTGCTCGTGAACGGGACCTGTGCTGGCTTTGGGCCGCAGTCGACGGGGTACTTAGGTCCGGAGCGGCAGAGGAACGCGCCGGTGTCGTACTCCTTCTTGGTCCAGCACATGTAGCAGATGTCCGAGCCTGCCCAAGGATGCTTCATCCAGACGCCCTTGACATTGTACTGCTTCTTTTTGCGGGGCTCGAGGGTGGGATGGCCGGTGGGCTCGCCGCGTGCGACCGGTGGTGGGTTCTTGTAGGAATAGCGGCTCACCACGGCGACGGTGCTGTACACGGAGGGATGCGCGACGCCGTCAGCGCCCAATGAGTAGGAGGTGTGCGATATGGTCGTAGTGAGCGGGTACGCGCTGCCGGACCATTCAGAGTTGGGGCGGCACCAGAACTTGACCGAGGTGATGACCTCGTCAGTGGCAGTGCAGCCCTCGAAGCTGCGCGGCACGGAGATGTCTTCATGGCCGTCAGAGTCATGGCAACCGGGTGCATCGTACAAGGTGACAAAGCACTCGTCCTTGCCCATGTTGACGCTGTCGATCCACTTGTTGTACTTGGTCTTCGAGTGCGGGTGGATGCGGATGCTGCCTGCTTGGAAAGTCTTGCACTCATTCCTCTTGAGGTCGATCAGGTTTCCGAGGGGGTGGTCGTCGCAGGTGTCCTTGAGGAACTTGGAGAACTGGATCTTGTCCTTGGCGTCGACACCGGTGAGGGCAAGGAGGCCAGCGGCCAGGAGCATCCGGATGCGAGGCATGGTGATCGAGGACTGTAGCATATCAGTGTACGTGGTTCTGACGAAGTAGAACCGACGGGATGGATGATCGGGAGAGGAAGATGATCCTATGCGGAGTGGCGAAGCGACGAATCTGAGAGTGTGGAGATGGTGGCTAACCTCTTGAGATGCAATAGCTAATGTAAAGCAAGACCTGCAACGAAGGCGATTAGCGGGAGTAGACGATGATAGCGGCAGCAGCGGACAGGTGTAGCAACATACCTGTTCAAGTGCCAATAGCCAAACCAAGCCGACACCTAAGACGTCAGTCATGGCGTCAAAGACGAATCTCGAAAAGAGTTGCTGCGTTGATCAGGGCAAGGTGAACTCGTAGAGAGTCGTACTCAAAAGCCCCAGAAGCTCAAAAAAGAAAAAAAAGGAAACCACAAACCTTTCCAAGCGTCTAAACGTACAACGACCAGCGTCCAGCGTCCAAAAAGCTCCAAAGTGGATGCAGGTGAGTTGAAAGTGGGATGAAGAAAAGAAGAAGCCCTCGAACAGAAAGACTGCTACTTAAGCACCTCTCTCGCGCAGGACCGAGCGTCAAGTAGAAGGCACTCCTGCGAGTCCTCGGAGCGGTATTGCTCGATCCGTAGGATGAGAAGCGATGGAGGAGCTGCGCGGGAGAAAGTGCGTAGCATATTGAGGAAGCCGGGACGTCGGATACAAGGAGGGGAAGGCAGCTTTCTCAGCTTTTGTTGCGGTTGTAGGCGTAGGGATGGGATGCAGTGAGGAAGGCGCCGACGACACGAGGAGTAGAGGCAAGTGAGACTAGTTTAGCTCTCGAGGTAATAGTTTAACGGCATCTTCAATATGCCACACAAACCCTAAAAGATACATTTAGCAGATGCGTTCGACTTGGGGAATGTGCTAGGTCATTACATGCTGAAGGCCCTCAGGATGGACATTCCGCAGGCAAAAGCTGAGGCAGGGTAGAACGTATACCGCGACCTACATACCGGTGTAGTAACCCAGATCCACGAGACACACCCCCAGTGACACGAAGAATAGAATGCATACGCGAGCGAGAAGCAAGCTAACCTGATATCAATCCAATCCAATCCAATCCCCACGCCACCACCTCGCCCAACTCTGGCAAATAGCTACCCCTCAAACGCCAAAACTCCTCTCCCCACCCCATCTATCCAACTCCAAACCAGCATCCGCCTCCTACCACTCCCCCCAGCCCTCCTCCTCCTTCTTCGACCTCTTAACCGCACTAGTGCCAATCCCACTCGGCTTCTTCGCCGCAGCCCCCATCCCCACATTCGAAGTCCTCGCCTCCCCCGCGCTCGCAAACTCATCCCAAAAGTCCTCTTTGTCCTTACCAGGCCCCTTCGGCGGCGCGCCGAATTCATCCCAGAAGTCTTTCTTGTCGGCGGCGGGGCCTTTGGGCGGGGCGCCAAACGAATCCCAGAAGTCTTTCTTCTCGGGTTCTGCGCCGCGCGTGGAGGAGTGCGAATCGGGTCCTTCGACGAAGCGGTTGAGGGCGTCGCCTGCGCCTTTGGCGCCGGATTGTATGCCTTGGCCCATGAGCGCGGCGGTTTTTTGTGCTTGCGAGGCGATGTCGGCTTCGGCGAGCTGAGTGGGCTTTAGCTTTCTAGCCCCCATACGAAATGAAGGAAGGGGAATAGACAAACCTTCTGCATCCCCGGCTTGACCCAGCCCTCATATCCAGTCTTGCCGGCTTTGCTCACGCTCGCTCCTAGCCACCCAAACCCCTTGGTGAGCGCCGCGACGGGATCCTTCTGGAAATCGTCCAGTGCAGGTGGAGCGCCGGGCTCGTCGTCCTTCTTCCAGCCTTCGGGCTCACTGCCAAACCCGGCATACTTCCCTCCCTGATTTGGCGCCACGTCGTCTCTCCTGTTCGCGTTCTCAGCGCCCATGCGCGCAAAGTACGCTTCGTTCTTGCCCTTCTGCGACATAGCGTTCGTGCCGAGTGCTGGAGAGCCAGACCGCTGAATCCCCGCATCGTTACTCCGTGTCTTGCTAAGCGGCGTCTGACTCCTGCTTCCTGGCCCACTTGCCCTTCCACTTAGCGGCGCTCCTGCAGTCAGCGCCGCAGCATTATCCGACAGCTTCTTCGGCGCTCGCTTCGGTAGATTACTCCTGTCGAATTCCCTCCCCTCCACCTTGCAGCTCAGCCTCTCCTTCCACTCGTCGCCAGCCTCAGAATCATATCGCTCCTGGATCGACGAAGCCTCGAATGTGCGGCTGTCCTTTTTATTCGAGGGATGCGCGTTGAAGAATTCCTGGAAGGGCTTGTTGCCGCCGGCCGCCATGCGCGCGAGCTCGGCGCCCTTGAAGGCGTCCATGGTTATGCTACGGATGAAGGAGATGTGCACGCCGAGGCCGCGGTGGACGCCGGAGCAGGAGAGGCACATGAAGATGCCGAGCTTGGGCGAGGCCTGTGGTATCGTAGCTTAGCATGGGTGTAAGGTGGGGAGGAGCGCGCTGAAAGGGAGAAGGCGTACCCATTGTGGACTCGGCGCATTGCAATCGACGCACCTGTTGTTGTCGTTCGTCTTCTGGATCTCGAGTAGCTGCATGTAATCAATTAGCCTGTAAGCTCTCTGAACTCTCTGTTTCTGCGTTCGAAGCGCTACTACATGCTCCAGCCCGCGAGCCCACAACGCAACCATGGCAGGATACGCACCTTACTCCTCGTCTCCGGGTCCACCTCCCACATTTTACTCATTGCGAACAAATATCTGCGCGTCTGCGCGACCCGCAATGCGCTGTCGAGAGACGAGGGCGGTGGTTCGCGGTTTGGGTTTCGACGGTGGTCGAGATTCGAGGGGCGCCCACCGTCGGAAACGTGGCCAAGCAACTCCGTGCGCCGTGCCGTCATTGAGCCTCACAGTCCGATCGGGCAGGGGTATGGAATGTTTCAACTACATGTTCACCGCTTTTCCTTTCATAATGTATCGTTATTCTTCTGACTTTCGTTGTGTTCACAAGACTTCAAAAGCGTGGCGTACAGCAACAAATGGCACAACAACCGATCATCACATCACATACGGTGACAGCAACGTTGAACACAAATTTGGTTCGATTGAAGCGCGGCCATTGACGGTGCAGGACTTTTCAGTCCACGCCAGCCAACGATCCTCCACCACTCTCCCCAGGGTATTGTTGCCCACTCTCAATATTTACAACGCCGACCGGAGCCATTAGGTGTGGCAATCTCCCTGTATATCCATGCCCGCGACGTGACCTCGGGTTTTCCAAAATTCCCGGTATTCCTGTCGTTTCAATTATGTACGTGACAGCATGAAGGAAAGTGAAGGTAAATTGTACAAGTGAAGAGCCAATAGGGGTAATAGCCGCATCGAAGAGAAAGCCCCAGAGCGAAAGCAGACGAAAAGATCCCGGATTTTTCAGGACTGACTGAGGCCGAAGTCCAATCTCGTTCAGAACACCGTACGCCGGTGCTAAATATGTTACAAAAAGAGTGGGCGGTTCTGGATACCGATATGTAATGTAGAATGTGTTCATGAAGTCGTGAGGAAGCTGCGCAAAAGCAACTGCGATTGGACTGCTGGTTCTGGCTGACCGTTCACGCGGATCGGTGCCAGTGGTGACACGAAGCGATCAATGAGTGTCCGGGTCAGGGTTCCGAACCTGTTCTCAGTGAGCATTTTCGAATTAGTGGAAAGCATGACCAAAGGAAACTTACGTTGAGTGCGCGGTGGTAATCACGGCTATCGTCCAGGCTGGCGATGCTTCCTCGACTCGAATTGTCAAGAACAAATACTGCTGACGGATTGAGCCGCTGGTCGATCATGTGTCTGCTATTCCTTCGGTCAGATCCGGATATGGGGCTGATCGACTCGTTGTCTAGCATTATTCGACTGGAACGCCTGGTGAAATTGGTAGCAATCGGGGGCGGATATTGAGGATCCTTCTCTCCTCGCAGGAGCCCAGCCTTGCTCATGGTGCTCGTATTGCGCTGAACGCCAGACTGGAACTCCTCCTCTTGTCGTCTTTGTTGCTTGCGGCGCCTCCATAAGAAAAAGAAGACGCCACCAATGCTTGCTGCGAGCACCACAAGTCCGCCCACAACACCGCCAGCAATAGCCCCCGTGTTCGTCGAGCCTTTGCGACCTCCCGTCAAGACGGGTTCTGATGTTGGCGTTGAAATGACGGTCTGGGTAACGATTCTGCCGCTTTCTGTGATAATCCTTATGCTGGTCTGCGGAGCGGGCACAATCGTTTCGACTTCTTCCGAGCTAGACGTTGCGGTGGTCCGCAGAGTCGTGGGCGCGGCTGTCTCTGATGATATTTCGCTCTACTCCAAGTTAGCGACGTCGACCAAAGAATACAAAGCCAGTGAAGGAACAAGGAAAGGGGACAAAATACAGGAGTCAATGTAAAGGTCTCCGGCGGCACGGTGACTGTCTGGACAACAGTCGACGGGCCGGGAGTAACCTCTACTATCGAAGTTTTTGGCGGAGCCGAAGAAGGCTACGTCTAAGTCAAACACCACTCCACCAAGAATACATTGGCCTTGGAAAGCAAGATAGAAAGAGCAGACGCAGAATGACAAAGCATGCAGGGCATAAACGGATAGGTGACGCGCAGTATAGTCAATATTCGCAGACGCAAGAAAATGGGTTGGACTGACAGACATCGCCTCCGAGGAAGAAGAAGCTTCCACAGAAGAGAAAGAACTTGGGCTAGAACTGGGACTAGGACTCACGTTGGCGGATGTAGGTTGAGACGTTCCCTTGGTGCCGGAAGGAGAGCCGTCCAGCTTGATGTAGATGTAGAGGTTCTTGTCCTTGTTGCCGCATTTTTCGGACGGAAAGCCGGGGCAATCTTCATCACATTCGCTGGTGTCTTCCTGGTCCTCGGGAATGTAGTTGGAACACCAGCAGTTCTGATCGAGGATGACGGCGAAGGCATATGTGCCCTCATTGTTGCACTGGGTAGTGCACCACCCGTTCGACTGCCACTGGTGCCATTCTAGAGAAGTCAGCTAGGCAATGGAGAGAGAGGCACGATACATACGAGGACTTGTGTTTGACGCGGTATTCTGGGACGAGCAATACGCGGCGTTGAAGGATGCCTTGGCTGGTACTGCAAAGAGCAGTAAAGCAACCAGGGCGACAAGGCCTGCAAACATGTTCCTTATAGATCGATCCATGACCTCTGTCCGTCCTCAAGGTGCGCGGTGGGCGTGAAACCAATATCCTCTTCGGCTCCGCCTGGTTGTTTGTGATAAGCGGGTGTGGGTTGTAGGAAGCTGTGAGACCCTGCGAGGCCTATTTCGGTTGCCCAGAGGGTCCTCCTTGTGAATTGGGTGGGCGGTGATGTGGCACTCTTCACCCAAGGGAACCCTGGGCCGAAAGTGACCGGAGAGGCCGTCAATGGCGGAATTGAGTATGTGAAAGCAGATATTACTCTGCAATGGCCGTCGCTGCGAGGGCGTCCGAGGGCAATGCCGTGAGGTCGAGCGACAATCGGGTCGCTGGCGTAATCGCGGGCTCGATGCGATGCAATCGAGTAACGATGCCGGGGAAGGGAGACCTATTCAAAAGAGAGACTTGTCAGCATGGCTGCCCTCGAACGCGGCGAAGACAACGGGGTCGGCGGTGGTGTGAAGGGAGCAGGGCACAGGCGCAGAAAAGAGAGGCTGGCAGAGAAAGAAAGTTGGTGGAGAGAGGCCCGCATGCTGCGCGCCAAGCCGCTTACCGGGATCTCCTTGCACAAAGCGCCCGTGCTTTGTTAGTCTGAACACCCCAAAAGCGGAATGCACGGGTGCGTCGGCCACAATGCCCACCTGGGCACCGCCTGTTCCACGGCTCCCTCGACGCGTCCGACAGCGGGCAGACGTGAGGCTGGCGGGTGTCGGGGCTGTTGGAAAGACAGGCGCTCTTCTTCGCCCGATCAGCTGTGCGAGTGTCGAGTATTACAAGTCGATATCGGTGCAAGCCCCTCTCGTCATGACGTGCATGAACAAGACAGCACAATTCGGCAGGTCGTCGGCCCACCGAGGGCGCTGGCGAGCGGGAGTGGTGTACAAACGCGGTGTGATTTGCGACTGGTGTGCAGCTTCAGAAGACTCCCGTTGCACTATCCGCGCAAATCCGGCTCTGCCTCGGCGACAGGTGAAAGCGATAGTGTGGGTAGGGAATCTAGAGTCTAAAGCGAATGGCAGCCGACGCGCGGGACGACAGAGAAACGAAGGGAAGAAAGCGAGTGTAGGGAGAAAGCAACAAACAAGTCGAAAGCAGGTCGAAAGCAGGACGGGAATCGGGCGCGGACGCGGTGATATGTGGCCGTGGTGAGCATCCGCTTCGGACGCTGATCACCTGGCCGCACGGTCAAAATTAGCAGCAGCGCCGTATCGACCGTCTATCGAAGACAGGGGCGTGGTGAGATGTCGAATTGCCTCAATACCGCTATCCGCCACCTCAGGGAGCTTGCATGCGGGGTGAGCGGTGATAGCACTGCAGGCTTCCAGAAAGCCGCTGATAAGCAGCATGCGGCCCAATTTATCAACTGGCCTCTGCTGCGATGCCTGGGGATCTCCGGGCGCAGGTATCCTCTTTGTTGTTGCACCCGACAGCTCAGGAGAGGTCACATTCTCCAGCAGTGCAGCTGCCAACAGGCACCGTTTGAAACGGCGTGCTCGCGGCAGACGCCATCGAACCTTGCACAGGCAATCAGCGCACGCCAAGCGCCGGTGGCAAGACCTTGAAGTCGGCGACACGCCCGTCGAGCCCTATGAATTTTTCCTCGTCTATCGCGGTGCTCTCAATCCCAAACACGCCAGCCCACCAGCATGCAATTGTGTCCTTTTCCCATGTGCATCCGTGTCCAACAACCCGTCTCATCTCGCTTTCTCGCTGTTCATACTCTTTTCACTTCAGCCTGAACACCTTCAACGACCCCAACAAATCCAACAAGCTTCGAACCCCCGTTTCCTCCAGCATCCATCCTGGCCTGCTCAATCTCCACCCGCGGAGTCAGTTTCAGCGCTAGGACGAAACGGGCAGCACGGCAGCCGCCACCCACGCCCCTTCCCAAACAGGCCTCGGCACCGCCCATGCAGACCGCCAAGAAGGGTATGATGCAATGCCAAATCGGCCCGCTGGAACTCGTGCCCAGTAATGCCACGTCCAATAGCACGATCGACAGGGGCCCGGCGCTATAAACACTTCGTGAGGCCGAACAAAATGAGGATGTTCGCGGAGATGCTGGGTCCATGTCGTCATGTTTTGTTTTAAATGCACAGGTCAGGCCATTTTGAGTGGTTGAGAGCGTTGCCTGTCCGACCGCAATCCGACATCTGAAAATGTGGTGATGCTTTGGATAGATGATAGGACTGGCGGAGCGTCGCGGAAGGGCACCTGTCATCCCATCCCGAGCAAGCGCCGGGCGAAGCACCGCGTTTCCCTGGTTGTGGAACGCGAACCCAGCATCCATCGCGATCCTTGGGTTCAACAAGTGATCAGCCAATGGTGAAGGACGGGGAACGACGTCTAATTTTGTGGAACAGGGTCTTCGAACCGAACTTTTTTGACCGCAAAAAAGGGATTGATGGTATTGTTACAACTTCGACTTCTTCCCGCCTGTAACACCTGTCACAGTTTCTCCTGACAGCAGAAAGTCCGGATACTCGAAGGCTTTGTTGCCAATTGCCGACGTGTGCCACTGTCCGCCGTCAACTAAATATGAGGTTAGCGCGGGTATCGAACGGGGGTCTGCCAGCGCGCGTCTACTTACCAACAAGCACCTCTCCGTTGACGTAGTTTCCGGTATCAGAGAAGAGGTAGATAGTCGCGTCCGCAATCTCCTTGACCGTTCCAAATCTGCCAGAAGGGATCGCCTTGGCCGAGTTTTCCCGGCTGTCTGACCTTGACAGCCTAGCTACACCTTCAGTGTCTGCTATCGGCCCTGGAGCAATTACGTTCGACGTGATACCCTTAGGCCCTTGCTCGATAGCTACCGAGACGGCCATAGCGTCGACACCTGCCTTTGCGATGGAGACATGACTTTGAAGCGGCGTACCGACATAATGCAATGTCGCGCTCACGAAGATGATGCGGCCACCGGTGCCGTTCGGGGGAGGAGTCTTGCCGTCCGTCTTGTGCTTGGCCGCCGACTCGACGAGGTAGGGAAGGGTCGCCTTCACAGTATTGTAGGAGCCCAGGACATCGATGTCCATAACCGATTTCAGCGCGTTCGGCGAGATCTGATCCATAGGCGCGAGGAAATTCCCTGCTGCTCCTGCACTGCACAGTATCAGCATCCACGTTTCAAACACCATGCAAGGAGGCACCCACATCACAAAATCAATCCCACCCAGCTCTTTTGCGCATTTCTCCGCTGCCGCTGCTAGCGCCTCTGGCTTCCTTACGTCCACTGCGCCGAGTCCCAGCACCTTCGCGCCTTTCCTTGCGGTTGCAATATCTTTGGCCATGTTCTCCGTCTTCTCGACATTGCGGCCGATTATGCAGGCGTTGGCCCCGAGGTGTACCATGGCGCGGACTTGCGCTGAACATATCGTCCCTGCTCCGCCGGTGCAGAAGACGACTTTGTTATCTATATGAATAGGCGCGGTCAGCTAAGGTCAACGGCGAGAGACAGCGCGGGTGTTGCGGTGTGCTAAACAATTTCGATTTTGGTACTATAGACGAGGAGTGTATAGTGGAGATAAGGTCGATAGCCGTACCGAAAATGCCATCCTTCCAGACATTGCTCATGTACTGGTATGTTTCGAGAGGCATGGTTCGCGGTGTCTTCCAGAGCGGACCGTCCGAGTCGGTGGTTGTGGATTGATGCCGTTTATGTACAAAGCTGGCGGAAGTGAGCGGATGAAGAGCTGATGCAGCGGCGAATGAATTGACAGTGATATATACAGATGTGCTCACACCGTGTTGCTGCTACGGCCGAGAAAGCTGACGCTGACGATGCGGGATGGAGCTGGAGTCGCGCACGACGACTTGCCGAGGCTCAAGCTCGGTAGGATCCATGAGCTTACTCGGGTCCTACTTGAGACGAGAGTGCGGACAAGAGGCATTGAGCGGAGAGAAGGCATGGTGGTGAGCCTCTCAGCAGGGAAACGCGAGAACGCGGTTCATAATACCCTTGTAGAAGTAATGCCTATATTCACCCCGCATTTCGCGCTGGAGGCCTGGAGGCCTCTTCGATGGGCCATGGAGCTTGGGCCAGGCGCACGCTCCGAATCGCCGCATCACGTGCTCCACGCGCCTCCTATGAATCAGGCAAGACGCATCTGCACGAGCCCGCCTTGCCAGCTACCGCACCCAGCTTCGATCTTTCTACCGATTCAGCTTGATCCCGCGCGACTGAATTGGTCTCGCCATGCCGAACGGAACAGTATCCATCTGCAAATTCGTGGGGACGATAAGTCTCGGGCTACTTACGGTATGTTGTCGATCCGCCCACCTTGAGCCCAGCGCCGCAATGTCCCCACCGTTGTCTCTCTATGAGCCGGAAAGGATACAATGGCAGAGGATATCTCAAAGATTCTAGCTAACATAGTGTCATAGGGCGTGTCGGCTTCCCTCTCGACAATAGCCCTTCCGTCCCTTCTCACTCTCCCCACCGCCGTAACCGCCCGCACAACCCTCACGTACCTATCGTCCAAGACGCGCGTGCTTTCATCCTACCTCCGCCACATTACGACCTTCACGCTCTTCTCCGCATATCTTCTATCGCCTCGACGCTTCCGACATCCGTATTTGCTCTATACGTCGATCTTCGCCTTCGTATCAGGTCCAGGCGTGGACTATGCGATCTCCTACCGGGAAGGAACGAACGAGCGGAGAACAACGTTGGACCTGGAAGCACAAGGCGACGACGTCAATGGAGAGCAGGTGCGGCAGGCCGTCGAGAAAATGAGGTTCACCGAGAGCGTGCGAGCAGTTGTCGCCGGTGTTGCGTTCGCCATCGAGGTCGTTGGTATCTGGGGAGATGGCGCGTAGGGACCATCAGCATGTGTTTATGAAGGTGGAGGATTGAAATACCTGTAGCATTCTTTGGTCAAAGACGAATTGAAACGTTGGAGTTTAGTGCATCGAGGTGTAGCATGAGTGTTGCTCTTCACAAACTTGAGGTCTGATGAAATGGAATGGAGGGTGGTTATCGGTATGAGGTATAGTTTCGGACTCTCCTATCATTCGGAATCTCAGCTAGTATATATCGAAAAGTCTCATCTTGGATCCATGATTATTTCAGCCCTTCTTGTCCGACCGTACACTGCACCTGTCCTCTTACATGCCCTCCTGCCCCGAGTACTTCGCCACCTCTAGACGTTCTGCAACAGTAAGCGCTACTAATGCCAGTACTGAAAGACTCACTATCAAAAATGTATGAGCTCTCCACTCCTTTGCTAAGCTAAGCTAACAGTATGTTGACATATCATCCAACGAACTCAGTGAGACACCCGGGCAATGCTTACTTTACCTCTACCCCATTCCCTTCCAGCGCCTCTCAACCCTCCGATACCGTCACTAATGCTAAACCAGACCCCCTCCCCTGGTGCCTCAGAATCCACCAACGAATCCCCCAAGCCGTCTCTTTCCGCCAAAAACTCAGTGTAACAAAGGCCAAGATTAACCCGCAAGGGATGAAAATCAACATCGTAATTTGCTTTGAACGCTGCATCCAGTCGATCTCAGATCCATAGCAAGGTCGTCAGCGCGACAGCTATTCTGTTCCTCCTCGCGAGGATACAGAGTCTCCAAGCATGGCCTGGGCTCCACAGGAGACTGGACATCATGTGTTGGAGAAAAGAACGCTCTGAAAGGTATGGGCGCGAGGGGGCCGAGCGTCTTGTACAGCCTGGTGCTGCTGTGTAAGCGCCATGTCTTGCAGCGGACGAATGATCGACTGCGGATGGAGAATGCGCAAGCCATAGAGCAGTGAGGTGGCAGTAGCAGCGGTAAGCAGAGAGACGGTGAAAGGACACAGCGTCGAGCAGTTCCTTGACCTGATTGCTGGATATGCTGGACATGAAGGCTAGGGGAATGGCAATGAAGGCCAGTTCCATGAGACGTGTGAACGCCCTTCGGCTTCCTCAATTCTCCTTCTCCTGTTTCTAGGAGCGACGTCTCGGCTCGTAGGCTTTCGGCGGTCTTCTGGAGCTGGATTCGGATTCTGTTTCCGGGAGTTCTTCCTGATCTTCGTGCGTGGTCTGTTCAGCTGTTCACTGACGGATATGCTGGGTAGGGCGCGAGTGAAGCATTCGAAGTCGTGCGTGGCGAGGGAGACGTCTTCTTCCAAATCATTGATAAACCGGGTCCAATGGTTCGCTCTTGCTTGCAGTAACATGCTGTCTGAGGCTTATGGGCTGGTTTCTGCCAGCACGACTGCTATGATGTCGAAGACGTCGGCAATATCGGTCGCGGTTATGGTGTCTTATCCGGGGATCACCTCTTCGCCGTCTCCAAAAGCCCCGTGGAGCTTCGAGTACTGAATCAAGTCCCTAATCAGATCCTGAGGGTCTGAGCTGTCCAGTCAGTGAGGTTGTTCGCGTGCTCTTTCTCGGCGTGGTGATCACGGAATAGTTCGGTATGTCTACGATATCTCTGTTCTCGATCTCGTCTATATAAATGCAAGTCTTCTTCCCTCTCGACAGTCAAATCCATGCCTTCCACCGATTCCCTCCAGAAATAATCCGCTCTGGGTTTCAGGAGCGGATCAAAGAAGATAAGCCCTTTCAGTGACTAGCGATTCTGGGGGCTGACGTCTCACGCGTCTTTCCACCAGTTAACAGTAGCGGACTTCGTAACTTCAACACTCTTGGTTCTGACAGAGAGATCAAGCAGAAGTAGCCCACTTTTTTCTTCTCATTTATGTCTTGTTCGTACAGTCCAACACATTCGAGTCGTAACGCATTGACAGAACGAGAAGGGATGCTAAAGAGGACGTTGTGGAATCACAAACCAACAAGGAGTACTGCTAGTAGCTGTTGGTCTAATTGGTATCTGATACTGAGCGTGCAATATGGATCGATCAGCCTTGACACGTTATGGAGCAGATGAGCATTACTTCAGGAAGACCGAGGTGGAAGAGTACAATTTCAATCCTATACCAACTGGCTGGAGAAGTACATCGCCTCAAGCCGACACTCGGAACTCACCTAGCAGATTGCGTACGCGGTGTCTTCATACATCTAAGCGTGGGTGCAGTGATTTCGCTATAACTGGGCAACGGAGAGTATTTATGGCCACCGAAAGGTGCCTGAGTACCCGAGAGGAAGATGTCGAGGGGCTGGAGACCACCAGCTATAGGAGGAGTATCAGCGGTATAACTTCCATTGTCTGAATTATGTCGCCAGAATACGCAGTTTCTTGCCTTGCAGCGAGATCACACATCAAGACGGGGTATAGGGTGCGTGCAACATACTTCGTAACACCTACAACCCGTCTACCTCCCAACGTATCTATTACCTTCACACCAGCAGGCCAAAACCCAACCAACATCCCCATTTCCCTACATCTTACTCTCGCCCCTCTTCCCCCTCCACCCTGTCAATGTGCTCCCGCCATCCAACTCAATCACATTCCCCGTCATATGCGCGGCTCCCATACTGCTCAAAAACAGCACTAGCCCGCCAAAATCGCTCGGCTTGCCAATGCGCCCCGTCGGCTGCCCCGAAACAAGCGTATCCATATACTTGCTCAGCCCAAAGCTCGTCATCCGCGAGGGGAAGACGCCGGGGCAGATGACGTTGACCATGATGTTCTTGGGCGCGAGCTTCGAGGCTTGCATTTTGGTCAGGTGTATGCATGCTGCTTTGGAGGGGCCATCTGGGACTAGTTAACATGGACTTGCCACGAAGTGGTTTGGTTTAGAAAGACAGTGCCGTAGTTGGATGGAGGACGGCTTACAAGAAAACGTCCCATGACCCGGCTTCGACAGTCCACCCGTCTCGCCCGTCGTAACATCCGTCGTCTGAATGCCCGCCATACTCGCAACATTAATAACCCTACTCGGCGAATCGGGACTCGCGCCCTTGAGCAGCAACGGCTCCAGCCCCACCGTCACATAAAAGATACTCTTCACATTCAAGCTCATCAGCTTATCCCACCCGCTCTCGGGGAAGTCGTAGTAGTCGTCTCCCCACGTCGCGCCCGTGTTATTCACCAGCACGGTCAGCCTGTCGACTCTGCGCTTGACCTCCTCGCAGAGCGCCACGCAGCCGGCTTTGTCTTTGAGATCTGCGACGATGTATTCGCAGCGTCCGGGGCCGAGGGAATTGAGGCGCGAGGATGTGGATTTCAGCTCGGGTTCTTTGCGCGAGGCGATTATGACGTGGGAGCCGTTTTGCACGAATGCTTGGGCTGCCATCTCGCCGAGCCCGGTCGCGCCGCCTGTTACGAGCACGATGTGGTTTGAGAAGTCGAAGAGCGTGGAGACGCGGAGGTCGTCTTTTGCGGCTTGGTGCGTCATCGTGGATGTGGCTCGTAGTTAACGAATGTCGGCAATGCCCGTGGGAATGGACGGAGAGGATGGGAGAAGCTAGCTGTAGGTGAGCGATTGACGGGTTAGTGGGGATGAGGACGAGGTGATCTGGGTGTTTATGTATGTTTTGTCATGACTAGAGTTGTGCGGCATAGCTGTTGTGAAGAGCTTGGACGAGCCGAGGTAGGTTGGGATTGTGGCACGGAAATAAGTGAGGGGGCACTAGTCTATTGTGGAAAAGTGGCTTGGATGGATAGAAACGCAATTGGGATCTTAGGAGTGTAGAGGAATGAATGTATTATCAGTGATTGTTAAGAGACTTGAGGCAGACGGCCAGGGTCTACGCGGAGATCGAAGATGCCCCCCGGGAAGGTCTGACCACGTGATATATGCACCTCCCTGTGCAAAATAGCATAAGCGTCCGTTCAACGTAGACTCCACGAAAGAAGAAGCACAGCAAGGCGAGGTCCAATCACTTTTCATTCCATCGCGCATAGATATATTCACCATATTGACTTTCCTTCGTACGCCTTCCAACCAAGATCATCCAACGATTCCATGAACCATGAAGAGCAAGTAGCCCTTCCGATTCAACACCATTCACCCTTTTGGTAAGCGATTTGGGGCAGAAACGCCGCGACCAATAACCCCCGTCTATACATATACAGTTGCACCACCCTAGAGCGTGTGGTATTCGCGGAAAGGAAGAGAAGTGTCATATCGTGATAGAAAGTGCCCTACGTGATATCCCAAGCCAAAAGTGCCAGCCGTGCGCCGTGCTGTTCGTGCGATGAAGAATATGGGGTATGAGTATATGTTCAAGAAAAGGGGGAGGAAGATGGGTCAAGTAAGATTGAAGGTATGACGAGCGAGGTGAAGGCAAGCTCATCTCATGCCGCGCTATGCCATGCAAGTGGGGAGATATCGGAAGAGCAAGTTAGAATCATTTTCAAAAATCCTCGGAATGCAGGTACAAAAGAAAATTGAAGTTATGCCTCCACTGCCTGGGACCTAGGCCCGGAGACGTTGACACGCTCGGCACCTGAATCTTCCTCGTCGCTCGTCGCACCGTGGGTCGACCTACGCTCCTTCCTGGGCGACCCCTTAGGTGATTCTTCTGCGATCTCACTCATCTCAGAGTCTGCGTCTGAGTCGGTGTCATGCCCATTGATGGATTTTCGATAGGTGGTCGGAGTGATTGTCTGGGAAGATACGTGGCGTTGCTTTCGAGTTTCGGATGACGACGGGCGCGGAGTGCCGTCGTCAGGCTCTTTGGTCGAAGGTGTGGCCAATATGGTAGTGGTGCTGTCACTGATGATGCTACCATCCTTCTCGTCCGCCGAACCGGCCTCTTGCATCGTCTCTTGGGCTTGCTTTCTTATCTTCAATCTCTCCTCGGCAGGAGTGTTATGCCAATCAGGACCGAACTGGATGACAGATGCTTTCTTGCCGTGGACCGTAAAGCTGCCGTGGGTGCGTGCGAGCCCTTCACTTTCCTGGGTATCATCACTGACGACTGTGGAAGCAGAGTCTCTGGCTTTGTGGCCCCGGCGGTGAGAGCCGCTGCCATGCGAGTCTCGCAATGTTCTATGTAGACTTCGTCTGACCTTAGAGCGAGATTCAGGGGATCCCGTGAAGGCAGCAGGAGGTTGATCGACATCCGATTCAGATTCACCATCCAGACGCAGTCCGTCGGTGGCGGGCATTTCTGGCGTCTTCTGTTCTGCTTTCTCGCTTTCGATCGGGGGCGGCGTAGCATATCGCGATCCTGCATCAGAGGCACCGTCCGAGCTTACTGCTGTATCATCGACAATTGACACAGAAGGCCGGTGATCGCGCGGAAAGAGCCTGGGAGACTGCGCGGTAGAGCTGGTCATCGATGCTCGGTGGATCGAGGAACGAGGACTTAGGGAAAGGGGAGGAAGGGTGAAATGGGCTGATGGATGGTTCGGGCTGGACTGCCGAGAGGTTTCCGGGGGTGTCTTATAGGCATCCTCACCAAAATCAGTGTCACGAGACGACTTTGTCCCAGGCCGAGCAGAGGATGCAGCGGGGGATAGGGGTGGTTTGTGTCCGCCCGTGATAGAACTCCCTTTAGAGCTTAGACGGGCGAGTGAACCCAACTTCGACGCCTTAGTGGATTGCTGGGGTGTGAGTTGTGGCTGCGATGGCTGGGAAGATGATGCCCTGCGCTCAGCCTTGGTGGGGCCCTCCGTGGTGGGAAGTCTCTCTTCTTCCAAAACTTGGGCGAGGATGTCGCGATGGCACTTCATGCGCCATATTTCGATGCGAGACCACTTCAACTTCGCAGCTAATCGACCCGCGGCATGGATAACGAGATCTCTAGTCTTTGGTTGAATAGGCGCTAGAATCTGGAGATGCCTCGCGTCTCTGAGGCGAGCCTCGAGTTGCTTGATGGAGTGGGTAAGCCTATCTTCAGATTCAGTAATCCGTCGTTGCATCAACTCTCGTCGAGCTTTCCTCATCTGCTGCTGAAATTCCTTGTCAATCCCGCCGCTTCGGTGAGTGACATCGCCAGTCGGCGAGGATATGGTCTTGGCTGAATGCGAGGATTCTAACCGCCGGATTGCGCGATTCCTCTGGCCTTCGTACAGGTCTCCTAAGAGCCCTCGCGGTCTGACGCCCAGGGTCTCAAAGGCTGCCGTATAGTTCAGCAAGCTGACCCAGTCATTGAGGTCTTTCTCGCTATCGGCCAGGAAGGTCTCCTCACCAGCCTTCGAAAACATAACAAAGGCGTTCTTGTGCTTTTTGTACGTATTGTCCACCAGAGCTACAGCTCCGTCCATAGGGATAATGTGATCTTGTTTGAAGTCTTGCAGGGGAGGCTGGAAGACAACTGGGCTCGACTCTCCGTGTTTTTGATGAGTGTCGTGCTGATGCATCAAATTCTTGGCCCAACTGGAGTTGCGGAACAAGGAAAGGCCTGAGCGAGTGAGAACCGCGCCCCACTCCTGCCACGGCGACCGTGCTTTTTTCCGTTTGGCATCCTTTCTCCAAAGGACACCAACCTTAGTCACGGGCATTTCGACAATGCCCACCGACGTTTCCAGCGGATTCTCCTGGGTATCTTGCGACATGAACGCTTCAGGCCTTGACCGCGAAGAGACGATCTGGATGATGCCATATCTTGAGAACGATTTCCAAAGGTTTCTGGTGTCAAGGGTCGGGGCTGTCCCGAGGTAATTGTATGGGTCGTCCAGGTTCATCACGTCCCTAATGTTCGGGCGTAAGGCGTCGAGTTTGCCTTCGAAGATAAGAGTATATGGATCTATTGGTTCCCGGGTCGCCTTCTTCGCCGGATCGGCTATTGGGCCTTTGAGAACAGCTGCCCGCTTGCTTCGGCGGGAGGATATGGCTTTCAGATCGACTTCATCCTCGATGTGGATGAAGGGGGTATATACAATGTTGTCGTAGATACATCCTAGGACGTCTTCGGAGACGCCATCGCAGGACGAATTTTTGATGTAGTCGCCTCTCTGCATCTTTCGCTTGTTGTTTTTGTTGAAAACGTCCGTATGCAAAATCACGATGGAGAAGGAGATGAAATACGCCTTGTCTACACGTTGTTAGTAAATACAGGAGATAGATGATGGGGCTAGAGGCGGACCTGGATTAATGTAAATGCCGGGGTTGCATTCGTGGTATCGATCTGCGAACCCTTGCAGGACGCGATCAATCTGTTGTGTCTCCTTTGGTAGCTCGACCTGCATGAGCAGCTTTCGTATGGCCATGTCTATTGGGTCGCCAAAGAAAGCGAATCTTCGCATATAGCTCCGCAGCACCGCGAGCATGAATGGGTCGTCGGTCTTGGTGAGGTAGCTAGGGATAGCGCTCTTCTCGATGTTGTTCTCCTCCATTCGCTCGAGGTAATGACCCGGTGTCTCCCCTTCCTCGCGTTGGGGTAGGACCAATGCTTCGCGGCTGATATTTAGCGAGTTCTGGTGAGACGACAAGCCCGAGCCTACGAAGCCGTGGGCGGGAGAGCCGTGCCTAGGGGAATGTGGTTCGGAGTTCTGACGGAATCTAGAGCTCAAGCCAAATAGATTGCTCAGGCTACTTCTTCCGGCTGTCGAGGTTGAGTTCCTTCCGCTTGTGGCATACGGTGGCGTCGGTGGCGGAGCGTCGTCGGAGCGGCCGCCCAGAGAACCCATCGTGGATGACCGACCCCGTAATCCGAGACGCCTTGGAGCTCCAGCATTCGGCGATGAGCGCGAGGAGCGCACAGACTTGGTGGAATCGTTCCGAAGGAGAGACCCTGCGCTGGGTGAGGTAAGATTCAGAGAGGCAGCGGTCAAGGCCACTTGCGAAGGCGAAGGCATGGGTGGCGTCTTCGCCCCATTCTCAACGTCGTGCAGGCGCGAGTGGTTGAATGCGGTCAACGGGGGACTCTCTCCACCAGGAGAGTGATGGGCGGAGCCGCTGCTCACACCGCTGGTGGAAGCCCGTGGGGTCGCTGGCGCAGTATCAGGAAATTCGGGAGGAGAAATCTTCATAGGAAGAGGGAATAAGGATGCGCGCTGCTTCCGCCGGCCAAACCCGAATCGCCCGGAGCTCGTCTTCGAAGTCGGCCGCGGTCTTGGAGTGTGCTCGAAGGAGACATGGCCACCAGAGCTGCCATCGGAGCGTGACGATTCGGACGCCCTAGGAACGGGAAGGGACAGCGTGGAGGTGGCTTCCGCGGATTCGTGGGGGGATTCGGTAAGCGTGTCCGGGCGCTGGCTCGTCGACAGTCGCGACGGGTCCTCGACCAGATTGTTCTGGCTCCGCATGAAGCCAAACGGGCCCCTCTTGATATCCGCGCTGCTCTTCTTGTCCATCGACTTGCGCAGGATGCTCGGCCGCTCGGCTGACCCCGGATCAAACGAGCGTCTTCGCAGGCTAAATTGCTGCAACCTCCCTCTCTTCTTCGGCGCGGCCTCGTCCTGTTCGCCCTGCTCGACCATTGTGGGCGCGGTGGTGATGATTGCGGGCGCTGTGGTAAGGTACGTCAGTGCTGATCGCAATTAGGTACGCTCGTGGGGAGCGGCATACTACCTGCGGCAGCGGGCACGGCTGGCACCGGCGGTGCGTCTTCGGCGGCCTGCTCTTTCGCCTTCACCGACAGCTGCGATTCGGAGGCATTCCGGAACCTCATCAGACTGAAGCGGCGCGTATTGGGCGTGTGCTCCTGCACGGGCGGGGAGGGCGGAGGGCCGTCGTGGTCTGCCCGGGCGCCATCCTCAGACACAGCAAGATGGTGGCCCGCCAGATGCTCGGCCGACTTGTTCAGCCGCGACTTGTCGCCGAGCTTGAAGAGCCCGGCCGGGTCGAGGGTGCTGCGGCGGTGGAGGTCTTTTTCGCTGCGATTAGGACGGAGGGGCCGCAGAGGCATTGCGCTCGCGTGGACTAGCAGCTCATCTATGCAGCTGTGCGTCGTACAGCGCGGGACATGGCACAGTCGGGGGTGGAGATGGCGGAGGAGGTCAGGATGGGGTCGGATGTGCGCTGGTCGTAAGGCTGAGGTCTGCCAGGGTCTCTTCGCTCTACTGCAGTGGTTGGCCGGGGCAGAGGCTGGGGAGAGTGAAGGCTCGACAACGCGACTCTGTCACGTCAATGCTAGCAGCAAGTGAATGTGAAGTGCCAGCAACGGCTGCGGAGAGTGTCAGGGCTGTCAAAAGGGCCGCGGCGCATCTGGCACCCGTATGCGCCGTCCAGATGGCCGAGCCAACTGGTCGGTGCTGGGGCCCTTATGTCATCCGCAGCTGCCCTCAGGCATCCACCAATTGCGCCTTCATTGTCGCGGTGCACACGACCACAGCACTTCCACCCATGGTCGCTGGCCCCATTATTCCCCAGATTCTTTTAAGCGCCCTTTGTAGCCTTACATTCTCGCTATGCGCCAGCCAACATTCGCCGTTCTGAGCCTGCTGCTCCTCTGTCCCTCGCTCATCGCTGCCGCCCCGCACGAGTCCACACGGTACCACCGCGATCTCAGTACCGCCGCCACGACCCACAACACACCGCGGCCCTGGCGTAGATTGTCAGATGCCATAATTAGGAGGATATGGCGGCTCCCAGACAGGCACAGGAGCGTGGGTGCCGGTAGCGACGGCACTGAGGCAACGGGTGACACGCCCGACCGCAATCTGCTCGCGCGGTATGGCGAGGACATGGTGCTGCGCTTCAACATCAGCAATGCGGAGGAGGCGTCGGCCCTTGCGGAAGCTTCCGATATCCTCTTCCTCGACGTGTGGGAGTTCAACGAAGACTGGGTCGACATAAGAATAGCAAAGGATGTGGTGAGTCCAAGCACGTTTGTTAGCTATCCAGCTCTCGTCTTACGCGAGAGATAGGTTCCTTCGCTGCTCGGTCTTCTGCCGCCGTCGCTCCAGAAAGCCCACGTCCCCCTGATGCAGGACCTGGACCTTGCTCAAGCTATTTTCGATTCATACCCCTCGCCTTCTGCCACGCAGCCACACGACGGCGACCGCTCATATTCTCCGAATCTCAAGCCCGGGCGCCACCATTCCGCTAAAGGACACCCCTTCTTCAAGGACTACCAACCCTTATCCGTCATTAACCCGTGGATGAGCCTCATGGCCTCCATGTTTACTACACACGTTCGTCGAATCACCGTGGGCATCAGCTACGAGGGCCGCGACATTCCAGCTTTGCGTGTAGGCGTTCACCCCACCAACAACGACCAGGCTTCATCTCCTCGTAAGACGGTTCTCGTTACCGGAGGGGCTCATGCTCGCGAATGGATTTCTACTAGCACTGTCAATTACGTCGCCTGGAGTCTGATCAATGGATACGGCAAAGACCGCCAGATCACTAAACTGCTTGAGCAATTTGACTTTGTCTTCGTTCCAACCCTCAACCCTGACGGATATGTCTACTCCTGGGAGACAGACCGCTTGTGGAGGAAGAATCGGCAGCCGACAAGCCTCCGTTTCTGTCATGGCGTAGACCTCGACCGCAGTTATCCGTTCAGATGGAACGGCGATATAAAGCCGACAAATCCTTGCAGCGAGTCCTTTGCCGGTGATGCACCTTTCGACGGCGTTGAAGCCCAGCGCTTCGCCGAATGGGCCAAGAACGAAACCCTGAACAACCACGTCGAATTTGTTGGTTTCTTAGACCTCCACAGCTACTCCCAACAGGTTCTGTACCCATATGCCTACTCGTGCCATGATGAGCCCCCCACCATTGAGGACCTCGAGGAACTTGCGCTCGGTTTGGCCAAGGCAATCCGAATATCGCGAAAGGGACACATGTACAAGGTTACTTCAGCCTGCGAAGGAAATGTCGCCTTGTCGAAGAATGCGAAGGATAAGAAAGACAAGGTCATTCTCCCCCGCATCGAGTCGAGTGGAGGCAGTGCTCTCGATTGGTTCTATCACGAACTCAGAGTCAAACATGCTTTCCAGATCAAACTACGGGACACGGGAAGCTACGGCTTCCTGCTGCCGAAAGAGAACATCATCCCAACAGGAGAAGAAATTCTCGACGCAATCCTTTATCTCGGTCGTTTTATGCTAGGCGAGATCGGGTTCATGGCTGAAGCACCTACGCAGACGGAGCTTGTGAAGGAGCCTCAGCAGGATAGGGATGGCGAAGACGACGAATGGGGCGATTCGCCATTGGAGTTGTGAGCGTTACCGATTATTCGATTCTTGTATTGATACCAGGATACGGCTTTAATCCAATTTGTTGAAGACTTTCCAACCCCTGTATTCCAGTCAGTGAGGCTTTTCGCATGTGAGTTCTCTTTATTACCTATGCTGGAGTCATGGACCAAACTGCGGATTCTTGCTGATCCCTGGCATACTTTGTGCTGGGGAGTGGCTTTACATTATAGCGAAGATGATCTGACGGTCTGTCTGAGGGCTAATAAATGCAGCCAGAAGTGTGCCTTCGAAACGTTCTCTGGGGGAGTTTCCGTTTGGTTGGCGATACACTAGCCTGAGACACTCGCCCGTGCCGCCACGTTTATCCAGGGATTGATATTGCGGCTCTCGAAAGCTTTGTCCGGGCGATGGTTCACACGCCACTTTCAAGGCTCCGAATAATATTCGTGCACGTGCGTCATCGGACGATCTCGGAGTGCCCCGCATCGAAGTGCGGCTCTTTGCCGGCAACGTCATCTTTCACAAGCCGAGCTTTCACCACGAGCCATGATTCACATGAGCTCGTGAGAGCAGTCGTCACACGATGTCACCGCCCAGGATTCGGTCAAAGTTTGACAATGCGAATTCTCGAAGCGTCTGCGATGGGCAAGAAATACCTGGCCTGACCAACCAGCTCGGAAAACAATTCCTGAGCTGCCGATCTCAGGCCGAAATCTTCAACTTCCGCTCGTCCACCGCGCGGATCTGGGGTATAGTTCGCCTTTCTGCCCGCCAAGCATCACCGATACGCCGAAATGCACGATGCGGGACGAACGCGCGCTCTTCCTGTCCAAGCATCGAGTCTGGGCTCACGCAGGGCCGAGGCTCGGGCGGAGCAATCATGTCCTCGCACCCGCGGATGGCTGGCAGCTAAAAGAATATGACTGACATGATTTCCTTGCTCTCGATTTTTGGTCGTCTCTCTTTCGCTTTTGTCTCTGCTTTCGTCTGCCTCGTGCTGCTTTCCCATTGCATCTGGGGCGGTTTCTTTGTTCATATTTCAAAGCCGAGGAATTTCATAGCTAGCCATAGCTCCAGAACCGGGGAAGAGCTCGGAGGAGCACACCCACGCCGCGTCATTATTACTGTCCCAGATCCCCACGTTCGAGCTCCACAGCTCCGTTCGACCTTCGCTTTTACGCTGCTCTTCCTGAGCGCGTAGCTCACAACCACACATCATGTCTGCGAAGTCAACACAGGGACCAGGCGGCAAGCCGCCCGCTTCCGCCGCCACCAACTTGATTGGTATGCTTCAAGTAGCTGGATTAGAAGCTCTACGAGCTCGGGTTACCCAATGCTAACATTACTTGCGCAGCTGGTGGAGGTGCCGGTATGATGGAAGCGCTCGCGTGCCATCCTCTCGGTAAGCGCATCTCCATGCGGGAGTTCAATCCAGATTGAATAGAGCTCACACTGCGTTTAGATACCATAAAAGTTCGAATGCAGCTGTCCAGACGAGCCCGTGCACCAGGAGTAGGTCTCCTCCCACAACGCTTCCGACGCATCTCCGCCTCAGCCACCCAGAGCGTACATAGCTGACAGCATTGGTTCCAGGTTAAACGACGCGGGTTTCTCCAAACTGGAGCTGAGATCGTGAAACGGGAAACTCCGTTGGGTCTTTACAAAGGCCTCGGCGCAGTTCTTACAGGCATCGTACCGAAAATGGCGATACGATTTACGAGCTACGAATGGTACAAGCAACTATTAGCGGACACTAAAGGCAATGTTACTGGGCAGTCTACTTTCTTGGGTGAGTTATAATTTCTTCTGCTGTCGGAACCTTGCTTTGAACATCTCTCTAGGCATCTTGTAAGATTCACTAGTTCTGGTCCCCAGCTTTCATTTCATCGAAGTTTTGGTCAACATATACTAATAACATTTCAGCCGGTCTCGCCGCTGGTGTTACCGAAGCCGTCGCCGTCGTCACTCCCATGGAAGTGGTCAAGATCCGACTACAAGCCCAACACCACTCAATGGCGGATCCCCTCGACATCCCCAAGTACCGCAACGCTGCGCATGCTCTCTATACAGTTGTCCGCGAAGAAGGAGTGGGCGCTCTATACCGTGGCGTATCCTTGACAGCACTTCGGCAAGGGTCAAATCAAGCAGTAAACTTCACCGCGTACTCGGAGTTCAGAGCAGCACTCCAGAAATACCATGGGCAAACAGACTTGCCCGGCTATGAGACCATGTTTATTGGCCTGGTGTCTGGTGCTATGGGCCCCTTGAGTAATGCGCCGATTGATACAATCAAGACGAGGCTGCAGAAAACGCCCGCGGAGCCGGGTCAGACTGCTATTCAAAGGATCCTCAATATCTCGAAGTAAGCACTTACATTATCTCTCGTACTCGAAGGCGACACATGCTGATCCTAGGAACAGGGACATGTGGAAGCAGGAAGGAAGCCGAAGTTTCTACAAGGGTATCACGCCTCGCATCATGCGTGTCGCCCCGGGCCAAGCCGTCACCTTCACTGTCTACGAATACCTGAAAGGCGTGCTAGAAAAGGGCAGAGAAATGCTGCCTGGTGGAAACTACGAGGAGTAACCCGGCGTGGAGATTAATAAGGGTTTAGGGATGATATCCGCGGCGCAGATCGATTTGGGCCGCATCCAGCATCGTTGTTGATTCCGTTGTATATACGCACCGTTTTTTAAAAGCACTCTCATGGACATTCAGGAGTGGTAGACAGCATCCAATTAGAGGAGCGATCCATCGCCAAGGCTGCTTCATCCCACCTGCCCCGCCCCACCACCACCCATCATAAACACAGCTTCGACTTCTTAACGCCCACCACTACAGCACAATTGCATCTCGTCGAAGCCTTCCCTTTCCATAAGTTTCTCCAGCCTGATTCGACCTCACTATCTGAAGTCGCAAACATGCAATCAGGCATCTCTGGTAATCATCTCCCAGTCCGCCTCCTCCGCATACCTAACCTCCGCCCCCAGCATCCCAAGAACTGCGCACCGCCCTCGATACCCTCCTAACCTCCTCCTCCCAGCGCGGCCTCGTCGCCACAATATCCAACGAAACCATCGTCCGGGGCCCCACCATCCCCTCGTCCTCCCCAACCTTCCTCGCCGACCTCGCAAACCTAACCCCCCACATAAAACCCACCGAAGCCCTATACATCCTGCTCCGGCGCGCTGACAGCGTCGCCTCCCCCGACAAATCCCTCGTCGCAGTCACATACGTCCCGAATGCCGCGCCGGTGCGCCAGAAAATGCTGTTCGCTAGCACACGCCTGACGCTGGTGCGCGAGCTGGGCGCCGATCACTTCGCGGAGAGCATCTTCTGCACGGAGGCGGCCGAGCTGACCGAGGGCGGGTGGGAGAAGCACGTCCAGCACACCGAGAGCGAGAACCCGCTCACGGAGGAGGAGCAGAGTCTGAAGGACATCAAGGAGGCCGAGGCGCTGGAGTCGCGCGGCACGCAGGGCCAGAGCCTCGTGCAGGGCGGGCGGCTCGCCATACGCGCGGACGCGGACATTTCGTCTGCGTTGAAAACGCTCGGCGAAGGCGGTAGCGACAATCTGGTCCAGCTGCGCATGGACGTGCCGACCGAGACGCTGCAGCTTGTTTCCTCTTCTCAAGTCTCGCTGTCCGAGCTGGCCTCCGCGATCGATGCGACGGAGCCGCGGTTCTCGTTCTACCGGCATAGCGATGCGGAGTCGAGTATTGTTTTTATTAGCACGTGTCCGAGCGCGGCGAAGATTAGGGAGAGGATGCTGTATGCAGCGAGTCGGAGTAATGTGATTACGCTTGCGCAGAATGAAGGTGGGTTGAAGGTGGCGAAGAGGATCGAGGCTACGAATCCGGGGGAGGTTACGGAGCAGGTTATTGCGGATGAGTTTAGGGCGGAGGAGAAGGAGGAGAAGAAGGGATTTGCGAAGCCGAAGAGGCCGGGACGGAGGTAGCGTGGGCGTGAATGGAATAGAGACCTCGAGAGAAGCTGCTGGTCAAGCTTCGTTCTGCACGAGAGGTATGGCTTGATAGAGGGGCGGTTTGGTAGAAAAACGCTGGGTTTGATCACGATTGGATCACGATTGTTGAGGGATGAAACCCCATAGGACGGTGCATGATTTGACTAAGGCAATGCTTTGATTCAGTGTTGATATGCCGCCGTCGAGGGATCCGGAGTGCCAAAGGTATCGCCACTACAATACAATGTAGCACGTCGCAGTACGCGGCCGGCTCCCTATAGCCATCCCCGACATATAGGTCATGCACAGGCGTGTCTATTACACTGCCTGCTAATCCTCGTCCCTCAAGAAGCCACGACTGATCGTCTTTCTCTCCATCCTCGTATTCTCTACCTTCGGCCTCCCCTTCTTATCCCTTTTCTCCGCCCGCCTCCCCTTCAACCAATGCTCCCGGATATTCTTCGTATTCTGGTTTACTTTCGGTGCCAACGCCAAATTCTGCTGGGCCAACACAGAGACATTGACTGATCCCTTCTTCACATCCTTGATAGGTTTCTCGCCGCGCTCCAGGAACTTAATGTGCCGGTTCAACTTCTCTTGCCGTATTTCTTCGGCAGTCTTTCCCTGACGTACGGGAGGCGGGGTGGGTGGACGCTTGTCGCCCGCGGCTTCGAGGATGGAGTCCGGGAGGAGGGCGGGGAGGTTGTTGATGTCGACGTCTAGGGATGTCGACAGAGGAGATGCGACGCGTTGCGGCTTGGCTTGGGTCTTCTGGAGTCTTCTCGCTTCCTTCTCTTCTCGCTTTCGCTTCTCTGCTTGCTCCTCTGCGATCCGCTGTGCGCGCTGCTGTCTCTTTAGTTGTTCCTTTTCTTGCTGGGCTCTGTGAGCGCGGGCAGCTTCCTTCTCAGTGGCTATTGCCTTTGAAGCTGCAGTAGCGGTGGTGACCATCTCGGGCGCTTCATCGGAATCGCTTCCACTGGCATCGTCCTCGCCTTCCATCAACGCGTCCGCCTGCAGGGCTTCGAAAGCTTCATATCGGGCGTGGCCTTGCTTATTCATCTTAACAGCATCTGGACTGTCTGTTGGCTCTTCGCTACCAAATCGCATATGTGTCTTCCGCGACTCAGGTTCGGGGGCAGGGGCGGAATCTTGCATGGTGATGGAGGCCTCGTCGCTCTCCCAGGTCGATGAAGGAACCTCATCGGGATATTTGGGTTCAGACCTTTTAGGCTCTAGAGGGAGCGAGTCACGCGACGTATGTTTCGTCGCGTTCCTATCACGCTTTTCTTTACTACCCGCTGACGTCCGCGCTTGGACCTTACCAGCGTCCTTGGGAGTCGAAGGGCCTTCATTCTCTTCCGTCGCTTCTGGAGCCGCATCCACAGACCTGGATTCCACAGTGATCTTTGGACTTGCCCGATGGCTGGTCGGTGTCTCCGCCTCGTCATTCGGGCTATCACTATTTTCTTTTGCTCTTATTGGAACGGCAACCGCAATCGTATCAAAGACCTGGTTATCCGGCTCTTCCACAGGCTCGTCATCCTGCACCTGGGCATCTTCTGCCTCTTTTGGAGCCTCGTCCTCATTCTCTACCAAGTGTCTCCTCCTCTTACTAGACGTAGGTGTCTCATCCACATCCAATTGTCGCTTTCCTGTTCCTTTTCTGGTGGACCTTCGCGGTGCATTCTTCACTGGAGTGCTCGTCTCCCTTCCTCTTCGCGTTGTGACCATCCCGACCTTTGGCTCAGGCTCGTGCTCGTAACTTCGTGGTGTGGTTTCTCTTGTGTCTTCTACCCTGCTCTGTACCGACGGCGAGCGACTGAGGACTTTTCTGGTGGCGTTAAAGACTCGCGCAAACATGACGGTTGGGGAATATACAAAATTTGTACTGCCAAGCAGAAAGTTCGAGCGGGGTCGGATTTATTTTTCTCCTAGCGCCTGCCCGGACCTCCGCTGAAGCTTGAGCTCAGAGCTCCTCCATCATCCCACTAGGATGTTTTCTTGTCTATAATTTGCTAATGTCCTTCCGTCCGACAATATCTCGGTCTCTTAGGCCGTCTCTCAGATCTGAGCCCTGTATCTTCTGTCAACTGCGCCAACACTCTCAAACCATCCGTCGCTATGCATCCGCAAAAGCGTTTACTGGGCGGAAATGGGAACCAAGCGGGAAGAATCCCCAGGAGATGCGAACCAACAATCGGCTCGAATATTTTAATTCGGCCAAAGATCTGCTTGCCGTGAAACCCAACGTAGCTGACCGGATTGTCGCCGAATTTGAGGCCGCCTCCAAGGATAAGGTTGACCCTGCGACCAATGTGCGGCAACTAGCCAAAAGTATGTCCCATTCTCAGTTCAAAGGGCTTGCCACTGATCTAGCTCTAGAATACAAGCTGCAACTAGGAGACCTCACATACATTGCCATTCCAATCCTTCGAATACCCGACGTAAAAGATCCGAACGCACGCCTTCCGCCCAGCCAGCACCCAAATATAGCCGCCCGTCTCCTTCTCGCATGCAGTGCCGCTAAAGAGTACTTAGCGACTCTGCAGATACTCAGCGCCGTATATCTCAGCACCATGGACGGCTTCCCAACAGCTAAAGACATTGTCCGTCTTTTCTCGACGGCCGAGATCGACGAGTGCAAGAGAATGCTGGAGACATTAGCAGAGGAAGGAAACACGGATGCTATGACATTGCAAGGGCAGTTCTTGGAAAGAGCTGGTCAACAGCAGCAAGCACAAGCTTTGTACGAAAAGGCCTTGGAGAAGTGCGACACGAAGTTCAATCCGATGATTCCGCATCCGATGGCGGAACCTAGAATGCCTCCATGGACCGCTCTAGGGCTGATGATGCAGTCTAAAAATACTCCTCAGGCGCGAGCTAAAGCCAAGGCGGCTTTTGAGAAAGGGGCCGTCAAAGCCGATGATCCGCTTGCCTACTACCATCTCGCCTCTTTTGAAAATGGTAGGAACACAAACTGGCTGAAATACATGAACAAGGCCGCCGCCTCGGGTCATTTAGAAGCCCAGTACAACCTCGCAAACTTCTACATGGACGTTGGAATGGATAAGACTGCTCTTTCAAAGGATCGCAAGATTACCCGGGCTATTACATGGATGACACAGTGGAGACAAGGCAGTGCTGACAATCTCGCACGTGAGTGGTTCAAGGTCGCTGCTGACAGCGGTCATAAGCCTTCGATGCTGGAGCTAGCCGAGCTCTATGGCATCGAAGGTGATGAGGAGAAGTCCAAAGATTATTTGCGACGCATGGCAGAATCTCCTCCAGCTAAGAAGACGGAGAAGTGGCCGCAGCTGGCCGAACTGGCAAGAAAACGGCTTGCTGGGGTGAAGATTGCTTTTCCCAGGCCTGTGTAAGAAGCCCGCAAGTCTTGTGCATGTATTTCAAACGTACATCATTCGAGATACCCCAGAGTCGCATTTGAACCCTCCATTTGCGTCCGCTTCGTTTCTTACTTCTTCATACTCTCGACACCCTTCGCAAACTCTCCACAAGTGGTACAGAATCCAAACGTTTTCGCAGCATTAAACTCAAAGCATTGCTGCGCGAACTCCGGACTCGTTGTCCCGCATCCATCGCTCAGCAAAATGCAATCATATCCCTTACTGAACGAGTCCGTGAACGACCCTCCAACGCACTGGTCTGTGTTCACGCCCGTAAAGAAGAGCGTCTTGATTCCCTCTTTCTCGAGGAACTCTTCGCAGTCGGTCTTTGAGCCCCACATCCCGCTCATTCGGTTCTTATGGATCCAGACATCTGGGTTGTGCGGGAGCTTCGTGCCCTCCTCGTAGATAGAGGCCAGCGGTGGATAGAGTGCCGCGTTCCACGTATCCCGCATAAGCAGACGTCCTGCGTCTACCTTCTTCCCGTCATCCAGCTCCACGGTTCCGCATTCAGCTCCCAAACCTCGATACATAGCCCCATTCTTCCCGTTTTCCAGCAGCACATGGCCACCCTGAAATCTCACATCCCCAAACTTGTCCACGCTCACGCTGTTCTCGCCTGCGCTGAAGTCCTCCGCAAACTCCTCTTCTGCCGGGATAGAGAAAAACCCAAACGCCCTCTTCACCGCCGGCGGCATCTCCTTTACATCTTTCTCCGTAAGCCCCCAGTTCAGCCAGATAGTCCTCATGCCAGCTTTGCGCGCAGCGGGGATAGCGTGCTTGATGAGTTGCTCACAGGCCGCGTGTCCTGGACCTCGGTTGCGTCCGAAGGACTCGGAGAGGAAGAAATTTTGCATGTCGATGATGACGAGGGCAGACTTAGAGGGGCTGATTGTTATGGGGGAGGTTGTGGTTTGTATGGTGACCTTGGGCTCCAGGGTAGATGCTGTGGGGGAGGAGGGGTGCGTGAGGTCGAAGCCATGGCTGGTGTGGTGGAGCCAGAAGTTTGATGGGGAGCCGATGAGGGCTTTGCGGTGTTGGGAGGCGAGGGTGGAAGACATTTTGGTGGGTGAAGCAAATGGCTTGCCGGAGGAAACAATGAACTAGAGAGGTTTAACGGAAATAACAAGTTGCCCCAAGGATTCCAAGCCCTTTTCCAAGTCCTTTTTTGCGTTCAGTGCTTAAGAGAGGGCTCGTAAACCCAGCGCGTCGATCTCCAGGACACGGACGAAGCGAGAGGGAACGCTAGAATGACCGAAGAGAAAAGAGACGTAGATATATCACTGCTTACCGCCGTAAAGGGAAGGTCTTAATAGTAAGCATACATCTCGATCGCCACTTCTGCCGCATGATTGTAGATAAGAAACGATCCCGTCTCCTAGCTCTTTGCCGCTGGCGGGGTAGATGTGCTATTGTCGGCAAATGCGACTCCCGCGGCCGTACGCAATGTGCACCCTATCTATACCTCAAACCTTGGGAAATCCGGGGAGAAGCATAGAAAGTTTATCAGATTTTAAAACGAAGTTTGAGAGGGCCTTGGAAAAGGTGTAGTCCTATGGCGCTAGTCCATATGTAAAGGAAGTGCACGATCCCGGAAATGTACATGCAAACGGGGGGTTTTCAAATAGATGATTAAGACTACAATACCCTCTCCTTCACATGCGAAGTTGTCGCAGTAATATAAGATCGTGCATGTTGCAAAAGCAAAGTAAATGCTGGAGGGATTAGTCAGCCATTAGTCATTAGCGCGGGTGGTCCCCAAGCCTGGCGTCTCAGCCTTCTCCCACTCGTACCAGGCACATTTTGACTCCTCCGCAAATCCGCGAATTCCTCTTCATCTTTATGGATTTGACGCACCGTTGACTATCCGAACAATAGGCAAGGGATGGATCTAACGGTTTCAGATGTTTTCGCAAGACGGGGACACTCGCTGCCTACGTCTAGTCCTTATATCCTAAGGGGAGGCTTTGCAGTTTTCATCTGCAGATAACGACGATGATGCATGCTCATGGGTTCGCTTAATGCTTCACCGGCAACGCTATGGTCGCAGAAGAGCGAGACTGATGGCAACAGGACCTTCTCAGCCAACCATGAAGTTCAGCCTTTCCTCTCCGCACCAGTCAAGTTTCGTCAAGAAATAAGCCTGGCGCGTAGAGGCGGTTGTGGCTTACAACACTGACCAGGGAGTATGCAGAACGCGGGGCTGTGCTTCCCGATAGGAATGTTAAATCCTCAGCCTACTCCACCTGTCTAAGAAGATCCCCGACATCAACCCCATCATCGTCAGTATTGCGCAGAAAGTCATGGCATCGCAGCAGGACGCCAGACTGCTAATTAACACTATCCGGCAAGAGACGTCGTTAGACGGTACCCTTGGCCAGAGCACGATCGCATCAGTCATCCGCAATGCACTTAAGATGTGAGTGTTCTCGGAGTACTGTCTTAGGTAATTCCTGATGTCGCCCAGATTATCAGAGCAGATGTACGATAAATCTACACACTTTCTCCTCGAACTGCTCCAAAATGCCGACGACAACGCCTATGCGTGCGCAACGCCAACATTGAACTTTTCCTACCGCCCTGGAAGCCTCCGTGTCGATTGCAACGAAGTAGGATTCTCCGAACAAAATGTTAGAGCCATCTGCACAATTGGCGAGAGTACCAAGACAGGACTAAACAGATCCACGGGATACATCGGCGAGAAAGGAATTGGCTTCAAGTCCGTCTTCAAGGTGGCGGACGTTGTATGGATCTCTTCACGACATTTCAGGTTCAAGTTTGACCGCAGACAAGATATGGGCATGATCACCCCACAATGGGAAAGGTTTCCTGAACCGACGAGACCTGGGTACACATCGCTCTACATGAACCTCGCTGCCGAGTATAACGAGGAGGAGCTTGTGAAGGACATCGTCTCGTTCGACCCAACTCTGCTCCTCTTCCTTCGGCGTATTAGAAAGCTCAATTTGTCAGTGACGAGTGCTGATGGGAGCATTTAGTGCACTAGCCTTTCTCGAACCGACACAGTAGATTCTGGTAACACGATGGTCACGCTGAGTCATGGCAGCTCTTGCCAACGGTACCTCATTGTGAGGTACATTGCTACGCACACGACACCAGAAGTCAAACGTCCCGGCTGTGTGGAGTCCGAGGTGTTACTCGCGTTCCCTACTACAAGGCGGACGGAGGATTCTACGAGCACCACTCTGGATGTGTATGCTTTCTTGCCCATACGTGCCTACGGTTTTCAGGTATGTGTCAAGCTTCGCAACTGCTTCTACTTTTTCCACGGACTTACAGAGCTAGTTCATACTCCAATGCGATTTCCTACTGACTGCCAACCGACGGGGAATCGACGAATCTTCGCCATGGAACCGCACATTACGCGATGCAACTGCTGCTGCTTTTCTGCAGTCCATTTCTGAGATCAACGCCGGACCGTTAAAATACGACTGGCCTCGTTTTGTTCTAACAGGAGAGATTTCGCCTGTCTTTGACCCGGTACGTGAGCACATTCTTCAAGGACTCGCTGAGAAGAGGATTCTTGAATCTTGGGGCCGTGAAATGGCTGTTCCGTCGGCGCTACTCTATGTACCGCCGAAATTCCTGGACGAAAAAGGCATTCCTTTCACTCTCCGGCCTACAACTGCTCGGCAGTACCTGTCCCCATTCTACTCCAGTTCGGATTCCGAAGCGCTCGGTCTGATAGGTGTACGCACCCTCTCAGATCGAGACTTCTTAGTGCACCTACAAGCCATGATAGAGTCTAATCCTAGGATAATGCAATCTCGGCCCTGCACCTGGCATGCACAACTATCCAAGGCATTGCTATTGCTTTTTGGCAACATAGAACTGCGAACAATGATCAGCAAAATGAAGTTGATCCCGCTTAGAGACGGCACTTGGACCCAAGCAGCCGACTAGATACTGTTCTTCCCCATGAAAGAAAAAGGTCCCCATATACCGGAAGGCATTTCCATCGACATAATCGAACCCTCTGCAGTAGTCCATTCCGATCGATATGACCTCCTTCGACGGATGGGCGCTCGTGACTGCGATGCCCGTGATGTTTGCGGGCAGATCGCAAAACTGCATAGCGGAGATAACTTCGACGCTCTGAGATTACGTCGAAGCGAACTCATCGCACAGGTGCGTTTCATGCACCGAGCATGCTGGCAGGGCGAAGGGCTCAAGCTGTGGTTTGCAACGAGGAAGGGAGGTTGCAAACGCGGTCCGCAGCTCTATCTACGCGTAGACTCCGGAAAATCGCAGCTATCCGGGATCTCAAAGAAGATGGATACTTCGTTTGAATTCATCCACGATGATTACCTGCACGTTCCTGCGACAGAAAAGGCGGCATGGATATCCTGGTTAAAGAAGACATGCGGTATTTCGGATATTCCTCGTCTTGTGGAACCGGGCACATTGCTCCTCTCTAACGACTTCCGCATCCTCCTTGCTGCTTGCCAGTCTCGGGATATCCTATTCCTGTTACGGGAGAATTGGTCATACTACTCTCAGTGGCTCGAAAATGACGCGGGGGCCTCCCCGATTGCTCATGGTCGGAAGCTACCGGAACAGGTTGCGAAAATGCGTCCCCTAGAGGGCTTGAAGTCGCAGCAAGTTCGGTGCTGTAACAGGTTTTTTGCGTTGGAGAAGACCATCCTTCCGATGCTCGATCCGATGTTGGACAACAAAGCTTGGAGTCCAACAATTGAGCTCTATGATCCGCTCAATACCGGCTGGAAGATTCTATGCCACCTCGGAGTTGCTGTGGAAAGGAATGCGCAATACTACATCCGGTGTCTCGAGGCATTGCGGGGTAGTCATGCCGATGCAACTACCTTGACTCACATATACACACAACTAAGTGTTCGCGACGCCCAGGAAGGCGACTTCATCAGGTAAACCGTACTCCAGGGTCGCCTAGCCTCCACTTTGCTGAAAATTCACAGGGCTGCACTTATGAAAACTCCTCTAATCTACGTATCGTCGACTTTTCACAGTTCAGCTTTACCTTCCTGGAACACTGCTTCCGAATGTATAGCGAAGGGCCTCCGACCCGACTTAGACTATCCTGCCTGCAGGTACTTCTTCCGGTGTCTTCTCATGTGGCACAGTGGCGAGCTCGACCGCCTGCTCGCTCAGCTGTCATACCTGGATCAGTCGACTTCTTTCTCAGATATTTCACGACTTTTCCGGGACATAAGCACAGCCATCCAAGGAGTTTCGCGTATCCGCACGTTTCGGCTGCCCGATAATCTATACCGTAGCCCGATATTTCCCATTACGAAAAATGGGTCGCAGGGCGAATTTGAGTTCCTTGCGGCATTGGTTGACCCATTAGGCTTGCCAAACCCTTGGTTCATCGCAGATCGAGATCACCTAAGGGTCAGCTTCCAAGGCAAGCTCTCCCTGTTGGCATTTAATACAGAAGAGTTGGAGTCGATGGAACATTTTTTTGGAACTATTCGATATGGAAGATCGGAAGTTGTCAATAGCAGTCAAGATGGACGCCAGTCCGCACGGTCACGTCGGTGTGCACAGCTCGTACACGGACTTTCTCAGAGATCGATCCGTCTTTTTACAAGCGTCAGTGAACAACCACTTCGTTAATATGGACTCATTGCTGATACACGTGGTTGAAATAGCTTGATTCCAAAAGCGCACCCTACTCGCCATCAGCTATCCAAGCAACTTGCCAACCTCGTAGTTTGTGTGGCTGCCGAGATCGCTCAGAGCTATACTGTCAAGGTTGAGGGCAATGACGTAGTTGGCACCGTTGAAAGAGGAGACGTCGCCCTGTCGTGCATGGACGGTATGCTTCGAATTTTCATGACGGAGGAATCCGTCTCCTGCGAATGTCCGCCGTACGAATTGATGGACCTCATGGCCAGACATTGCTCTATAGGCCCCCACACAAAGCATCGGTTGCTGGTCTCCCTTGCGCTCTCGGATGATAACATTCACCGAATCCAGACAACATTCCGTAAGGAAGGCGTTAAACTCAATCTTCCTCCTCCAGACGATAGTAAGAGAACCCTCGCTCAGACCGTTTATGCGATCGTCACTGGATGGCTAATCTTGTGTAGACTCGTTGAGGCCAGAGGTCCAGGCAAAGCGCTATGCTGGGGCTTCCGGTGATATCCCTTCCATCCCCTCTCCATTTGGCTATACTCAGAGAGCGCCCGTGGATGCTGGAAATGCACGCTATATTCCTTCTGAAAACGAAAGAGCTGATAGGATATGTCTCTTGACAACAGAGGAAATTACCCAGCATGAGCAGGGTCGACTACCGGGAAAGGCTCAGTACGAAAAACCATCCACATTGCTGCTTTTCAGCACTACGAGAAGAACGGATGCTTCTTTTCTTCAGGATATGCTTCAAAGCTGGCCGGCTGTTGCCAATGTGGATGGTAATGCCTACTATCTTGGAGAATTAATGGTGTGTGATTCCTGATTCTCCCTTCAGAAAATCCGGCTAACTGATTTCCCGGACGAAGATGTCACAGTATTTTCAACAGCACATCGGCACGAAGTACAACCCCAATCTTCATTGGACTAGCCGTCTTCGAGCTAGAGCAGGCCATGACGCTTTCGATGACCGGGACAGTTGTGCTTCATTCACTTTCGCTGAGCATGCGATCTCTGCTCGGATCACCGAGCTACTAGCCATGTGTGGCGAGGCAGATGCTATATCTGGTTGTTTCGATCACCCTGTGTATCATTTTGACATTGCTGTCATGTTAAACGAAGACTCCACTTCGTTTCATTTGAACATCGCACAGTTAGACCGGGTAAGCCCCTTGGAGTGCATCTTGGCCTGACTAACTTACTTTTGAAGATGCGGAAATTCCAGTACGATGATCGGGAATTAGCACCCAAGAACGTGCTCATTCTGGCCATAATTAGGAACTTATACTCTGGACTTCGGTATGAGTTCTATGTCAATCCATGGGCATTATACACTGCCGACTATTGGTCACTCCATGGTCTATTCCCTTTCGAAGTTCGATTCAATACATCGACACAAGGCCCTATGCCCGGGCATGACCATGCAAATCTAGGATCGCAGAACAACCGAGCATTGGCTGCATACGAGCGCTCTAACCCGCTTGTCGTGGGTAACTCTTACATCAGGTTGCCTTCGGCATCTTCTTGCGCTCCGACGCATACAAGCCATCGTGCTGGTCTTTCTGCACAGCCATTGCAGGCTGGAAGCACGATCGTTGGCATGTCTAAACTAGGCCGTTTCCATAAACTCCGATACGAGAGATTACCAGAGGGAAATATACGCCTCCTACAGCTTCTTCCCGGGCTTGAGCATGAGCCACTTCGAGGCGTAGTATATCACGTACCTATGGAATGTCCGGGCTTTTATAGAGCCTTGTCCTACGTATGGGGCAATATTTCCCGAACGGAGCGACTATGGACGCCTGCTGGGGTACTTTCTATCACCCAGAACTTGAAATTGGCCCTTCAAAGCCTTCGATCGAAGCATGACCCACTAACGCTATGGGTCGACAGTGTTTGCATAGATCAAGATGATCTAAGCGGGAGCGAGAAGGCGATGCAGATTCGTCTATTACCGCGCATTTTCCAACAAGCGATATCGGTCCTTGCTTTCCTTGGAAACCACAGCGAAAGCCAAAGTGCAATCGAGACCTTGATGCAGATAAGAGCGAAAGGAGCAGTCAAAACTTGGCCGAGAGGATTACCCCCAGTGCCTACCTCGTGGAGTGCCCGAACAGTGCCAACCCCTAGCGATCCGGCGTGGGAGGTGGTGATGAAGTTCTTCGAGAATCCCTGGTTCCGCCGCGCCTGGGTGGTGCAGGAAGTAGTTCTTGCTGCGAGTATCCGAATCATTTGTGGGAAGTGGGTCGTTGACTGGAACGATCTGCTAAGCGCCACCGAGACCGTTGATCGAGAGTACCACTCCAATGTGAGCGGTACGTCGTCAAGAGTCTATCCTTGGGAATTCTGCCTTGAATTAGCACGACACAGAGAGTGGGAGGCGAGACAAACGCGGTGGGCATTGGTCAATCTTCTCGACTCTTTTCGATACCTTGAAGCCACCTATACACGGGACCGATTCTTTGCTCTCCTTGGATTCGCGTCAGATGGTGCCGACCAAAGGTTCGAACCAGACTACACTTCCCCATTAGAAGTTGTAATAAAGAGATATGCTGCGGTATTCATCGAGCAAGGCAAAGTGCTGCAGCTGCTCTACCGAGCCGGATTGGGGTCGCATCCTTCCAGATTTCCGTCTTGGATCCCCAACTGGACGGTATTGAAAACCCCCAGCATATATGAGGCGTCTTTGCGGGGTAAGAGGTTCTGCGCCTCCTGGATTGATGAGCCTGGAGCGGAACATGATAGTCGGACTGATGAGCTGAGCATCCGTGGCTATCGTCTGAGTTCGGTCGATGAAGTTGCTACGGCGAGCAATGTCCCGGATGAGTGGTACGAGTACTTCGCCCAGATTGACACCATGGTGGAGTCACTTACGATCGGGAATCTTCGTTCTCAAGAAACCCATAACGACATGATGTGGAAGATTCCTATTGCCGGAGTTTTGTATACGAAAAACGCTGGGGATGAGAACGTGGATCTCCGAGCGTCCTACAACGCCTTCCGTTTCGAATTATTTCTTGCGCAAATCAAAAAGCGGAAGAATCAAGAAGGGCAGGGCAAATCGGGACCCACTTGGGGAAACGGACTCAACTACACAATCGCACTGCAAGAGAACGTATACGGCTGGAAGTTCTTCACGACTGGCGGAGGTCTTGCGGGGCTTGCTCCTCCTTCGACCGCGGCCAGAGACCTAATCTACGTGTTCAATGGCGGGGGCGTGCCGTTTGTTCTTCGCCGCAGCGAAACTAGGGCTGGAGCGTATTGCCTGCTAGGGGAGTGTTACGTGTATGGGCTTATGAATGGCGAAGGAGCGGAGATGTCTTTGGCGGATGAAGAGTCCATCCGACTGCACTGACTTGAATGGGCGTTGATGGCATGTTCTTGTCTTACCTAGCTAGTTCCGCCGAATACGGCTATGTCTTGCCTTATAGAGCCTCTTAATTCTTTCAGGTGGAAGATGTTCTGAGAGGCTGGTAGCTTAACCGAATATAGAAAGGCGTGTTTACGTAAGCTTGCATCCAATTCCTAATTCCATTCCTTCGTCTTTCTGCAGGACTTCTTCCGAATTGTGCCCATTCAACCATCAGCCATCCGGTCAATTGGGTCATTTGACTGCGCCTCCACTAAGGATACCTTTCAAATGCCAGCGATGATGCAGTGTGTTCTCTTAGCCCGTGAAGATGGCCTGACGAGGCGCCTTCATCAGCTGCACGGCGCCAGCTCCAGCCAGCCATAAAGTCATCCCACCATGATCTGAGTTGGGGTCCGACAACATCTGTTGCACACAGTATATTGTCCAGATTTTCTGGGACTTCATCGCACACTGGTATCGCGTTCCTCATCCTTCCAAACACCCAGCGTCCAATGCCTCGGACTACGAGAACGCGATTGAGTGAGTGGCTCGACTTCCTGAGCCTAGGAGACCCGGAGTATAATGACGAGGCGACGTATGAAGAGTATCTGAAGGAGAGAGAAGTATGGCGAAAAGAGTGAAAGGGACTCGTCCGCTGGTTCTACGTATGGTGTGCCATTCCAACGATTGTCCTCATTCCGATCGTATCCCTTTACGTCCGTCCGCTACTGGTCAGAAAAAAAATTTCCCACTAGCGATAGCCCGGATAGGCGACAGTATTAATGCTCTCCCATTGAAATACAGCATTCCCGTGGGTGCCACGTTTGTCATAATGTACCTCTTAGCACTCCGCGCCTTCGCGTCAGACACTTCCATTCTGATTCGAAAACGATTTGCGATTCTTGGGAGCTTCCTTAGGCTCCAAATAAAATGGAAGCTTCTGTCTATGGGCCATATCGAGGCGGGTACGGTCGATCCACGAACGCATTCTGAGCGGTGCCTAGCAGACACTGCCCAGAGGTATGCTTACCGGCCTCTTCGGGATGGTGACCAAGAGATTCGTCTTATCAAGCTGCTTCCCGGAAACCCGGCAGATGCCCTACGTATCGAGATTGTACATGCACTCCTGGAGAAAGCCCCTATTTATGAAGCTCTTTCATATGTGTGGGGCTGCCCTCAGCCATCATACAGAATAGACTGTCATCAGAGGAAGTTAGAGATTTCAAGAAACTTGTATGTTGCACTGGTTTATCTTCGGAAGCGCTTTCACCGACGGACTCTGTGGGTGGACGCTGTGTGCATCAATCAAGAGGATGGTAAAGAGCGGGAACGGCAGGTCAGGCTCATGGGTGACATATACAGCTCAGCCAATAGGGTGCTGATCTGGCTCGGAGAAGAAGACGCCGCCAGTGACAAAACGGTCGACTCGATGACGATGATATCGGGAAAGTTGGCGAAGCTGCTGGGCCGACATTCTGGATTAGTACTTCGCCATGACGGACACCCCTACGAGGAAGAATCGCGAGCGATCCTCGAGTTCTTCGATCGCCCATAGTTCAAGCGCGTATGGGTCTTTCAGGAGGCCGCCTTAGCCCAAAATGCCTCATTCCTATGCGGCAATTGGTCACTTCCATGGAAGACTCTGAGCGACATGACGGATTATCTGAAGTCGAGCAACAGCGATCATTTCGTTACCAGGAATTCAACTACGAGCGGGGTGGGTTCACTTTTCTTCATTGACCACGTTCGATCCCTGCATTCACGGAAAGACCTCAACTTCGATCCATTCAGCATCGAATTCGTGGAAGCGGTACGGCCAAGAGAAGCTACCAATCCAAGGGACAAAATATACGCGGTGTGGGGCATGGCAAGAGACCGCTTTACGCCTGATTTTGAGGTCGTGTATGAGCCATCGGTCGAAGATGTCTACATCAATTTCGCCACGTACTGTCTCGTAACCCGCAGATCTCTTCGCATCCTTTCTTCGGTATCACCCACTCCACGCAAAATGCCATCTTGGGTGCCAGATTGGTCTATCTGTGGGTCGGAGCACCAGCCCCGAGTACTCAGAAAGTCATTTGTCTCTTGGAGGCAACGTTTCTCCGCTGGCGGTACCTACCTCCCGACGGTTAGGCTACTCAAGGAGCATATGCTCAGCATTCACGGCGCAAAGCTTTCCAGGATCCTTCTAAATGGGCCAACATCGTGCGGTCCTACAGCTCGAGAATCTACAGCTGACCAAGCGAGACTTGCACGAGTTCTGTCTACAATCTGGGACCTGGCAAAACTAGGCATTTCTGATCTCTATCCTTCCGGGGGTAGTCGCTTCGAAGCTTTCGTCACGACGTTATACAGCACTGGCAGCTCCATTTCAAACATCTCAAAGGGGTTCTATGAAGGGAAAGCCGAAGATCCCAATACCCGGCTGGGTGTTCTCTTCTTAATGAAGAACTACCTTGAAGCCATCACACGTAGCGAAGTTCAGACAGGAGTTGACTTCACAAGTCTGCCGCCTGATATTCGAGATTTCGATTCTTGGTCTTCGGAGGATTTCAGACGACAGCCCGGCCGGTTCTTTGCGCAGGATATGCTTCTAGCTACGTTGCGCCGATTCTTTGTAACTGAGAATGGGTATATGGGCCTTGCCCCTCCTCATGCAGAGGTTGGCGACATGATATGCGTTTTCTATGGCGGGCCAATGTTGTACATATTACGGGAGACGGGAAAAGACTCACATAAAACGCTTTTCCATCAACTTGGAGGGCGAAAGGAGGGAATTTCTGATGAGTCGTATAGACTTATTGGGGATTGCTATGTTCATGGACTGATGGGCGGAGAGAGCGCAGAGTGGGGAGTACCAGGGCAGCAGTTACGGATCGTATAATGCCGCAATACACCCATATGAGTCTCGGCGTCTACCACAGCGAAGGGCTCCGCAGTATTGCTTTTTGCGAAGTTCTTCCTGGCTTGGACGAGGAAGTCAAGCAGATAAGAAGGACGTATGGCGAACAAGGTTACATTGTGGAAGACGATGAGATCCCAATGTCCGACTCGGCTTCCTGGCTCCAACGCCGCCTAGCTCAATTCTTCAGACATACAGACGGTGAGACGCTCCTCATGGTTTTCTACACCGGGCATGCGGGCAGAGACCGCAGACTCAACAGTCCGATTTTAGCCAGGTAAGCTAGCCTTCCAATAATCTGTCTCACAAATAACGTGCATTGTTATGGCGGACAATAATGCCTCTTGAAGTTCAGATCTACTACTACACGGGTCGCCGACCAAATATGACGACAGAGTCAGTTGCTGCATTGGCTAACCGCATTTAGTCACAACAGTAAGGCCAAGCCGCCTTCTCTCATCCCCTGGACCAACATTCGTGGCCCTATCTGCAGCGCACTGAGTGGCGTTCTCATTGTCCTCGACTGCTGCCAGGCGGGAGGTGCCGATGCAGAGCACGATCTCAACTTCCAAGCCGATCGGACGCGCAGCTCCTTCACCAAGCACATCATTACAGCCTCAAAGTGGGACCGCAACGCAATTGCTGGACTGATACCAACTATCTGCCAATGTTTTTCCCATTGGGATAAGGATCGAGGACCTCTAACGACCTAGACCCTGTTTCGATGGGTGAAGCTCCAGATGGCGGAAGATAACAGGCGCTTATCTGTTTGGTGCCAGCCTCATCCGCAGCCTACTTTTGATCAGCTTCTCCCGCTTTATCCGTCTGAGCAAGCTATTGTATTTCCCACCAAGGCTACTCCTCAGCATTCACTTGAGTGGTCTCAGCTCCGCAGAATAGGGTGGTAGTGAGAGGGTTGCGCACCATGTCCGTTTTCAATTGCAATTTCCAGCTCTGTGGGTGGACGCCGTGTGCATCCATTCTGATTGATCCCGAATCAAACACCTGAGAGTCTTAAGGTTACTAGCTCAGATTTGTGAGGCGTTTAATTGTGTGTCTTTAGCGTGCTGGATTAGAATTTCCGCTTAGCTTTTTTAAAGTGGGCTTTCATCATTACATCGCTTCCTACCTTTACAACATGACCGTCTATCTTATTTCTACGAAACTGCGCAATGACCTGCTCTGTTATGCCTCTCAGTTTAAGGATCTTTAGTAGAGGATAATGGGAGGGGGGGAGGAGTGAGAGCAAATGCGGGTCTGATATGACCAAAGGAACCATCACTTTCTTTTCCTAAGTATTACTTCATGCATGATCCACAAGGCCTAGAGGTCCTTCCAGCCTTGAAATCCTGTTGAACTGCTTATCAGAGCCTTCTAGTCTGCGACGTAACTTGTTCAGGAGCTGACGTAGCCCCGAATCTCGTCATGAATTGTTTATTTTGTTTCTAATGCATCGAAAGTAGAGCAGATGCCACTCAAATGTAATATTTCGGCTTTTCTTTTTCAAAGGCCTTACCTAATAGTTAATTTAAGGATAGCTATACACCACGTACCAGCTTTGCAAGCCCTTTCTCGCTGCTCGTATTGAGAACCGTAGTCATTTACACCACCCGACGGAAAGGAATAAGAATCAAACTAGGTACGAGTGATTAAAATTAATATTTCTATAGAATCATGTCGTTATCTGCGATGTCAAGGCCCAGAGTCGTTTCCGGATCTACTTGTTTGAAGTCATATCCTTCTCCGTTGTCGAACGGTGGCTTAGAACACCGAGAACGGCGGCGTAAACCCTCCCAAACAGACTCCCAATATATGGGACCTTGAAGTTCTTCGCCGTTTGAACTTGATTCACGCTTCTATCCTCTTGCCACGAACATCAATCTTCTTGCCATCACGGACTCCCTGTGAATATGCCGAATAATCACTAACCCCGGAATATCGAGACCTAGAAGTGGAGAGCTTCACTCCACGATCTTTGAGATAGTCATCTGCGATTCTGCGGGCATTCGCGCGGAAGATGGTCAATTGCATGGGCGATGCCCAAAGTGTTTTGCAATCTGCCTCGCCGACCTCTTCTTGCTTGATAGTACTCGAGGAACTGGATGCCGCATCTTGATTCGGAAGCGCTTTAGTATCGTTGGCTGGAGGTTTTGGCGACGGAGGCGAGCTGACTCGTCCAATTGGCAGAGTGTCCCTTGGCTCAGGCTTGATTAGCCTCATGATTTCGACATCTAAATCGGCATTGGGGTCGACCTTGACTTCATTCTCTATGAAGTCGGCTGTAGTTTCGTCCCCACTGGCATCTTCATGGTCGTTGTTCTCGGTTTTTATGGTGCCATCGGTGTTCTCCTCATCCGGCTCTTTCTGGATACTCGGGACGAAGGTCAAGCGATCCAATTCAGCCTGTCTCTGTGCTTCTTCGTGTTCGACCCGTATGTGCAGAGATTCGCCCTCTGCTTCACGAGCCTGTTTCTCCTGAGCGCGTTTCTCATTCCTCGCCATGCGGTCAAGTTCTTCAGCAACCCCGATGCAGTAACTGCTTTTGCTCGCATTGCCTTTGTATGGTCTTGCCCATTCACTAATCAGGTTGTACGCCATCTCAAATCCCATGGCGGCAGCGACCGTGTTCTCAGCAATGCCGTAAAAGGTCCAATCCATGGAGGTAAAGTTCCGCGTTGAATAATACTTGCAGTCGAAGAAATTGGTCATTGCGAGGGCTAGTTCCTTTACGAAGCCCTGGTTGTTTACCGTGTTCCTCGACCCATCGGCGCGCTTGATCGACACTACGCTCTGTCCTGCATATTGTTGCTGCGTAGCTGGTGGCTCGTGAGCCAAGACCTCGGCCTGCGAGACGTTGTACTGGCCCATGAGCCGCGAGGCTAGATAGAAGGCCGCCTTGGCTTCGGGCTCGGGAGTGTTCTTGTGGTTCGCTCGTTGGAGGCATTTCTTGATGCGCTGCAAAATCGCATCGTCAATCCCGGCTGTAGACGAAGAGACTCTAATCGTGGCCGTGTCTGCGATTGTCTTGATCGAAGCCTTGTACAAAGCTGGAGTCAATCTTGGCTGGGCGCGCTGTTGCACTGATCTTTTGCGAGGTGGGCTGTGGGATTCTGCAGAGTCACCGTGTACGAATGTGAAATCTGGCATTGTCGCACAAATTTTGGAGTTGTGGAAGAGTACAGCAAAGTCGATATGCCAGAGGGGCCATTTATACGTGTTCATGCTCAAATGAAAATGGCACTGTGCAGCAGGAGGTATGCACGCCGCCTCGCGCCAGCGCTTCCGATAGGCTACATTCCCAAGAGCTGAGGTTGCCTAAGTCCTTGTCTTACGCACGGGACTTAAGCGACCCAGTCGCTTGTTCCTTGTTTGCTTCCAAGCGCATGTATTGACCGGGGCGCATCGTGTGTCTCGTCGCGTTTTGAAACATGGCTGAATACTGAAGTAGGTCGTTTCTTGTCTCATCTAGTTCACGAGGATCGATTCACTAGACGTAGTTCATTTTCCTAATCCGGTATGGTCAGAACTGGCCATTTTGTACGATGTACAAATCAATGAGCCTGGTACCTCGCTTCCCCACGACAATTCAAAGCCTTGCGAACCGCTTGTCGGAAGCACCTTGACCCATTCTCTGCTTGTGATTACGACGACATGCTAGGTCTACCGGTACTCCTCATTCGCGCTATCGCCGTCAGGGTCTCTCGCCGGATCTAACGTTTGCTTACGCAATTCTGAATTGCGATCCGTTGTTCTTACTGCTAGAATAAGTTAGCAACTATCTACTCATCCGGAGCAGATTCAGGGCAGCCTGCTTCGTTGTACGCAACCCTTTATCCCGTAGCCTATTAGTCGCGGCCAGGACCAATCAGAAAGTACACCAGATACGCGGCCTTAATATTTCCCCGCGTAACTAGAACCAAACAAAACTATATCTACTTAAAATCTCGCCCAGTCCTTGATCTCCTCTCTTGGCTGTCTATATTTGAGGTCACCGAGTCTGCCTCTCAGTCTCTCTTTGCGGAGCCTTCGTTTCATCCAGCCACTCTTTGCCAAATCACCACACTCCCATCATTAGACAACTGCACGGATCGTTCATCGGTACTCATAATGGCTCTGATATCGAACTTCTTCCTGGTTGCCCTCCTCGTGCTCTCCTCCTCATCTATGTTATACGCATGCGATCCAAACACCCTAAACACCACGACCGGCGAATACCCCATCACAGTCGAAGGCACAACCATCTTTGACGTCGCAGCAGCCACAGGCCGTGGCGTCTGCGACATCGCCCGCTTCAACATGATGGCCGACGTAGCCATCCCTCCCAATATCGGCCAAGTAATCGCCATTCCCCCTCAAACCTGCACACCGGACAACACGACCTGCATCCTACCCCGCCTCAACCCCACGCGAAACTGCATATTCGGCGGACCAAGGCTGTACTACACCGTTAAGGGCGACACCTACGAGCGCATTGCTTTGTACCGGCTCAACATCACCTTAGAGTCTTTGATGCCTGCGGCTGCTCCAGGGGAGGCGTCTACGGACGCCACGGCTCCTTTGCCAGTGGGGCAGTTCGTCAAGGTTCCGCAATGTTCTCCGTCCCAGTGCGTTATCCAGCCGGTTACCTTCGAGTATGGCGTTTACAAGGATCTGGCGGAGAAGTATGGATCGACTGTTGGGCAGATTATGATGCTGAGTCCAACCTATAATTATAGCGAGGCATTGGTGTTGAACAGGACCAGGCCCTCGATTGATGTTGCTATCAACTGTACCGCTTTGTCGAACAATCTCACGGTTCTGGCCTAAGGACCGGGATTGGAAGGGGTGAAGGTGGCATCCGTGTCTTGTATCAGGCTTTCGATAACGTCGGACGAGACGCGATGTGTGCATGGAGGAACGGTACCACTCCCTATCTCGCGGGGTTGAGTTTCGACCTAACATATAGGTGTTTTCCAGTAAATATGAAACCTGTAATTACATAAGCGCACCTTTCCATTTAAGGACTAGCTCAATAAGCCCAACTTGAATCCATATTCCAAGCCGGGCAGACGTGGCGCGAGTTTATACAAGTTTACTTCACCGAATCCCTTTCCTACAGATATAGTTCAGGTGAATACCGTCCCCTTTCAAAGAGAAATGTACCTACCGACCGAACTGCACGACGAGATCCTGCAGCATCTCGGGAAAGCGGATCTTCCAGCCTACCGCCTTATCTGCCGGGACTTCGCCAGTCATGGAGCTAGGCCACTCTTCCAACGCATTCGCTTCAAGACATCGCTGCCTGAGTTCAAAAGGCTGGCCAGAATTTCCACCCGTCCTCACTTGGGCTCTTGCGTTAAGTTGCTGGTATGGGACACCAATTACTGCGGCTACGAGGCCGAAAGTCTTTGCGAAGGACTCAAAACACGCGAATTGGACTGGCTGCTCAAAGGCACTTCCGCTTCTCAAGCCTGTACATCGCAGACAGACGAACAAACGCTGGACGATGGGAAACAACCGTCAATCGGCTCGCTCGGCCTCTTCCTCTTCCAGGCGATCTTTTCCGGGCTCCCCAATCTCTGTAAACTGTACGTCCTAGCCGCTGATTTCCCCGCACAGGAGTATCCGCAATGGAGGACGGGACACAGTTCCGAGGTGGAAGCCTCCAACCAAGATTGGTATGCTACTCGCGAGGGGTACGAGAAGCTATCGAGCTCGCGCAGCAAGCGAATTGTGAAGAGTGACGGAAGTTACGAAGTACAGATAGCGCTGCTAGCGGCTCGTCTAGCCGGATGTTCCATGTTAGAACTCCGTGGGGGATATCTGAACTGGCGCCCGTTTCTGCAGGCATATATCTGGCCACCGATGGAACCCTTCGCTCATCTGACGAGCCTTCGTCTAGTCCTCAGCTTGCCATCGGCGCAACTGGCGCACAGAGTCCTGCCCGGGGAAATCTCCCACACTCCATCCAGAGGGGCCATGATTTCCCTCAGGAATGCCCTCCACAGCGCGACGGGCTTACACGCGCTCGAACTCCAGCTCGATCCGCAGATCTGGTGGCAGGCGACAGACTTCCAACGCCCGGGCTTGGTACTGCAAGACATTGTCGCTTCGACGCAGCAATTCCCCTTCCTGAAGGAACTCACTCTCCACCGCTGAAATACATCGGAAGGATTCCTTCGGGGCTTTCTGACCGCTCATGCCCCCACACTCAAGACGCTGAGTATGAAAGATATAAGATTGGACCCTCGAGGGTCCTGGCTCCAAATCTTTCCAGATCTCCGGCAATGCCTGGATCTTGAAAGCGTGTGGTTGAATGGAAGAGTCTATGGCGCCGTTGACTATTTCGCCGATTGGTGGTATCTGGACAGTCCAAGAGGCAGGGAGCTAGAGAAGTATGTCTTACGCCAGGGGACGCCGGTTCTTCCGTTGAATGAGGCGAACAAATGGACAGGATGATGTACGCTTTAACGAAACGTCTATACCCGCTGTGTGGGCATAGTTGTACAGGAGGGAATCCATGCTGAGAATTACAGAGTGGACGAAGTGGGGGGCCAGGGAGACGCTGGACCGGATGGATAGGAGGACAGTTTAGGAAAATACAGTCCTGCAAGTGCTCGCGATGGTAGTGTCGGCGTAAGCGGGATCTTCGGAGATATCTAGACCTTCATAGAGTTGGATTTCTTCGATTAGTATCTTATCTAAGAGCGACATAATATCTATCTGCTGAAAAATTAGTCCACTTTAGCAATGCGACAAAACTTAGCAAGTTTTACCTTTGCTCATGTGGACGTATTGCGTTTAGAGACTGTCCTCCGGGCGATCCAAGTGGCACATGGCCAGAATCAGTCGCTCGGGCTCCTCTCCAAAGTTCGTATCGCCGATATACCCCAGCTTTCCGAGCCCAACACGTGCATATGCCGCATAAGCAGTCATAGTAGCTCCACTCGACCCAGCATATACCGTCTGCGCCGCAGGCACTCTGCCAAGAAAAACGGCATTTGCGTGGAATACTGGAAAGAGACTGGCGGTCCTGATCATCGATTCGTCCGTGGCCATCAGTCGAACTTGGTGTGTCGTTGACTCGGCCACCCGCCATCGCAGATCAAAGTACTCTTTGAATCTGGCATCTAGCGTCTCGGACTCGATGGCTACCGCAAATAGACCCATTAACACTGTAGTGCAGCCATGCCTCGTGTGATCGGCAACTGCTTCGAGCAGGCGTCGATGCTTGTCTGTGTCTTCTGCGATCACTGGGTCTGCGATCAGTATTACGTTTGGCCATCCGGAAAGGATATAGTTGAGAGCATCCTGTACGATGGTGGACTCGTGGATAGCTGCCCTGGAGAGGAGCTTTGGGAGAAGGTGCTCGTAGAGCTGTCGGGACGAGAAGGAGAACTCCTCAAAAGAAATAACAAGCACGTTGGGCATCGTGGGAATTAGCGACTCTTAGAGTGTAGAAGCACTCGGCTACTTCCTAGGAAAAATGTGTTTTCCGGTGAATGTCGCGTTGAGGTTAGCTTCGAGTAAGCACTTTAGGGGCTTGGCGTGTGGCTGACTCGTGAAAGGGACGTTTGTTGACTCCCCACCAAACCATCGCGGGCGCCTACGAATGCGAATCTTCCTCGCGTCGTCCCTGCACATTCCGCAACCACATCCTTGAGCAACCCAAGATGGCGCAGAAAGGAGACCATCTGCTGCAACGACCGCTATATGGTGAGTACGGCGCTTGTTGCCTGCGTTCAGCTTGCTAACTTGCACAGTATTCGATCTTCCGGAGGAGTTACTGTCCACGATAACACTCAAGAACCAATCCGAACGGACAGTTCAAGAACCCCCACCAAGAATACCTACACCCGGAAGCGAACCTCCCGAAACGCCAGAATCCGAAGATGGTGCTCCTGCGAAAGCGACTTCCTGCAACCTCTGCGGGCTGAGCTTCACCTCAGTGGTAGAACAACGAAACCATGTCCGGTCCGACCTCCACGGATACAACTTGAAGCAAAAGATAAAGGGCCTCAAGCCAGTAGGGGAAGCAGACTTCGAGAAGCTCATTGGGGAACTAGACGAGAGTATTTCAGGCTCCGAGTCCTCTGAGTCGGATGAAGATGACGAGGAAGAGGCGGCAAACAAGCCGAAGGAGTCCACATTAAGTGCGTTGCTGAAGAAGCAGGCGAAAATATCGAACCCAGATTTTGACGAGTTCGCGTCGAAGAAGAAACAACGCGGATCGGGGAAGCCCCCACTGTTCTGGTTCACCTCGCCCTCGTTGCCGGAAAATATGTCGCTGGGGTTATATCGCGCAATATTTTCGGATGCTGAGCAAGAGGAAGGAGAGCATATTGTGGACACACTCCGACATAAGCAGCTTCCCCCAACCCAGCCTCCGAAGGTCAAGTCGGAAGGGGGCGTGCCGCTACCAGGTGCAAACATCGGGCCACACTACTTTCTCTGCATGATCGGTGGCGGGCATTTCGCCGCTATGATTGTGGCGCTGGCACCAAAAATGGGCAAGAAGCATACGGGAGCGGATGAGCGCTCGGCAACCGTCATCGCACACAAAACTTTCCATAGGTACACGACTCGACGGAAACAGGGTGGCTCCCAGTCAGCGAACGATTCTGCAAAGGGCGCTGCGCATTCGGCTGGTTCATCACTACGCCGATATAATGAAGCTGCGCTTACGAATGAGGTACGCGAGCTGCTTCAGAGCTGGAAGACCATGATTGATACCGCCGATCTGCTCTTCATTCGTGCTACAGGGAGTACGAACCGGCGCACCTTGTTTGGACCCTATGAGGGCCAAGTGCTTCGGAACAATGATCCGCGAAATCGGGGCTTTCCGTTCAGCACACGGCGAGCAACACAAAAGGAGCTTATGCGGGCTTTTGTCGAGCTCACCCGGGTGAAGCAAAGCACTATCGACGAAGCTGCTCTGGTCGCTCTGAATGCGCCTCAACCAGACAGCAAGCCCGAAACACCAGCCCCGCCCAAGTCACCGAAGCCTCCGAAACTGTCGAAAGAAGATGAGACGGCTGCTCTTCATACTTCCCAAATTACCTCCATCATCAAGCGATCCAAGGTCCCTGCGCTCCTCAACTATCTCAAGACGAACGACATTCCACCCAAATTCGCGTTCGTGCCGCCGAATTATCACACTCCAACACCACTGCATCTCGCAGCCTCTCTAAACTCTGGACCTATAGTCGCCGCACTCCTAACAAAAGCCGGGGCAGACCCAACAATGATGAACGACGACGCCCGCACACCATTCAGCCTCGCCGGCGACCGCGCAACTCGCGATGCCTTCCGCGTCGCACGCTCCGAGCTCGGCGAATCCGCCTGGGACTGGGACAAAGCAGGCGTACCTTCCGCTCTCTCAAAGGCTGACTTAGAGAAGCGAGAAGCGCGCGAGAAGTCCGAGAAGGCTGCTGAAGACAAAGCGGAGGCGGAGAGGAGAAAAGCGGAGACAGAACGGCTAAGGAAGGAGAGTGAGGCTGAGGAAGCGAAGAGGAGGGAGAAGAGGGTCGGCAAAGGGAAGACATTGGGTGTGCTGCCGGAAAAGACCGCTGCCGATAAGAGAGAGGAGGAAATGAGGGGGTTGACGCCGGAGGCTAGGGCGAGGATGGAGAGGGAGAGGAGGGCTAGGGCGGCTGAGGAGCGGATGAGGAGATTGCAGGGGAATTGATTGATTCTTGTCTGAGGTCGAGTTGTCACATGGCTGGCCCAATAAACACTAGATCGCTATAAAGCTAGACGTGTGGAAAAGTGGATGATTGACATGCGATCTATCTTATCAATCATGAGCTGAGCCGCCTCGCGATGCCCTCCGGTACTTCAACGAGCAGCCAACCCAGTTCAGCGTCCTCAAGATAACTTATGTCGTCTTTAGTTTCTTCAATCACAGCCGCCATGCTGTCAAATTGGACGCTGGCTTCCGCAAACACGCTCTTGATTCGGTGCACATCCGGCGGGAAAGTTCCGTGCCAGGGATGCCAATCAACAACAGCGACATTCATCAGATTAGGCAGCTCGCCTTCCTTCGCACGCTTTGCTATGAGGTATAGCGCCCTCTCGAATATGTCGACGCTGCTGATTTGTCCTGGCCAGAACGAAGTGGACTCGCGTGAAACTATGCGCAGAGACTCTAAGGACGCGGGGATGGAGTTTACGAATTGTGAGATCTCCTCGGGGGGGATGGCGTAGCACGGGACTTGTGCGACATGGAGAGTGCGCAGGTTCTCGAAAGGCTCCCTGCTGAGGACTCTAGTGAGGTTTTCCAGGAGCATAAACGCGTCTTCGAGTCGCAGGTACTCCAGTGAATGCTTGTGGGGGTCCAAGTGGGTGGATAGCGACATGTAACGGTGACTGCTCCATTTGCCGGCCATGTAAGCATCGCGAAAGAAGGGGCCGTGCATCACATGGGGTTTTTGCTCGTAAACGAAGGACTTGAGGCCCTGGAAAGCGCGCAGTAGCCATTTTAAATCTGACATTCTGAGAAAAGAGGCGAGGAGATGGAGATGCTCGATAGGCGAGCTGTTCTTTTCGGTAATTTCGCGGAATCTTTCGCCAGGCGCCTCCCATTCGAAAGATTGACCGGGCTTCTGACGCATAGTGATGATTTGAGTGAGATGAAGCTGGCGCATCGAAGGAAGAGTGAGGAGCGGTGCGATATTCTCTATCCTCATGGGACCGTGGATGAAGGCTGATTTGAGGTGGCCAAACCGGTGCGGATCTTGGAGGATGGGTCTGAACCAGTACACATGGCCATCCCATCGAAACGTCTCGCTAACGATCAGATGGTCCAGATTCGGGGTGAACATGAGGACCGCGTCTAGCACTTGTTGAGCAGCCTCGTCCTTGATAGACGGTAGCACTTTCACTAGGTCCTCCGCACACGGCGTTCCCAGCTCCCGTAGTTTCCTGATGGTGGGCGTTCGGTCTAATTGGTAACTTTGGCGTTTGTACGGCAGGGTAATTGAGTTGTCGACGGTGTGATCCCAATGGATGGCCTTGACATGAGCAGCCAAAGCCGGCGTTGTCGATATCGAGTGCAGGAAGTTGAATGGGTGTCCATGATAGAAGGAGTAGATCGAATAGAGGTAAGGGGTAGCGAGGTGATGCAATCGGCGGCTTACTCGACTGAGACCGCAGAGTCCGCGCGCTACGTGCTCATCTGGCGTTCTCAGTCCAACAAGGTGGTCGAGAATCTCCACCACCAGTTCGTCTGGCAGCATTTCCAACCTTGACATGTCTTCGAGAGCGTCGCGGTAGGCAGTGGGCTCAGGTGGTCTTGCGGCCTTTTTGGAGTCCTATATCGTCTCTATTTTGGTTGGTGGGGACTAATCCGAGGAGTCACAGTGAAGTATGACGGCTAAAACGGGTCTAGGTCCCTTTCCTCTCGCTTATGGTCGAAGATGAAATTACATAGGGAATCAATATCTCACACGACGAGTATGTGAGAGCGTAGGAGAGGAGAAGCCAGCACCAAACCGAAAGCAGAGAAGCGGGGTGGATGTATTATGTAATCATCGCTAAAGTAACCGGAAAACAACGGCAGGCCAAAGCTTCCTCGGCTCACGCATCTGATCCTGGACGTCAAGCTCCGATCCGGCCGCCATCCCACGCTTGCTCCTCCGCTCCAATTCCTCCGATTCTTCTCCTCCACACTCAGTAGGGCAGCGTAGGCGGAGCAAGAGTTTCGCGATGTCTGGTTTGAGGATATTAGTGCCCATCAAGCGGGTCATTGACTATGCGGTACTGCACTCCCACCATCCTGTTTAGCACTCCATTGTAGCCTTCAAAGCCCCATCACTCCGGCCAAATGGCAACAATCCACAATGGAATCTCCACCACACAATTTCCTCATATATAGCCAGCTAACGCGAACCCACCATAGGTCAAGCCCCGCGTCAACCGCGCCCAAACGGCCGTCGAAACCGCAAATGTCAAACACTCGATGAACCCCTTCGACGAGCTCTCCATCGAAGAAGCCGTCCGCCTCCGCGAGCGCAAAGTCCCCGTCTCCGAAATCGTCGCCTTCTCCGCCGGCCCCCCCAAATCGCAAGACATCCTGCGCACCGCCATGGCCATGGGCGCCGACCGCGGCATCCACGTTGTCGTCGAGGACAAGGACCCGCAATTAGAGCCGCTGGGCGTGGCGAAGCTGCTGAAGAAAGTCGTGGACGAGCAGAAGAGCAATCTGGTGATACTGGGGAAGCAGAGTATCGATGACGACGCGGCACAGACAGGGCAGATGCTGGCGGGGCTGCTGAACTGGCCGCAAGCCACGCAAGCGAGTAAGGTGCAGGTTGAGGGTGAGACGGTGACTGTGACGAAGGAGGTAGATGGCGGTGTTGAGACGGTCAGGGCGAAGCTGCCCATGATTATTACGACGGATTTGCGGTTGAATGAGCCGCGGTATGCGAGCCTGCCGAATATTATGAAGGCGAAGAAGAAGCCACTCGAGAAGAAGACGTTGAAGGACTATGAGCTAGATGCGGCGCCAAGGTTAAAGACGATTAAGGTGACGGAACCGCCTCCACGGAAGGGTGGCGTCAAGGTTGAGGATGTGGATGGCATGATTAGCAAGTTGAAGGAGCTGGGTGCTTTGTAAGAGGGTACAAGAGGAGGCCAGGTGCGACTTGTATATATGTACTGGCTTGGGATAGATTTTGAAAGAGCAATACATGATTGCAAAAAGTAGATTGGATGCCAGCTACGCAGCGTGGTTCTGTGCACCATCACCAGTGGTATTTTTCCTGCGACACAGGAGAATTCCGGGTGCCGCATCTACCACGTCTCCTGCTTATACCTCCCGGTCTTCTCCATATCCACCAAGTACGCCTCGGCGTCTTCTCGACTCAAGCTCCCATGCGTCTGGAACGCTTCAATCAAGGCCTCGCGCACAGCTTGCGGCATCTTACCCGAGGAGCCACAGATATATACGATGCCTCCTCTCTTGGCAAGCGCATCGTAGACGGATACACTTTGCTGGCGGACGAGATCCTGGACATAGACTTTCTGCCTCTGCAGTGAAATACGGTCAGGGGAAGATATTCGGAAGGAGCACGTGGGTGGGACTCACCTGGTCTCTGGAGAAAGCGGCGAGGACGTCGAGGGGTACGCCCTCCTTCTTTAGCTGTTCCCACTCATCTTTAAAGAAGTAGTCTGAATGCGCGTTGCGGCAGCCGAAGAAGAGGATGTCTTTTGCGCACGCCTCGTTTGTGCTGGTACTCTGGTCTTCTTCACGCCAGTACTTCCGCTGATAAATGAGCGCCCGCATTGGCGCGACGCCCGTTCCAGGCCCGACCATGACGACCGGTTTCGCAGTCTCTGCCTTCGTAACGCCCAGACCTCCTTTTGCAAGCGTAACCGTGATATCCTGACCTGGTTTGAGCAATGCAACGTAGCGTGTACACACGCCCTGCCTAATCCTCTTAATCACCGTCTTATACTTCACAATCGCAATCAGCAGCTCCACCTTCGTCCCGTCCTCTTCCGGCCTCATCGCACTCGCAATGCTAAACTGGCGCCCGCGAATGGTAGGGATGACGCTGCATACGCGCTGCCAAGGTATTTTGACAGTCTCGAATTCCTGAAGTACCTCGAGGATGCTGCGGCGTGGGCGTGTCGTGTAGTCGTACAGTTCGTCGATGTACTCTGGGTTTGTGAATTCGAGGAGGCGGTCGCGCTGGAAGGGATCAGTGGTGAAGTGCGCGAGATGGGCGAAGAAGGAGCGGCGGGGGATGGACATAATGTCGAGATGGTTCGTCAAGAGCGTTCGAAGGGTTATGGTAGAACTCGGGGACATGGAGGTGATAGGGAGGCGCGAGGGCGGAGAGGTGCTCGGGAAGGAAGGAACGAAGTGGAGCGGGATATCAGCGATAGAGGTCCAGTTCATAAGCGCGAGGAATTGGATGACGTCCGAGGGAAAGTTTTTCGGATAGATGGTTAGGACGTCGCCAGGGTTGTAGGGGTGTGTGCCAGCGAGCTTGAGGGTGAGATGTCGGACATCTTGCCAGTGCGACGTTGGAGTGATCCTTTGATTGGAGACGACTTTCGCGACGAGACCGCCCGGTATGTCCAGGAGGTCGTTGGGTGCAACATCCGGTATCTCCTCATTTACAGTCGAAGAAGGGAAGGCGTTTTGATTGATGTCTTGATGCGGTGGTTGGGCTTCATCCGCAAAGTCAAGCAGCCACTTCGGATCTAGCAGAACATCATCCGGTATCGGCTCGAGGCTGTCGGGTAGTGGATATTCTTGGAGAAGGCGTTGACGGAGGTTTGTTGACCACGGAAGGAAAGAGCCATCGATGCTATATAGCGAACATAAAGTCAGAGGAAATTCACAAGCAGAATTAGAAAAGCTGGCGAAGGAACAGTAGTAACGTGAGAGGGAGCATTGAGGTAGCAGACAAACGAGAGATCACGGCAGGGAGAACAAGTGTTTGAAGAACTCAGGGACGTACCCCTCTGGGTGCTGCTCGTCAGATTCTCCTCGATCGCATATCGGCTGTGCCCCAAGCTGGATGAGGCGGTTATAGAGCTTCCGATGCGCCCAGTTGAACCTTTACTTGGGTCAGACAGGGCTTCGATAAGTAGAGGGCAGACTTACTTTGGATATGAAGTATCCCCGAGCCCGAAGGAGGCAAACTTCACCTGTTGCAGACATCCCGGCCGAAGACGGGCGCTACGGAGTGCTTTCCAGAAAGTCTGGCTGTTGGCAGGCAAATCCCCTTGACCGGTCGTAGATATGGCAATCAGGACGACCGAGTTCCGCACTAGCTGCTTCTGGGAGAGAAGTTAGCAGTGTAGCCTGCAAGAGCAGTATGCATTCTGTGCCTGACATACGAGACTGATAGCATTCAGCTCGGCAACTTCTGTGTCGAAACGCAGCCGTTCTGCGATCTTTCCTAGCTCTTCCGCGACGTCCTGGGCATTTCCTGTTTCGGAACCATACAGGACAAGGGCTCGCCGCGCCTGCAGCGTGCTTGTCATCGCCGGTGTTTGTGTCTGAGCAGAATGGAGGTACAATCACCATACAAACGTGCTAGTCTAGTCTACCTAGGTAAGAGAAGGCCTCACGCCACAGCACGTCCGAAAATCGGCGCGCTCGTTGGGCATGGTATACCAGCGCGCTGACTGTTCTCCATCGTCGAGGCTCTCTAGCGGCTCGGAACGCGCCAGCCAGAGTGTAGCGGCGTCGTCATTGCCGTGGAAGCGTGCAGTGGCGCCAGGGCAGATCTGTGGCGTCGCTTATATAATCTCGTCAACCCCTTTCGGGTAGCCAGGGTGAAGGCCCCAGGCGCGCAAAGTGAGGCTCAGTGCTTCTGCCGTCGCCGGGGTGTCTGTAGATACAGTGTCACGCCGCTCCCCCTTTCTGCGGCTGCTGCCTGCCAGAGTAATTTCACCGTCCAGGGCGCCCTTTCTTGCCCGCGAAAAACCCGCTTGCCCTTCCCGATGCGGCCTAGTGCGGAAGGCCCGCGCGGGCGGTCCTCAAAATATTTGAAGCTTCAGCGCCTGCTCCTTTTCTCCCCCAAGACAATCTCAAGCAGACCACCAGCACTCATCAACTCAACGCTCCTCTCTCACGTCCCGGGCTCGTAGCTACCCATCCACACCCCCCTCGTCAATTTAGTTCCACCTTCCCGGCGGTTCGACAATCTCCATCACCTCAAGCAACCAACTGTTCACGGTCGACCTTTAATTTAGGTTTACCAGGACTCCAAAGTTTCCTCAACTTTACTGCACGGTTCGATACTTTCGTGTCATCAATCTCCAAAACTTCAACAAAAATGTCCGCCGCTGTCGACAGTGTTACCGCCCAGATGGCCACTACCTCCCTCGACAACACCACCGAGACCACCGGTGCTCAGCCTGCGGCAGCCGAGAACGAGGCTGTCCTTGCCAGCGCCGCCGAGGGTAGGCGACTCTATATCGGGAACCTCGCGTACGCGACCACCGAGGGGGAGTTGAAGGACTTCTTCAAGGACTACCTTGTGTAAGTGTCGGCTTTCTGCGTGCCTGCGTCGTTCACGGCTAACATCTATCCCACAGCGAGTCCGTCACCATTCCCACCAACCCGCGCACCTCTCGCCCAGTCGGATATGCCTTCGTTGCGCTCTCGACGCCTACCGAGGCTGAGCGCGCCATCGCCGAGCTGAACGGAAAGGCTATTCTCGAGCGCAAGGTCTCGATCCAGCTTGCCCGCACTCCGGAGGCTCACGCTGAGGGCTCTGGTAGCGGCGCGGAGGGTGCTAGCGGTACTGAGCACCGTCGCCGTGCTTCCACCCGGGGACGTGGCCGCGGTCGTGGCCGTGGCGGTCGTGCTGGACGTGGTGGTCGCGTAAGTCTTGAATGCATACATCCGATAAAGGTCGCTCGCTGACAGTGGTGCGCCAGAAGGCCGACGGTGCCGAGGGTGCCGAACAAGTTGAATTCGTCGACGCTGCCCCTGCCGACAGCGCTCCAACAAATGTACCGGGCCAAGTCATTCCACTCACCGAGACGACGAACGAAGCGCTTACAGCTGACAAGGGCACCGACGCCAAGAAGCCTGCTCCTCCCCGTGAGCGCAAGCAGCGTGGTCCACCTGAGGACGGTGTCCCCTCCAAGACTAAGGTCATGGTTGCCAACCTGCCCTATGACTTGAAGGAAGACAAGGTATGTGAAGGCTGCATTGCTCTTGAAGTGCTGTGTGATGGGATTTGCTAACATCTGACGCAGCTCATGGAGATCTTCAAAGACTACTCGCCCGTCAACGCTAAGATCGCCCTTCGCCCCATTCCTCGCTTCATGGTCAAGAAGCTCCAGGCCCGCGGCGAGCCTCGCAAGGGCCGTGGTTTCGGCTTCGTCACGCTCGGCTCCGAGGAGCTCCAGCAGAAGGCCTGTGCCGAAATGAACGGAAAGGAGATCGAGGGTCGTGAGATCGCTGTTAAGGTCGCGATCGACTCCCCCGGCAAGGAGGATGACCACCCCGATGCTCCCGCAGAGGGCGAGGAAGCCACCACCACCGCCGCTGTTCCGGCTGAGGGCGCTACTACCACCACCACCGAGACCCCGGCTGCTGAGCCCGCTGCGGCCTAAGGGCGTTCAGCACCTCGGAGGCATGCTGGCGGAATCGTGCAGGGTCCATGGCCTTAGTTCTAGGACCTGGTTGTACTTTGCCGTTTGTGTGTATGGGAAGGACGTTTTCGGAGTTGCCTATCCATTTATCTTATGCTAGACATCTAGGCACTGGTTTACTTTTAGTCGAGTTACAGGGTCGGAAAAGTGAATCGGAGTCTTTATCGGCTAGGTCTGGGTAGGGCCGGTTTATCGGGAAAGTTTGTCTTATCTCTTGGAACATTTTTCTGATAATCTACGCCTTAGTCTAGCATTTTGATCAATGTCAGGGCAGTAAGGTGCTACGCTTCTTGGTCTCTTGCAGGTGTTTTCTTGGTCCCCCCTATTGGATGCATGACTGGTATTAGGTATGTACTAGTAGAACGATGCTTCGTGGCTAGAGTGATGTCACAGGTCTGTAGAAGATCGGGAAAGGTTCTGTGCTTTCTAACCATTCTTTCATTCATGGCCAGTCTAAAGCTTCACCGAACTAGGCCGCCATGTGGGTATCTTGAATTTTGTCATTTGCTGGGTATATTGGACAGTAATCACCAGGCCTTGTCCCATGAGATTATGAACGCCATTGCCCTGCCATGAATGCATAACCGTGAGCCTTATAAGCCAAAGCATTGCCCTTGGGCTATTTGACCCCCACCTCATCCGGATGCCATCATCAGCCCATTGTATCCACCCATCTACTGACCCGGTCTCCGGTCGCCAAAGCGGCGAGGACGCTCGACGACTTGCTGCGCGGACACGGCAACGACATTGACAGGAATGGAATCGAACTGCCCCGATATCAGCATACATACATTCCGGGCGGAGAAGTAGGCAGGAAGACGTACGCCAATGCTCTTGAGCAGGTCCTTAGTCTCCTGGTCCACATCCAGCTGGCCAGTCTCGCTGTTCTGGCTGAAATCCAGCGCGGAAATCTCAGGGACGTATTGATCCTTGCGCTCACGCTCTTCTTCCTGCAGCTTGAACGAGATGCCGCGCACGGGGCCGCGCTGGATACGCTTCATCCTGTTCCGGTGTATCAGCCTGTTGTCTCATCCTCAATCTAACACCTCTTCTCTCCCCCTTTCACGTCTTTCCTGGAAATTGTGGTGTAGGTACTAGACTGGGTATTTGGGAGCCGTACAGATGCGTGGTGTATCCGGCGATCTTGTTGCGCAGGCGCTTCGACGAGATGATGGCTACTTCATCGCAGATGCGCTTGTTGGTCTCGAAGTCAAGGGAGAGCTTCGGGTAGTAGCGCTCGATGATCACCTTGGAGGACTTCTTGACGGTTTTCGTGCGCACGCGGCCCATGGTGGCGTTTTGGTTGTGCGGTCGGGGTGTGGGAACGTCGAAGTGGGAATGTGGGATTAGCGGTTGTGCTGGGAGGGGTCGCTTGTTTAGCTGTTTGGGGTTAGCGCAAGAGGAGGTCATTGCAAGGGTAAGGTCGCCAAACACTCATTCAGGCACCCCCTCCACCTTCACCTCCACTTCCAGTATGCAATGTATACACTATGTGCCCGTCTTTTATGCAGCTAGAGTGTACACTTTAGTCGATTAAGATGCAAACGGTGCTGCAGTCTCACTACCTCGTGAGACACTCGTGGACACAACAAAATTGATAGCGCGTGACTGACGAGGAAAGCCGTCGCCATTCTTCAGTACCACCTTGGCGCCAAAGATGTTGAACAGAAAGGTATTGGACAGGGACTCTCCGATATTGTGTCAGCTAGCCGCCAGTTTCGAAGTTGGCGGTTCGGTTTCAGCTGCACGATTGCGGCGTTCGGCTCCCGCTCATCTGTGATTACCCGAGCGTGAAGCACCTCAACTACTATCACCGCAACAAGATGGAACTTTCCTGTAGCGGCTGTAAGAAACTCGATAGTACGGGATGGCCCGGCTACAAGATGGTACCATTCATGGAAATCCTAGCTTCGGCCCAGGCAGCCTGCCCCCGGTGCCTCGTCATTCACGAAGCAGTCACCAAGTTCATGACTTTCGAGAAGCCAGAAAAGCGTGCCCTCGGGGTTGGGCTCAGGCCGTACGGAAGCCCTTCACCGCTCTTATATGTGAGAGTGAAGTTTGCTAGGAAGGAGGGGCTTCTGGATACAGAATACGTCGATTTCATGAAATTCGAGCTATATACCGATAATCGTAAGTCCCACAGTACCCACATTAAAGTTTTACAACTCGTACTGGAGCTGACCGATGCGCAGAGGACACTTCGAAATGGTGGCCACAGCTTCCTATTGCAACACACGTATCAGTCGCGCCATCACCAGTGGACTTCGCCAGGCAAGCCAAAGGCTGGCTTGATCACTGCATATCTACGCATTCCACACGCTGTCCTGCAACATTACAGAGACTGCCAAAAAGAATCATTGCGGTGGGCGATACCTCGGACGATCCGTGCATCTACGAAGCAGACCCTGATGAAACGGGTGTTTACGCGTGCTTGAGCTACTGCTGGGGCAAAACCAGAACATTCACTACGACACTCGCCACTTTGGAAGATCGCAAAAAGGGATTTAGTATCGAGGAGCTTCCGAGCACCATCAGGGATGCTGTCTTGATAGCACGCGGCATGGGGCTCAGGTTTCTCTGGGTGGACAGCCTGTGCATAATCCAGGATTCTCTGATGGATTGGGAATGCGAATCTGCGAAAATGTGCTCGATCTACTCGAATTCTACAGTCACTTTCGCAGCAGTAGATTCCCCTGGCAGTGACAGCGGTCTCTGTACGGCCGGGCCCGGTAGACGACTCTTTAAGCTGGGTAACCGCGAGCGCTCCATCTACGCACGGAAACGTTATCACGCATTGCCAGGTGCATTGAGTGACGGCGAGTGGCCGGATTCCCATACCTTACGGAAAAACGCGCTGCATGACCGAGGATGGACACTGCAGGAAGTGATCTTATCGCCGCGGGTGCTGTGGTTCAAAAGCACGGAACTGTGTTGGAGCTGTTCGTGTGAAACAGCTTGCGAATGCCATCCTGATCCTGTACCCGATCTCATGGACAGCTACCCTGGAGAGGTGAACGCTCTGTCAACATTACTCTGTAAGCTTTCATTTCTGGATGTGGTGCCTCTCAGCCAGTCCGGATGGGTTGATGCATGGTCCGAGCTAGTGTGGGTTTTCATGAGACGGCAATTGACAAAGCTCTCGGATCGGCTATCTGCTATCTCGGGACTCGCAGAGCAATTCTTGCAGCGTTTGGGCGTAAGGTACTTATGCGGAATGTGGGAGACGAGGAGCTTGCATAAGCAACTGCTATGGTTGATGGACGTCTCGGGTCTTGAGTCGCCTAAGGAGACCCCTGAAGGACTTGCCCCGGATTACGCACCCAGTTGGTCTTGGGCGAGTGTTTCGGGGCCTGTCTTCATCCCGAGAATTGCGGAGGATAACAATCGCGATCAAGACAACGGAGACTCGCAAGAAACACTGAACAACACAAGGACTGAAGAGAACGCCTCGGAGCCGGTGTCCAAGTACAATTGGCATCATACAGTAGAGCACGGCCGACTCTGGAATATCGAAGCGCTCGACTTTTCCCTCAGCACGTCGAACCCTTTCGGCCCTGGTAGGGGAACTATTACACTGGAGAGCCTGCTCGTCCCCCTTGAATATTGTCGTGATCCGAGCGCCGTCATATACCGCCGAGATAAGGTCAATTCGTCGTCTATTCCAGACGTCCCTCTCTTTCTCTTAGAAGTTGGTCCTTCCAGCGCTCACTTCAAGCGCGACTGGCGCCACGATTGGGAAGCTGGCACCGGCTCTTACGCAAGGAGAGATTTGTGGTTCATATTCGCGACCGTAGACCCTCAGCGTCATGAGGAATTCGAAGGCCTGGTTGTGGAGAGACTAGACGAGGGTGATAGGTTCAGGAGGCTTGGGCTTGGACACAATTCGTTTCTACAGGAAGGTGAGGGGCAGAATGGTATTTTGCCTCACTATAGGCTCACGGGGCTTTTTTATGGGACTTGGGAGCTCTGGGAACGACTGGGGAAGAGAGAGACGATTAAGCTAGTTTGAGGCGCCGGAGTCGAAGGAATACCATGTCTCCTTACCACCATGGCAAGACGAAGTTGAAGTACGTTTACGATACTCCGCAGTACAACTATCTTCAGAGAGATGCTAATGGTGTTTAGTGCCCTGTTAACTTTCGGTTTATTCCGTCATGGCCTCCACGTGGGAGTTCAATTCAATAATGTGGTGCAGCAGCACGAACAGCGCATTGCGCGCAACCTCCAAGACCCATTCAAGGCGCCGGGCTGCTTAGTAGTATAAAACTCTTTATCTCATCCTTTGATGAATTATATCCATCGGTTCGCAATACCAGAGCGGCAGCCTTCCCGAGCATCATTCGCAGGTAGCTACTTCCGCTTAGAAAAGTCGTAACCAGTTAGAGTACACAAAGCAATACGGTCCAAAATCGCTATCCAACGGTCCGTATACTTAAGGCCCCTCGAAGCACTCTAGGCATGGTAATACTGAGGTCGCGGACTACATCCCTCGAGCGTGTGGAACAGCCGGGGATGCTCAAGAGCAGGAAGCAAGATTGATTTGATGATATCTGCGGCTTATCAGCTCCCATCATGCAGGGAGTGACGGGCGGCGGAGTCCACGTGCATATGAGCGTCCTTCCTTCGTTCCTCTCGGAAATCTACCGACTACATTTCGACCAATCCATCCTAGCGGGTTCTGGAAACTTTTTGCGGCTTCATATGTAGGAAGTGACAGCTCAGCTCAGCAAGAGCAGTAAAGCTGCCTTGGAGACGGGCATCGCTCTAGTAATCTTACTCCCAGCAGCTCGAGTCCTCCGCATCGTGCCCATCCGGACATCCATCCCTGCGCACTACATCAGTCTCCAACCAAACTCGCACCAAAGAATTCATCACACTTACACGCCCTCGAAGTTGATCCACACAAGCGAGCTATCGCACTCTGCCCTCGCCCAGCCACCCGCTACCGCACCCCCAACTCCACACTCGCCTTGAATTCCGCCGAAGAAGTCCTCGCACTTCTCAATACTGAACACTTCTTCGCCGCCACACTCACTGCCGAGCCAGATCTTAGCCTCGGTGCTGGAACCCTTGCCGGTGATGTTGCCCGCGGGGGACGGGACGCCCGGGTGGCAGTATTGGGCTGCTTGGCAGGCGTTGTGGATGGCGGTTTGGGCGTCGTGGAGGGGGATTTTGTCGTCGCAGTGGATAGCCCTAGTGAGCGTTAGTGTTGATGTTGGGCGTGAGGGGAGAGGAGGAGATACCAGTCGCAGGTAGAGGGGATTCTGGGGTTTGGGAGGGCGGCGGCGAGAAATGGGGTGAGGATGCAACCGGCCAAGACCAGGATGTTGGTAGTGAGGAGATGCATGGTGAGTGCGTGGAGGTAGATGGTGTTGTTAGTGGTTGGATGAGGGCGAGATGTGCTTTAGAGGAGAGCTGGACGAGACGAGGAGTTGATGAGGGGTTTGGAGGAGTGTTGTAGTCGGAGACTGCGTGAAGCAAGGGCAGAAGTAGTAGAAAAGATCGGTCTCAGTGAAAGAGAGAATGCGTGTTCAAATGCTGATGTCATATATATAGATAAGAGTGTGAAACCCTATGCAGAGGCGAGGGAATTGGGTGCTCAAAAGGTCAGAGAATAAAGGATTAGTAGAAGTGAGAAGAGGTAACAATCTCATGCGATATAGTGTTGATCTTTGAAGCCTATTTTACCAGCCTTGCCTCCGTCATCTGATGGTCAAGACTCCTCATGAAAGGAAACTAGAAGAAGCCATCAGCCGATGCCTCATCTCCCGATCACTTATACTCCTTCTGGCTCTAGCAAAGCCCCGACCAGTGATTGATTACGTCTAACCTCCAAAGTTGAAGGACACGAAGCTCTGATCGCACGTCGCGCGCTGATACCCGACTGCGCATATCAGCATCCCCCATCTCACTACCGACATCGCAGTACTTACGTTCGAACAAGTCATCGCCGGCCGGGTACTGCGCCTCGCACCTTGTATCAACGAAGTCCTTGAACAGTCCGACGCATGCATCCTGGCTCCAGGTGGCCACTCCACCACACTGATCGCCCACGTAGAGAGTCGCGGTGTACGGGAAGCCTTTGACGATGCCTGACAGCGAGTTAGCGGTGAGGGAAGACAGCACGCTAGAGGGCACGAAGAGATACCGGTGACAGTCGTACGTCTATGGCCCGTCTGGCCCGGCGTGCATGCGGAGACTTTTGCGCAGGCGTTGGTGATAGCGACGAGAGCCGCGGTGGCATTGGCGTTGTGGCCGAGGCAGGTTCCCTTGTTCATGTCGAAGCAGGTGTTGGATTGGGACGGAGCGATAGCTGCGGCCAGGATGCTGGTGCCGGATGCCAGGATGGGGAAAACAGTCGAGAAACGCATGGTAGCGATTATGGTCCTGGGAAGAAATTCGAAGGATAAGAATTGGAGAAAGGAAGGTGCGAGAGGAGTGGTTGGGTCTGGGGTGGAATCACAGTTCACGGTTTATGCCGGAGAAGCTGTAGGTAGAGCCGATATCGGTCTCGTAGCGTTATCAGAGTGATGACGGTCAAGGCATATAGGAGTGCAAGCGAGATAGCGGAAATGAAATTTTGCAGAGAAGCATGGAGCGGTGTGCTTCAAGGATATGAGAAACATGATGTAGCACAACGTCATCAAACGAAATGACGGCGGGGGAATACGAGAGGTGGTGCACACAAACAAAGCATCGGCTATTGAAGCCAAGTATCCTTCTTCTATCTTCCGTCGGGGAGGTGATCGAAGAAGGCGGAATGTGGCGAAGATCTCGGGATACCAAAACCTTGCACAGAACATGGCTCATATTTCTGAGAACGGAAGCAAACTCCTTAATCGCGAACGCTGAACGTCGCCAATCTCACATCAAAGAGCGTTCCGGCAGATACCCGCTGCTGCTTGTCAGTCCACTTTATTCCCACGCCCCTAATTTTCCCTTCGGATCTCAGACTTGCACATGAACCTTTCCTCCTCCCCCGTCTCGTCAACGAACGTCCCGACTCCCACCCAACCCGCTGATCGCCCATTGAAAATTGAGCCAGGTACTGAAACGAGCCGGATTCGAGATTAGAAGATGGGGTTAGAAGAGACATGGAAAATGTTGGAATCAGACTATCTGAAAGCAATCAAAGGCGTTAGAGAAGATCTAAGAGGAAGACCAGATGATGGAACGTTACATAGAAAATAAGTCTAACTCGCTGCTTGACAAGGTTATACAGCCGGCAGGGTAGAAGAAGGGGAAATCAGACGAGGGGTTGGCCGTGATGCTGTAAATAAAGTGGTAGATTCCATCTGGTCTTCTCGCCTCAAGCGGTTGCTACTCGGCTGCTCCATCGTCGTGATGGCAACACATGATACCTGAAGATCAGGAGTCTCCGACCCCTGAACCCTGGCTTTCGGATCCAGGGTCCGGACTGTGGGAAGAAGCTGGGCTGCATTTCTTCTCGAACATTATCGAAGGATAGTATCATGCACAGAAGATAGCGCCAGGGTGCTTTATCACTCTCCCCCAGTTGTGCCCTCTTCTTCGCTTCTCCGCAGCTCTCCTCTATTGCCTTCTGTGATCCTGTCTCAGTCCAATCCCGAGCAGTATTCGAAACGTAGCTAGGAGGCATTGAATGGGACGCATAACGGGCGACATCTAGCCGTTCCTCCCCTTTTTTCACATCCGATCGTCCTAAGGTTCGTTTTGACCCCCGTCTCTTCATTTCTTGATCTTTTCCAACGTCCTCCTCGTACCCTCAACGATGAGCCCGTGCTCCACCTTATGTATCCTCTCCTCCAATTCGTCCAGTGTCTCCCCTTCCTTCAATTCCACCTCCTGCGTGACAATCGCATCTCCGGCATCCACCTCCGCAATAACCTCATGAATCATAACGCCCGTCCTCTTCAAACCCTCTTTCCTCCCGGCTTCCCACGCCCTCTCTATCGCACCGGCCCCCGAAAATTCGCCAGGTAACGCAGGATGCAGATTTATGACCTTGATTCCCGCATTCGCGACCGGATTCAGAAACTCGGGCGTGAGAATGTGCATCCAGCCCGCGCAGACGATAACATCAGGTTGTGGATCGAGCGCTAGTATCAGCTTCGCGAGATCGGCATCGTACTCTGTGCGGGCGGCTGCGGTGCCTTCTTCGGTTTGGGGATGCTTCTTCTTGTAGGAGAGGAGGTTATGGTATGTTGTGGGTATTGAGGCTTTCGCAGCGCGCTCGAGGCCGTAGGCTGCTTTGCGGCTATTACATGGAGTCAATTACTTAGCCGCCAAGGAGAGAAGAGGGTGATAACGGACGTACTTGGACATTACATGCGTGATGCGCGTGTTAGAGAGCGCGGAAGAAGCGCAGGCGTCGATGAGGGCTTGTAGGTTTGAGCCATTGCCGGATATGAGGACTGTGAGGTTGTATTGTGGTTGTGACATTGTGAGACGCTCAATCACAGATTGCTGTAGGAGGCATTGAGAAGAGAGTCAATCTCGTTTCGGATTGAAGAGAAATTGAAAGTAAATAAAGCTGGATTGGTTCTCTGCGATCATCTGCGCTCAAAATTTTGGAGGGGTGACACAACCCCGCCATCGTCGGAGCTTTATATCGCCGAGTCACGTGCCGGAACATTCACCCAATCAACCGAACGGTCTTCGCTCCACGTCAACCTGAGGGAGGTTCATCTCCTTCGCTCGACGAACGAAAGATTTTCGGAAGATAAGTCTTGGTCTTGCTTTTCCGCAATACGATATTACGGGTTTGGGGCCCAAACGACTGATAAGCGCCCAAGTTTTGCACTGCCTCAGGCTCAAGGGGAAAAGAAACGCGGAGGATGAATTCCTCGCGGAGCTTTCCTCCGATGTTCTTTTCAACGAGTTTGATTGCACATATTGGAGCTCTCTATTTGCTGTAATCAGACGCCCCACAAACTTCACCGGGAGAGCTTTCCCTGTACTAGCGAAATACCACATTGGAAATGAGTTGGACAGGCTAGTTGCAAACCACCAGTGGCTTGCTGGTATGGCTACTCCATTAAAAAGACAGGAAGCGGCTCGCACTTTTCATCTCGACTCAATACGAAATCTGACAGTTCTCGAAATTTTCACGAAACTCCACTTCCTCAAAGTTTGGGGATCCAACCTGGTGCGGCGCTCAGTTTTCGCTCCCTTCGTCTACGAAATGGCTAAAATTGTTGAATCAGTTCGGCAGTCTCGAGGCACGATTTCTGATTCTGGTGCAGACGGGGAAGTAGATGCGGTGGAACAAGAAGCTGCTTCTCTGGATACAGAGATGCAGAACGATGATCTCGGGGCCGATATGAATACGGGTGAGAATCAAATACCTGAACGGCTCAAACTGTCGCAAGGGGACAACCGGAAGATGGATGAGGAATTTGGAGAGGAATGGCGTGCCTTTGGTAGCCGGTAGGTTCTCCAATAGATTTTGAAAATAGTCTAATTATGACCAGAGTCGAACCCGTGGATAAGATGTCATTCATGATTCGCCGTGATTACGGGTCCTGGCTTGAGGAAGCAACGTGGGATGCATACTTGTTCGTGGCCATCAAACACGGGTTGATCGACTATCGACAGCTCTGCAAAGAAGCCATGACCGCCTTCCTGAAGAATTCTCTGGATAGCAACGTCTATAACCGGCATATGTGGCGCAAAGGCGACGTTTTCCAGTGCTGGGACGGAATCCAATCCGATGACCCGACGCTGCGGACTCTGGTGTCAGAGAAGCTCCCAGCTATCTGGGATGATGTGCGCGGCCCCACACTTTGGAAGGCCGCTAACTCCAATAAGCTTTGGAGAGCATCTACTGACATGATTTGGTCCTTTTGCCTTGTTGCAGGATGCCCGGAAGGGGATAGAGATGATCCTTTCAAGAGCTTGGAAATATTAAGAGAGTAAATCAGCCGCCAATTCATATACACCGCCGATCTCCACAACACGATATCGGAACTCAACAAACAGGTCATAGTCCAGCAGCGGATGATCACGGCGCTTGCTTACCGGAACGTTCTGGAGAACTTATCTGCAGAAACCGTATGCTTGAACTCGACGGACAAGTGGCACAATTTCTGGACCAGATGTTCAAAGCCGTCAAGGATGGAAGAATTCCCAAGGGCAATCCGTTCAACGATCTTTTCGACCAACAGAAAGAAGACAAGAAGTATAGCCTCGACTACCTTCACCAGATGGCGAAAGAGCTATACTCGACGCTCAGCAGGACCATCCACAACTTCAAGTCGTCGCGAGACTTCAATCAGTACACGATAGTACCCGGTCAGTTTGATCCCATGCAGATGGATTTTATGCGGGACATGGAGCCAAAGAAGGAGAATTTTTTAGCCGACGAGGGTCTAGATTGGGAGAAGGAAAGAAGGCGATATCCGGGCCAAGTCTTGGATGATGCGACGAGAAGTGCGGTGCTGTCACCTGCGGCAGCAGTGAAGAACGAAAAGAAGAAGCAGCAGGAGGCACAAGCTGAAGAGCAGAATGACAAATCCACGCCGATCCTGGGAGGAAGCATAGATAAGCAGCTTCTCGAAGAAATCGATCTTGCAAAGAGAAATGAGGTCGACTTGATGGCAGAGAGCAATGAGGAGGACGGGTCTCTACAAGGCCGTCAAACTGTCGCGTTGGAGAAACTAGCGACAGTCATAGCAGCATATCTGCAGGATAGCGGAAAGCAGAAGTCGGAGGCAAGCTCAATAGTCTTCGGGGAGGAGACGGAGGATGAAGATGAAGATGAAGAAGAGGACGACGACGACGACGAGGAAGAAGACGGGGATGGGAGAGCATCAGGAAGACCGTAAAGAGCCTCAGTGTGAACCCGCTATAATGATGAGACGAAATGTATTTGAGCGCGTTTACTTCGAGGACAGGCCTCGTCTTCAATCAAGTTGCTATCATGACTTGCCGCCGTCTGGTCTTGCTATCCCGCAAGAGCCGATTTCGATACCTGATACTCAACACCACGTATTCAGCTGAGGCAGCGATCTGGCTCGTCATCAAATTATCAAGTCTAATCGCTAGGTTTTCATACCGTGTTTCATCAGCTGGCGCACGTCCCCACCCGGCGCACAGTTTCTAGAAAATCTTACCCCTCTCTAACTTTATAACTATTAGAGCTATACTAATAAAACTTAATATATAAGCTTTATATAGTATAA